AAAAAAAGTTTAGTGAGTGACATGTTGATCTCAACTCTAGATCGAGTCGTCCAGGTGAGAAAAACAGAAACAGGGTATGTAAGGGTATTTTGGGGGGTGTTTTGCAACTGACAATGGCCAACAGCCAATTGTTCGATACACCATTCTATAGTTCTTGGTGCACTACTACCTCCTCGTCAACTGTCCATTGCGCTTTTCGCTTGGTCAGCATTTCTTCAAGAACACCAAGTCTCTCACGCGTCGTGCGTATAGCGTGATCCATCTCTCGATCAGACATCTTCTCTTCGCTCAGCTTTTCCGCCATCTCGCGTTCGCCTTGGATCTTTCGGGGCTTTTGGCGTATTTGTGAATTAAGTGGTCTATTGGCGGTTGGAAAGACCATGCCATCCATGCCAACTCGGTCTTCTAGCCAACTCCAGAGTTCGCTCTCTTCTCTGCGCCACATCTCTTCATAGGCTGCCAGTCGTTGGGGCAGTGAATACCCAGGACATCCTATGTCATGTGAGAGCATGGCTGGCTGGGCGGGGCTGCGGAAAAAGAGCATAAAAAGCAGGATTCCAACAAGAAGGATGACAATATTTCCGCTCAACAAGGGCTTGACAATGTCAACAATAGGTCCAAGCAGACCATGTAGCGGCTCTAGAACACCCCAAGAATCCGCCTGGCCCGCGCTAGCATCGCTTGTTGCCTTCATAGAAGCTGGAGATGGCTCTTCGGTGGCCGAACCTCCCTTCTTCCGCTTGCCTTTTCCTTTACCACCTCCAGTCTTAGTACCGGAACGGCTGCGAGGTACAACTGCCGCTTTGAGAGCTTGGATCAAATCGGTTCCGAAGGCTCCTTGTCCATCAACGGCGCCTTTTTCAATGGGACCTTTCTATTGGTTAGCAAATTCGAATCAGACAGAATACTATATGGACGACGAACCTTTCAACCAACTCTTTCCAGACCATTCTATGGTACATGTCAGGAAAAATCGTGTTTGATTTCCAGGTGCCCATGTGAAAAGGTACTTAGTTTTGGTACAGAAAACATTTCCACTGGGTACATCAGGTGTCTGCGTCGAAAGCGTCACAAGGACTGCCTTTTCCAGATCTAGGAAATCCATGTACTCTGTAGTGATGCACTTGGTCTGTTTAGGCCCAATAGGGGCGTTGAGAGGTTTTATATACGAATATTGTCTGGTCCTGCTCTCATTTGTCAGGCCTTTCTTTTCGCTTTCAAACTGAAGCTCTCCAGATTTCTGGTTTTCAACAAGGAACTTGGATATAAAGGCGCCGGATGCAGGCCCAAAGACCAGAGAGTAGACTTTCCCAAGAGGAGCTGGGATTATCTCATCTTTGATGACTTTGTCATACTGACCAGCAGGATCGGTGTACTCTGTTGGCGCATGTGTAGTTGGGCCCGGAAAGTCTGTATCTGCATCTCCGCCGGATTTGTCACCTTTGGCGTCGCCATTAGAGCTTCCTGCTGCGCCTCCCGCGCCATTGGCAGTAGGCAAGAGACCTGATGCCTTGCGGCTGGGACCTTTCATGGGCATCGATTTATCGCTTCCATTAACGCTTGCATCCCCGGCTTCAATAAAGCTGTCGGCACCATCGCCATCTTCATCCTCATCGTATACCTCATCCTCATCTGAATCGTCGCTTTCCACGTCACTTTCTCCAGCCTTTTCTGTTTTGTCGCCAGTGCCATGAGCTATCCGTGTTCCATTTACAGAACTCTTCAGAGCGGGGTGGTTGATCTTCCAGATATTAACCATCAGGTCATATGTAGACTCTCGACTGAGTAAGCTTCGGAAGGTATGACGAGCATGCAGGGTTTGGATCGCGATTGCATTGGGGAAAACCATTGCAGTTGACTCTTTTTCTATCGCCACCACTTCGTCGAAGCTGATTACGAGAGTTGTTACCCAGCCCAAGATATTGCTAGAAAAGCAAATATGACCTTCCGAGATATAGATCCTGCCGGCAAGAATGATTTCTCGCTGCAAAGCGCAGCTATAATCCTCAATTAGATAGTCATCCTCGGGGACGCTACGGAACAGTTGATGAAAGTCCCTGTTCCGTTTCTTACTGGCAACAGCGAAACCAGTTAGTCGAGGCATACTGGAGTTGGCACCTGGAACACCTAGGGCAATGGCGCCAGCACCAATCGCGCCGATAGTTGATGTAGTTGCTGAGGAACCCCGATGACGACGGGCCAGACGACTCCGTACACTGCCGCTTCTCTTAAGTCCGCTGCCAGGTTCTCCATCGAGAACACTTCCTGGGGGAGTTTGGTCGCTAGGGAGTTCTTTCGGAAGCGATGTACTTGACTGCAGCTCTATCCCATCTTCAGAAGGGGGGATCACAGAGACTTCAGATGGCTTTCCATAGGCCATGTAAACTGCACGCGCAGCGCGCTTGTCCTCAAGCCTTGCCGCTTCCTCATCACGCTGATTGACTGCCGTGTTTTTGCGTTTCTCCGGTGGTACATCGGGTTTCGTAATGACAACTCCATCAGGAGTAGCAACTGCTCCGCCGGGCGGCACATCTATTTCCAGATGGTCGAAATTTAGATCCCCCGACCCAAGAGTTTCGACAGCTAGCGGTTTCTTCTCCTCTCCCTCGTCTGCCGCTGCGGTCTGCTCTTGGCCTTCAACCGGCACATTCTCACTTCCGGCGGAAGTGGGTTGAGTTGCACTGCGGCCTTTTGGCTGTGTATTGAGACTGCTACTTAGAGTATTTGCAGCATTTTGAGCTACGCTGAATACAGACGAAAAGAAGCCGCTCTGCTGGGCAGCAGAAGGTGACCTTGAGGCATTCTTTACCTCCTCGATTGTTGGGGGGCTTATCGCGGAGATGGAATTTGACAGCTTGCTGGGCCTATGAGATTGGACTGAAGAAGCGGAACGCACTCGCCGATGAGATATCATATTTCCTGACGGGCTCACAACAACACCTGGCGGGAAAGATTCGTTGGACTTCACAGACTCGGGGGATTTTATAGCTTCAGGTGAGGTAACTAGTTTCGGGAATGGCACTCGGTTCTCTGACGGGGTGGGGGGAGTCAATGTCGTTTGTGGAGCTGGGGCCGGAATTGCTGTGTGAGGAGGTGTCTTTGGAGCCTGGTTCTCCGATGGTTCGCGTGGTTTATCCTCCGTAAGATCGGTGCGGATGGCCAATGGCAATGGCGGGGGAGGCTCAGCTGCCACAGCAGTCTGTGCCCTCTTTGCTGAGAGACTTCCTCTTCTGCCACTGTTCCCAAAGAGACTCACACTCTTTTTGCTCTCGGTAGAGGTAGAGGATGCGCGATCTCGGCTACTATTTGAATTCTTCTTGTCGGAGTTGGAGCTGAACGCATTCTTTAGCCGCCGTCCCGGCGACACGCCTCTCTTCTTTCCGTTACGATCCTCGGGGACATCCAATGTCGAGACGGGCTGGGTGGTAGACCTTGAGAGCTCTGTGTCTGGATTGGATCCCGAAGCCTCCAAACTCGGGGCGGATTCTACATCAGCCTGAACGTCGTCGTTATCGTTTGCCTGCACGGAGGTTGTTTTTATCAGCGGTGAAGAAGTCGTGTAAAAGCCAGCATGGGAATTGTGGGAAGTAAGCGGTGGGGTCCTGCCAAAAGAAAAAACCAATAGATCAGTCAGAAATCCCAATATCCCTGAAGGGTCCTACATAAGTGCGAACTACACCAAGAAACCAGACTTACCGATCCGGTTCAGAGTCATCAGTCAACAGGTTGACACCTTCGCTCTCTTGCGGGTTCTCATTCATAGTTGACGATGTAACCGAATTCCCATCTCGGGACTCATTGGGCCGGCCCCCATTATCTTTTTCCTTGCCATTATCTGAGCTGGCCGCCGATAATATGAACTCATCCATCTGCGTCTGACTCTTCTTCTTTCGTCGTCGCCGGGCAGGGAGGAGCTTAGCAAGCCCGCTTGGTCCTGCCTTGGCGGAATCAGCGCCCTCGCCGGCCTGCGACGACTTGGGCCTGTCGGAGGTGGAATCAATCGACGAACGTCCATTGCTGCGACTCGAGCTTTCCAAATCGACCGGTGTCGTCCAGGTGCGACTGGATTTGCTGAAGCCCTGGGGGTCTGATGGAGCGGGGGGAGGCTCCGGGATCGTCGAGGCGTCCATGGGGGGATTAGGAGGGGGGAGGGGTTCGAAGGATTACTGATGCTGAAGTCGCGAATGGAGGAAGAATAAAGGAGGAAATAAAACGAACAAGGGAAAAAAGATTCAATAGGTGCTCCGGTTCAATCGATTAGAGGGTAGACACAGCCACTGTAAAGGACATGGTATATCGACTGGTTTAGTTGTCCATCGTAGCAGCAACCACCAAAATAGAGGGAGAGATCAAAGGCAGAAAGAGAGAGCTGCAGGTGAACGCAATACCAGGGGCATAGTATTTCCAGATTCAAAAACAGGTATCCCCTCTTTTTGTTCCCAGTAAACCAAGTGAAGATGGAGGAGGGAGAAAAAGCGACAGATGGAAGACCGCCGGCAGTAACAGCTCGACTCCGCATAAGCAGTTGGTTGTCTGTATGTACGGGTAAGGTATGGTAAGTGGGACTAAGCCTAGCCGTGGTTCTCTGACACGGGCTGAGAATAGATATCATTGTCAGGGGCTATCAAAGGGGTTTCAGGGTGATGATGTCGTTTCAAAATGATCGCCATCTTTGCATTATCCATCCGCAGCCAAATAGCTTATTTAAATTCAAAATCATTTCTGTGGGTTTCCTGAGGCAGGCAAGCACGATACCGTACTGTTATCTGGATGTACTGTCATGTAATTCTCCGGATCAGGGGAACCCCATAGGAGGGCAGCCCATCGCATCAGTAATGTTACCGTCACATTCTTACGGGCTGATTTTCCCCATGCGGTTCCGGCAAATAATGGCGTCACTCATTATTCTCCTTCACTCTCCACCACAGCAAATTGATATCTTTCCTCTACTCCCATATCCTTAGCTTTACTATCATCCAGACTGTCAATGTATGCTCTTCCTTGAGGTACACCCTCAACAGCGCCATGGAAACGGCACCGCTTACCTTGGTATGTCGTCCTTGCTGGCGTGCCTTCTATCTTACGTCCTGACGATCTCATCGGTACAAGGCTCATACCCATGCTCGAAATGCAGTGCTGGAAACTCGCAAGTCGAATCCGGTAGCAGCTAGTGAGGAACATGATCTAGCTGCTGGCGAGTTTGCAACAGCCAGTCAAAGTAGTGCTGACCGTGAAGTACATTGCCAAACCCATCCCACCTTGATTGACATGTGAAAGCTAACATATCGCCAATTTTTCATGATAGGCCTTACGGACGTTGCAGTTGCTTGAGGGCCACCACAAGAAACTCGCCCAGATTCTTCGTTTTCAACATGAGAATCCTCCCAGCGCCGTTGTGGCCGAGACATCCTCCCCCGCTATGTCTCCCAGCCTGAATTCCCAACCGTCGACCGCAGAGTTGGGAGCCACGAAAGCGGCGCCATCGACCCCGGATGCTCAGCAGCTGCCTCCAAGGCTCTCTGGGAATAGTCGCATGCCAGCAAGAGAGACCTCGTCTATCGCCAGTAATTTAGCTTCAATGCGAGGCATTCCATCCAACCTCCGACGTGCTTCACCGGCGTCGCCCACTCTTTCCTCCCAGCAGGCGGGAGCGAAGATGACAGATACCGCTCCCAAAATTAAGGCTGGCGAATCCAGGCTACGTGGCACACAAGCATATGGACAAAAGGAGCGTTCAAGTCGCACGTCTACACCGAAGCAGCCATGGTCTCCTCCAGCCATCAGCCCTACCGATATTACCTCACAGCAACTTGTACCCCCAGAAACTCTGGAGTCTCAACGACAGGAAGACAGAACAACAGACGAGCCATTCCAACGATTCTACTCCACCGTCGAGGGTCTTATTTCCAAAATATCAGCACCTTTGGCGTTCGCAGGCCTCCCTCTAGGATCAGAGACACCCGCACAGCAGGATACTTCTAGTCGCCGTAAGTCTTCCGCAGAGACGAGAATAAACAGAAACCAAGCGATCTCAGATAGTCGTGACCCGACTAATGAGCCAGATGTCAGTCGACTCTTTTCCCGGGCTGCGTTGCGGGCCATTCGCGATACCACCGGGGGAGGAGGAACAGGAAATACGGCTGAGTCATTTTACGTTGTTCCCACGACCGGAGGAACCGTTTCCTATGCTGGAATTCTGTCCAGGGCTGAGAAAGAAGCGCGGAGAAACAGCCTTGAAGAAGCGGATGAAGACTTCGTGGACGCCCGGGAAACTCCATCATCGCCGGAAATGCGCCAGAGTCAGACTAGATCCAAGGGCAAAAAGGGTCAAGGGAATGATAAATTCAGCAGCATCCAGAATCCGAAAACACTCGAAGAGTTGCAAATGGAAAACCAGGCCTTGAAGCATCTGTCCGACACCCTGTCCAAGCGGCTGCATATGTGGGAAGTAAACGCTCAATCCTCATCCATTGCGCTGCAACAGTCCTTGAAAGCGATGCATCATCAAAACAACGTACCCTCTGATCAACCCCCTCGGTCTTCCTCCCCTGCTGTCGTGTCGCCTGGTCCAGGCGTCTCCGCGATAACATCGGCTGATCATGAACAACGCATCAAGGAACTCGAAGAAATAGTCCGACTCAACGAGAGGGAACTCGACAAGGTCGGCCGCGAAAACGATAAATTAAGAAATGTCCTAGGCCGATATAGAGAACGGTGGGAGAAACTGAAAGAGGGCGCCAAAACCAGACGAGCTGAGGGAAAGGCAGGAGGGGACACTGACAATCCCGGCAACAGAGCAGCCGCTGGCTCTGCCGTTCAAGGGATTGATAATCCCCCAGATACTCCAACTCTGGCTGACGATATGACGGAGAATGGAATGCTTGCTGAGACCGAAGTTAAAGCCAATGTATCTGATAGCTGAAATCGCACGTTATGTCCATGAGAACACGCTTTATGTGCATACAATACATACATTACCTAAATCACAAAATTTGAATTTCGATTTCTTAATAACGATGCTTTAGACTACGTATGCATTAGATTGATTTCGTGAAATCGTATATCTAGAAGACCTCAAGTTATACATATAGCTATTGCCTAGGTGCGCAAAAACGAAGAAGAAAAAGAAACAAAAAGCTCACCCCAGAACCCAGTCCTCCTTCCTATAAGGAGGAAGACTGTCAGAGGCTACGAAATCCCGACGGAAATGTAAGGATTTTACAGCGGACCTCACTGGGAGCTGGTTGAACATTCCAACCAGCTCCACGCGAGATTCGAACCCAGGACTTCTGCCTTTGGTCAAGTGGCCGTACCACTCGGCCACAGTCACCCTGGGTTTGTTGAAGAGAACTAATGGAAGTGAATGATATGGGTTGTTGGGTTACCCGATTGGGAAAGGACAGAGTATAGGTCACGTGATATACAGAGGGCCAGCATACTATCGACTTGTTGAGAATGAAAAAGTACGTATGAGAAATGAGAGTAGATGGAAGGAGCTCAATATGTTCCTATACTGGGCTGCGGCAGCCTGACAATCCGCATCTCAACCCTGATATATAAAACCACAATGCTTTACGAAGCACAACAACTCAGTACTTTTGTGGTAGGTTTCTCATTGCAATTGATATAAACTGAGTTGTACTGTAGTAGCTACCTACTGCACATAGAACGTCGCATTCCCCCGGATATCAGCTGAGCTGCTTCCAACTAGAGCCATAAAAGCACCCGGCTCTACCACATACTTCATTGACGCATTCCACAACCCCAGGTCCTCTACTTGCAGAGAGATCTCAACTGTCTTGGTCTTTCCAGCGGGAATAACAATCTTTTCGAAACCCCTCAATCTCCTATTGGGTATAACGACCGAGGATACTTCATCCACAATATACACCTGGACGACTTCTGTGCCTTCACGCTCAGTGTGCGTGTTGGTGACGTCCACACTGATTGTAACGGTGTCCGAGGCCGATACGTTGGCCTTGTCCAAGCTGACGGATCCGTATTCGAAAGTCGAGTAGCTCTTTCCGTAGCCAAAGGGGTACCACGGGTTTGGATTGCCCAGGACGTATTGATGACCGAAAACAAGGGTTCCATCGGTTTCGATATAGCCCGAGTCCGTGATATCGCGGCCAGAGTTGGGATAGTCGTAGTAAATGGGCAGGTCACCGACAGACCGAGGAAAGCTGACGGAGAGCTTGCCAGAGGGGTTATAGTCGCCGAACAGGACGTCAGCAAGGGCGTTTCCACCTTGCTCAGAGGGGTAGAATTGCTGGATTAGAGCCGAAGTCGAGTTTGAGATCCAGACATCGCTTATGGGTTTACCACTGGATAGGACGACAACTGTTGGAACCCCGGTATCTGCAATAGCCTTGACTAGAGGGCCCTGGGCTCCAACGAGGGATAGGCTGTTCACGTCGACATGTTCTCCTGTTCTATGGAATGGTTAGTTCAGGATACGGTTACCGAAAGGCCTGGAGACCACTCACGTTGCATTCATACCTTGCCACAATTCCATCTGGTCTCTTGACCAGGTACCGACTACAACAACAGCCACGTCAGATTTCTTAGCGGCGTCAATGGCCTCCGAGAAACCAGACTGGTCGTTGCTCCATCGCTCGCACCCTTGTGCGTAGTGGACTTGGGCTTCGTTTCCAACGGCAGCTTTAATCCCATCCAGAGGAGTGACTCCACGATATTGGCTCTCGTAGACGACATAATCACCATACTGGATTGGCGTTAGTTCAGTATTCAATCAACTAGCTACCAGACTCTTATTATGGGCCATATAATTGTACTCACGTTCATAAAACCATGTGCCATAGGTCCAATGACGGCAATATTGCCGCTCTTCTTCAACGGAAGAGTATTATTATGGTTTTCGAGCAGGACAATGGATTCTTTGTCTAACTCCCTTGCGAGCTCAATAGCCTCTGAGCTATGAATAAGTTTGTTCCAGTCGGATTTGGGAGCAGCGGGGTATGGGTTCTCGAAGATGCCCATTTCAAACTTGGCCCTGAGAACTCTCTTCACAGCCGTGTTAACGACCTCAACATCAAGCTTACCGGACTCGACCAGTTCAGCAATCTTTTGAAAATTGCTATCAGAAAGTCAGCAAATATCCTTGACAGGTGTATCTCTCGATGAAAACTTACAATGAACCGCCTCCCATTTCGACATCATTACCAGCAGGCAAAGCCTGGAGGGTAATAGCCTCCATGTCAATCGGCGAGCTCCTGCAAAGTCTGAAAGCCGTGCACAATCTGTCAGTGGCGCCTGCATCGCTGATTACCCAGTAATCGTAGCCCCATTCTTCTCTCAGAATCTCTGTAAGAGTGTGGTAATCGGAGATTGCGGGAATACCGTCATATCTAGATAGTAGATATAATTCAGTAAGTGAGCCAATGTAAATACATCCAAGGATTTAGATATACTTACGAGTGGTAAGCACTCATAATATTCCATGCGCCAGCATCTATAATTGCTCGTTTGAAGGGCGGCAACCAACTGTATCAAAACTTAGCGCCTGCTTCTTATGCAATAAAACATACTCGCTCACGTTGTGCGAAGTTCTCGTTCACCTCCATGAACTGGACCAGTATTCAAACCTTGCTCGGGCTTGCTGAATCCTGCAAAATGCTTGACTGTAGCGGAGACATTCGTGCTCTGTAGTCCCTTGGTGTAGTAATAACCAATCTCTCCTGCGAGGTATGGATCTTCGGAGAACGTTTCTTCAACCTATAAACCGTATATGAGTACCATACTTTTTGGACATAGGAAAAGGCAGATTATTACACGTCCAAAACGCAACTCGCGGGCTAGATCGACGACAGGCGCAAAGAGCTGATTGACACCGAGGGCAAGGGCTTCCTGCCCGATTATTTTGGCCATCTTTTCAACCAACTAGAGTAGGGTCCGTTAGAATAGACTCCAACAAGGAGCGTGATATGCAAAATTACCTCTTTGTTGAAGGAGCATCCATATCCGATAGGCGAATTGAATATAGTCGCATTTCCAATCAAGAAGCCATGGATGGCTACATGGCAAACTGTCAGTGATCGACCATGGGAGCTCTAGTGCCGTGGAAGACTTACACTCTGTTTGAACAAGCGCAGGAATACCCAATTTTGTATTCTCGAGCAGGTAGTCTTGTGCTTTTTTCACATTGGTTGCAATCCAATCCCAGGAAACAGGGTATCCAACTGGGCGAATCGTCAGACATTCATGCTCCAATAATGGAGATATTCGGTAGCCTACCGTAGAACATTCCAGCTTTTGTTTCCATATTCTCTACCAGGCCAGTGTAATTGAAATCTCCAGTGGTGCCATCCATCCAATTCGTGATATCCCCTTGGATCAATTGGGCCATTTTATCCTCGGTTGTCATCCTCCCCAGGAGATCCGTAACTCTCTCCTCTACTGGAGCGCTGGCATCTTTGTAGCGAGGAGTGCTAGAGTCCGAGGCATTCTTCCCTGCAGCTAGGGAAAAGAGCTGCAGGAGCAGGAGCCCTTTTGATAGTAGACTGGGAATCATATCTTCACGAGAGTAACAGAAACAGCTTCCCAGCTATCTTCGAATGTATCTAGCCACGACAAACGAAGTCAAAAGTCAACCTTCTAAAGCTGCGCGACATGTCGGTTGCTTTATTTTCTGCTGCGGATAAACTATTGTTTAGCGATTAGGCTAGTTAATGCACCCAATCTATCAAAATGCAACGAGGTATCGTGGCCAAGCCAGGGTTTGGAGATGATTAATTTCGGAGATGAGAAGGGCTCGAGTAATCACAGGCATGGCTGCACAGACGATTAATTTAATCGATCGTGTGGTAATACTCCGTACCTTTGACGGACGGCTAATACTAGGTGCAGCAAGTGAGGGGTTATCCAAGACTTCCATGAGGAGACACAATGCAGTCAGCTGCTTTTTTCCACCTATTGCAGATCCTCTCGGTAAAAGGACGCAGGCGCGATAGATCGTAGTTGATTGTCAGCCCATTATTAGATCGGTAGAATGAATCTCAATGAGAAAGGAAGAAAAGCCGACGAGTTAAGACTGGTTTGATGGCATCGTTGTTTGGGATAGGGACAGGGGGTGCTTAGGACTGGACGATCAACCGTTAGTTCTGAATTGTACATAACGACTTGGTCCAAACATCAAGATATGCAATTAAAACTCACTATCTGCCTGCATCCTGTTTGTTGATAAGTGATAAGATGGTTGAAGCAGGAGAAATGCCACGGAGCGAGCGTTCGTTCCACTGCTCCGATCACCACGGAACGGCTGTAGCTCTGATCTTCGCTGGATCTGTACGATGATGCTGTCGTGCTCGGTTTCCTTCTCACCACCACTAACAGTCATCCTCCTCCATCACCGCCCCTATTCGCATTGTCCTCGCACGTGCGCATCGTCGTATTCCCCCGAGTCTATCTCGTCCAAGGCAGAGTTAAACTTGCTTTGTATCTTTCTCCTCGATATTCCTCACCTCCTCTTCCACCTACTGTTTGACAACACTGACGCGACGTCACCGCCCCGATCGACCCGGTTTTCTTAAAAAGCTGAAGATCAACTCCGTTCAGCTCTTGATCCCGGCGAGGATTATTTTCCTACGTCAATACAATAGACGACCTTCATCCAGAGGGCTTTTCCGCATCGAAGAACAGAATGTGGCCCACTTTAGCAGCGTGATCGAATACCCATGCTTAGTGAGAAGTGAGAAGTGGTTTTATCTACGGTAACTACTATCGAAGATAATCAGAGAACGAAATCCTGTTGATCCACTCGTTCTGTGGTTGTTGCTTGGACATTCTAGCGATCGGATAACGCGGGTGGTTGGGCGTGATTCAAGTTTGGTTATCATTCAGTCGGCCTCACTGCGGATTTTTCTTCTCTTTCTCTTTCTTCTTTCTCCTTTACATATTCAACTCGATGGATAATTACCAGGAGCCTATGGCAGCAGGCCTGCTCACGGCTCTTGCCTCTTCTCTCCTCCCGACTCCGACCTCGACCCCATATAGCTACCCCTCGCACGCTCCTTTTCCTTCCTCGACATCGGATCTTGGACATAATAATGGTGGACATGGAGGGAAAATGCGCGAATGGTCGTCGCTGATTGGCATTATCACGGCACTGGTCGGTAACGTGCTTATCTCTTTGGCACTCAATATTCAGCGCTACGCTCATATCCGGATCGCCCGGGAATATGAGCACGATAAATTACTCCGAGAGGCGGATTGGAAACGGACACATTCTGAAAGGAGTACGGCGGGATCCTACGGTGCTGTTGCGGGGCATGGTTATGTCGATGATGAAACTCGACGAGGGAGGGACACCGGCCGGTATATGGATGAGTCTCCTGAGCGTCCGCGCCACGAAGAATCTCGCGATCACCCTAGACAAAGTAACGACGCTAGAGGTGAGGAGCATGACCAGCTGCGTCAGTCCTTCTCGTCGGATCAAACGGCTCAACCTGGAGATAAGGAACTGCAGCATGGACACCGTAAATCCTACCTCCGGTCCCCATACTGGTGGGTTGGAATTATACTCATGTGTATCGGCGAGACGGGCAATTTCATGGCCTATGGATTTGCCCCGGCATCGATTGTGTCGCCATTGGGTGTGGTGGCATTGATTTCCAACTGCATCGTCGCACCCTGTATGCTCAAAGAGAAGTTTCGCAAACGTGATTTCTGGGGTGTGCTGGTTTCTATTGCTGGCGCCGTCGTCGTCGTTCTCAGCGCCAACTCATCTGAAGGAAAGATCGGTCCCCATGAAATTTGGTCCATGATTACACAGTGGGAGTTCGAGCTGTATCTGGGTCTCACGGCGGGTTTGATTGTTACTCTCATGTGCATGAGCAGCAAGTATGGCCCCCGGACAATTCTGATCGATGTTGGGCTGGTGGCCCTTTTTGGTATGTTTGATATTAGAACCCTGTCGCCTGGCCTTGTGTTGTTGTCTCTTAGTGGCTGCTTATTGACTATCCACAGGTGGATATACTGCCTTGTCTACAAAAGGTGTCTCCTCGCTGTTATCATTCAAACTCTGGCATATAATTACCTTTCCCATCACCTATCTCCTGGTCTTCGTCCTTGTTTTCAGCGCTTTGATGCAGATCCGTTACATCAACCGGGCTCTCCAACGTTTCGATTCCACCCAAGTCATCCCGACTCAGTTCGTTCTCTTCACTCTGTCTGTGATTATCGGAAGTGCGGTCCTATATCGTGATTTCGAAAATTATACACCCTCACATGCGTCAAAGTTTGTAGGCGGTTGCCTTCTGACCTTTCTAGGCGTGTACTTCATTACCAGTGGCCGGGTTAGTGCTGACGATGAGTCGTCTTACTCTGCGGATGATGAGGAAGAAGCCATTGGCTTGCTTTCGGGAGAACGGTATCATGACCATGTTGACGTTTCGCCCCCGGGACATCAATTCAAAACCCACCAGCCGGCACAAAAAGTCATTGAATCTCAGGATGATCCCGAGTCCCCTTCCGGGTCTCTGTTCAGCCATGGCATCGAAGATGTTGATGATGGCCAGGTCACCCCGAGGGGAGTTTTGTCTGCTGCCCCGTCATCACCAGTTGGCTCTTTGACTGCCGAATCTCTCACTGCGCCATCTCCTGAACATGCCTCCCCCATGCCACCGAATTCACTGATTACCAATCCATGGGCCGAATCGTATGAACAATTTGCCGTGGCTACCAGGCCTCCAGCCCAGATTTCCCGCCCAGTGACTCCCCCGGCACAGTCTAACCACGCGAATGACTCGACAGTCCAGCTTCGTTTTCCACCAGCGCCTGGTGCTGATGACCCTAGCCCATCAGGAGGCGACAATGCCCAGCCAAATGGCCTTATCCGGACTATCCCCGAAACACCACCGCCACGTCGGCTAGCAAACCCTCTATCCGCACGCTTTTCCCCAGGGCCCTTCCTCCCAACCCTTTCCGCAGGATTCAGCGCTGTAGTGGCAGAATCTCTACGCCGTGGTGAGGGGAGTCCTGCAAAGGAGCGAAAGGCTAGGCGTCGAATGAGTCGAACAAAGCAATTAAGTACGACTATCTTAGATGGCTTTCTCCGCGACCGAACCGGCGATTCCAGACCGGGGGAACCCAACCAGAATGAAAATCACAACTCCCCATTCACATTAACAACATCCCGTCTCCAGTCCGCGGTTGATCTTCCTTCGGGCCCTGCAACAACCGTCGGCCACTCCACCCCGGTCTTGACTCGGGAAAGCTCCCAACCTGAATCTTCAGACCGCGATGTCACATCAATAACCCGGCTTCGAAGTCTGAGCGACTCCTGGAGTGGCGGGCTAGCATGGCTGGGTGGAAATCTGCGGAAGCAACACAAGCCAGAGAGGACTGAAGCTGGGGTTGGACATGTGGAGGAGCTCGACGAAGACGAAGACGAAGGCAGAAGACACGGGAGATAATGTGTGGAGATGAGCAGTCGCCAAGGGATTATTGGTAACTGGTACATATTTATTTTTTTTTTCTTCTTCCAGTACTTATGGTTTGGGATCACAATGTGAAGATCCTCTGTATAAATTTAATGGCGCGTTGAATTAGGTGGATGGTTGTTTAATATCTAGCTGCGGAGTATATACGCATGATTTATCTACTGAATTGCTATTTTCATGCGGCGTTTACATTTGCATGTTTGATTTCTTGAAACCATATCCCTCCATTCAAAGAATATAAACAAGCCTTCGGAATATTGAATAAATTGGTGGTGGTCACTTACAAACCTCTATATAACCACTACCCAATTGGCCTTGAAAGAAAAGAATGATTATACAAGCAGATAAAATTATACAGAAGATGACTACCGCCTAGCCTTTTTCTTCTCAGGTTCCTCCTCATCGTCACTCAACTCTCTATAAATAGTTTTTGGTTGTGTTTCTTTCCATGCATTGGTGAAAATCGGGTCCTTTTCAGCCTTCTCGGCATATTTCAGCAATGCCTCACGCGGATCTTCATCACGCATTGAACTGAGTGGGATATTCTCCCGAATATGCTTCTCATCAGGTTGTGACTTGGCGAACGGTGTTGTTAGTGGGAGGTGAGGTCTTCGGGGATCTCTTGGACGACCCGAAGCTGTAAGACCAATGGTCGGGTGCCTGGCGGACCAAGTAGACGAGCTGTAATGAGGGACGCCGTTGGAACCAACCACAACGTTTTCTCCAGAGATACCTTGGGAAAGATCCATGGTGAGGTTCGGGTCATCGTCGACGTGACGGCGCTTGGGGGCCTTTGACATGACCATAGCAGCACCCTTGGTGGACATGGTTGGGTTGTAGAGAACGTGTGTTTCGGCATTGGCAGAGCCAGTGAGAATCTGGTTGAGCTTCTCGTGCCATAGCACAGTGATGAGTGGCGAGCCAGGCGTGACGGGGGTGACTAGCTCTGGTCTTAAGGTAGCTGGGTTCAAGATGTGCAGATGGCCGGTTTCCGAGCCCGTGATGACATTCGCCGATGTTGGCGAGAAGATGATATTTGACGTAGGGTAACGGTCTGAGATTGAGGGGTGGGAGACGGTTGTAATCGGTTGTTTGAACTTCCTCGTATCCCAGAGCTTGATGGTATCATCCCCACCCTTGGAAATTACAAGCCTTCCATCGGAGCTCACATCTAAACCGCTTGTCCAGGTATCTCGAGTATGCGCGTCCCGGATCTCACCGCTGGGTCGAGTATGTGGCCCATCTCCACCCCACATCAACAAGCTTCCATCGAGAGCAGCGGCGACGAGGATGTTAGATCCGCCCTGCTTGGGAGAACCCCACGCCACAGCGGTCATCTTGCTCCGGCCAGCGGACCCAGCAACCCTCGACTTGTGGACTATAACCTCCTTCTGTGACCTTCCAACATTTGCATCCCATATGCGCACTGTACTATCCGTTCCAGCAGTAACACACAAGTTGTAGTCGGTTGGGTGCCAGGCGGCCGAGGTTACCTCCGAGACATGGCCCTTTGTGTTGTGCAAGTCTCTCAGATACATATCGCCTTTCACGAATTCGACAAGCGTCTCACCATCGCGACTTATAACCCGGGGCTGTGGCGTAGCGGGGACGACCAGAACATGGCTTGGAGATAGGGGATTGAATGCGGCGTAATGTACAGCGTGCGTTTCCTGCGCGGCGGATTGTTTCTTGAACGAAGGATCCACGGATTTAAATGCGCGCACCGTCGACGGAGTCATGGACGCAAAGTCATGTAGCTTCAAGGAGCAATCAGTCGATCCTGTAATCAAGCGCGACCCTGCTGGGTCCACGGTCATGGTTGTCACGGCGCGTTCATGGGTTTTGAGAACCAGCTCATGTGAAACAGGGAATTCGTCCTCATCGTCGTCCTCATCTGAATCATCATCAGAGTCATCATCTTGGGCTTCCTTTTCTTCCGCATCAGCTGTTTGGTCAGCATTTGTGTCGTCAGTCAACACTTTCTGGTCTTGTGTCTTGCTGCTAGTAACATCATCACCATCAGACGGCTTGACAGAGACTTCGGACCGCTTGGTGCGGTTAATCTGGGCGCTCACATCGGCAGACTTCTCTTGCTTGCCGAAGCTGGTGGGGAAGAACTTCTTGAAAGCTTCCTCGTCGAAACCATCCATTGTGATCAAATAGTGCGATGTGAAGTTGCTATCGCGAGCTGATACGAAAGTCTTGGGGAGATAATGAAGTTCAAGTTTGCGGTGTTTGTGATGTTTGCATTGTTTGCATATAACTGACATGATGTCACTGCGAAATTACAAATCAACATTACGGCTTACAATCAGTGCATACCTACAGGGGTAAGAAGGTTTGGAGAAGATTGAAAAATCTCATGAAGATATGAGCTCATTTCATTATTAAAATACACCATCGAGTCTCTAGAACTTATGGCTCCGTCGCTTGATCCATCAACGTAGGCACAATACCAACACGCGCGCACCTACAAGTACAATCCCTCTACAGGGCCTCCGTCCTGCTTTGTCTTCATGATACGCTCTCGGGCAGACCGGAAATCATCCATTTGCACCCTCATCCGACGCTCTCTCAGCGCCATCAGACCGGCTTCGGTACAAATGGCTCTGATATCGGCACCGGAGAGATCATCCTTCTGGTTGATAAACTCATCCAGGTCAACATCGTCACTGAGCGACATCTTGGATGTGTGGAGCGTGAAAATCTTCTTCTTGGTGTTTTCTAAGGCTGTTAGCTAGAGTTGTAATTTAGAGCATGCAAAAAACTTACGGTCTGGGTTCTCGAAGAGAATCTTTCGGTCAATACGACCAGGACGGATCAGGGCAGGATCCAGAGTCTCAATCTTGTTCGTAGCCATGACGACCTTCACATCTCCACGGTCATCGAATCCATCGAGCTGGTTGAGAAGCTCAAGCATGGTACGCTGAATTTCTCGCTCACCACCAGATTGGGACTCGTATCGCTTAGTTCCGATAGCATCAATTTCGTCAATGAAAACAATCGAAGGAGCGTGCTCGGCAGCAACCGAGAAAATCTGGCGAACAAGTCGAGGACCATCTCCAAGGTACTTCTGGATCAATTCACTGCCAACAATGCGGAGGAATGTAGCGCTGGTCTGGTTGGCAACAGCCTTGGCAAGAAGAGTCTTTCCGGTACCAGGAGCACCGTAGAGAATGACACCCTTGGGTGGCTTGATACCCATCTCCTCGTACAGCTCCGGGTGGAGTAATGGCAGCTCCACCGACTCTCGAACTTCTTGAATCTGCGACTCGAGACCACCAATATCGGCGTAAGAATCGGTGGGGGCCTTATCGAGCTTCATTACTGATACGAGAGGGTCGGCTTCTTCAGTCAATACACCAACAACAGAAACCGACTTGTGATGCAGCAGGATGCTAGCACCAGGCTCAAGTAGATCCTTGTCAACGAAAGACATGATGGAAACGTAGTACTCTGGGCCAGTTGCACTCGAGACAATCGCGTGGTCGTCATCGATCAACTCTTCCAAGTTTCCAACTCCCATCGGGCTGCCTCTCATGTCATCGACCCGGCTTCTCTCATCGGCATTTCGGTCCATGATATCCAAGTCACCCTGGGTTGCGGGACCCTGTGCGGCCTGCGCCTTGCCCTTGCGCAGACGCTCCATGTTCTCCACATACTCCTCTTCTAAAAGCAGATGGTCGTGCACCCGTTGCATTCGGAGGTATCGTAATTTACATCTCGATGTTGGGTAAATGTCGGGAAGCTTCGAGGCAGTACTTGGGCCGGCAGCCTTGCGCTTCTTGCGTCCGAGGCGAGTGGTGGGTGGGGGAGGGGGTTCGTATCTGGGCTTGTCCTTCTATCGAAGACACTGTCAGCGCGTAACGTTCACCGGAGGCACTCCTTCTGAAGCACATCAATAGACAAACCTTCTTGTCCTTGTCATCTCTTCCATCTCCACCGGGACCTCCGCCGATGTTTGATTGTTGGTTACCCTGTTCAAAGACATGTTAGCGGTGCTGTGGCTGAAAGTGGCTTTGCGTAATGTTGGGTACCTACCATGCCTGCGACCCGGCAACAGGGAGACTACTCTGGTCAAAAAAAGGATAATAAGAAAAAGTCCCGGTAGTCGAATATCTCACGACAGTTTAGGGAAGCACTGCTGAGAGATGAGTTGATATCGGAAGGGGGGATGGGGAATGGAGCTGGTGATGCTTGGAGAGAGACTGGAAGAGAGCTGGAGCTGTTGTCGCCATCCGTCGCTTGGCGCTCTCGTCCAGCGCAGGTCGCTCACGTGATCTGACACATTTCAGCCTTGATGCCTGAGGCTGCTATCTGTCCCCGCTGCGTCACCAGCGCAGCTCCATTTGGAGACTCAACAAGACTCTAAACAGACAAACCTTCTGGGTATTTTGGTCAAACCCCGTTATAACGACATTTTACGATTTATCTACTTAATATCTCTTTTTATTTACAAAATTCTCTGCGTGACTCACCAACCTCTAGCAGTTTCCCGGGCTGATCGTCCCCTCATCTCAATTTCCCCTCCAAAAACAAGTGAGGCGGTTGTAGGTATATTTACTTTTTTTGCTCACACTGCCGCATGATTCCTGTGCAAACCATCCTATTCATCGTCATTTACCTAACATCTTGTATTGTGTAACTGACGAACTCATTTTCAAGACCAGTTCCAGTCGACTCCGCTTTTCGCGTTTTAAATTCGTTTCTGCCTTAGACAGTACCCAATCTTCCTTCAACGCAAGGTAATCAGTCGACATCATCATCCTGCATTTCAGCCTCGTCTAGTCGCATATATTCTAGCCATCATTCCGAATTTCTTTTATCCTCAACGCCTACTTCTTTATTCACATCCTCGCACCATGGCTTCCAACCGCACTCGCCGTATCGCAAAGGAGATCGCCGATATCCACGCGGATACCCATTCGGGAATCACAGCGGAACCAGTTGGCAGTGAGGAGGACATCACACATCTCCGGGGCTCATTTCCGGGCCCCCCAGGCACCCCGTATGAAGGCGGAACCTATAAAATCGACGTCAAGATCCCGACTGAATATCCATTCCGGCCTCCAGTCATGAAGTTTGAGACCAAAGTCTGGCATCCAAACGTCAGCAGTCAAACGGTCAGCCCCCTTTGAAGATTTGAAAGACGGACCTTGGTGTAACGTAGATGTCTAACAGTCCTATAGGGTGCTATTTGCCTTGACACTTTGTCAACTGCGTGGTCGCCGGTCCTAACAATCAAGTCTGCCCTCCTATCGCTCCAGTCTTTGCTCAGCACACCAGAGCCCAAGGACCCTCAAGATGCAGAGGTTGCCAACATGCTTATTCGAAGACCAAAAGAATTTGAACGAGTTGCGCAAGAATGGGCAACGCTCTATGCAGGAGCTCCTAGAAAGCAGGGTGGTGAGGGTAGCGGTGGCGCAACAGACGAGTCCCTTCGAAAGCAGGAGCTCAAATCCAAGGAGGATCAAGAAAGGGAAGATCTGGCCAAGTAAGTAGTGTGCTTTGCTTGTCTCGTATTTTCTTGTTAGAATATCTGACTGATTCTCTTCATATAGGTACGATGGGTATAACAAAGACTTGATCGACCGATTCTGCAGCATGGGCTTTGATGTGGATCGGGTGGTCTCTGCCTTCAATTATGTTGGGATTGATCGGATGGATGGAGAGGACTATGAGCTGGAGGAGGCGTATATGGGCGATATTACCGCCCGACTTTTGGGTGAGCCATGATTGATGCCGTCATGAATTTATCATTTCCTTGCTGTCATGATGGGAGGAAGCTGGCAGAGCGCATGGTGCCTGGCGAATATTAATTTTTGATTTGTTACGGAGCTTTTTATCTCACGACATCTATGAGCAATTATGCCTATGTCCGCTTGATTTCGTTGATTTCTATTTAAACAAATAAAAACGAATAAGATCAAGATTATGATATGCTTTTGTCCATGGAATAAAATGGAATAATCTGCCGTGGCTGTTGGACTTATAGTTTGTCCATAGAATCGATAAGCGCACGGAGCGGATCTGCACCGGAATTGATCGACTTGATCCGTCATGATTTCCTCTTCGCATCCATCTTAACCTTCTTCCATCCACAACCCATGCTTCCCACTGCTATTACTATTATGGAACGATAAACTGAATCAACTACTCGCTCTACGAGTGATTATTCTGACGCTACTTGGCTCCGGCTTCTCTTTCACTCACGCCCTACAAACAAGAATAACGACCAAGCCTTGCGCAATACGGTCAAATTCCTCTCAGTCCTCACCATGATCGAAGACGACATCTACCGTTCTTCCTCGCAGTTTCGATTCTGGTCCTTCACAGAGGCCTCTTTACAATCTTTGAGAGTCTCTACGAATGCCCTCGCCGGTGATCGTGTGCGGGCTGCCTTGCGGAGGGCGCGTGAGGCACGACAATCCGCCAATTCCTCTGCAGCAGGAACACCTACACCAAACCAAGCCGGAAGCGACGCAGATGGGAAAGGCAATGAAGAGAAAGAAATTGAATGTTTGACGCCTGAGGAGGAACAGGAGCTGGTGACGTACTTTTGCGAACAGATTGTGCAACTTGGGGAGACATACAAACCGCCTTTGCCAACGATAGTACGGGTATGTTTTATCACTTGACTGATAAGGATTAAATCAGTTGCTGATGAAAATTTGCGTACAGGCGACTGCCATTCAATATCTCCGCCGCTTTTATCTTTCAAACTCCCCCATGACCTATCATCCAAAGTCGATCATGGCTTGCGCTCTCTTCCTGGCCACCAAGACAGATAACTACTACATTTCCCTTCGGCACTTCGCAGAGGTAATACCCGGTAAAACAACAGCTGAAGAGGTGATTGCCCCAGAGTTCTTGATCATGCAAAGTCTTCGCTTCACCTTCGATGTTCGCCACCCTTTTCGCGGCCTTGAAGGAGGAATCATGGAGCTCCAGGCTATGTCCCAAGGTATGGGACAGCCAGCACCTCACCTTCCACACCAAACATCAGAAGACCTCCGCCGTGGAATATTATCCCTTCCTCCACCCCAAGCTGGGGTGCCCCCCTCAAACTCTATCTCAGACCGTCTCGCCCGGGCTCACCACACGACCAGGGAGACGCTCAAATCCGCCGCCCAAATGACAGACGCTTACTTCCTTTACACCCCATCACAAATCTGGCTATCTGCCTTCCTCCTCGCCGACAAACCCCTGGCTGAATTTTACCTGGACACCAAACTCGGCGGCCCCATCACCCCTCAAACCGCCGATCCAACAGGAAACCTCCTTCACGAGCTCCGTACAAAACTCCTCCAAACTCTCACAAACTGCTCCATCCTCCTCCATTCTTACAAACCGCTCTACTCAGACCCAGAAAAGGCAAAGCTTCTAAAGCGCATCGGCAAGAAACTCTACCACTGCCAAAACCCAGAAAAGGCGAACCTGGCCGGCCAGAAACGCATCCCCGCTGCTGCGGCAGGATCAGCAGAGGGAACATCGGAAAGCGAAGTAGAGCGTCTCGCGAAAAAGCGCAAGCTCGAGCGTGAACAGAATGCTCGGGCTGGTGATATCTTTGGAGGTGAATTGGTGACGCAGCGGACCAAGCAACAACCACCTGGCAATCCAGACGGAACGGGGTAGGAACTGGAAACGGGTGTGGTGAAACATTGATCAAATATAGATTAAATATGCTACTACTTGAATATATACATGCAAAAAGCCTCCTGTCTTTGATGGAAATTTACTGGGTTATCATCCATGGTGCTTTAAAACCTTCAAGAAACCTAAAATCTAGTAGCTTCAGCTTAATACAATCTACTCAGCCAACGACATATAAATCTCATAATAACCAATTTGTAATTGTTACTACCCATATCCATCATTCCATTAGACGAGAAAGCGGCTGCCAAGTGTATATAAACACCAGGAGACGATGAAAATATATAACCGAAAGAGAATACCATCCCACCAAACCAACCGATACGTCATGAAAAGAAGAAAGAAAAGGAGGACTGTCTGGAAACAAGAATCCTGCTTGATGAAAGTCTATAACACACAAAAAGGAAACAAATCGAATTCATCCCTCAAGCGCTCGATTCTAGTTAGGGGGATGAGGTATGAAAGCTGACCATCTAAAGCAGAGCACCCAATAAAAAAAAGGAAAAAGATATCTCCAAATCAAATATGTAAAAAAAAAAAAAGAGAAAAAGAAAAAATAAAGGAAACCATAAGCCCATGTATATCACTCGTTGACTCGTGCCGTCTCCTTTTTTGTAGCAACTTTTATCCACCCCCTACCCATTTTATTTTCATTGTCGTCGAACATTCCAATCATAAACAAAGAAGAAGACTCTTAGACAGCACCGGCAGCAATCATCTTCTTACGGAGGTGGTTCTTGTACTGTCCGATGGTACCATCCCAGCGGTTGATGGTCTTGTTCTCGCAGACCATGATGTCCTTGGCGATCTTGTCGAGGAGACGGAAATCGTGAGACACGACGACAACACCACCGCTGAAAGCGTTGATGGCATCGGCCAAACTGTCAATGGTGGGGATGTCGAGACCGTTGGTAGGCTCGTCGAGCAGAATCATGTTGGGGGACTCGATGGCGAGCAGGGCGAAGACGATACGACTCTTCTGACCTTCGGACAAGGTACCCATCAGAGCGGTCTGGGACTCACCAGTGAGACCGTAGCGACCGAGCTGCTGGCGCCAGTACTGGTAGTCCTGGGACTTCTCGGGGAACTTGTCACGGACGAACTCGAGGGCACACTTGGTGAGGTCGAGCTGTTCGGCGGAGTGCTGAGAGTACATGCCCAACTTCAAGTGGGTGTGACGGGAGACACGTCCACCGATGGGGCTGAGCTTGCCAGTCATGATACGGAGTAGAGTAGACTTTCCGACACCGTTAGGTCCGACCAGGGCGGTACGGGAGTCCATGTCGACACCGAAGTCGAGGTGCTCGTAGAGAGTGTCGTCCCAGCTGCCAGAGTAGGAGAAAGAGACATCATCAAAGGACAAGACGGGGGGAGGAAGCTTCTCGACATCGGCGAAGCGGAAGGTGAAGACACGGTCGGGGATGACAGGCTGGATGAAACCATCGGCCTCCATCTTGTCCAGAATCTTTTGGCGGGACTTGGCTTGTCTGACCAAGTTGGCGTATGTACCAGCGGAGGCAATGAACTTCTTGATGTGGACAATTTCCTCCTGCTGCTTGTTGTAGGCCTTCATCTGGTTGGTCTCCTGTTCGGAGCGGGTCTTGTGGTAAGAGTCGTAGTTACCACCGTAGTACAAGAGCTGCTTCATGCGCATGTCAAGCATGGTAGTGCAGACACCGTTCAAGAAGTCCATGGAGTGGGAGACGAGGACCAGGGTTCGGTCCCACTTCTTCAGGTATTCTTCCAACCACACACAGGCCTCAAGATCCAAGTGAGCAGTAGGGTCGTCGAGCAGGAGCAGCGAGGGCTTGATGAACAGGGCCTTACCCAAGGCCACACGCATACGCCAACCACCGGACATGTCCTTGGTCTTCTTTTCGATGGTCTGCTTGTTGAAACCCAGACCAGTCAAGATCAGGGAGGCACGGGTGTGGAAGGTAGAGGGATCCATCTTGTCAATGGCCTTTTTAAGAGCGTTAGCAGTTTAGTCCAGAATAGAAATAGCATGGAGTATTACTCACATCGTACAGGTCCATCAGGATAGGACTCTCGGCACCGTGCTCCTCCAGAATTCTCTCGGCCTTCTCTTCCATCTCGGCCATCTGCTTCTCAGCCTCCTTAACAACCCAGGTCAAGGCACCGTCCTCGCTAGGGGGGGCACCCTCGTTCAGGAGGTAGACATCAATGTGTTCGGGGATGGGGAACTCGCGCGAGGCGATAGACTTGAGCAGAGTGGACTTTCCACAGCCGTTCTCACCCAAGAGACCGTAGCGACGACCGTAGTTAAGTTCGAGGGTCGAGTCGGTGATCAGGACCTTTCCATGGAACACCAGCGAGGCGGATGTGACCTTGACATCGCGGGAGGACTCCATGGAGGAAAGCACACCGGTGGTGACACGGTCAGAGAGGCCGTGTTTGTCCATCTGAGCTGTGAGCTTCTCGACCTCCTTCATCTTAGTGTCGTCGGTGGCGGGAACATCCTCGCCATCGGCTTCGGCCTTCTTGCTGCCCTTGGACTTCTTGTCGTCGGCACGCTTGGCCATACGAGCAGCCTTGGAAGCGGACACCATATTGACGGTAGTGTGGTGGGTAAAGTGTTGAAAGGGGGGGATGAAGAGGAGGAAAGGGATAAAGAGAGAGAGAGAAAGAGGGAGGAGAGAAGAAGAAAGATCTGTCGAAGAAAAAAGGCTGGACGAGGGTGGATTCGATAGCGGGGTGGGAGGTTTAGAGGGGCGACCAAAATCCTTGAGTGGAGTTTGAAAAGCCCTTATCGATAGAAAACACTCGGAATTCTAATCGTGACGCAACGACACAAAGAAAAGTGCCTGGAAAAAGACCGCAAAGTGAGAGGAGAAAGGTCTGCAGACGATTGATGAAGATAACGTCTCGAAGATGATGAGAATTTAGAAGAAACGAAGGATAAGAAGAGAGAAGGTGAGAAAAGCGAGAGGCAAAAAGTGGACAACTTCAAAAATTCCTTTCAGTGGGCTACAGAGGCGGCTTCTCATTGGCCCAGCGACGTCATGGCACGGGTCGTGGCGTAGCCTTGCCTGATTGGGCACCCACAGGCACGTGATCTAGTGCTTTATGTGTTAGATCTAATTGGGCACAGAATTTGACCTCATCTCACATTACGTAGGGAGAAGAAGGGGAGAGAAAAGAATCGTTCGGTTCTACGGCTCACTGAGCGCTGAAATAACTCTACTCAAAGCCTCCTGCAGATACTCTCGAGGCTGAGAAAAAACAATCCTGAACCATCCAGGCTTCTCAGACCCAAAGAGAACACCACTGGCCAGAAACACCCTCTTTTGCAAAAGACGCTGCATGACCTCCTCACTAACATCGCCAGAGCTACGTTCTGGATGGAGCTCTAGATACCTTTTTCCCAGATTCACCCAGAGGAAAAACGCTGCATTGCATCCAGGTGCATATTCGATGTGATGATGCTGGACATACTGTGCGACAAATCGATAGGAGTCGGACAGTTTCCTGCGATTGAGCTCGATATATCGATTGGTGAATTGCTCGTCTTCGAGGATGTTGGCTGCCACATGATCTGAAAGGCCAGAGATAAAGGAGTAGAGTGAGACGCCGACCAATGATGCATGGAGGTCTGGGTTGGCCTGGGAGATGATCACTCCGACTCGGATGCCATTGGCGCCAAAATCTTTACTCATACCCCATAACACATGAAGCAGTTGGGGGTCTATGGTACCCGTGGTGTCGATGGATAGCGCAGAGGTGAACTCGACTGGAGCCGGGCTGGTATCGATGGTGTTTTCCCAGACAGAAAGCGCATAAATCTCATCACTGATGAGACGAATTTGGTACTTCTGACAGAATGCCATCAACTCGATAATAGTTTCCCTGGGATAGCATCTTCCAAGGGGGTTATGAGGATGGCAAAGCATCAACGCCCGGACCTTTTTGCCAGTCCGTCGTTCAAACCCTAGAAGAGCATCTTCATACTTGCGCACAGCCCCAGAGCAAAACGGATCACAATCATCAAAATCAACCTGGACGACCTCCGCCCCAAGCCGCAACGAAAGATCCGGAATAAACGTGCCATAAAACGGTTTCCCGAGGAGAATACCCTCCCCCGGATCCGCCAACGCCCAAGAAAGATGCTCAATAGCAGCCGACACACCATTGGTAATGGTAAGATGTCTCGACTCAATCGGAACAGCAGGATGGAGATGTCTCGAGAGAAACTTGGACATGGCCGTTTTCAACCTGGACGAACCGTGCCCGCCGTCATTGTAGGTGAGGTATTTGGCGGGTAGTTCGATTTTGGTATTGATGTACTCGAGCAGAACATCATGCATGAGGCTGTTCTCGGCCATACCCACGTTGACGTAGCCAGTTGGGTTAGTTTCTGCATCCCAGAGGTTATTCTGGACATCCCACATGAGGTTTTTCGAGCCTGCTTCGGTTGCTCTGCGAGCACGCAGAGAGATTGTGTCGGAGGCCATTGTTAGGTGTGATGAAGGGTGGACAGTAATAGTCTCATCTGAGCTCCTCTCTGGGTCTCTTTATAGATACCCCGGGGTAGAAGGTATGACTCCAATGTAGATCTTCCAGAATCGGCGTTTGTTTCGGTGTTCGAAATAGTATTATTCACTGCGGGGAACCGAGATGGAATCTCGTATTGAATATCCATGCTTGAAAGTGTTTAAGTAATGAATGGATTATTTAACTTTACCGCCTAGATAGATCCAGAGTATGGCCTGAAATCTCAATTCCAGTGAGCTAAATATCTCGGTTACAAGCGGAGGGTTCCAAAAACCATACTCCAACCAGAATATAGCTACGTCCACGAAGCTGCGATATCGGTGATTATAATATCATTAAGTCGTAGTTCTATGTATCTTTTAGACATGCTAAGGTATCCTCTCACTAATCGTCTTCAGAACCTCCCTCTCCTCCGCCGTAACCCACACATTATCAGGGACATACACATCCCCACGTCGAATAATAACCTGAGCCGACTTCTGCCCCAGACTATCCTCCGACGCACTGGGTACATAATCCGCCTCTTTATGCTTAACAGCACTCTCCACATCCTTCTCTTCCTTGCTCGTGCTCGGCCGTCGTTCCAAGCTCTGCGCCGTCCACCAGTACACCGGAAACCGTCGCTGGATGTTATTAATCACCAACGCGACGGCCTGCATAAGCGCACAGCCCAGCATCATGACGGGGATCAGGAACCAGCCTATCTCCCGGCCCTCGGTGACGGCGAGTAGGGCCGTTGCGCCCGCGGGTGGGTGCACGGTGTTAGTGAGGACCATGATGGTGGTGGTGATGGCGCAGGCGAGAGCGCCGCCTAGTTCTGTAAAGTGAAGGGCGTGCGCGTTGAGGGCGAACAGCTTGGCTATGCCCACGCCGATGACGCTGGCGATGATCTGGCTGAGGATTGCATTTCGGGGTTGGGCGAAGGGGGATTCGATGACGGCGAATTCGAGAACGGCGGCGGCGCCCTGTTGCGTTTCTGTTAGATGTGATGTGTGCCTTGTACTGTTGACGGTGGTGACTTACAAAACTGGCAACGATTCTAGACGCGTGATGGTCCTGGAAGGACGGAACATGTGCCGACACAGAAGCTATCACAGCAACACCACAGAAAACACCAATCAACGACCACAGCGCGATGATGATATTACCGACCGGCTTGGGCGATCTAGGTCTATAACCAAGAAAATGCGAAATGGGACGAGGCAGCCGGTGCCATGGCGGAGCAGGAATAAAGGGGTTCAGGTAAGAGTCGATATCGAAATGGCAGCGAGACCAGTCCAAGCCCAGCCGGGACATGGGTTGAGAAGCTGGTTGACTCATGGGATTACCGGGCAGGGCATGTTATAGCCACTGTAGAGAGAAAGAGGCGGTGATGACGACAGACTTTGGTAGGGCTGGGCGGATATAAATACCAAAGAAACAGTCACAGCCAAATCCGGCGGGAATGACTCCGCATGAGACGCAGTGAGGGGGAAAGAAATAGTAAGGAAGCAAAACCTAGACTCCGCAGAGGAGAAAAAGAGGGAAAAAAGGGACTGAAAACCGGGCCAAAGGAACAAAATCAAGGAGGTCGTGACATGGCGGCAAAACGAAGATTCATGAACGACAGGATATGGCGTGCCGACGACGACTCCAACAGCCGAGGAAGAAGCGATTCATCTCCGCGGAGACGAGGGTTGTATAGGGAGTATGGAGGGTGTTTTTGAAGGTATTCAGGTATTGAGAATGTCGCCCAAAAGGAACAGAAAGACCCAGAAGGCGAGGAGGATCCAGTCAGGATGTTTGCATTTGGTAATGGAAATTCCTGTTTGGGTTTAGTGTTGGAGTGCATCTGGGAGGTCATCTGAGTCAGCGGTACGATATTTCAATACGATACCGTGAGGAGAACTGGACGTAGTATATGGGAAGAATATGTGGTGGAAAATGTAGAAAGAATGGATGGAATGGAATGGGATGAGGGGGGATTATATAGATGATGTAGATAGAGATAGAGAGAGATAGAGAGAGATTACACAAAAAGAAAGGAAGATAAGAGCAGTTAGCCTGGAGAGATAAGGAAGTGTAACAGCCAATCCATCCAATCGTATTTACCCCTCATATCATGGATATTCACCCTGCTGTAGATGATTAGAAAACCTCTCTTCTCATTCACAATTTTATACCCCGCATTCTGCTAGTGCCGATCAATCCGGGGATACGAGTTGTGCTACATTAATTAACCAGTAGTCGTGGGTACGACTGGTATATCTATGAATTACCAGGAGAGTTAAGGTTGCCGATCAAGGATATACGCTTCGTGGATTCATCAGGATAATATTATAATATAGTATCTGCATCCCTCCTAGGACCTAATCTCGGACTATCGCGATGAATAACCACCTCCGTTTTCCTCATAATAACATCCCCACTCTTCCTCTCCGCAAAATCTTCACCCCCATCACTACTAGCCCGTATGGCACTAGTTTGTATATAATTCCTCGAATCTTGGTTATCATGTAGTGATCGCATGGCGAAGATAGATCCGTGGTGAGAGTAGTATCCGGTCCGGGTGCGTTTTCTGCTTCGTGTGCCGCTAGTGAGACTTCGTGTTGCGCCGAGGAGGGATTTGACGAGTGGTCTGATGGTTGGAAGAGAGGCAGCTAGGATACCGACGTTGAGTTCCACACTGTGTTGTTAGTTATTTTCATATTCAAGGGTGTAGGAGGACATACGCATTCCATGTTGTAAATGTACTGTCTCTGCGATGTGTTAATCCTGAAGTATAGTATAGTATAGGTAGAACATACCGATATTGATCAGTTATCTTCATCACATTCATCTGAGCGACGAGTTTGACAATCGCAGCAGCACATGCACTATCATCATTAGTATAATACTATCACCATCCAGCGTAAAACTCACAAATACCCCAAACTCAAAATAGCCATCAGAGAAGCCTTGGTCCTCTTATTTACTTGAATAGTATAGAACATCGGAATAGGAAGCGTGGCGAATATGACATCCGTGACGATATTGATACCTGTTCATCAGCAAGATTCTCTATCATAAAGAAGAGACATACTACTATTAAATATCCCAATAGCCGTAAAAGTAGGCAAAGAGAAACACTTGGCCGTCTTCCTCACCTCCATATCCCACGCCCCAGCAACAGGGACACATTGGAATATCAGCGTGCCAGCACAGGCAATCGTAAAGGCGACGAGAAATACTATCCTCATTAGCGTTGAATAATTCATGTAGACGAGTAAGTACCAATGGCCCCAATGATAAACCTCCGAAATGTACTTTGAGCAGCAACTCGGAGAAGGAAAAATCCCAGCGAAATCTTCACCGCGCTAATTCCTATCATCACGATAATCGAGTGGTAGAATGTATATTTCCGCAGTATTTCCTGGTCATCATGGCTGATGTACTTAGTATACCTGCCTAGACCGTGTTGCGATTCGCCGATGAAGCATCCAAATACCCCAAATGCGCAGGCCTGACCCATCAATATCCGAAGATCAAAATAAATAGAATAATGGACATACCAAAGCAAAAGAGGTAATATAATCATCCATACCACAACGCTTCAAAATCCTCCCCCGCGCATAGACTCGCAGTATAACAACCAGTCCGGCGAACCCAGTTAGTGATCCCACCACTGCCAGTGTGCGAGGTGCTCTGGAGTCATCTGGGAGTGTAGCATCTGCTGTGGGGGCAGAATCTCTTGATACGAGTCTCTCCAAGGGAAAAGGCAGCGATGCCATGCTGTAGTCGACATGGATCGATTACATGGGGACTGCAGAAGTGAAGACAAATGAAATAAAGATTATGCTTATTCCTATGGTTATAGGTGCTGGAGATGGCTGTGTCAACAGAGATATTAAGCCGAGGTTTGCTAGGCCTCCCCTGTAGAAGTACGTAAATGGTGCATATTAATAATGCCCCTTCATTGAAAAGGAAAAACATTCATAATTCATGCCAGTCCCGTTCAAGGATGGCAGACTGCAAACTCTAGTCTGGTTTGTCGATGTAGTAGCGATATCCCAGCTGGAGAAATCTATCCACAACTCGCATTTCAGAAATCTAACAGGGGTATATGTATCGGCATGTCCGATGAATTTCTCCATTGGTAAACACAGCCGGTTAAATATTTGAGTCAAAGAAAGGTGTTCGTGAAGGTGGACAGGCTCTTATGTCCTGTAAAGGAACCGATGCCGATGTGTAGGAATATCCGAGATCCAGCGATATTGATGGAGCACTAGTTCACGCCAGTAACGTGGCTTGTATGTCCTAGCGTTGCATACAGGGATAGGGCTGTTAATCGGTCCTAGCTAATATAACCGGCAGAGGTTGGAGGTATATGATGTTGTATAAGCCGGTCTATGCATTAAATTCAATCCGATGGGATGTCCGGATCTGACGGTTAATAAAGGCTTCGATTCATATAGAACCAAGCCTAGACTCAGATAATAACGTCTAATTTGATAGAGTGTTCCACCGGAGAAACGAAGGAATGCTAGTCATAACGACTTCGCCGCCGACTAGGATGTCGGCTAAGATCTGTCAAGCAACGTTATAATCTTCTTGACCCTGCGGTTGATAGCCGTAATTGAATACAAAGACAATGATTGAAGGTTTCGATGTCGACAACTAAGTTTGAAAACAGCATAATTTAATTGTCTTGATCCAGGTCTAGTTATCGTGCAGCCTTCTTTCTTTCAGTGAAAGACAACCGAAAAATCCCAGTGCAACAATGTTGCCTGATCTTTGTATAGTCCCACAGCCACGACCCAGCTAGACCAATATGCGAAGAATGACTTAGAACCTGGTAGATTGTGTCTTCCCTGTGATACCCCAGTTTAGCAAGGACCACCAAATTGAGCGACCCCACCGGGCAGTAAAAATGGCCTAAACAGGCGATATCTTAATAAATGTTGTATCGGGGGAATCGGAGGCCCGCCTGTTCGGGTCCGAAGCCAGTGTCTTGGATTGAGTATTGACAGCCTGCCAGTCACACTGTGGCGATTTTCCGATGAAATTTCCGTGTCATCTGGATGTTGCACATAAATGAGATGAATTAATCCGAGGGCTGTTATTCTGATTGTGTGTGACATAAGCTGGTGGTGACTGAGTAACAGCTGACCAGTTGTCGGTCGATCCTATCGATCGAGTTTATCAGTGATATTTGGCGATGAACAGGAGGTTTGGGCATATCGAGCCCTGAATGATTTCCGTGTTTCTTCCGAGGCTTCAGATAGTTCTAGATGGCCAATATATGTTAGTTTGATGATGGTTGTTTGATGGTGAGACATGACAGGGAATAAGATGGACGGCATGGGCCGCTATCCGACAGACTAGCCACGAGCAGTGGGTCGGTTTATCAAATATCATCGAGGAATACATTTTGAATTGTACAAGCTTTGTAGATGATGGAAGAGGAAATGATAGACAAGATGATGATGATGGTGGTGGTAGAGGAAAAGAGGAAGAAGAAGTGAGGTTGAAGAAGGAGAGTTGACATTCACAGTCACGTTTCCATATCAACCATCTTTAAGCTCAAGAATGCACCGAACAATAATGCTTTTAGCTTCACCCGATAAAAATCACCAGATTAGCAAGAGTCTAATATCCAAACCCACTTTGACCGCTATAAACATGGTTGCATCCCACCCTTCTGCCATGAATCAGTACCATCATGCGTCTCTCCCTCTTCACTACGCTGGCCACTCTGGCAGCAGTGATTCCCTCTCTGGCTATCCCAGACCATGTTGACTCCCTATCTCACAAAGGACTTGCCAATTTAAGGGACTTCGAAGCCAGCCATTCTGGGAAAACTTGCACCCTGGAAAATGCAGCCGTGCGTCGAGAATGGTACGTATATCCACGTTTATCAAAGAATAATTCTAACAAAAACAGGGGCTCATTGAGTCCAGCTGATCGCAAGAAATACACGGATGCCATGCTATGCCTCATGTCCAAACCGCCTCGTTTCAGTCGAGACAAAGTACCAGGGGCACGCAATCGATATGATGATTTTGTTGCCGTGCATATTAACCAGACCATGACAATTCATGGAACAGTAGGTCTCTTCATTACATGATAAAGATAATCTCTGATTATTGTAGGGCAACTTTCTCACCTGGCATCGCTACTTCACCTGGACCTTTGAACAGGCCCTCCGCAACGAATGCGGTTACGATGGTTATCAGCCCTACTGGGCCTGGGAGAAATATGCCCATGATCCCATCCATTCGCCTGTCTTTGATGGGTCTGAATTCAGTCTTTCAGGAAATGGAGAGTACGTCCCTCACAACGGTACTCCAGCTACAGCGTATACCACTCTTCCCGCTGGTCGAGGCGGAGGATGTGTAACAACAGGTCCATTCAAAAAGTATGTCTCTCCTATAACCACATATAGAACACACATACTCATCTCTGACAGCATGACGGTGAACCTCGGCCCCGTCTCCCCAACCCTCCAAGTCCCCGGCATTGTAGCCCAGAATGGCAGTGGATTCGACTATAATCCCCGCTGTCTCCGTCGCGATATCTCCGTCGACGCCTCAATGGGCTGGACCAAAGATAGCGACGTTGCAGGCTTAATCAAGAACTACACCACCATCGACCCCTTCCAAACCACCATGCAGGGTAACTTCCCTGCGGGATATCTAGGCGTTCATACAGCAGGCCACTTCACCATCGGCGGCGACCCAGGTGGCGATCTCTTCGTTTCACCCGGTGACCCGGCGTTTTTCGTCCACCATGCCATGATCGACCGGGTGTTTTGGATTTGGCAGAATCTGGATCCTGCTAATCGACGGGATAAAGTTTCGGGGACGATTACGATGATGAATACGCCTCCTTCGCGGAATGCTACGTTGGATGATATTGTGGATTTGGATTTGTTAGCTGAGCCGTATCGGCTGGGAGACTTGTTGGATACGACTGCTGGGCCATTTTGTTATGTTTACACTTAGATGATATGTACTAATAATGTATTTACAGGAATAGTGTTGATAGACTCTCTGTCAAAGAAATATTACCTTGCACTATAATTAGTGTCCAGATGACTATGTGTATCATGATCTGTGCCTATAAAATAGGGCCAGCCTTGCTATACCAACTGCGCGCCATGAAAGTACCATGCAGTAGCTTATGATTGGTTGTTGTCACGGCCAGCTCACTCTCCCAGTAAGAGAAGACAAACAAATTCTCGCTCTTCAAAACACACATTCTGAAACGATGGGTAAATCCTGCGAATGTCGGCTCGTCCCATCGGAAGCTGGAAGGTTATCTTTCGCTTTTGCCTCCGATATGAGGTCTGTTGTATCCCAATTCATGAACTTATTCGTCAAGCGTGATGATGCCGCAAGCATCGGGAACCTCAGAGATCTTTCCTGGAACTTGGGATCGTTTCGCGCCCTCTTTTCACGGGACATGGAGAACGAATTCGATTACCAGGCGCTCATTTTGGGAACAATAGTTAGTATGTTTCACTGGTGCCAAAATGAGACTGGTCCAATCCCCGGAGCGACGATATGTGGCACTTTGGAAGCATGTAAAACGGTGTGTGTCGAATAATGCCGGAACGACGGTCTTTTTCAGTCAGCATCCAGGCATGAATGGTCTCGGACTTGATGACTCTGAAGTACAAGATGGAGACCTGGTTGTTATTAGTGCTTCTCGCGCCAGAGCACCTTTTGGGCTACAATGAGATCTGAATGTACACGACGGCGATCGGGTATACTACAAACTGGTCGGTAGGCACTAGTCGAGGGACTCGCTAGAGCTGATGAACCAGGGTCCCCATTTTTCACTCATGTTCGTGGTCTGCCGTTTGAAGGGTTTCTTTTACGATGATATGCTTTCTGGGATAATATGTCCTGCATATCCTATATTGTCTCGTTTAGGAATGGATCAGCCATTATTGATCTCACATGACACAATACTCTTCCAACATCAACACCACCACCAATATCACCATCATCGAGGCACACACAATGTCCACATTCTCGGTAGACTCTGAATACACCGGCCAGTCTGGCCGTATATATAAGATCAAACAAGTGATACAGCAAGAAGAAACTCCTCCACGCCGGATTTATCTAGCCACGTATGTTTGCACTCACCACTCATGGTTGCTTACCTACTCACTATTCCAGATCTGGTGATCAAAAGTTTATATTAAAGTACATTATCCCGTTCAATTTTGGGGATCTTCAAGATATAAATAACAGATTACGCGGTGATGTTGAGCATGTCCGTCTCGCTCAAGATAGTATCCCCGACAAGTCAATGTTTGTGTTTGACTATTTCACGGGACACCTTTTCCGGCTAGTTCAGAAGGATTTACCCCTCGACATGACAAAGAGGATTCTCAAAAATGCTTTGTGTGGAATAGTGGAACTACATGATCGGGATATTGTCCACACAGGTGGGTGCACTTACCTCACCTTTTCATCAGTCCTGACATATCGTAGATATAAGAGCAGACAACATCTTCATCGATTGGAAAAATCAACGAGATGGAGTCACAATTGACCGAGTCCTCATTGGCGATCTAGAAGATGCAGCACACATCCCTCCTGAATGTTATATGATAGGCAAACAAGCAGGGAACTGGATGTGGAGGAGTCCCGAAGCCCACGCTCAAGGGCCCGTGAATAAACCATCTGATATATTCTCTTTTGCTCTTGTCGTGAGTCCACCTAGCTCCCTATCCTGGACTGATTGCTCAATTCACTAGTGCATATACGCAATTCAAAAACGTGTCCTCTTCGCCGTCGGCAACGAAGAATTAGAACCAGGCGTCGATCCCCTCGCCATCGTAATCGGGCGACAAATCTCCTACTTTGCCAATAAAGACAGCCTGGATGCGTTTTTGACATATCTCGGCGATGATAATCAAAATCCGTGGATTCGGGCTTTCAAAATCATCCGGGACGGGTTCAGTCAGGAGAATCCGCGTAAACCGTTTCTGTTCTGGAAGGGCGTTGATGAGGAGTTTCGGGGGCTGATTTGTGCCATGACGAATTTTGATCCGGAAAAGAGGATAACGGCGCGGGAGGCGTTAGCACATAAGTGGTTTGAGGGTGTTTAGGGGTATTGAGTATATTATGTAGTCACTTGTTGTTGTATGGAGCGGATAAAATCATGTCCATGGTGGGTATGTTCTATATCTATAATATATTGAGCTGATAGTTAAGATTAGCCAGTAAATTCTGAAAAGGGCCAAGTTGTTGAGAACGGGTTGTATGTGAGATATCCATATTCTTCTGCTTAATGAAGCAGTGATGTGAGGAGTATGCCATGGTAGGTGATACATGGCTATGCTGAATCACAGGATAGAAGTTGATACCAAGACTTTGCTGAGTGTGCCCTACAACCCTATCGGGCAACCCGTCGACTTGGCATGATTTCATGAATTGATCCGGAGAAATCTAGACCAGCCAGTTAATATATGATTGGTTGCGAATACACTTTAAAATAGAAAGATCATCAGGAGGGCTTACTCTTGATAGATGTCGGTTATCGGACATCCGGAGGTTGCAGTACTATTACTCCTCATCTGCTTACATACATCCATCTTGCTCAGCCTTCTACACAGCAAATGTAGTAATATATGCATTGTAACAATCCGCATTCCTTTATTGACGATCAACGGTAATTCTTTCAGTCTGACGAGGCTTGAATAGTACGTAGTATGATCAATGCATCGTATCCGTGGTGATCCGAGTTCGTTTACTATTGCTTCTAGACGATTCGAGCGGATCGGTTTCCACGTTCTGGGCTACCCGCTTTATTTCCGTGACTGTTGGATCTAGTGGATGTTCTACTGAAGACAGACTGAATGTTTCAACTGAATACTCCGGAGTGACATTTCTCAACATAGTACATAGTACACAGTAATCGATAATATCATCCCTCAGCAACATCCCTGAACAGGATATCAAACCCTGAATCTGACTTCTAATCAAGCAACCCACCACAAAGCTAAAACCCATACCGCCAAGGCCAATGCCAAGTTGCTTACGTGGCGTCGCCCCCTACCAATCAGCGCCGTCCGAATTGCGTGCCTGGCTGTCCTTCCAGCCAATCAGGATATGTATCATCTACCCACCCAATCACAACGCCGTTACCCCAGTATTTGCTCCGCAGATGAGCTCATAGCGCTCCCATAGCCTGGATGATCTGCATAAGAAAATGGATTGCTCTATTTTTGCCCAGCCCTGCACGTGTAAGGCTTTTCCCCCTGATTATGCATATGATTATTGGGTTGATGGATTAAGCATAGTACGGTGATGGCTGAAGAGAGCATTCCATCAGTTATCAGATTGACATACTATGACATTTAGATAATACTACCTAGATACCAGGAGGTAAACTGGAAGGCAACCATATCCAGGAACCACAGTCCATACCATACCAGGGGATAAAGTTATCCACTGGAAGATCATCATCTGGGTCAGCGATAGTTCCCAGTCAATCCCTCACAACTATCGACCCTCAACCCTGTACCACTATCTGTGACACGCAATCACAAGCAGAAGTCGGAACTCCAGTTGCAACCCGCAAGAAGTGGAACCATCTCCATCGCTCCAAAAAGGAGAACATAATCAAACCAGGCTGTGTGCTTACTGAGGCTGACCACACCCCCAGGATCAGGAATTGGACCCTTTTTTGCTGTGTAGTATGTATCATTCTTAGGTAAACGGGGGCCATACAACGGTCGTCACGAAGGTATAAGTATCCCCTTCTCTACCCTCTGTAGATAGAACCATCAAGCAACAATCAACAGTCTCGCAAACAATCAATCAACCACTCTCTATCCAACCAATTCTCTACATTCCTCCACTTCCACCATCAAAATGAAGCTCTCTTTCGTCGCTACCTTTGCCCTCCTCGGCCTCGCTGCTGCCCTCCCTGCCAGCAACAACGACGCTGCTACCAACAAGGTATGATCGTGTTCTGACCTTATCCGATTGAATCAATCATGTTAATGGTGATTTCTCTAGCTCAAAGCCGGTGACACCTGCAAGCCCGACGGCAGCTTGGGTATCTGCGAGAGCAACAAGTGCATCGTATGTCTTACCATCTCCCATTCAAATGTATACATGATGCTAACTATTTCTACAGAAGGATAAGGACGCCGACACTGGCAATTGCCAGTAGACAGATTTTTTCGGTTTAGCTTAAGGAGTTACGGTCAAGAGAAAGATCAAGTATGGCCGTGGGTTAGTCGGTTTTCAGCATCAGTTGTATATATAAGGGTCTTTTGGCGTAACTTCAGTCAGTTTCAGTGATCATACTTCGTACTGGTCTTTGTTTGTCTATCAAATTTACATCATGTTTTTGGTCTATTTACTTCCTTTGAACGTTTAAACATTCAGTGTCTTGCCTTGCTTCGAGCTCTCCTGGGCCAACTCGATCAGTCGGATGACTTCGCGGGCCTCGGCTCCACTGGCGGGGAGGTCTCCCTGTCCGCCCAGAGCACGGGCAATCTTGCGGTAGTATTCGGTGTAGGTAGGGGGTTCGACGGTGGGAGTGACTTCCTTGACGAATTTTCCGTCTTGCACGGTGGTGAGGGAGCCTGAAAGATGGATCAGCATTGCTCACTTCGCTCTTCACGATGTGATGTGACTTACCGTATCTGTCACTCGGCTCCCGGCCGTATCCATTGTCCGACGGCTTCATGCCAGCCTTGAGTTGGTCTTCTTGGCAGTCCAGGTGGAACTAACATCATTAGCTCAGTTCTCCTTAATCACGACTCAGGAGACGCAGAATCCTATCCTGCTTACCTTCTGGAATGACCCCTTCTCTCCACGAACCCAGAATCGCAACTGCTTCTCCTCCGGACTCACGACACCCGCCTTGGCCGTCACCAACAATCCACCCTTATAGTGCAACAACACGGTAAACGAGTCCTCGAAGCCAGTCGTGTTGGTCGCCCGCTGCGTGCCGATGAATCCAGTCACCCGCTCCGGCAGTCCAAACAGATAAACCGCCTGGTCCAGCAAATGTGTTCCGAGATCGTAGATGGCGCTGCCACCGGGGATAACCTTGTTCTTCCACTTGGATGCGTCGGCGGCGGGTTCCTCGGGACGGTGACGGTCGAAGTGGGTTTCGAATTCGACGACGCGGCCTAGAGAGCCGTTCTTGACGAGCTTCGAGAGTGTGACGAAATCGGCGTCCCATCGGCGGTCTATCTTGTTAGCTACATCTACACGATTTGGTACAGGAGAGGGGACATACTCTGGTACACGGCCAACAACTTGTTCTGCGAGTTGGCGAGATCGACGAGGTCACTGGCTTCTTGCGAGGTGGGGGTGAAGGGTTTCTCGCAGATAACTATCTCCATCAGTATGATCGCAAACCTTCATCGATGAGATAGACAAACCATGCTTTCCATTCTCCAACGCCAACTTGGCCAACTGGAAATGCGAGTCCGGGGCAGTGGTGATAATCACCACATCCACGCCTGCATCCTTGACCATCTCATCGGTGGTCCGGTACGACTTGACGCCCGGGTGGTCCTTCTCAGCATCATCCTCCGGCTTGGGTGTTCGCTGCACAACAGCGTAGAGCTTCAATTCAGGGACCTCCTCCACAAAGGGAATGTGGAAGACTTTGGCGCTGAAGCCGTAGCCCACGACACCGACGTTCCAGGTTTTGGTAGCCATTTTGTGATGAATTAACTGATGAATGAATTGATACAGATAAAAGTGGGATGAAGAAGAAGATGAAGATGAGGAGTTATTTATGCGTGAGCCTGATTGCTAAATTTCTAAGCACTCGACTTCTCCAGAAACCCGGTGGTGCGGGGGAAGGTCCTGGCGACGGCATCGTCTGGTCGGGCGGGGCAGATGCCGTCGGATTTCGGTTTACGTGGGGGTTATGACGCTTTCTATTGCTTATGAAGAGTCAAAGTCTTCACAAAGATATTGTGATAGAGTTCTTGTAGAGAAAGTTACTTAGAAGGGCTATTTTCGCGGAGTATGTGTCATTGTCGATTATATATTTCTATGTTCTAGGCCTTGAGTGGGGGGCATCACGATGGATTGCCTTTTATATATAATTAGCCTGTCGAGTTATAAACTAAAGAATACTAAGGCATACGGAATAGACTGGACCTAAGCTACTATGGTAGATAATTACCTGCCAGGCGTATTTAGTATTTGACTGCATACTGCAAGATGATATAACTGTGCTGGGATACATTCATCAATGGACTTTCTGGCACTAGATTGGTCAATTGCTTAAACAGTATTCTTACCATGGGTATTTGAATAATAGACAAATGATATCAAATGACTCATACAATGACTGCTTGCTGTACCTATTATTTGCATAAACACGCATAATTGACAATATATCGTATCATCATATCTACTCAGTTTCCTCCCTCACACAGCGACTCACTTCAACAGCATCCAAACACCCCTCAGGCTGACTGAGCACACTCTGATAAACCAGATTCGGGTTGCCAACAACATCAAAACGAGGCTTATCATCCTGTCCCACAAAAGACTGAATCGTCCGCTCGGGGATCCCCTCAAATTTATACCCCGTGGAGCCCTTCTTAGCCGCCTCACGCTTCTGCTCGACCGTGCTGCGAATGTATTCCAGATACGGGGGGTTACCGGGCTTGATCACATTATCAGCTGCGAGTACTGAACCAGGCGAGATCATGCGGAGGTGCTCGCATAACTTGACATCAGTCGTGTAGGCGGGTTTATAGTGGTCGATAAACATCAGCTCAACATGCTTCACCTGCCCCGTCGTATACAACTTATGCAGTGAAACATCACTCCGACCGACTAGAATCCTCACAAAATCACGCAAACCCGCCAACTCAATCAACATATTCGCAATAGCCGCATACTCCGGATCCAGCTCGAGAGAGAGATACTGCTTCCCTCCCGCGCGACGGACAGCATCACCGAACAAGATGGCCGAATAGCCCACATACCCACCTAGTTCGATCATGGTGGCAGGTTTGACTTCGGCGATGAGATCGAGGACGACTTTCCCCTTTGCCGCGCCGACATTCATGAAGTGGTATTCTTTGTCGAAGTCGTCGATGAGGTCGAGCACTTTTTGCGGGTGGCCTTGGATGTCGTCCAGGTTGGGTTGGTTGTAGATGAAGTGGAGGAGTTTGAGTTCGCGGTCATCGTCGCGAGCGCCGGGGCGGGGGTGGAGAGTGCCTGCGTGGGACATTTTATATTTAATATATTAAATGGATATGTAGATGTGATAGAATTGGATTGGGGATGAGGTCTAAGTGAGTACGTCGGGATAGTTATATAGACCCTCGGGGTCGGAGATAAGCTGAGAAGGGAGTGCAAAGCCGAGAAGAAGATTCAATTATTCCGCTCATGGTCCGCTCATATTCCGTGATTGATAATAGATCTAGTATATTAGTATGATTAGTTGATAGAGATTGACTCATTGCGGAGAGAAATGACATCGGAGATAGTCAAGTAGTATCCCGATAGTATGACTGTCATGAGTATTATTGACGTCTTATATAGGTGACTAGATCTGGAACAGTCTATATCGATCGATAAGTGGATCAGTAATGGCAATAATAGACCATTTATACCTACCTAATGATGGTGGATTAGGTATCATTATCAGGTACAGTGCATTGCATTGCCTCGTAATTCTGTAATACCATTGAATGCCCTACCATCGCCCTGCTTGGGATGAAACAACACTTCACATGAAGAGCAGCATCACCAATCTGTCGAACCATCACTGGCCAGAATGCTAAAATGGAGTCTCGAGATGTAATAATGCAGCGATGACGTGGTCAACAGCTGTAACATTCCCGAGGTTCAGCTCTACTATTTGACCCCTCGTTCACCAGCCATCGTGAATATTCAGCTCGTTTTCTTCACAACATTTTTTTTTTCCTCTTCAACATCATGGCTGTCTCTACAGTCCGTCGTGCCTTGAGCCCTTGGCCCAAAGACTCTACCTTTACTTCCATCCTCTCTCTCTTCCACACGCTCGTCCATCTCGTGCGCATCACCATCTCGTTTCTGCTCCTCCCGCTCGACAATACCGTGCTCTTGGCGTCTTTTCTGGTGGGGCATCTTCCTCTCCCAGCCATCAGCCCAGCTCGACGACGACGACAATCCGTCCTACGCAATGTTCACTTTTATCCCAAAACCGTCCTCATCACTGGTATCGACACTCCTCATGGCCTCGCTCTTGCCAGAGGTTGGAACGATGAGGGCCATCGCGTGATCGGCGCCGATGTCACCAATCTCCCCATCCGCTCGGGGGAGAGCATGTCTCGATCGCTGACTTCATTCTACCAAATTCCTAAATTTCAATATGTCTCGCGACTCCTCGATGTCATTCATCGGGAAAAGGTGGACATTTGGATCCCTTGTTCCGAAAAGGTGTCGGTCATGGAGGACGCCATGGCCAAGCAGGTCATTGAGAGTCGCACCGAGTGTAAGAGCATCCATCTCGACACGGAAATGGCAAACCAACTCGATACGCCCGAATTGTTTGTCCGGTTCCTCCAAGAGAGAGATCTGCCCATCATCGAAAACCACCAGGTGCAGTCGCGGGATTCCGTCCATCGCATTCTGCACCGGTCGCCCAACAAGACCTACCACTTGCGAAAGTTGAATCCCATCGTGAAGGACAGCCAGGTCGTGGCTTTGCCCAAGAGGACGCTCAGCATGACTTACTCGGAGGTTAGTGAGATCAAAATCACCAAAGAGACGCCATGGATTTTACAGCAGCAGACTCGTCTAGGCGAGTTCATTGCCGAGGTGCTGGTGGTGCGCGGGCAGCTCAAAGCCATCAAGATCCGCCCGGCCAAAGAACAGCCCAATTGGGGCGAATCGCGTCTCGACAAAGCCCTGGCCTCGGCAATCCACAGAGTCATGGAACGGTTTGCGACAAAAGGTGGTTCGCGATTGACCTGTCACCTGTCGGTCAACCTCATGGTGGACGAGGAGTTTGACAACAACTCTGTCCGACATGTTGTCCACATTGCAGGCTGCACGCAAGGGGCGCGGGCTGTCAAAAACCTCCTTCTTCACGAACCATCCACTTCCATCTCTGCCGGGTATCTGGCCATGTTGTCGGATCGCCCCAGGTCTAAAGACTTGCCGGGAGAGGATATCATCTCCACCACTCGGAAGCCGGGGTTCAATGTGTACCGGACGGTCAGAGCGTTCATCCTCACATTCATCCCTTCTCTACGCCCGGTAATCAGGCGGTTGGATAAAGTGATGGGCGGACTCGGCCAGTTCTTGTTCTGGAAGGACTCGCGATTCTCGTATCTGGACCCTCTGCCATGGTGGTGGCATGCACATATCTACCGGCCACTGCAACACGTTGGTATGATCCTTCACCAGAGGGATGAAAAGTGATTTTGAACATGGTTATGTGTTGGATATTGAATGTGTTACGAAGAATGATTTTGTTTTTGATTGATTTGGTTTGCGACTATATATGAGCACTGGGCAGCATGGGCGGCGTACACAGAAAGTATGGGGCACTGGATGCCGATCATACTCGATACTACTAGATAGATAGTTACAGATGGATGGAGATGTTTCATGCAGATTATCCATCCTGTATTCTACCTTTGACTTTTCTGATTGTTTTCTTTTTCTTTCTCTCACATGTCATGTGGCCAAGTGGGCCAAGAGTGGCTGAAGTGTTCCAGGAATAGATCCGTTTCCTAGAGAACAGCTGAGCTGAATAGCATCACTTATACGGGTAATACAATGATACTTATCCTACCTATCTACTTACTGAGTAGACTAATAGATGCTGGATGCTATAAATACAAATTCTGCATACCGATCTAGCATCTAGGATATGTAAAGTGTTGATCGATCCGATGCAGTATCTAGTTACCTAGAGCAACGGGTTCACGCCGACTTTGCAATCAAGCGCCTCGATCAGAATCACTGCATAATATTGCTGTGCATTTATCAACTCAATAAATCGTACATTGAATCCTCCGTGTAGCAGAATCAAATGTATTCTATTTATTAAAAACGACTGCCTGCTGTTTGCTCGGTGGATCGTTACGCGGCCTGACAGTTTTAAATTACGGGCAGCAACATTTCCTGCCCGCTCGTGCCGTTGGCCACACTGCGCTCTGCCACTTCTGCCTCTTCTTCTTCTCCATCTCAGCCTTCACTTCCATCCTATCTTCCTCTTCTCCTCTTCTCCTCTTTGTCATTCTAACTGTGATATCACCTCTGGTATCGCCCGGATTTCCTCTGCATATCCCTCGGCTCCATCTCCACCTCCACCTCAGCTTCGATCGGCTTCTCCCGCAGGCGGTTTTTCAATGCCCGTGTAAACAATCGCTTTTTCCACCTCACCTTTTCAGTGACGCAGTTACGAACCCACATAAAAGTCGTTTTATCAGCATTCTCGCGATCCTCGTTATTTCCATCCTCTTTCTTCATCGCCAGCGATCCCCCCCGCATCCTCTACATCCCATTGCGCAAACATGAAACTAGCCAGACCTTCCGTCAATCCCGGGCGGGCAAAGAATATCGTCCACGCAGCACAGGCCTTTATCATCTTCCTCGCATGGGCTCTTACTATCGCCGTCTTCACCAAGGGCGATGGGATTGATGGGCGTTCAGCGTGGTATTTCGCTTTGGTGAGTTCACCGTTACGTATCTTTCGGTCAGGCGGGTTGGGCTAATATGGTTGTTTCTTGGTAGTGCTGGTTTACGATCCCTGGTTTGATTTACCTCGTGGCTGTGCCTATGTGGCCGCGAGCTCGTCGGTTTGGAAACGTCTACGCCTTTGCGACCGTCGATTGTCTGTATACCATCTTATGGTTCAGTGCGTGGATTTGCGTCGCTTCTTATGTTGCCCAGGGCAAGGCCGAGGGCAAGAGCAGTGATAGCGACAAGGATAGCAACAGCAACAAGAACGGCAAGCGGGCTACCAGTGGCAGTGGATGCGATAACTGGAAGTATGGCAGCGCTTCCAAGTGCAAGATCAGTACAGCTACTGTGATTTTGGGAGTTGTTGTTTTGTAAGTTGAACTTGGAGACAAGATGTTGGTTTGCGATTTGCTAATTGGAATAGCCTTCTCTTTGTTGTCACGGCCTTTATGTCTTTCCGCAATGTCATGCACTTCCGTCGCACCGGTACTCTGCCCGACGCTGTCTCCGACCCAACCTTTGCCGCCCAGTCCAAGGCTGCCTTTTCGTCCAACCCCGCTCATGACTTTGAGGAAGAGGAAGATGACTTCCGCTCTGGTCGTGCTGGATTGAGCACTGCTCACAGCGATCGCGATGAGGACTACGCCCTGCTTCACCAGAGCGAGGTGGACGATCTGACCAGCACCGCTGGTCGATCTGCGATGCACGGAGGGTATGATCCCACTGCATCCAACAACTCCGGATCAGGTCTCCATGACTACAACACCGGCTACGGAGGCGCACATGGGCAGCATTACATGCCACCCTCGGACTATGGATCCAGCCTGAGCGGTGGGTACGGACGTTGACGCTGAGGGTGATGTCAAGTTTGAAACGCCAATTTTTCTACTTTTGTATCTTCGAAATGACCATGGAGCGGTCTTGGCGGGCGCATTTCCGTATTTTATCATCTGCTTGTTCTTGTTTATCTCTCTCCGTTGTTTTGATCCGCAAAGCCAAGTTCTGCATTTGTTTTGTCAACTCTAGGTGATGACTGTATGTTGTGATTGATACATAGGGATAAGTCCCGTTTTTCAGCTGTGCTCAGTACCATACCTATACCTATAGACTATAAGATAGAGATACCAATGTACTATTGAATCGGACACAACTGCCTTGGACAGCCTGGACGAGTGCCTGGAATTCCGCCCCAAGAATATTCTGCCACCGCCTTGCGCGGTCTGCTCTGGACAGCTTGCCAGCAACCAGCTATCCAACCCAGCCTCTCATATCCATCTTGCTCGTTGGTGGTATTGATATTAATTAATATCGTATTAATTGATTCTGTGGTGGGTACTATCTACGATATATTGTTTCGATTCAATACTAACTCAGCGCAGTCCACGACCACGATTACAATCAAACATCAAACATCATCAATCAGACATCAATACGACAACAAGACACATAAACCAGAATCAACCAGAATCAACCTGAACAAAAGCAGAAAAACCACCAAAATGGCCAGCAGCATCGACCTCTTCAACCAACACCCCCTCCACCTCGACCCAACCTCCAAAGCCATCACCCTCGACAGCACGCACCCCGACAGCACAATAAGCGCCGAACTCGACACCCTCAACACCCTCCACCGCTCCCTCATCAGCCTCGACCCCCCCAACATCCCCCCTCCCCCTCTCCCCATCAACCCCAAGCGCAGCGCCCAGATCACCAAACTCCGCGACTCGGCCAACACAGCCTACCGCAAGACCAACCACGCCGAGGCAGTGCGGCTATACACGTTTGCGATCGATATGGCTGTTTCCCGGCCGGGGTGGGAGCCCGTTGCGCTAGCGAGAGACGAGCTGAGCGCGCTGTACGCGAACCGCGCGCAGGCGCAGATGGCGCAGTCTGCGTGGCCGGAGGGATTGATCGATGCCAAGTGCAGTGTTGAGTGTAAGGGGGTGGGGAATGTGAAGGGGTGGTGGCGGATTGGGAAGTGTTTTGCCGAGATGGGGAGATGGGAGGAGGCCAAGGAGGTTGTCGAACGGGCGTTGGATGTTGAGGGGAAGAGTGGTGACGGGGGGAAGGAGTTGAGTGCGCTTTTGGAGGAGGTTGAGGCTGGTTTGAAGAGATCTTCTTCTTAAGCGACTGAGCTTGATTTCATGGACTATGAAATGTTGACTACGGGGGGATTGAGATTGAATGTGCATGTGCATGATTTCGGTTTGCGTTCGTTATGACTGTTCTTCTGGCGTTGGATGGAATGGATTTCAGCATTGATTAAGTTTGATAATGGTACTGTCTAAATCCACTGTACTTTGTACAATTCTTCCAAAAATAATGCACACATACACAGCATATCACCCAGCTAATCCTGTCTACCTACATACTAGCCAGCAGGTTATAAAAAAGAAACAGAAAAGAAATTGCAAGTTCCGACACGGGGAATCGAACCCCGGGCTGTCGTGTGAGAGACGACGATGTTAACCACTACACCACATCGGATGGTTGTTGAAGATTGGTTGCTGTGAAAAATTATATTCGAGGCAAAACTTGGTTGGAGAGATGTGGTGGGGCGCTGGGGTCGGTTCGGGATTAATGCCGGGTGTTTGATTGGTTGGTTGTTAAGGGTTCGTAGGGCTAACCTAACACCGGACGATATCTAGATGATGGTGGAAGATGAATAGATGGGAGATCGGGTTGTGGTATCTATGAGTTTTTGAGAGTATTATGGTCTTATCTCTGGAAAGTACTTATTATATAGATATTTGGGTGGCAACTGTAGATGTACAAAGTTGACGTACGATATAGACCAGCTCGTTGAAACAAATGCACGACTCAGATCATGACCGGGAGGGTCTCAAGCTGACCGACGAGTAATGGCAATAGAGAAGATTCCCACAAGATAGCACGTAACCTCCAACTTAAGACAGCCGTAGCGATGAGAAGTACAATCGATAGAACCACAGCTGCAGCGGGAAGGATAATCCACGGCCAGCAACATGAATCAATATGAAGTCACGGTACGCCCGCCCATTGACACGGGAAGCCTTGTTGCCGGAACAAATGGTATCAGTCATACTGGTGGCCATTTTGTCCATTGACTGGGTCAAGTTGTTGCCATCGTATAAAACCGGGCGGATTGAAATCCTGCATAAGAGTTGGTCTTATCACGATCTAGCGAATGTTCCGCAACAAGAATGCCATTGAAGAGTCTGGTCATTGTCCGTAGCAAAGGGGATCAAGCGGACGTGTTGATAATGTACGTTGAAATCTCCGATAGGGTATTGCTCCCATTGAATGGGCTCAGATATACGTAGAGATCGGTATGAGTATGGCTGCTTTTGCGACGGTCACGAACACGGATGCGACTGCGTTGGGCGAGAGCCGGTATTCCCAGTTACTGATATCGCATAATGCCATTATACCAAATGTCCAAGCACTAGCACATTATGCAGCGTTATATGAAGCCAAAGAAATGATAATGCCAAGTCGGATTCGGATTTTGATGGGTTTTGAGGACTATAAAACTGTTTCAAGTCGTAGACTATGCTTTATTCTATCACCGCGGTTTGTCTTGTTTGCTGCTTTGGTAGATAGACGGGATGATGATTCTGCCCTGAAGATGCGGAGTGAGGGTATATAAACACCTTTAAAATGGCTGCTCAAGTTCTTCAATCAAAGAGAGAGAAAGCAAGATCAAGATGAGCAATACCTGTTTCATTCCTCCCTCTAGCAAGGTTGCCTTTGTAACCGGTGTCAATGGCATCAGTGGTCATGCCATTGTTGAACGCCTCATTCGAACTCTCAAGTCGGAATGGTAAGTACCTTCATCGGTATAAATTCCAGTTTGAACTAATGGCACAGGTCCAAAATCATCGTCACCTCGCGCAGACCCCTAGACAACTACTGGGTCGATCCGCGCGTGCAATTCGTGGCACTTGACTTTTTGCAACCCAAGGATAGCATCGTCGAGAAGATCAAGATTATCTGCAAGGATGTCACCCATGCGTACTTCACCTCGTATATCCACGACAATGACTTTTTCAAGCTGTCTGAGAAGAATGGCCCTCTCTTTCGGAACTTTCTGGAAGCGATTGATGAAGCGTGTCCTGAACTTCAGCGTGCGTCTACAGACAGGAGGAAAGGTATGTCCGCCATCTCTGAGAGTGGTCGAGATTCTGACTTGTCACAGCATTACGGATTCCAGTTTCGAGAATTCAACATGCCTTTCTTCGAGGATACCCCTCGAATTGAAGGACCCGGGTCCGGGTCTATCTTCTACTACGAGCAGGAAGACGACATGATGCGCATCCAGAAACGTCGTAATGTCTGGCAATACAACATCATCCGGCGTATGGGTATTACCGGATTCACACCCCAATGTAAGTCCCCTATCAATGGCAACTTAGATGCGCTAACCGGCCAGTCTCGGGCATGAACGAAGCAATCCCAATCGCGCAGTACTTCCTCATCTGTCGCGAACTCGGCGAGAACCCCAAGTGGCCTGGAAACCTGAAAGGCTTCAACCGAGTCGAGGACCAATCCTATGCACCCAGCATTGCCGATCTGACCATCTGGGCGACGACGCAGGAGCGGTGCCAGAATGAAGCATTCAACCACACGAACGGTGATGCTATGGCGTGGAAGTTTCTGTGGAATCTATTTGGCCAATACTTCAATGTCGAGATTGACGCCTTCCCTGATTCAACCGTTGACACGAGCAAGCCTCAGATCGGCCTGGGCGAGTGGGCCAAAGACAAGGAGGAGGTCTGGAAGGGCATCGTGGCCAAGTACGGGGGCCGTGCTGAATCGTTCCAGATTAACAACTTTGAGTTTATGAATTGGGGATTCACGCCGGCTTCTCAGGGTAGACTGTTTATGAGTACTGTCAACAAGGCCCGGCGGTTTGGTTGGGACCGCATTGATGATTCGTATCAGGCTTGGATTGACACGTTCCAGTCGTATGAGAATGCGGGCATTTTACCTAGTCATCATCTTTTTCAATAGACTGATACATGGGAGGAAATTGACATTATAAGATCATGTTGGCCAGTTAATGTGTTTGCAGTTGACTAAACCGGACCTGCGGCATCTAGTAGCTTATAGTTTCTAATAAGGATTTATGTTGGCTGAAAGAATGAAGTGATGGCGTGTGGTTTTCAGATCAAGTGTCTACTATACAAGCATGTACATTATTATTTGAGACAAAAGAAAGATAATATCACATAAAGCATGTCGTTAGTTGAAGTCATGAAAATCCCTCCTGTTCACCCGGGCGTTGCCATTGGAATCGTCGGGGTATGCAGGTTCGTGGGTGACTTCAATGGTAGTATGCTGATACACCATGCCCATCGGTGCTAGCTCAACGTCTCCCTTCCCAATCATTTCCTCGGTGGAGTCACTCCGGGTACGAGAAAACACCCCGCCCTTAACGGCGTTTGCGGTAGATGTTGCCGTCTTATCATCCATCGTACCACCATACGATTTCTTTGCGCTGGTGTTATTCGGATAGCTGTTCTCGTCCTTGGCCTCTGGCTCGAGGACAATACTCCTCCGCGTGAGGGTGTACATTAGTGCATCGCAGGTTCCTGAACACGCCATAAAAGAACCTGCAACACAGAAGTAAACGACACTAGGCGAGTCTCCATGTGCGGAGGCCATGCGCCCCGCTGCAAGAGGCAATGACACAATAATATAGACGATCGGATACATGGCCATATGGGCGATCACCTTCTTCAACCGGCGCAGACTCTCAGAGTTCCTTTGGCCTAGAATGGCGGATTCGGCGATCTTTGTACGGAGTTGGAAGAACATGATTGCGTAGAGGACGATGGTAAAGAATTGAGCAGCGAAAATCCAGAAATAATGGGTCCAGAGACGCATTGCTTCGTACTTGGGCGTCATCCAGCACTGATAGAATGTTAGAAGAATCATAGGTTAGGGTTGAAAAACCTACCCAAGCAACGGCAGGATACCAAACATATCGCCCGTATGTTGCGATGGGAATGATGACCATCAGTACACCAAACACCCATAGACCCACGATTGAGGCGACAAAAATTCGGTGTTCGAGTTGATATCCCATGCTGACCGAAAGAAATGTATGGACGGCAATGGCGAGGACGAAAAGCCCACTCATAGGATCACCAACCTGCAGCCATATTCCCTGAAGGAAGCATGCTGGATCCGAGGCTTTAACGGAGTTGGTAGCAATCCAGCGAAGACTGATGATGAAACCCAGTCCCTGGAGGAAATCGGCTAAAATGAGGTTGTAAATGAGGACGACGAACTGGTTGTATCCGATGTACCGTTTGTAGTATTTCGTCCAGAAGATCATGCGATAGGTGAAGAAAACCAGCAGAGACGAAGTGGCGATTAGAGAGATTGTTGCAAGAATTGAAATGGCAATCAGACCATCTCGTTGAATGCGTGGAAGGTTCAAAATGGCCTCGCCCTCCTCTGAGGCGGACCTCGTACCTAGCCCCAGCATGATGAAAATATGGTCGGTCTTAACTCCAATGGAGGGGAAATCAAGGATATAAGCCCTCCCCCCGATTATCAGGTTGGTCACATCAGGGGTATTAGTGAGTGGAGATCAACAATGCACGTCGTAAAGTCAAAACCATCGTGAAAACAAGCAAAATCTGCAAATCAAGTGCGGGTTTCGAGCTGAACATCTCCGACAACTCCGCCGTAGGATTAATTGACTCCTATCCACACCCGCAGTGGAGCAGACTTGATATTAAGCTTTTATGGGCTGCGATTCCGTCAAACCATTTGTTTAACTGGTAGCTGATCTGCTAAAAAATAGCCAAGTCCATCTGGACGGAGTAAGACCGGCTACCGGCATGGTCTTGATAGGCCGGCGAGATTTTCAGGAGAACTGATTGTCCCCAATGCCAATTAGGTACTGGAAACATTCGTGATATTTCCGGTTAGTTTATTGACGCCAAGTGGAGTGCAATATCGGGACACTAGAGTGGCCATGACTCGACACGTGGTTATTGACTAGATTTGAAACCATAGCGGGGATGAGATACGGAGTTGCCTAGAAGACCGAGTCAGAAGGACCGTGTCAAGCTCAACAGAACTGGAAGATGTTGCGAACCGTATTGCACGTTCTTTTGTCCCTTTCAGACGAACAGGACAACAGGCAGCAGATGCGGCTCCCGGGTACACGGAGGTGGGACGGATGTGGAGAATACTCAGTATTAGCCTTGCTTCCACGATGATCATCATTAGTAGTGTGGACAATCAGGACTTGAGGGTGTGGCAAATGATCAATCATGGCAGTGTCGAAGCTGACGATGATGGGATGATGTGACAGGTTGTCTGGCGTTCTGGAAGAAGCCGTTGACACGTCACGGGACTCCTTCCCTTTTGGGCAGAGTATTTTGGCTGTTGGTCTCCAGCATATTCCAACAGCATAGTATTATTCCTGTTCACTGCCACAGCTCTATTCGCCTTTTATCGACAAATATCGATAATGAACAGTGGAAGTAAGTTGACAGATTAAACTGATCCATACTGACAAGATATAGAAACTGCGGTGGATGACACATCATGTTCCCTACTATATAATCCCCGTCCATGCAGATGGAAATAATAATTGAATCAACACTGAACACCAAACAAAGCACCCCAAACAGCATAATAAACACTCCTTCACATAATCCAACCCAGGTTCACAGATACACCTTCTTTCGCGTCCACTGGATACCACGCTGCTGGAGGTCACGAAGGCTTTCCAACGAGCCGGAGATAATATCCACCTCCTTTTCAACCTCGGAGGGCAATTCGATCGGAAAATGGGTCATGGTGAAATCGGCCGGTGGGGAAGATTCAACGGTCACCTTCTTGTCACGGAGGTCAATGGGCATCTGCTCAATTAATTCGGTCTTGCTGTATCGGTCCACAACTGAGGAGGTAAGGCGGGGGAACATGATATACCAGGTTTTGATGGCCATTTTGTTGTTCAACTTGGATGTGTAGATGAGTATGGGAAGTAAAAGAGTAAGAAATTGGATGGTTGACGAGGATTGATGTATCTATTCGAGGGTGTTTATACCTGGCACTACAAAGGAATAGACTTGATAAAGAAGACCGATGAGTGACTCAAAACTTCTCCAGTCTTTCATTTTTGTGCCCTTTGTATACTACAAGGGACTATAGGTTATATGGACATCAAAGCCATCGAATCCTGACAATGCTATTCCTTGTCATCCACTGAGTTTCACATAACAGAGATTTATACAAAGAATACTGATATGGCATTCTATCTGCGAATTTCACCACTACTTCTACACACTGCAATACCAAAAGACCAACCGAGCCTAACCCACACTGATCTATGATATAACAATTCAAGCAAGACACTTATAAACCAAACAAAATACCTAGAAAACAGCAATAAAACACCTCCCCTCCATCAATTTTTATATCAGACTACCCCACATTCGACGGAGAAATCCCCATAATCCACAACCGCCGCTCACCGTCCTGCTGGTTCTCAAGAAGACGATCCGTAGCATACGAGGCTATATCCTCATACACATCAACATCAGCAGGCACCACTACCAGGACATAAGCCGACTTTAAATCAGTGCGCGAGGGACAGGAGTCAATGGTTACCCTGTGGTAGTGGAGGTCAGCGAGCATCTCCTCGATCAGTTCAGAGTGGGTGTATTCAGGCACGGATTTTGCGCGGATGCGGGGGAAGATGATGTACCAGGCTTTGGTGGACATTTTGCTTGGATGGTATAGATGGTATAGAGTAGAGTAAGAAGTTGGATGGTTGATGGGGTAATTGGATAGATTAGATGTATTTATACTGGAGGAGGAACCCAAATGCATTGTATAACAAAGACCGATAAAATGCGGCATATTAAAGAACAGTCTTTATGCACTTACAATGAACTATATATGGACATCAAAGCCATCGAATGTACAACGGCCACTCCTTGTCAAAAGTGCCATTGTGTTTGACATAATAAAGCCCTTTGTCAGTGAAATGAAACGCATACAGTCTACAGAGCAAGGGCCCATTAAACCCAGTAGGGTTTTAGCATTTTCAAAAAACAAATCTAGGATCTTAAATTTGCAAATCCCATACAAATTAAAAAAACAACTCCAAAGCCAACCTCATCTGGCCTAATAAGCAAACCTACCTAACAATCCATCCTCCCTGCTTACTGTTATTGGCTGGCATTGGATGCTTCTTTCAGTTCGTGGAGGGTGGTTTGGAAGGTGTCGATGAGGGTGTCCAGAGAATGTTGGTGTCTATCTATCTCTGCATCCGACGGCGGGATATACGCCTCGACTGCCAGACTTCATAATCGTCCCATTTCGCCTCGAAGATCCGGGGTATTTTATCCAACAGCATGATGACTTTCCATTAGCTTGATAACCACAACGCAGATCAACTCAATCCCTCTCAATCTGATACACAGAAACCCTCTCCTCAACCGCCGCCAGCTCAGCCGTCGACACAACCGACAAATCCAACTCGGAACGAAGAATATTCAACTCTGATCGCACAATTGTCACCCAAATCCGTTTATACACATCACCCGTCGTCCGATTCTCCACCGTCACCCGATCCTGTCGCTCGATTTGCTTCCGTTTATGTGCCGCATTCGCCAATCGTGACGATCGACGAACAGACCTATACCAGTGAAACGAAAGATACGACTTGTCCAGCCCCCAAGCATTTCATTTCATGCGTTTCTCGCCATCTCCAGCCCCCACCCGTTGACTTGGTTGTTGGCGTGGTCGAGAAAGAACTGCGGGTCTATGTCGAATATCGCCCCTACTCGAAGACACAGGCAGGGAGTCAGGTCTTGGACGAGGATATATCGAGTGGAAATCGATTCCGAGTCAGCGGTTAGCTGGTGGTGAAGGTCACTCGGGGAGATGTGCGGATGCCAGCTCAAAGACTCTCGTAGGCGCCCGTATCCACGCTCTGGAAAGTCGATGAGGGTGATGGTGGGATTCCCGAATTCGATATCGTGTTTGAAATAGCCATAGCCGGGACTTTGTCGATGAAGCGGTTGATTGTTGCTCGGTAGCGGTGTTCTTTGCCTTCGTCCATTGAGATATGGATGTTGGATATGCTGATATTTGAACAATGGACTGATGCTACGTAGATGGCAAGGGTTAAATACTGTTGTTCTTAAAGGATGCCAATGACACTAAAATGTGATGATAATTAGCGCTGCATAATACAGTATTGCAAATAATGATAACATTGTATTTAAATAACAGCAATCCAGACATCTATATCAACAAACAATGAACAACATGGAACACCAATACTAATGTCTATCTCAACCCCAGCGCAGCCTTCTTCAACAGAAACCACTTCTCATCCCCACTCTTCTGCACATTCCGTACACAATCCGACGCATAAAAGATGACGTCCGCCTCACTCTCCACATCCACCGGCGTCTTGACCGGCAGAACCCACAACGCAGCATGCGCGGGATTCTGCGTCGTCTCGATGATAATGTTCTTCTCGCGGAGCTCGATCAGCATCTGGTCGAGGAGTTCGTGGTTTTTGTATGTAGCGTGGTTCTGGATGGTGATGTTGGGGAAGAAGACGTACCAGGTTTTGGTCATTTTGGTGGCTGTTAGGGCTTTGTAGGTAGTAGTAATAGTGGTGGAAGAATAGTAAAGAGTAGAAATAGAGATTGGATGTGATGGCGATGGGCATTAGCTGGTTCGATTCGATGTATTTATATTGTCGAGTATAAAGACATGATATGTATAAAGATCTTTCATCTTATCCTTTGTATAGATACAATGAACACTCATAAGCCAGACAATCGACCTCTTTGTTAGATAATGATATTTCAATCGAGGGCTTTATCAAATCTCTTGTGTGATATCAAAGACGCTGTTTCACTGAAAGAACTAATATGCAAAGATTAATCTTCAATCCTTTTTACTGGATATTGCCACTAATATCCATCACAGACATTGCGTCTTGATTCGAGAGTCTTTGTAGCTTTTATAAATCATGTTCCTACTAGCTTTGGCTCTAGCTATCTTGTGGGCCATGACCCACAGTGCGTTGACTTCCTTTTATTATTGTTCCAGCGTGTTTGTCGTAGTGGCAGAAATGATACCTGCATCTCTGCAGTTTTTTGATGCTCCATATCGGATGCTGTCCAGAAACATCTTTGTTGATCGACACAATGAATGGTATGGCACGTAGAGTGACAAAGACTTTTCCTCCGTCTATCGCAAGTGCTGGCTGTTGAGATCCCCCAAACCTGAAACGGGCCATACATCTGTTAATGTACCTATGGTAATCATCTGGTAGAGCCTGCACGAGTCCAATGAAGAAGTCAGACGTGTGCTTCCCTGGCAGCAACCATTGGGCAGCTGGACAGCCTTCTTTTGGCTCTCCGACCAGCGCGAGGTATCCTCTGTATATCGGGACCAAGTGATATCACGAGCCCTAATTCTCACGCCTGAACCGCGCGGCGTATGTGTCTTACGAATGTTGTCTGACTCGTCGAAATCCGCTGGCCAACGTTCATGGCGCTGATGAATTGACGCCAACTCGGTAACGACGTACACATTGGAAAAAAGCCAGAAGAGTCACATATGTCGAATTGTGATAGGATGACCAAACCATAGTTGATTTCTGCCACACAAGTCTGGATATATGCATCGTTCCATGATGCAAATATCAATTCATCGGGTATTCCACCAGGTTTGGCTATGTAGCATGAAATTGAGGCTCTGGACAATGCGATGCTGTTATTCATCTTGTTTTATCAGCATCACATTCAAATATCCCCGTAGCATGTACTCACCGGCATGGAAAATAGTCAGTCCATCGAATGCACTGCAGCTTTGCAATATTCATGCAGAGAGGTAAGAAACGCCTTAATCCAGTCGAGGCTAATGAGAGGATACTATCTATCTCCATCATTCATCCAACGGAGCATAAGCCTTCATGTCAGATCTCGCTTTTATCAGGTTCTTTCGGCATTGTTGTCTTGATCGAGAAGCAGGATGTATTTCTCCATTGCTTTTTCGAACTTGCTTGACTCAGGATCTAGACAGACCGTTTGTAGTTATATGAATACCAATGGGATGAACATACTCCAAGGATATTGGCGTGCATCGACCAGCATGTCAGTGCTATTTCCATCACTTGAAATGATAAGATCGAATAGAATCAGCCAAGGAATCAGTTCGAGGTAGATGTAGAGACCAGCAGATTTTATCACAACAAAGACAGCCTATGGATACTTAGGGTGACCTTTTTTGTGATAGAGAGACTGATGGTAGCATCTGTTGGTGCGAATATCATCTCTGCTCCTTTGATAAACCCTGGAAGACTGGCGAAGATGGATTGTGCCAGAGTAGACGGATCTTCCCAGTCTAGGGAATCATCAGTGGCATCAGCACCGTTGCCGCCGGAGTTCTTCATTGGGACAATTCTCGAGTAGTAGTCACGCACACGAGCTGTAAGCGAGAGAGAATACGTGAGATCGATCGTCATGATTCTCATAGGTGGTATATCTTCTCCAATGCCCTTTTTTTTTTTTTTTCAAGATCATGGAGGTTGACATTCGCCCATGGCACGTTGCAACGCCATCTTCATGATCACTGGGATGGCGTAGAATCATCTCGGGCGGATAACTGGCCTGGCATGCTGAAATGTTTGCGCAACGGTTGGTGTAAAGCGAGACAGGAAGCATGAAAGAACATATATTCAGTACCTGCGAACTGTTTCCAACCACTTCCATTGATCCTCGTTCGGACTCTCCAATCCTTGCGATCCACAATGGGCAACAAGCGTAGAAAAGAACCACCGTGCTGCAGAAAAGAAACATCGTACTATCTGTTGTACTATTTCATCAGGCGGCTGCAGGTGATCCTCGCTTGATACTGGAGAATGTTCATGGGAGATCTTGATATTTGTGTGCCATGCATATTCATTCTCCCGTGTGCTGTTGGGTTGGTGTAAAAAGACATGTTGAATGGTCCCATATCGCCATATGCGGTGGGATGAATGTGCTCCCATGATAGTGGCATTGCTCTGCAACAACTTTAGCATTTTTGTTAGAGACTTTCTCAATTTCCGTTTATTCCAGCTAACGCGTTCATGGTATCAAGCGCGTTTGGGGGACGGATGGTGCATGGACGATTGCATGGCCCATTGGTTCGGATAGACCGGATATCCGAGATATTCAGTCAATCTGTTGGCGTCAGAACGATATGATCAGTATTCCCACCCAGTCGAAAGAATAAGGCTGGATGACCCGGACCATCTTGCTCCATAGAGCACCGTCCGTGATGGCTGTGTAGGAAGCGTTCTGGAAGGTCGCCCGGAGGTTCACATGGTCAAGAACACACTGCGATCTTGCATTCAGGATGAGGTCCCAGAGAATGGGATAGGTCGGCATGGAAAACTGGTCGATCCCGATGCATTTTTAGCTGTAGCGTTTGTGCAGTAAGAGCGCTGTTTCCGCTTGGATGGAGTATAAGCTAGCTTGCATACTATGCAAAGGATAACGTATCTTGCGGATGCATTTGGCCTTGTGGCTTGGAAGCATATCGGACTATCAATAGAAGGGTTAGTATTAATCTTTCTATATCGCCTGCTTAGATGTATTCAAATTTATTAACTTACCTGAGTTAGAGAGAGGTTTAGAGATAGTAGAAGCTGTATGCGATGGGAGATAGGTTAAAGGCTAGTGTAGGTATTAACCGAATGAGGATTAAAAGATTGAAATATTGTCAATGGTTCGTCATCTGATAGCTGGGGATAAAAGCTTCAATTTTGACGACTGAATGCAAGTCGCCGACTGCTTGAACATCTGGCTCGTTGCAGACTGGGAGTATAAGACAACCATTAATCATCGATGAGTTTCTGCGTTGTTATACAATCACAACTCACGAGACATTGTATTTCAGATGTCATGATTCAGGGACAGTAATCAGTACGGACTTCTAGCTCATTCGATGTGCTGCAATTCAGTGGACCATGACCACAAGTTGAAGTTGGTGTATATTCTTTTGAGTGTCTTTTGTTGCAGGAATTTCCAAAGCTGATTCGATAGAGACCAGATCTATATAGCCAGTTAGTCAAAATGATCCAGATAGAGATATTTTATAGTTCAAGGTAAAAATAACATACAGGGTCGCGGGGAATGTATGTTGAAGCACACACGAGAGCCGCTTGGTATTGCCAATTTCTCTCGAGCCTTGTATTCTAAACAGTGCGGGATTGGCACAAGGTGTTATGGAGATGAAAAGGTCTTTGAAATCGAGATTGCAGATAGAAGCATTTGATTGTCGTAGCCAGGTGTCTGTCACTGTTATCAGTATCATATAAAGACGCTGAATAGACGACGTACAGTGATTTGTAGACATACAAGGCATATGCTTTGCCCAGTCACGGATGATTGGGACTGTTAGCCACATTGCAGCCGCAGTTTCTGTTCCATCATGGAGGAATCTGTTCAGGGCTCTGGTCGCTTGTGACCACCCGGTTATATGGTTGTTTGTGTTTTCATGAACACATGCAGAGCAAACATTGCGAGTTGTCGAGACTAGACATGTCAGTTTGTCCGTGTATGAGCAGGAGAGACATACATACTGTCATGTGGAGCAAGGATATTTGCACCTGTCTTCATGGTCTCTTTTCCCAGCGAAACACCTGAAGATGGTGTAGTGGCTGGGGGTATGATTCATCGCTGGCCGGACTGAGGTTCATTACATACATAAAGAAGAGCCATTACTTCATTCTCTCAACACTGCAGAAACGACGCATGGCGCGAAATGTACAAAGAAGGGTCCCGTAGACAAAGGGGCAGACATAACAGGATTTGCCGCATGTTGCCAGTCAATCACCTGCAGAGCCATGTTGCGGATGATTGCCCCCGCAGTGTTGGACAAAAGGCAGAAACCTAAACAGTCAGTATCAATACAATCATGGATTAAAGATGGCATACAGGATATAAGAATCATACTGAAGCTCAGGAGTGACATCAAGAACCGCGAGGCAGCAACATCTCTTCCCAGGATAGAAAACACAACGGCTGTACCAGGTACAGCCAACGCAGGAATTGCAATAGGGTATGCCTTCGTATCGACTCTGTTGTACTGGCCGACAGAACGACCATCATTCATCGGAATGTCAATATACTATAGGTACATCTCGTATATTGCAGCACATGAAAGACAGAGCAAGTGAGCTGCTCCAGCAGATGACTGATCTGTCAGTACATTATCTGGAGTCATTTCTTCAGCAATGCTATGCTAAACTTGGCCGCCTGCACGGCCAACACTCACCCGGCGGCATTGCCTCTGACTGTTGAAATTCGTTTCAACAGATTCTATTTGTCGTATTAAGCAGAAGGATGTGCAGAAACCTGTTGTCCACAATTGCGATTTGTTTCATCATAGTAGGCTTCGGTAGATGCAGACCAAGGAATTGAAGTCCAATCCAGAACAATCACATTAACAGTAAAAGATGATCCACCACTTCAGGCATCCAGTAGAATTGTAGGATGAAGCAGATCATTGCATGGAATTTCCACTGGGCTTGGTGGTGACTAGAAAGAAAGCCATGTTGAGATGATGACACCCAGCCATCAAATGCACAAAACGCCGGGAGTGTCTGTTGTACAAAATGTTCCCTTGGTTCTGCCTTAGGAGCTCTGGATTTCTGAAGTCTGTAGGAAGCCAATGTCGATGATTCGAATGGAAACTGCAGTCTGCCTTTCCCATGACAGACAGATAATGCCTTCATAGCATGGTGGTCACAAACCGCTCCTCAGGGAGTGAAGCAAGGACAATGGACTGGTGCCATTTCGTTCCTATTGTCTTGATGATATGTGTCTCGCCCATGATCAACCGGTGGAACATTCGTAGCAGGGATTGCGAGTCAATATGATCGTCTTCTGTCATTGTGATTAGAGCCCTAGCACCGCGTGTTCATTCCGTTGTAGTCTGGAGTATGGTGTTCAAGGATATTTTTTGGGCGTCTCTTGTAGGGTACTTTTGTAGCCAGAAATGGCTCGATCGAAATAGAAGTGACAGACTGAGGCCGAGGTTGTTGGATGTCTCATGCTCAACAAACGCATTTGTTCTCGATGTGGCGGTATATAACCGTAATGTTGGAGACACTGCAGCATGATATAGAATGAATATACTCAAAGCCCAGTCCAGTATGGATTCATAGGCGAGATCCTGTCTATACAGTTAGTATGGTCTTGATATAGCATAAAGATGGACATACCATATGGTGTCTATTATCAAAGGAGATATGTCGACATGATTTTTTTCGCCGCAGATCGACGCCCTGACAACCAACAAATATGTTGCGATGTCTCTAATCCCTGGATTCAGGTTGTCCAGGATAATATATAAGCTGTTCTGTCGCGAATGCTTTCTGATGGAGGTAATAAATCCATCGTATCCATGCAAGAGATATGGTTCATCATCTTTCGTTGGTATTGCCGGATGAAAGTGTCCAATAAAAACTTCGAATAGAACCATAGACATGAGTTCATTTCAAGGAGATAGACAGAGTCGAAAAGGCAAGACAAGACGATCCTGGGCGGTCATAAGTGACGTTGACAATGTTGAAGATATTATCATTGATATCCTCCGCCAGGTCAGATATAACAGTCGTATTCTCCGATTCAATCTTTTAGGATTTCCTGTGTGGATCTTCTAGAGCTTCCGATAATAAATGCCTGCGTTCATACATCGTTTTTGTTGATTTGGTGGAATATCAGTTGTCACTCAGAAATGCATGGCTTGCACCCGCTCAGGCTCGATGTGAGATAATCTTAGTATCTGTATAGATTAGCACATGTCCAATGCAGCATGATGATACTTACTGTCGAACACACAAGATCCAATGTTTTGGCATTGTTTCTTGCTCTCCAACTTAATTCAGCCAGCATTATAACAAATTGACACCTGCCAGACAGTAGAGAAATCCAGCCGAAAACAATCGCCCTGGAAATAGTTCGAATACTTTGCGTTCTTCCTAGTCGCGATTCAGATGCTTTCCGCCTCTTGGGTCATTGGCCGTTACACCTCGGCCATCCGGGTTTTTGAAGTAGATGAAAGGAAATCAGATTCTCTGGTATAGGATCTGTAGGGTCTGATGGCCTTGCCCCAGGGCGACCTTGCTAGGGATCTGTCGGAGGCAAATGCTTCGACCTGGGACGGGTTGAAACAAACGGTTGGGAAGGATTGGATTTTCCTTAACAACAGAATCGTGGTCGAAGAAAAGTGCACAATCCAAGATTGATATGAGATGGAATGATATGGAAGGAATACCATGGTTCAGCGTATGTTCATCTGGATACGCTAGCATGTATCTGACCTCTCGATGATAGACTCACAAGCACAATCCGCTTTTGTCTGTCGAGGACATGAAATTTCTTTGAGTAAGGTGATGGAGCTCTAACAGCAAATTTATCATATATGTCGAAAATCCTGTAAAGAAGTCAGCATCACCCATATACCAAACCATGGGACTCACCAAAAGAGGCCAACTTAGGCCTTCTGTTTTGGTCTTCAAGATTGAGCCAGAATAAAATCCCGAATAGTAATAGGGCAGCCGGACATTATAAACACAATGGAAGCGTGTCGAGATTGACGGTGCATAACCCATTCGACGGGAAACATACTCCGGGCAAATTTGATTTTCAATCACGTATCTGAACCATAACCACGCGGTGATAGTATATAAAAGGGAATTATCGTATTCGTATGCTGGTAGCACCAGCCAACCAGCCTCATATAAGATGCAACTTGGCCTAAGAATAATCAGCAAATGACGATATCATCAGATACAAATGCTTCTCACCGAGATCTGCCCTGGTCATATCACGAACCGCAATGATATGCCAGCATTGCGTCTGATCTTTGGATGAAATGTTTATCGCAGAGTATATATAGTCGGTTATATTCGAATCGTTCATTGCAAGAAATGTCCTCTCCGGTGGGCTGTCGTGAACGCGCGGACAGTTTGTTCGAATACTCTATATCTTCAGTTACCGTTTGGATCAGAAAATATCACAAAGTTGACAAACCCTTCTAATTTCCATTATGTCTTATATAAGCCCTCTACCTAGTATAGACCGGTTAGTCCTCCGATGTTCACTCTAGGGGAAGCCGATTCCTGACAGTCCAGAATGTTCGAGAGATATCTATCATAGCCGATTTTGGTACTGTTTTGTGGTAGAGTAAGCATCTCATCAAGCCCTAATAACACAGTCAGTCTAAGAACCGCTAAATCAAGAATAAACCCACTTTGTACATCTCGAAATCCAAGACACCCATGTATCAAACCAGTTTTGGTACCCTTTGCCACGGCCAAAGAAGAACTGGAGATTCCTCGTTCTGGGGGTCATTACGTTTGTTCTCTTTGGAGAACGCAGGAATCCTGTGGAATCCCAGACTTCTGGATAACAGGATTATAACTGCATCCGCCTCGGACCCTTGAGATCCATCCACAGTCTAGACCCTAGGATGGGAACACCAATCTGTTTGGCTAGTCCGAGTAGTTCGACGGTTGAATGGGAAATATGGGGATAGAAAATAGGTGGTCTGGTATATATAGTCGTGGCGTACGTCGTCGCGATGCTTAAGCATTGGGACCGAAGTGAAGACTAGGGCCCCTGAATCACCGCCGGGGACTTCTTGTGACAGTATAGCGGAGACGTGTGTCCTGGCTTTGCTCTGGTAGACAGTTTGGGATAGACGACGGGATTGAGTAAGTTATAACAGGTCTGGGAAGATTGGATAGAACTATATATATAATAAAATGATATAGGAGAGTAGAGTAGAGAAAAGAAGAAGGCAAGAGAGAAGAGATGGGTATATATACTAGCGATGAAGGTGAATGAATTAGGCATCAACCATCAGTGAAGATATGGAATAAAGGATAGGGGATATGAATGACCATCACTGCCTAGATTCATCAGGGGTACTCATAGTGTGTCTTACTATGCTGTTTGTCAGGGCTACTCGTTTGCTATGCAAGTAGACAGGTCCGTCGTTTGTAATGTCATTCCTCATAGCCAATCGGATGTTATTATATATGTACAATGCATTATTCACCGTAAAAAGAAAAGAAATAAACAGGCAATGCTAATCGTAATCATAATCAAACCAACACACTAGACCCATCATTCTTCTTGCAGGCACATGCTGATCCACCGGCTGCCACCTGTGACGGTGTCCGGGCAAAGCTAGGCGGCACGTCCAACGCCGGGTTACGGGTGAAAAAGTTGCGCGGGCGAAGGAGAACTGTCATTGGTTCTGCTGGCATAATGGGGTAGTCCTCTGGAGAGGGGAAGTGCGTGAGCCCGAATGTGTGCCAGAGGACGACGTCAGTGTTGTCGATGGAGGAGTTGGGTCCGGCTTCTTCAATCCAGGCGGGTAGTCCTTGAGATGGTTCGCCAGAGGTTTGTGGGACGTGACGACCGGCAGGGTGGATTTGATCGTCGGAGTCTAGACAGTCAGTATGGTCAAATAATAGAATGGCGAGATACTCACATTTGGTAACGTGGACAGCATGTCGGGCAAATCCAGCGCGCTTCCAAACAAGTCCACCCTCCTTGGGCATCAGAGGTGGCACCTCGCGACTGACCAACTTGTAGCACACAGGCTTCTTGCTGTACGGGTTGAGCTTGTTGGTGTTGGCCATTTCCCACGTTCGTCCCGTGTCGCCGTTGTAGTCCGACATGGCCTCGGCAGGCGTCGTGAACTTGGTCTTTTTGGCGTAAAACGCATTGCCGTACTTGTTCTCCGCGCTGCCAACTTCTCCCGCTCCGCGCGTCGCATCAACCTGGAATACCGTGTTGCTGGGTCCGTCGATGTTAGGATCCACCCGCAGACAGAACAGGTGCTGGTGGTTGTGCGCGTTGACACCGGGGTACACTTCTGTTCCCCAGCCATGGGTATCTTCACCAGGGTTCATGGCGTATGTGTTGAGAATACCGGTCAATTTGATGTCGAGCTGGACGGTACCGTCCTGGTGGAAAACCCAGTAAACACAGTACTCGTAGTTGGCGGCGGTGAAAATATGCGAGATGATCAGCTTCCGTCCTCGGGTGACGACCATAGACTCATCGCGGAAGTCGGTGTGTTTGAACAGAATACCGGCATCTTCCTCGTGGATGCAAATGGCGTTCTTGACAATAGTGCTCGCTCCGGCTCGGTTGACAAACGCAGCATCCATATAGTGAATAGCCCCCTTGCAGTCGCAGCCCAACGACAGACTGTTGGTCATGTATCCACCACCGTACTCTCCCAGATCGAAAGCGTGTTTACGCTGGTGCGGGTGCTCAGGGTTTCCATATGGCACAACCATCTCCGCCAACGACAAACGGTAGAACACCGGACGGACATTTCCCTTGTCATTGAATGTGATGTTGTTGAGGACGATACCTTCACGGTAGTTGAATCCAACATGGATATTCCAATTTTGCCAGTTAATGTGACGTCCGTTGACATTGAATGACACGCCATCCGGCTGGGTGATATGAATGGGCTTTATGTCTGTCCGGAAGCCGCGCTCCTTCTCAATTGCCTCGGGATGGTAGTTGTTTGGCGCTGCCTTGCTGAGCTGTCTTCGAACGGGAGGAACATCGATATGAATGATTTTCTTCGTCTCCGCGTTGAAAATAGGACAGAAGTCCAACGGATACGTGTACTGGGAATCGTCGATATGCGGTCGATAGTACATCAGCGCCTGCTGCAGACGAACATCCGTTCCAAACCGCTCATCATATCCAATCGTCCAAGCTATCGCCATTAGCAGATACCCAAAACACAACGAACTCGACACTCACGATCACAATACACCTTGTGCATATCCTCCTTCGGAATCCCAACAATCCCACACTGCTCAATCACCCTCGGATCCTGACGAACAATATATTCCACCTCCTGCAAATCCTCCATCGTAATAATAGGCTGCACCCCCGGAGTATGCTGCCACTGGACGATCTTGCTCTGGCCTAGATCAACAATTCCGTCATAAACCTTGCCACCGGGGGCAATGGCGACAATCTCCGCCCCGCGCATGGGACGCAGTGTGTTTTCAGGATCTGACAGCCATGCCATCATCTCGGCCTTTCTGGGCTCGTACAAGCTGACTGCGTTAAAGTTAAGCTGGCCATGTTCTTTGCGGACAATGGCAACGGCGGAGTCAATCTCCGCGGTGGAAAGGGGATCGAAGGGGTGAGGGGGAGGAGAGGAGGCGTTGACCTGGAGGGTCAACTGCTGAAGACGGTCAAGAACCATGGCAGAGTATCGTCTTCTCAAGTAGACAGTAGATAGTAGAAGATAGATCAGATGTCAAAGATGTCAAAGAATGCGCCCCCTTTGTATATGGCAGGAAGAGCGGTCAACACAATGCAAATATAAACTCTCAATAGACATCCTCCAACAGGAGAACTGCCCGTATTTAACCCCGGCATGACGCTGTGTTGTCGCTGCAGTCGAGAAGCATCGCGACAATCGCCCGATAAGACACGCGGATCCGTTTGCCAAATCGGGCCTAGCGGCTTCTGGCGCCCTCGAAGCGGCAATTGAAACCCTGCGATGCCTTCACGATGCGGCGAGGGGCATCGGATGTATTTGCCTAGATCATGTCTATCGGATAAGATACACGAGATAGGGTGTCTACTTTTGTGTCATTATCAGCAATCATTCCAATTCATTCCTATCGTCAATTTTTATCAAGCCAGATAGTATATACGAGGCCTACGATAAACCATCAGGTAGCAAGAACCATTATACTGAACCAACAATCAGGATCAACCAAGGAAACGCCTGAGAAACAATAAAGTCATATTCCGGCCGTAATAAAAAAACACCATACACCCTCCGCAAACACCCACCTCCAAAAGCAATTGAAGGCACACCTGGCGAAGAATCCCATGGATGAACCGGAAATCGCAAACGCAGAGGAAAGACATCAGAAAAATGCGGCGCTATGTACATGCATCAAATCGTATCGATCCCACACCCACCGAATACCATCATGGATCAAAGAGTCAAGGGAGAAAGAAAAAGACAGCGAGCCTATCCGCAGAAGACGGCCTAACGGCGGTAGACAGATTCAACCAAGAGGACATCAGCCCTATACAGAAATCAAAGGGAAACTGTAAAGAAGAGATATAAACCATATCGCAAACTCCCGACCGGATTCACCATTTACAACGCAAGAAATCAATAAAAAGATTCTCATGACTTTCCAAGCTGGAATGCTCCCAACACTCCGCCTCCGGCTCCGGGTGTAAGGGCGCCCATATGGTGGGGGGTCTGGTTTCCAGTAACGGCATGGGCGGCGTTGGGGGTGCTAGGGGTACCAGCGGCGGAGTAGATGGTGGCTCCGTTGAGGTTCGGTGTTTGGTGCGGGTGCATCTGGTACAACAGCGCAGGCATTTGGCCATTCAACCCCCAGACTTGTCCTGAGTACTTGCTGTCGTCAATTGAGCCGTTGAATACCAGTTGACGCATCTTCCAGTAGATTTCCCCGGTCACAAGTGAGTCAGATCCTGCCTGGTGTGCAATGCCAACGCGCTTAACACCAAGCTCATCGGCAATATCCTGAAGTCCAGACTTCTGGCCAAGGTTGGTGAGAATCTGCGCTGCTGCAGCCGTCAAGGGCGAGTCGTTGACAGCCTGATTCCGTCCTGCATGTTTCATGAGGTATTTGATATCGTAGAGCGAGGGGAAGAAAATGTTCAAGAGTTTGTGGAATTCCTCTTCATTCTCGGGAAGAGGCTGGCAAAGCATAATCTTCATCAGGTAGCCAAAGTCGTAGCCGGAGTGGAACGAGACCCAGTGGACATCGTCCAACAACACAAGTCCCGAACTGATCAACAATGCTCCAAACTCAAACGGATCGATACCATTCTTATCGTGCATGTTGAAATCGATGCCAGCCTTAGCGAGCATGGCCGTCGACTCCTGCGCATACATGTCATTCTCCAGCGAGAATCGGAAGTTGAACTGCCATGTGCACGGGGCGGGGACCAAGGCGTTGCCGTAGGGTTGGCCGTTCGGATCAGTAGCGTTAGGCGGGGGAACTTCTCCTTCGGCGTTAAATAGAGTGATGCCCAACTGGATCATCTTCAAGAGGTCGACATTACATCGGAGCGTCTGGTAATGGTAGTCTGCTTTGTTCGTAAACGATCCGATCGGGCGGGCAACAATTCCAGGAAACTCGGTATCCTAAAGATCATCCATCAGTAATCCATAGCATACCAGGAAAACAATATCATACCATGCTGATGTACGGGTACTTCTCGACCAAGTGTCTCAACACAGCCATCTCCTGGGCCAAGTTGTGCTTCCACACATCACGTATCCGTGTCTTCACTGCACCGGCCTTGCCCTCGAGCGCTAACCGGCCATCGTGAGCCTGGTGTAATTGCTGCTGTTGCATCTGTGCGCCTCTTGCGAAGCCCATCTGCGCCGCATGGCTCGCGAGTCCTGTCCCTCCGCCGTCAGCGGCCCCAGCAAACCCTGCGACGGACATGCCATTTGCAATTCCTGTTCCAGACAAGGTAAACGGATTGATATTAGTGTTCGGGTTACCGGCCGCGAAGCCAGGGTGGCCGCCCAGGGATGGGGGCGGAAGCGCTGTGTTGGCGGATTGGGCATGAGCCGGATGATGCTGGGACTGCTGCTGTTGCTGCTGGAGGTGGGCTTGCTGCAAGTGTGTATAGGGAGCGCTCAGGCCAGAGGGCCCGAATCTGCCGACAGGAGGTGGCATCGTGGAATCTTCAACAACGCGAGGGTCTGATCATGCATCGGAAAGCGAGATATAGAATAGGGAGGGGTTGTCGTATTTTCGCGGGCCTGCAGGAGGAGTTGAAGACGGCGAGAGTTGCAGTTAGTGAAGGCGGACAGCTCTGCCTGCCGTATGCGGTTTAGCCCCGCCAAGCCCCGGCTCTCTCTCGTTCCCTTCCTGTACAGCTTCAACTTCGCTCCTTCGAGAATCCCACCGCCTGTCCTCGTCGTCCGCCTCTACTGTCCCGGTTCGCGTTCTCGCCTGTCTCTCCGCTATCCCATCCTGTTCAATTCCTTTTATTTCGAATTTCTTCCTCACCACCCCAATCAATCCACCATGCCCGCCGGAAACCCCACCGGATTCGACATCAAAGAGTTCAAGGCCGCGGCCTCGCCTCGGTCGGTTTACGCCAAGAGAGACCCCTGGGCTCGATAGTACGTCCTATACTCTTCAGTCAATTGATTCAATGCCAATTACTAACCACCTACACAGTGAGGCGTGGAGATACACCGGTCCCTTCAGCCGATTCAACCGCTTCAAGACCCTCTTCCCCGGTCTGGGCATTGCCAGTGTTGCCTTTGCCGGCTACTGCGCATACGAACACTTCTTCCTGAAGGACGACCACCACCACGGCGATGGTCACCACGGCGAGGCCCACCACTAAGCAACCTGCGTCATGGAATAAATAAGCAACGCGAAAAAAATGAAATCAGAATCAAAACCAAAACCGACATAGCCGAAGGATACCCCCCCGAAATAGCGAGGACTGAATTATATCCCTTTCCCTGGCTGCACGAGGTCGACGGTGTGAGTTTTTTTGCCGGGATGGTTGTCTGGTGTGTCATAGATGAGAGCCATGGCATGGCTCTACAGACGGCGCTTGGGTTGATTGATTTGTCGGATGTACATAGCATGTTTTACTATTGAGTGCATTTTCTTCCATACTTTTGCTTTCTCGTATTTTTCAGTCGCTTTAAAGTGTCATCGACGGACATACTTGACATAACGTCCTACATGACAAGACTCGATATATCCAGGGTATGCTCGTAATCATCATAACATAACTTTTAATCATAACCATCCCCATCTATACAAATCTGGAATGATCAAAATATATCTATCTACTAATACTGTAAATCAATTATTCCTCAAAAACCAACGAAATGCCATCATCACCGGCAGTCACAATACGCTTTCCATCAAACCCTTGCACAAAGCCCATAATACCACCAGACTGCTCTCCTTCTTCATTCTCGAGCAGACCAGCGTGGCCACTCCATTCCTTCAACAATCCGAAGCCAGCAGCGGTAGTTCCACCACGTGCATCCCAGCGTCTCACGACACCGTCCATACCGACAGAGGTAAGCAGCCATGAACGTCCTTGGCCTGCAGCAGCATTCGCCAAAGGAGCGGGACGAGACAAGGGGGCTTGAGGAGAGCGGCTGTGGAGGAACTCAACCTTGACCACGGCGCTGCCTTCGTGGGCTTCGCGAATGTGTCTACGGACGGCGAAGCGGTGTGCAGCGTCAAAGAGAGCGATCGATCCATCGACCGATCCAGCTGCGAGAATAGTCATCGGAGGTTCGGAGAAGGAGAGTGTCTCGACGCCATCGCTTTGGGCCTGGAGAGAGGCAAGAAGGGTACCGGCGGCAGAGGCACCGGTCGAACCTTGCTGGTTGGCAGACTTGTTCTTTGCCTTGGATGAGGTCGCATCAGGCGATGATGGGAGACGAGGAAGACCGACGATCCGGATGTGACCCTCTGCACCACCGACGGCGGCAATGGCACCGCCCGGCGAAATTGCGATGGAGTAGAGACCTCCATCGACAGCGAAACGCTGGTCATCAGCAGTCAATCCGACAACTGCGCTTGTACCAGCGGAGTAAGAGACACCGGCAGCGGCAGCGGCACCGAAGACATCGTAGACGTAGAAACTTCCATCCTCGGAGACAGTAGCGAGCAGCTTCCCATCAGGAGTCCAGGCACCCGCGGTACACGATCCGGTGTGCTGGAAGAAAGTCTGGAGAATAGAGATAGGCTGAGCAGCGTCGTTGTGGTCAATACGGAAAACCCAAGCGCTACCATCACTGGCACCGATAGCAATGACATTGCTCTTCTCCTCGTCGCCGTTCTGGCTGGGGCAGACAGCAACCCAGTTAATCTCCTCGACTTCCTGCGAGTCCGCGACGAATTCCCAGCTCAGTCCGGTCTGCTGGGGGGTAGCATCGCGCCATGCGCGCAATCGGCCGTCCAGACCTGCCGTCACGACGTATTCTCCCTTGGGCTCGGTGAAGGCCACCGCATTGACGGTATCAGTGTGTCCGTCCAATTTGAGTAGAGGCTGCAGAGACTCGCGCTCACGTCTCGGTTGCGGGTTCGATTCGTAGCTTTGCGGGAGGACGGGTCGCTCGTCCAACGGTGTCGAATCGAAGATGTACGCGGTATCGTCGCCGGAACCAGTGATGACGATGTTATTGTGAATCGGGTGCTGGGCGATACAGAACACAGAGTCGTTGTGAAGGTCGAAGTGGGCAGTCGAGTCGTTCTGCAGGGTGATCTCTTGCTGTTCGATCATGGGCTCGTCTTCGCCATCCGACTCCATGGGGTGGTCCTCATCGCGCTCGACAATCTCGTCAGCATCGTCGGCCTGCATGTAGGCGTCATTTTCGGTTTCGTGATGAGGATCTTGCGAGGAAGACATGGTGTGGGTGTATGTTTAAAAAAATTTTGACCTTCCAGTTGTCGGTTGGAGGGGTAGTGAAAAAAATATGTCGGAGATTGCGGATACACAGGACTTGATCAGTCTGCTATTAAGTATCCGGGGATATTGGAATCTTTCAATGCAGGGTATAGAAAGAATCAGTAACTGATAGAACAGAATGCGTCAAATATTTCTGCTGATAAATAATTCTATCTCCAAGATCAACTCCCCGCTTAGAAATTCGATTCTTCCCCGCTACGAAGAGGCAAACACTGCAAACATTATCTCTCCGATCGCTATCAAGCAGCATATCACTATCTTCTTTGGCACTTCACTTTGAATTGAATCATATGTGAATTCGTAATATATAACTGAATTTAAGGGGATATACATGGCTGGTTCGAAAACCATTGGGAATCATCCGGATATAAACAAACAATCTACAACTTCGATCCTGCCTTTCTGCGTGCTTCCTTCTCTTGGTCGCGAAGCAGTCGTCGCAAGATCTTGCCACTAGGGCTCTTGGGGACTGCGTCAAGGAATCGCACGCCTCCCTTGAGCCACTTATGCCGTGCCTTGTGGTCTTGGACGTGCTTCTTGATCGATGCGGCGGTTGCCTCATCGGAACCTGCTGAGGGTGACTTGACCACCAAAGCCTTGGGAACCTCACCTGCGGCCTCGTCTGGAATGGCGATGACAGCACAGTCTGCGACATCGGGGTGGGCGAGAATATGAGCCTCCAGCTCAGCTGGTGCAACTTGCAAACCCTGCAGGGAATAGTCAGTGATATGTTTTAAACAGTTTGTACTGAAAGATTGACAAACCTTGACCTTGATCAATTCCTTGATGCGGTCGACAATGACAATATGCTCGATACCCTTTGGACTCTTTCGCACAACGGCCTCATCTCCAGTGCGCATCCAGCCATCCTCAAAGGTCTCCTTGTTGGCCTTGTCATTATTCAGATAGCCCAGAACCACACTTGGGCTGTGAACAATCAATTCACCGGGTGTGTCATAACTGGTGACCTCTTTGCCGTCTGCGTCCACAATGCGCGCCTTAACTCCGGGGATGAGAGGACCGGATGTACCGAAGAAGATGTCATCGGGATGAGTCGAGCAAACCACCGTCGATGTTTCCGTGAGACCTGAGCGGGAGTTAGATCGCCACGCTTGGTTTTTGAAGAACGGGAACTTACCATATCCTTGGCGGATGAGGACCTTCGGGAATGCTTTCTGGAAATCGGTAGCAGTTTCCACGCCCAAGGGTGCGGCACCGCTGAACAAAGAAGTGACCGAGCTCAAGTCATACTTTTTGCATGTCTCCAGATTCCGAAGCATATTGATGATAATTGGGGGCACCTAAATGGGCGTCGTTAGCCTGGCTTCTGCTGCACCGATTGCAAAAAATACGCACCACGAAGAGACCCGCGATCTTGAAATTCTGGATCGCAGACAGATACATGCCGAATTCGAACTTGGGCAGGACGATTGTTTGGTCACCTCTGTAGGCACCAGCATGGCAGATGACCACGAGGGCGTAGATGTGGCTTTGAGGAAGAAGACCCAGCGCAACTTCTGTAAAAGGCGACTGTGTCCCAGGGGCCTTCTTAGAGTCTCTGTATGACTTTTCAAAAGCGGTGATCTGCAGAACATTTGCGATAACGTTCTTGTGGGAGATCATTACACCTTTCTGAAAACACACTTTCATCAGTTGTGCTCATTTATCCAATTGGGATTCTCTCATCACTCACAGGCAAACCCGATGTTCCACTAGAGTAACATAGGAAGGCAGTTCGACGAGCACCCTCTCCAGCACTCCAATTCAGCTTCTCCAATTTGGGAAGTGACTTTCCTGCCTCAATGAGCTGAGAGACAGTCTTGTACTCTGCAGGCTGTTTGGCACCACCGAGAATCTGTTGTGGGAGTTCAATCAAGTAAATGCGGTCCTTGGGAAATCCAGCACTTGCCGCAGCCTCGAGGGCTACGGGAAGCAGGGGCACACATGTGAACAGTGCTTTGGCCTTGGAGTCAAGCAATTGGTGTTTCAACTCGGGCGCAGAGTAGGAGGCATTCGCAGGTGTTGTGACACCTCCCAATTTGTGTGTTGCCCAGCACAAAGGCAACGTGTCAATCTATTGACGCAGGATGTCAGACAATGCTTCTCCCCCCTTGAATTCAGAAAACTTACAGAGTTCAAAGTGAAGATTCCCACAGTCTTGTCCCATTCTGTGCCCTGGTTGGGGACCCAGTTGAATTCCTTTGCGAGAGCTCTCGACAGGTAGTCGACCCGCTCGGTCACTTCCAATGTGGAATATGACTTTCCGGTGACACCACAGGTGTAGGGGTCTCTGGAGTACCCAAGAGGCACTCGGCCATAATGTTCAGTGAGGATGAAATCACTAATTGGGATATTATCGGGGATTTCAGGCAGTTCACCTGCCGACTTTGGGGGGTAGAAAACCATCTTTATTGACGACTTTCAGGGACTGAAAGCAATATTTGAATAGCAGCCAACGTTCAAAGTAAGGGACGAAGGAGGATAAAGGGAAAAGAAAAAGAAGAGAAACGAGAAAAGGAGAGACGGAATGGATTTTAAGGCCACGCATGGGGAAAATGCGCCGTTAGTCTAAAGGATGCAGATGCTCCATCCTCGGTGCGGGGAAAGCTGTTTTAACTCGGTCGACATCGGCAAAAACGCCGGTGGCTCTATTTTTGTCGGAGAAGCTCGCAAAAAAGACGGACAGATCAATGTTTGCAAGGTAATGGCTCTCTCATCACCACCAGAATGTCCTCTTTCTCCTGTGGCAATGGGCTTGAACAGACGTGTCGGAGAAGAACAACCGCCGTGCGGATAAGGAGACAAAAGATACCGAGGCAGCCGAGGGAAACACCGCCACTGGTGACTTCACGGCCCATTGATCTACACGGGATCCGTCCGGACATTCGGATTTGAAGGCTATTGGACTGGTGGAAAACATAGAAATAGTTTATCTGAATACAATTGTTATGTGAACTGCTACATCCCTGTCGATCTACTACCTTAGTATTTATATTTAAAACAGACGGCTTGTGTGAATTGGTTAATCTATTCATCCTAACGGCCATTGATTAGATAGCATTTCAATAGGCATTGTTGAGTTCACTGCAAGAGATAATATGCATCACATCGTGCATGACATGGGATTAATATCCCGTGCATCTACCACCAATATATCGCTCACATTCGTATTGAGATTAACATATTTCAGAGATGAAATTCAGCACTTTCGTAGGCAGAAACTTTGACTCGAATATATGACGAAATCTGCCGTAACAAATCGACTCTAACTTCACCAAACTCATGTCCCGTGACCATCTCTACCCTTCCACTTCTGTTTCTCTTCTCGCTCGCAGCCTGTCCATTCACTGCTTCGGGCCTATCCCTTTGCTGCTTTCTCATCCCAGCAACTGAGGATTGGATTTTCTTTTATCTCTTTTTATGTACAGATTGTCCAGCCGTGCAGTCCTCGGGGAAATCAAGCCCTGTCTGACACGTCCGGACGGGCGTGAGACAAGCTGGACAGGTGTCTGTTCTCTTCATCCCCGCGCCCTGGCCTCACTTCAGAGCTGTCATCCCTCTCAGGGAGAGTAGGAAAATGGCAAAGTCCGCTCCCAAGGAGCCAGCTGTCTTTACTGATAGCAAGACCAAACCGGTGAAAACAGGTCGTGTCACTCGACCCAGGAAAACACGTCCAGCGGGTGAGAATCCCCTCCTTTTCATCCCCTCATGCGGGTTCCTTTTCAGTCTCTGTCATGGACTCAATGGCGTTGTGGTAACCAATTCTTCTGGGGTATCTGCTAACAGTAGCAGTATCACCTACTGGGCTGGAAGCAGCGGTCGTGGCTACTAGTTCTCAATGCTCCGCACCAGTTCAAGGAGAACCCCCGGCATGGGCAGAGGTTTGTGTTTTCATCTCCACTACCATATTACCTTTTGCTTACAGCTCCAGTGTCGTCCTGATCTATGCGATGCACTTCCCTGGTTCCGATCTGTTCAAGGTGGTGTGTATTACACCGGAGGTCTATGTTGGGGATTCCTCGTGGACGCGGACTGCGGTGTTCGCTCTTATATTGATGAAGAGGTCGTCATCACACGGATGTAAGAATATCATATAGCCATGCGGTGTCATCGGAATGTTTCTAATGTTAGCAGCGGCGGTGGTTGCACAAAAGATGCAGACGGCAACCTTGTGCTTATAAAGGATCAAGATAATGATAGCTGCATTGTGAGCAGTATCATAAATAGCAAGAATCTCAACGTTCCGGTGGGTATAATTATAGGTCAGTAGTTTCGTGTCTAATGCAGGATTCTATTGACCGTTCTTAGGAGATCGCAATGCCCTCCTTGGGAGAAAGCTCCCTCACCGCTATAATGTGATGGCTTACTTCCGTATCACTGATTTTTGGTATGAGAAAATAGGGAAGAGGGCAGGAGCCAAGGTTCGGTTCGAAAAGTTGGACCTTTCAGACCAGAGCTGGTGGGCAGCCAAAGATTCGCCCTCACCGGTGCCTCACAGCCAGCGGGATTTCGACATAAAACCAGAAACGATTCAATGTTCTTCGTGCCTTCAATGGAGTGCACAAATATATAATGAAGGATGGATGTGCTTACAGACATCCTGTAAGCAGTTTTGGATAATCGACTTGTCTGATCCTCCTGCGGATCTGACTTTTCATCCCAACTTTCTAAATACTCGTACTCCCCCCGACCCAAACATACAACCTCAGTATAACCTTGTCCCTAATCTACTGGAGACAATCAGCGAAGATGACGCAGACACCGCTTCACTGCGGATTTCGTGGAAAGGCATTGTATGCCCACAATGTTCTAAATGTATATCACGAAGGTTTTGGAGAGGATGGAAATGCACCGACGATATTGCCCTCACGCCAGGGCAACAGTGCAACGTCTGTCTATTTGAAAAGATGGTGAAAATGCATCCCATCTCATTGCGCTCTGTTCTCGAGGATTTCGAGTTAGGTCCAATAAAACGTACCATATTCTTCGACTCCAAATTTGCTGTCCCGGAAGTCGATGATCAGTCATTATCTCCATATAGAAAACTAACATATCGGATTCGAGGCGTGGGCTCTATTACGCATTTTGTTTCCAACAAGACTATCAACAGCCGCGCAAATGGACCAAATGACCTTTTCAAACAATTACAGGTTGCTGATCTCGGATTGCGTCGCTATCCCCTGCAGCAAAGCGTGGGTGCGTATACTGCGTGCTTCTTATACGAGTTCCTTGACCTGATACTTCATGACAGTTGCTGGTACTCTTACTGCGCACTTTGCCGTAAACTTTGTCAGTTTCATAACATCAAGCCCAAGACAGCCTGAATTGTAGCTGATATCCACAGGGAATGCCGTACAAATATGTTGTCTCCGTTGATTCCAAAGGGTTTAATGATGCTTCAGATGAAATCTTACGAGCGCTAGGCCGTTTGACATGGGCCACGAACCAGGCTGTTGTTAGCATGGGAGACAACTTCCTTCCACCCAACGAGTTGCTTTTACTCGGCTACTTTGAAGATATGAAGATCGGGGTATGACAGTGGTTCCTATAGAAAAATACTCTTGGCTGACCCTACTTAGTATCATGATGATGGCGAGTCTTCGCTAGGACCAACAATCGCTACACTTTCCTTGGGTGCGAAATCCACCATGTACATTCGGATGAAGTACAAATACTACCACGGGTTTAGCAAGGCCAAAAAAATTCTCGAAGATGACCCTGTCCTTCCAGGCTGTCAATTTGAAGCACAACGACAAGCTCTGAAGGACCAGTTCACAAGGAGTGAAATAACCAAGGCAGAATATGACGAGCGACGCAGGGATCTCTGCAAGAGAAGCAAGAGCGGCGACGCACCACCTTGGATTAAGATGGAGCTTAATCATGGCGATCTAGTTGTGATGCACGGAGAGAATTTGCAGAAATACTACGAGGTATGACTGCGTTTCTGTGCCAGATACTATTAATTTAACTCTCTATAGCATTCCGTTGTACCCGAGAAGAAACTGCGGTTTGCCTTGACGGCTCGATATATAAAACCTGAATATGTTGATGAAAAAGAATTGAAGAAAGGGGAGTTTACGCTCACACCGGATCAAATATACGATGGGAAGTGATATATTTATCTTGCCTGCTTTCTTTTGACGTTAGTCCTTGCTATATTGATGATCTCTGAAGGTGAAAGTTCCTCATTTGCTTTTTCTTCCTTCATTTCCTCCTTTTTCTGCCTATGATATTGCTTACATTGATTTTACTATTATTATCATACTGTAGACTAATGTGGAATATAATGCCTGCGATCTCTCAGCTGTCATTTTACTCCTTACAGGGGTATGCCTGCATAACCATGTGAGGCTTGCTTATTGTGCGGGAAGTTATATTTCGACGACAACAATGGAAGAGTTGAAACGAGAGCCCAAGAAAAATAGTACTGTCACCGATATTAAACCAGAAAAGACGATGAAATAAGGGACAGCCCTGCCGGCTTTTCCGAATGTCGCCTGAAGGTGACGCATCACTTGCGCTTTGATGCTCGGTGGATATTGGATAGTTAATAATACGAGCGGTGGGGACGGGACAAGGAAACGCAGTGTTGGGAAGCACGAGATGTAAAGACGAGATCGATATGTACTAATATGTATGTGATGGTATCAGGCAAGCAATCCAGTGCTGAATGGAGATTCTATTTGAGATAGTATCGGGTTGTTATTGTTGATATGTTGGTGGTATATCATAATGATCGTCATCATCGATATGTAGGAGTAAGGCTGCGAACAATCATACAAGGCTAATAAATCGTAAAAAAACAGCCATTTAGATCATTGATAGTGCCAAAATATTACGAGAGGATTTAATTATCATCCAAATAATGATCGTTGTGGTTGCTGACAGTCCCAAGTGCCGGTACCTCCTTTCCCACCCATCCACGGGCGCATGACAGGTACCGGTACTTGCCCTCATGCCCGCCCAAGTCAACCCAACCAAATGACGATTTGGCCCCTTGGTTCTTCTTCCCATGTGTTGTTCCAAACACTGATACTCCTCTGTCTCCATGGTATCATCGATTTCATCTACCACAATAACCACCTCCCCTTTATTCCACCCCAGGGTCTAACGCACGTTATCACGATCCTCGGTTCACGGTCCGCCCCCATTACGAAGCGTGTGGGGATGCCCAGCGAACGAGGCACCGCCAGATCTCCGGCTGGGCTGTCCACACCTCCGGATGAGGCTCAAGACTCCCTCGTCAGGGTCTTTTGATTGTTATCGCAATTTCTTGGTCTTTCCTTCGTTCATCTCTCTCCATCCCCTCCATCGCTGTCTTTTGCTCCCTTTGCTCCCCACCCCCACCCTCGAATTCGTTGGTTGCAGGGAAGACAGGGACAGCCCTAGGGCGGTCGGAAGCCCGACATCCCACACGAGAATCATCGAATCTCTCCAACGTCGCGTCTTGTTGAGACGTCTTTCCAGACCTGGTCCGGTCTGATTTCAAACCTATGGCGCACTATCCGAATGGCCATTCGCCGTACTACGGCCAGTCCAACAATTCTGCCGCCGCGCCGCAGCCGAGTCGTATTTACACCTCCCAGTCCTCCCAACAGAACCCCCATGGCCTTCGACGAATGCCTAGCTATATGGTGGGGGATGACGCTGCGCTCTTCGACAACTCCCAGGGACAGAATATGATGGCTGCAGATGGAAATCCAAGATATACTGTAAGAGCGGGTGCATACAAGGGCGGGGAGGGACAAGAGGAGTACAGTCTTGCTAACAGTGGCCGTGATGATGGCTTGTACGCGCAGGGAGCTTCTACAGACGTCTCTCGTGCCCGGGCAGCTTCCCAAAGCCAGGGACTTTACTATGCGTCGTCCATTGCGACATCACCAACGCAGGCGGGGTATAATCCTCAGCAATACGCCGTGCCGCCAACTCCGTCGCAACAATTGGGATACAACCCGCTGGCATATGGTGCAGGCTCGGCTGGATCGGGACATCAACCATACAAGCCGGCTGCGTATCAATCTCCTACTGTTGGGGCATACGGGTCGTTGAATACACAACTCCAGACGAATGCCGCGTCACATTACGCACAGACTCCTGTGACGCCGCATCCATATAGCCTACCTCAGCCTCAGGCACCTCCGCCCCCGCCCCCTCGAGGCCCGGACCATCCCTATGGAAGCCGCCCGGCCGTACCATATACGAACAACTCGACAGATTCACAGTATGCCTATGCTTCGCAGCAAGCCGCTTCACCGACAGTGGCCTCGGCATCGTTAGCGTATAATGTCGGTACTCCGTCGTCACCCAGCACTTATGCTTCGGGAAGCGTTTTCACCCCCGGTTTGAGTTCGAGGACATCCCTTTCTTACTCTCGTTCATCACAGGTCTCCGCATACGCTTCGCAGTCTCCTCGCCGCACCGAAGCTGCAATGGCTTCTCCGTACGATGAACAACCCCCCGAACCCCCAGCGCATGATGAAGGGTATGTACCAAAATGGCCCGGCCCCGCTCGCACTGGATCGGGGCGGTCCCTGCCTACGCCGCCAATATCGCAGAATCAACCTCAATTGTCACCACGACGGACGGATACACTGACTCGCCATCCACAATCACGACCTTTGCCTGGCCCACCGCCCGACGCGGATGAACCTGCTCCGTTGGCCGGTGTGAATGGAGTTGGAAGCTTGCGTCGAAGACCCGAGGAAGACGTTGGATACGATGACCTGATGCATGAGGTTGAGGAGATGGCAACGGCACGGCGCCACAGCTCGAGGTCTCATGGTCAAGAAACGGATCAATACGGCCGCCCGATAGCAAATGCGAGTTTGTCTCCAGATGAGAGGCACACACATACAAACGGCAGTATGGAGACGGGAACCGGTCATGTTGTGAACTATGGTGCATACAGCGACGATAGCGACGCGGAAGCCGAGGCCGGACTGGCCATGCTGCAAATGGCAGATGAGGAGGAAAAAGCGCACCGGTTCACTCGACGGGACACAAACGCTTCCATATTTGATGCCTACGCATCTCCCCCATCGCCGGAACAGGAATTTTCTCGCAATGGGGATTATTTATCTCGCGACCAGGGGGTGTACGGAAGCTATGAAGGGCATCGATATGGGGATGAGGCTGACTACAGTCATGATGACTACGGCGATGATGGCCGGCTTGCTGTCACGCCTGGCTCTGATGACCGTGGGAACTACTCCGATGACTATGACTATCCTAATTACGGCCGCGGATCTGGACAGTTCCACCAGGGACATTCCCATGCCCGGGTGGACCATGGTGGGACCGGAGGGTTAGCACCCCCCAGTGCTTATGGCCGCCGCATGAGTTTCGACTACGGTGATGAGGAGCATCCCGATCACCATTCAACGAGTGAAGGGTCAGAAGGGGGAATGCCGGAGGATCTCTTTTTCCATCCGGGGATGCGACCGCTGCCTCCTGCGCCCGTGGAACCAGTGAACAATGCCAGCGTCATTCCACATCTTATGCCGGCTGGGACGTACCGGCATCAGGATCAGGGTGACTTGCAAATTCAAGCACAGTATACACAGCCTTACTTCCCCGCTTCTCCAAACTCGTTTGGACAGACCGTGCCCAGCCCAACTCAAGTTCCACGGTCGACGTCCTTGTCGAGTCATCCTATTGGACCTCGTACTGACCCCCCTATCAGATCCAAGACCGACGCAGACCGAGCCAAGTACAGGCTGCAGCAAGAGCTGCTCCGCCAGCAAAGCAATGGGAACCTCAAGTTTGATCCATCGGAGGCTGATCCCATAGCGCTCGACCTTCCCACGATTCCAGGACGTCGCAAGAAGTTCAACTTGACCAAGCTATCGTCGGAACAGTTCAAGAGATGTACGGAGCCGTGGGCTCTTAGTGCGGTTCTTGCTTGGATTCGGGAACTGAGTGAAGACGAGACGGATCTCCGCGAGCAGGCTATCGTCGATGCCATTGTTGCACTTTTTACTCACAAAGTACCAACTATGAACATTGCGGATGCCGAAACACTTGCAGCCCGTGTAGTGAAGAACATGTTGGAAGAGGAGGCTTTGGTTCAGGATGAGGAATGGGTCAAGTTTGGCAGCGGGAGCCTGTCGGGCGTGCTCTTCCAGATTACAGGCACGGGATGTTACTCGTCCAAGTTGCACGAGCAGGAGAGCGAGGTCTTTGGACGCTGCTATTCGCACCACTGCATGAGGACGCTTAAGAAGGTCAACCTGAAGACGCAGATGATGGAGCCGCAGAAGAAGGCAGAGGATTGGGTGACTTTCTACAAGGTGTCGAAAGAAGTTTTTGAAACGCACCCGAAGAAGGAAATCGACCGCCAGAATAACTTGCATGAGATTGTGACGACAGAGGATGCGTTCATTGGACAACTTGATGTTCTTCGCGAGCTGTATCGGGATCAGTTGGCGAACATGTCGCCATCGGTGATCAACCCCAAGCGCTTGCCTAAATTTCTTAACGACGTTTTTGGGAGGGTTGATGCGGTTAAAAAGGTTAACGAGGACTTTCTTCTTGCGCAACTCAAATACCGCCAAAAGGAGCAAGGGCCGTTTATCGTCGGATTCAGTGATATCTTTAGAGAATGGATTCGGAAGGCTAAAGTGGCTTATGTTGAATATGCCGCGACCTTTCCTCGTGCTAATTATCTAGTCCGCAAAGAAGCCGAGCGAAACGCTCACTTCCGGACTTTCTTGAACCATGTCCGGGAACACAAGTCTTCGCACCGTCTCAGCTGGGATACGTATCTCAAAGCCCCTATTACTCGAATTCAGCGGTATACCCTTCTTTTGTCTACAGTACATAAGAACATGCTCAAGGATTCTGAAGAAAAGTCCAACTTGTTGCAAGCAATTGACGAAATCAAGCATGTTGCATTGGAGTGTGACAACAAGGTCGGCGAAACGAGCAAGAAGGTCGACCTGATGGAGCTGTCCTCTAAGTTGCAGTTGAGACCGGAAATGAAAGAGGAGGTGGAGCTGAATCTCGAGCACTTGGGTCGCGAGATTATCTTCCGAGGCGATTTGCAACGACCGGGTACACGGACACGATTCCTTGTCGATACGCATGCGATCTTGCTAGACCACTATCTCATTCTGGCCAAGACTGTTGTTGTTAGAGACCAGTCAAAGACCGCCAAGTATGAGAACTATGATGTATCTAAACTGCCGATTCCGATGGATCTTTTGGTGCTTGAAAGTACCAATGACGACCCTGTTGTCAAATCTTCGGTTAGGGGTGTTGCAACGGTCACACCGCCGCAGGCCGTCGGGCGTGGTGGAATGCCTGGTCCTCTGACACATACCAACAGCGGCAATTCGGCGAACTCTGGAAACTCTGGTATTTCCTCCACCAAGACGCTTGTTCCGACTACTGTTCTTGAGAGCCCGAAGGATGACAAGATCTTGTATCCGTTTAAGATCAAGCATCTTGGAGAACAGGGCACGTATACCCTGTATGCGTTCTCAGCGCAGAGCCGACAGGACTGGTGTGATAAGATCATTGAAGCGAAGACGAAGCATGCTGCATCTTTATTTGCGCAGAATGCAGAGCCATTCAGACTGCGTGTGCTTGCCGATGCTGCGTTTGGGTACTCGGATCACTCGTCGGGATCCACGAGTGTGACCATCAAGGGGACGCCTCTGGACCGGGCAATCAAAGAGGTGGACGAGCGTTATGCAAGCGCGGGGCCTCGGCCGATGCCTATTTGCAGAACTGCCGTGCACTCGTCTACGGTTTTCCAGCAGCCTCCAGGTCGGATGATGTGTGCTATTGGTACCGATTACGGGGTGTATATTTCAGAATACAACAACCCTCGTGGTTGGTTCAGAGTGAGTTTTACTCGATGAATTGATGAGATGATGCTAACGTGTTAGGCTATACCCATCATGCGAGTAACACAAGTTGCGGTGTTTGAGGAGTTCAACCTCTTCCTTCTCATTGCAGACAAGTCGTTGATTGCGTATCACCTGGATGCTGTGTGCCCGGCCAATGGTGCGCCTACGCCGAGTGCGTCAGATTCTTCTCGGAAAGCACCACAGAAACTGTCAGGAGGACGAGAAGTAGGATTCTTTGCTGCAGGACGCATGAAGGATCGTACATTGGTGATGTATAAGAAGCGGGATGGACTGTCGTCTACTTTCAAGGTTCTTGAGCCCGTTCTGCAAAAGTCATCTACCAGTCGAAGCCGATTCTTCCATTCTCGACGTTCGCAGACGGAATTCTTCCGTGAATATGACGAGTTTTATATTCCTGCTGAGAGTTACAGCATTAACATGTTCCACTCGTCGCTGGCGATTGCGACTCATCGAGGCATTGAGATTCTCACCATCGACAAGAAGCAGACATGGTCTGTGCCTGATTTACGGACTGAGACGCCGGAAGCGCAGAAGTACCTGACTAGCATAGCGCAGCGGATCAAGGAGTTACGACCATTGGGTCTGTTCCGTCTCAGTGATAGCGAGTTCCTAGTGGCGTACAACGAATGTGCGGTATATGTGAACAAGCACGGAGATGTATCTCGCAGTGTGGTCATGGAGTTTGTGGGACGAGCCCACTCGGCGTGTCTGTACGGCAAGTTTTTGATATTGTTCAACCAAGACTTTGTGGAGGTGCGGAATGCGATGAACGGCCGACTCCGGCAGGTGATTCCCGGACACAACGTTGTCTGCCTGGACGATGGCAGCAAGATGCCCGGCTCTGGCGCGAACAGTGTACCGACCAACACCGCGGGAGGAGTCAACCTTTCGAGCGGACTGATTGGCAGCACGAACGGAGTGTCGATGGCGAGTTCCGGACGCACCGTCAAGATCTGCATGCAGCATCCTGAGTTTGAGCGGAGTCTGATCGTTCTCGAACTGATTGAGAACGAGGGACAGAAGGATTAACCGCAGTACAGAGTACTCCGTGATGTCCAAAATCTGACGAGTCATGTTCTTCACGCCGTAACGGAATAGTATTTAATCCCAAAACTGATGGCCGGTGGATTGCACTTATCTTTTACATATTGTCTATTGGTAGTCTGCCATGCATATATCTTGGATCTGGTTGGATGTGGTGTACATATTGAATTAATATCTCTCTTTCGTCTGTATTCTACATATGTAAGTCTGCAATGACAGTCCTGATGATAATGTTACACGTATTCGTCTTTTGTCAGACGAATGAGTTGTCAATGCAGCTCACCGATATTCGGATGAAGACTCATCATCTTCATCCATCGACGATCAACTTCTTCTGTTGATGTAAAGTATCTTCACTCTGATCCCACAATCAATACATCCACCTGTCTTCAAAATGAACATCTCAATCGACTCCCTCTGCAAGGACACTCCATCCAAGCAAACCTATACATCCTCCATCATCAACTCCTACACCCAGCTCCGCACCATCCTCCACGAGAATGAAAAGATCATCCTCGACGGAGAATCCCTCGACATCACCTCCGTCACCGCTGTTGCCATGTACCTCCCTCCCCCCCTATCTATACTACAAATCTAACCATCCCAGCCACAACACCAAAGCAGCCATAACGCCCTCCCCTGAAATCGCAGGCCGCATGAACCACAGCGTGCGCGTCCTCAATGAAAAGCTCGTCAACGGCGAAATCATCTACGGCGTGACGACCGGTTTCGGTGGAAGCGCAGATACCCGGACTGCGGATTATCCCGCGTTGCAGAAGGCGCTGATCCAGCATCATAATTGTGCTGTTGTGCTTCCTGCTGATCGGGGGGAATACTCTTCGGGTATGCGTATGGGTATGGGTATGTTGGACGAGGTAAAAAGCCACGCTATGCCGGTGTCGACGGTGCGGGCTGCGATGCTGATACGGTGTAACTCGCTTCTGCGGGGCCATTCGTGCGTGAGGATGCATGTGGTGGAGGGGATTCTGAGCCTGTTAGAGAATGATATGACGCCTGTTGTTCCGCTGAGGGGGAGTATTTCTGCGTCTGGGGATTTGACTCCCCTCGCGTATATTGCGGGTGCGTTGGAGGGGAATCCGGATATCATGGTGCGGTGTTCTGATGGACGGATGGTTTCGTCTCAGCAAGCGTTAGAGGAGATAGGACTGGCTCCGGTTGAATTCAACGCGAAAGAGGGGCTGGGGCTGCTTAATGGAACGGCGTTTAGCTGCGGCATGGCAAGTTTGGTTCTGTTTGAGGCGAATCAGCTTGTCCTGTTGGCGCAGGTGTTGACGGCGATGGGGACGGAGGCGTTGCTGGGGACGAGATACAACTATCACCCGTTTATTGGGGATGTACGGCCTCACGAGGGCCAGAAGGAGGCAGCGGGGAATATGTTTCGCTTTCTGGGGGACTCGAAGATGGTGACGGGGGCGTATCTGGGATCGACAGGGCTGGCGCAGGATCGATACGCACTGCGGACGTCAGCGCAGTGGATAGGGCCTCAGTTGGAGAATTTAAAGCTGGCATTGTCGCAGGTTACGACGGAGTTGAACTCGACGACGGATAATCCGTTGCTGGATGCAGAGAAGGAGGAGGTTCATCATGGCGGCAACTTTCAGGCTGCGTCTGTGACGTCCGCGATGGAGAAGACCATGACAGCGATGCAGATGATCGGACGGATGGTGTTCTCGCAGTGTTCGGAGATTATCAATCCGATGCTGAATAAAGGATTACCGCCGAACCTGAGCGCGGATGATCCCAGTTTATCGTTTGCGTTGAAGGGCGTGGATATCAACATGGCGTCGTACATGTCGGAACTGGCGTATCTGGCGCATCCGGTCAGCAACCATGTGCAGTCTGCGGAGATGCATAATCAGGGGCTGAATTCGCTGGCGCTGATTGCGGGACGGTATACCGGGGAGACGGTGGAGGTGGTGTCGTTGATGATGGCGACGTATCTGTATGTGTTGTGTCAGGCGGTGGATTTGAGGGCAATGTATGGGGAGTTTGTACGGGGGGTCAAGGGGGAGGTGGAGGCTGTCACTGCTGAGCTGGCTGGCGATGAGGGGATTCAGGGAGTGTGGCAGGAGGTGATGGGTCATTGGGATGCGAACAGCACGAGGGATTTGGCTGATCGGGCTGAGGTGGCAGTGGGTAACTCGATTGGGGTTGTTGTGAAGCTATCCAGAGACATACAAAGTGTCAACGAGTGGAGAGACAGGACGGTGAGGATATTGAGAGAGCGATACGATGAGACCAGAGAGGGTTTCTTCAAGCGTCAGACGACCAAGAAATATCTCTGCAGTTCGTCCAGGAAGCTGTATATCTTTGTTCGCGAGACGTTGGATGTTCCAATGCATCGAGGATTGATTGACCATCCCACAATTCAGCCCCAGCAGGGGAAGAAGTCGATTGGGAGCTATATTAGCATTGTGTATGCTGCATTGAGGGATGGGCAGATGAGGAATGTTCTTTTGGATGTCTTTAATCTATAGATCAATTCCTTGCACTATTCTACGCACGGAAACCGACTATGATGGCATTCTACCAGCAGCAAGTGAAGTATGTCTTACTGAACATCTTTTGAAGGTCCAATATTTTTAAGCCAGTTAAAACAAGAAGAACAAAGTCCTTGGCCAAACCAAAGAAACTGATTTCAGATTAGTAACATTCTCTCACTGCCAATTCGGTCCATATATGGTCAATGACTAGAAGACTGTAGACTCTGTTAGTCCTGCTTCCCTAATCCTTAAGATGACTTACTGCTCAGTCGTCTGGACCGCATGATTTCATCGCCAACCGAGGATTGCTGGACGGATGCGATGGCCAGCGACAGCCGCTTTTTCATATCCGAACTGCCTTCAAACCACTTCCACAGTTCATCCACGGCTTGGTCCATGTTGGCCACGCCTGCTTCCGGGTAATCTTTGGAATTGATGACGCTCCAGTACAGCCAGTACGCGCGATCCGGGCTTGGGGACGATCCGTTAAACTGCCACAGCTTGGGTCTTCCTGCCCTCTGCGCCAGGGCATCATGCACCTTGACAGCCTCCAGCAAGATGGCTCGTCGTCGACCATAATCGCCGGTCAGTTTCGCATCCCTCACCATGTTCTGGATCCTCCGCCAATTCGACACCTCTGTTTCCCCCGTGGGCATATGGCCGGTGAAGATGTGATTCAAGAAGCCCAACACGTCGGCGGCCTCGCCCGGTTGGGCGGATTTCTTCATCCAGCTCTGCACAAACGGCCGCAACGCTTTGGGCGAGTCCAAGGCCACCGACTGGATCACGATAAACAGGATGTCCATCGGACCGACGGCAAAGGCGCCAATCTCGGCCAGATTCTTCTGCAGAAACGCGCCCAACTCGTAATGGTTGGTGAACGTCTGTTTGAGATACGAGACGCGTAACTCGCCCGCATTCTGCAGTTGGCGGAGAAACAACTCACTCACATTCACCAGGCCATTGATGCCATCCAGGATCTGCAGCTCATTCTGCGAGGGCTCCCCGTCAATGGCCTTGTAGCCGAGATCATGATTCACCTCGGACCAGGCATGCATCAACACCGATGCCACTTGGACCTCGATGGGGACATGAATCAGGGCATCGACCGGTGGTGCGCCACTGCATGGCCCATGGGGAATCTCACTGACTTCGCTGAGCTGTTCTCGGCGTAACTGGACTCGATAGTGGTCTGCCCGATACCCTTGGAATTCCCGCTGGTACTCATGGATGACCGCCGAGTCCTCTTCTCTCGGAAAGCGGATCTCGTCGTTGACGTGGAAGAGACGGCGAATGAGGTTCTGCACTTTGTGGCGGTCGTCCGGGAAATACACGGCAATGCGCACGCCAGCCAGATCCACAATGTCCGTTTTGATCGATTTCCGATCCGGGTATCCTCCTGGTCGCCGTTGCAGTCGTTGGAGTAGCTTTTCCCTCAGCCGCTCGGGGCTCTTTGCACGATACGTGGTGATCTGGCGGATGCCTTGCGAATCCAGGGCTTTGATGCACTGGCTTCGTGCAATCGCAGCTGCCCGATCGTACATGTACCATGTTTCATAATATTCCTCCACAAAAGCGTCTATAAGACGGACTTGGTCTGCTTGGTTGGCCATGGTGAAAGCCAGTTGATGCTACGAGTCTGCCAGTTTCTACAAAGCAACCTGACCATCTTTATAGCATCTTTATAGCATCTGCCCCGCAGCTGTACCTGGTTTTGTTTATTTCAAAGCCAAACCTAGACACACGATTTCTAACCACTTGGTTCTAGACCAGACCTTTTGTACTGGATATCAATCAACTGTCACTTTGCCACTGTCGTTCCCGCTATCAGCCACACTCGAGTCGGGAATCTATCTCATCCTCTGCTAAGTGGGTCGATTCGGCTCTAGAATCTCAGGTGAAATAATCGTGAGGTCTATCCTTTACCTATGCACCTGTATAGATATAAGTATATCAGTGGTTTGAATCTTATGTTATATTTGAGTTTTTCATGCCATGTTGTCAACGTGGTCATCGTGATGCAAGACTGTATCGACCAACGGACTAGAATGTTGGTCAGAATGGTGGAAGCATTGATTTGTTCCATCGAGCCATGGTTCAGGCCATCTTCGTGGACTTGGCTTTGAAAGTTGCCACATGTTCCCCTCGCCCTGAGCGGGTCTGATATTCCGGAATAGTTCTATCGTCTATATTCTATCATATCGAAATACGGCGTTGTTATATGCACATTTCCATCCAAACGGGACTCCAAAAGAGATGATCTTCTCTTTCTGCTTCTCTGGAAGAGAGATTGTGATGGACTGTCTGGCCAGCTGAAAACATCTGGCCAGGATAAAGTCCAGCTCTTCATTCGACACAAACTGCAGGCCGGAAATGCAGAAGATGTGATCGAATGGCTCTGTCTGGCGAGATAGATATGCCACCATATCCTCATGGACACGATCTGTATATCTGCATCTCTCCAGCATCTTCTTGGATATATCCACGCCTGTTCTACTGAACTGCTTCAGACACCGTCATCCACCACACGCCAGATCTAGTATCCTCCCTTCGACATCAAACAGTTCAGCTTCATAAATACACCCTGGGGAACGACTGCACCGCAGCTTCTTCTGGATGAGCTGGTTAATGGTCTTGAACAACCGTTGACTGAACTCTTACCAGACATTGCGATGGCGTTGCAGGCTGGCAGGACAGCCGGTTCACTTGCCTCTCTCATGACAGGCTCAGGATCGACATGTGTCTTTCTGGCCAACGATGAACAACATGCAGCAAAGTTGGTCACCATCTTGCGGAAAAAAGACATCTTTAACAGGTTTCCATCGCAGTCGGTCCAGTACAAGGAGTGCAGATAAAAAAAGATATGAAACATGGTATTCAATAAAACAATCAAATCTGAGATATCAAGTCGTCTAGGGTAATGACTGGTAAATGGTACATGCTTCTCTTCCAAAAGCCCAGAATCTCTGTATAATATGCTCAAACGTGTATCATGATTCAAACTCAACTGTCTTACTGAGAACTCCTTGTTGATCAGACGCTCCTTCTTGCTTCTCCCCACTGCCTTCAGCCGCTGTTGTCTTTTCATCGTCCTTATCCAGAAGTGATGCTTCATCCTTACCGCGCACACTGACAACTTCGGCTCCCTCAAGCAAGTCTCGATCGGCTTCGCGGACGCTCCTTTGTTCGGGGTCTGCGCCATACGCCCCTGCGCCCCAGCTGGAGATACCGCCAACGATGGACGGTGCCGGTTGGCCAGCAGTACGGTGGGGATCATAGTCCTCTTCTTCTTCCTCGTCATCCTCCTCACGAACAAGTTCACGTTGCGCCTCGTCCATCTTCTTCTTGACTTCCGCCGCCATGCGGATACCATCAGACACAATGTTATCCAGAACCCCACGCAGACCCTTGCCCGGAGGAACAATTCCTCCAGAGGCTCCGGCGACAGACACGTTAGAGCCGGCATTGAACTGGGGTTTGGCCTGGCCCGCATTGGAAAAGGTAGTGAGGTTAGATGATAGCGAAGTGGATGCCAGTGATGCTGGGTGTGGGTGCTCTCCGAGTCGGAATGATTGAGGGAAGAAAGAATCGAAAAACTGTTCCAGAAGTTCATCGGCCAGAATCACCATGCGGAAAGTCGGAAGTGTAATGTGCAGGGGGTTGTTGGGATCCAGGGCAGGGTTGGCGGATTCGGTTGCATGTCGGTCCTGCTGGTGCTGGTGCTGCTGCTCGCCAGCTTGGCCATCTTCCTTGGGTTCAGTGGAACTTTCTGGCTTTTCTTCATCAATGTCGATCAGATCATCTTCATCATCTCCAATACTGAATGCCCCAAGTTTGTCCGCTGTATCCTCCGCATCCTTGTTTTCACTCTTGTCTTCCGTGCCCTTATCCTCTGACCCTGGACCTTCTGGCACGCTGGGGTCCGCATACTCAAAGCAGCGGCGGATAAATGAACTGACACTCCCCAAGAACCTTTCATCCGTGCTCAACTTATCTTGTTCCATTTGGCGTTCATTCCCGCCATTCGGCTCGTCCAATGACTGGCTGGGTGTGATAGTGCCGTCAAATCCCCGTCTTGACAGGAAGAGCAAAGCCTCGGATATCCTAAGTATTCCCTCTCGATCAACCCTGCCATTCCCACTGTCATCATACAGATCGAAGAAATAGTTGATGTTGTTCATGATATCGCGCGGGCCCTTGAGGCGTGCGAGTCCATTTACTACGTCTTGCAGGCTTAGCCCCTCAGACGGATCCTTAGCCCATTTGCGGTACAGCCGTTGCATAAACTCATGATCCGCAGGTTCGGCCCGGCTAGTTGGCGCCTTGCCAAAACCTCTGAAACCATACAAGGTTTGGTCGGCTGCGGACTCTTTTCGTGAAGGTCCAGGCGAGTCGCCTTTCGCCCATTTTGAGGTACTCGCCAGGAAATTCCTGAACGCGTCATAGTCCATATGGCTAGGGCTTGGACCAAGACCGACGCGGCCGACTTCTGCATCGGCGGGAGGTCCGAGAATCGACACTCGTTCGGCCTTCTTCTTTTCCTGGCGTCTCTTCTCCTCCTCGACGACCCTCTGCTTTTGCTGGTGATCATAGAGAATTTCGTAGAACCGGTCGTAAATAATTCCCAGATCATCCATGCTAAGGCGTTTGCTGTCTGGTCCCAAGTTTCGAATGGAGGTGCGCTTGGCGAAACTTTCAATGTTTTCCAACACTGCGTCTTTATGTTTGTCACGCTGCTCAACAATGGTATTGTGCGTGATACCCGAAAACTCCTTGAATGCCACAACCATCAGTTCCTGGAAACGTGTGATGGCTCTCAATTTCGGATTCTCAGAGCGCGGGTGGGCGGATTCATCCAGGCGAGAGAAATAAGACTTCAACACTGAAATGAACGACCCGTCATCCTGCACGTCCAGCAACTCTTCTCCGTTGACTCTGAGAATCGCCAAGCCGACCTGGAACAGGACCTTTGGCCCCTCAAGGAAGAATACATCCAAGACTCGGAAAGCAAACACCAGCGGCATAGAGTTGATGTAAAGTGAAAGGAACCAGGGCAGCGAGACAACAGAAAGCTGCACATCAGACTTTCCGAGATGTTCCCACAGAATAGGCATTGTTTTCTCCACGAGGGATTCAAACACCTTCTGGTCGAGCAAGGTTCCGTACATAGTTGTCGAATAATAACCAGGCAGAAGACGGTCGCACAGAACGGACAGTAAGAAGAATGCCTGGTCTTCGGACATGTATCTGATTGAATGGTCAGTGTTCGCTGGGCGGGGAAAGGATAAGAAACACCAACATTAACAAAGCTGCAACGACGATATTCATGGCCTGGCAGTAGCCAATCTCTGCATTGGTCCAACTATAGGCTGTAAGGACCCTCCGTAAGCGCCCGATGCCTTCCTCACTTTGGAATCCAGGATACTCTGGTAAACTGCGATTGAGATCCTTTTCGATTTCATCAATGGCGAGAGACTCTTGTCCTGAGAATTTGGACAGAGTTTGAGTGTATAGTTTCGGTGACCTCAGCCTAAGGTATAGAGAGCCGGAGCTCAGCTCCCAAATCTCTCCACGCAAGCGATTCGGAAGACCAACCCTGATCAGCTTGTGAAACGTGGGTTGTCTAACCAGAGTCGCATTGCGACCATTTTCTAAGTTTGATGAGCTTTGGAATACGTCAGCCAACGGAAGCAATTCGTACCTCTAAAGTATTCACCCCATAATCGCATTTTACTTCTATCGCGAAGCTTGCGAGCATCTCCGGGGTAGCGGAAGATCATGCCCAGTCCAGCATCTGGTGGTTGACGCTCACCCGAGCCGCCTTCTTCAGTTTTTGATTTTGCCCCAGAGAGCAAGTACTCCGAATAACAGTCCGCTACGACTATGCGTAGGTTCTCTATTTCCTTCATGCCTTCCCGCAATCCTTTCTTCAGGCCATCGCAGAATCGTTCACAGGCCTGCCTGCTTCCAACTAACTGGATGGTAAATCGCTGCGGAACGAAGTTGGGTTCCTGCTGCTTCCCCAATGCGCCGTTCCATGTTGTCAATGCGAGTGAGAACACATGACTCAAACTATTCAACCGCTCGACTCGGCGGATGCAACAAAGCGGGATGGTAAATCCATTGCCCGAAGGTCCAGTGCCGTGAGTCTGACCGGTCCAATGGGTTGAAGCACTCAGGCTCGCCGAAGGTACGAAGCTGGTAGGCTGGGTAGAAAAGCAAATGAATCGTTCACTCAGATGCAGCCTTCCCGCGTAGCGATTGCCGGAACGGTCCAGCCGATCACCCGAGGTCGCAGAAGAAGTATGAGGGATTGGAAGGATTAACTCGGCTGTTATCTCTTGTAATGGATTTTGGGAATCGGGAAGACGGAATTGCTGGCGAAACAAGGAAGCTTTGGAGGGGTTGCGATCGGAGGAATTGAGGGTTGGTATGTTGAAGTTAGCCGGGTCAATCAAAGACTGAGCCTTCTGGACGAAAGACGTCCATTGCATCATGATGCCGGTGTGGGAGGCCAGATTCAGGGACTAGTAGGAGAGGAGTTGGAGAACAATCGAGGGCCGTTAGACTAAAGACGTCGGGGAGAGTTCGGCGGGAGGTTAATGAAAGCTTAGAAGCCGGGGCAATGATTGCTATGCAAAGGTGCCCACAGATGGTAAAATACGCAAAAAAAAGTCATTTTAGAAACGAGCGCAGCATCTTTAGAAGGGGTTCTCGAGTTGCGACCCGCCAGGGGGAATCAAGTGAAGAAGATGATGTTGGATGGCGGAGGGGAATGTTGCCATCATCAGTGTTCCTGGCAGGCATCCGCGAAGCCCACGTGACTTGCTGCGGAGGTGAGACATCGGATGCGATCATGCGGCAGTTAAAACCACAGAGATAATAATGCAGAATATAGTTTGGGATCTACTACTTGTATGTAGAATCATGCAGGAAATATGTATTCAATTTATTCGAGCGGCAAAGCTGCCAATGGAGACCGACGTAGTACGCTAGAGTATAGGAAACAGGGTTGAAAGGAGAGTGAAACTCGTCAGATGAAGAATGAAAGAGTTATGTGTATGAAAAACAAGTGGTTTCAAACCAACATCGAAGAAAAAGACATGAGAAAGAGGGAAAAGAAAAGAAAATAAAGCATAATGTGACCTATCCGCTACAGTTCCATGCCAAGTAGACTCCATGTAACATTTATGTTTTGTACGCGCCCAGCCGATATCTGAATCAGATAATCATTTTGATCAAGCATTTCCTTCGTGGTTCTATTAGTTCTTCGAGTCAACTGGGTGCTCTGAAGCATCGTCGGTGTAAGGTGGGAGTTCATCGGAAGCATCAGCCATCAGACCCTGCTTCTCAGACACAGTTCCCCGCTCCTCATTGGAAACCGACTGCTGAGAGCCACCACGGCGGTAACGGAGCCACAGGAATACAACGGCCTGGCCAACGAGCATACCGAGAGCACTAGCTGCGAGTCCAGCCAGAACACCCAAAATGGCGGGAATAACAATGAAGCGGACGACACGGGAAATGGTGCGGTCCAAACCACCGTGGTGCATGTGGTGCGCGTGGTGGTGGTGATGGTGCGAGGGGCCAAATCGATCAGGGTGGTCCTCAGGGGCGAAGGTAGGCTCGCCATCAGGCCCGGGGAAGGGGAAACCTGGGGGACCATGGTGAGGTCCATTGGCGTGAGGTCCACGGTGGCAGCCCTTAGGTCCAGCCAGTCTCGATCCCATGCGCATCATACGGTCCTTTGCGGAGGCGAACAAGCTGCGCATACGGTCAAACAGAAGCTTTCTCAAGCAGTTCGGCTTTCCGCGGCACTGTCTCCACGAGATGCTGTCGAGGCCGGTCTCCTCGATATCGGTCTTGGCGAGATAAAGGTCGCCCTCGAGGTTGTGGATAAGGGTGATAGAAACGGTGTCGAGGGGAACGGGGTGTCCATCCAAGTCGAGGACGGTGAATCGGATCGAAAGGAGCTCCATTCCAGGTTCTTCGGGGGGAGAAGCCAGAGGGATCATCTCCAGCGCATATCCCAGCGGGATGGGTTCGGATTCCTCGCCATCAGATTCGCGACGCTGAACGGCGTCGATACGGGCGGGAGGAGGGGGAGGGAAGATCTGGCGACCGTTGGCCAACAAGAAGCCATCTTCAACGGAGAAGCTCAACGACTGTGACAGTCAATATACTGGGTTCTAGTGTGATTAAGAAAGGGATCCACTTACGAGAGACGTTTCGAAGCCGTCAGTCCAGCTGACTTTTCCATCTTCATCAACTTCCCGGAATGGACATTCAGTGCAGGCCAGCTCAACCTGCTCCTGATGAGCGATCTGTACATCCACGGGATGAATGTCCATCAGATCATCCTTGGGAGGAGGAAAGACATCGCCCTCGATTTCAGGGACGACGAACGCATTGGCGCCTAGGGCGATAGCGCCACCAAGAACAAAAGAACGAAGGTGCATGGTCGGGAAAATAGGTTAAACGATGGACATGAAGAAGCGTGATGAGAAGACAAGAGAAGAAGTATCTTTCTTCGATGACAAGATCAAGCGTTGATGAAGGGCGATGAAATAGATAAAACTGATCGACCGTCAGGAGGGGGTTGACGAATGCTTCCAGGAGCGATTGGGAAGGGATAAGAGCCCGGCGACAAGAATGCGACAACGCGATTGGTTGGAGGCGCGCCGGGGCGGAGCTGGTGACGCAAGTCTATTCGCGGCACTACGCCGGATCAGGGATGGTTCGTTCCGATACTGGGGCCTTGGTGCCTGAGGCAGCAGCGCTATCACGTGGGGGCAATTGCCCGAAATAGATTGTGCATGAAGCTTTTGACGATGACGACGACGATGATGTTGAGGAATTATTATTATTCGTGGATATGAGGCAGGCTCAGAACGAGAATCAATAATAACTAACTGTCAAATATAACTGTCAAGTATAACTGTCAAGACAAATGATATCAACGAAAACACATCAATGCTCATCCCAGTGTCGTACGGTCAAAAACCAACTTCTCAACGTCATAGGCCAGACTCTTCAAAAATCGAATATCAGGACCTTGGCCTCGCTCCAGATGCAACATAGTGTATGGAGGTACTTCGTTGTGTTCCATCCACTGACGATGATCCTTCTTAGTGTACCACAGGTATATGCACAACCCAACCAAGATGACTATCCTCCACCACTCCTGTCCACTGAACTGATATGATTGCTGCATTAACCGCCCAGACTGACCTCCAATCTGCATTTCTACGCTTCTGTACTCTCCATGGCCATGACAGGCGTTAGACCGGCCACTCTGCTCAACGTGTGATGGGGATGTGGTTGGCAAGAGTGCACCCGTCTCTGCCGTGAAAATCGATGTTCCAGCTCCATGATAATCACTGCGCTTGGGCTTTATGATGTCCTGTTTTCCCATGAAGAGCGGCGGGGATCTGAAACTCCATCGAGGTTTCATCGTGTACGGTTTCGGAAGGTAGACTGGGTCATCTGACGTCGGAGGGACTGTGCTGAGCTTCATCGGTGGTTCGGCTTCCACACCCTTCGATATCTCAAGGGGGTTGCTTTCCTGAACTTTGTTGGGTTTCATATCGATGTTCCCTTCGATCTGAGTTTCAAGAGAATTCACTCGAGGATGTTCTGATTTCGTAGGTGGTGATATCACCGGCTGCTCTTCGGTCTGGACTGCCTTTGAAGCCGGTGGGGTTTCTTTTATGTCATCTATAACCTCTATATTCTGATCGGGCTGTTCAGATAGAGGCTCTTTTGGCTGGGGTGCACATTTATCATCGCTGATCGACAGTCCTTCGAACCTCGTCGTGAGGGATTTCGGGCTCCCTTTATCGGACATACCGCAGAATTTGCAAACCTTGGCATCCCTCTGTGTTGCAATAACTTCTTGATCCTCCTCGGACAAATCATCCTCATCATCAGATATTGCGTATCTCCGTCGTTTACGCGATGGCAGCTTTTGTTCTGATCTGGTATCTCCTGTCGAATGGCTCGACATAGACAGCGAAGGATTACTTGGTTGAGTCCTATCCAAATCCATAATGCTTAACACGCTTGAAGCGATCGATTCGGTGTCGCTGATAATCCGTGCTTCCTGTGGTATATATTCAATCTCATCTTCGGATCCAGACGAGTAACTGGTGTCCGAGGTTTCCTCGGTTTGTTCGGATTCTCCAGACCCAGACCTTTCAGACCTGTCCTCGTACACAGTTTCGCTTTCTGTGGGATCCGTGGACTGTGAGGGTGGTCGTGTTGACTGAGTGACATCTAGTCCTGAATCTGACCCAGACTGATCTGTATATTCTTCATTGGAGCCAACGCTTGGGGATTGGTGTGGCCCTGTCACTACTACTCCTGGTCTGTATAAGTGTGCATTGGCATCCGTTAGTTGGTGTTGATATTGAATGTAAGGCCTTGTCTGAGAAACAATCGAGTCGTGATAACTTCCTTGAAACCGACTTGACTCGGGAACAAGACTCGGAGACCGCGAACACAGGTCCATCTGGTGTGCATAGTTTGCGGTAGGTAGGCCAGGATACTGACCGTGATGCGACTGGGAATCCGACACATCCTCCATTTCCTCGTCCGAAATAAGTGATTGTGATCGCTGGCTCTGCATTTGTGCCCGGACATGCTGAAGAGCCGAAGCCTGGCTGTACCCCCGCCATGATTGACTGGAAATTTTGGCGATCAGCCCTGAAGCTCTAGCCACTTGTTGCCGTAATACTTCATTCTCGTCTTCCAGATTCTGTACATACTGCTGTACATCGTAGCCCAATTGCTTCCGCTCCTCGTGATAAAACGATACCTCGTTCCTCAGCCTCTCCAGCTCAGGATTCGTCTTGTCTTGGTTGTCCTGAAACTCTCCCATCATGATACCACGAGCAGCAACCTCCTCTTCCAAGCCCCTTTGCTTTTCGAGACCTAACACGAGCCGTTTCGAAAGCCGCTCATTCTGTTCCTTGAGATCCTCATTTTCGTTCAACAAGTTGCCGATGTCGACATCGTCGTCCTTGGCTTGTTTCTCCATCCTCCTCATCCGCTCATCATCTTTCTTCTTCGTTTCACGAATCTCCTCCAACTCCATCTGCAGCCTGTCGTTATCATCTGCAAGATCCTTCATCATCGCCTCCTGATGCTCGTATCTGCGGTCGGATTGTAACGCTTGATACTGATATCTGCGGTTTTCCTCGTTCTGTTCAGCCCATTCTTGCCGGTAGAATTCAGCCCTCTCCTCGTGGTCGACGGGGTCGTGGTTATTGGGTCCTCTTACCTTTCTCCGGTGGTGCTTGCCAGGCATATCGGGTGTTGTATAGTCAAAGGGGTCTTCTATGGAAGAATAGGGTGGCATGGTTGTAAACGGTAGTAGATTTGGGGAATGTAAGTAAGACAATTCGTGATAAATGGTGATGGAGACATCCGTGGGCATTGTGGTGATATATATCTACGTCTTCAGTCCTTTGTCTCCTTTGGATGGGAAATGTCCACAAACCCTTTCATCTATTTGACAAAGAGTTGATTGTGACTATTCTGGTTTGTTTCATCTCGAATCTTACAATAAATATGCCTCTTCGCCGTCTTCTAAAATATATAAATGCCATTCTAGTCTGTCTTGCTGAGCTACAATGTACCCTAAAGCCATACAGGGATTTATTTATCATGGCATACACTATATTATCAAAAGAATATTCTCGATGCTAATGTCTGGTTGGCCGTTTCATTGCAAAACAATCATCTCTTTGCCCTTGACTGGCAGATGACTAGACGCTCATTATACTCAGTCTCAAATTTTATTGTCAAGACGAACAAAGAATGATTGTCTGTTCTAAACCAAGTCACATACTTTTTTTATTAAAATAACACGTTCGAGATGCATTGTTCTGAATTAGCAAAGAGCGGCTCGTCTGTCTTTGTCCTAGTCTGACCCGAAACAAAACAATGATGAAACAAATATCGAATGAATGCAATATTACAGCAAAGGCTCTATAATGATGTCTCAATACTCCATACTCAGACAGTTCTATCTATTAGCCCCTCAAAGTTTGGACTTTTGTCCCTTGACGTTTTGAACTGCGTCCCCGGATAGGAGGAAATCGGGGTATGTTCGCTTTCCGGCTGAGCCGGGAGTGCGCCAGGATGCGCCGTCGACTTTGAATGTTAGTGTTTGTATCAAAGAGCATAGAGATAGTCCAGTACTTACCAACGAGAACTTGTCCACTGACATAGCTGCCGGTGTTTGAGAACAGGTATACGGTTGCGTCTGCAATGTCGCGGACTGAGCCAACACGGCCCAGAGGCTGGGATTTAACGTAGGCTATTTTCTCGTCCGTGGGGAGAAGACGATCGAGTCCCTATAGAGATCAGCTGGAAGTCTAATATATGTATCATGGAAAGCAACATACCTCTGTCGAAGCAATTGGTCCTGGGGCAATGATGTTGGATGTCACGCCCAGGGGGCCATATTCGATAGCGACACTGTGCGACAAGGCATCGATACCGGCTTTGGCAACCGACACGTGAGCCTGGTATGGTGAACCCTTATAGTGGAGTGTTGCACTGATGAAAATGATGCGTCCACCGGTGCCCAGTGGGGAGGGGTTGACTAAATGTTCATCAGTAAGAGCCATCCTCAGCGTCGCGTTAACTTACGAGTCTCCGAGTCGACTCTGTGCTTCTTTGCTGACTCGACCAGATAGGGGATAGTCGCTTTCAGAGTGTTGTAGGAACCCAGGACATCAATATCGATGACGGACTTGAATGCGTTGGCGGAGAGCTGGTTGATCGAAGCCAGGAAGTTTCCCGCAGCACCAGCACTGGAAACTATTAGCATGAGGATATTTCTGGTTTAGACAAATCATACATGACAAAATCAATTCCCCCAAGCTCCTTGACACAGCGAGCCACTGCGTCTTGGAGACTCTCGACCTTACGCACATCCACGGCACCGACGCCGATGACCTTGGCCCCCGGACGGACCGTCGCAATGTCTTTGGCTACGCTCTCGGTCTTTTCGACATTTCTGCCCACGATGCACGCATTTGCTCCAAGACGGACCATCGCGCGAACCTGGGCGCTGCAGATGGTGCCGGCTCCACCGGTGCAAAAGACAACCTTGTTTGCTGGCGACGGTCAGTTAGGAGTTGGTTGGCTGGGGGAGAGACGATACTCACCGAACAGGCCGTCTTTCCAGGAGTCGCTCATGTATTCGATCTGAGGGATCGGCATGTTGAATACTTTTTAATTTGTATGTCTATTTGATTATTAGGAAAGATTGTTGTTTGATGGATTATCGCAAAGTTGAAGCAGAGATGGATGGACATTGTCACTTGTCACACTGGCTTTCCCCACAGCGTCAAGTGCCGCGGCTGTTGGACGGTCATTCGGTCTGTAACCTCGGACACCACGATTCATCTTGAAGAGTATCACTAATCGATATATAGTTTTGGATTAAGATATGATAGTGTCTTATTTTCATGAAGATCTCTGGTTATCTATACATTTCTGGAAATATGATGTTGAAGCTACGACGCAGTATATGCGACCGATACAACCAACACTAGCGCTAACACTTAGGTTATTAGTATTCCTATCAAATATATCAAAATATAGAATTCATAGATGAAAAATAAACAATTATTTCTGTTTATCCCATCTTCTATTCGTTGCATATCGTCGTCTAATTGCCGTGCTGCGATTGGACCAGCACCAATTCAGGTTCCGACGTCACTTTTCGCTCTCCACCTCCAACACATCAAAACACAACTTCTTCCTCAGCATCAACGCCATCTTCTATCTTAACCAGCTTCCCCTGCTGGTTTCCGAGTACTCGATAAAAAGCCTCTCCCAACTTCTCAATCCCACCTCTCCTATCGCGTGGCATCCGCCACTTTCCACGTTCAAGTCGTTTCGCGACAGTCGACTCCATCATGGCGTGTCCCATCACCGTCACCAAATTCGTTGGAACTGTTTCCCTGGGTATCCTGACGGTATGAATAAACACACCTTATTTCTGCAAGAATCATCCATTAAATGCGCTATTACCCATCCCATACAATCGCGTCGTTTCTCATATCGCGACAGCCATCAAATCCCAATCCCGAGACTAACAAATTTGATCTCAGGGCCTCTCATATTCCACATCCACCATCACCGTCCCCTCTCTGCAACTCCTCCCTACCTCCGCTAATGCCGCTCGCTCTCTCAATGAAGTGAAGCGCCTGAACCGCAAACATGGCCTGCGCCTCGCCAACCTCACCAACGGCTGCCTCCTGTTCGCGTACTGCATCTCCCCGAAACATCGCAAACACCCCTATCTAGTCTGGATGTGCGTGACATCCACCCTGGCCTCGTACGGCGTCGACCTCTTCTTCAACAGACAAAAGGGTTTCGTGGCTTGGATTCAGAGCGTCGCGCAGGACGTCGGATGTGGCCGCCTTTGCCGCAAGTCTGCTGCGAAGAAGGATGAGGATATTGTTCTCGTCGAGGCGGAGGAGAATAATGTCAATGGCGAGATTATCCAGCAGGAAATGACCCGTGAGCGTAGACTGAACTGTGCCAGAGCCTGGTTTTCGGGTCTTGGACTTGCTATGGGAATCGTGGGACTTTGGGGTGACAAAAAGTGAATTGCTTTGAATTACATGGACTCTTCGGTATTCAGACATCTTTCAGTCTGAACTGAGTGCCGTCTGTAGTGGCCATGGGAAGTGATTCTGATCATGGCCTGTGGATTCTACACTGACCCCATGATGCAGTCACACTGACATCTCTATTATCTTCTATACTGTCTTTTTTCTAGTTTGTCATAATTCCTTTTTGTCATTTATGGGCTATGTATACTTGAGTCTATTGCTAGGTACGGTGTTGGTTGACTACAAGCGAAATGAAATTATAATCTCAAACAATAAAAAACCACTGTCCCAGTACGAATACTAACATGATAGATTCAATTCAAATGGTACATATGTGTTCACGCCTGAGGCATAAAGGCATCAAGGCCTCAAGCAACACGTGCACACCTTCCTTTTTGGCCAAACCCTCCTTTCCTGGCCCTTATTCAGATCAAGTCTCAGCCTATTGTTCACTCGTCCATCGGGCATAATACGTCTCCAGACACTCTGAAAAGGGTTTGAAGTTGACAATCTCCGGCCACGCTGACAACGCCCTTTTCAAGTTGTCCGTGTCATAACGAGCGATAGTCTCACCCTGGTCCCCCCACCACAGCTGCCCAATATCGAGACGCTCGCGAAGGAGAGGAGCCACAAGGGCTTCATTGTGGCCTTGTGTTTCCGAGAACTTGGTTAACCATTCCGCAGCAGGGATACATCGCAAGGGCGAATCGCAGAGCCTGCTGATGGTTTGAAAGCATTCTCTAGCCATTATTGTCCGGTCCTGATCTGGCTGGACTACGTTGAAAGCCTGTCTGAGGTTATCGTTGGACTCGGACACGCGCAGAATGGCAGAGCAGACAAAGTCGATAGGGACAGACTGGACACGCTGCGCAGGAGGGTCAGCATAGAATCCCATGCGAATGCAGTTGGACATCATTCGAGCGAAGAGGTCCTTTGGATTGCCGATTCCGGTGGCACTGTGTCCGGTAACAACACCAGCTCGATAGATAGACACGGGAAATCCGTTTGAAATGGCGTTCCAAGCAACTGTTTCTGCGACAAACTTGCTTTGGGTATGTCCGACATGTTGCTTGATATAAGCCATATCCAGAGGTGGCTGCTCATTTTCTGGTATCTTCATTCCGGCCAGAAGCCCTGACGGACCCCAGACATTGATACTGGAGCAGTAATGGACTGGCTTCAGGCGCTTCGTGTTCGCAAAATTCAAGATATGCGTCAGTCCGAGGACGTTAGGTCGTCGGTGATCCGAATAGGGAAGAATATAGTTGACCATCGACCCGAAATGGAATACCACGCTTGCCCATTCTGCAAGCTGATCAAAACGCTCCTGTCCGAGGCCAAATGTTGCGTCACTCAAGTCTCCCGGAAGAACAGTCACCTTTGATTCAAAATCCATGACCACACCATGCTGGCCGACAGACTGTTTGAGCCGAGACATGCCACTTGTAACATCTTCGGCTCTCACTAGACAAGCAATCTCTTTGACAGATGGCAGCTTGCCCAGCATTACAAGCAAATAGGATCCGACAAACCCGGTAGCTCCTGTCAAAAAGACTCTTCCTTCAGATGCCGAACGCCAATCTAGAGCCGGAGTGGGAATTGGGTGAATGCTTTTCCCAAGCTCCATGTCTTCCAGGAAGAGCTTGAGCTCATCCTCTTCAGTCGGAGGTGCAGTTAGGTCGGCATCAAAGCCCTTACCGGACGTGTGTTTCTCACGAAGGGTTTTGATGGTGAGTTTACCTAAACCACCCACTGTCTCCGAGTTTGCAATATCGCCCAGCGAGACCTCGATGCCTACGTGTCGACGGAACCAGCTTCGAATCTCGATGGTCATCAAAGAGTCGATCTTGATCATAGCCAGCTCCTCGTCCGTCATATCGTCCGGCGAGGACATCTGTGATGCTATCTTGAGTCCGATTTCTCGAGTAATTCGTTTTTCGGTCTCGGGGTCATTCAGAAGCTCGGGGTTGCGTTCAATCGAGGACATAAATTCGCGAAGCCTCGAGCCTTCTGAGTCCGTATGGTTTTCTCCAAGTGTCAGAACATTTTTCCAAAAGCCAGTCCGAGCATCCTTCGACCACATGCCGTGAGCATCAAGGTCTGTAACAGGTTTGGTTGTCCCAAGACCAATCGACATCTGCGTTGGTCCATTCACCCGCGGGGCGAAAATTGCGACCTCCAGGGTCAGGAACAGTTCGGATTCTGTTACGGTGTGAAGATTGATTCTCCTAGCTCTTTCCAAAGTCTGCGGGGAGCTCTCGCTGACGAATCCAATATCCTCCATGACCCCAACATCAATAACGCTCGCTGCAAGCCCCTTTCCATTCCGGTACTTGGTGAAAGCATCCAAAAAGGTATTTGCTGCAGCATAGTTTGCCTGACCAGCGTTACCCATAATGCCATTTACAGAGCTAAAGAGGACAAAGAAGTCCAATTTAGCTTCCCCGAGTGCATGGTGAAGATTCCACGACCCTTGTACCTTGGGCGCCAGCGCCTCCGTCCAGTCTTCATGTGCCATCTTTGAAAAGGAAATATCCTGCAGACAGGCGTCAATAATCACGAAGCTTTGCAGTGTATGGTATAGTTCAACCTACCTTGAGAACCATTGATAGTTGAAGGACTCCGGCAAGTGGCTGGCTGCTTGCAGAAATTGCTCTCTGCACGTCTTCGAACTTGGCTACACTTCCCACAACAACCGTAACCTGACAACCTTGCTGTGTGAGATCCTTGACCAAACTCTTTGCATTAGGAGACTCTCCGCCAGAGCGAGATAAGAACACAAAGTTCCTCGCCCCCTTCTCGACCATCCATGTAGTGATAGCACGCCCAAGACCACCAAGACCACCCACCAACAGGTATGAAGCGTCGGGTCTGAATTGTGTAGTCATTCTGGCTGACGAGATGGACAACAGTGCTGGATCTTCTGGCATCTTGATTACAATCTTCCCCATGTGCTTGCCACTTTGCATCAGCCGAAAGGCCCCCTTTACATCAGCAGCATCAAACACGTTGATCGGTCTTATGGGCATAACTTTTCCTTTGAAGCTCTCGTCGAACTGTGCATAGATCCTAAAAGCTTTGTTAGTGTGACTTCCTGGAAAATTTTTAATGTCTACTCACCTCCTCATGGATTTGGGGTCATGGTAGAACATGTGGTGGAGATCAATCCCGAAAAATGCACGATTCTCCTGGAAAATGTCCATATCCAGTTTTCCATGGCCAAGGAAGTCTCGCTTTCCAAGTTCCAGCATCTTGCCAAACGGTGCCACGCATTTCCAAGAGGCATGCAAAAGCTCGCCAGACAGAGAGTTCAAGACCATGTCAACACCTCTGCTATCAGTCTTGTTGAGTATTCCTTGCAAAAAGGATGTACTTCTCGAGTCAAAGATGTGATCTTCTGGGATTCCCATTGATTCGATCAAATACTTCCTCTTCTCTTCATTACCAACTGTGGCAAAGATCTCTGCTCCCACGACTTTGCATATCTGAATAGCTGCTAAGCCAACACCACCGCAGGCCGAGTGTATCAAAACCGTGTCCTCTTTTTGGAGATTGCCAAGGTTGATCAACGAGTGGATGACCGTTGCGTATACGCATCCAACAGTTGCCGCATCCTCTAGCGAAATCCCTTCAGGTATTTTCCTACACACACGCGCAGGAAGCACCTTTCGAGTTGAGCAGATACCTAGACCCATGACCATGACCCCATCGCCCACTTGTAGATGTGATACTGCTGATCCGACTTTCCTAACGACGCCGCTGCCTTCAAACCCGAGCTCGGTGCAATCCCCAATGAGGCCATGTGCAATCATCATATCCTTCGAGGGTCAGCATTTTGTCTTCTAGCATATAACCAAACTCTGTACGTACTCGAAAGTTCAGTCCAACATAAGAGATATCCACCTCTACTTCGTCCTCCGAAAGCGTGGGTAACGTTGTATCGACCCAATGCAGAGAGTCAATGATCCCATAGGTTTTTATGTCCAAAGCTTTTGATGAACAAGAGTTGTCTTTGCCTCGCAACTGGCTGCCATCAAGCGGGGCCCATTGGTACCGACCCGTGTGAACCATGCCGTCTGAAAGACAGAACTCGCTGTCTGGAGCTAGCCAAGGGCTTTGCTTTTGCCTTTCAATATGCTCGAACACTCTCTTTGTGGATGCTACGGCAGCCATGTCAAAACAGTCAATTTCGAGCGTTGAATAAAGATGAGAAGTCTCATCTCGAACTGTGCGGAAAAATCCCAAGGCCAGACCAAAACGAGGGTCGTCACAATGCATTTGAATTGGTCTTGTCAGCCATAACATGCGCGAGTCATCGGTGGTTGACAGCCAGCCCTTGAAGGCTTTAAAGTCTTCGCCCGATATATCATCCAAAAAGGGACCTGCTAAATCCATGAGACAGATGATATTACTCCTTGATGGAGGGGGCTGCTGTAAAGTAAACCATTCAACGGTGTAGCCGTCGTCAAGAAATGCTTTTTCTAGCGAGCGAGTCCACTCCTTGATGCCTGTGTGATAAAGGAAGGCTACATTTCCCTTGCTAGGGTCCCGAGGTGCCGCAGCCGTGGAGAGCATAGTGGCGTTGGAGTTATAGGGCACGTCGTTGTCGTACCGCACAATATCAGTGCCCGTAAAGCCAGCGTTTATCAACTCATCGTTCCACCTTTCCGGAGAGACGTAAGGCTTGTCTTTGCGGCCATCAGCTTCTCCAAGCCACCAGCCGGGAAGAATTCCCATGATAAAGTCTATGAAGGGGACTCCAGGACATAGCTCTTGGAGCAGAAGCCTACCGTTAGGTACAAGAAGCTTTCGAACATGGGACAGAGTCTGTGAGAGACTCGGTGTCGCGTGGAAGACATTGGCTGCAATGACCAAGTCATAACTGTTTGGCTCAAACCCCTGTTCAGTTGGGTCTTTGCTGATATCGAGAACACTGTATTCTAATCCGGGATAGTTCTTGAATTTCTCCTTGGCTTCCGGGATGAAGCCTGGCGATATATCCGTGAATGTGTATTTGGAGAACCTGCGGCCCGCCTTGCAGTCCAGAAGAGGCTTTAATGCCAGAGAGGTAGCACCACCAGTTCCAGCTCCGATCTCTAGAACCCTGAGTGATGGGTTGGAGTGACTGAGAAGTGACAAGAATGAATCCCAGTCGGATAGGAGAGCGATTTGCTCATAAATCCCACTGAGGTTTTCATCGGCCATGAGAATCTCAAGCGGCTGTGACCGGCCTTCAAGGATATCCTGAATGGAATCAAGAACTCTCTCCGCAACAATGTTGGCATGAAAAACCAATGGATGTGTGTCTGGCGATTTGTCGAAAAGGCCTCTCGCGATCACCATCCGATCAGGGGAGTCGAGGTACTCTTTGGCGGATCTCATCTCGGGCGTCAACTCTGGCGACTCGTTCACAATCTTGTCGTATTGGGCCCCAATCCAGTCTTTATACTTTTGCAGGTGCTCAGAAACCGGACTTATCGATTTGATAAGGTGGAATGTCTCAATGATAATGAGACCCGTTTGAAGTGCCGTGCGACGACCATCATATTGACCCGAAGGAATTGGAAGAAGTTGGTCCTCTGGCGCAACAAAGTCGATATTTGGTTTCCAGTCCAGAGTTGAAAGCAGAGGGGCCCCGGCACCATTGATCAAATCATCTGAGACACGGAAGAAAAAGCCCTTTTCGATGGAAAGAACAACTTCGCTGTCGGATGTTAGAGTGGCATTGCCCGACATGTTACCGCTTATCATCTGACAAAGAACATCAAGAGACATAGGCCCTTGGCTTGATTTGATATAAACCGCGTCAATGGCAATGGGTATGCACAACTGAGTCATCCGCCGCGCGATACCTTGGGTCGCTGCTACGCTAAGAAGCTGCAGGGATTGGTCGATGCAAACTGGGTGAATTGCATATGTAGAAGATGCCTGGAGCTCTTGTCGATCCTGCATTGTGGCGGCAGCACGGTTCTCTGTTGGACTTGCTGAAATTTCTTGTAGCCCTTGGAATTCTGGTCCATACTCCAACCCACGCTTCCCCAGTGCTGTATACCATTTTCTGGCATCAACCGTTCTTGAGTATTGCTGTGCCGGATGCAAATCATATTTTTTGTCTGGGCCTGCCCTGACCTGACCGATAACGTGCTTCCTCCAAGAGCTGCCTTGTTGAGCACTTATTGTAAAATCATACCAGGCCGAGTCGATATTGTCGGCTAACTTTGCTGGTCTCAAACTGGTGACAATCTCGACATTGTCCGATTCTCCAATAACGAGTGCCATTCTCATGAAAAGATTTCTTACTGAGTAGTCACTGGACCCTGTGATTTGGCGAATTGCTTCACCAGCCATTGCAAGGTACCCAGCACATGGGAACACGATGTCGTTGTTGATCCGATGGTGCATGAGCCATGGAACATGCTCAACCTGGAGTAGATTTCTCCAGGAGGGTTCAATATCACTTGATTGTGGGGATCGTGCACCAAGAAGCTCATGATGCGATGCTTGACGGACTCTCCAGTCATGAGCTACACGAGGCTCATCCCAATATCGTTCTTCATGCTGCCATGCATATGGTGGGAGATCCGTTAGCACTTTTCCATCCGGAATTACAGCACTGAGCTTGGGCAAAGCGCCAAAGCCATGAAGCCTACCAGCTGTAGCAAGCAGACTCTGGTATTGGTCCTCTTTCCTGATCAGTGTAGGGACGTATAGAGGTTCGGAGTTTCCCTCTTGATTTTTGCCGCTAAATATTTGGCGTAGAGGCCCGGAAAGAGTGGAATGAGGGCCTATCTCGAGGAACAAAGTGGGGAGGTAGTTGTCATCGATAATTCTCTGGGCTCCACCATCGAACAACACCGGAGACTCGAGGTTCTGCCTCCAATATGAGCTGCTGAGATGGGAAGGGTCACGGATTGTCTGCCCGGTGGCGGTTGAATAAAAGGGTATCATTGACTGGTTGTGCTTCATATAGGGGTCAAGAAGCGTTTGATATGACTGCGCTGGTTCTGCCATGTGGTCTTCGGGCATATCAGTACCAGTGCTCAACTAACTTGAGGAAACAGGAAGGTAAGAACATACGTGAATGATAAGCAACGTTAACTGCCAGCCGCCTGCAGAAGATGTCCTCATCATCTGCTTTGATCTGATCGACGATTTCCTGCACAGCCTGTTCGTCGCCAGATATTGTGACACTTTGAGGACTGTTTACACAAGCAACCGTCACGCCTTCTTTCAGAAAGCGTTTAACATCTTCCGAGCCCAGTCCAACAGCTGCCATTGCACCCGAGAGGCCAGCAGGAAGGGCTGCCGTGGCTTGACCCCGGAAATATGAGTTGATCATGGCAAAGTCTGCTGGAATGGCTCCTGATGCATATGCTGCGGCAATCTCTCCACTCGAATGGCCGACCACTGATTCTGGAACGATGCCCCATGTCCGGAGCAGGTTGACCAAGGCAATCTGGATAGCGGTGCAGAGAGGTTGTGCCAGCTCCGGCTCACGGACACGACTTTGACTCTCCTCTTTTAGGAGTTCCTCTGTGTTGTGTCAGCACTATTCTAGGCTGGCAGATATAATACATACCTTCGATAGTCCAGCTGGGTGGATTTTCCAATCCCTGCAACACCCTATCCATTGATTCAATATCTTGTTTGAATTCTGGAACTTTCAGGATCAATTCTCTGCCCATGCCAGGCCACTGCGCTCCTTGCCCGGTGAACACAAAGGCGATACTAGAAGGAGAAGTGCGAGATGTGACAAACGGCGAGAGACTTCCATCTGCATCTACCGTTGTAAACGCTCTGTGTGGTAAGTGCTCCCTTCTCGTGGCAAGTGTATAGGAAAGATCATTTAATGCTGGCTTGTTTTCAAGATACCCCTTCAAGCCTTCGATATTGCTCTCTAGTGAGGCAGCACTTTTTGCGGAAAGAACCAGAAGGTGTGGCTTCCCTTCCGGCAGTTCATTTTGCTGGGGGGTTGGAGGGCAGAATGACGCCGCAGAATCAAGAATAAGCTGGAAAATTGTCAGAACAGCATTCGCTTCTTTGGATAGAACGTACATGAGCATTTGTTCCTCCGATTCCAAAGGAATTGACACTGATGCGCTCACGACGATCACTTGGCCACGGTGTTGCTTCCACGGGAACGGTCAATTGTGCCTCGTTGAATGGGACTGTTTTGTCAGCAAAGAAATTCCATAAAGTTAGACGAGACTTACTATTAGGATTTGGTTTTGTGAAATGGACATTTGGGGGAATCGTCCGCTTTTCAAGAGCCAGGACTGCTTTGATGACACTGGTGATGCCTGATGCTCCTTCAGAATGTCCAACATTCGGTTTTACCTGAAAGGTCAGCTTTATATGTGTTAAGGCTCGAGTGACTTACAGCTCCCATATAGATACCCTTTTCCCTAAAAATGTTGGCGACCACTGATGTTTCGGATGTATCGCCGACGATGGTGCCTGTGCCATGACACTCGAAGAAGCCGGTTTCCAGAACATTATCAATGCATGCCTTTTGGTATGCCCGTCGAATTAGGCTCTCCTGGGCCTTTGAGCCAGGAGTTGTGATACTTGGAGTTTTACCGTCACAGTTGACTGCAGTGGACCTAATTACCGCTCGGACTGGATCTCCGTCTCTCAACGCAGCGTCGAGTGGCTTGATAAATATCGCATTTACGGCCTCTCCTCGTCCATAGCCGTCTGCAGCGGCGTCAAATGTTCGACAAATACCACTTGGCGAAAGGACCATGTTTTCTGACATGGCCGTCGTCATGGTTGGGGTGATTATGAGATTTGTTCCGGCTACCAGGGCTGAAGAGCATTCGCCAGAGTATAAGGCCTGGCATGCTTCGTGAAGTCCAACCAGGGAGGATGAGCAACCTGTACGAAGGGTCATACTAGGACCATGAAGATCAAACTCATATGATATGCGGTTGGCAATGGCGAAATCGCCCGTTGCCATTGCATGGTATCTATCATGGCGCTCCAAGTCTTTGCTCATCAGGTCAAGCCAGTCTTCGCCAAACACGCCGACATAACAACCAATATCGTTGCCTTGCCAGTTTGCTTGGCCACCATTTTCCATGCACTCCCAGATCACTTCTAGCAGAAGCCTCTGCTGTGGATCCAGTTTTGCTGCTTCCACCTTGCTCATGGAAAAGAAAGGTGCATCAACACAGCCAATGTCTTGCTCGAGAAAGTAGCCATTTTGTGTTCGGACTGCTCCAGGATTATGCTCATTGTAAAACGCATCGACATTATATCGAGATTCCGGGACTTTACACAAACCGTCTTTTTTGGAGACGAGAAAATCCCAGAATTGTTCACCACAATTGACGCCTCCTGGTAATCTCATACCCATACCGACAATTGCGACCGGGAAGGGGACTGACTTACGATTGGAGTCATCATTCGTAACCTGCTCTGGTGTTGTGTTGGAGGTCGACCCATTGACTCCGGTGTTCAGGATCGACTGGATATCTTCACGGGTTGCACCAGCAAGTCGCTGGTCTAGAGTTGAAAGCATGTTGAGGCTGAGTGTGCAGGTTCACGGAGAATTTCTGGCATTTTTCATTCGGACATTATGCATTTAAGATATCGTGAGCTGACAAGATCTCGATGTTCAGCTGAAAAAAGCAATTACAATAATTGATAGTTTTGCTTTTTCCACATCAAACCACCGAATGACAGCAACGCTATGTGCTTGACATGCATCGACTCACTCAATTTTGAGTCAAACAACTCATCCAATCACCCGAAACTATTGAATTTGTGTAACCACTAGTCAGCTCTATGCACATACCAACAAACCCCGATGGCCTGGCAGAATATATCAGCAGCCCAAGATGGCACTGCTCGATTCCATCTGCACGATTTTATGATTTTTGACTGTGTAGTCGCACCACACCTCTATACACCATGCGTTTCTCTGCTGTCTTTGCCGTGGCCTCGCTGGCCGTCGCCCCCGTCTTTGCTGCCAGCAACCAGACCTTGACTGACATGGCTACTCTGGACAGCAAGGCCAAAGACGCTCAATCAGCCGTCAAGGACTACAGCGGTGGCCTCTACTCCGCTTACAAGGTCGCAACCGCCGTTTACGGTGCCCACCAAGCTGCCGGAGCAGTGAGGAAGAGCATGGCCGCTGAAGATGAGCCTTTCACGTCGGATCAGTGGCCTGAGTACCAGAAGTCGTCCAACAGTTTCTGCAGTACTCTGTCAGACACGCTGGACAGTGCTATCAGCAAGGTATGCATAGCTTAGCTGACTCTGAAGATAGCTAACAAGGACTAGGCCGCCGATATCAAGAACAACGGAGTGTTTGCCTTCATTGCACAGGGCATGATCAGCAACCTTTACAACGAAAAGACCGCTTTCCAGAAGCAGGTCAAGTCGAAGCTTTCGGAGGAGCAGTGGAAGTCGCTTGAGCCGTGTTCTCAGAAGGTTGACCAGAAGTACAAGGATGCCGGTGCAGCTTTCCAGAACTAGCCTAGATATCCTTCTGAGTGCCTCGCATGGTCTCATCAATCAGTCAGACAATTGAATCACTGAACAATCGTTAACATCGCCTTCCAACAGCATCTTTATATATGTCTTTTCATAGCCGATCACAGGTCAGGACGATCTTTACACCCCTTGCTGGGCTATCCAATACATTCGTCACTCAAGCACGTCATGCAACATGTCGTATACTTTTATCTCCAGTATGTACGATTCATCGTAGATCAAAAACAAGGGATAAGGCAAACCAATAGAACGGCAGCAATCAATAATTTAAGCCAGGCAACTATATTGGCAATCGTCAGCTCAACCCAGCCCTGTATGCGCCTCCTTGTATATGATATATCAATATGATATCGATTCGCTTCACCCCTGGCACTGGAAAGAAGAGATATAAACCAGCTTACTTCTCTGTATCAGCATCATCATCAACAATCCAACTCAGTTCTACAATCGTTTATCATCCAAACCAACAAATCACCATGAAAGCCTCCCTCCTCGTCCTCGGCCTTTCGGCTCTGGCTTCTGCCGCTCCTGTCGTGGTATACTCATACTCTGCTCCTACCTTTCGTCTATATTGGAACTAACGTACTTTACCTAGGATACGGGCCTTATCAACGGAGACATCGTCGACGCCGATGTCAGCGCCCTGAACCATCGCGACGTGATTGATGCCGATGCAAAGGCTTTGAACCACCGCGACGTGGTTGATGCCGACGTCAGCGCCCTGAACCACCGTGATTTGGTCGAAGCGGATGTCAGCGCCCTGAACCATCGCGACGTGATTGACGCCGATGCAAAGGCTTTGAACCATCGCGATTTGGTTGACGCGGACGTCAGCGCCCTGAACCACCGTGACTTGGTTGACGCCGATGTCGTGGTCGGCAGGAGTATCGGCGGAGTTTCTGACACCAAAGCCGGTGCTTCTAGCGGCCACAAGTCTACTACTCGGTAGATTAAGCCGGAAGCTGAGCGTCCTCACTCGATGCATGAATCAGGATTAGAGGTGAGCCTCAGTCGTCACTGGTTAGGTGTCGAATTCGCTGGTCTTGTTGAATGCTATCACGTTCGGTGGCTTGAATATGTATTGGCGTATTTATTGTATACTACATATCTATCTATCATGTACCTATCAAGTTCTTATGAACTGCTGTATGTGAATACACTCTTTGACGTTACCTTTTATACTAGAATGTTATATATTTCATAGAGAATAGGCTAAAAGCAAAAAGTAGAATCAATAGTGTACATCTTTGCTCATCACAATCCATTGTTTGAAGATCAATCTGCAGATGTGATATAATGACCCCTGACTGACGAAATATATCATCATTATTCAACTGCATCAACTCTTCTACTATCCAACCTAGTCATCATCATACGACAGCTCTGGCTCCCATCATGTCAACATCACCTGAACTGGTACTCTGCAGGTTAGTTTAGTTTGTTACATGGATTTATTACAATATCACAGTGATCAAGGATATATTATGTAAATGAATCTCTTTTAGTACATGGCCAGTTCATCATGCACAGTCCATCACTGGATTGACAGCGTGGCAAAAGCAAAAACAATAACGTGAATCAATAGCGGCGATCAGATAATTATGATAAACTATCGATCATCTCCGCTCGTGCGTACATTAGATGTGAGACTAGATCTACTAGTTGGACTATACTAGATGTTGATCTTGTATGGCATCATTATCCCTTCCCCTGGCTGATGGAGATATAAGTATGTGACTTGATCTGTATCTTTTCTTCATCAACACACTCTCATTCTCTATCATCTACTCTATCATCCATTCTCTTCAATCTCTCTGTCACTCTTTAATCTATCATTCTATCAAAATGAAGTCTGCCATCCTCATCGCCACTCTCTCGGCCCTGGCCTCTGCCGCTCCTGTCTCTGTATGCTCCCTCCATATCTATCCATCCATCACCATCTAACATATGCAGAACCAAGCAAGAGACCTCGTCAACGTCGACGCCGGCAACAACAACTTCAACAGCAACGGTCCCCCCGTCCCCCTCCCCTCCGGTCTCCCCCGTCGCGATGGCATCGACCTCAATCTTCTCAACAACAACTTCAACAGCAAGGGTGCTTCCCGTCGCGCCGTGATCGACGGCAACCTGTTCAACGGCAACTTTAACAGCCGCGATGTGGCTGATGTCAAGGCCGGCGCTGGTGTTGGAAACGGAGACGTCAAGGCCGGTGCTGATGCGGGTGTTGCGCTGCGTCGGGCTCTGGCTGGTGCTAACGCGGACGTTAACGCTGCTCCTGTGAATGTCAACGCCGGTGCGGATGTTGGCCGTCGCACTCTTCTGGGCGTCAATGCTGACGCCAATGTCAACGCCGGTAAGGATGTGAATGCTGGTGTTGATGCTGGTGTGAAGGTTGGCCGTGCTCTGCTTGGTGTCGGCGCTGACGCTGGTGTCAACGCTGGTAAGGATGTGAATGCTGGTGTTCAGGCTGGTGCGAAGGTTGGCCGTGGTCTGGCTGGTGCTGGTGCCAACGCTGACGTTGACGCTGCTCCTGGTGTTAACGTGGATGCTGGGGCGGATGTCAACCGTCGTTCTCTGGGTGTCAACGCTGACGCTGGTGTCAACGCCGGTAAGGATGTCAACGCGGGTGTTGATGTCGGTGCAAAGGTTGGCCGTACTCTGGCTGGTGTTGACGCCGGTGTTGATGCCGCTGGTGTTGATGCCAACACTGGTGTCAAGGTCAGCCGTGAGATCAACGCCGGTGCTGGTGTTGGCGATGTCAAGGCTGGCGCTGGTGTTGACGTCCGCCGTGATGACATTCTGGGCTTGAATGCTCTCAACAAGAACTTCAACAGCAACTAAGCCGATCTGAGCATGTATCTACCATATACCTATCCTGTCTTAATCTTAGTGTCTAGTCCACCATGTTGGCAATCATACAAGTCTATAGTCTAGTGGCTATAGTCATTGCATTGTTGATAGCTTCTCTATACTATCTTTCTCACCAACACGTCCAAATCAGTCGGTTTGACAAACCACAGATTCTCCGTCGTCCAGTTCTCTCGTAGAAGAGTAAAGTCGAACTCTCTCAGCAGTCTGGGAACCAGTTTCGATATTTCCAGAATGGAAATATGCCTCCCAAGACATGTTCGTGATCCGAGACCAAACTATCCAGTTAGCATCATACAGTAGATAGAGAGAGATAGACACACCGGCATGAACATCTCATTCATCGCCTTCAACTTATCCGGTCCAGCTTCAATCCATCGTTCTGGCCTGAATGATGCTGCATCCTCAAAGACATCTTCGTTATAATGCGCCACCCAGACATTGACCCCAACGACAGTTCCAGCTGGGAAGAATCGACCGCTGATTTCCATTCCCTCTGGCACTTCTCGCCATAGCGGCAGTCCATTTGCGCTGTGGATGCGTAGAGCTTCTTTAATGACGGCCTGGAGATACGGCATGTCCTGGCTTTCTTTGAATGTCACCTTTTCACTGCACTTTCCTTTCACAGTATACTCGTCAATCTCTCTTTTCAGTCTGCTCAACACATCTGGACACCGACACAAATGATACACAATCGCAGATAGCGTAACAGCAGTTGTATCCGACCCAGCGACGATATTCGACTGACACATGATGAATAGATGGTAATCGGTTACCTTGTCCGGATTCTCCTCTTTGGCTTTCACCATCTTCCCTAGGAAATGCTGCTTCTCGCTCTGTCCGTGTTTCGCTATCATCCTCTGCACAAACTGCATGATATACAGCCTTCCCCCGGCACCAGACCAGCTGAATCGACTCAATATCCCGAATAACCACGGATGCAGCCGTGGATAGATGCCGATGAGCGTGCCGTATCTGACTACTTTTCTCAGCGCGGCAATAGTCCCTTGTATATCCTCGCCTCGATCGAGGAAGCCGAATCGTTCCCCGAATGTAATGTTCCCAATAACATCAAACGCATAACACTGAAACCAATGCCCCATATCCAGCGACAAAGCTGTATCAGCGTGCTCCTTTACCCGCTGAATGAAGATATCCGCGCAATCATCGACAAAAGACTCATAATGCACAACCGAACTCATCGAGAAGAGGTTCGTGAACCGTTTTCTCGTTTCAGCTACCCAACACACTCATTAACACCTCCTCATCAACAGCATACTATATCACGTACCATGTCTCCTCACATCCCGATCCGGAAACAAAGCCCACCGATCCGGATCAGGATGTTTCCACACCTCGTACCAGTCCGATTTGGGGAATTTCGACCCCATCCCGTAGATCGTTTTGATGGACGATAGATCCGCCACGCTGTACATGTTTGGGGCGACGCGGACGATGGGTCCATATTGTTTGTGGAGGGATATATTATCCTGCTCGAAATGGCCGTTGCGGACGCGGTGGAAGTACCAGAGCCGAGTGAGGCGGGTGAGGATGGGCCCGGGGAGGGAAGAGAGGGGGGAGGATATAGTCTTGTAGAGGTGATAGATGAGGAAGAGGATGAAAGTGAAGAGGAGTGGAGTGAGCATTTTTGGTGGTTGTGTTGTCTGTTGAAGGAAAGACGGTGAATATATATAGTAGATATATACTTTATGCTCGATTAGGTCATAACATTCTCGTGTAACAGTATCCACGTGTAACAACATGCATATGATATATCATATCCAACATCTACATCTGATTCATCTTCTCCTCCACCTCATTGTACTTGTTAAACAGCATCCAAAACACGCCTGCCGTGACGACCATCACCCCACTCAACGACGCATACTCGACCAACACTTTCGGGTCTTTGGATACAGGCGAGAGTGTAATGCCTAGTGCGCATCCAACAGTAAACATCACCAGGAAGATGGACGTGACGATGCTCTTCATGCTTTTTGGCGCTTTGGTGTAGGCGTATTCCAGGCCGGAGACGTACGCGAGGATTTCGGAGAGGGAAGTAAGGGCGTGGATGGGGAGTTGGAGGAAGACGTTCACCTATCACTTAGTATATATAATATAGATGATGGTGTAGACTCACTTGGTTAGGCAGTTTCCCATTCTGACTGCATTCTGCTCCAAGCGGGGTATCGTAGCATGGGGGCGAGGTATAAATCACTACTCAGTTAGATAGATAGAGATCATCTATGCAAAAGACGTACAGTGTTGAATCCCAGCAGCATAGGCAATGGCACACGCCATGGCCAAAAAGCCCACTGTGATTCTGGTGATGGGTTTAAACGGCATTTTCCATCGCTGCAGAGTCGGATAGACGACGCGTTCCCTAGACAGTCAGTACACATCAACTACAGCGACAGAGACGTACATCAACGGAACCAGCATAAACGCCGAAATCGGATTGAAAAAGCCCACTACCCTCATCAGCATATCATAAAACCATAAGACAGATAGGCATACTCATATCATTCGGAATCCCAAACGTCTGCATCGTCGCCGCCTGACTGACGATATTGCTATTCGTCTGTCCGTAGCAGATCCAGAAGATCGGGCTATTCATCAGTTTCATCCATCGTTATGAGGGCAGACATACAAGAACAGACTGTTCATTAGCATCATCCATCATCTGGATATCAGAGACATACAAAACTCGGCACGCAACAAGCGCACGCTTCAACTCCTCCACAAAGCCCTGATCACACGCGCCTAATGCCTTGACGCTGTCGAAGCTGCCGTGTCGCACGCGCAGATAGAGCACTTTGCTTGCTTTGACGAGGGGGGATTCGCGGGGTTGATGCACCACTATCATTCCTTATATTAGCATATATCAAGTATATAGAGTAGGTGAGGTACCATATCTATTCCTCCCAATAACCAACGCCAGAATAGGCAATGTCCAAAAACACAACGAGAGCAAGAATGAAGCCCAAAAGGCGACTTTCAGTTCCAGCCACGAGGCCGGAATGACGGATAATGCGCCGACGTTGATGATCCTTCATCGTCAGTCTACTCCTATACACATATAAGATGCAGGGGGCGTACAGAAAGTATCGCCCGTACATAGTAGTCAGCGTCATATGCGGATCAACCACCACCATCTCTCCACTGTCGAGCATTTTGACGCGTTCTCGGCGTTCAGTGTATTGTTCTGCGATGAGGGGGTTGACGTTGCTTGTGATACAGCCTGTCCTGCATATTTTCAGTATCAAAGATATATAGTATAGTATATGAGGGCATACCCAATCCCAATCAACACCAACGAAACCATCAACCCCGGCATTCCAGCCCCGTGATCTAAACTCGGTTCTAGCGATGTGAGGAAGAGAATCAGACTTCCTAGCACCATTATCCTATCTTCATCAGTATATCATTTCAATTGAGTATGTAGAAAGTAAGAGGGATACCCCGTCCCTAGCCATATCGTCCGAAACCGCCCGAGATAGCTATCTGCTATAATGGCGCCAAAGATGGGCGTGAGATAGCACCAGCCGGAGTAGAAGTAGTTGATTCCTGTTGCGACGGATTGGCCCTTTCTTTATCAGCGTGTACATAGAAAAGGTGAGGGTAGGGCGTACTCTTCCCAATGCACCCGGTCGTAGGTCGTCTCGTGTATACTGGATGTAGTTCTCTATCTTCATTAATATTCATCATCTCATATATATATCAGATCAGACTCACGCATAGGCGCCGTGATACTCCGATAGGTGAATCTCTCCGCCAACTCGACCACAGCAACTAGATACACCCACGGCGAGATATCATCACACACGCGACGAAGGTTCGGGGGAATCACTTCATGATCATGTTCGTGTTCGTGTTCATGCTCATGCTGCTCCGCACTCTCCTTCTCCGCAGTCGTATCGGAATTCAAGTCGGACATGTTGAAAATCCTTCACTTGTCGGTTCGAGTTGAATCTTGATTGCCACACTGTCTATGATGTTGGATATTTATACTCTCAATGGCAGGGATGTATCATGGGATCAACGCATCGGATTGGATTGACAATATGCAGGATTGATGGTAACATGGACGGCGGTTGAATGGGGTATGGATTGTCATTCTGATGTATACTTTCTACCACTATGTAAACAGGTTCCCAGGCTCTCATGGTCAGGATCACGACCAGAAAGCACAGACAGACAACGTATGCTCGGTTGGCAGCGGAACAGTGACATAATGCAGATGATTGTCCGTATCGTTACTCTCTCTGTAGGCTGAATTCCCCGTGGCCAGTCCCAAGGGATATCCCTTTACGTTGAGGAATGGGCATGCAAGGTACTTCATTTTTCCAACTGTTTATTGGCTGTCCATTATTAGAATATTTACGAATCAACTACACAGTGCACTCGGGACACTGGAGAAGCGAAGCTAGCAGCTAGCTACCTCCCTTACCACCACATGCGCCTCCCCTAGCACCCCCTTCACCACCAAGACCAGCTCATCCACCGCCGCCAGCACCTTTAGATACGAGCTCACCGCCACGCAGTACCGCCGGTAATTCTCCTCGCGGATCTGCTCCACCTCCAGCCCGATCCCTGCGTGTCGAGCCACCCAGAACTCATGGCATCGTTTGACGAGCGGCGTGGGGAGGAGCTCGGGAAGGGCGTCGCCGGTTTTGAGGGATTGTTCGACGACGCCGAGGACGGCCATGATGTCGCTGATGCTGCGGTTTTCGAGGAGGCCGGTTGTTTGGGAAAGCCGCGTTTGCAGGGCGGGAGGGAGGGACGCGGATTGATATAGCAACCGGCCAATGTTCTGGTTGAGGTCTTGACAGAGGCATTTGACCTTGGACAAGGTCTTGCTGTCGAATGGGGAGCTGGAGAATTCCAACTTCAACAGGGCGATTGGGGCATCCAGGTTGGAGAGCGTTTCGGCCATGTCGACGGATATCTGCTCTGCTATCAAGCCGGTTTCGCGGTCTGAGCGCCCCCAGCAGGAGAGCAGGAGAGCGTAGTGGTCTGTCAGCGAGCGCATCGCGTTCGACAGCGACTTGCAAATGTGTCGAGCGGCTGATGGCGGACGGGGGAAGATCTGCACAATCGTTGAAGCGGCGAGTCCGACAAACACGAGGACCAGTCGACGCCAGAAGACGTTATATCCCACGCCGGGGTTGCCATACGCCGGGATATTTCTGTCTCGTTAGCATGTCCCTAACCAACCAATCCGACAGACTTACACATCATCATAACTATACCCAATAACCAGAAGGGCAGTCGCAGCACTCATCAACGTCCCCTGCAGAATAGCAGGCGATCCCCACAACCGCAGACTCATATGGAACATCATTCCCGCGCCACTGACAATCGCCAGTGGCACAGGATCGCCATCTTCCTTTCCAGACGCGATATACCATCCAATCAGACCCAGCACGCCTCCGACAATCGTCCCCGCCGTACGGCAGATCACACTCAGCGCAAAGTCACTCATATACACCAGCATCGTGGTCTGTCCCATGATCAGCGCCCAGAATCCCTTCTCGCGATAGTAGAAGCCAGCACTGGACGGAATGACGGCCGGCACGCCGAGTGCAATCGTCACAATCACCATTTTCATCGCGTACATTCCTTCCGCGTTGATGAGCCAGTGGTAGAGACCTAGAATTGCCCTGCCAGCTCCATTGCGCCGTTTCACCGTGTGTCCGCGACTAATCTGCAGTCGATGCTGTGCGTCCTGTGACCGCTTCTCCACCTCATCTGGATCTTCCACCGGTGACTGGCCCGGAATCGAAGGAACAGGCGTCTGGCGGAATATCCAAGCAGCAGCGTAGCGAAGACTAGTAGGGAGCCAAATTCGAGGACTGGGCCGGCCTTCCAGTAGAGCGATGATCCGAGAAAGCAGTTGATCTAAAGAATCAGCCACGGCGACGACATTCTCCTCAAACACCATGCCAATCATGATGCCGCGGATCGAGTGCACGGGAATCTCATCCGTCTGTTTCAACTTTCCGTCTTCCTCGAACAGACTTCCGTGCTTCTCAATCAGTTTGTCCGTAGTCTCTGTAGCGAAGGAAGTGCGAACCGAGCGCAAACTCTCCAGCAATTCGTGACTTTTCTTAAGTAACTCTGCGTTCTTCTCCGTCGCCTGTCTGAATGCCCATCTCCGCGAATTCACCGCATGGATACACTCAGCCGCCGTGGCAATGACATCCTTGCAGATAGCAAGAATCTCCCCACTAGCCTCGCGCAGCACTTCAATCGTCTCCGACCGCGCACTCTCCGCCTCTGGACTCTGAATCGCCTCAATCATATCCATATTCTCGAGTAGTTGGCGTTTACCCACGCTCGGCACGGGCTTCTCAGCCGCACCGTTGGCAGAAGACGCCGCCCGGATTTCCTCTAATCTAGCGAATCCACGAACACGCGTGATGTGAAAGTCCAGCAGAGCCAGCGTCGCTATCAGCGTTTGTCGGATCGGTTCTTGGAGACTCTTGATATCGTCTGCACTCCAGCGGCCGCGGGAAAAGTCGATAGGCAGGAAGCCCATGCCTGGTTCTACGGCTTTGTATGCCGCGATCATCTGGGATTTGGTTTTTTGGAGATCTGCGAGCTGGAGTTCTTCGCCGTCGGAGAGGCTCTTGATGGTGTACTCCACTGGGTTTTTGGATAGATTGAAGAGGTCTTGGATGGCGTTGAGAACCGCGTAGGAAGTAGACTGGGGGAAGAAGATGATGGAACAGGCCAGGCCGATTCCAATGCCAATCGCAGACGGTTCAATCAACAACTTTGGCAGGGTTCCTGAGAAAGAAGGCAGTAGAGGACCAAAGGCGAGGAAGAGATCCGAAATAATTGTACCAAAAACCTGGACAAGGGTGAACTTGGGGTTTTTGACACGCAGACGAGCCTATCTTGTTAGCTTGCTCTACCAATTCACAATGGCAATACCAACCAGAAAGTAGATGAATAGACAGATCAGCACGAAGAAGATAACAGTAACCCTCGTGTCAAGCATGAAGCCATCGTAGATTAACTTCTGCTGGACGTACGCCACACTCTGGCCAGTCGAATTGGCCTGCGAGTATGCCTCCTGCCCCAGCGCCTGCAACTTGGCTTGCGTTTCTGCTGCCGGACGGGCTGCATAGGCTGCTTTCATCACGATAACACCCCATGCCCAGGCGAGCGCCATACCAAGCAGCAGCGTCAGACTGACGAGGATAAAGACGGACACAATCCCCGATGGGGGGACGATAAACAGAACAAAACTGCATAGTTAGTATAATCTTCCATCTCAATTAAGCAGACATACCATGCAAAAAACGTGGCCGTGCCAATCGTCCTCAGCGACGGCAGAATGTACATCAGCAGCGACGCGACCCACGAGGCAATCACACAACGCACCCAGACCTTGAGCTCACGGGGGTTGGTGTAGTGGGCGAGCCATGCCGGCACCTTTCGCTTACCCGTGGAAGGATCGCGGGAAAACATGATGCATGGATGAGAGAGCACAGATGAAAAGAGAATTGAGGGATTTGGATGAAATAAATTAAATTAGGATTGGGGACTGGGACTAAGACCATGGATCGGCATGATCGGCGCGGAACACAAACGCGGAACTATCGAGGCACTATCGATCCGATGTCCGCACGAGATGATGATATTGATGAGCTATCTGGTCTAGTAGTTGGAGATTCTGATTCGTTAGTCCGATCGAGATGATCCATAATGCGGAGTGCTCACTCGATCAAGTTGTCGTCTGGATCGCGACAGTACACGCTGCGGATTTTGCCAACCGCCCCAGTCCGTTCCACCACCTTGTTTCCTTCCAGGACCTATATCGTCAGTATAATATAAAGTATATGGATAGGAAGATCAAACCTCGATATCAGCCTCTCTCAGTGCCTGCAACACACTCTCCACCCGCTCCTCCGTCAGGAAACACAAATCCGCACTGCCAGGGGTGACATTCTTTGCTTTCGGCTCGAATTCCTTGCCCAGCTGGTGCAGGTTGATCTTTTGCTGGCCAAAGAGAAGAGCGTGTCTGATCAGTTAGATATGATATAGAGCTGTCGGAGTACGAATGGTTACCGCTGGATGTCAGGGCTGGAAGGCGAAGTAAACACTTCGTGTCGCATACCCAGTCTGGTCGTGTAAAAGGCGACCGTCGTGGGAATGCAGCGGACAGTCAGGACGAGATGGTCGAGGGATTTGACGGCAAAGGAGGCCATTCTGAGAATAAGAATAACTATAGGAGTGTTGAAGAGTGTATATTCGATGGAGAGAAGAGAAGAGGTTTTGGTGGGGAGCATATAGGCTAATGGCTATGACTGCCTGAGGCTGCCTAAGGCTGCCTAAGGCTGCAATAGTGTCTATTCACCTCTATCTAATGGATATTTATGAGTACTTTACAACACATCCAATGATACTATATGTAATTTCTATCAGTATACACCAACACGCATACTCACCAGCCCAGATCCCTGTCAATCAGTTGCATGACGGCCATCTCAGCCGGCCATACTTGAACAAACTCCTGAACTCGCCACTCCATATTTTACAATATCGTCGTTTACCCTCACAATCTTGGAGGCCATGGTCTCCCACAGAACATTGGTGCAAGCGCGGATTTCATCTGTGGTAGGTAGAGCAGGCAGTGGCTGGGAGTTCTAAAAGGGGACGGCCACTGGTTTCCACATCGTGAGAGCAAATATTGAATGTGGGTAATTCCTGAATGGAAGGGAAATGGGCAGTAAGGAAGACGAGTGATTTCTAGTCAGCTGACTGCGGGGTATCCCATGTATTTCACCTGATTTGTTTCAATATCAAATCTCTCTCAGCTAGTCTATCATGACTTGGGATATCGCAACAGCTGATGAAGAATGGCTGATTGACCTTTGTCATAAGAAGGGACTGGAAGGAAATCGAGTCATCCAACTTTCCAACCAGATTGCAGTCAAGTACGACGTAACAGCCGCTGAAGCCGCAACGCAAGAGTTTGCATCCAACACGGTGGATTCGAATATCGTTCACATCCCCCGAGTCTACCGATTTATTCAAGCAAAGGGACTAGCACCCAAAGGATACCTATTTATGGAATACGTGCCAGGCCAGAACCTGAAAGTTGTCGATCTGGAAACCCGCAAAGACCTTGTGCCTCGCATTGCACAGATCGCAGCACACCTGAGCCAGATACAAGGTCAGAGCCCAGGTCCCGTGGGCGGTGGTGAACCACATGGATATCTCTGGGGCGATGATGGTGCAAACACGACACGCTGTCGAGGACTTGAATGCATACATGAATAAACGGCTGGCGTTACGCAATGATTCCATCGATCTAGCACCGCATGCTCTCGTGCTATGCCATCTGGACCTCTGTCGAAGGAACATCATCCTCAAAGCCGATGGCTCTCTCTGTCTTGTCGACTGGGGCTCTGCTGGTTTCTATGCCCGACTCTTCGAGCTCGCAGTGATTCCATGCATGCTGCCATATGACGCCCCCTATGAGCAGCCGCTATTACAGGAAGTCGAGAATGTAATGCGTCTGACAAATGAAGAGAAGCGACTTACTCAGCTTGTTCACCATGTCCGTGCTGCAAATCTGAGATATCTGTTGTATGACTAGGCATTCTTTCTTTGATTTGGTTTAGCTAACTGATGTATAGCCATGAGCAACCCTCATTTGATTATGCTGCGTTCATGGCAAAAAGTATCCAATGAGACTGAGCATTGATTCGGCCTGAATATATAGAATGATCTATAAGCAAACTGTACGCTTTATTTATTGTATCCATTAACCCTGACTCCTGAATAAAAAGTAATAATGTAATAAAAGCCATCACAATAAATGACAAATGGACATCACATGCATGCAGCTCTGATTGGCCATGCGGTGATCGGGCATTCATTAGCGCCGACTGCCGAGTGGGTCAGCCCTGCCAAGACTTTCCGACTCCAATTGCTTAGTCAGCAATCACATGGCTCTCGTGTCGATCACTTCAACCAAGACAGTTTTATGTCAACAACCTGAAGTGTTAAATCATGGATTTGGACCTGTTAGACGCTCTCCAAAGAGCAGGAAATATCTGCATAATCTGATCGACATCTTCGACGCAGTTGTACCCATGAAAGCTAAACCGTACTCTCCCCTGGCCATTCCACGCGTACACACCAGCCTTGCTCATCTCATTCACGATTTCTGAAGCGCCGGCACAGTCAACCGTCACGCTGGCCCCGTGTCGCGCTGTATCAACTGGCGTGGAAGACGGGATACCCTCTCTCTGGAGCCTTTCAAGGAGCGCGGCCGTCAATGTCTGAACGTGTCTCTCGATATCGGCAGCATCCCACTGGTTGAGAAACACCAGAGCCTCCCGTAAGATATAAATCGCGAGATGGGCAGGATTACCACGACTAAAGCACATGGCATCGTTACGGATCTCCAGTCGAGTCGTTTCCCATTGTGGTCGAACCGCGCCTAGAGAGAGAGAATGCCATCCCCCAGAGACAGGTTTCCAGTGCGGTCTTCTCGTCTGGTTCCAGTATGCGATTGCCACTCCAGTCGTGGCGAGTAGCCATTTATAGCACGCTGAGAATGCAAAGTCGGCTATCGAGGCGTCAATAGGCGCATATCCAGCTGCCTGGGTAAAGTCCACAATGAGGATAGCTCCAACCGAGTCAGCAAGCTGGCGATAAAGCGAGAGATCAACCCGAGTGCTATCGAAATATGACACGTAGCTGACGGCAATAAGGCGTGTTTTGTCGTCCACCATGTCGCTGAGATTGCCGGCATTGTAATACCGCATTTCCGGGCCCTTTCTTTCTTGTCTTGGATTTCGCTGGTATTGCTTGCTTCTCAGAGAAAACGGTCCAACGAGACTGGGGAATTCATCTTCGTGGACGCACACATTATCTCCATCGTCCCAGTCCAATGACTCGAGGACCATAGAGATTCCGTCAGCAACGCTCGGGGCGAATCCCACTTCTTTAACTGAGACTTTCCATGCTTGAGCGATCAGAGCTCGAACATCCTCTAGGGATTGAGTCTGCTTAGCGCGCCCTGTATGCCCCGCAGCCTTGTCCTTGATGTATTTTGCGAGGGCTGCATTATGCCTCTGCAGAGGGAGGCTTTCGCCAGCAGCACAGACGTGAGTGACTCCAGGAGTGGCATGGAATGATGCGAGAGGAAATAGAGGTTTGTCTGCCATTTGAGCTTGAGGAATGTGCAGGAATGATTGTTCAAAATATGACGGCGGGGAAGATCAGTGCGGGGAAGATCGGGTCTCCGATGGTGTCAGAATCGCTATTCATTGCTAATTATCACAAATAAGGCAGTCTATATCGCTAATATCGAGGCGGTTGAGGTACAGTAACCTGTTCAGGATGGCCATACCCAGTATACCCAGGAGGAGGATGGTCAGGAGGAGCATATTGAAACTGCTGATCCATCTGATTCCCTCCCATTTGATTTCCTCCCTGATTCCCTCCAGACATCTGCGTGTTTACCAACTGCTCAGGCGGAATATCACTCGGACTCGGCCCAGCTGGCATCTGCAATCCACTCACCGACGAGCCAAACTGCGAATCGCCCTGCGCACAATGAATCGTATGCCTTAACATCATCACAGACGCATTCTCCGTCCACGCATGGCCCGCCAATATCTCCTTCACCGGCACCCGATGATTATAAAACCGCTCGTTCTCATCCGTCCGCTCAATCACAATACTCCCATCCACCTGCACCCCCGCATAGAACCCCCGACTCTTCACATACGACCAGATCGGCGCTTGTCGCTTATGCACTTCCGACTCCAACACGCCGCCCATTCCCACCGGCCCCGCGGCAACGGTGATCTCGCTGCCCAGCGTCACGCGGACTCTAGTGAACGCCTCCAGCGCTTCGTACGTGTTGATCACCATCACGCAGTCGTAGATATCCGCACCAACCAGAAACCCCAATCCAGCCGTATGCAGCATAATCCCAGACGGGGCGCTCCACTCCCCCGTCTCCGGGATACGAGATATCACCACCCCACTGCCCCCCGCACCACTAAACCACAACCCCGTCCGCATAGCAGTAAAGATAACCAACCCCTTCGCGTTCCGGATCACATCCGACGGAATCTTCTTCAACACCGTTGGCTTGCCGCGTGGCTTGTCGATCTTCCCATCTGCCGGTGGCTGAGGCGTAGGCGTGTCCTCTTCAATGTAGACACCGTCTTTGCAGAAACTGCGCAGGATGCGAGCTGCTTTTTCGCTTTCTTTGTCGAGGGTTGTCGGCCAGAAGGCTTCCGAGCCGAGTTTGTTGCTGAGTCTGTTTACGGGGGCGCCGAGTTTGTCAAAGGCCGCCCAGGCTTTGTCGAAGCCTTTTTTGCTGGCCGTTTTGGTTTTGTCCCATTTGTTGGACATTTCGTCGTATTTCAGCTTGAGATTTGAAAGAGGAATGAAGAGAAGAGAAGAGAAAATAAAATGAAGGGGAAAGTATCGATTTGGGACTATTTAAAAGAATACCTAGGCAGACATATACATCATAGCGGGGCGCCAACTAAGCCTCGCAAGCGTAATCATTGCCTATCTAGGCCTAGTGCCGCGTGGATCCCCGCCAAGCCCAACTATGGATAGCGTCACGATTTCCTATTCGGGACATCTAAATACGAATACTACTGGGCAGGGGAAGCTTGCGATGCAAGCGCGACACAATCTCCGCATAGTCCTCTTCCTCCTCGGCGGTAATGATACCATGGCGGATGAGAAAATCAATCATCACACACGCGCTGGCCGGTTTAAACCGTCCATCCAGCATCGCCTCTTTCACCTCCTCCATGCCCATTAAATGGAACGCATGCACGTCGTCATCGACAGGTTTAAACACCACATCCTCTTCCACCTCCATATCATACACGTACAAGATCCCCGGATTCATCAACCCACTCTGTCCACCTGACCGTTCATCACTAACATTCAACCACGTCACTGTCCCCGCGGCCCGGACATCCCGTCGAAGTATCCTCTCTTCCATGCCCGCCTCCTCACTCGCCTCCCGAACCAAACACTCCATCGGCTTTTCTCCCGTCGCCATCCCCCCCGCCACCGTATTATCCAACGCACCGGGATACGTAGCCTTGTTCAAATTCCGCTGCGGAATCCATACCTTCAGCTCCCGTGACTCCCCCACGCGAACGTACACAGTCATATGCACACCCCGCCCAATGATTCCAAACATCGAAAACGCAGACCGATCAATGCCAACCCGGAACCGGGCGCCGACGATGGGGAATTCCTCGTGGCGGGGTTTGCCCAGCGCGGGGAATGTGCCTTTTTCGCGGGCGAGCTGCACCTGTGCGTCGATTATGGCGGTGCATTTTGATTCCCAGTTGATGCCAGCAGGACGAATAAGATGGATAGTTTTTGCGGAGTGGTTTAGCTGGAAAGAGTCTGTCCAGGGCATTGCCTTGACGACTGAGGGGATCAGGAGACCGTGCGGCCTTGGGTCGTCGGGGAGGCAGAATTTCCAGAGGTCTGGTTGGGATTCATCTTCGTAGGGGAAGCTGGGGTTGTTAGTATTGGACGTTTATGTAGATTGGGGATTTTTACTTGTCGCAGTCTTTGACTACGTCTAGTATGGTTTGCATGGTGATGTTTGTTTTAGTTCTGTTGGAGGGATGGAGCAGTGGTGAGGGGAAGGTGGATTATACTTTTTCCATGCCGGTATATATACATTTATTAGATGTCTTCGTTTCGATATAATATTTTCATAATATCTGTAGATTGAATCTCATCTGGACTATCTGATCTACATCAGCATTCCTTCACCAGTCTACCTAAACCACACCGACTTACTAAGTTCAAGCAAAAACAGGATGAATCCTCCCATTCTGCCTATCAGCCAATCTCTCCCCCATCAAACTATACATATGTCGTGCCCATGCACAACATACCCCCCGCGTATCCTTCGGGTCAATCATCTCCTCTATCCCAAACGCATTCGCCGTCCGCACCGGGTTCATCAACCGCAAATACTCCTCCTCCAACTCACGGTAGCGCTCTTCTTTCTTGCCTTGCTTCTCCGCCTGGCGAAGCTCATGGCGATGGCCGACTTCAATGCCTCCGTCGAGTGGTAGGGATCCCCATTGTCCTGATGGCCAGGCTACCTGCATGACTGGATCGCGAGATCCGATCATAATGCCTCCTGCTACGCCAAAGACGCGGCGGGTAACGACGTTGAATATCGGCATCGTGGTTGAGAAGTAGGTTTTGGCGAGTTCTACCCCCCAGCGCATCGTTGCTGTTCGTTCCGCTACGGTGCCGATGGCGTATCCGGCTGTTTTGTTAGATAAACTTCAAACTGGGTAGATGTAGACTTACGAACGTCGATGAACTGTAATACCGGCAAGTTCATCACATCGCATAGTTTCAGTAAACGTTCTAGTTTCTGACTTCCTGCTGCGTCCAAGGCTCCCCCGTTGACTTCGCAGTTCAGCGAGATAATTCCCACGGGCCGTCCTCCCAGTCGAGCCAGTCCACCGATAGCTGTCCGTCCCCAGAGTGGTCCAATCTCAAACCACGATCCCTGATCAACCACGCTCAGGATGATCGTTCTGGGGCTATACATCCGCGTTTGTCTTCGGGGGATGATACTCCGCAAGCCCACATCCTCACGATTTTCAGGATCTTCGCAGTGAATCACCGGTGGTGCCTCATTCCCTGAATTGGGGAGATAGCTCAACACCGTCCGTAGCTGCTCGTAACATTCTGCTTCGTTGGCAGCTAGATTGTCGACTGTCCCATTCGTACAGTGGATCATTGGGCCTCCTAGATCTTGGAAATCAAGATCCTCTTCAAATGTGGCTCCCTCAACAACCTTTGGGCCTGCATTAAACAGACATCCGATATCTGCAGCCATGACGGAAAAGTGACAAGAAACGACTCTTGCTGCACCAAGACCAATCTGCAAAGTCAGTATACACTCACTTATCAAGTAGGATACATACAGCAGGCCCAACAACCGCTCCCAGATTAGGAATACCCATGTTCAACTGCTGTACCACATGTTTGAACATTGGAAGATGGGGAAGATAGCTCCATCCCTCCTTGCGAATCGTCGTAACACTCCCCCCTCCCGACGACCCATCTACCAACTTAACAACAGGCAGCTTCAACGCAATAGCCAGTTTCTCTAGATAGATCGTCTTCCCCGCCGTCGATCCATCAGCATGGCCTCCGCGAATGCTAAAATCATCCGCCGTAAGCAAGACCTTTCGACCCCGGAGCTTGCCCATACCCTGTACATTGTTACTGGGGACAAAGGCATCAGGTGTCTCGCGCATAGGCCCGGTCTGTTTCCATTTTACTGTTCCTGAAACAGAGCCTATTTCTTGGAAACTGCCTGCGTCGAGGAGTTGCTCGATGCGCTCGCGTACCCAGAGCTTGCCGGCTTGTTTTTGTCGGACATAGCCTCGATTATTAGGATCGGGCTTTGAGGCAATCGCACGGAGTGCATCGATTTGAGAGAGAACGTCTGAGTAGTCTGCTGGGAGACGTGATGTTGTAGATTTTGAATTGGCCTTTTTCTTTTTCTGGTTTGCGTTTTCTGTCGGTGAAATGTGCGATGAGACTTGGTTCAGTCTTTCTGTAGCTCTTTTGGATTGCGAATCCCCATTTCTGCTCTCCTTGGAGTGAGTACTATCGTCGTCTTTCATTTTGCTGTTTGTGTTTTGGTATATTCATACAATCAGTGCTTCTATACTCATCTGTTGTCTTGGTCCTTTGCATTACCCCATCTGAGGGGTAATCCGAGGTCCGAGGTCGCCACACCGACATAACAATATGGCCCAGTGTGAGGGGTAGCTGTGTCCTCTTATACAAAATTGTATATAGTATATTTTTTAGACTGACGACTCATTCATGAGCAATTGCAGAACACCACTTATATAATGTCACTCTTACCGCCACCACGACCGATCAAGCGACTTCTGATCGCTAACAGGTATGTGAATTTGGTGGATATCAAGAATTCATAATAATCATTCCAGAGGAGAAATTGCCGTTCGAATTATTCATGCTGTGCGGGAATTGTCGTCTTCTATTGAGATATTCGCTCTGTATACATCGGATGATCGCTCCCATTGCGATATAGGTCGACCACATCATGCACTAGAGATTCCGGCGCCTGCAGCCTACCTAGATATTTCTCTTCTGGTAGGACTAGCACAGAAACATTCCATCGATGCTGTACATCCTGGATATGGCTTTCTTAGTGAAAGTTCCGACTTTGCTCATCGCATGTGGCAGGATGCTGGGGCAAGCGTCATTGGACCAGGCTGGGAGGTTCTGGCACGTACAGGGGACAAGCTCCAAGCAAAGCAGCTCGCGGAGCAATGCAATGTACCGGTACTCAAGGCGATGACCCATCCAACAGACAGAATCGCCGATATCAGAGCCTTCGCACAGCAAGTTGATTACCCTGTCATGATCAAGGCTGTTGATGGAGGAGGTGGTCGAGGCATTCGGTTGGTGCGCGATGACGGCGAGCTCGAAAGCTCCGTTGACCGTGCAATTGGAGAATCTCCTTCTCATACTGTATTTGTGGAGAAAGCAGCTGTTGATGGATTTCATCATATCGAAGTCCAGGTGGTGGGCGATGGAACTGGTCAGGTCAGACATCTTTGGGAGAGAGACTGCAGTGCGCAGCGCCGGTTTCAGAAGATCGTCGAGTGTGCACCAGCTTTGACGAGTGACAGGAATCTTGTTGGAAAGGTGATCGAGTCTGCATTGAGAATGGCGAGCACCATCCGCTATCGATCTCTCGGAACGTTCGAGTTCCTTGTTAACGCAGAACGATCAGAGTTCTACTTTCTCGAGATCAACCCACGCCTCCAGGTGGAACATACCATTACCGAATCCATCACAGGCATAGACTTGGTGCAGACGCAACTCCTGCTGGCCCAGGGGTGCTCTCTGCAACAGCTAGATCTATATGAAGCCAAATCAGATGACTCTCCTCCGACAAGATTAAGCTCTATCCAGCTCAGATTATGTGCAGAGGATCCAAACAACAAATTTTCTCTGGGTATTGGCAAAGTAACCGAATTCTCAGTACCAAGCGGAAATGGAATCCGAGTAGACACCAATGTCGATGTTTCGGGCTCGTCTCAAGTTATCGTGGGCTCGAATTTTGATAACCTGCTAGCAAAGATCATCGTCACGGCATCAAGCTGGGAGGCAACTGTCCGAAAAGCGCAGCGTGTTTTGGCGGACTCGAGGATATCTGGCGTAAAGACCAACATCAACCTCCTGCGGGGAATCGTTGCCCACGAAGACCTTTTATCCGGCAAAGTTGACACTCAATGGCTGGGTGCAAGGCTTGATCAAATTCTCAGCCTGGGTAATACGATATCAGCATCCATCAAAAGTAACGAAACACCCAGCACCAACCAGTCAATATCGCAAACTTCCATGCCATCGTCAAATCTTCTATTTCGGAAAGGAGATGCGTGGTCAGTCACCCTCGAGCCAATGCAGGATTCTTCTCAGAAACAGCAACATCACTTACAATTATCTCGCGTTCTGCGTAACGAATTCCCCTCCTCTCTCACTGCAGAAATCGAATACACCACCCCATCATCTAAATCGGCCGTTCCCTATCGACTGCGGCTGGATGCCACTTCGACTTCTGCATCAGCTCTGGTATCTTCGTCCCATCGACGGGGCGATTCCAGTAATCCCAGGCATATTGTACTACCCTTGTCCGGAAAGCTGATTGAGGTGCTGGTGTCGGAAGGAGACCGCATCGCAGAGAACCAAGTGTTGGCGTTTGTGAAACAGATGAAGATGGAATTGGAAGTTAGAAGTCCACGGGCAGGGAAGGCCAAATGGGCTTTTGAGATGGAGGATGAAGAAGAGGATGTGGCAGAGGGGATGTTGTTGGTGGAGTTGGAGGAGGACAAGGGCAAGGTGGAGGTGAGGGGGAAGCTGTAGCAGTCATTCACAGTGCTAGTCACCAACTGGCATCTGGAATATCATGATGAACATAGTGGCAATTCCACAAGTATGTATCACTATATGTCCTGGATTAATTATAAAATAAACACATCATTTTCATATTAAGATATTCCAGATGCAATATAGAGTATGAATTTCATCTTATTTAGTTGTTTCATTTAGTTGTGCTGTATGCTGTCCTTCATGCCACTATAACAGGTAAGGTAAATTTCACTTGACTACACAATACCCTACAATCTATAATCTTCATGATAAATAAAATCTTGCATCCCAGATATATACCAGGTATATATATATATATAATAAAATACAATAAAATTATATAAATAGATAAACAAGCATTTATGCATGATTAAAGTACTGCAGCCATACCGGATTAGGAAAAACTGCCGACCAGAATTGAGTTGCCTTAAAGAATAGGGATGACTTCAATCCCAAACCACCACTTTTCCCATCCCCATCTACTTTCCATCATGTCAGATACTCTCGCAGAAAAGAGATTCTCTCGCAAATCCCATCGCAAGTCCCGTCATGGCTGCGGGAACTGCAAGCGCCGTCGGGTCAAGGTAAGGGTCCAGTCTAGAACTCCGCGTTGGCGATCAAGAATCTGAGCAGCTGCAGTGCGACGAGGCCAAACCGTGCTTGAATTGCGTCCGACACTCGATTGACTGCGACTTTTTGGATCCCAAAGCGTCCAGCGAGACTTCTCAAAAGCGATCCGGTCGGACGTCCAGGCCAACGTTTCGCTTTGTGCATTCCACCCGTTCCAAGACTCTATCACAGTCGCCATCGGCAACTTCACTTCCTGACTCCAGTCCGATTCCAAATGTTCCAAGTATCCCAGCTCAGGATGATCGTCCATTATCTTACGACGACTTTCAGCTTCTCCACCATTACCTGACCTCACCACAGTGCACCTTTGGCGATAAAGAAAGCCACGACTTTTGGAAAGTCACCATCCCCGAAATCGGGTTCAAGTTCCACTTTGTTCTGCATTTCCTCCTGGCCTTATCAGCGCTCCACCTGAGCCGTGAACAACCGTCTCTCCAGCGCAAATATGTTCTCCAAGCAGAAGAGCACTACTTAATCGCCCTGTCACGGGTAACCTCCCTACTCTCTCACATGGACGCCGAAAACTGTCAAGCACTCTACGTCTCCGCCATGCTTATTTGCTTTCATCATTTCGCCAAAGGACCCCAGCAAGGAGACTACATGATCTTCGCCGACCATGGCCAGGCAGAATGGCTAGGTCTACTTCGGGGCGTTAGGACGATCATCTCCACGATGCGCGATGAGTTTGCATCGAATATCCCACATGGGCCGCCACGGTCACCATCCCAGCACCAGCAACTGTTCGATCATAAACCGGATCAATACGAGGAGCGGTTATCACAACTCCGCCAATTCGTCATAGACCATACAGCAGAAGACCCAGCTTCTGACGTCTGCGTAGAGGCTGTCGATGCCCTGTCTCAAAGCTTTACGTCAATATACGAGAATTCATTCTCAGTAGATGCTTTTTCGCCTTGGGTGTTTGGCTGGCTATATCGCCTATCAGACGAGTTCAACTCTTGTCTACAGCAAAAACAGCCGGTGGCGTTGGTTATATTCGCCCATTTTACAGTCTTATTGAAAGAACTGGAAATTGATCCGCTATGGTTTATGCGTGGCTGGTCTCACCATGTTATGGACGGGATCAATTGCTATCTACACGAGGAAGATAAAGCCTGGATACAATGGCCAATGGAGCAACTTGGGTATTCTGTTACAACTGATACTCGATGAATATACTTATACCCCAATTCTAATTGAAATACAAACATTTTATATCACACATCCTTATTATATCAAAAGAATCACCCTTGATCATCGATTATTTCTGCGCACCTGATCTCCGGCGGTAGCAGGAACCCTCCTTTCACAGTAAACTGTTGTACATTATATGGCTTTCTACCGGTATAGTCATTATGCAGAACAGCACTGGGAACCGGCGTTTCAAAATTCTGGAAACAAACAGCACAAGCCTGATCACCCAACTGTCCCCGGCATAGAACGGAGCCAGACAGATGCTCAATTGAGTCACGATCATCAACTGTTCTCCAAAAAAGAGCAACAGATCCATCACAGCCTTTCCTATTCCAGATATACGCAGTACCCTCCACAATGGCTTTTTGTGTGCCTCTAGAAATGCCATTCCCTTGAAGTTGCTTTGGATTGCCAGTTGCAACATAAAAGCCTGTCACAAACACAGGACCACCATCGAGAGCTTCGTTGTAACTGCCCCATTCCGTAATCGGCGGAACATCAGACCGTCTAATCATCTTCGGAAGCCTATCGTCTGTAACTAGGGACAGATCATGGGCGAAACCGTATGGAAACGAAATGACATGGGATGCGGGGGAGTCATATGTCACAGTGATCTTTCCTATCTGTTATACAAGAAACATCAGACAGTTAGCATTAATCAAACCTGAATTTGTGTGCGTTCATGGCCAATATACCCTCTGATTGCTCCCAGCAATCCAAACATCCTTGCCCAGCGGGGAGTTGCTGAATGTTTTTATCGTTATTCCCATGTACTTCTGTACAGCTTCCTTGGATTTTGCAATCCAATCTGCAAAAAGAAGCCTTGAGTGGCTGTTGGCGGTATATACCTTCATAAATGCATGCGTGGGAACAGTGATACACTGATCACCATTCTTCAATTTGAGCTTTAGACCAAGCGCCGCAGACTTCTCTAATCTGCCTGGCCCAGTGGTAACTGGAGTTCCACTTTGAAGATCATTTGCGCAATGTTCATGATATACAGTATCATATCTTAAACGCAGATTCCCAAACTCAGTTGCTACCCCTGATTCCCAGGACTGTTCCATTTTCTCCCTGCTTTCAAAGAGAATCACAATAAATCCGGAGATAAACACACGCACGGCAACAGAGAGGGGAAACTTCTCCCGCAGGATGGCCATGTCACTCTCGCGTAGAAACCTCCGGGGATTAATCTCTCTCGGTATCGGGTCCTCAATATACCCCGTGTCAAATGACTTATTCGGGGGTGGGCTGTGGAAAATCGGGTGCATGTGGATTTCAAGTCCCCCGGCATGTGTATCCAGCATCGGACTGGATAAGCCACCAACACTCCATATCTCGCGTCCATCTGGAGTCGTTGTAATGTACACTGCTTCGCATATGGATAAAGAACGGTGATGGGTTCTAATCAAGCGGTTGCGAGAATTTATGTCCCCTTTACTCGATTCAAGTGAATCTGTCCCTGCACGCAATTAGTATATCACTTCGAAGCTGCCTGGTAGTCACTCACTGTGAACAGTGTGAATCTCCCGAAGTGAAGACCGGGCTGGAAAGTTGTTCTGACCGATAGACTCGGGGGGTATCTGAGGGTAACTGTTGGAGACTTTTGAACCTTCAGATCCTATTCTATGACAGTTCATTGTGAATGTTAGAGAGATGAACTGGATTATGAGGGTAGCATAGAGAAAACAAGACGGACGTAGAGCTGCAATAATGACATTAACCGTTTACCTATCAGACCTAAATAGGGGTAGCGCTTTGCCTACTAAGTTTATATCTATTCTTTTAGGCAAACGCACCTATATTGGATGGACTTGATATGGCTTTATGCTGGAGCTAGTACATATTTCTTAATCCCGCCAGATATTAACAAGCAGCGAATCAGATTACAATCTGATCCTTCGCCTTAGCATCATTGGTCTAGTGGTAGAATTCATCGTTGCCATCGATGAGGCCCGTGTTCGATTCACGGATGATGCATTCTTTTTTTTTTTGTCTTTTTCTTTTGCTATCTATCTATCTATCACTTATTTTTCAATATTAATTTCTGGTTGATTGATTGGCTTGGTCAATTGAGATGGGTGTGTTGTTTTGCAGATTTTCAGATACCTCTATAGCTTCGATGCTTTTCATCTCAATAAATGCTCAACTTTAGCTTCAACTGAATATTTTTTATGCAGCGAGTATCTCTAATCTAAATCGTCATTACTACAGCTTGATCTATCTTCACAGCCACACTGATCTTGTCGATCATGTCCAGATCGTCAGCGACACGTGGGCCCCTCCAAATCCGTGGGACAGGAATTTAAAGACGTCACCGCAGCCCATCTCCAAATTCCCCAGCCTGCATATTTCACACACCACAGAACACTGTAGATATTCCAACAAATTCACAATGGACTCGCTCAATCTCTATCTTCTTACTTTCAATTGCGCCCGCACGCCAGCCGACGTGGACTTGTTTTCAAAGCATTTCTTCCACGCACTTCCTCACACCGCTGGTTCGCAAGACCTGTCCGTACCGCCCGAGCTGATTGTTCTATGTCTCCAGGAGATCGCGCCTATTTCCTACTCCTTTATTGGGGGGTCGTTCCTCGCGCCTTATTTCGATGTGCTTCGTCAGGTTGTCAGTCAGGCGGTGTCTAAACGCTGGGGCGATGTGCACTATGCTGATGTGGTCGCGGATAATTCTGGCATGACCGGCCTTATGGTCTTTGCCCGGTCGGACGTTACCGATAGAATCTCACGGGTTGATAAGGCGCGTGTTGGAGTTGGTATTCAACAGATGGGTAACAAGGGAGCAGTCGGTGCACGATTGGGTTATCAGACCGACGAAGACGGAGAGACCTTGGACTTGACCTTTGTCGCAGCGCATCTTGCCCCCTTCGAATACGCATTCGAGAAGAGAAATGGCGATTGGCGAGAGATTGTACAGAGATTGGTGTTCTCTCGACAGGCTCGCCAAAGTGTCGACGCTGGAGACGAATCAGAGAGTGCTGCCCTTCTCCAGGATTTGCCGTCGGGCTCTAGTAGCGAAAACCAGGGCATGTTCACCCCCAACAGCTACCTCTTCTTTGCCGGTGATCTCAACTACCGTACCTCAAACACCCTGCCACTCCCTGGGGACCATGCGCGATTCCCGACATTCGATGCCGACCCGAGTAGTGCTGTGCACCATTCACAGCTATTCAAAGATGACCAGCTCAATCGAGAGAAACGCAAGTCCAGATGCTTCCATGGCATGTCTGAAGCACCCATCAATTTCCCACCGACATACAAGTACTCAGCCAAGGCCCGCCGGGCGGCCTGGGACGCAGCACGGAACAACACAGAGTTTCAAGATTGGAAATGGACAGCCACTCGCTGGCCAAGCTGGTGTGATCGTGTGTTATATCTCGACACACCGACATGGATGCAAGACCAGGCGCGGGTCCAAACCCACGGCTATGATGCATTGCCGCTATTTCCGACCTCTGACCATCGTGCAGTAGCACTGTCTGCCTCTGTCCCGCTGAGGCCGATCCGGGTCCCGGACGACGTGGATCCTGCGACAGATGTGCGACTAAGAGCCCCGTTCCCCATCGATCCAGAATGGGAACGTAAACGAGACGTCGCTCGAGGCAAGGAGATCATTGTGGGCTACTTGGCATATCTGGGCTTGACGTGGGAAGGAAACGGTCTCGTGCTGGCGTCGATTATCGGTGTAGTCGGCGCATGGCTTGTGCTTCGATCGCTCCTGGCAATTTGAGTCTGTGTTCACTGTTTCGTTTCAGAAATCGACCAGAATCACCAGATCTCGACGCAAGACATTGCCCCACGGCGATCATATCAAATGATCTCCAAGAAATCTCCGGTGCTGCACGACATCATGACAGACGTACGCTACAAACAGCCCCTGGTTTCAGCATTCTAACATTTGGGCCTTGAGACTCCGGTTGTAATAAAATGGTTTGTCACATGTGCCGAATTAGACGAATACAAGAAATGTGATATACTCGCACGGCTCGTGAAAATGGATTCCATAAACTCTATGACGATGGTGGCTATACAGTGGCTGGCCTTGCATGGCACGAGTCAAGATCCATCGACTATATCACATAGCCCTGTCAGCTTAACTGAAAATTGAATGGTTCTGGAACGGTCTGATGTATTACCAACAAGGAAAGCAAGGCGTCGATCCATGACTCACGTCACCTTCTCTGAGATACGAAACCCGCCAAATCTTATCACCGTTTTACAAGTCCATAGTACAACGTCGTGGTTTATACTTTTGCCCTTTTGCCGAGGAATCAATAGCCTCGGATGATCAAACGGAGACCATATGACAATCATCATTTCCTGCGATGTGTCTTTTTTGCCCAACCGTCAAGCGGAGATAGGTTCCGCTACTGTTTTGAAAGCCAATAGTCCAGGACTGAGTGTGCATACGATCAGTAAGGATTGACAGCGATCTATCGATCCGGATTGACAGCCCCCACTGTCTTAATCTCCCGCCACTGCCAGCTGGTCTGTTAACCGGTGATCCCGAGGAAAATGCAATCCCAAGCCCGAACTCCGAAGGAGTGGAGCAGGGGATACAGAAGTTAGTTACAGCATTATTGATATTAATCTCCTTTTTACTTCTGTGTGATATGGCACGATATGTAGCAATAATTTGCAAACCCTCCCACTAGAAGGCCCCGCCTCGCTTCTCGAAACTCGTTCATTGTCTCTTTGGAATAAGATTGGGCGATCTGGGAATTAGGAATGATCGTCTGTAGATTAAGATAATATATCCCAAGCACTTACGTTGATTAAGAAATAAGAATTAAGGATGGGATTGGAGGCAGGAGGCTTCCCGCTAGAATCGTATAGAAGCAATAAGACGATTGATTAAAATCGCTTCTTCAAACACTGAACACCAACCGAGTAGTCTAGCTGAAGCCAAAAGTACGTGTACAACAGGGGTAGCAAGTAGTAAGTAGCAAATGTACGAAGACGAATTGGGCGATGTGATGGGATTCTTCTGTGCCGTTCACCCGTCTATCATCAATATCGATCGAAATGCCAATGTGATCACCTGGGTGGAGGGAAAAAGTGATGTCAAGTGACCAGCATGCAAACATCCCTTGATGGCCTCACTTTCACCCTCCCCCTCCACCCATCACCCTATCCACACCCGTCCGGCCATCCGAAAGGCAACAGTTACACGAACGACATCATAATCAATCTCGACTCGGAATTAAAGAGTCTTATCCAACAATTAGGCCATGCACGATGATCCATCGCATCCGAACAAGGCACAAGCCAAGCCCAGACCTCTAGAACCGAAAGGCCGGGCTCGAAACTTCGAAACAGGATCTCAGAGGCGAAAAAAGTGAAATTGAAAGGCGAAACGGACCCAGAACGGATTCTATTGAATAATAAACTGGGATGGAGAAACAATAGTATGAAAAATAATCTCTGTGGATCCTGGAATTCCGGAGCGCTGACTTTTTTTTTACGTTGACAGCATCGGCATTTTTATTTTTTATTTTTCTCGCTAATTATTATGACTCGATGATGTCGACAATAAGATGGGTTGTTATTATGGAGTTACTCCTTTTCAAACAAATCAAAATCAAACGGAACAGCGGAATGCAAGAACGGTTTACAGAGTATGGATTACGGGTCAAAGACTGATTGATGATTGATGATGGCGATTTCCGCTTTGCGAAACCCGACGATGCGGATTGGAACCACAGGACCACACACACAAGGCTGTGGAACTTCCAGAAGGCTAGAAGGTTACATCAAAATATTCTCCGAACCAGGGGAAACGAGACTAAGACTAGGAGAGGCAGAAAGGGGAGAAAAGGCAGGAAAATCAGCCCAAGCGAACAAGCCGTCTCTTCGTCTCCCTGAAAGCTAATGGCCATTGATCAGGGGGAAAAGACTGGAGCATGGACCGTTGTCGTCGGTAGATGCGATGAGATGATTTGCTGGAATTGCCATCGAACATTCCATCTTTTTTCTGTGGAAGAGCGTGGTTGCTTCCGCGCATCCGAGATGAGATCCAGACAATGGACACAAACAGTGGCGACTGTCGACAACAGTGGACAGCTGTGCACTGTAGAGTAGGCGTACTGGGTTTCAAAGAACCAATCGTTCAGCAGATTCAGATCAGATCAAAAAACTCCAGGTCGTTAACCCGAAACCATCAACGCAAACATAGGAGACGGACTGTTGGGCGACGGTGGGTCTCCTCCTGACTCCCCTGCGAGGATTCTTCCGATATTCTTCGTCAATTGGCAGCTGCCCAAGAGGCTTAACGGCCGCCGTTCAGAGTCTGACAGGGTCCAAATTTTGTCAGATGGTTGCAAGGTGATGCTCCACGCGGTACTATGTACGACTACAGCATAATGTCAAGGGCCAGGGGTAAACCCATCTCATACTATGACTGCGAGTCATCGATCCATCTGCCAATCTCAATCGGATACCGCCTGTCTAGTGGAATCTAGAATCTGAAATCTGAAATCTGAGCAGTCACTCATCCCATTCCCACCTCGCAATCCCTACCTGGTGACGATTATTGACTTGACTATTGGCGGTGGTCGGGCACTCGGGCAATCCGTGCGGGAACAAACCAGCGCCAGAGTCCAGACTGACGGACTTGACGGTGCCTTTTTTTCCTGCTCGTCTGGCTGTCGTCTTGTCTCCATCCAACATCGGGAAATACGGGCTTGTCGGTCCACTAACGGGGGGGATCCTTTGGCAAGTTTCTGCGATGATGCCCACTGTTGTGTGAGACTGACAGCAGAATAATGAATCCGTTTTCCAGGGGCTCCTTTTTTTTCCTTTTTTTTTCAAATTTTTTTTCTCCCTTCCTTTCTTTTTTTCTTGATTTGATGATTATTTACCCCTAAATAATAATAATCATTATTATTACCATTATACATACAACAGGCTCCATCGGTTGCCCCCATCTCCCCCATCTTGCCCATCACCAGCCAGTCGAGGACAGGCCAGGTCAAATCGCAGCCCGTGGACGTTATGGAACCCCCGAATTTTAATTCTCCTGCCTAACTGGACCGTTTTTTCCTTGTCGTCGTTTTTCTTCACGTCGATATAAATCCCCATTCCCCTGTGGTGGACTCGTTCTCTTTCCACAACTCTCCTTTTTGCCCACTAGCACTAGACATCTTCTTCCCCTGAATTGGGTCTTTGTTGATTTTTATTTTTATTTTTGCCTTCTTTCATTCCTTTGAAGATTTCCGATTCTTCCCCTCCTTTGAAACTATTCATTCATCTATTCAACCCGGCAGTCAATTGTGGCAGTGTCCATCACCGCATCTTTCCTCAACGCTAAAAACATCCCCACGACTGCGCCGAATCCCTGCAAGCGCCTTCACAGCCTCAACTTTGTGCAAAACAACGGCGTCTCGATTCCACGAACTATCGACGTCACCGTTGTGCTTGTGGCTGGACTTTTTTAATTTATTATTTTTTTTTATCTTGAAAAAATTATTCGGTTCGACGTTGGGTTTTTTTTCGCGACCCGATATTATTACTTACTATTACTATTATTATTTGTTTTTTTCTCTCTCCGCGAATCAACCCTAAAACATTCCCTGGACGGGATTAAAAAACAAAAAACAAAAAAAAAAAAAAAGAAAGAAAGAGAGAAAAAAAAAAAATAAAAATAAAAAAGCAAACAGAAACAAAGCAAAGCAAACAAGAAAAGGGTGTCAGAAAAATTCTCAACCCTTTTTTACCTGCTGTCTACTCTGTACTTCGACTTGGATTATTGTCCTTCGATACGACTTCGACAGTCTAGCAGTGCAACGTCTCGTGATTAATTCCTACTACTACCATTACTACTACGACATCATGTACTCTTGCGCCAATTACCCTCGTGGATGCCGTGGTCGCGCCAACATTCAGGGAGGCAAATGTTCCGACTGCGTGGTATGTCTTTCATCGGTTGACGTACGACAACATCAGCTAATCTATTCCAGACATTGAAGCTCCGTCGACCATCGTCTTCGTCTCCCTTTGCGCAGCCTAGAGACTACCGGCGAGCACTACCATCGGAGATCCTGAATGACTCTCCGTACAAAAACATCATCCTCCAATGACGAGACGACGAGATTCCATTCAGACGGTACCAGAAGACATCTCAGATCCTCCACAGGATGAATACAGTGTCCTGTGAGGTTTGGGGCCGGTCCCATGGGATCTTTTGACCGTCTCGCGTTAACTCTTTTTTTATCTTTCCCTTTTCATCATCTATCTTTTCCAGACTTTTGGATGCATCGCTGGGAGTTATAATCATCTACTACTTACTACGAGGGTGGCTTTCGTCTTGATTCACGTTTACTACTATTATTACCAGTCGTTCCACTGGTCTGGATCTTACTCCTGGCTACGGGGAATGACTCAACTTTTCGGATTTCTTTGGGCAGGTGGACACCAAAAAAAAAGTGCGGTTGGACAAACTCTGGGTGGAATAGAGGGAATCGCATGGATATATCGGTATATTGGATCTGCTGCTGGCGAGCAGTGGCGCAGAGGGAAATACTCTAATAGATGGCATGTCTTGACTTTAATTGTTATTTTAATTGTTCTTGTTTTTCTGTCTTAATGATTCGACAATCATCATACCCATCGACTGTCGAATACGGTTGATACTACCACTACCACTACCTCCACTGAGATGACTTCAAGAACTATCATGATACCTAGACCTGAATGTCTCACCGTCTCGGGTAACAGTGAAACAACCCAGCCCTGATTCAGATTTGGCGCTAAAGCCAAGACAGGCTCCACTGTTTGTCTTGGTTCAGGGTTTTTAGATCGAGATGAACTTTTTTGGAAGTCTGGTGTTCTATTCTTGTATATTAAACGATGTCACTTTGGAGTGGATGAGTATTCTGGTAGGTTCTATTCTGTATGCAGTTGGAGTGGTCATGAAGTGTTATCTACAAGTCGTCTAAGTTGGAAGCTATATCTCAGACGTAGTTCATCTAATTCAATATAACGTCGTATCTTGGCATTCACCATCGCGTTGGCTTCATTTATACAAAACTCCCTTCACCCTGACCTTCATCTTGGCGGGAGTATTTAACAGCTCGTCCTCATCATGGATTCTCTCGTCAGCAACCATGAAGACATCCATCTCTATCTGGGCTACTGCCCTGTTGCATCTCGCGGCCTCTGTCTCGGCTGCTGGCGTCACAGGTAAAGCGTTTGGCTTCGCGACAGGCACGACAGGCGGTGGTTCTGCAACGCCAGTTACTCCCACCACCAACGATGAGTAGGTCTTCTGCCTTGATTCGTTCGAGCTATACTCACGCACTGCAGGTTGATCAAATATCTCACTGGCGACGAACCCCGCGTCATCCTCATCGATCGCACTTTCGACTTCACCCTGTCCGAAGGCACAGCTACAGAAACCGGCTGTATCCCAGACAGCAACACCTGCGGCGAACATGGCCAGAATGCTCTCGACGGCCCCAACTGGTGCTCCTCCAGCTACCCCTCGGTGGAAGTAACCTACAACGTAGCCGCGACGGACCCGATCTACGTGGGCAGCAACAAGTCGCTCGTCGGCGTAGGCTCCAAGGGCGTCATCCGCGGCCGGGGTCTCAAACTCACCAGCGTCGAAAACGTCATCATCCAGAACATCCACATCACCGACCTCAACCCGCAGTACATCTGGGGCGGGGACGCGATCACCCTGGGCAACACGGATAAGATCTGGATCGACCACTGCAAGATCTCGCTGGTGGGTCGGCAGATGATCGTCACGGGCTTCGATCCGGCGGGCCATGTCACGATCTCGCATACCGAGTTCGACGGCATCACGGACTGGTCGTCGAGCTGTAATGGCGATCATTACTGGACGATGCTGTTCCTGGGTAAGGAGGATTATATCACGCTTGCGGATAACTATGTGCATGATTGCAGTGGGCGGGCGCCGAAGGTCGGTGGCTCGGGTGCGGTGACGATGCATGCGGTGAATAACTTCTTCTGGAATAATCTGGGCCATGACTTTGATGTCGCCGAGGGGGGCAGTGTGTTGGTTGAGAATAACTCGTTTAATAACGTCACCACGCCGATGACTGAGGCGAGCTCGACGGAGGGCGGGAAGGTGTTTACGGTTGTTTCGGGGGGTGAGAAGTGCGCTTCGTCGCTGGGGAGGAACTGTGGTGCGAATACGCTGGTTGAGTCTGGCGATTGGCCTTCTTTGGGGGATACGAGTATGCTCCAGACGATTGGGGATGCTGGTTCTGTGCCTGCGCTGATCAGTCCGGTTACTGATGTGGCCCACCAGGTTATGGCTAATGCTGGTGTTGGGAAGATCTGATGTATTCTATTATTCTATTTATGCGACTTCTGACTGCAGTATTTGTTTACAAACCCATTGCGCTGTCTGTGTGTGAAGACTCCAATATCGCTCGTCTTCCTTAGTTTGATTTTGATCTTGGTCGTCTTTGTTGGATAACCTCCCCAGAGCTTCGAATATAACCAGTTGATCTCTCATATGCTCATCAACACATGGTCTGGTCTTTGTGCTGGCATCATCCATATTAGGGTCGTATATCTCTTTGATGAATCTGTCCACGGCACACTTGGCCAGTTGTTGTATATTCGACTCGAGTTCAGTCGACTTATTCCGTCCTGTCTTGTCCATTGGAAATGATCCAAGGAGTGCATCTTGACCTATCCTGAACCCGGTGGATGTGTGTCCCACGACCATCACGTACATGTGTGCCTGGGAATATGTTCGTTCGGATGTATGCAGAGTAATTGGGACTTTTTTGTCTTCTGGAAATGAGGATGAAGGGATAGAGGCGAGTTTTTCGCGGAGGGTGCTGGCGGTTTCTGATGCGAGGTATTGTCGGGCTGTTGATGTTTTCTTTGCTGGCTCTTCTCTTGGCTTTCTTTTCTTGTTCTTTTGGCTAGATGAATGTTTAGATGCTGATGTGATATCCAGCGCATCATCCGGTGCAAGAATCGTAACATCAATCTGTGTGATCTCTCCCCGCTCAAACCGTCCCATATCGATAGTCGGAAATACAGCTTCATCTCCATCAGAAGCCAACGGATTCACCACCATCGTCACCATCCCTAACTCCGTCCTCCCCCTCGACCATCCTCTCCTCTTCACCTCCATCTCCAAACCCGGCAATCCCAATCTCACCAGATTAGGGCTCAGCACCTGCGCAATGTAATCATACGACGGCGCAAACGCGACATTCGTCCCACCCGTTAGATTCAATCTAATCTTCTCCCTCCCAGCATGCAGCAGATATGGATACACCGCTTGGAAAATCAAAAACACGGCACCGGCCGTATCAAGGCGGATATTATACTCTGCCTGTAATGGCGATGGCGATACGCTTCTTGATTCAGATGAGGGTGGTGTAAACACCAGCTCCGAGGAGCCCACTTGCGCCCCAGAAACAGTACTCCCCGTGAGGTCGGAGAGAAAGTGAACGGCCGCGAGATGAGACGCTTTCAGACCCTTTTTTCCGTGCCGTTTGTTGCGTATTTGCGTTATGGAGATGGAGGTTTTGGTGATGGAGGAGAGGGCGAGGGCGATGCGGACGAGCTGGCCGCCTCCTTCGAGGGTTTGGCCGTTGAGGTGGATGGCCATGTTTATTCTTTCTGTAGTATAATCGGATAAAAGTGGCTGATTGTAGATAGTTTGTTGGGTTGCCATGTACATTTATGTGAGTTGATGCTAATTATGGTTGATTATGCTGTTGTTGCCTGTTGTTACAGCCACATTCGGAGTGACTCATTTAGAGTCACGATCTACAATGACTGACAGATCGGCTGCTGCTACGAGGAATAAGGTTTAAACAATTGTAGTTAATTTAATACTGGTGTTAATTTACGTTGTTTTAGATATGCAGGTGTATCTGTTGGTATAGTACCTGGACAACGTCGTGGATATATATCTAGTAATATCAGTTAGTTTTGTAGACACACAAGGGACTAAATACTAATCCTTCAACTATGCAATTGATTATTGTAAAATAGCAGACTACTATCTAATAGACATATCCATTGTTGTACCAGTAGACAGGACTTCCAAGGAAACAAGAGCCATCGTAGTTACTCCAATGATATACTCACCCGTGCCTTCCTACTATCAATTCATCCCCATAATCAATCATCCATCCAAACATTTTTCCTCCATACATCCTCACTCACATCTATCCATTCATAGTCCAATATGGTTCCCGCATCGTCACTCAGCCCAATGGATCGTCTCCGGAGAACCAAATCCACTCGCTCCATGCGAAGAAGATCGCAGCCCCCAGAACCGTTCGACCCCGAACTCGCAAAACACCAGGCTACCGCCGCCGCTTCTCGAGCCATGCGTCGCTCCACCGAGAGATCTTCGACAGAATCCAGACGCTCGTATGATCGTCTCGGAGGCCCTGGCAGTCTTGCTGTTCCGCAGAGACGGAGAAATGCGAATAATATCTCCTATAACGAGGACGGCTCGGTTGTCAACACTTCATCTCCCCGTCCGTCAAGCATTGGCTATGGCGACGACCACTCCTCCGCTGCTTTGCCACCCATCAGCGAGTTTGGAGGACTCGACGGTCGAGATTCTTCGTTGCCATCGTCTTATCGCCGGCTTCGAAAGGCTAAGTCGATGTTCTCGACGAGACAGCGTACGCATATTGGTCCGGGTATATCTTCCGACTCATATGGCAGTCCGGCTCTTGATAAAAGCGCTGTTGCGACACCACGTGCGTATGGCACTTTGAGACGCTCCATGTCCTTTCTTCGAGGAAATCAACCTTCGAAAAGTGTTCGACGTGCTGAAAGCCAGGAGGCTATTCAACTAGCACGTAGCCAGTTTCTCCGGAGTCCAAAAAGCCCTGGACAGGAAACGCCGTCTCCTCTCTACAATTCCAAAACCAGAAGGCAGCAAAAGCCGCTTAGAAAGACATTTCGTACCGCCAGCGAGACTGGGTTCGATTTGTCAGGCAGTCCATCCGTGGAAGATCAGCCCCGGAGTGCAGGTCGCCATGGGAAAGCTCGATCGATCTCATCGTCCATCAAGAAAGGAATCAAGCGCGTTTTAGGGCTATCGAGGTCCGTCCAAGAGCAGCCCGAAGCCCAAGAGATGTCTCGGCCTGATCACAGCTATTCCTCGACCGAATCTGGCACCGACGTTGATTATACGCCGGATGGCAGCTATGCTCGGAATTTTGCAGATTTCGCAGATCCTAGTAGGACACACACGATTCGAAATGTTCGAAGTTCTGAAAGCCTTGCCACCTCGCACTCTCGTGTTACGAGCTGGGCTGATTCAACGGCGGCAAATACTATTGCAGGCCGAAGAGCAGGCGAACGCATCCCATTATCGATCATCCAAGAGCATGGAAGCCAGGATGAACAAGCCATTGGCAATTCTACTAGACAAGGCCCACTAAGACCAGATGGATCTGTTGATAGTCAGCGCCTGTACTCCGCATTGATGAAGCACATGCAAAATCCAGATGAAGAAGACTTCTCCATTGGCCATGTCAGAGAGCATCATCCGGTCCCAGAACGTGCATCTTCGCTTTACTCTCACCGGACCCGCCAATCAGTCCGTCATATTCCCAGTAATGACTCTATGGCCTCCCCCGGATCTTTTGCAACCGCTATCGGTGGCACATTGTCGCCTCAGAAACAGTCGCAACGGCTATCCAAGAACATGTGCCATATACAAGAACCTAGGTACTTACAAGACCAAGGGAATGGCAAGCCTGAATATTCCATTCCACATGGATATGCCACCAACTCGCCGTATGCCAAAGACTCGGATGACTCTGGTAGCGTGATTGTTTCCAAATCAGGAGATGTTGCGCCAAACTCTCCGAGCATATATTCACGAACGACAAGTGGCAACTCGCCGATCAAGAAAGCGCAGACAGGGGTTCAAGACGCATTCGATTCGGAAGAGGAGCCTGGAGTGGTCACCATATTCGCAAGCCACAGAACCGCGTATAGCTCTCCAAAAAGAATAGCTCGTTCTTCCTCTACTCGGGTGCCTTCTCGGTCCGGTGCCGAATGGCAGCAGTGGGTGAATACTGAGATGGCGAGATTCGAGACACAGACTCCCCCAAGAGACCATTACAGGGAGAGCGCCCAAATTCACAACGATGACAATGGCCCTTTGTATCTGCCCACGACTGAGGAGATGTCGAATACCAACAACACCTCTATCGCGCCGTTGGATACACCCTTGGGCTCCAATCAGACCAATGAGTTCTCAAACGGCAAAGCCCCAGTGCAGAACAACTTCTCCCGGCCATTCAGTCGGTCTTCTAGTGTGCGTACCATACAGCCACCACAGAAGGAAAATAGAGGGAATTCAATTCCTTCGTCCGGACCAGTATACCTGTCTGGTGGTGTCAGAAGACCTGATTCTCAGAATATCTCCACGTCCAGCCCAGCTGACGACAGTTTTTCGTTATCACCTATGCAGTCGAGACCCAGCAATATAGTCCGGGCTCCCGAATCTCCCACACCAAAGAGAGAATTTGGAGATACCCAGCAGAGAAAGATGGCCGACGGACAGTACCGGCGTTATTCAACCAGGCGTCGTCCTATGTCAGATGCAAGAGCTGCTCAATTCCGATCCATGCGTGGCCGTCGAGATAACAGAAGGCCGACGAACGAAACTATGCGTGCTGGCGAAGAACATATGGATCAGTACAACCGACTCCAGGGCATTCACTCTACCAATTCCAGTAAACGGATGGTGGAGATGTTTCTGGACAGTCGACGCCAGCAGGCAGGCAGCGAAATGTCAGACGAGGTATTCATGTAACAGACAGCAGCGATTCATCGATCGATATCTGTATCAGTCATTCATTCTTTCGTCTTGTTTTGGGTTGGTGTTTTGTTATAGTATATTAGGTACGTAAATGCAGAATATCGAATGTATCCATAAGTGAATCCTCGCATCTAGATGCTTGAAGAGAAACGAAACATGAGGGAATAAAAAGAAAGATGAAGATAGAAAAGAAGGGAAAAAAAACAAAAAAACAAAAAGAAATCTCTCCCTCGGGGAATCGAACCCCGGTCTCCCGCGCTTATCAGGTTAATGACAAGCGGAAATCATGACCACTAGACCAAGGAAGATGAGATAGTCGAGTTACCGCTCGACCACTTGGTGGTGTTGATGTAAGCCTTTACTCAGATTTGGCTTTATATTACTGACCCATTTCGCTTGCATAATTAACCAGCAAGCAGGAATTATCTACAATCGCATTGAGATATAAAGTTGGCATTAAGATTAAACCTCTATAGTTATAGCTCTCTATCAAGCTTGTCCAAATACAACCATCTCTTTATTTCACTTTATTCCACATAATTAGCCGGAAAGCTCCCCTTGACACCCCGGAGTTGACCCTCCCACCAATCGTCAGTACTGTCTGTCTTCTTCAACACGCGGATCCGATCACCCTCTCGGAAAGCCAGGTCTCCAGCACCCTCGCCGGGGAAATCATACATGGCGGTAACGAACAGGGCGGGGCTGAGAGATGCAGGCTTGGACGGGGGAGGCGGTGGTGGTTTCTTCTTGGTGGCTAGCACTGAGCTTAGTTCTTGGGAGACGGCAGAGCTGACGGATGGTTGGCGGCTGCGGCTGAAGTAGTCTGATCGGGAGGCTGAGGCGAGTGATTCCCCTGGTGATGATGCGGTGGGTGTTTGCGGGGAGCTGAAGGTGCTGCCGGCACCGGGGACTGTTAGGTTGGCGGAGGGGGGAGGGATCTGGTTGATTTGAGGCTTCGATGAGAGCACAGGCACTGGCGGGGCAGGGCTTCGGCTTCGGCCGGGCGAAGGGGGTTGGCTCGATGGGTATGCGCTGCTGGGGCGGCGATAACCCGAATGACTGCTCGGTGGGCGGTGGCTGGATTGACTGTAGTTGGATTGAATGCTTGGGCGACGGTAGCTGCTGGACTGGCTGGATGGCCGGCCAACTGAGAGGCTGCTGCTGTTGTTTCCGGCTTGGTATCCGGCGTCCTGGGACTTTTGACGGCTTTTGGAATTGGCAATGCAACCGAAAGTCTCTACGTCCTGCTGTACGGGTATGGCTTTGAATTCCCATTGCTCAATAATATCCTCCATCGGGGGCGCAGGGAGGGGAAACTGCTCTTCCTGGCAGAAATTGGTCACAGCGGTATAGCAATTCGCTAGCATGGTATTCTGGATTTCGACCTGGGCGGCTAGAAATCGGGGGAAGAGCGAGAATACGGCCTCGATGAGAGGAGGGAGGATGCGTCGAAGATGATCATCTGCTGCATTGTAGTCCTGGCCGGGTCAGAATAAAGTATATCATCAATATAATTGGTTCTCGTACCTGGGTGGCTTTTTCAAGCTCAACCTCGGCCTTTGCAAGGGATGCATTATCGCGGTCTGATCGCTTGGGTTTCTTTTGATAATTATCAAAACGGCTTTGGTAGCGCTCAAAGTCCACCTACAAATAGAACAGTATTAGCTGGCTTAGTCTCTCACTACCTGGAGCGTGTGTATATATCAATTTTTACACACCTTTCGGTCATCTCGCTTCTTGATGGTCTTCTTCATAGGAGCCATGTAATCCTTGGCCTGAGTAGCTGGTTGAATTATGCGATCCTCCACGGCATTGAGCTCCTGCATGAGATCCTTTCGCATCTCTTCATATTCGTCCTTCAACTTGCATGTTCTGGCGTAAGTCTCGGCCGGTGTCTCGACAACTGGCGGGCCAGAGTCATCCGAGGCACCGATAATGGGGGCGTATAATATCTCGAATTTCTGGACCATTTGGGATTGATACGTCAAGATCGAGTCCCAGGCATCACGCCAGGCACTGGCGGATTCGATGATCTACGGGGATGTCTCGGTTAGTATCCGCGGGGAACAGGAGGGGATGATATCAGAGTCAGAACGAGTGGGTTTAAAGAACTTACCCTTCCCAAAAGCTCATTTGCTTCTTCAAAATCTCTGAGTAAAACGGCGACCTGACTTTCATCGGCAGACCTTTTCATTAATTTTCCGAAGCGTCTTTGGACCCTTTGCATGTTGGCGGGTTGAGCGATTCGACCGCGAGGCTGTCAAGTTGGATAGAATTGCGGGGAGGGGTGAACCATTGACTGATAAAAAGGAATAGAAAGCAATCTATGACGAAACCGAGACCCAAGCCAACAACCTCAACAGGATGAAGGAAGAACAAGATGCAGAGGTGAGTGGAGGAAAAAGAAAGGGAAGGGGGAGAGAGAGGCGCAAGGGGAGAGAGAAAGAAAAGAAGAGGACACCACGAGGCTATTCTACCTTTGGGATGACGACGCCCACTTTTTTTTCTCCAGTCGAACAGGAGTCATGGATTAATCCCAGGCGGTTTCAGCCTCGTTCGTTTGCTCTTAGTTCTCATTAATTGCATATGAGCCATAATAACGGCCCCCGCCACAAGAGTCAAACCGACACAGAACCACCGACAAGACCCTCCGCTCTATTTTTGGCTGGGAAGGAGTTGTGTAGATCGTTGCATCACCGTCACTGTCGGACAGATACGAGGTCCAGTTTTCCGTGTGAATATCTTCAACTGTTCGTCTATTGATCGAGAGGAGAATTCAAATCAAAGAATCTATCTCAACTGCGACCCGTGGTTGACTGACAGCGGCAGGGCTGGTTCGCCATCGGAACCAACAATCTGTCTGATGCGATCATCATGTCCTGTCGTCCCTGCCAAGGATTGCAGTTGTAATATGCGGTAAAGGAGGGCAAAAGATGGAGAAAGATGGCTCATGCGATGTTGGTGAAGAGGGGCTCGCAGAAGATGGGGATGATCAGTCAAGGCAGCAGTTGATGAAGCAATAGGCAGTAATTATGCTTCCAGCTGCTGATAGGGAAATATCTGATAATTAAATGCAGGAAATAATAGCCAAAGCCGCTGGGATTATATGCAATTAAATGCAATTAAATTAATATCGCTTTCTGTCGGAATTATTGAACGCGTCCAGAACACGGGGTTGTGGCCTCAGGCCCTATAAGGCATACCCGCTTTTCTCGTTCTGCTCCATCTTGAACCCAAGCCATCCTTCTCCATTGCACTGTCCAACGACCAGATGGTACACTTCCAGGGCGTCGCCATCCTCTGGCATCCCCTCCGACCATGTCGACGCCTTCAGCCTCTGCTGCACCGCGTGGCACGCCCGGTTTGACCGTCCCCTCGTCCCAGAACACCGCGCCCGTCATCAAATTCCGATGTCTCTACACCCACGATCTTCGACGAAAAGCAAAACGCTGGCAGGATGGCTACCTCCGATATCACAAATTTAATAAGAGGGCTATGGTTTTTGATACCTCGGGGAATTTCATAGGCGACCTCCATTGGCGGAAGGACGAGGATATTCAAGATGGTGATGAGATGGAACTGGATAAAGGCGTGCTGATCGAGGTTGGCGAATGCATGGGGAGTACAGAGACAGACATCTCGTCCTTGTTCGAAAAGAAGAGATCCAGTCAAGGATCCCCATCACAGCAGAAACCATCACCAGCTGCCCGTCCTTCATCTACCCCAGTACGCTCTGCCATGTCGTCGCAGCCGTCGCGATCTTTGAATGACCTTTTGGGAATCAAACGAACACCCATCGGACGATTGGTCTCGCCTTACGAAGAACGACACTCACAAGTCCAAACTGGGAATAGTCAGCAATCGCCTGGGCCGGCGGCAAAGCGCCAGAAAACCGTTTCTTCAGAAAGACCTCGCGAACAGCGCCCGAACCCGCCCCCGCCATCTCGTGCACAACCTGTTGTCGTTGACCTGGACGGACCTGCTGCCCCAAAACTGCGAAATGGAAATGAGAAAGAGAAAACAATCCCAACGCCATTGGGACCGGAGGAGAGACCCCGCGAAAGGAACTTAAATCCACGACCTGCTGTCATTGAAAGGCCTGCTGTTGGGACAATAGGAAAGGAGAAGGAGCAAACATCAATCCCAAAGCCACCGGAACCTTTAACGAGGCCGAGGATAGATCCACAGCCCAGTCGAGCAACACCGAATGCTCCGACACCATCGAGTGCACCCAAGGAAACAAGGCCCAGGCCAGTCGAGAACACTCGACCTTCCAATAATCTGTCGCGATCGTTTGGGTCTATCAGCACGAATGCAGACCCTCCAGTCAATACCCTTCGAATGTCGACTGATCGACCGCGCAAAAAGTTGATGTACAGCGAATTATTGCGCAGCCAGTCATCGAAATCATCATCAGACGCAGCACCACGGCCACAAAGACCAAGTCCTCAATTAGGGCCAGAGCGAGCTAAATCGCAGTCAGTATGTGCCCAATTATGTCTCTGGATGTTTAGACTAACTGACTCCAGAAGAGTTGAGCGTGAGCACGAGCATGTTGTACCGGATCCTATACCTACCAATATGGATTTTGTGCCATCGGAATCGACACAATTTGTTCTTGACCAACTGACAGATGACCCAATTTCTGAACAACCTGCTCCAGCTCCACAGGCATCATTTCCACCTAACCACAAACTAGAACCGCCAACCACGAATCCCTCGCATCTAGCGCCCAGGAATCGAATATCGAACCCCGAGCCCCGATTGATCAGCAGCCCTTTTATTAAACCGGAGCACATACCGCCCCATCAAACCCAAACTCGGCCTGCACAGCCAGGACCAACACAGCCACCTCCAATTCCAGCAGTGATGAACCTACGCCCTCAAAATCTCACAGCAAGGGCTTCTCATACCAGACTCCAAAAGTCGTATTCAGATCCCACTGCTTTACTCAACGCCACCGGCGTTACGTCGCGACGGGCACCTCCTAAGAGCCCGCTAGGCATGCCCGTCAACAATGGGCCTGAGAAAGGTCCCTGGACTGCAGAAGCATTGGACCTGTTTGATTTTTGGCCACCGGGACGGCCGAAGCCTAGTTGACGCTTCGAGGTTGTCTACCTATGATCTTTCTTAGAATGAGCTGAATAGATGGAATATGTTTTATTAGAGGTATGATTTTTCGGAGGTTTATGATAATGATGATACCCAGTTGATCTTGTCTGTATAATTCTACAAATGCATAATATCACTCATGTGGTTTATAAAAAGTTATAAACAGGATACGTAGAACAATAGAGCTATCTAGACATAATCGTAATCAATTCGTTGAGACAAGAGCTTCAACAACACAGCCCTCACCCTCATGTACTCTTCTTCACCAACGTCCCCGCGATATACGGCATACACGTCCGACCAAAGTACCTGTCCAACTCCACCGACTCCCACCCCCCATCCTTCTCCGCCACCTTTCGCAACACCGCCTCCGTATCCCGATCCATACAACAATCACCCATGAAGAATCTCCATCCCAACATCTCATACAAACCCTGCATCACCCGTGCACCCACAGACCCCTTCGCCGTCCGCCACGGATTCACCACATGCTCCGTGATAAGCAGCTGTCCACCCGGCCGAAGCAACCCGTACAACTCGCCCACCGTCTTCTCCATATCCGGCACAGAACACAACACGCGCACACAGACGATCGTGTCAAAGATACCCTGACTCGCCACAGGCATGAGATCCTGCTTCTGTAACTCCGGCACAAGGTCCGCCGCTACAACGCTACAAGGGAGAATGTGGTACTTGTCAGACAACCCCTCTGCTTGTGCGCGTGCGCGCAGCTCCTTGTGTAATCCGACACATGGCTCAGCGCCGTAGATGGCTTTGATGGCTGGGGAAAGGAGGAGGGGCATCTGGGTGCCTGTTCCTGGACCGACGTCTAGTACGATGCCGAATGCTTTGGCTAGGATTGGGGGGATTAGGTCGGATGACATTAGGGCCCTGGGAGGGGCAGACTGGGGTTCATTATTGTTGGGTGTTGGTGGTTCGCTATTTTTGAGGGCTTGTTCGCGATTTGCTGGGTTTTCTTGTTTAGCTTGGTGGATTGTGCAGTGTTATCTGAGGATTGACTTACAGGTAAATTTAACCCAGAACCGCGCAAAAGATTCATCTCGAAGCTTGTCTGTCTTGAATAGTGGCGCGAGTACCTGGCCGCGCTGGAAGACTGCTTCAAAGCTGACTCGTACATAGTCTATCATCTGTTAGTTATTCGAATGGAGAATAGTCAAGAGAACATGTCATCATGATAATCGGAGATGAATGAGTCAATTTAGTAGCTGACGTGCTTGTCACATTTACAATAGATGATGCAAGCAAGTAGATATACAATGACAAGGAGACATCAAGTTCTTCCAAATAGTTTATTAACTTACTTGACATGGCAGCAGCCAGCAATTGGCCTGGTTCCAGCAGCGCGCGGATCCATTCGCCGGTGGTAAGTTCATCGGCAGAGGCCATCTTGGTGTGTGTCGGATTTCTGGATGCTATTAGGTATTAGATGGCCTTAAGATGAAATATTCAGAATTCGACTGGCTGAAGTCGAGATAATCAAGAGGGAGAAAGAGGAAGGAGAAATCCAGATAACTAAACAGATGGCGTGACTAATACAATCGCCGAATCAAACGCCGAGACGATATACATCTTTGTATCTACATTTCAGAGTAGAAGTTTAGGAAATCTAACAGTAATTGAATCTACTATTAATAAAATATATATCGTAGCTTAATAGATCTGTCTGAAGCTGTTTTATTATGGTAAACAGACTTCCATAAACAGATCATAGATGTATAGCTTGACGTCATGACTCGATAACTTCAATTTCGCCTCTAATCTTCAAACTCCGAAAGAATCCAGGAAATCAATCATCCAGATAGAATCAATATGGGTGGTGGTCCTCAGTTCCCGGGCTATCGCAAGGCAACACCGACCAGAAAAGTACAACCAAAGCAGTCAGAAGACAAACAGCTACACGCTGTTGTTGACCTCGGCAGGTATAGTCCCTCAGCACGTATAAACGTATCAACGGTATTAACAACACAGCAATGGCATTCGATGCTCAATATCAGACCTTTCCCCTCCTACGACACGTATCATGCCGACCATCCATGCTCGGCGATTCAACATATCCCTATACGACGCCCAGTTCGACTCCGAAACAGGCCAGCGCAGACCAATTCCCCAGCATGTCATTGATAATGTCGTAAGCGTCATTGTTCGCTTTCAAATTGTCTGTGTGGATTCGGATGTGCCATCGAGTCATATTCGTATCGTTGCAACCGAGGCGACTCGCACTGCGATTAACTGTCAACAATTCGTCCAGGCCATTGAACATGCGACTGATCTTCGCGTGGAGACCCTCCCCAAAGAGCGTGAGGGAACCATCGGAGCTTGGGGCATCGCCAGTGGGTTCTCGGATATCGAAGGCCTTGCGCTGGATCTAGGTGGGGGCAGTATGCAGATGACCTGGATCGTATCGCATGCTGGAAACGTACATATCAGTCCCCGAGGCGCTGTGAGCTTTCCATACGGGGCTGCTGCTCTGACACAAAAGCTGGAAGATATGAAGCGGGGAAAAAGCAAAGAAGAGGCACGACAGGCCAAGGAGGAATTTCGACGAGAAATGGAGGATAACTTTCGCAAAGCCTGGGAACATCTGGAGATCCCAGATCATCTTGCCCAAAAGGCCAAACGAGAAGGTGGTTTCCAGCTATATCTCTCTGGAGGAGGCTTCCGAGGCTGGGGATATCTGCTTCTCTATCTCCATCAGGTCCGTGGCGAGTACTACCCCATATCCATCATCAATGGGTACACAGCCCGCAAGGAGGACTTTGAAAACACCGAAGCTCTCAAAAGAGAAGCCAAAACAGCGCACAAGATCTTCCGGATCTCCGATCGACGACGCAAACAAGTCCCATCCGTGGCATTCCTCGTGAATGCCCTAGCAGAGGCCGTCCCATACGGCGTCAAAGCAGCACATTTCTGCCAAGGAGGCGTGCGCGAGGGTTTGCTCTTCCAGCAGTTAGTCCCAGTCGTCCGTCAGCAGAATCCCATCGAGGTAGCCACCGTCCGCTTTGCACGCCCATCAGCTCAGACCATCGCGTACTTAATCCTCGGTGCCATCCCACGACCAGATAAGGAGAAACGGTTCCCCAGCTCGATCAGCTCGCATGTCATCCAGGCATTCGCCAATGCCCTCTACATCCACGCAGCCATGTCAAAGGAGCTTTCCTCAACAGCTGCCCTGTACAGCACCAGCGCCGGTGTCTTGTCCTCGGCATCTGGTATCCCCCATAACGATCGGGCCCGGTTGGCGTTGATGCTGCAGGAGCGATATGGAGGTGAACTCCCGCCCCGCGAGCATGATTTCAAGAAGCGTTTGCAGGACCTTCTCACTCCGGAGCAAGTGTGGTGGACACGGTATTTGGGGAAACTGGGACTAGTCCTTTCTCGGCTCTATTCCACTGGAACTGTTGATCCAGCGCGTCCTCGAGTGGTTCCATCTGCCCGGTGGGCAACGGACCTGGGGAAGAATAAGAATAAACCTGGTATTGAACTGAAGGTGTTAGTCCAGAAGGTGCCATTCGATCCAACCAGGCTCAAGGAAGAGCTGAAGCAGGATATGAAGAAGATTCAAAAGGTGGGCAAGAGGAAGAATTGGATTGGGGGGAGAGATGGCTGGGGGATGAAAGTGGAAGTCAAGTTGGTCGAAGATGATATGATATAGATAGGTGTAGGCCACCTTGGAAATATTATCTATATGCCATTTTCAAGGCATGAATATCCCACTCATGCTTTTCTGGATAGTAGAGATGTTCAAGGGGTCGAAGCAAAAAGAGGAAGAAAAAGAAGAGCAGATAAACAGCACCCATGACTAATTCAATCACCGAATCAAACTCCGAAGTCCGAAATAGCTTCATATTTCAACAAAATATCGCATGCATACATATTACATCTACACCCCAGTTACCAAGTTACCACTAAAAAGCCATGTCTCCTGAAATAATTGATTATCTTAGTCTGTAAAAATGACTAGACCAATTCTCGCTGCCTTGCAAGCGTAAAGAGTAAACAAACAGACAACCAACTTGGGATCAACCACACTAATCAATCGATCAATCTCGCTGTCATTACAGATTCAAGAAACTCAATATCAAGGTCGGAGAGAAAAAAAAGTACAAGATGCTGGTTGACTTGCGCAAAATATCCGCACAGAATGTTTTAACATAAGAGGAGAATTAATGGGAAAGATAAAAAAAAAAAAAAAAAGGGCCAAACCAAAACGAACGAGAATGACCAGGCTCAAAAGCGTATGCCAGACTGACAAACGAGTATGTATCAACATAGGAAATGAATAAAATTCAATGGTTCATGTAGCGATGCTTTCGCAAAAGAGGGACAGAAAGATAGACCAGCACCAAAGGAGTGGGGAGACGGTCGGATAAAAAGAGGCCTTTAAAGGCTAAGTAGGATTAAAAGGTATAAATGAATAATGATAGCGGTTGTAGAGGAGAGTGTTCCCAGGGTTGCAAAGTCCGAAACAAAGCAAGAATTCGGCAAAAATGAAGCCCGTAGGCAAACTCAGATGCTAATGACGCGCTCATGAAATTTGCAATGCATCAGATGAAAGGTGGTGACGGGAGCAATGCACAGGTGAATAATGCACAAAAAGGAGACTCGTTGGTATGGATAACAGAGCAGGCTTAGTCACGAACTCAATGGAAAGGCAATACAGGGTTGGAGGTTTCGCGGAGAATCCGCTGGGGTATTCCTCTAGTGGTGAGAGTGAATTCGATTGACCCTCGGGCTGTAGCGACTTGTTCTTGATAGCGAGCTGACGTCGTGCCGACCATCGCAGCAAGCGCGGACGTTTTCAAGGCGATCATTATCCAGGTCCAACGTATGAGCATGAGAATGCGAAGATAGGTTGTCTACACTTCCGTGGTCATGAATGCTTCCGTCATGAAGGCTGGACTCGGCATATCCGTGTCTTCCTTTCCGACCAAATGATCCTTTGATAGTTGTGTTGAGGATCGTGCTAAGGCGGGAGGAAGAAACTTGTCTAGGCTGCTGCTCTGGAATCTGGAGAGATGAATCCTGCGCAGGAGCGCTCAAGGCCGGGGAAACCCGCCCAGGAGTTGCAGTTTGACGAACAGACATGGCAGAGCCAGCACGCTGTTTGGGAAGATTGCGGAGGGTGCGGCTCTGGGAAGACGAGAATGACATACGTGCGTTCTGGCGGGAGCTTGAGCGGAACCCAGGGTTGAATTCATCAATATCTTCGAGTGTGATGTTGTTCTCTTGCTCTTCCTCGTCATTTTCTGAGTTGCGAAGCAGGAGGTACGATAGAGCATTGAACCAAGTCTCATGTCTCTGGCTTGTCGTAGCAGTAAATCTCACGCGACGACCAGGGCTGACAACTTCCAAGCTCCGGCAATGCAAGCCCGGTGGGTAAGGGTTGTCATCAGCAACGACTCGCACAGCTTCAATCGGGACACTCTTGGTTCTGAGCTCAGTCTTTCCAGCGCTTTGCGGGTCTGTTGCACTCCAGTACAATGTGCGTGTGTACGGGTGAACCCAGAAATATCGTCGGTGGCGGGTACTGGACATGTCTCCAGAAACAGTCTTGCGCGTGTATTTCCAGAGGAATTCACCGATCATTGTTTGGGTGATGGCTTGAATCATGCGAGGGTCTGTACCGGGAGCATAGCCTTGAGGCGTGGGACCCGCACTGGGGTGCATGTTGAACCGTTCTTCAATCTCAGAAGCAAACGACGAAACGGAGGACCTTCGGGAAACCTGGCTCTCGCGTCTCATCTTGGCCCGCGAAGATGTTGTTCTGGCAGATCCAGCCTGGGTAGCTTGATCGTTTGGTGTGCGTGGGCGTGGTGGGCCATTCACCCTGTATGCAGAAGCAGGGGCAAGAGGAGGTCCCATAACACTGGGAGAAGCGGGACGGTGGTCGATGGACCGCTTCTCTGCCGCAATAATGGCCTCTCGGTGGTCAGCAGGCAATGGTGGGTGGCTGTAAACACTGGAGACAACGCTAGTTGCACTGCCTGGCCGTTTGTGGTTGGACGGGAGAGAGGAGGGGGTTGAAGATTGCGGAGTAGGACGAGGTCTGGCCTTAGGTGTCGCAAAGGGAGAAGCTCCCAATTCCTTCGCCTTATCGCTGTCAGGGGGAGACAGCGGGCGAGTGGAAGCACGGTCCATCAGAATTTGATCAATCTGCTTAGATGAGAGGATTGTTTGGGCGCCTTGGTCTGCCTGTGTTGAGGTCGACTGCTGTTTTGTGCTACGGGGGACGGCATTGCCAGAAACTGCACCCAGGGGCAAGGGAGCATCGGCCTGCTCATCGCTGGTAAGATCCCGGTCATTATCACTTGTGCTGTCCTCCGCGACAACAACAGCAGGAGATTCCGAGACTGATTTTCTGTGCACGTTGTTGAGTTCTCGGGGTGATTCATCCTCGTCGGACACTTGAAGTGTAGGGATAATTGCCCTTGGCAGAGATTCAACGGGGAGTGTCTCCACGGAGCGGATTGTAGAGAATGAACATTCAGGCACTGAGGGGGCCACGACTTCCGGAAGCTTGGGAATGATAGGCTCAGTGGATTCAGTGTTGATAGCCGAGACAGCCAATTCAGGAAGCTCGGGCTCGGGGATCACCACTGGCTCCGGTAGCTTGGGAGAGACAGGTTCCGTAGATTCGGCGTTGATAACCGACATGCTTAATTCAGGAAGCTCGGGCTCGGGTGCCATTGGCTCGGGAATAACAACGGGCACCGGCGTGGGCTCGGGCATCTTGGCCACGACAGGCTCAGTCTGCTCGAAGAAGATTGACGACACATCCAGCTCTTGGAGGTCCGTGCTTGTGCCCTGCTCCACCATGGGAATGACAGGCTCAGGCTCAGGGAGCGTTGCCACGATGGGTTGAGTGTTCTCCGAGAAGATCGATGAAACAGCCAACTCAGGAAGGACAACAGGCTCAGGCTCGGGCAATGTAGCGATCACGGGCTCCGTGTGTTGAGTGTAGTGCGACGACATAGTCATCTCTGGCGACACAAGTGCGGGGCCCTCGACTGGTTCGGTTATGCCTCCCACAACGTACGATGAAGTCAGTTCAGGGAGCTTAGGAGCCACCGGCACAGTCTCCTGGCTGGAGACAGATGAGATGTCCAATTGCGGTGGCTCAGGAACAGCGGGGGCTGTCTCTTCTTGTCCTGCTTCCCGGGAGTGCTCATCCCACGCCATTTTAGGCGGCGTTTGCACACTGGATACTTGCTCGTCGACAGCCTTCATAGGTGTCTGCTGAGTACCAGAGCTGACCATCTCAGGTGCTTCGGGGGTCTCCGAAGCAGAGATTGCGCCTAGATTCATAGAGTTAACTGCAGGTGTTGGTTCCCAAGGATCGGTCATAACACCGGAGTCAACCATAGCAGGCTTGGGGGGCATATCCAACATAGCTTCGGATGGTCTCCTCGAATCGGTTTCGGGAAGCATGCGGGGAGTCGACACCTGGGAAACTGCGCCGTAGTCTCCTTCTTCTTCAGTACCATCCAGTTCTGCGAGCTCAGCAAAGAGACTCTGGCCTTCTGAGGCTCCTGCATCCTGCGTAAAGCTTGTGGCTGGGGAGTTTCGAGAGCTGGATGGCCGACTACCGGATGCCATGGGGGCCTCGCCGGATGGACGGATTCTCCTCATCATGCTTCTTCTCGTCTTGAGTCGTTGACGAGGACCGCTGATTTGACTAGGCGAGGGGAATCCACCATCGCTAGATTCATCTTCATCGGCAGAAGTGGAAGCTGTGCTGTGGTACGAGTTTCGGTCACCCCTCTTGGCCATCACCAATGGCGACACTCTTTGCTGGCGAGGCGTCCTTTGAATGCTGTCCTCGGTCTCGGTGAGTTGATCGGTGTCAGAGCTGTCATCAGCCATGCTCTCAATGCCGGTCTGGAATGCGTCGCTTTCTGTGGCGGTCTCCCGCTCGTTTGCAGTCTCGAAGGCGTCGTCAGCCTCGGTAGCGGTCTGGTATGCATCACTAGGTTCATCGGAAGACTGTCCGCCAGAAACATTTCTGGGAGACTTTGCCATAGTTGAACGAGAGGAGGGGCTCCCGTCCACAGTATTGTCTTCCCAGTCGGTGTCGTGGACCTCGACTTCGGTCTTCTTGCGCCCTGCACCAAGCAGGTCCGGTCGAGGAGCTTTCCTTGCGGGTTCAGCCTTTGTCTTCTGGCGCTTGCTACCCAGACCACCCGGTCCGTTAGCTTCACGGCGACGTGTCTCGACCTCATCGCGGGCATCTTGAAGCATGCGCTTAAGCTCGATCTTCTCGGTTTTCTCGCGATGAATGGTGCTCTTGAGGTTCTGAATCATACGGTGAGCATGACCAAGCGAACTCCGCAACGTCTCTGTCTCCAGATGGTTGTGTCGCGGAGTGAACTTGTTGGGAGACGGGGGAGGGGAGTTTTCGGGTGTCGAATTGTCTCGCTCGTCAGAATCATTGTCTTGGGGAGAGTCGCGAGCAGAATCCGCTTCGTGCTGTCGAAGGCGCATCGCCACTACTCTTGCGAGCTCTTCATTCTGCGAGTTCAATTCCTCAAGCTTCTGCTGGAGAGCAAGCTTTTCGGCATCTCCTGCATGCAAGTTCCTACGCAAGAGATGGACTTCGGAGTCGTTGGCCTTCTGGGCAGCCATCTGGTCTTCGAGGATCTTGGCATTGACTTGTTTCAGGTCCTCCAATTCACGTTCAACGGAGTTCTTTTCGACAGTGACGCTACTCAGGCTGCTGTTGAGTCTAGCTTCGCGATCTGCAGCTTCTCTCGCATCGGCCATCAATTCGTGGGTCTGTGTTTCGAGAGCCCAGTTTTCATCCTTGTATCGTTGCTCACTCTCGTCGAGAGCTCGGATGCGCTGGGCGTAACCCTCGGCCTCGAGTTCGAGTCGCGATTTCTCCAGGTTAACGATCTTGAGAGCATCCTCGCGCTCGGCAAGCAGCGCTTGCAATTGACGAACTTGAGCCAAAAGGGATGTGGAGATCTCGGTAGCGAATTCGATATCGTGGACACGGCTTGACGGCTGGTTTCGCTGCTTGCGCGACGGAACACTCACCTTGCTGGGAGAGTTGGTGGCCTGGCTGGCAAACAGGGCTGGGCTGATTGGCGACTACACCTCAGAATATTAGTTCATCTGTCATTTGACTCATAGTAAAGCGGGATAGCAGATGGATGTACCTTTTGGTCAAAGGAAGGGGTCCCCAGGTGACCATCATCCGCACCCGCAGGCCGTTTGGGGCCAAGAAAGGCTCGCGCAGTCTCCCGACCGATTTCATTGTACTCTTTCTCCAGGTCGACTAGCTTTCGACGCAGATCCGGTCCGACCTCGCCCTCATCCTGCTGGCGTTCCACCTCCTTCAGCTTGTCCTCCAGCTCCCTCTGCTGTTCAATGAGCGCCGTCCCCAACTTGGACGCCTCCTCCAGTCTGCGCTCCGTCTCCGCCAGATGAGCCTCGAGGGCTCGCTTGGCCTGTGCTGGTGAAGACGCATTGAGACTGAACAGCTGCGTATCAAAAGATGAATACCTATGCGATTCGCGGCAAACAGAACCGTCCTGCGAATTAGAAACAAAAGGGTCCTCGATGGTGGACATGACAGCGTCACTTCCCTCTCGTCTTTCGTCCGCAGTACCGTTCCCTGCCAAATCGGGCGATAAGGTGGTCATCTCAGGATAACTGGTCCGCAGGCGGTCCGTAATCCCCTGGGGTGAGGATACAGCCGCCGGTAGGATCCCACTCTCGTCGCCTCGTTCCTCGATCCTTGTTGTTTCCACGATTTCAACCCAAAATCATCATCCGACCTGTCACTCAGTTTCTGCGATGGATCTCCCGTCGGGTATCTAACCCCTTCTACGTTGCCGATAAGCCGACCAGCGACCACTAAACTTTGATATTCTGATAGTTGAACTGAATGCGACGGCGGAAAAGGAATGCGCACCGTCGGTCGGAGGTGGTGATTCAGCTGAGGGGCGAAGAGCTCGGCACGGGAAGCGAAAGCCTTGTTGCCGAAAAGGGCGACGATCGAGTCAAGCGATTGTAGATGAACAGAGACGATGAAACTCGTCCCTTTTGAGTCAACAGAAGAAAGATGGGATTGACGGGAAGATGGAAAGAGACCCCGGTCCGGCGAGATTCAGGACAGCAAACGCGTTTGTGGGCTTTACGTCGGTTGTGCGTGCAGCGAAGATGTTGTTGTTGTTCGTTGGCCAACCACAACAGAAACTGCCAGCCGTTCGGGTAGTAGACGCCGCGGTGGTGATTTGGCGGCCAAAAACAGGGCTTCGAAACGTGGTTTTTTAATAGAGGTGATATATCACCTATACCGTACAGATCATTAAATTAAGTGTTAAAAAAAAAAAGCAAAATTAAAGAGACAAAAAAGACAAAAGAAATTGACAAAAAAAAGTGGTAGGAGAAAATGAAAAGGAAAGGAAGGGGAAAAAAGGACAGGAAATTGATAGTGATGGAGGGGAGGGGGTGGGCAAAAAGAGAGGAAGCGAGGTCGAAATGCACTGCCAGTTGGACAACACGACCAGTGCGACTCGGTTGAGTGGGGGGAAGAAAGAAACAAAAGAGAAGGAGAGAAAGTTTCCAGAGAAGAACAAAAAAGAAAAAAGAAGAGCGATTCCAGCGAAGTCAGTCAGAAGTCCCCGGAATGAGGGAAAAAAGGCCTGTGAGAAGGAGTGAGAGTCCGTTTGCTTCACTTTCGCGTAGGGGCCGTGCGGGCAATAATGTGGGCAGTGTTGGCCGATAGTCGATGGATACGTAATTAATAAATAAGAAATCGATCTTGCAGTCTACTAGTGACTATGCGTGCAGCTACAGATGTGTCCCTGGGCTTCTACAGAAAGGAGTCCAGTCAATTACAGCCTGCTAAATTGAAGATATCCCCAGCTTCTGCCGAAGAATGACTTGTCAATTCACAACAAAGCAGCAACGCGTTCCAAAAGGGATTGTTTGCCCTGTTTGTCCCTCCCGTCACATGCGTGATTTGTCAGCTGTCACGTGCTGTACTCTATCTGAAGAGCTCCCCGCAAAGATCGAGGTCGCCACATCTCCATTCTGTCACATCTCTCTCAGCAGCCATGACGGAAGAAGCACCGGCCGCAGATGCGGTCCCTCAATTCTCGTTTAAGAAACGCTCCGCCAAAGCCAAAGCCAACTTCCGGAAGAAACCAGACACGCCACCGCCAGCTTCAGACTCGGATTCCGGTTTCACCTCTTCCGATGATGACGAAGGTCGCAGGATCAAGAGACGACGTAAGAATGCAGCAGTCACCGCATCCTCGGCGTCCAATGCGGCTCGGAAGGATGCTGCGAAGGAGGAACCAGCTGCCAGTGCTGCAGCACCGTTGACTTCAACCAACGACGCAACCAAACAGTCCAACTGGTATGATGAAGATCTGAGCGAAAAGAATCTTCTGGGAACAACAAGAGCTCGACCCGAGTCAAACACCCCCTCTGGCCCAGATGGAATATACAAAGGTGCCGCCAACTACTCGTCTTTTATTCAGAAGAACCCCAACGCCCCTAGCAAGCAATTCGGTCCGATCAAAGCCCCTACCAACGTGCGAACAATCACAGTCATGGATTTCGCCCCCGATGTCTGTAAGGACTGGAAGCAGACGGGATTCTGTGGGTTCGGCGACTCATGTAAATTCTTGCATGCTCGTGAAGACTACAAGCAGGGCTGGGAACTGGATAGAGACTGGGAAATCGGTACCAAGGGCAAACAAGTCAACGGAAAGGTCTTGTCGCATCGGAAGGGTGGTGGAAATGCGGCCGAAGACGAGGAGGAAGATGACGAGGATGAACTACTCGAGAATATTCCGTTCGCGTGTATCATCTGCAAGAAGCCGTACCAGAACCCCATCATCACCAAATGTGGGCACTACTTTTGCGAATCGTGCGCTCTACAACGCTACAGAAAGAGTCCGTCATGCGCCGCATGTGGAGCCGGCACTGGTGGTGTATTCAACGTCGCGAAGAAACTAGGTCACTTGCTGGACAAGAAGAGAGAACGAGCACGGAAACTACGGGAGCAGGCCATTGCAGATGGCGAGGAAGTCAGCAGTGAAGAGGAGGGAGAGAACGAAGAGGAGGATTAACTGGGCAGTGATACTTGGAATATCAGATTACTGCACATAATAATGGATAATGACTGCAATCAGGGTACGTTAGCTGCAGCCGGTCTGCACAATCATACCGAGGTGTTGGTCAGAGTGTATACTACATCGTTCACTTTCAAGAATGTTGCATTAGTTCTTGGATGAATCAAACACCGGATTATTGGAAAATGCTCTATATACTCCGTGCATTTCATATCATCGATCGCTCTATACCTTACCTACTGTTCTAGGCTTCTTCCCCTGAATGATGTTCAACATTTATTAATCTGGCATACTTGAGTCCCTTGCATGTTGTATAAATCCCCGATAGGGGCACACTGATCGATCGATCTCAATCAATACGGGGTACAGCTACCCTATGATCGATCACAACTCTTCCATCCATTTTCATTGTTATATTCCAAATCCAAATCGGCCTCATCCCAACCGAATCACACGCTCTGCATCAAATGTACTCTGCGGAAACAACTTATAACCCTTCTGATTCGCCATCACAATCTTCCCATCCGAATCCGTATACTGGCAATTATAATGCGTATGCCCAAACGCCCACAGCTTCACACTCGACGACCTCCAACACTCCTCCCCCGACAAATCCGAAACAAACGCACACGTCACATCGCTATGCTTATGTCGAGGATTCATACACCGGGGATCAGTGGACGGGCCATGATGTGTGAAAATCACAATCCGTCTTTCCGGTTCCTCCCTAGCTATCGTACTTACTTGCTCATTTAGCCACTTCACATCACACTCATGCGCAAGCGTATGATCATCCACCGTCCACCGCAGTATATCCCTGAAATCAACAAGACGGGTCTCAACCGCAAACTCCTGTTCAAGGGGGATGTTGGTGAAAAGCGTACACCCCAGCACTGTGATATCATCCGAGATATCGTACCGCGTCTGATTCAGAAACACAAACCTCCCCACCGTTGACTGACGAAGTCGCCGCCGCTCGGTTTTGGCTTCAAACTCGCGCATCTTCCTCTTTGCCGTCTGCATCGACATATGCCATGGCTCGTGGTTTCCGAAGAGGAAGAAGACGATCAGGTACCGTTGGATTTGGTGTTCGAGGAATGTGAAGAGTTGGTCGTCTGCGACGTGGCCGATGTCGCCGAGGAGGGCGAGGTGTTGGGCTGTTTGGGTGAATTGGAAATCTGAGTAGGAGGAGTGTGTTTCGAGATGGAGGTCGGACATTATTTGGAAGGATGCCATGTTGGATGATGTGTTTGGGATGTTCTTTGTTGTTGGATGATAGAGGACGACATCATTGTTCGCTTTGGCATGTGTTCTAGTTGTAACCATGGATTGCCTCTGATAGTCCCAGGAAAATCATTATTGAAGAATTATCCAATCAAATAAATCTTTGTATAAACCCAGCGTCTATCGATTTTGTTGGTATTTCCAGTCTATGGATGTTTCCTATGCTCCGTACTACCCCGCACATAGCATGGAGATATATTAATCATCCACATCCATTATAATAATAGGTAGAAGAGTTATATCAATACACCAATATAAACTATTAAGACAGTTTAGAATACTCAAAATATGTAATATCCTACAATAGTCCCTTATATTCAATCAGTTGATGGCTGACAGGGTATACTGCACTGCCATCCCACTCCAACTTTATTGAGGAGAAGCATTTATTTTCCATCTGAGTCAGATTCTTTTCTATTCTGAATAATCTTACTATAAATACAAGATAACCAGAAGATAGGCAATACAAGATTCCAGGTTGGATGTTCCCACTGCTGCACCTTGATACGAGCTGCGCCACTCTTGCATATTAAAAGCGCATGGACAACTTATCTACCTAATGACGTGCAGAATTCTGCGGCATTTTTGCTGCATCCATGTTGTCAAAGATGTCAATCCAAATAATTCGAAATTCAAAATAGAATGAATAGAATGGAAATGACCGTCGAATCCTTCCACCTTCCATAGTTCGAACTCCTGAATGATCATCCCCACGGGAGAATTAGAGTGGTGTCATATTGTAGATCAAGAGTTTCAACCACCATCCATCATCGTCATAGCCACAATTACAGCCTACAGGCTACAGTAAAAGATAACAGGAATGCATGATTAAAACTCATAAATTAATACCCGTAGATAATAATATTCCCGATTGTAATTCGCCAAATCCACAATGACAGCTTGTTACTCGTTCTGCAGTACGTCATGTCCCACTCCATTAGACTCTCCAGCCAAGTCCGCCGCTTAAGCATGTGAGTATTTGCTCTCTTTTGGATGGCCACTTCATACGAATGCCAAGTTCTTTAAGGCTCTAAATGAACAAGACTCTGCCTATCTTGACAGAACCTGATATTAATATAAATAGAAGACTTTACCTCATGCCTCAATGTCATCATTGATATGCAGTAAATACAGCTGTAATGACGTGACACTAGCGCCTGTGCTGAAAGCCAAGCTTCCCCCGCTGGACCCACACAGTCATGGGTAGAAGAGTCTAAAGTTTGGCAGTTCCGTGGTTGCAATGCCTCGCATGCCCCCTAATGGCCCCCAAATGGGATGGTCAGAGGCTAACTCGATTAACGCGTGGCGGGCTAGTGGGGAATCTTCAAACCTTGGAATAGGCATTGGACCAATGATGAGACAGACTCCCCTTTGTGTAATATTGGTACGGTATGGTAATATTAGATGTTTCTGACTTCTGGCTTTCCTGCTTTTTCTTTAGCTTCACAGATCGACTTTTTCGCCTTCGTTTGACGGTTGCTCTTCGCCCTTTTCCACGGTCGCTCCTTATTATTTCTGCGTTTCGCTGTCTGTCCTTACTCTCTCTGCTTTCTTCGCGTCTTCTTTGAAATCTCTCCTTCCTTCAACCCCACAACTTCCTCCACTTTCTCCTTCTCCTTCCACTCCTTCTGACCCTTCTATCCTCCCCTCGGCTCTCTATTTATCTCTCTCCTTTGCTTCTTCCCAGCCAATGTTCTCTCCTATCTTATAATACTCCGGTCTATTCTCCTAGACTGTACATATTTATTGCTTCATCCCTTCTCCCCCACTTGAAACCCCCCTTTACCCCTTCCGTCTGTCGATCCCTCGAACCGGACAGACCCTTTGATGCACCAGTGGGTGACTCGACCGGCTCTTTGCGTTCGGGAAACCCTCTATCGTGGTTCCCAATAACGTCTCTCCCCTTTCACCATGAGATGTGGATATCGATTGTTAATATGCGCCGCGGTTGTGCTTTTCTTTCCGTTATATCTCTTGAAATCCCATCTTCAGGATCTCGGCAATCAGTATAGCGCTGGCGCATACTTGGCCGACTGGTTCAACGGCAAGCAGCCGCAGCATGGCAGTGTTGCATCTCACCATGGAAAACCGGGGGATAAAGTGATTATCATGGCGAAACTGGAGGAGGAGCATACCGAGTGGGTTGAGGAGGAGCTGCCAGAGTAGGTGACCTCCATTCGCACAGAGGTTCCCCCGCTAATGCAAGCTTCTTGTAGATGGCAGCGTGCGATTTATATCGTCAACCCTTCGCCGGCGTCCTACGCGGACGAGAATGTTCTGAAAACACCCTACAACAAGGGCCATGAGGCCATGGCTTACCTGACCTACGTGATTGACTTCTACAACAAACTCCCCGCCACTCTCGCTTTCCTCCATTCTCATCGCTCCGGTTTTCTGATGGCATGGCACGTCGATGCGCCCCTCCACGACAATGCAGCGGCCATGCGATCACTTCAGACAGATTTTGTCCAGCAGAACGGTTACGTCAATTTACGATGCAATTGGAACCCGGGGTGCAAGGATGCTCATCGCAAGAATAGCCATGTGACAGAGGAGGTTTGGACACAAATGTTTGAGGGAACCAGCACACCGCCATTGAACTCCTCTGTCTCCATGAGCGAGGCCGCGTCAATGTCCGTTGAGCAAAACCAAAAGTTTCTCCGCATGCCCGAACGAGTCGGAACCGCGTGCTGTGCACAATTTGCCGTCTCGCGAGATCAGGTCCTAAAGCGCCCCCGTGATGACTACATCAAGTTCCGGCAATGGCTTATCGACACGGGGAAAAATGACGCCAGCAGTGGGCGGGTCATGGAGTTTATGTGGCATGTCATTTTTGGCATGGAATCAGTATAGTGAGTTATCTGGGTCCTATGGAGTACTCCGTGCTTAGCATGATCTTTTTCTAACAACCATTCTAGCTGTCCCGACGAGGAAGTTTGCTATTGCCAAGTTTACGGTAAATGCTGAGCATTAGTCCCGAAGCATGCCTCCGAGCTACCCCCTACAAGACCCTAATTTCCATCTCACGGCTGTATAATCCCATTGCTACGACTTCGAACTTTTGATAAGTTTTTTATTTGCGTCCAAGTCCAATATTAGACTTCGGAGAGGCGTTTTAGAAGGGGTTATTTAGATTTAAGATATTGGTGTATATTCACCGACTACGCTATGCAAGCAAGCCGGGCCATTCTGTTTGCATCGACGGAATACCACCGCATTTACTTGATGCAGTCACCTTACTGGGGTAATATTAATATCCTGTACACTACTGGAAGCATTTGTACAGTTGAAATAAAACCATGAATGTGTCCATGGGCAAGGTATCTTGGTCAACTTCATGATTCATGAAAATATTTCACCCATCAACAACTTTCATCGTCGGGTTGCGATGTGCCAACGACAGAAAGCGGCAGCACGGATGTTATGTTGTACATTGAGGTGATCGGCCAGATCATAGCATTTATTTATTATTAAACGGCTTATTTTCGCTCCAAAAACTCCTCAATTCGCTCAACGATGTCCGCTTTCTTGCCGGCAGTGGAGCGGCCATGAGAGGTGAGGAATTCTTTCAGGACTGGGAGCGTAAGCTGTAGTCTGTTAGTATCTTTCCCTCCTTCTCTTCCGTTATTCTATAGAGTCAATATACATACCTTAGATAGATTTCCCTTCTCGTAATGTTTCCGGACTTCATCTCCGGCTGCACTGGGGTTATTCTCGACCTTAACTTTCTTGGTCTGATGGCCTGCGTCCTGGGTTTGGTCCTTTGCGCCTCGCTTCACGAGGGTAGTCTGGGGACCCTTGGCGTCGATTTTGGCGGACTGGGCGTCGAGTTCTTCAGACCAGGATAGGACGTAGTCGCCGGCACGCTTGTCGATTTGGCGATATTTGGGTTTTGTCTTGTCCTCTGGTCTTTCGGGGAGGTCTTCGTCCAGTGCGAGGGCTTGGAGGATGCGATAGTGCCATTGGAGCGCTGAGGGATAAGTTATTCAGTCAGGGATGGTTGGGTTGAATTGGAAGACAGTGACGTGACTTACATGGGTTTGGGTATTTCTGGGGTTCGTAAACTGCCTTTGGGAGTTGCAGTTGCTGGATGACCATCCGCAGTTGGTCGATCAACGATTCTGGGGCTACCTGGAGGGTTATTTCGGGATTTTGTCGGACGTCATCTGCGAATGGAAGGGGTATGATCCACATCCCCGGAGGAAATTTCTGGACGCCGTTCTCGTCGAGTTTCTCTTTGCCTGCTATCATTGCTCCGACCACAGGTGCTGAGTTCTTGCGCGGGATGAACCAGACAAGTGCTGCCTTTTGGTCTCGCAGAAGCTTCTGGTGTAGGGCGGAGAATACCCTTGTCGAACCCACGTAGTCTGTCTCTGAGGGATAGATGAATGATGGATGCTTGACATTAGCCCAGAATGGAATGGAGGAAATGGGCTTGAATCCAATGATACGGATCACAGGGTCACCGAAATTCCTCAAAGCCTTTTGCTCGTCAGGAGAGAAGGAAATTTGGTCTCCGCCAAACTTGTACGCCTTTCTGATTTCCCATTTTTCCAACACGCGTCCTGAATCTTCCGCAACCTGAGCAAGGGAACCCTTTGCAATCTCAGGCTTCTCGCCCCCGAGCCATACGTAAGAGCTCCTGGCGGGCTGTTGGCGTTTAAACAAAAGATACCCTGTAACGGAAATCTTGAAATCCGGCCCAATCTCCAATGGCATATTCGAGAACATTGCACGACGGGGAACAGATCGAGAATTGATACTGGACAAAAGGGTGTTTAATAAAGTAATTCCATCCCCGCTGGCTGTAGAAGTCTTTGTGTCGGTTTGTAAGTATGCAGGAGCTTCTGCATCAGCAGGTGAGTTTTTATAAATAATGTCCTAAGTAGTGTGAGTGTATATCCACAAGACAGAAAGGCGTAACTTACGTCATAGAATTTGGAATCATCAAACTCATGGTCTGCTCGAGAAATTGGGAATAGCTCAATTGTAACACCAAGATCATAAAGATCCTTGGCACGAACAGTTGAAGCAGAGCGCAGGCTCTTGTTGTCACCATGAGGGTTGTCATTGTCTGTCACGATGAACAATCGTCTCGACAAGAAGTTCGGAGCTTTGGAAGTAAATATCTGGTTCGCACAGAACAACACATTGGCCATAGATACCCGCTCCTCGGATGGTACCAGTACCTCTCTAGCCTCCTCCTCATCTTCTGCGAGTGCCCTCAGGTCTTTAACCTCCCGCGCTGATGGTACGTCCAGATCGGTGAAAAGGTAGCAATGCGGGTATGAAAGGTCACCACGGCTATTCTCATCCTCATCATAGAACTTGGACGCCTGCGTCCCATACAACAAAACTCCTATCATGTCACGAGGGTTGAAGATGATGCGCTGCTGCATCAAGTGGTATGCACATTTCAACGCAGCTGTCGCAGGCGATTCTGTCACGGGTTTCTTGGGATCCGACGATGGACGAGGAGTGAGCATGGAGTCTGTGATTTCGATGGCGAAGAGAATTGCATCTTTAACTGATTTGTAGCCCTGGTTTCAACCTGTCAGTAAATAACCTTATCGCAGCCCGATAATGCAATGTCCTGCGTACAGACTCATCGATCTCCTCTTCCTCCTCAAATGTCTCATCTTCCCGGTTAATATTTTCGTCAGCCATTTTGAAATTGTGATTGAAATGAAGAAAACAACAGCATGGGAATGGGAATAAAAGAGACGAAAAAAAGTCTGATCTGTCTCTGGCCTCTGCTGCCTATCTCCAGGCTCCCATCGCGTCACTCGCGATCGTCTCCAAAACGCTGACGCGGGGAAACACGAACATCATGTGACTGCGCCAAGCCTGATGACCTCAGATCCCGTCTGATTGGTTCTGGCTGATCCGTTCGATCCTCCGTCGGCTCCGTCATGAATTCCGTTCTGGACGCTTGTTCTCGGCCAGATTCCCTTGCTTACTTTAACACGCTGTTCACCCTCGCTACGGAGTCGGTTGGATTTTATTAACCATATATTCTCTTCAATCTGGAACATTTCTGAATATCTGCTGTCTTTCAATTGAGTTCTGAAAAAAGTTGGGCGACACACCTGGCTCACCATGGCTCTCCGCCGTCCCTTCATCCTTCCCCAACAAGTATTGAGAGGGGCTTCTTCTGGTATCCGACCGGTCGCTCGCAGCTTTTTGGGATATTATAGAGATCAAACACGGGGTCTTGCGACTGTCGTTCCCCCAGTCACTCAAGATGCCACGGGGTCTAAGGGCCCTACTGCGATGGTCTTCTTAAACATGGGAGGACCATCGACGACTGATGAAGTCCAGGACTTTCTTAGCAGACTATTTGTATGTATACCCATCTTTCGTCGTAATACTTTCCAGTCCACTGACTGATCCTTCTTTTTATTAAAGGCTGATGGCGATTTAATTCCGCTGGGACGACTACAATCATACATTGGCCCGCTCATTGCCAAGAGAAGAACGCCCAAAATCCAGAAACAATACGCTGATATTGGTGGTGGTTCGCCGATCAGAAAATGGTCCGAATACCAATGCGAAGAGATGTGCAAGGTTTTGGACAAGGTTTCTCCGGAGACTGCACCTCATAAGCCTTATGTTGCCTTTCGATATGCGGCACCGCTGACGGAGGATATGTACACAAGGCTGTTGGAAGATGGGTTTGGAAACGGAAAAGGGGGTCGCGCAGTCGCGTTCACCCAGTATCCACAGTACTCTTGCTCGACAACGGGTAGCTCGCTCAACGAGTTGTGGAAATGGAGGAACCGATTGGAGGGCAAACGTGCGAACGGCAGCTTGGATGCTCCAGGCACAGTGCAGTGGAGTGTCATCGACCGGTGGCCGACACACCCTGGTCTAGTCGATGCTTTCGCGAAGAACATTGAGGATCAACTCAAGACATATCCCGAAGAAAAGAGAAGCGGAGTGGTGCTGCTTTTCTCGGCCCACAGCCTGCCCATGAGCGTTGTGAATCGAGGTAAGATCCGAAAGCATCAGGTTTGCCGCAATATCATAACTAAATATCTTCCAGGTGACCCTTACCCAGCTGAGGTCGCTGCAACTGTCCACGCAGTGATGCAGAAATTGAACTTCAGCAACCCCTACCGGCTGTGCTGGCAATCCCAGGTTGGCCCCTCCGCCTGGCTCGGAGCCCAAACGAGTGATACGGTTCAGGAGTATGTCAAGCGTGGACAGACCGACATCGTTCTTGTGCCCATTGCGTTCACCAGCGACCACATTGAGACCCTCTATGAGCTTGATCTCGAAGTGATGGAGGAAGCAAACAGCCCTGGCGTCAAGCGGGCAGAAAGTTTGAACGGAAACCCAATCTTTATCGAAGCTCTTGCCGACATTGCAAAGCAACATTTGCAAAAGGGGGATAAATGCTCGTTGCAGATGACGTTGCGCTGTCAAGGTTGCAAGAGCGAGAGATGTTTGGAACAAAAGAAGTTCTTCGCGGGTGAACAGGCCTCCTCTCTGGTGGTCTAAGAGTGCCTACTCAATAACTCTACTTTGCATTTTCTTTGTTTTAGATCTGGGCTTCGGCTGGGCGTTCACCATATATGTACTATTAACACGATTTATGTACTTGATCATTTCAGGAACCAAACCCATGAAAAGAATATGTATTGGATGGGCAAGGGACAATAATAACCATGTAAATAAATCTTAACTAGGGAATGAGTCGACATAATCATATTTTGATGCTGATAAAAGCACGGCAGCAAGCATGGAGTAGTTACTCGAAACACAGACGATACCGGCTACTTTCCTATACCTCGGCTTATTTTTATTTCGTTACTTCTTTTCTAGTCTTTCAAATTGTGTGCACAGAGCATCGGGGAATTTTCTAGCGTTACTTTTATTCTCAAAGTCCCTCGCATCTTCATTCTTCAACGCTAAATATCTGCACGCAACGCCAGGAACGGCTGAGCTAGTGCCTGAGGCATCAAACGAGGAATCTCAGCTGCCGATCAGCTCAGCTCAGCTGAACGATAAGAAAGCATTATCAAGATGCCGTGAAAGCCTCGGCGATCACACCAACCTTTATTAAAGCACGTCTCGATTATTAACGCTTATCATCAATAACTGAAGGATATCCGCGCCTTCCGAGCCTTGCTTCGAGGCTGTCTCATTCTGTACCCCAATGGCGGTGGAAGTGCAGAATCTCCCTGTTGCGGGGGATACGAACATGAATTCCCAGTTGCGCGACAGGCAGAACGCTTCTAGCCTGGATGGTACCAGTGTCCCTGGCCATATCAATGAGGGTTCATATTTACTTGAAGGTGCCGATAACGAAAGATCGGACTTTGAAGCCTTTGGAAATGACCCTGCAGATGGGGTTGATACAGGCAAGGGCTGGAGGAAACCAAGTGTGAGCACAAGTTCATCTCTCCGATCAGTTTTCATGCTTATATCCATCAGATTTTTTGGATCTTACCGATTCTTTTCCTTTACATGCTCAGTTTTGGTGGCACAATTGTCCCCCGAATCAACCTCATGTTGAACCTTATTTGTAGGGATTTTCTTGCTGAAAAGGCTGCCAAAGATCCCACTTTTACACCAGCTCCGGTCATTTTCGATGGAGAGAACCCCCAATGCCAGGTTGCGGAGGTTCAGGCCCGTATGGCACGGTTCGAGCTCTATCTCAGCTTGACAGCAGGGACCGTGTCAGCTCTGGTCAGTCCCCAGATGGGCCGTCTCTCTGACCGTTATGGCAGAACGAAGATTATCGCCTGGGCCGCGATTGCATCTACCTTTGGCGAGGCAATGACTGTTCTTGTAGCATCCGTGCCAGAGAAGATGCCCTTGGCCCTGATGCTGCTCGGGGCCCTGTTTGACGGCTTAGGGGGTTCCTACACAATTGTGCTCGCCTTGGTCACCTCCTATGTCTCTGACTGTACACTGCCTGAGAAGCGTGTGGTAGCGTTTGGGTTTACGCATGGGTTCCTATTTACTGGGATTGCAGCTGGGCCAGGTCTTTCGGCCCTTCTCATCAAAGCGACAGGCCGCCCCTTAGACGTATTTGTCATTGGCCTGGTGTTATACATCATTGTTCTTGCCATGGTCCTTCTGGTGGTCCCAGAATCTTTGTCGGAAGAACATCAGCTAATTGCCCGAGAGAAACATCGGACGAGAGAAACTATCCCGGATGGCACTACCTGGACGAGCCGCTTGAACCCTTTGAATCTCATCAAGCCCCTCTCCATTCTAATGCCGCCTGCTGGACGTCCAAGTGCGCTGTTTCCAAATAGACAGGGTGCCAGTCCTGCTCTGCGAAGAAACATCATGCTTCTCTCAGCCATGGATACCATTGTGTTTGGTGTAGGAATGGGCACATCTCAAATCCTCATCATCTATGCTGAATACATGTTTGGTTGGGGTAATGTCGAGTCCAGTGTTTTTGTTTTCGAGGTCAATGTTGTTCGAATGATCACCCTTTTTGTGCTCCTGCCTATTGTGAGTCGAATTTTCCGCGAGCCACCAAGCGAGAAACGCGCCATCACTGGATCCAGCACGCTTGACGTGTACCTCATACGGCTCTCGATTCTGCTCAACTTATTTGGCTACATCGGCTATTCTTTGTCAAAGCATGGCTCAGTCTTTACTTTTTCTGGTATTATTACGGCCTTAGGTGGAATGGGATCGGTGACATTACAATCATCGCTCACGAAACATGTAACTCGCGAACGAACTGGGCAGATCCTCGGTGCCCTAGGCTTATTACACGCCATCTGTCGAATCACCGCTCCAACAATCTTGAGTCTCCTCTATAGCGCAACTGTAGGGAAGGCAACTCAGGCGGCGTTCATCACTCTGGCAGCTGTCTTTGGGGGTGCCCTCTTGTGTAGTTGTTTTGTCAGACCACATGGTTAGTGTTCCTCCTCTTAAAATCTTGAAAGTCATTTCTAACCATTCAATTAGTCTCTCTTGACGACGTTTCTCCCAGCAACAGCCATACCGAGGGAAATTACCATGACGATACGGATTACCACGATGATGCAGCGGATGCGCTTTTACAAACCTGAAAAGGTCTTTGGGATATACGCATGGACGCTATATATCTATCAGTACATAGAGGATAGAGGATTTATCATCTTGTTCACTTGGTAGCGTCTTATGCTTTGATGTTTGGTTTATCTGGCTGTGTTCTCGCTTCTCATCCTGCCGGCATGATGGTAATTTTGCCATCTATTTTTTTCCGTCTAGTTCGATCAGTAAACAGGTGCTCTATATTTTGTGCTTATAGTCAAGAAATAAAATACTAAAAATTTTCTGGTATGCGTTCCCCGGAGTCGAATCAGGGTATACATACACCGGAAAAAGGATAAGCCACGCTACGGTGGGCGACAGAACCGCTTAGCGCACCCAATCACCGCAAACTTTCCGCGACGGAGAAAATTGTCTACTCCGACCATCATTATCAAGGCTCAATTGCAGGGCATTCGCTCTTTCAGAAGCCTCAATTCCTATCTGCACTACTCCGCCATATTTCCTATACCCTGATGCTTTCTACGTGATATCAAGTCCGCTGCCTGCGGCGCAATCTTAGCTCTCATCATGGTAGTCAACACGACCAACGGCCCCCCGGCCGTCCCCTCTCGAAATGCCTTACGGGTCCTCCGGAAACTGGCTCTTGCAGGATCAACAGTGGGCAGTTTCTGTACTGTTGCAGCTATCACATATGACGTACACCGAAGAGTTCGTGTCGCAGAGAGCATAATCGAAAACAAACGGGCCCTTCAGACCTCCGCCCCCAACTACGATGCGACATATGCCGCCAGGAGAATGTCCCGGATGATGAAGGCTGCGGAGGATGGTGAATTTATGGGCTTGGAGTCATTCAAGGAACAAGATCGGAAATCGCGGAACTCCCAAAATCCACAGCAGGAGGACCAGATAGGGGTGTCTGAGAAGGAAACGGACTCATCTGCTGTGGTTGATGTCTCAGCGAGTTTGGAACGGGCAGAGTCATTCTTGGAGTCAGCACGCTCACAACTAATTGGTACACTTGATCCAAGACGACACCCATCGCAAGCTTCAGGGCGAAGCAGTTTTCTTCCCCCTGAACCTATGCGGACCCCCAACCCCCTCAAGCGGTCAAAGACCCGCTTTGGACAATCTGATGCGGACACGAAGCCCGAGAATTCAACAACATCTCCGGACCCAGAAATCCAGGAGCAGAGCTCCGTGCTAAGACAGATGCAGGAATTGCTTGAGAATGACCGGCCTATCGAGGCTGCGCAGCTATTCTTGGAGTCCCATCCTGCTTCGTTAGAACGAATTCCTTCCGATAGAAAGGAACTTGCGGTACAAATATTTTACATGAATTGCAGGCAAGGCAACGTGTTTATTGCTAGAAATATCTTCGAGCGACTAGAAGAAGTGGATAGCATAGATACAAAGATGTGGGAGTCGCTGATGTTTTCATTGGCAAAGAAAGGGAGTATCGAATCTGTTGCTACAATCTACACACGATATATGCGCAAGTTTTCGGTTTCTGACGACATGGTGGATGTTGTGCTCCGTTCTCTTCTGGAATCACACCGACTTACGACGGCCAAGTGGTTTCTACTTCGAAATCTGCGAGTTGATCGGAATTCTGGTTTGAGTGGTGCATATCTGACGGGACTTTGGAAGAAAACAAGAAGCATCGAGCTCTTGAACGGGCAACTGAAAAAACTATTGAGAGTCCACCGAGCCATGGGGAAGGAGTTTAGCGAGAAACTATTCAATCCAGTGGTGAAAGCCTACGTTGAGTTTGGCAGAGTTGCTGATGCCGAAGCTTTAGTGGAGGATATGAAAACTAACTTCAACATTCCGCCCCGATGCCGTACAAAAGGACTGTTGTTGTATGGCAAAGCTCTAGCCTGCGATTGGGAAGAAGTCGAGCTCGGACTCCAGGAGATGTATGACTTGGGAATGACTCAACGACGGCGTGATTTCACGCCAATTTTTGACCGCATATTCTTGGAGTATTGGGTATCTCACTCAGGAACTCAGATTCGGGACTTTGTCTTCAAATGTATCGACAAGTTCAATATCGTTCCTGATCGTGTCTTGTACAAGCACATCCTGGAGGCTTTTGTGGAGAAGGGCGATAGAGATATGATTTTTGAACTCACCGACATGGCTCGGGAACGATCATGGAAAATCCCTATCAAGGAAGAGGAATTCCTGGAGACTTTGCGGCGCCGGCGCCATGCACTGGAAGGGGCGCCTGTTGGTTTCTGGCATATGCTGCAGGCAGCGCGTATCAAACACGGACAGGCTGCTACTTCACAGCGTATCCTAGGTTACGACCAACAGTCATTCCCCATAGACGAGGTGAATAAAATGCCGTTTACACAAAGCACTTTGCCATGGCACCAACGGACACTGCAAGAAGGGAGTTCTTCGAAACCAGTTGACCAGTACCAAATGCTACACAAACGAATGTCGCACTTCATGCACGTTGGCAAGATGACGGAAGCACTGAAGTGCTACCAGCATGCGAAAAACGCCAAGTTCCAAATGAAGCAGCACCATGTTGAATTGGGTGTAATCGCAACGTTATTGGAACATGGTCTCGAAGCCGCTCGAGCTCTTATCGACGCTGAGTGGCGGTATCTTCGTGATTCCGTTCGATTCTTCCCTATATTCTTTCGCCAACTCACGGAGATGAGCTCGACATCTGAAGAGGAAGCGATTAAACTGGCTGTTCTTCGATTCTACGAGCTTTGCTCAACAAACAAGAAGTTGACTGTCAAGCATCATATGACAGTCGCAACCACCCGGCGCTTGATTGCTACGCAAAAACCACAAATGGCGATTGACCTTCTGTCAGCTGTCTACATGTCCCGCTACCGAAATTCGGCGGATTTCGATGGTGTCTGCATGAAGATGTTTGTACGAGCTTTTGCAGAGATGGAGAACCTCCGAGGAATTCGGTGGTGTGCTTTGACCGGCCTCTCGCATAGTGATGCTTCCGGTCGGGACTTTGTTGTCGAAGTCCGTCGGGTTGTCGGTGTACTAAGCCGGAGATTAGGCGCATCAGTCTCATCGTCCCCCAAGGATGCGGCCAACACGACCGAACAGTTGGAGTATCTTGATCTCATCGCCGAGCTTCTCGAGAAAAAGAGCCAAGGAGACCCGCTCATGTGGGAATTGCGACCCGATCCGATCAAGAAGCGATTATCTCGACGGAAGCTAAAGCAGCCCGTTGATGAGAAGTATTTGTTTAGGCAGTCGAACATCCGGGAGACGATTGAGGGATGGGATGAGGAGTACGAATTGGAGGCAGTCCTTGGGCGATTGGACAACATCACTGCCCCCGTTACTGTCGAGTAGAATGAATCGCAGATCTTGGGCGATAAATGGCTGAAAGGAGATTCTTCTGCCTGGTTCTGTTTATAATATTCTGGGATAGCCATTCCCTTCTTACTGTATATCAATGACCGTCGTTCTGTACTATATATAGCATTTGCATTCAACCATGAGGATTACAAGCATATGCCACTCGTCAATCTTACGATTAATACCCAGATAACAAACAGCCAATTATAGAAATAATAAATACACTTCCGAATTGCCCGGCATTGTCTCATAGGCCCATCGATCATACGTTCCTGAGCTCCCTGACTAGTGGCGGGAAAACTTTCACATGTCACGCCACGCTTTTTCATCAACAACTTTTCTTTTCCCCCTTTCTATCCCCTCCCCTCCACCAACAGCAACAATTGCTCTCGCCTTTCTCATTCCCATATTTGCGTACTGGGTTTGATTGATTGAAATATGCTCCACGACTCTCGCCACCATCCTCGATCCTGTTGACCTTCCTTCATTCGTTCGAACACCATGTCCCTTAACGGCCATATCTTCAAGCCCTCCGATGCGGCGGAACAACGACGACTACTTCACCACGAGGCCGACGTATTGATCGTGGGCGCAGGAATCTTGGGCTCTGCTCTTGCGGTTGCATTGGGGAAACAAGGACGGAGCGTGATACTGCTGGAGAGCTCGTTGAAGGAACCCGACCGGATCGTGGGCGAGCTGCTGCAGCCCGGTGGTGTCCAGGCCCTCGAGCAGCTGGGCTTACGGGATTGCCTCGAGGGCATTGACTCGATCAGCACACAAGGATACTATGTTTCATATTTTGGGGAACCGGTTATCATTCCTTATCCAAAGGGGGATTCATCATCAATACCCGAAGGTCGCTCGTTCCACCATGGCCGTTTCGTGATGAAGCTGCGCGAGGCCGCCATGGCTTGCCCCAACGTCACTGTTGTCGAGACCAAGGCTACAGGCCTTGTCACTTGCTCGCATACCAAGCAGGTTCTTGGTGCCGAATGTGCGACCAAGGAGGCCAAGGACTGTTACTTTGCCCATTTGACTGTCGTTGCAGATGGCTACGCTTCCAAGTTCCGCAAAGAACACCATTCTTATACTCCAAAGGTCCGGTCCAGGTTCTGGGGCTTGGAGTTGATCGATGCGAAGCTTCCCAAGCCAAACTACGGACACGTGCTCGTGAGCGATAACCCACCCGTTCTTATGTACCAGATCGGAACCCACGAGACTCGAATCCTTATCGACATCCCCGAGAACCTACCATCTGCGTCTGTCAAGAATGGTGGTGTTAAAAGCCACCTCCGGAACGTGGTCCTACCTTCTCTCCCCGAGAGCGTTCAACCGTCGTTTCTCGATGCATTGGAGAATGGCTCTCTGCGATCCATGCCAAACTCCTTCCTACCAGCCTCGTCGAACAAGACCGCGGGATTGATGATCCTAGGCGATGCCCTCAATATGCGCCATCCATTGACAGGCGGTGGAATGACAGTGGCTTTCAACGACGTGCTGACCGTGCGCGACCTGCTGAGTCCCGAGAACGTCCCTAACCTGGGAAACACCGATCAGGTTCTCAGCCAACTATCTGTTTTCCATTGGCGGAGGAAGAACTCATCTTCGGTCATCAACATTCTGGCGCAGGCCCTTTACAGCCTATTCGCTGCTAGTGGTGCGTTGCACAAGATACCCCTCACTCTATTCCCCCCTTGTTCTCTGACGTGTCCAAAACACTAACATCCGTGCCTTGCAGACGAAAACCTCAAAGCTCTCCAGCGAGGCTGCTTCCGCTATTTCCAACTGGGCATGGTAGACGGCCCTGTGGGCCTGCTCGGCGGACTAATCAAGAGACCCTTTGTCCTCTTCAGCCACTTCTTCGCCGTCGCATTCCTCTCCCTCTGGGTCCTCATCGCCGAAGCCCCCATCTACAAACTCCCCGTGGTCCTATTCCAATGTATAATGGTGTTCTGGACAGCATGCGTCGTCATTTTCCCATACATGTTGATCGAAGCCTTCAGTTGAGACGATTTTCTTTTACTTCTTTTCTTTTCTTTTCTTTTCTTTTCTTTTCTTTTTCTGGTGAAACGCCCCACAATAGAATTAATCCCTGCCCGCCTGTCCCCTTCTCCACCCCTGGGCCTTTATTTTATCTTATTTATTTATTTGCTTCTTCTTCTTCGGGACTGATTGATGCTTTGATTTGCTCATTTCGATCATGATCTTTGCTTCAGAGCGGACTTTTTTGGGGGTCTTCACTTACCTAGCCTATCAGCACAGATCCTACCAGGCCATTCCTACCCCCCTTTTGGTTCCAAGTCTATATTTTTTTATACTTGACCCCCGTCTGTATGTTCTGTCTGTTTGATAAGATGGATGGACGGGCTTGGACATGTCTCTGTTACTATTATTATTCCCCTTCAAATCTCCCCCTGCCCTTATCCTTTTTTCTTAATAAGTTGCAGTTTATTTCTGTATTTGTGTAACTAGAACGTATGTTTTTTCTTCTTCTTCTAACTTACCTATTTACGATATCCTCAAAAGTTAATCTAGTCATTACATGAATCTTTTTTCGTGTGTTCGCGCGATTTAGAGCTGTATTACCAATTTGACTGCCTATTCAAACATGTTTAGTACAAATATAGAGATGTAAGCTACAAAACAGAGAAACCAGTTGCGTATCTTTCAATCTTTATGTAAATTCAATCCAACTTCTACATCGCGATCATTGACAATCCTGACTGGCATGATATGTAACAAAGGCAAAAACATATTCTTTGAACACAGGAAAAGAAAAGAAAATGCAGTAGAAAAAAAAAAAAAAAAAAAAAACAGAAAAAGGAAGAAAAATCACATCAACCCACTCGCCTGGCTCCCTGCTATGATGGTATATTTGATATGATGATAATGATGATGATGCCGATTAAAAAATGATCATAAGAACCAAGGCCAGAAAAAGAAGTCAATCCATGAACAATAAAGAAGGGGGTAACCAGACCACTCTGCCCTTCTCTTCGGTGAGAATAGTGACTCGATCAGTCCACACTCCCTGTTCTTTTTCTTTCCTCACGGTCTGTTTCCTTGGCGATGCTCTCTCTTCTTTTGATCGGTCTTGTTTTTTCTGCATGCATTGAGCACGTCGAGACGCAAAAGTAACGCGTTTCAAGAGCATTGCGGACCGTCGAGGAAAGACACAGCCCTAATATGGACCGAACCGACACAACAACATGGCAAACGAGTTTGAGATGCAACAGCAAATCCAGGGGGATGTCAGAAATCTCCAAAGAATCCATATAAGGACAAAACAAAAAACAACAGATATCGCAGCGCTAGAAGACGAGGGCACAGATTTTTCATGCAAGTAACCCGCAGACCGTTTGCCAACCAGCCGGACCCCTTGACTGCCAATTTCCGTGATCCGACCTCTGCAAAACGCCAATGTTCGAGGGAAAAGAAAAATGAAAATGACATACATAAAAACATGGAAAGAGAAAAGTCGTATACCTTCCGTGAAAAGAACAAAACAAGGAAAAAGTAAAGGCTGCGCCGAAATTCTCCCCAAATAGAGAACATTGCTTGCCTCCTTTATACAATACCAAGGGACTCCCAAAAAATGATGAAAAAAGGAAAAAAAAGGTCGAGGGCTCCTCTAGTAAATTTGTCTGTCAAATTCGGAGCAACTCAGACATCGCAAACTTTTGTTGGCACAAACTATACAAGTGCCATTGACGTTGTAGGCATTCCAAAGCGACCTGGAAGGGAAATGGCCGGAAAGAAAGTGACACTTCGCAGTCCACTTGGCCATTTTTGAGATAGGCCGGGATCAAATGTTGCTGATTGGACTTTGCCGCAATCGCAACAGCCTGCAACGTAAATGGGATATTTATTTATTTTTTCTTTTCTCTTTGATTTCAAATCAACAGCGAGTATGGAGAACGTGTACCACTCATTCTCTTCTTTCAGCCGCCCTTTCTCAGGGATTCATCCGCAGGAAGTGGTTCGGCGCCACCATGGACACCCTGTCGTTCTGCTGACGACTTCGCATTCTTCTTCTGCTTCTTTTTCGTTGTCTGCCAGCCACTGCTTGTGTGCGTGGGACCAGAGTCATGGTTCGTGGAGCCAGCGCCATTTGATTTTCGTGAAGGGTGACTGGTGTGTCGGTCCTTGTTATCACCTGGCCCTGTAGACGAGTTGTGCGACGCGTCATGTCGGCCCTTTGGCTTTGGCTTGTGATTGGTCCCGTTGACCTTTTCAGAAGCATCAACACCGTTTGTTCGACGTTTGCCATGCGATGAAGGGGCATGCGATTCTGCTGCCTGCGGCGATCCCGAGGCCGCCGGACCTTTCTCTGCCGTTGATGTAAACTGCCTAGGACGAGAGGGCTCTTTGTCTGTTGGGCCATGGGAATGAACGGTCTTCGGCTTCTCCGGTCCTGATTTCGATGGAGTCTCGGCCAACTTCTCGGCATTCGATAAATGGAGGTTTTGCAACCGGCTTGAAAGCAGACTAGATCTCCCGTTGTGTCCATTTACAAAAGGCTCGGTTGGATTTCCAGATTTGTGAGCATCGATGGGCTGCCGAGCAAAGGGAGAATGGTCAATCTCAACTGAGCTGTTATCCTGGAAATCCTGAGAAAACGAATCGGAGACGCTAGCAGGAGTATCCGTGTTGAGGTCGTCGGAATTCGAGGTACAATGGCTCATCGTGGCATAATGATCGATGGTTTCTGTCGGAAGGGCGGTGCGTTGTTCGCTCAAAGGCACAGACCCATCCACAATCAAAGGCCCGCGATCTCCAGGCGGCACTGGTCGGGAAGCAGGTCGCTGTTGTGAAGAGCTGCTCCTTGTAGCTGATGCAGAACTTTGGTCTGATTGAGCATACAAGTCATTTGATGACAACGCCGACAAATACTCTTGCGGATTCCCAACAAATGGCAAGATCCCACCGTTCTGCAGCGCGAGTCCGACCGGAGCAGACATTGGCGACATCATAGCACTTTGGTGATAGGCTTGCAATTGCTGGGTAGTCGCGAGATAGTACCCCATGTACTCAGCAGTTCGGTTCTCGTCCATGAACGTAGAGCGAGATGCATTGGGCAGACTGCTGGGCGTAAAAGGATTTTCCTCTTCATTTTGCGCGCCCTCTGGAGAGCCGGCAGTCTGGTGCTTAGAAGCATGTGATCCGTCAACGGGTTGAGAAACGGAGTAGAGTGGGGCAAAGCTCTGAAGATTTGGAGAGTTCATCGGCCGCGCAGGCTGCGAGTGCGCTCTGAGAGATCCCGGAGACCCATTTGCACCGGAAGAGCGACGAGGATTCCGTCGCAGATCAGGCGCAGCAGCTGTTGCCGATGGTGACGGAGGATTTGTGCTGGTTCCTTGCACACCAGGAACGGCGACTGGAAGGTAGGCAGGGTTGTAGTAAACTTGTTGGCGGAACGACGAGCCGGAAGGCTGATTTACTGTCCCAGATCTCGACCGAGAATTCTCTTCACTAGCGGACTCCTGCTGTGGTACCGGGAACTGTATGAACGGCTGGCGAATGAGGACCGGGGGAGATCTTCCCGTTAATAAGGCCTGGTTCTGAAGTTGGAGTCGCAACTCCTGTTCTTGGGCTTGCAGGATCTGGATCTGCTGATAGAGATGATCATGTAATAGATATTGCGCCTGTTGCGCCTGCAAAGAAAGTTCAGAAGCACTCATGCCATTGTTGGAGTGACGGAAATTGTTCGACTTGTTCGGCGTATTCGACGCCCGGCGACTACCGGAATGCCCACCGCGCGTATACTGGTTTGACCCTCGGCCACCACGGCCACCCCCACGGCCTCCTCGGGCAGAATGCGACGGAACTGCGGTAATGATGGGTCGCGGTTGGGGCGGGGGTCTCTCCCAGGTTCGCTCTTCCTCCGGTGGGAACTCGTATTGTTCACAACAGTCCGTGAGATCGCCTTGGGAAACCGCCTTGAACGCCCTGCGCAATTCCATGTGAACGCCTCTAAACGAAGTATCGTCGGCCGTGTTGCCCAGGTTCCGAGATGTGTTGAAAGGTTCCTCCACGCAGAGGCGATTATTTTGCAACAAATGCCAGCCTTTTCCTTCCTTGGAAACCAATCTTCCTTCTCGAACGGAAATGACATTCTTTTCATAGTTGAGGTCGTGACCATAGTATTTGAAGAATTGAAAAAGCAGCTCACCCACAGTCTGCTTGTTTTTTCGTCCATACCCGGACAATGCATTAAGGTCGTCATCGAAGGAGCAAACCAAACCATCATTGGTCAACCGTTTTTTGTGAGGGCGGGCCTGGAGACTCGGTAATATCGGAGGACTTCTCGTCTGTAGGAAATTGATGATCAGGCAGATCCACGTATAAGAGCTTAATGTGCCTCCCAAGCCTATGATCGACTGTCAATACCGATGACTTGCAATGCGAACCAGCTCCTTGACCCTAAACTTACCAGCGTCATTGAGTATCCTCCGTTTTGTCCAGTGCTTTATAATCATAGCCAAAGGCCGCATGCGTTCGTCGATTTCGACATATGTCCGGATCATGCGGGTATTCTCGAGCGCCAGGGTGTTGTTGACATTCATGTCGCACGCCAGGCGTAGCTCGGGATCCCAGATCTTCACAATGGGAACCTTCGCATGGGAAACACAAACGACCCGTTCCATACCATCTGCCCCAAGACATGTCAGCGACTGGTTATCGGGAGGATCAAGGGAGAACCGTACGCCTTGCAAGAACATCGGCCAATATACACACATGCTCCAACTCCTTATATGTCGTAGTTATACAGATATCCACTATTTCCGTTAGTTGACATGTCCCAGGCGTGGACCACAATTGTGAAACACATACCGTCCGAATCACTTGAACAGAGCTTGTTCCCCGAAGACCCAAAAACGTGAACCTTTATATTATGGCCTGGCCATTGGTCGTTGAAGAGCTTTTCGAGTTTGCAAATGAGTTGGCGTCGTCGATCATCGCTCTCCGCCGATGGCAATAACCGATCATATACCTCCATCATGTCTGCCGTCAGCCTCTTCTCCTCTTCTGGCTCCAACTGCTCTTTGAGCCCCTCCTTCTCCTCGGGTAGCAGGTCTGTTCCGAGACTATACGGTATCCGTCGCCGAAAAAAGGCCATGGCAGTTTCATATTTACAGACGCCGAACGGTTTACGTGACGGGGGGAGATGCGTCGTCTCGGAGTGGGTGGACCGAGGGGAAGTATTGCCGTGCGGGGGAGAGGGGGATCGGGAGTGGAAGGAGAGGTTGCGCGCATGCTGGTACGGCGTCGAAGGGAGAGAGTTGGATTGATGCGAGGTCAATGGAGGTCGATTCGGAGCCTCTGCAGGTGCATCGGAGGGTGGATTCCACGTCATGGTGGAAGGCTTTTCCGACACTATCGGTGAGACTTCACCTGAAAAGGGGGATGGTTTAGCATTCCCATGGGTGTCTGAGATCATATAGCAACTCCAACGCTGTCAGACAACGTTGGCCTCTGGGTGGAGTAGATTGGGATAACCCTGTGTGTGTTCAATGTGAATGTCTTGCGTAGACGACCACCCACAACCCCAATCTGAATTTTCCAATGTTCGAGGGAGACGCAGCGCCTGTAGAAGCGAGAGATCCAAGAATAAGAATTGCAGAAACAGTCGCGTTTAACGGCCGAATCGGACGGTGGGAGGTGAGGCGAAAACCGTGAGAGGGGCGCTGTAGGAGAGTCAACGCAGAAACCGGCCGGCGATGTGGTTCAGCAGCAAAATCGGATCTGGGTCGGGGTCGGAAAGGAAGCGGCGTGCACTAGAGATGAAAGTGATTCTTTCTAGAACAGGAGATGAATGGGGTTCTGACGAATCCACCAGTGGATGTGAATGAGGTGCTGGTCCTCTGTGGTGAGGTGGGAAAGTCGGGTTCTGGTGAACGCCTGTCGATCCTTTTAACGGATAGACGCAGCTTTTTAAGGGGAGAGAGTGATAGACTCTGAACGTGGAACAGCACCTCTGAAAGACCACCACAGGAAACAAAAATTCTGAGAGACAGGAATAACAGAGGAGACCAGCTTTTTGTCGACAAAAAGGACCAGCCCGGAATTTTTGAGGGTGATTGGGATTGGATATACAGTAGCAGCACGGGGGGGTGGTTTTGGCAGAGGGACACTAGGAAAAGACAGTCGCGCGGAGGGGGGGAACTTCAGGCGATCTGCTTGGAGGGAAGTGGTGAGCCTGAACCAAGGGGGGCGGCCTCAGGCAGGAGTTCGGCAGAGCCACTCGCCGACAAGATGGAGAAACGAGGTTTCAGGAGTGGGTTAATGGAGAGAGAAGAGAGAATTGGAAAACGGGGAAGCAAAGGGAAAATAGAATAAAATAAAGAAAGAAAGAAAGAAAGATGGCTGAGAGAAGAAAAAGAGGTCAATCAATGTCAATAGTCGGGAGTTATTGTTGGAAAATAGGGATGGGGAAGTGATCTGTTTGAATGGAAGCACAAAAAGCGTACGGAGGAGAGATTTTCCACTGGCTGCTATACGAGATGGTCTATTCTGGAAAGCTGAAAGTAATATTCGACGCTGTTAAGATTGTTGTTGTCTTAATCTTCTCCTGCTCCTGCAATAATACAACACGGAGTAGTCGCGAACAAAGACAACTACGCCGATAAATGCGGCAAGAGTTGTGCCTGAGGCAGCTGGATGGAATATTGGAAGCGTCTTCCATCAGAAAGAAGAGAAAGAAAAAAAAAAAAAAAAAGGCCAAACTAACGATCGAGTCAAGCCGAGTTTAATCTGCTTCTTAATATTCATGATACACATGGTGTCCTATTTGGGACTGACCAGTGTCATATATGAGCAGGTTCCACTAACTATTAGGACATTACTATGCAAATTCTACGAAGCCATAAGAACATCACTCTTGAATTGGAATTGAATAGTCCATCAAATCGGTCAGTCATCAAGTCATCAAATCTAGAGATCGAGAATAAAGAAATCGTGTCCTGCCCCGCGTTCTCCTTGTTGAACGAGATGGGGTGCCTTGCTTGCCAGTGTTGCACCTACACGTGCTCAACGCCGGCCAAGCCGCCTGTTCTTTAGGCCAAGAGGTAAATTCACTGAACAATTGAGCCTTCGCCTCGATACGGAGCATTATTGTTATGTCTCATATGATCCAAATCTAAAATAAGAACTATTGCTTTTTTTGTTCATCTTCGACGTCGTGGATTTCCCGAGTATGATATCCGTTTGTGACATTCCAGATAAGACGGAGCCCCTGAGCTCCTCCTATTCTTATCGTCTTTGTAACCCCATATTGCAACAAAGAACCCTGTGCAAATCAATATTGTGGACGTCTCTGGTGGAATTGAATGGTTGTTTCGTATAGGCGGAGTTATCATGTAGCATCTGTTTCTTTGTCTTGTCGCTTCTGTCAGTCTTACTTTGAATCCATGTAATATGCTGTAGACAGAGTCACAGAATGTATTAGTTGACTAAGGATCTTGTACAGTGCCTCATAGTTAGCATGTGAGGTTGCCACTGGCCCATGCATGATGACATGGGATGGAGCCTTGCAGCCACATTGGTCTCAATGAGTCTGACTCCAAGACGTTCTGTACATTAGTCTGCTGTCGGTACGGAGTCGACTGGAATGCGTCATGGATGGTTATTCGTCTTGGTCTGTTGGGGTTTACCAGCTGAATACCACCATATGCAGACATCAAGGCCATCCAAATATACAGCACACAAGGACCTTCGAGGGCCAAAGTTTATTTCTGACTGTATATAAATATGCAGTGTGAATAGCACTGCATTGGATTCAATATCGTGTATTACCACCTCGCTTAGGTATTGAATAGATGAACTGTGCACCTTTAGCATCATAGTCACTGTACTCTGTAATCACTATCATTCATCAGCATAGAGTCAGTACAAGTGACTACAATCCAGTCAAGTAGAAGCTGGATTCATTAAGAACCGGCAGGGGGCCCGAGTGTTGAGGATGCGCCCCACTTCATCCTCCTGAACTTGACCGGAAGAATTGGATGTCTTTGACAGTCGCATACGCCGCATAACTGACGGTGAAGATGTATGCACATAAGGGGCTGAAAAAAAGGAGAAAATACATCCCATTGACTACGTGACAGCCATCAGTCCACTGGAATTGGGATGAGTGGGATTTTATTATTTATTATTACTGCAACAATGCACCTGTTGAATTAATGAGATGCGGCCCGCCAGGAGAACAACGGCAAGCGTAAAAATCCCCACGAGGTCCACGGCTCGAGTCCGTTTATTTTTATGTTATTACCATACAGTACCGTATGGGTGTACCAGTGGAATTACGGTATTATTGGCCATATCAGACTCAGAATTAGATAGATTCGTTTCTACACAATGCGTGTGATTATATCTATCGTGTAAGTAGAATGCATGTATGATATAATGACTATCATGATTGAATTGACTGTCTAAGCACACTCAGCTGCGTAATGCGAGTATGACTGTAGCTGCCACAGAGTACCGTACTACCACAACATATTAGTAGAACTGATAAAGCATGATCTTATCCTCTATCGGTCTATCCTCTGACTCTCTGTTCAACTGAGGTGGGACAAGAGCACTGCAAATGGGTTGGTGACCCGACGCTAAGAGGCATACAGTCCATGTCCAGTGCTTCAAATTTCCGGTTTCCGGTCTGAAAGTCAGCAAGAAGAATGCATCATAATACATCTACTGAGGTCTATTATTAATTGGATTTATTATCATCTTACCTACTATCACCGGACTATACTATCTTAATAATTAAGGTGTCTAATGAGGTGGTATCAGTTAGGATATATTATCCTGGTTGATACACAGACTGTATTCTGAATACATGATACCAGTATAATACAGGTAATAATACCACCACTATTTCTTCCAATGTCTCTGTCAAAAGCAGCAACCTGGAGTACATATTCTGGATTAATAGATAATTCAGATAATAAAAAGACAAAACTAATTAATAGATATCAATTTCCTACATTCATTATGAACTACAGCGTGGAGGATCGGGGTTTAAAAAAAAAGCCCACGGACCGGCAGGAAGCGATAAAATACGGCGAAACTTCATCGCCAATCCAATTGATCCGATGCCCACTCTTTTTTCTCTTGTGTGCTTCGTCTTTACAGCGTCTCTTTTTCCTCTTCTCCTCCCTCGTTCTCGACTATCCCCGGTCAGAAAACGACGCTTCTTTTCCCTTCTCTTCCCCCTCCCTCCTACTCCTCCTCCTCATCCCCCCCTCACCCCCGTCGTCTAGGTTGCACTTCTTGCTTCCTGTTTCTCTTCTTCTCTTCCTTTCGTCCTCCCCTTTTGTCTTCTTTTTTACTCCCCTCTTTTTTTCTTTTTTTTTTTGTCTGGCACCCGTGTCAGACATTTTTGGTCGGTCGTACCTCAAGGTTAAAAGTCGTTTGATCGATTCGTGTTCTGCCTCGTTTACTCGTGGTTGAATCGCCCTGAATTTTTTTTTTCTTAAGGGCATCACTCCTTTTCCCGTAAGTCATTTACCGCAACTACACCACCATCATGCCCTCCCCCCCAAACATCACGGTCCTCGATATCCCTCAGGCAAATAAATTCATTCCGGTCGTCCCGTTGGTCTGCACTTTTGTCTTCGGATCGAAGCCTGGTCGGTTATCGCCAATAAAATCGTCTTGCCCGCGGCCGATCATTGCGAGAGACGGAAATCAATCAAATCTCTCTGATACGTGAAGGGAACAATTCGGGCTATCAACTCCCAAGGATAATTCCGGTCGATGTCATCGCTTGTCGCCATCCGCCTCTTGGACACCTGGCACTTTGATTTGATTCTCCGTGCTCCGTTATCGATCCGCTTGATTGCATTGTCATAATTGTTTTTGTTGCTTCGGTCCGATGCTTACAACTTTTTTTTCCCCCTTCAGACCGGTTAGATTTCCGCCTCCATCCACGCGGAATAAACGTCGTCGTATCGACCTTCCGTGCCGTCAAAGACCTTTCGTCAGTCCGTCGCGGTCTCCATCGATGATCATGGCCTACTACGAGCCTCAGGGTTGGCAAGCGCCTGCCGCACGCCAGGTGTCGTGGGAGCAACCTGCTCCTCCATCGCGGTCAGGTATGGGCTCAACATAATTTTGGTGGCTGGATATTGTTGGGTTTATCATGAGGCTCATTATATTCTTTCCTTAGGATCAAGCTCTGTTTCGCAGCGCGAGGAAATGCCGGCGTTTTCGTCTCAGTTTGACGGTATGGATATCAATATTCTTTTTCCGATTCGAGTCCTGGCAGTCGTCTAAATTTCTGTGGTTGACGACAACAAGCTGGCATATATTGCCGGCCGTTATTTTCTACCTGGACTTGCTGGGCGACTTGCGTTTTCGATTCCTGGATATAGCCCAGAAAGCTTGCTGACTTGTTCTCAAAGAAATCGACCGTGCCATTGACAACCTCGTCAAGAGTGGAAAGCTGTGGAACGCTCCCCGAAGAGATTCCATGCCCGTCCCCATGGGCCGCCCCTACCCCGACTACGGTATGATACTCCCGCATAGGACATCCGCCGGTCTCAAAATTCTAAACAACAACTACAGATCCTCGCGCATCGGGGCCAATGGCCCAGCGTCACCACTCCATCAGCGAGTTTGACAACACCCGGGCACACCCTAGCCCCAATCTCCAGGGTTTCTACGCTTCCCAGCGATTCCAGGGTCGTCCGAATGAAGTGGAACAGATGATGCAGGCAAAGCGTCGGATGGCGGCACAGCGTGAGAGGGAGCTCCGCAACTATCACCAGGAGCAGCAGTACAACCGAAGTACGTGGTAGCATTCGTCTTTGGAGCCTTTTCTTTTTTCGTTTTTTCCTTATATTCCCCGTGATCTTTTCTCCATTTTCTCACTCTTATGTATCCGTTGCCTTGTATAATACATTGTGACTTCATTTCTTTTCTGAACATGGGTTTTAATTTCTTTCTTTTTTCAAAGGCCTGCTTGCCGAAATGTCTGGGAACAAGTCCGACCGCTCCAGCAGCCCGGCCGCCATGAGCGAAGACAGCCGCCGTGACCTTTTGGCCCGCCAGCACAGAGCTTTGTACGGCAACGAAAGCCCCGCCTTCTTCCCTCCCGGCAGTTTCGCGGATGAGAACTCGCGCCCCAGCAGCCAAGCAGGTGGCACACCGACATCTGCCACTGCTGTTCGTGGACCGTCCCCTCGCAGCGTTGATCCGTTCGGCCTCACTCAGACCCCAGCAAGCACCGATGGCATTACTTCCACTAGCGCATCTGCTCTCCAGTCTCCGTCGCGCGCCAACAGCACGTCCTCCCCTAGCTCTGGCATTAACCCAGTGTTCGGAAAGTACGATGCTGCTGACCAGCCTGTCACTTCGACCTCTTCCCCTGGTCGAGCCGATTCGCCCTCTAGACAGGCTGCTTCCAAGCCTCTTGCAGGTCCTATTGGTTCTGTGGGCCCCATTGGCTCTCGCCCGGTTCAGCAGATGGGCCCTGCTCAGGTTGCCAACCCGGCCCTGAACAAGCGTTCTACCACCCCCTTGCCATCTCCGCTTGGCTTCGGCTTCACATCTAGCGATGCTACTGCTCCTGGGGCTCTCAACGAGCGTTCAGGCTCTTCCGCATCTAACCCGCCCAACGTTTCCGCTGGAGCTCCTGGTGTCAAGGATCCCTCTGGCCTCGGATGGGGTAACGGAACTGGTGTTTGGGGTTCTAAGACCGGTCTTGGTGTTCAGGCGTCCGTCTGGGGTTAAATCTTTCAACAGTACCACCAGTTGGGTCTTCATTACTGCATTCTTTCGACATTTTGCTCGCTTTATCGTGGCGTTATGAGAATGGGTTCCATTTTTTATCATCAAATATTGGGAAAGAGCATGGTACATATTACGACAGGGGACAGGGGGGTTTGTTCTGTCTAACGTTCAATTTGGTTTGATCCATACGTGGAGAGTTAGGTAATTGGTACAATGGTTTGGTTCACTGACTAGGGGACTTGGTTGGTTTCTGGAGTCGGTATTCCCCTTTTTTGTGCTTGAGTGCATTTTCTGTTTTTGTTTACTCATTTCAACATATCGTTAATCTCGTGTGTTTATGTGTGTGTGCTGGTTTTGGATCGCTTTCTTTTCATTATGTTGCGCGTTGTGTTTTAATTGTTTACTAGGAGCCTGTCGCCGGTTGGGATTGTATTTCTGTGCTTGCGAGTGTATCTCTCGGGCTCTTGTTTCCGGCTCAATCTGGGGGTATTTCCGGTGTTTCTGTTCGGGGTCAGGTTGCGAGTCTTTGGCCGAAGCAAGCTTTTTAATTTAGCAACGGGATTGGGCACCAAAAGGGATCGTTTTCATTTCATATCTGGTTTCTGAGTTTTGGGGGCATCGGCTAAGGAACACAGGGGAGCAGCAGGCAAAAACTTGTCAAAAAGAGTTATGGGAGTCTGAATATTCTGAAACTGATGTTTCTAGCATTTCTGTCATGTTATCTGGTTTTTGTTTCTTGTCTATTTTTCATCTCATTTCATTTCATCATTTCTTTTCTTTTTCTTTTTCTCAATTCATCTTCTCCCTTTACATATTCCCTACATCAGGACCTTTTGAATTTGCGGTCTCATTTTGGCATATCGCGAATGCTACGATGTCACGTCTCTGCTATCTATCATTTGATATCCTGTTGGATGCTTCTGTCCAGTGTAAATTCTTAGGGATACTGATTATACCTGTTCTCGGCTGGAGTGGGTAGTACAAGAATCAATTATATCACTGTCTGTACTCCGGACTTGGATACACTGCAAATTAGCTGTTTCACAAGGAGCTATGTTTACAGCTTTCTAGTCTAGATAAAGGATTCGCGTGAACGTCGTGTCATTGCATGAATTATATCAACCACTTCTTTCCCTCGGATAAATTATTCTATATATTATACTCTCCCTAAACTATCTAACTAAACTGCATTCGAATGTCTCTCGTCGGAGTTACTATCTACTCCGGACGCGGTAGCAGCAGCAGTATCTGCAGGAGCGTCAGGGGTGGTATCGATTTTTCTCTTCGCGGTGAAGAGACCCGAGACACCGCGTTCCTGGTTCCGACCGAGCCACGGCTTCCTTGCTTCGCCGAGGACACGACGGCCGAGGTAGTAGATGAGCTGGCCGATGATGATGAGGACAAAAGCGATGGGGTACATCCAGTGAATGGTGTAGTGGAAGACCTCGATACCGATGATGACGCCCCAGAAGTTCATGGTGAGGAGGGAGATGTTGAAGAAGGCGGCGGAGGAGAGACGGAACATGAGCGGGGCCATGCAGTAGAAGAAAGTGAGGAGGAGGGTGTAGCCGGTGAGGTAGCCGCCTACTGTTGAGTTCCAGTGAGCGGTGCGGAAGGAGGCGCGGTCGAAGATGCCAGCTTGGGCGCCGTTGATGATCATGGCGAAGAAGGACATTTGGCCGAGGACTTCGTAGACGGGGCGGGTGCTGACGAAGTATTCCTCGGCTGTGTTGGTGAGGCCGTAGAAGGTTGCGCCGAGGAGGGCGAAGAGGTCGCCTTTCAGTTGGTTGCCGTTGCTGATGTCGCCGCCGTTGGTGCCGGTGATGTGGTCCGATGCGATGAGGAGGCCCATGCCGCCGATGCAGATGAGGATACCGAGGACTTGGGTGATGTGGTATCGGACTTTGAGGAAGAGGAAGGAGACGACGACGACGATGACGATGGCCCAGAAGTTGATTAGTTGGGCGCTGAGGATCGTTGTGTAACGGTAGGCCAGGACGATAAAGTAGTTGCCTTCTACATCGCAGAAGGCGAGAATTATATCTATAGACACTGTCAGATATCGCGATCCAGCTATCCTGAGGGATGCTTACATTTCCAGCCGTCATGAAGGACCAAGCGAAGCCAGCGCTTGAAGCCATATTTGTAAATCGTGTAAGGCGTGAAGATGAGGTTCAACAAAACATAATTGAAGAAGGTCTGGAAGGCTGGGATCGAGGTATCCTCGTTTCCTAGAAGAGTGGTGATAGTGCTGGTACCGGTGTTGGCGATTGCCAGGATTTGTCTGCCATTGACCGTCATTAGTAGGTGAGAGTGATATATACTTTCTAATTGCAACCACTCACCCAAGCAGCAGAGTGATATAGAACTCCTTGGTCGTAAAGTATGCCCAGAACCCCTTCTTCTTATCCACCTGGTCTGCAGCGACTTCTGATCCAGGCGTCTCTTCTGGCGCGTTAGTCGTAACGGCCACCGAAGGGCCCTGCTTGGAATCAGACGAAACAGGTCGACCGCTAGGCTCTGCGGGCGATGCCTGAACAGTGATTTGATCTTTCGTATCAGCCATTGCGGAGGCGATTGACGATGATCTTTCAAATCAAATGCGGGGGTTTGAGAACTGTCAAAGTAGTCAGGGCTGAATGACTGCAGTATGATATGATCCCAGTGGTGGGCATGTCGTCAAGTGGGAGCTTTATGACCCAAACGAGCGCAAAACTCCCGAAGTCGCTCGTCTTTGGTCTTGAACGTATGGCGCTCCGAAGAGAAGAAGACGACAAAGCGAAGATGGAAAAAGAAAAAAGAAAAAACGAAGTCGAGTTCAAAAGCTGCCATGGAAAAGCATTAAAGGAAAAAAAAAAAAAAAGCGGGCGCAACTCGAGACCAAGACGCGCTTTTCCTGATCGGGTGATGTCCGATAATCGATAAGAAGCCGAGGCCTCGTGGGTCTGACTGGCCAATCAGACTGCGAGAAACAGGGATTGAGATGGTTATGTAAGCCATCTGCCGTGAACCCACCGAGCGGAAACGCCCGACTGCCAATCAGAGAGCAGCAAAGCCGGCATCAATTCGTGTTTGAAGATGGAGAATCAACGACGGACGCGACGGCGACGACGGTCAGACCCGATGATCTTTTCGTTTAGATGAGAAGAGTCTGGGAGTAGGAGATGCAGGAGAGCGAGCTAGAGTGATGATCGGGAAATGTTAAGAGGGGGTTATGCAAGGGAGGTCAACCCTGTTCTGCAATTGTGTTCACCTGATGGTGTTGTTTCAAGTAAAGCTTGATTATGATGGTGAAGACTGAAGATTTATGAAAATGAATGAATCCGCAATGAATCTGCCATGAATCAACTAGAGCAGATGATCAGCTGTTGTCATGTTGATAACTAGTGAGATCGATGTTTCATTGTTGTTGAGATCCCCGCATTGATCACATGTATGAGTGCTGCCTCAGGCCACCAGATTAGATTCCGTGAAGTCAAAATGCCGATGACCTCATCGAACTGTAAAGGCTTCTCGAAGACACGATAGAACGCTTCGGGATGTTTTTTGCTGGAAAGGGGTATTCTGGAAGTCTTCCTGGAATGCTGCTTCATGACAGAGCAAGAACTGCAATGGCACTGTTCATAATAGTTGGCATGACACATGGTATAAAGCCATCCTGTAAGATCTGGTTTCGAAATATGTACGTGTAGATTGCATAATGAGATGGTCAAGAAGAGGTAACTTATGATTTGGCATTCTTATTGACAAAGACTGTCATTGGCGATGGCTGTCTAATGAATGCCCGACAGGTATCAGCCTTGTGACTCATGACACTGATACTACACTTACTACCCTTAGTATGCTCACTCTAATAGACTAACTAATACATCGATAGTCTTATTATAAGCATAAAGAATAAGGATAAGAACAAGGGCAGCACAGACGTTCCACGGGTGACTCCGCGGGGCAAACCCAGTTTTGAGTGCTAAAGATAGCGACCCCCGGCAAGGCCCAGAAGCCTAAAACGAACCCCCCGGAGTGGCCGCCGTTTAGGCGCCGGAACCCCTGAAACCGCCTATTTTTACAGGGGCTCTTTTAACTACGGGCGCACGCCAGAACTTACCGCTATTATTCCCGGTTCCCTTTCGCCCCTACATCCCGCTGGTGCAGATCCTGCGTCAGAATCCTTCTCGAAAAGAAGGATGCAGAAGTTATACTATTTCTGACTATTGAGAAGGATCGAACAACTCAGACAGTCGGATTCCCAGACTGTGAATCTTGCTGCTGTAACCCCCTTGGGTCGCGTGTGGACGACGGCTTGCGACACTCACGGAGTAAAAAAAGAAGGGAAAAAAAATAGTTTGGCCAGCGCCGACCGCTGCCGAGGCCGTCAGGTGGCCCGACCCAACTCAGGATCATCAATCATCATCCGCAACAAGCATCATCATCAACCCATCACCACCACCACCATCTCTCCCACCCCCCGTCTTCATCTCATCGTCGCCTATTCCTAATCCGCCATCTCCTGCCCGTCATCCTACCGTGTTTATTTATCGCCTCCCCTTTCGCATTTCCCCCCCTCCCGCCCGCTGTGGATTAAGGCAGCGGCCGACTCTGCCTCTCCGCTAGTTTTCGTGGCTCTCCGCGCGCCGGTTCACTCGTTCCTGAGCTGTCCCGGAGTGACGAGGCGCCACCTTTCCTTTCTACCCGGATCATGGCGCTGGAGGTGCAGCCGCCCAGAGATCGCAAGCGGGTCAAGGTCTACGAGCTGAGGGATAATGACTGGTTTGACAGGGGAACGGGCTTTTGTACTGGACAGATTCTCGATGTAAGAGCCATCCTGGTCGCATTGAGGCCCGGCGCGACATGGTCGGGCGCGAATGTCGCGCCATCTAGGAGAATCGCTTGAAGTGACTAACAAACCACTTTCTTTCTGTCACAGGATGAACCCCGAATATTCGTGGAGTCGGAGGAGGAGCCCAATCGGATGCTCCTGGAGTCGAAAATTACCAAGGATGATGGGTATCAGAAGCAGCAAGGTGCCGTCACCTCCCGTCACTTCGCATCGTTGAGGATGAAAGGGCTTTACTGACGCATTTGCGACGCATCCAGAGACATTGATCGTGTGGACGGAGCCTGAAGGGCCGGACATGGCATTGAGTTTTCAAGAGGCAGAAGGCTGCGCGGTCATTTGGTAGGCATTCTGGTCTAATGCCGATGTTGGTTGGTGCTGGCGGGCTGACAGAAACGTGTTGAAGGGATTTCGTCCATAGTGTTCAGCAACATCTCCTCAGTCTTGCCGGAGCAGGTTGTAATCCTACCCGTTCCCTGATTTTTGCGTGTTCGTTGCTGACCTGGATTTTCCCTTTCCAGACGATGGCTTGTCGGACGACCTCGATAACTACCAGTCGATTATGCTGCCTCCGCCCGAGCTTGGGAATCTTCCGGATATTGAACAGATTATGCGAGCCGCAAGTATGACGCAGGCTGGTCGCGATGCGCTGTCCAAGTTCGTCATTCGCGATGAGTACATCCCCAAATTGTTGCCGCTCGTCACGGTCGCAGAAGACCTCGAAAGCTTGTCCGACCTGCATCGCCTCTGCAATATCATGAAATCCCTCATTCTCTTGAACGATAACACCATCATCGAGACCGTCGTCACGGATTCTGTCATCATCGGGGTCGTTGGGGCACTGGAGTGTGCGTGGTTTTGCCTTATATCTAATTCATATTCGAGCTGTCGCTAATGGGATTGCAGATGATCCCGACTTCCCTACCCACAAAGCCAACCATCGACAGTATCTTTCCGACCAATCTCGTTACAAGGAAGTCGTTCCCATCAAAGATCCCATCATTCGTAGGAAGATCCGATGCACCTGGCGTTTACAATACCTGAAGGATGTGGTTTTGGCTCGGATTTTGGACGACCCGACCTTCTCAGTTCTCAACTCCCTGATTTTCTTCAACCAAGTCGAGATTGTGAACCACATTCAAACGAACGCCCCTTTCTTGAAGGAACTCTTTTCAGTTTTCGACCCGAGGAACACGGACATGAAACGCAAGGATGATGCAGTGCAATTTCTCCACCAATGCGCTGCGATTGCGAAGAATTTGCAGGCACCCGCGCGTGCCAACCTCTTTGCGAACTTCATCGCCCATGGGCTCTTTGCAGTGATTGCCTTCGCTGTCAAGCATCCCAAGCCTGCAATGCGCACAACAGGTATCGATATCCTAGTGGGGCTGCTCGACCACGACCCCATTATGATGCGCGGATATATGCTCAAGGCTGTCAACGAAAAGAAAACGCCCCTTACCGACACACTCATCGACTTGCTTCATGCAGAGACCGATCTTGGCGTCAAAAACCAACTTGCAGATGCTATCAAGGTCTTGCTAGACCCCCAAATTCCCCTACAAGACACAATGGGTCGGGCTGGGCCCGACTACTACGCAAAGTTCCGTTCTTCTAATATGATGTCCGATGCGTTTGTTCAAAATTACTTTGATGAGTCTGCGAGAAGGCTTTTTGTGCCATTGACACAGCTCGAAGACCGTGAGAACCGTATGTTTTCTATAAACCACAAAGCTGCCATGGTTAGACTAACCGATAACGTACAGTCAACGACCTGACGTTCCAAGAAGTCGCTCTGCACTCACATCTTGTCGATATCTTGACATTCTTCGTTCGTCAACATCTTTACAGGACTCGAAACGTCATCCATGATAAATCCCTTTCTCCTCGAATCGCCCAGTTGCTCAGAGTCCCACAAAAACATCTCAAACTTAGTAAGTAGTTCCAATATCTACTCTCCATGGAGCGAATCTAACAATTTCTTTCCTTTCCAGCTGCCCTGAAATTCTTCCGCCAATTGGCCAGCCTCCAAGATACCTTCTATCAAGCATTAATGACTCGTAACAACATTTTCGGCTTAATTCTTGACATTGTGTATGAAACAATGCCACGTGACAACCTTCTCAACTCCGCCTGCCTTGAACTTTTTGACTTTGTCAAGCGCGAAAACATCAAGCCTTTCGTCCTTCATGTGGTGGAGAAGTATCGCGAAAAGCTGCAGGCCATCACTTATGTTGATACATTCCAGACTCTGATTCTCCGCTATGACCAGATGCAGGGCTATGGCGCGGATACGGAATCCGCAATATACTCGCAGGAAGAAGGGACGCCAGCACGAATGCAATCCAACGGACAGCGCTGGCAAGGCGTCAAGGAGATGGATCCTGCGGAAGAAGAATACTTCAACACATCCGATGGTGAAGACGAGGTAGGATCTCTGACGGAGAGCTTTATATTCGGAGAGGAAACTAACCCCCCATCTCAGTGGCACCAAGCCAGCGAACTTGATGTAACTGTGGCTGCTGAAACGCAGAATGGTGTGCCTTCTTCCCCGGCCGCTAAACCTTTGGTGGACTACCCCGATGACGACGAAGACGACGATGCTATGGATACAAAACCCGAGTCCGGAGAAGAACAGAAGCAAGAACAAAAAGAACCTTCAGATCGCGAAGCGTCCGATTCATCGACGGAGTCTCCCACAACCCCAGTATCACAAATAGTCCAGGTTCCTCCGGAGCGGTTGTCAGAGAAACGCCGGCGTGAAGAGGAAGACGAGGATGAGCTAGTCAAATTATCATCTGGACCCAAACGAAGAAGCTCCACGAGCAGTAACTCAGGAAGTGGATTCCTAAGGAGGAAGAAGGGCATGTCTATCGGGTCGTTGTCCTCTGACAAGGGAGCCACTCAGGGCAATACCACAACCAGCGCAGCACCCAAAAGAATCGCCATTAATCTCAGCTCAGCCACTGTCAAGTCCTCCGCACCCGACACTGATTCAACCGGTCCTCCCAACGAAAGCAGCGAAAAGGAGAACCGAAACGATAGTCACGGCGGGGGTGGCGATTGATAAAACAATACCCTCCTTTAGAGCTTATACATGTCGGCTTTTATGTGCGCAACCAGTATACCCTTGCGAGTGCCATCCTTCTCGTTCATCAGACTATCGGCAGTTTCTTTTTCCTATTTGTGTTTTATGACTGCTCGCCTTAGATACCAGATGAAGTGATGGTTGATTAGCTTTTCTTCCTTTCATCTTTTTTTCTTTTTCCTGATTTACATGCATTCATCTTGGCATTTCTAGATATCATGTTCTCCAAGGTCTCTGGCCCATTTGCACTGGGATCTGAAAATTTATCATTCTATTCTTCGCTGTTGCTGTCTTGTTGGGCCCGGTGAGCTTTGGCCGGGTGTCTCGATTGAGCAGGGCTTGTGTTTTATCTCATTATTATCTGGAGTTCTCTGGATGCATGCTTTGACATTTTGTTTTATATGCAGCGGTTCATGGTCTGAACTATCATCTACTTTGGCGAAACGGGGGAGGATTCGGAACTGAAAGATGTGATGTAAATGGGACGTGTGAAGCAGCCTGCATGGGTTTGCAGGCATCTTCAAGTGTCCTTTCCCTGTCTAGGCGATTGACTGGACACTGGGGGAAAGTGACTTGTTTTGTGCTTTCTTTTCTGTTTGTGTCTGGGGCATTTTTTTGAGGATCTCTGGTTCACGGAACGGAGTCGGGCTGGATGAAATGGATTGGAAATGAATCACTGTGCATGGATTGAGCAAAACCTTGAAAAAATCTTTCTATCTATTCACTCTTATGTTCCTCGATGGGCGTGGTGGGATATTTAGCCGTCGAGGAAGTTGATATTTGAATTCTTTGAAATATTGACTGTACAGGGTTGTTCGTACAGCGTTTACGTTTTCATTCCAGGTTCGGGATTCTTTAAATTTATACATAAACAAACTTCAATTGAGTACTTGGAGATCGAAGCTATCCATGCAGGCGTTGATCTCGCATAAATGAAGATCTTTTGATCGACATGATCCTTGGCTACTTACATTTTGTACATGCTTGTTATAGCCAGGGATTCGAGGCTTAATCTGGAGTGCCAATAATGCTGCAACGTTGATATTTGATCATTCTTGCAATTCACTATCAGATAATGATCAAATTGCAATTATATCATATGTAATGAAATATAATCGATCAAGCGAAGAGCGTCAAAATGTAATGAATATTTCATGCGTGATCACCTGATTTCGTCTGCTTATCCCAAACCGAGGCTTTATTTACATCTTCACTTTTCACCGCTGTCAACAACCAATTCTTCATAGTTCAGCTCACCAGCCATACTCCTGATAGCTGTGAATCATCACTAACATAGACTGTTTCTCCCATGCGAAGTCAGTAGATGTTCTGACTGTCCCCGATTCCCATCATCATCTTTAGATCGCGATTTCGTCAATTTGACAACATCAACTCATCCCATTCACTACTTTCTCCCTAATCCATAATACACCATCATGTATCTCCAAGAACCCCAAATAACCCCCAACACCTTCTTCCACATCACCCCCGCCTCCCAACCCAATCAGGCCCCCGTCATCATCTACTTTATATCCGGAAACCCCGGCCTCATCTCCTACTACCACCCATTCCTATCTTTTCTTTCCTCAAAACTCAGCTCCTGGGCCGAGAAGCAGCCAAAATCGCAACAGGACACGACGTTCCAAATCTACGGACGGAATCTGGGTGGTTTTGATATCGGCCCTGAGGGCGAGAATGCTGAAAAGGACGCACCGTATTATGGGCTTGAGGAGCAAATTTGCATTGTCCAGGAACGGTTGGAGGAGCTTGTGCATTCAAAGGATCGGGTTGGTGCAAATCTACCTGGTGGTGCTGTGCCCAAGGTGATTCTTATTGGGCATTCGGTGGGGACGTATATCGCCATGGAGATTATGAGGAGACATCGAGAGAGACGGTCTTCCGGGTTTGATATCGTGGGTGGTGTGTTGTTGTTTCCTACGGTGGTTGATATTGCAAAGTCGCCGTCAGGGCAGAAGTTGACGGTAAGTAAGACCTGATAATTGTCAGAAGTCATTATGAGCTAGGATGGTTGGTTAATGAATTCGCAGAAACTACTCTCCTTCATCCCGAAACTCGCCCTTGTCGTTGGAATCTTAGTTAGAATTCTCACCATGTTCTTGCCTGATTTCATCCTACGAGCCTGTATCAACCTCGTTATGAGTTCTCCTCCCAAAGACGCTGTCGACTCAACCCTAGCTTTTATCAAGAGTAAACGTGGCGTGAGACAAGCATTGTATGTGTTTCCAACCCTTTCCTCCCTGGGCTCACCATAGCTAACAAGACATATCAAGACACATGGCCCGCGACGAAATGACAACCATCTCAGCAGACAAATGGACCGATGATATCTGGGGTATATCGACCAGCAAAGAGCCACCCGCTAAGCTCTTCTTCTACTTTGGTCGGAATGACCATTGGGTTGAGGAGAAGACTAGGGATGAGATTATTGAGGTTCGGGGTAAGGTTAAAGGGGGTCCGACGATGTTTGTTTGTGATGATGGACTGCCGCATGCGTTTTGTCTGAGTGAGTCTTTTCCCCTTCTTCTGTTTATGGGCGATGCTGATAGTGGGTGCAGAGCATAGTGAGGTGATGGCTACTAAGGTAGCGGATATGATCAAGGATATTGTGAGTTGATCTTTATATCAGGGCGTGGAGTAGTTGCCGGGGTAGTGTATAGATTCTATGGATATAATTTACCATTCCACGTCTATGAAGACTTGAGTTAGACGAACAATGTCATAATTCGCTCTTGCCTAGAACCACAATGCAAATTCCGTATCATTCATGATCGTCAATTAAAATACCCGTAAGTCAATCCTCGCAGGTTTAATGACTGTACTAGGAGTAGAAGCCATAGGTATCTCAAGCTGTCGACTACGTCACGCCTCATAAATCCGATGAAAAAAAAAAAAAAAAACAAGTCATCCCGATGAAGAAAAATATCTATGGATATCCCTGTCCACCTTGTCCGTATGCTAGACCTGCCCTCCGAAATAGGTCCCCAAGTACATCCTGTTGCGGTTGTGAGTGCGGCGGCGGCTGCGGCATAGGAATACCCATCGGTGGCGGCGGCTGCCGGTATTCACCCGGTCCCATGTTGTGAGCATGAACACTCCATCCATCATCTTGAGCTCGTTGCTGACCAAACAAATCCTTTAGCGAAACCTGACGGCCCATAGGCACGCTCGATTGAACCTCCTCCAAAGGCGCGGCTGTCGTGGTAGCTGCGGCCGCTGCGACATGCAAACCGTTCTGCTGGGCTGCTTCCAGGCGTTCGCGCGCCAGTTTGAGACTGTGTCCTGCATGTGTAGCGCATTCGCGAATCATCTGGGCATTGATAATACGTGTCTCTGCCGTGGAATTGGGTGGTGGCTCCGAATAGATCCACAGACCGTAAATCCGGATACCCTTACTAGTGTCGGCGTTGTTCCCATTGTTATTATAGTTGTTGATGGTGTTTGGGGTTTCGAGTTCCGGGTTATAATCAGTCTTGAGAATCACATATTCCTCTGTGATCTCGACATTCTCGCCATCGGTCAGGGGGATATCGAAATTGTTGAGGCCGCGCCGGTTGAGCACAAAAGCACTGTATCGTTCCTCACCCAGAGGGCCTTGCGCTAGCTGGCAGACAAACAACGTACCCTCGGTCCCACTCTTCTCCCACTGTCGTGTAGACGGACTGAACAAATAGACGACTGCGTATTGGGCCAGCGACAAAATCGAGTTCACGGAGGGGTTATGACGGCGGAGGACGGCGAGGTTAAGCTCCTCGTTGGAGCGTAAGGGTGGAGGGACAGGCAGCTCCTGCTGCTCCTGCTGTTGCCTTTGCTGCTGCTGTGTATCGGAGAGGTAGTTTGGATAGTCTGATTCATAGTCGGAGACGAAGTTCTGGTGGTTATTATTATGGCGGTGGTTGTTGTTCGGTCGACGAGGTTTCCGGGACGCCATTCTTGTAGAAAATGCCTCAGCTGAGTGAGTGAAAACCGGATACACGAGATGTAATAAAGCACGGGTAGTTTTCGAAGGCGTAGCAGGAGAAAATAAGGAAGCTGAGCTGGAAGAGTGTGGGATGGAGATGTGCAGAAGATGAGGTGCGGCGATGATTTGGAGCTCCGGCAAGAACGTCAGGAAAGCCCAAGCCCCGCGGACTCGTCACAGTCGATTCCTCCATCTCCCGTTCACTGCCGGCTCAGAAACAACCACTTCGACGAGTGAATATATCCTCTTTGCATTTTTTTCCCAAGTCATCTCCAATTGATCTTCTGCTTGGAATCTAGCATACCTAGCGAGAAATCCCGTCTGCCGCTTCCAATTGTCTCCCTCCCTGTCGTCATCCACCAACGCCATCACTGCCAACCCCATCCCAGACGACCAGACCTTTATACGAACCCCGCTTGTTTGCCCCGTGATGCAGGTACTGGCACCTAGTCGTTGAAACCCTCAGCCGTGCTCATCCTTGATCAGCTCGTGATGATTTTGATCGACAGTCGCGCCTGACACCCTGTGCCTCCAGTCCGTTCTGTTGTCTCACACGCAGTTTGAGCGTGGGACACGGCGTTATATATTTAGTGCAGGCTATCATCTAGGAACGATTGACGTCCCCATCATTGATCTGAGAGCACCTTTTCATTATGAATCCCTCAGAGCAGCACGATTCGCAATCGCCGCATATCTCCGGTGAATTTCCTACGGATGAGACTAATGTGCCGCCTGCCCTCGATGCCACATCGCTATCCCTAGCTATTAAGACGAGAAAAGCAGAATACACCCGTCAGAGGTCGATTAGAATCAAGGTCGGAACATGGAATGTTGCTGCCCTTCATGGCACTGAGGAGGACATTGGGAAATGGTTCGTACATCGGGAAGGGATGTGCGAACAGCTTTCTGGGCTCCAGGTTGAGGAAATTCGAGAACAATCTAGAGAGGAAGGGAATATAAAGGTCGAAGAGCCAAAGGCAGTCCAACATGGCCAAGACGGCCCGAGGAAAAGTGAAGATTGTATTCCTCCCAACTTTGAGTCGGAGGAGGTTGGACTCTATGCTCTTGGGCTACAAGAAATCGTGGATGTCTCTTCGCCTGCCGAGGCATTGAGACCCTACGTTGATCCAACACCCTCGAAGCGATGGAAAGCAGCCGTCGAAAATGCTCTGCCTACGGGCTACCAGCTGGTTGCAGATACTCAGCTGGTAGGGCTTCTGCTCTTAATATATGCCGCTCCATCCGTTGCTGAAAGCATATCATCGGTCAGCAGCACCAACGTCGGCACGGGTATGCTTGGGTACATGGGCAACAAAGGAGCCGTGGCAACACGTCTCATTCTCGGTGAGACCACATCCCTGGTCTTTGTCAACTGCCATCTCGCTGCCGGATCGGATAAAACCAGCCTGGAGCGGCGCAATTGGGATGCCTCTCAGATCTTTGGACGGACTAAGTTCGATCCCATCGACCTAGAAAAGGGACTTCGGGATGACCCAACAGAAAATATTGGGCAGGGCGATTTTATCTTCTGGTTTGGTGACCTCAATTACCGGCTCGATGATATACCGGGTGACAGTGTGCGACAAGTTCTTGCTCGTCATACAGAAAACGAGTACGACAAAACACACAAATTAACACGCAAAGACAGTGATGCTTCATTGTCGTCCTCGTCCTCATCCTCGGCGTCGTCCACCAAACGAAAACATAGACACTCTTTGCACCGGCGCCGTAAGTCACAACGGGCTAGTAAGAGTTTTCCTACGGTTTCAGATGAGGATGTAGATCCTCATAATGACCCAGCTTCTCTTCAAACTACCATCTCTTCTTTACTGCCGCACGATCAACTTCGAATGCAGCAGGGAAAAGGGAAAGCTTTCCACGAAGGCTGGCGGGAAGGCGACATCTCATTTTTGCCGACGTACAAGTATGATGTAGGGAGTGTAGCTCGTTTTGACTCGAGCGAGAAGAACCGAGGACCCAGTTGGTGTGACCGGATTCTTTACCGGACACGCCAGGACAAATTGAAACATGAGATACTAGAGAAGGAAGCCGCGGAAGCCAGAAAGAAAGACGAGGAAATGCAAGCACGTGGCTTGGATAAGGCTGTTGCTGATGACAGTGTACTGTTTGATTACGACCCAGAAGTTGATGGCGCGGACAGCGTAGAGGAATATGATCCTGATAAGGATCAACCGAGCGATAAAGCCTCGTCGATTTCACCGCTCGATGTCGATGATCCCGTCCAGCTGGAGTATTATGTGTCGCACCAGGGCATTCTCTCTTCTGATCACAAACCTTTGGATGCAGGGTTCACTTTGACTTTTGACTCTGTGATTCCGCAATTGAAAGCGAAGGTGTATCAAGAGGTTGTTCGGGAATTAGACAAGGCTGAGAATGAGTCCCGGCCGGGCTTGACTGTGGTGGTGGACACTGCGCCTGGCCACCACCATGGCAAAGCAGGAGAAGATCCAAATGCTGTGGATTTCGGTGATGTGCCCTTTGACGTACCTCTTCGTCGATCTTTGACGATTGCGAATACAAGCGGCGTACCTGCAACTTTCGCTATCGAGAAGCCCAACCCAGAAGATAGGTTGGCCCTTGGCACACCATCCTGGATTAACTACGAAATTGACCAACATATTGGTCAAGTAATTGAGAACAAGAAAGACAAGGCATCTTCCCAGGAAATCACTCTGTACCCCGGGGAGCTTGCCAACGTCGTGATCACAGTACATGTTCATGATATCGATCATGTTCGTCGATTCAACTCGGGCGAAGACAAGCCGGAAGAAATCCTGTTACTGCGTGTAACGAGTGGCCGAGATCATTTTATTCCTGTCTCTGGAAGATGGTTGCCCACCTGCTTTGGTCGCAGCGTGGATGACCTTACCCGTATGCCTGAAGCAGGTGCGCGCAGCTTAGCTGCTACGGACACGTCGGGTCCTCCTAAGAGCGACACGGGTGTTCGCATATCTGCTCCGCGAGAGCTGTTTAGGTTGACGGAAGCGATTTCGGAGCTGTCTGAACGTGCTGTTGCAGAATGGAGCATGACAAAAGCCGGGTCTGAGGAAGACGCTTCGCCTCCATGGGTAACAGAGCCCCATGGGATTGAGTGGCCTTTTAAACCGGAAACATGGACTCTGAAAGAACAGGAGGAGCGCTCGCCTTTGCTGGCGTCTGTCCGTGAGGCTTTGGACACCAATGCATCATTGAATTCTATATTCCCACCCGAAGTGCCCTCATTGCATCGTTTGGAGATACTATCTGAGACCCTGCTGGAGTTTCTCCGCTACTTGAGTGACGGTATAGTCACGGCTCCTGTCTGGGAAGGCCTGGACCAGCAGCTCCTCGCGCGGGAAAAGGCCAAAGCACCACCCCTTTCTTGGGAAGAAACCCAAGCCTGGGTATTGGAGAGTCTTGCGTACTCGCCTGCCCATAGCGTTTCGTTTACCTTTGTTACCTTCATGCTTGCTCGCATTGTCAACGAGATAGCTCCTGCATCATCAGCAAGACCACCACAGTCCTCAAGAAAATCCATTGAAGAACCAGCCCCTCTCACTCCCCAACAAACCAACGAAAACCTCCCATCTACACCTCCAACACCGACATCTCGTATCTCCGGAAGCAGCTTGCGACGTCGAGCGCGCACGCTCACCTCGTCCTCGTCTAGCACGCCAGAAATCCCTCAGCCTAACCCTGCTGTGGCCCGGCGGCAAGCAGTGGAAACCGCATTAGCTGGAGTGTTTTCTAAGATTCTCATCTTCAACGGTCCCGGGCCAACCAAGGAGAAAGAGAAACGAGCTCTGGATGAGAGAAAACGGAGCGTCATTGAACCATTCCTGAAAACCTTCGGTGTGGATAGCAATGGGCCTTCTGGTGGAGCTCTATAAATCGACTTTCCCCCTTCTTCTCTGCATCATCATAGACTTGGACACGATTTGTACATCTATCTGATTTCTTCCCTTTCTCATACGCTCCCCTTTTCTCCAAAGATGGTTACCGATTATATATTACTTGTTATGTGCAGGGTTCTTGTTGTCCTCCATCCCTCCAGATTAAACTCCCCGATAGATAATTTGTTGCCTTGATTCTTTATATGCTATAAACGAGCCTATACTGAATGGTTACTTAATCCTGCAATGACTCTGGCTATGCATGTCAGAGACGCAAAAGAATATATTTCAAAATATGATATCTGCACACGGTTCATTTAAGACACTTTTTGGCTATAGTGCTCAATGACCCTTTTCTTGTCCAGATAGAGGAAAGGGTAAAGTCCAGTCCCAACATCCTATTACATACTATACTATGCCATGGTGCAATGACATGCTATACCAATCCGATATCCGAATCCCGGAGCCGAAAACCAAAATGATCCGAAACAAAGAAAGAAAATGACCCAGATGTGCAGTCAATAGAACAATGAAAAGAACAATAGTAAATGCTGAATATCGAATTTGACCCATTCACAATCCCACGGGGATGTTGAATATTCCCCCTTGAAGAAGCAACAAAGGCCCTGAAGCTTTTCGCCAGCCCATCCTTAAATTAATTAATGCCCATCTTCGCTAAATTTGACACAGATGAAAAGAAACGCTACACGTTTTTTAATTACTATATTCCCGAGTCGGTCTTCTGAGGTCTGCAGGGACTTTCTGCACCCGTCGTGATGACTGCGGGTTCCGGGATTGAGATGATTTGCCTTTGCTAGGCTTCATTTCAGATGGTGTATGAAACAACATGCCCTTGAAATAATTCAAAAACCGGGAGGCTGTTCGAACCGGAAAAATTGCCAGAGAAATGAGAATTTGCGTGGGGACCATGAGGAGAGCATAAACCCAGTCCAGCAATATGAATGAAAACCCGCGGCTTCGTTGTGTGCTGGAGCGCTGTGCCGCGGCAGCCAGGGAAATGGCATCTCGCAGTTGAATCTCCAGGTCACGGAGTCTGGAATCTGTTTGGTAGGTGGTGATGGCTGTGCACTTCTCATATCGCCTAACTGCGCGGTTCAAGGCTTCAATCTCAGGGTGTATACTTTTTCGAACTTCGGCGCTCGTTTGAGAGACCAGATTGTCCTGTTCTTGTGATGACTGATTTTGGGTTGATGATTCGGATGAGAACCGCGCTGCGGCAGTTTCGGCGACATGCGCCTCAAGCTCTTCGAGTCGTTTGGTGAGATCGAGTACCTTGCTGGAATCTATCTTGTCGTCTTCGTCAGAAGAAGATGCGACTATCCGTTGCAGATGGAGCGTTCGCGCTTGCACCATTTTAAGGAGATGGGAGAAAGGTCGGATTTCCGATGCCAGCAGAAAAATGGTCAAGTTGTAGTTTGAGACTAGACCTTCTGATGGGCGAGATAAATTGGACCTGACAGCATGCAGGAGCCATGTTCCGATGATGGGGAAAATGAAGCAAGACGCAAGAGCAACCAATTCGTGTATATACAGTTCTTCGCTGGCTGCGCTGGCTGCAGCAGAAACTCGCGGGTGTTCTTTCTTGTCTTCGGTGGACGGGTTGGAATCATCCAGGTTCTCTTGGTTATCACTGTTGCCCAACCCCGACGGGTTGTCGGTTGTGTCACAATACTTGTCTTGCCTGATTTCCTGGGCAGAGCGATACCAATCCCTAACAATGTCAGCTCCATCCAATCTAAAATACAAGGGGCTGTTTTTAACAAAGAGTACTACTACATACCAAGGTAACCTGACAGACCAATTCAAGAAGATGGCCGCTAAGATCAGCAGGGTGATGTCGGTAATGACTGCGCTTCCATTCTTGAAGAAGACACCCGCAATAGCGGGCAACAGAGCAAGGCCGAGGGGTGTTGATTGCCAATATGACTCGTCCTCTGGTAGATCAGCATCGTTACGCTTGACTACACGTGGTAGAAACAAGTCGTCGGTGGAGGACCGAAGTGAATGACGGGCGTCAGACACCGAGTCGGACAAGGTGGAGTTGCGACGCAGATTCTCTATGTTTGACCCTTCTGCAAGAGTCGCGGCACGAGCCGGACCACGATGGCGGAGACTTGCAGGGCTGGAAGGATTGCTAGGGACGTGCGCTTGAGGTGAAACCGAGAGCCGGGATTGTTCTGACATGATAAAGGTATGCTACAAAGGATTCAGGGAGAAGACGGAGTTAAGAAAGGGGCGGCCTGTCAGTTGCTGTCAGAGATGGCAGCAAGAAGAAAGAAGCAGCGCGAACAACACCATGCGAGCTCAGCTGAAAACTTAGTAATCTCGACCTGACGAACACCCGATCAATCGCTAATCGTCAAGGGCCAGATTGAGTTGCGTCGTCGATTAAGGGAGATTAGTGATTGGCGTGGAATGCGGAGGAAATAGTAATGCCAACACAGCGGGGAGAGTATGACGACATGGGCGCGCGGAGATGTCGCGGAAGGCTGTGATCTTCCAAGAATTCTAGCAACGTCATTGCAACGTTGGAAGGAACTCAGGTCCGGTAGAATTGAAAGCCTGTGGCTGTGATGGATGGCTTTTTTCCGTTCATGGCGTACAAGCATGGCTGATGTTGGGTGTCTTCTGCCTGGTGTCTGCGTCCTCGTCATCCCATCCGCGGCCATGCTGATTTCGACGAGCCCTGGTTTCACGAGCAGCTAACATTAGATCGTATCGAGGAAACCATTCGTTGACTGGATTTCTTTTTCGAGTGTCATCTTTGAAATGGAATGTTTATCTGCGTCCACGACACATTGTCAGCGCCAGTCATTGTGCAACTCAACAGACAAGGTGCACTCACAGCCGGACAACTATTTTTGCTTCAAGTTTTAAGCCAAGTGCAAGACGGTTGAATTAATCATAATTTGCTCTAGATCTCTTTGGAAACCATCCATATTGAGGTCATCCAGCCTATCACAAACCGGAAGATGATTCGACAAAGCAAACCAAACTTCTGCGATCATGAGGGACTTTAAACGTCCCGTGGAACAGCCGGAGGTTTCACAAAGAACCCAGCCAGTGGGGAAGAGTAAGGACAGTAGCAGAGAAAGAAAGATGATGCAGACGACGGAGGAGGCAGAGGGGGGTCAATCGGTTGCGTTGGCGATGCGGACGGAGAGGCCTATTGACACCCCAAAGCGGTTTGGCCTGCCGAGTGAAGACTGCCTCAACCCCCGCGACTGACGAAAATCCTTCTATTCTCATCTCTTCCGTCTGCGCCTTGTCTCTTCACCGTCTCTTTATTCAGGATTGTCTACCCGTCAATGGGCAGGTTCTGGGTCTATGGCCCGTGTGGATCTATCGGAAACATGCCCTCCATGCAGGAGTATACTTAGCGAGTACTGTTCCCATGGAATATCCTGCTTCGATGCTTCTCGATCCCTTCAGGTTGCCGATTTATTGACTTTTCTTTTCTTATTATGAAAGCCCAAAGAGCCTCTGGAAATGAGTGTCTCAATTGAATTCAAGTGAAGGGCTCGTCTCTTCCGACTCAGGGCTGTTGATTCTCAATTGATATTCTCTCCCAATAGGACACCACGACAGTGTCTGTTTCTCTTCCCCTTGGGTGTCTATCAATATTCATGTCTCCTGATCCTCTCTTCTTCTCTTCTTAAAGAGTGATGTTGATTCATTGCTCCTGGCTTCTTCAACATTTCGTTCGTGATATCCACTGGCGGCAAAGAAACAACATCTCTTACTCTATACTATCATACTCTTAACACCTCTCTCATGACAAACTACTCTGGATATATGGATATGGATCCAACGAAACAACACTATCCGCTGGCGGTGGCTGTACCGTTTCTGGCCATCCTATCCATCCTTATTAGCATCACTCCGTTGGTCTTGCACGTTAAAAACCGCAACTTCCCTTCAGCCTACCTCGTGTGCTGGTTTATGATGCTCAACATCTTCAATGCCACCAATGCTTTCATCTGGCCAACCGACGATGTTGACTCGTGGTGGGACGGCGTGGGCCTGTGCGATATTGAAGTCAAGCTCATGATTGCTAGCTACATCGCTGTGCCTGGGGCTTTGGTGTGTATCTTCCGCAGCTTGGCATACGTGCTAGACACCAGGCGAGCAATGCTGGTTCCAAGCAAGTCGCAGCGCTGGCGCGGTCGTCTCATGGATTTTCTCTTCTGTGTGTTCGTCCCGAGTATCGCAATGATCACGCATATCGTCTATCAAAAGAGTCGATACTATATCTTCGCCATCTCCGGCTGTGTGAACAACTTTGACGAAAGCTGGGTGAGCTTAGTACTATCGTTCATCTGGCCTCCCGTTATTTGTTTGATAGCTGCCTATTACTGCGGTGTGATGCCAAAATTATCCCCTTGTTTAGATTCTGTCACTGACCACAGCCTCCCTAGGTCTCGTACTACTCCGTCTTCACAAATATCGGAGCCAGTTTGGAGACATACTCAGTGCCTCCAGCAGCAACTTGAGCAAGTCCAGGTTCATCCGCCTCTTCCTCGTCTCCTTCGTCATGCTTCTGTGCATCCTTCCGGTTCAGGCCTTCGTTCTCTACCAAAACGTTATGCTTTCGCTTCCCTGGCATCCTTATTCATGGAGCAGCTTTCACGGGCCAGGGTGGGGAACCATAATCAAGGTGCCTACAAAAGGCGATGTCTTCTTTGACCGCTGGGTACCGATAGGCTCGAGCTTCTTGGGCTTCATCTTCTTCGGATTCGGCAGAGATGCTATCAAGATGTACCGTTCAATCTTGTACCATCTGGGCTTTGGCCATTGCTTCCCCAACATTTCCCCTCAGCACACGTCTCCCCCTTCGGCTAGCCCTGCAGGATCTGTTGGAAGCCGGGCCAAGCTTATTCATAGAAGGTTTTCATCCGTGGCTAGGTAATACTTCACTCCCCTTTACACTCCTAAAATGATACACATTATCTAATCTACCACAGAGCCTACCTGGGCAGCAACGACCCAACAAGCTCCAACAGATCAGGCTACGACGACCTCGAAAAAGGCGTGCCCTTTTCACAGAGACACAACAAGCGTCCAGCAAAGACTTCATTCTGGTCATTCCTGCGAAACCCACTTTCTCCTTCCCGTCAAGAAATGATATCCATGCCTCAACTCTCTGCTAATACGAATATCATTTCCGCCAACGCTTGGGCCGGTACGAGCCAGAGCCGCTGCAGTAGTGATTTCACTATTACTTCTGCACCGTCTCCGACAAGCAAGGAGTTCATTCGGGTCAAGCAGGTGATTAGCCAGCAGAGTGAAATGCAAGTATGATTGCGGAATATTTTTTGCAGGATTTGGAATATTAGTATAATATTGGGCTTCTTTTATCTACAGATAGATGAGTCCTTGGACTCTCGTCTGATATTGTCAGTCTCAGATATTTTGTTCGTTATAATTTTAATAATATTGAGTCTATTCATGGCCTTATACCTGACAGCTGAACAAACAATCCCAAGCACTATCCACGTAATAGTCTTTATCCAAGCATATAAGTATCGAGCCTGATGACTAGAAAATCGACACCGTGACGCCAAATGCCATTGCCAATGCCCAACAGATCTCTCTTTGCCTTTAGAACGGCCCAATTCCCCCGAAAATAAAATTTAGATAAAAATAATTGAGTGGGAAAATGTATTCAAGGGTATACTTGTACAGTACAATACATGACAAGAAATAGCAGGGTGATAAACAACTCCTTCGAGTCTAACACCAAACAGTCGATATCAATCAAACAACAATCCATTAGTTAACATTATAGTGTTTGTTCCGTCCTTGTTATCTATTGCTCGGAGTTGTTGCCGTCCGGGTTGAAGGGACGCTTGAGGACCTCGATGCTGCCTATAGTTGAAATACCGATTAGCTTCTGGTTGATCCATAATGGGGAAGGAAAGGTAGGTAGGTAGGTAGGTAGCTTACGCTGAACGATGTTCAGAGCCGAGTTCCTCTTGCCGTCTGCATCTTCCCACTGGCGAATGCTAGCGTCACCTTCAAGGTAGACGAGGGTTCTGTGGTGTACATGTTAGCCAGCCCATCATATATGCTGGATATATCCCGAGAATATATAATAAAACATACCCCTTCGGCAAGTTGAGAAGGAAGTCCCGCTGGGCCCCCTCAGGCTGGAAGCTCGCAATGCGGAAAAAGCTAGCCGGCTTGTTATCCCGGCCAGGCTGGGTGGAAGCAACGGAGTATTTGATGATCTCCTGACCGGACGAGGTAGCCTGCAGCTCGGGGTCGTTGGCAAGACGGCCAGTGATGATCATACGGGCGACAGAGCGCGAGGAGGAAGAGCTGAAGGTGCGCGCGGAGAGGCCGGAGGCGGAGGTAGCACGCAGCATAGGGCGGAGGGTGGAGGTGAAGGAGGCCATTTTGATTTAGGTGGGTGGAATTGGTCTTGGGTAGATGATTAGATGGGAGTGTGAGTATTGGGGATAGGAAATGTGTTGAGTTCTGAAGCTATTGCAATGATGGTGGTGGTCGTAGAGACGCGCGGGGATCACATGACTGGCATCACGGGCAGAATAACAATGACGATTTCGGACTTATCGATAACAATGTCATTTGTTCTGTGCAACATAGGATGGTTTTGTTTTAAATGATTTGGTAAAAATATATCTATGATTTAATTTATTCTCGACACTCTACATGGTAAGTTGCAAAAAAAGTTGCCAAAAAAGAAACTGACAAGAGCGAGATTCGAACTCGCGCCCCTTTCGAGACCAGAAGACTCTCTTTGCTATGCAAGAGAAGGGTTGCCTAGTAGGCTTCCTTGAGTCTGGCGCCTTGGACCGCTCGGCCATCTTGCCATTGGATGTTAAACTGCTCATTCTTTTGTTACAGGAATTTGAGCAAGTTGATTTCAAAGATTCATCCTAGATCATGATAGATCCACCATTTTGAATCCAATTCGTCCTTTTATGTTATTTCCTTATTGGATTTAATGAAAATTTATCGCTATTATAGCTAGCTCTGCATAGGCTGACTTTGCTTGGCTTTTCTGCCACCCAAATTCGGTCTCTTTGGCACAGTGAATATCACACCAACACCTTTCTGTCTCCTATTTCCTAGACAGTGACATTTAACTTATCAAATCAGGGCTTGCATAGCGATTCTAGAGAAATAATCCTCCAGGGCTTCCAATGCCTGAGCCAGGTCGACATATCGTCGTATATGTCGAGAGGTTTAGCTAGTGATATTCTAGATCAAACTATGACGCAGTTACCAAGACACTTTGAGCTTCAGTACGACCTCTGGCAATACTTGGTGTCTTCTACTAAGCTATATGAAAATCAATTCTTTTCTTGGAGAGTATCGAGACTCGCGAAAGGAGCCTGACACTATGCTTCAACCCGACAACCAACTGCACCCATCGTGATCGAAAGTGACTGGGACGAGTCGTATCGACGCTTTGAGAACGCCACGAATATGTGGCTTCAAGGGACCACGGATGTCAAAGTTGTGATAATATTGAAATGTAAAAAGGGCTTAAACGCAGGAGTTGAGGGAGTTATCGAGGTCTACACCTGCGACACCCGTGGTCTTCCGGAGAAGCGCCAGACTGCAGTACGTATTTCCTTCCGCGTGTTCTTGTTGTTGATAGCAATAGTTGATGGTAACACTAACCGAACTGCGCAGAGCCGTATTTATAGTACAAGGATACCAACCTCGGGATATAAATATCGCTCATGGAGAACTATTTGGGATTCATTTGCTTCCGGATACCAACCCCAACGATATTTCATCATTGAGTCTGGGTTGCCTTCGTGGAAAAGCCAGAGATTCATTGTCTCTCATGGGCCTTGTCCCTGCCTGGACTGCCAGAAATATTAAATCGCCATTAGATGCACGACGGTCCTCCATATCAAGTGATATGCGATTTTCCTCGCTATACACAAGAGCAGATGAGTCTTTGGGTCTGTTGAAATAGTAAATTCATGGATCTTTTTTTAGTAGGTTTCAACATATTCCGCCATTATATATATATACACCAGCTCTTCATTTGTTTGTAAATGTGGATTAGACCAAATTGGATATCAATTTCATGCCTCCTCCACCGTCATTCTGATTATACAGGTAAGTTTCCTCATTTGGCATACTTTCGTGACATCAGATGGACGCGGACAATAAAATCTGATACAGACTATCATATAAAAAACAACCACCAACGTGATTCCACAGTGTATTATCAAAACTTTAAATGTCCGTAATATCAGTTGAGTACCGGTCTATCCCGTCATACCTCAGGTGGTATCCTCATCAGGAAATCGTATTAACCGAATACTGCCTTTACATATACCGTACCCTCAGGCTTAGCTACCATCAGATAGAGCGTTTTCTGAAGAATAGGCGTGCTGTGCATTTAACATCAGTAATGTACCCCATACAGAGCAGCAAAGTCTAGTTCATACTCAATTGCACCAGGAGGGAAATAGACTGGGCTACATCGACAATGCCCTGTAAGTTGGTTGCATAAAGAAAACCCAGTTCCAAGAAAGCTTAGAGCCGTTCCAAGTTTTCAAACACAGCCACGATCAATTCTGGGTGGTCATCAAGTCCGAACAGCTACGTACATACTCCCTTACAGCATTGATGCAGGTATTCGCTGGCATGGACATATGAATCATCCATGGTTGCGCAACACAATCTATCTGACCAACAATGCTTCGAGCCGCACGACAGAAAGATAAAGGAGAAAAAAATTAAAGCAGAGCAAAAAGTAAATTGGATGACAAGAGCGAGATTCGAACTCGCGCCCCCTGTTGGAGAGTAGAATGGATACTGCTATTGCAGCACAAATGTCGCTTGGATCACTTGAGTCTACCGCCTTAGACCACTCGGCCATCTTGCCGTTAGAATAAATTCGAGTCACTTTTGCCTATATGAAGGAGAATTAAAGCTAATGGATATCTGATGCTGGGATGCAAATATAATCGAATAACCACGACAATATCATTATGATAATGAATGCAGTTCGCAAGGTAGAGTCAAGCAATATCTGGCCAAGGCTCTCGAGAATACTGAAACGATATGATCCGGGCGTGCCATAGCGGCTTTGTACGGAGTAACCACTGCTGCATACTGCACATTGAATTCAATATTTTATCAAGTACACAACACCCATGCATGTACAATCCCATAGACTTTAAATGTTGCATCATTCTGACCAAGGGATGGGGAGCAATTGTTCACTTGGCTGTGGTGCAGCTGCAATGCTGTGTGAGGCATCAAATCCGGACAGCCAGACAGGGGCTGCTAGCCCGCTCTGGCTTCGGGGACTTTACAACTCGCAACTCATTCAACTTTAGCAACACCGCTTCGTTGATATATGACAGAGCACATGTCATCTCCTCCAACACCCCATCTCCCATGCTTTCGACGAAATATCCCATCCAACTATCCGGTTTTCAACTCCCGAAGACTGGCTAACCTCAACACGACAATTACAAAAAGGCCTGGTCAGGGCGAGCACACTAATGGCGGATGACTGATGGATCTGCACTAACAGGTTCATTGGTTCATTAATAGCCTCTGGCCTTGTCCTTCCTCGACTATCGCTCTGGACTCCGTGCTTCCTTGGGTGAGTTTAGCTTTCGAGGCGCTCCTCGAATCTCCAGACCGCTCCGTGATTCTTGAGGGGAAAGACTGACGTCCGCGCGTACGAGATCACTCATGGCATCACTCATGCATCAAAGACGCGTCCAAGCGAGAACCATGTTGTCTTAATGGCATTGTCTGTTCCCACCCCGGTCCTGGAAGGCTGGAAGATTCAGGATGTGCACAATGCGGAGAGAGAGAAAAGAAAACCGACTTATCGTTTTCGACTCTTGAAGTGGCGGACCAGAAACCCGCCCTAATGATGCTCTAGCGGTGTTAGTCTGATCAGCAACCCGACGATCGATAAGTGTTCCTGGCTAGGCTGACTAGGTTCCTCTTAGCTTCAGGGCACGGATTTCAGCGATTTGCCAGGTCTTGCTGCCACGCTTCGTTCGTTCTGGTTCGCCCCTCTTGTGACCAGTCCAAGATGGTTATTTCCGAGCGCTGCGTTATCAACCGCCAATTCCTAATCGTGCTGGCATCCTCGATTGGAGCCAGCCAATAATCATTCGCATCGTGGTGTATTCGGCTATAGATCGATAGGCAGAAGATACGGTCTGGTTTTCAATCCCACCGCACACCTTTTCCAAATATCACATATGCACTTCGTGCGGAGTGCCGTACATGCCGTACATGCTGTACGTGCATGCTAAAATTGGGAAACTGGTCATCGCAATGCTATTGTTTTGTCGCCTACAGCTCTGTCTGCCAACCTCGAGTCGATTAGGGCCATTAACTCACCCCCCTCCGAATTCACCTTTACCCAGCGCATTGGATGGCCTCGAAGCTAAACTCAGTTTCGAATGATTTTCTGCCAAGGTTGGGAAGTGATTTCGGTATCGCTGCCGCGACATTCCAGAGTCGATCGTTGCCAACCAAGTTTCAATCACAAATTCACAATGCATGACGATGGAGCCTTCATTTTGCAACAGATGTACTACTGTACTGAGTGGATCATCATTTCGCACCCGAACGAGTCTATTGATTTCCAATTTCCAATCCTAGTCCTTCGGAATTTGGGAACTTGTAAAGCGGTCCCCATAACGAAAAAGAAAAATGGAAAAAAGACTTTCGCCCTAGTTAAGCAGCGACTCCGTGTGCAGCCATGCAGTCCCTGGCGTTTTTTTGGCTACATGCAATAATTTTTATGTAGCGGGACTTATGGCCACTGGCCCGGCTTTTCCTGCGAAGTCAAACTGAATAATATCTACTGTTACGTTTCTGTTTCTTCCCAAACCCCTCGTATACCTCCAATTTTTCTCAATAGCCGCTGCCTGCCTGCTTCCAATTCTTATACCCGGCTGACTCGGTGCATGATGCGAAATATGTGAATAATTGCAGGAGACTTTGCGCAACATCTCTGGGTTGACTGACATAGCAACAACGCTCCTATCGAGCGTGAAACCCTCATCCTATCTTTCTCTCCCTATCTTGCCTTCCCCCTCTCCCCCTCCCTCTCACCCTCGTCCAAGATGCGGGCATTCCCTCTCCTCGCCCTGCTCGTTTATCTCATTCCTAGCCTGTTCATTCTCGCAGCACCTCTTGATGGGCGAAAGGGAATCGCTACCGTTGTGGTTCTTGAAGGAAGAGATGAACCTACGAGTACCACCACACCAGACAGTTCGTCTGATAGTACAGTGGCAACCGCAACAGGTACCGCGACAACAACGCCATCAACAACAGGGACAGTCAGTGCTACTTCGTCGTCGAATTCAACCACACCGGCTTCGACAACGATAGCATCGCTCAACACGTCCACTGCATCTAAGAGTAAGTGTGCTGTGCTTCTATAGTATCACCGGAAGTTTGCTAAGACTAGAAAGATGGTACGGAAAATGAATCGAAGCACAGAAAGCCGGGCGATCTTCCCCTCCCGCCCAAGATAACGCCTGCACTGGGTGTCGGTGGTTTCGTTTTGATAGCTTTGGGTGCAGTTCTGGCACTGGTAGGCATCAGGAAAATATGGTATGTACCATTGATACTAATGTAATGACTCTTCGACTGACAAAGCAATCAGGGTGCAAGTCTTTCTATCCACGGCCTGCCTAACCAGTTTGGGTGTCACTGTGAGTTCTGTCTCTAATAACAAGTGATTCAAGAGCTAATATATCTTTTCACTTTATAGGTTTTGATTGTTTATGTGATGAACCCTCCTGTCCGAACTGCAGTGCAAGGTGCCTACCTCGTGGCTATAGTCTTCACAGGAATCACATTTGGAGCACTGTCTGTCGTATTCAAAGAACTGACAGAAGGTCTTGGGTGCCTTCTCGGAGGATTTTGCCTTAGCATGTGGCTCCTAAGCTTAAAGCCAGGGGGTCTTCTCACAGGAACCGATGCCAAGAGTGGATTCATCGGTGCTTTATCTGTGGCCTTTTATGCTCTATCTTTCAGTCACTACACTCGTCCTTACGGATTGATTGTAGGCACTGCCATCTCTGGAGGCACGGCGGTCGCATTGGGAATTGACTGTTACAGTCGTGCTGGCCTAAAAGAGTTCTGGCTCTACATTTGGTGTAGGCACCCTCTTCAGTGGACTCTTAGGAATGTTTTCTAACTTCAACAGCTCTGAATGACGACATCTTTCCATTGGGAACAAACACATACCCAGTGACTCGCAACATCCGTGTTGAACTTGCCGTGACGGTCATCGTCGCTCTGCTGGGCATTGTCTCGCAACTCCGCCTGTGGAAGGTAATCCGAGAACGCAGGCGAAATGAGACCAAGAAGCGAGAAGAGGAGCAGAGAAAGAATGATGAAGCCGAAGCCGAAGCCGGAAGGCGCCTGGAAGAAAACAACATCAGAGAACGAGCAGAATGGGAGGCCAAGTTTGGCAATGGAGAAGCCAAGGATATCCCAGAACTCGCAGATGAGTCTAAAAGATACCCAGAGATGGAAGTCGGCGATTTGGAGAAGACTCAAGAGGTGGAAATCGAAAGCGTTGCAACCTCTCAAAGATCCTATCGTTGTTCCGACTGCAGAGAACGAGAAGCGAACGGTGACGCGGCTTCGGATCTGTCTGGAGCTTCTGGAGACACTCAAGCACCACACCACGATGACCAGGATGGAGAGGACGGCGTGGCCCCAGAAAATGTACCAGGTGAGACGCCGCTGCCATTCAAAGTGTTTGATGGTGCAGCTGCAGCCAAGATTAAAAATGACGACGAGTCAGATGCTACGGCCATCGTTGGCTCTGATGTCGGATCAATACGCTCAAAGCGGTTTTCCGGAATGTCGGGTTTGAGAAGGATGTCTGTCCGAAGCGGTTACCACAACAAACTTGCCTCTCAATCCCAAGAAGCACTTGTTGCTTCCAAAGATGGAGATGATAGCTCTTCAACACAAGGTGTTCCGGACGATGATCTTGAGTCGGGATCTAATCGTTCCAGTATGCTGTCGGATGATCAGGCAAAGAGGAATTCCGCAGGCGGAGAAACCGTTGCCAATGGTGGTGATACTAAAGAGCCATCTGCCAAAGATGACGCTCACCAGGAGCAAGATGATCCCAAGCAGAAAGATTCTGGGGAAGAGAAAAATGCCGGCCGGGGAACCGACCAGCTAGGAAGCTTCTTCACAGCGGAAGCAACAGCAAAAGAAAAACAACCTAATAGCAAAAATGGGTCTCAGAAAGACAGAGCTGAATCCCAAAACCAGAAAGACGGGTCTACTCCAACAACAAAGGAGCCGGAATCTAGTCCCTCGCATCCGGAGCAAGAAAACTTACCGGGAGAAGCCGACTCGAAGGAAACTCCAGAAACCACGCAGCATAATTCTGAGGAGCAGACAGGAACTGGTGCTTCAGATACAAAGACAACTGGCCTTGTCGATCAGCGAAAGTCATCTGGATCGAAAACAAAATCCAAAAACAAACAAAAGAAAGAAGAAAAGCCCGTGCTAAACTCAGAAACAGTAAAGCACATACCCGAGAGGACGTCCAGGGTGGTTCAATCCTATCGCACAAACGAATGGGCGAAACATTTGTCTGACGCCGAGTTCATGGATCCGGAGCCCATCCATCCGATAGAAGAAGACCAGCCGGAGGTCCCTGTGGAAACCGAGGAACCTCCTGCACCGGTGAATGTCAAGGAGTTGCTGCAAACGCCGCTGAATGCGCAGCCGCCTCCTGCTGCCATCGAAACCCGCCGTGTCTCGATCGGTAAAGAGCCATTGAGCCCGGGGGCAGATCGTCGAATGTCCAGTACTTCTCAGCTGCCGCAGAATGAGCTCCTCCCGTCGAATTCGATGAAACACCCCAGACCTGGCCTCGTCCGATCCCCTACCCAGCGATCCGGCGCTTCTTCCGCGTCTTCGAACTATCCACGATCTCCACCTCTCGCAGCTCAGTCATCACAAGACCTCATGAATGCGATCCCTAGTGCTTCCAACCCATTCCTACCGGCCACGGCCGAGGCCAACCGGGTTGAGCCTAAATGGAAAGGACCGCCCCCTCTCCTGGCAGTGCGGGAGGACATGATGCGCACTCGAGTATCATCTACCTCGTTGACTATTGACCCCTGGCTTTCGCGCGGTCATCACAGACAGTCAGCCGATGCCACTCCGACCTCACCGACCTTCCCAATTCCAGAGGAGGGTGATAATGTACCACTCTCCCGACGTCGTGCAATGTTACACCGACAGAACAGCCAAAACCCACCGGCACACGTTCCTCAGCCAGCAAGACACAGTCAAGTCCGGACCGCCAGCCCGGTGAACCCCCACGCTGTCATGGCAGCCTGGCGAGAATCTGTGCGGGAAGATCTGACGCAAAAGCAAAACCCGCTGGGTTTGCAGACTCCCACATCACCGATTGAACGAACTCCCTCACCATTCGGACAGGCACAGCGGAACTCGTCGGTCAACATCGGGAACGCGATCGCCGAAGGAATGCAGCGAGGTGACATGACTGACCTGCATCGGGAAGCCATGCGGCGGATGCAAGCCAGCGCCATGCGACGCACCCCACCGCAGGAGGAGTAATATCCTGGGTATTTTGTACTATTTGAGGATTTCGGGTTGAAATGTGATTTTTTGATATGCATGGACGATGGGCGATTCCCCTGAAATCTTGGTTTTGCTTCTATTATTTAGCGGTTAGTTTCAGGGTATCTTGCCCACGAGGATTTGACGAGTTGTTTGGAGCGCATACTTAATATTTATTCTTAATGATAATTGGGAAGACAGCAAAAGTCTGGACTTTTGTAGAAATTGTCTATCCATACAAGGATTCTACTATATGTGAAACAGTGGACTTTTGACTCTATTGGCATGCGAAGAGTAATTTTATTTAGGGCTATAGTCATTGGCTAATATTTCCGGTTTTAACTACGATTTTTTTTTTTTGAAATAATGTGGAGCAATTGAAGCCATGACTCGAAAATTCATCAGAGATTCCTCATGACTTCATCTGAATACTCCATAGAAGAGGATTGATTGCCTGATGTTGGAGTTGGACTGATCCATCAACCTCAGCCACAATGGAGTAGCCAAGAAGGAAGGATTAAAATTAGCATTGATTCTTTAGTTTAGGGGCATCAACTGATTTCTTGAATATTAAGCTGATGCTATTTTGATCGTTACATCGAGTCTTAGACATATGGAGTACGGAGCATTAGGAGTATTAGGGAGACTACAGAGCACGGAGTGATGAACGCCATGATAAACAGAAACCAACAGAGACGGCGATCAACAAACAGAGCATCCCTTGATGTAACTATTGTTATGATCCGTATTATTATTCTGAGTATGGCTGTTGTCAGGTCTATTTTTTTTAGACAATATCGACCCTTGGAACCTTACTTGGGCTATTAAGGACGGTTATCCACCGCGTTATTGATTGCTTGTGGCCTGGTTTTCTTATATTTATGGAGTCGCGCTCTTCAGAATTGCTTCTCTTTTTTGTCTCTTTTTTTTTTCTTTCTTTCGAATCTCTTCATCTTGGTCTTCATTTTGTCTCTCATTATCGTCATTTGTTTCATTCTCGTCCAGATATGCAGGTGTAGATCTTCGACCTCGAGTCTTGATCAACATTGCAGATTCATTCACTCATTCTTTATTTTTCTAATTAATTATCAACTATCAACTATCAGCTTCTGAATATATCAAATACCTTCTTATCACTCACTGTCTTTCTCTATATCATTTCATCATCGATCGTTGAATGTCATCGCGCTCAGACCGGGCGCTGTCCCTTGCCTCGCCCCTTTCTTCTCCTCGGCCAATCACCGCCTTCGCTGCCTTCTCCTCCTCTCCTCCTCATCGCCTCTATCTCCATCGCCATCGCCATCTCCATCGTATTCTCCATCGTCAGTCTTGCTCCCTTTTGCTTGACTGTACCTTGGAGGACCCCACTCCAACCTCGCCCATCTTCACACACCCTCCCCGTTGTCTGTCCACGCTTCAAAAACGGCTTCCTTCTTCCACCATCCGCAGATTCTACCATCGCGCGAGGCTGAAGAGATTTCCCTTTCCGACCTCCCCCCGCGTGGCTTCCAGTCGCGTCGTCCTTGGTTCCAGGCCGATCGTCCGATATCCTTATCCACAGGGACATCTCAGAACTTTTCCTTCTCGTCCTCGAGATCCCACCACCCACAGCGACGCGCACATTCCTTGATATCAGCCTTCTCCAACAACCAGCATAATACCGGGGATCATTCCAGTCTTCGCTCGATTATACGGCCTCCTGCCGTGAGACTCGCCAATCCGATCAACCACGTACCGCGGATTACCCCGGTCGCTTTCCCCCAACAGCTACAGGCTCCGTCGGACGACAATCTACCCCTCGAAGCCCACCGCGACGCCTATCCGTTGTTGACTATCCCCGAACAGCGCCGCAGCCGATTGACCCCGTCCCCGAATAGCTTGCTGGTGGAGCGCAGCCAGGGGGAAACCGAGAGCGGGCGCACCAGCATCGCATTGCCTCCAGGGCACAGGCGCAGTGATATTTTTGATCGCGATCCCCCGCAAGAAATGGCGGAGGCTTTTGGCATTTCGAATAACAATGCTGCTGCAAGGGAGGCCGACAACAACCTACGACCACCTGAGCGGGTACATTTGTCTCAGGAAGATGGCCGTCCCCGCCATACACAGTCGCAAGCTTCGCTCCGATCGCAAGCGGCAATAGCTTCGATTCCATCAAATACAGTACCCCACACTCCCAGAGGGGAGGCCGACGTGGCGGAGGAACTGGCATGGGGTCCGGCTCATCCATGTTATCCTCATATCAACCCTCATGTCCCGATCGGGAGTCACGAATATATGACTACGCGAATCATTCGTATTAAGCGAGATTGGATGGTCAAGGGCGATTTGGCGCCGACGTTTTCGAATCTATACCCAGAGATTCTCGACCCATTACTGCCCGAGCATGAGTTTCGAAATGTCATTGCGACGGTGAATGATGAGCTCGTCAAGGCATTTGATCCGTTTAGTCTCCGCAACTGGATTGATGGCGCTCTGGGGCTGGTAACGGGATGGATCTGGGAAGACATCGGAGCACCCGGCATCAAGAGCCATCTGAAGCAGCTCGAGACTTGGCTGGACAGATGGAACAAAGAGGTCGGTGCAAAGGACGGGGTGCGTATCTGGAGTCTTCGCCGGACCGGATACATGTCGTTGGACATTCAGATTCCTGATCCAAAGGTTGGAATCATCCACAGCGAGGCATCACTGCCTGGTACTCGACCCAACAGTGGTGTTCCGGGATATTAAACCAGCCATCGTTTTCGATCTCGTCTCAACCCCTTTCCTTCGATTTTATCTCCCGGTCCTTAAAAACTTTTCCTATCTCTTCTAATCTTCTCTTACTGGGACCTGACACCATTCATGATACCTAGCGAATTTTGGCTGACTCTTGCTTCACGCGATTTCTTTCTCTTCCTACTTATCTTCACTTCTTTTTTTTGTTCTTATGATATCCATGTTTTGATTTCCGACTGTTGATACCATCTGTTACTCCTTGGGAATTGGCTTATCGCTTATGTGCATAGTCTGCAACGACAAGTACTGTGGATTGGGGTACTTTCTGTCTATATGCAATCCGCGGCTTTTGTTTATATTTTCTTGCCTTGTGAATAAGGCTATTAGTATCAATCGAATAATATTAATTTCTATGGGGTATTTCTAAATAATTAGTAGTTAATATACATTTTGTGAGCCATTTACAATGACCCGAGGACAGACAAAAGCAGGAGATTAAATAAAAGCAGCAGCAATAGCCACCGCAGCGCCGCCAAAGAGAGCCTTGACATCCCCAGTCATCTGCGGCATACCCCCGGTACTCGCGCTCGTCGAGGTAGAGCCACCACTGGCAGAGCTCTCCGTCGACGTGCTCTCCGCAGAAGTAGCAGTCGCAGTAGAAGCAGTAGAAGTAGCATCAGACCCCTCAGCAGCACTAGTAACTGACCCAGCCGTGATAGTAACCGGCACAAGAGGCAGATTCGAGCCGCTGTATGTCGACACATGCTTTTCGCCGGGGTTATTGGCACCGTTTCCCTTGGCTGTCTCGGTGCAGACAGCAGAGGTGGTTCCCCCGACTGAGCAGAGGATGGTGAAGTGGCTGGTGTGAGTTAGTTTACTAGTACTAGCACTATCTAGAAGTAAAAGATAGGTGAACGTACAAATCCTCCTCGTCCTCATCGAGAAAAACCGAAGTCGTCGTCGCCTGAGCCACCATGGTCAGGCCGGGCCCCATTCCGCAGTCGTCGCCTTCCGGGAGGGGAGAGCAGGTTAGGCTGTATGTTGTGGCTGTTGCGTCCTATTCATCATTAACATCGACGTTAACCTAGATGGAGCGTTGGAGAACTTACATTCCCCATAATCGAGGCGACCATGGTAGGCGCGTCAAAGTCGGGAATAACCATGGATGTCACGGTATTCTTGGCCGCGGCCAGAGTGGTGAAGAGAGGGAGGAGGAAGAGTTTTTTGGCCATTGTAGTGGTTAATACTGTCTGTTCGTGTTATTCTGCTTCTGTATCTGTAGTTGTAGGGTTGAATTGAAGAAAAGGAGAAATAAAGGTTTTGGCCCCAATTTGTCTAGCCTGTTTGGGATTTCGTCTATATTGTAGATTCAATGTTGGTATAGAATATAACAGATGCAGTGATCATGATGACATCCACGATAGGTTTATAAGAGTATTCACGCAGTATATCCTTCCAACCCAAACAAAAAAGCAAAATGATGGACTATCTTTACTGCATTTTGTGTGGACTTTTTATCAAAGAAGCAAGTGATTCCAAGTTGGACATATTCCTCGAAGATGCGAACTGGAAAGGATCTTACCATGGCGAGGGCCTATTGTACGTGAAGCCAGACGAACTGGAGAAGAAGTATTTTGTGAGAACTCCTTCTCTCTGGAGGAGTCTCTACCGGCTGAGTATGTCTCCATATAGCCATCATATACTCTATACACTAACAGATAGCCAGTCATATATGACCGCTCAATACAAGGCTACCGCGTCACTGGGATAGGGCAACGCGCAGTTTCGAGTGAACTCGCCCAGCCTCCCCTGGACGAATATCAGGCAGCACTGGGCGCCCCAGAAGGAACAGAGCCCGGACTGGCCCAATACACCGTTTCCAACACGGAGTTTTGGTATGAGAATCTCTCACCCAAGAAGGACTGGAGGGATCTGGCCCTTGCCATTCATACGCGGTGCTGGGACCTGGCAAGATTCCACCACAAGTCGGACATTGAGAATGACATGGGCCTGTTTGTGGCGATGATGCTGCAGCGTGCGTTTCAGGGTAATATGATTAGAGATGGAGTTGAGGAATTCTTTGAGGAACAAGTCGCACAGGGTATGCCTGTCTGTCTGTTCATATGTGTGCGGGTGATGCTTGGAATCTAACGAGATAGATAGATCCATTCCGGCATCCGGAGATTTACCGAGCAGCCCAGAAAGCTCTAAAACGGCGAAATAAGCAGAAGCAAACGCAGCAGAAGCCACTCTGCAATGAAAATGGCACTGCCAGCTTGTTGTCCCTTCCCCTCGACATCGTCTACATCCTGTTCGATCAACTGGAGCACTTTGACCTCTGGAACCTCGTCCAAGCAATCCACTGGCCCATCCCGCACTCGTACTGGGGACACAGAGCAGGCGAGTATCTCAAGTACATGGACGAGATCCTGATGCTAGATCTGGACTGGGCGTATTTGTGTTTGGAGCTGGAAAGACTGGATCGCACGTTGTTTATTTTCCGGACACGTACTAGGGTGCTTCAATCTCTTCGTAATATCAGCAATTCCATGAGTCTAGATCAGATGAGGCGGATTGAGCGAAGGTACAAGCCGGTGCATCCTAGAGATGTGATTAATGGTATCCAATATTCGAGTTGGGATTAGGTGTAGATGATTATCTGCAGGTAGTTGCTAGAATAGTTATTGGAATAATGAAGATATACACCCCAATCCGGTATAGCGCCCCCCTGAACTTTGCTTCCCCACGTCGTTCCGTTCGGAGCTTCGCCGGCGATCCCCAAAATCAACCACTTTCTCCCTCCAACACCAACGAATCCCCGTGATGCACCGTCGCCTCTGAACAATCCCCCATCCTCCCCTCCATCATGCTCTCGGGTATCCTCATCTTCAACCAAAAGGGCGAAAACCTCATCTTTCGCGCCTTCCGCAATGACTGCCGCCCGCGCCTCGCCGACATCTTCCGCATCCAGGTCATCTCCAACCCGCAGGTGCGCTCGCCCATCTTGACCCTGGGATCCACGACCTTTAGCCATGTCAAACATGAGAACATCTACCTGGTGGCTGTGACCAAGAGCAATGCCAATGCGGCTCTGGTGTTTGAGTTCCTGTACCGGCTGGTGATGCTAGGGAAGAGCTACTTTGGCAAGTTTGATGAGGAGGCGGTGAAGAATAATTTTGTTTTGGTTTATGAGTTGTTGGATGGTGAGTATATCAGTCACTTTTTTATTGTTAGGGGGTTTTGTTAACTGGTGACTGGATAGAAATTCTGGATTTCGGATACCCCCAAAACACCGAAACCGATACCCTCAAAATGTACATCACGACCGAAGGTGTCAAATCCGCCATCGCCAATTCCCCTACAGACTCGAGTCGTATCACAATGCAAGCCACGGGCGCTCTGTCGTGGCGTCGCTCCGATGTCAAGTACCGCAAGAACGAGGCCTTTGTGGACGTGATCGAGGACGTTAATCTACTAATGTCTGCGACGGGAACGGTGCTCCGCGCCGATGTCAACGGCCAGATTGTCATGCGGGCATACCTATCCGGCACGCCGGAGTGCAAGTTTGGATTGAACGACCGACTCCTCCTGGACGGGGACGCGGCGGGAAGTTCGACGGGGAACCGGGAAGGAACTATGAAGGCCACGCGCGCAGCGGCAGGATCCGTGACGCTGGAAGACTGTCAGTTTCACCAGTGTGTGAAGCTGGGCCGGTTCGATGCGGATCGGATCATCTCATTTGTGCCGCCGGACGGCGAGTTCGAGCTCATGCGGTACCGCGCTGTGGAGAACGTCAATCTTCCTTTCAAGGTGCATCCTATTGTGCGTGAAGTTGGCACGACCAAGGTCGAGTACAGTGTGGCCATCAAGGCCAACTACAGTAGTAAGCTGTTTGCGACCAACGTCGTTGTGCGTATCCCCACGCCGCTCAACACGGCCAAGACTACAGAGCGGACTAGCCAGGGCCGTGCCAAGTACGAGCCCGAACATAACAATATCGTCTGGAAGATCGCCCGGTTCTCCGGTGGCAGCGAGTACGTCCTCACAGCGGAGGCGACCCTAACCAGCATGACGCACCAAAAGGCCTGGAGCCGGCCGCCGCTGGGTCTGTCGTTCAGCCTGCTCATGTTCACGAGTAGTGGACTGCTGGTGCGGTATCTCAAGGTGTTTGAAAAGGGCAACTACAGCAGTGTCAAGTGGGTGCGATATATGACTAGAGCGGGAAGTTATGAAATTCGGTATGTCTTTTTTCAATTTATTACACAGGACTTTAACTAACAATGCTGCAGATTCTAGTGAATACCCAAGTTGGAAGAATGCACTTCATTGATTTCAGCTCGGCTAGGTTAGGTGTTTGGCGTCTTCGGAATCGATATTTTGTTTATGGAAATCACGGAAAGCATATAATAAACCCAGGACAAGCTATCTTTATTTCATTCATGGCATATGAATAAGATTGTTACATGAACAAGGCAATGCATTGTATAGACACATGAAATTGAACTACGGAATGACCTCAGATCCACTACAAATAAGAAGATATTAATAAAGATGTAGATAGATAAATAAATAGATGATCGGATCTTCCAATCTGGTATCGTTCATAGAGTACAGTACAGGTACATAGATAAGTTCCATAATCACAATCTGTAAAGCAAAGACAGACATGAATCAATCACAAGAAATAATTAGAAGACACAAACCGGTGTGCACAGACATGTAGATAAGTAGTAAGCCAGGATATAAAGAAAAGAAACAGAGGGGTAGTAGTACATGACACGGGACATAAATAGTAGTTAAGAATAAGAAAAATCAGACATGAGAATCAGATCAGATCAAATCAACATGAAGACATAAAAGTACATGACAGAAAGATAAGTAGTGTAGTCAAGGAAAGAAATAATCCGTCAAGGTGTGTATAATGAAAAAAGAAAGAAAGTAAGATGAGATTACATCCAATTCTCATCAAGACGAGCACGGACGACTCGTCGACCACGTCGCAGACCAACATTCCCATCTCCAACGAGAGAATGCCATCTGCGACCAACACTCGCATGGTCTTTACCCATGCGCCGAGCGCAATCGTCCCAATCACGACGGGAGAGTTTGAATTTCTCGAGAACCAGCTCGACCAGACGCTCGTCGTCGTCTGCTGTCCATGAATTAGGGTTTGTGTCTGGTTCGTTTGATTCTTCGATGGACGGGAGAGCGGCGTCGGGGTTGAATGACCGTAATGGTTCTTCGGTTTGAAAATCATGTTGCCGTCTATAGGCTGGCGATGGGGGAGATTGTGTGATGGGTGGAGAGTGGAGGGAGTAGAAGTCTGATTGCGATAGACCCAGAGGGAGGTTATAGGGAGCCTGGCGTTGGCGTTTGGGGGTGGAGAAACGGATCGACGAAGCGCTCAGATCAAATGTGGTATCTTCATCTTGGTCATCGTCTTCAGAATCGCAACGGCGTCTTTTATTGGCACCGCGAGACGGTTGAGGTGTAGGCTTTGGAGTGGATGGTTTTGTGACCTTTCGCGACCGGGCGGAAGGTGTGGAACGAAGGTTGACAGGACTCTGGAGACGTTCTGGCTTTGGCGTGCGACGAGGCGCAGGAGCAGGAGATCCATTGAGGAGCGATTGTAGAGCGCGACATGTTCCCAAGAGGCCGTTGCCGGACGGGAGTTCGTCGTCGGACGGGGGAGGAGTCGAGAAGAGACGGCTGACTGGGAGGCGAGAGCGAGAAGGTTGTTGTCGTAGATCGCACGGAAGAGCTGATGGAAGGAGCATGGTTGCGCGGGGTATTCGGGTCAATTTTATGATAAGAAAAGAGTGTAGATGAGGCTTTTTTGGTGGGTGAAACGAAGGTGTTGGTTGTTGTGCGGGTGTTTTGCGCGCTCAGGCAGCGCTGGTTTTGCGCCGGACTCAGTGTCGACAAATAGGGAAAGGAATGGGATGGTCAAAACAAGGGGACGGTAAAATCTAGAGAATGCGCTTCCAGATGAAGCACTTCCGGGAGATGCGACTCGTGGATGGAAGGCGAGATTGATGGATGCAGCGATGGGCGACGATGCGATGCAGAGGAAAAAGCGCGGGGCGAAAAGGCGATAAAAGAAAAGGAGTTGATGACTCAGGCAGCGAGGCAGCAATACCGGAAACGGAAAGATACCAAAACGGAATTTACGAAGAATGTAGACAAAGAGTGGACGTAGTGGAATAATGTGGCATAGACTAATAAAAGAATGATTGAATAACTGAATGAATGAATGAATGGATCCTCAGTCGAGGCAGTGGATGTTCAACAAGAAAGACTAGAGACGTCCTCTTTCATCTCTGATACTCGGGGCGCAGCCAATTCTTGAAGGAGCTACAAAGACTACATACCCTCGATTGTGGCTATTTTTGATCGCAGTGAGACACGAGGAGAAAAAAGCATCAAGGAGATTAAGGAGTCAAGGACAGTTGAACAGGAGGTGGAGAGATGGAGAGAAGGGGCTGCATATGCAAGGCGAATAGCTTCACCACGAGCGCAACTGAGACTGATGATCAACGCACTTTGTCATTTGAATACAGAATATTCAATGAATATTCATTTTAATGAATAATTAATGGATAATTAATAATGATGCTATACAGATGAAGTCATGCCTGCAATATCAGGCCGTATTCACATGCAGCTGCAGAGCTCGTGTCCATCACTGTTATTATCTTGTCTGTTACACTTGATATCTTCTTTATTCTCTTTCAATTTCAAAGCAGTTTTATCTGTAGACGAAATAAGATTGAATACTAGTATTCCCTTTCTATCCCAATCTATTCTATTTGGTATCTTCAGTCCCTTCTACTCTCCGTGGGATAACCCTATACAGGCACTTGGACTACAGGGCTCGAATTCCTCCCATTTCTTCCCTTCAACCCATCGAAGCCTATATTCAACCCTCTTTAAACGTAGAATATAAAGACTCTTTCCGTCTCCATCTCCATAAACCGTCCCATCACAATATCCTCATCTTGATCATAATTTCAATATAACCTCTTTAGTCCAAACGCGTCACGTCCAATACGCGACACCGCGTCTCGTCGCGTTTTACGCGTCCTCAAATACACGTTCTGATTGGCCGACTCGCCTGTGTCTGAATCTCCTCCTCGACTTCATCGCCACAATTAATTATTCACAATTAATTATTCACAATTAATTATTCAAGTTCCAGTCCAACCGCCTGAAGAAATGGAATCCCCTGGCGAACCCACTTGGCCAAGGCTCGCAAACCGTTGGACGATCCTTGGATCATGCAGGCCCTGTGATAGAAAAATCTCCTATCGGGCATCTTATCAGGGCTATCCGTTGTGACTGTCTCTCTGTTCCTTGCTCCTTCGCCCACGATCTGCATTGTTAGGCGTGATGCAACTTGCAGTAGTGTCATTTGTCATGAGGAGGGGTGCGAGCTAACCTTGACCCCCTTCGACTGTTGTCTCAGAACTAACACTGTACTGATTCAAGTCCATTGAGTTTGCAGTCCGTCAGTCAACCAGCCACCGCTAACCTATTTACAAATGACGCAGTGGGTTCCTCCTTGCTTTACCAAAGCATATCACCACGAGCCTCTCACAAGAACACTCCGTATTGCATTGCATAATCTCGCAGGTTGTCTGCTGGTTATTCTACGAACAACCTGGGGTACAGGAAGATGCATCAACAATCCAACATGAAAATACGAACGTGGGATTCCAATCCTACACCATACTGAGCTCGCAAATATGATGAAACCCCCAAGACAGCCTAATTTCATCTTCGAACCAGTCTTGTAAGGCCGATCAAGGACCAATCCTGGATAAGGGAGGGCAACCCAGGCACGTTGCCCTTGGTGTAACTCAAATCGACTCATCCTCTGCCTTGAAAGAGACATGGTCAGTGGAGGCTGAAAGCCAAGTACTGCTACTGCTACTGTACTACACACCCAAAGCAAGAGGGAGGCCATCCCCAGCCCCTCCGACGGAATCCAACACGCAAGGGATACCCAAGAGGCCACTCAGGTTCAAGCTGCCAAAAGTCAGAACCAGCGAGCACGGGCATGCAATGCACAGAGGGTGACTCGCAGCCCTCGGCGGAGATTGACAGATGCAAGTCATAATGCCGTTCACAGCTCGAAATGCGAGACATTCATTCTATTCTGATTGGCTCCTGGCGAATACAGTTTTATTCTTTCGTCACACAAAGTATACTTGGGCGTGGCTGGTAACTTTGCTCGTCTTTGAACTTACTCCTGCTACCATATGCCCTATCGTCGTCTCCTTGAAGGGTGCTACTAGCTTTGAGCTTCTCATCAGTGGTCACTCCTATTGATGATCTAGGGCTGACTCGTGATAACAGATGGTTCAATAGAACCACCCTTTCCTTTTAGTGGATTTCAAATGTCCTGATCTAATCTTACTCCCTCGATCTTCAGGCCTGTATTGATGCTAAGCCCTATGCACACACGATGCACTGCTACAATCATGCATTGAGATCACCGCAACGTTACATCCAACCCTACCTACCTACGGGGTATACCCTTTGTTCATGCATTATCTGCCCGAATCTACCCACAGAGACCTCTGTCCCCGTACTGTACATCGAGTACAAGTAATCTACGCACAAAGCTGCATGCATACATAGTATGTACAACAGGCACAGCACCTCCAACTCGCCACGACGGTTACACACGGTCGGTCCGGTCCACTCCTTCACCAATCATTACTCCATAGTTATTAAGGGAGTGAAGACTGCTGCCCTATCACCCTCCAAACTAGGGATGCTCATCCCACTTTCACTTAATGACATACTATTCATATTATCAACTAAAGCTGAAGACCAAGGGGTGAGCTCCTGTTTGGTTTTGTGCCTACTTGTAGATCTCTTACTCGAACCTACCCAGTACCGTACCCACGTAGGAGAAGGCTACTCTGATCATAAGTACCTAGTGATGAATTCATCAAGGGCATACATAGCCATATGGGAGAAGTAGTCGACTCTTTGTTTCACTCCTGCCAAGTACGTCCCTTCATCATATGACCACAAGTAGGTACGTACGGAGTACACGCCATCAGCTGAAGACAGATTTGTCAAATCCGCCATCGCTTTACTAAACCTATGAAACAGTGGCGACGTATTCGATTCAGCTCTCAGTTATTTTTACATTTTTAAACGCCTGCCTGTGTAAGATGTTTTACTAATTTATGGTGGCGGATTTTTGTACCACTCACTCGTACACTGCTTTTCTTTGTCTACCTAGTAGTACCTACAGGGTACTGCATGTCGTCTTGTCTTGATTAGCCTCGCAGTGCATAAAAGTCAATCGTGCGGGAAGTCCATGGAACTCTAACTTTCTTATACATACGAGGAATGTAAGATTGGTTTTATGGCGCTTTAGGTGCATTCTTTTGAAGTTAATTTGCTCGAGTTTGTAGCGGTTCTGATCGATATATCTATTTGGACAACATCTACACTCCGTCTGACCACTTTGGTCCCTGAGATAATTCATAATACTCACCACATATTCTGATCTATTCTTTATCTAAAACATACCCGTCCCGTAAATGATATGCTGCCACTGTCCTGTTATGCTGTGGCTAACCTCCTCATAAACTTCATCTCCAAACTCATCATCCCGTGTATCACTTTTGGGGCATTCGCCTCCAGTTCCATGATTTATTGTTCTTTGGTCGAATGATTCGTATTCGGTCGGCCAGAGGTGCTCGCGGTGATGTACGGCTGGGAGTCGAGGTGAGACAGGCTTGGGCTGATCCCCTTGTTCCATTTTCTGTGCCTTTTCGAGACCGGGTTCTACAGTCTTGTTGTCATTTATCCACGCGTCTGTGCTAGATGGGATTTGGTCTTGAGATGATGAATCAGAGGCGTTGGTTTTACCGTCTCGCAGAGACTCTGGTGTGTTTCTCTTTCTATTCTCGACCCTGTGATGTGGAGGAAGTTCTGGGTCTGAAAGCGTGGGCGAAAATCTGGTACGACAGTGAGACATACAGTTTCCAAGTTTGATCGACGACGTGGAAACGGATGATGTACTCGTAGTTAATGATGCCACATCATAAGGCTGGCTCGTTTGCTCAACATCTACTTCGGAAGAATCAAGTCGACGGACCTGCTCATACTGACTCTGCCCACTCTTAGGGCTCTCTGATATCTTTATGAGACTGCTCAGATCAACAACCAGAGGACCCTTGTGTACACGGGGCTTCCAGTCTTTAATTGAACGTTGATAAAGTGCCTCGAACTCGCGTCTGTGAGCTGGGTTCGTAAACCAGGAATGGCGCAAAGCATGCTTGACATCCATACGCTTGGTTTCGTCCAGGACCAAAAGCTTGCGCACAAAGTCTTTTGCACGCTTACCGACTTTGTCCCAGTCCATGTCTGTCTCGAGTTTGTCTAGATCACCCTTTTGGGCGAGTTCAACGGAATAACTGCAAGTCACTGGGTCTTTAAAGGCCGAGTCGCCTGTGAGAAGCACAACGGTAACACAGCCCATGGACCATAGATCGACGGCTTTTGTATAGCCTCGTTTGTCTGACTTGAGGACTTCACTGGCAGATATATTAGTTTATCTTCATAGTAAGCTCGAAATACTTACGGAGCACTGTATTCAAATGTGCCGACCATCGTCGACATCCGTTCAATGGTGGATTTCACAGGTCTGGCACATCCAAAGTCAGTGAGGACCACCCTGCATCCGTCTGCCAAAGATGTCATGAGAATATTGTCTGGCTTCAGATCACGGTGGACAATGTCTCTGTCATGCAGGTAGTCCAATGCCATCAGGACTTGTCGAACTATCACTGCAGACTCGATATCACCGAGCTTTCCGCCCTTGTGCTGGATAAACGAAAACAAGTCTCCTGCAGTCACAAGGTCTTGAAAAAGGTATCTGCTACAATTAGCAAGAGACAAATTAACCGTTTCTCTTCACTTGCATGGTATTGCTCGATTTAATCACCTTCTCTACACTGATGATATTTGGCTATTCACGTTAGACCCATCCCGTTGGATTCCACAGAAAACTCACATGGCTGAGAGTTTCCAAAACCTTAGCTTCCCGATTATATATGCTGAGCTTCTCCTGTATCTTCTTGTTCTTCATTTCACGTATGGCAACAATTTTCGCATTCATAGCCTTCTTGTTGGCTGTAGACCCGCAAGGCTGCATGAAAAACTTCGAGTGCTCTTCCTCTACCTGCTCAACAGCCCTATCTCGTACAGCTCGGAGATCAACGATTTTACACGCAAGCTGCTGTCCAGTCTCCTTGTTGAATGCCATATGGACCTGTCCAAACGCCCCTGAACCTAGCATTCGTTGCGTAACAACGTACTGGTCCATGAATTCCTTGGTTGGTATCAGCTCATGTAGCACGACATATCGCCGGAAAACGTGTTTCCTACCTTCATCTCAATCCTCTGTAACATATCAAAATAGCTTTCTTCTTTATGACGTTTGCACTGAAACTGGAGGTAGACATTCGGTGATAATCTCAGCGTATCGCCATTGCTCAGAAGAAAACTGCCACTCCCTTTACCCATCTGATACCCATTCCACAATGTGCCATTCATCGAAAGGTCTTGAGCGTAGATTAGTGGTGCAACTTCTAGTGGGCTTTCTTGATCGAAGATAACAGTGTAGATGCGAAGGTGTTTGTTGGAGATGAACGGATTCTCGATGATATATTGGCTTGTCGGCCACAGTTGGTCAGTAATGATTTAGATCTATTCGGATGAGAGCCACATACCATCTCCTCCTGTCTCGTCCAATATATATCTCTTCATGGCTATATATGAGTAATGGATTGGTGGTCTGTTCTGTGCGAGGATTCCACTCGGACAAGGTGCCGACGAAGCAACCCGGTGTCGTTGGGAAGGGCTGGCCACAATTGTTGGACATTAGGGTGTCAGTCAATGGCAAATCCATCATGGACGTTTGAAATATTGATTGAGATGCTATGATAAGATGTATAATGAGATGCTGTGAAGGAATGATGATTGCTGAGTTGGTGGGTGATTGCTAAGAGGAGATGACAATGCGGATGAAACCGTCGTTCAACTGTCTTGGGATGTCGAGACACCACCAAACCTGTTAGTTGCCATACTTCTTGAAAAGATATCGATATTACAGCTACTATTCTTTTTAAACCTCAATGCTTGCATCATAGACATCATTCATTTCATAACTGCATATTCGCTTCTCTAGGAAATGCACTTCTAGTCTATATTTATTTCCCCTGCATTCTTTTGATTCGCTCTTCAGCTGCCCTCGCACGTCTTTCTCTTTCCAGCCTCATTCGCATCTCTGGCGTCATTCCACGCATTTCTTCTTCTCTCATATCAGCTGCAGTCTTCTCCATCGCACCCAAAGCGCGACCCGGTTTTCTCGACTGTTGTGACTGAGCCGCTTTTGCGGCATCCTCTTTCTTCAGACGTTCTAGCTCGGCTTGGCGTCTAGTCTTTTCTTCCACTTCTGCAGCTTTTCGCTCCCTCTCTGCTCGGCTATCGGAATCGGCCTTGGATATCGGCGATGGAACCTTGCACGCATCCCAGTCCCACTTCGATTCACCCAATTCGTGACGGGCAATACGGAAGGCATCACGGGTTGCTCGATCACCAGCTAGCTCAAAGGGGTTTTTTCCTTCGTTGTTCGTCATAGTGGGATCGGCGTTGGCTTTAGTGAGAAGAGCCAACACCACGGATGAAGAATTGGAGTTTGCGGCGAGATGGAGAGGGGTTGGGCAGCGGAAATTCTGCTGGGAGTCGGATGGCAGGAATGTAAAGGATGGGGGGATTGAGTTATTAGAGATATAAGATATCAGGGCGGGAATTTTGGAGCGACGGATGAGGGCTTGGATTTGGGTTGAGTGAAGCATGGCGGCTTCATCCTCTTTCGAAATCTTTGGCTTCTGCGGTTGCGGCCGTGGCGTTGAGGGCTTTTTTACCTCTTCGCGCTGCTTGGCCTCTGCCGCAGCGATGGCAGCTTCGTCGATCTGACTGACCTTAACACGGGTGAGTTCCTTGAAGCATCGCATCAACTCGCTTTGAGTTGCCCTACGAGTGCTGAATGGAAACCCTCTCAATCTCGGGTCATTCTGCTTCAGAACCTGGCCATCATACTGGCCAAATAGAATTCTTCGGTTCGTACTGCCTGTAGCTCGGATAAACAGCAACTGCGCATCGTTTATCATCTGTTTCCAATCCGATAGCAATTCCCGGATTTCCTTCTCCAGTGCGGCTTCATTGTACCGTCTCAGACTAGAACCGGCCGAATGCGCAGCGCCTCTAGAGGCGTCACTGGCAGACTGCGATCCGCCTTGCTTTCGTCGTGTCGTGTATCGGTGGAAGGTCTTGTGCGCAATTACATTGGCTTGTCTATCGATAATACCTCCCTGTCGTCGGTGGATTTCTGGGGCCAGCGAAACGAGCATCGCAGCGAAGTGGCCACCGCCTATCATGCACATAAAGACATGAGGGCTAGGGCCGGAAGGAGGGGCGGGATTTTTTGGAACGGAGCTGTTGTTTCGCTGGGGGTATGTAGGTGATAGCTGCTTTTTGCGAATAGACTCCACAAGATGCTTTGGCTCGTCTTGCTCAATGTTTGTGAACAGAGCCCTGTAAATACCCAACGACGTATTCGAAGGTAAGATGGAGCTTGAAAACCAGAAGATAGGATGTTTTCCAGTGTTTCTTCGCGGTGAAGATTCTTCATCATCATCGTTCGCCTCAGCTATTCTTGCCTGCTTCTTCAGCAGAGCCGTGAGTGTCGTGTTTGATCCATCCTCCTCTTGTTCATCTTCTTCCGACGACTCTGATCCAGAAATTGACTCATCCAACTCTCCAACTGCCTTGTTAAATTGGATTTCATCAAACGTTGGGTTGCCTCGTAGCTGCGCCTTGAGGTTATATCTATGGTGATCCGATCGGGCATGACCCCGCTGCTCTTCCACATTCACGAAGGATACTTTACAAAGGTTGCAGGTGGTAGATGATGCAATGGCATGTTCCTGCGATGTCTCGTCTGAGGCTTTGCTAACAGGCTCAGCGACGTCGTTTGCGGTTATGGGTTGGCTTTCGTTCTTTGTGGACAAGGTCGAAAGGAGTCCCTGAGGGAGATCATATACTGATAAAGGTCAGCTATCGCACTTGGTTATTTAAGCTGAGAGGAATCCGCATTCACTTACCATATAGAGGTCTCCTCAACAGATCCTCTGGGTTATTTTCCACCGCCATTATGATTATTATGATTAGAGTAAAAGTTTTTCAAATGTGATTGCCCAAAGACAGAAGATGGAAGGAAACGTAGAATATTTAATAGGCGGCGTCGCAGCAGAGCCCCTCGTAGAGACCCACCGCCTTTGAGACCCGCGGGGCTTAGCTGTGGCTTGACGGTCACTGACATCATTGCACAGCCATAGTTGGGAGTCATTTTTCGATTATGACTCAATTTCTGGTGATACACGAGTATGAACAATATGGATTGAATCCTGAAGGCCTGGCTGTGTCGATGTTGACTGGGGTCATCCCTTCATGGCTTTGTGATAGTCTGCGGTTTACGAAGTAGGACGGATATCTACAAAATGGTCGTTTTGATTGGATTAAACTCTCCGATGCAATATGGGATTATCGATTGTAAAAATTAGATTTGCTAATTAACTGCTGAAGAACTGCTGTTGTTAGGTGTTCGTGTCACCGTATGTACATGAATGTGGCCAACATTGACTGGTGATATATATCGATGAGCCCGGTACTATTATACATGTACCACTGTTATCCAGTGTCTTTTCCAATCAAATACCATATTTAAAAGCTTTAATATATGCCCCCAATTGGAGATAAACATTTCAAATTAATGTCAGATTGCAGGCATGCAGTGTATACCTTGTTCTATGTCGAGCTTTATGAAAACGGCCAAATACATGCAGCATGCAAGCTCAATAAAACAACGAATTTCAAAACAGGGTAATCAGAAAACCACATATGGTACAGCACTCCTAATTCCAATCTCGAGAAAGGCTGAGAGATTTACAACTACTATAGTAGACTGCTGATCATGGACATATTCTAGGATGCCTTAGCCCTTAGATAGTGTAGCAGAAATATCAGTGCACATGACATCACATGACATCACACCATGAAGATCCTTACCAGTATCTTCTCCGCTGTAAACTCCGAAGAAGAGTCCTTGCATTATACAGAAACACTTTGCCTTCCTCTCTCCTCTCGTGAAACATGACTACACACGCCATAAGAACACATCCAAGCTAGCAGGAAATATCCAGCCAACCAGATGAGTCACGCTCGTAAAATACTCGAGTCGACGCGTATTCAAGCTGTCTGGAGATAACTACCGTATCGGGGTAGATAAGAGTCATGTGACACGGGCCCGTTGATCGGCTTTCACGAGGAATGAAGAACAGAAGGCATGAATATATAGTATGGACTACGCGGTATAATCTGTAGATATTCCTCTTTAACAATTAATAATCCACACAATAAGAATACGAGAAAAATTAATCAATTCTATACGGAGTTCTCCGCAGAACGGCGGTAAGCGTTAGGCCCGAGACTCCGACACTAGCAAAGTTGCTTACATGCTTTAGTCAGCACGAGCTGGGAATCGCCCCAGTTTCTTAGCGGTTCTGCCCTTGCCCAGATGACCTTGGGTTCATTTTTTCCCTCTGTGGACAATTCCCTCTCCTTTGTGTCGTGATAAAGGACTAGGGATACGTGATTAGGGGTCGCTCATCCGGAAGAAAATGCTGGATGGCAGTTCCCAGGTGGTCCTAGGGGATTCGTCCCTCCCGGGATCATCGCTTCAATCGAGTCCGCAATCGCTTTTGCAATCTACTCAGCGACAGCCCTTCTGCGGTGATAGCGAGGGTTGGGGTCCGATCAGTCAATTGCGATTTGATTTGACGCCATGTTTTCTGGACCTGGGGGTGGCTTTGGTCGCAGCATTTGGGCTGTTGATGGGATCCGGCGCTATCTGGTTGCTGCTTAAGAAGCGAATTCCTCAGCCGGTATCCAAGAATTGGCATTTCTATGCCAAATTAGTAAGTCGCTTGTCTTTGAATCATTTTTTTAAACATAGACGACGTTTGGTGACTAACTGGATTGATGGACACTAGGTTGTTCTATCCGCTTTGATCCTAACTACTGCTCTTCAGTCCGCTATTCAGGCTGAGGCCTATCCGAACAATGGACTGAGCGACTTTCGCTTCTGGAGCTCGATTATTACGCTTGCATCTCTCGGTGTTATCTTTGGGGTACAATATTTTGAGCACTGGCGTAGCAGGCAGCCGAACGGAGTTGTTCTCTTCTATTGGGTCTTCTTCATTATCGCATATGGAATCAAGTTGCGGTCTCTCATCTCCCGACATGCCTTCAAGAATGATATTCCATACTTTGTCACAATCAATGTGAGCCTAGGGCTGGCAGTGTTGGAATTCGTGCTGGAATACTTGATCCCGAAGAAACAAAGTGATTACGATGCACTAGGTGATGAGGATGAATGTCCTTATGAATACGCAGACATCTTCTCAGTTCTTACTTTCAGCTGGTTGACCCCAATGATGAAATTTGGGTACAGTAACTTCTTGACCCAAGATGACCTGTGGAACTTGCGTCGCCGAGACATGACTCGTGTCACCGGATCTACTTTGCAAGAGAACTGGGACTATGAGTTGGAGAAGAAGAAACCTTCTTTGTGGATAGCAATGTTCAAAACATTTAGTGGTCCGTATCTTGTCGGTGCTCTCATCAAGTGCGGAAGTGATATGCTTGCTTTCGTCCAGCCGCAACTGTTGCGAATTCTGATCAGCTTTATCAATTCGTACACAACCGACACACCTGAACCGGCAATCAGAGGTGTGGCCATTGCCCTCGCCATGTTTCTGGTTTCGGTTTCGCAGACCATGTTCCTTCACCAGTACTTCCAGCGAGCTTTCGATACGGGTATGCGCGTCAAGTCTGCCTTGACTGCCATGATATATGCCAAATCCCTGAAGCTTTCAAATGAAGGTCGTTTATCCAAGACAACTGGCGACATTGTTAACCATATGGCTGTTGATCAGCAACGTCTTTCTGATCTGACTCAATTCGGCACACAGCTCTGGTCCGCTCCATTCCAAATCACACTATGCATGGTATCCCTCTATCAGCTTGTCGGACCGAGCATGTTCGCTGGTATCGGAGTTATGCTACTCATGATCCCATTGAACGGTGCTATCGCTCGGATGATGAAGAAGCTTCAAATCTCGCAGATGAAAAACAAAGATTCGAGAACCAGGCTGATGACGGAGATTCTGAACAATATCAAGAGCATTAAGCTCTATGCTTGGAACACTGCGTTTATGAACAAACTCAACCATATTCGAAATGACTTGGAACTGAACACTCTTCGCAAAATCGGCGCAACGCAGTCGGTTGCGAACTTTACCTGGCAGTCAACGCCATTCTTGGTCTCATGCTCTACGTTTACTGTCTACGTCTTGACGGGCGACCGTCCTCTGACTACTGAGGTGGTGTTCCCCGCTTTGACGCTTTTCAACCTGCTCACTTTCCCACTTTCGATTTTGCCGGTGGTTATCACCTCGACCATCGAAGCGACAGTAGCTGCCAAGCGCTTGACAGACTATTTCACAGCGGAAGAATTGCAAACTAATGCCGTTACCTATGAGGATCCCGTGGTCCACGTTGGAGATGAGTCGGTTCGGATCCGGGACGCCTCTTTCACCTGGAACAGATACCAGGAGGCCCAGGTTTTGGAAAACATTGATTACAGCGCCCGCAAAGGCGAACTCAGCTGTATTGTGGGCCGGGTTGGTGCCGGAAAGTCTTCTTTGCTGCAGTCCCTGCTCGGTGATCTTTGGAAGTCAGACGGCGACGTCACTGTACGGGGTCGCATTGCCTATGTTGCACAATCACCCTGGGTGATGAACGCTTCCGTCCGCGAGAACATTGTTTTTGGACATCGCTGGGACCCTCAGTTTTATGAACTTACCGTCGAAGCTTGTGCCTTGTTGGACGATTTCAAAAACCTACCAGATGGAGACCAGACCGAGGTTGGTGAACGAGGAATTTCGCTATCAGGTGGACAAAAGGCTCGATTGACATTGGCCAGAGCAGTCTACGCTCGCGCCGATATCTACCTTCTTGACGATATCCTATCTGCAGTCGACCAGCATGTTGGCCGTCATATCATAAACCGGGTGCTTGGAAAGAACGGTATACTCAGCGGCAAGACTAGAATTCTCGCGACAAACGCAATTACTGTGCTCAAGGAGGCAGACTTCATTGGCCTGCTACGGAACAAGACAATTATTGAAAAGGGCACTTACGAACAATTGCTGGCCATGAAAGGCGAGATTGCCAACCTTATCCGCACCAACATGAACGACTCGGACGACGAGCAGGGCTCTGCTAGTGGAACTGAAGATAGCCGTGGCCTTGCTAGTCCTGAGAGTTCTGAATCCGCCACTGTAATCGACAACGCAGACTCCGACTTTTCTGATACAGAAGATGCTGAACAAATTGGCTCCCTTGTTCCAATCCGGTCCGGCGGTGGTCGACGCAGACCGAGCACTGTCACTTTGCGACGTGCTAGCACCGTTACCTGGCAAGGTCCCCGACGCAAGCTAGGAGATGAAGAAAACCTGAAGAGCAAGCAAACTCAAGAGACCTCACAGCAGGGCAAGGTGAAGTGGAGCGTCTATGGAGAGTATGCCAAAAACAGTAATGTCGTGGCCGTGTGCTTCTACCTGCTTGCCCTTCTTGGTTCGCAAACAGCACAGGTTCTTGGTAGCTTCTGGTTGAAGAAGTGGTCTGACCCAGGCGATCCGGAAGAAAAGAAGGCCCATGTCGGTAAATTCATTGGTGTTTACCTGGCTTTTGGTTTTGGATCCTCTTTGTTGGTTGTTATCCAGAATCTTATTCTGTGGATTTTCTGCTCGATTGAAGTATGTTGGGATTTCTCGTTTTTTTTATCCATGCTGACAGTTCTAGGCTTCTCGGAAATTGCACGAGCGGATGGCATTCTCAATTTTCCGTTCTCCTATGAGTTTCTTTGAGACTACTCCTTCTGGACGAATTCTCAATCGGTTTTCCAGTGATGTGTACCGCATTGACGAGGTTCTTGCTCGTACCTTTAACATGGTTCGTATAGATATTCTCTTTGTTCATTAAACCTGCTAACACCGAGCTAGTTATTCGGAAACACGGCCAAGGCTTTGTTCACAATGATTGTCATCTCATCTTCGACCCCGGCATTCCTTTTGGTGATTGTTCCTCTGGGTTATGTCTATTTCAGCTACCAGAAGTATTACTTGCGAACCTCGCGAGAGCTGAAGCGATTGGACAGCGTTACCAGAAGTCCGATCTACGCGCACTTCCAAGAATCCCTCGGTGGTATCTCGACCATCCGCGCATACAAACAGGAGAACCGGTTTGCACTTGAGAACGAATGGCGTATGGATGAAAACCTTCGAGCTTACTTTCCGTCCATCTGCGCAAACAGATGGCTGGCCGTCCGTCTTGAATTTATTGGGTCTATGGTCATCTTGGCATCGGCGACGCTTTCTATCCTCTCCGTTACCACCGGCAGCGGTCTCTCCGCAGGTATGGTCGGTCTGGCCATGTCGTATGCTCTTCAAATCACGCAATCCCTGAACTGGATTGTGCGACAGACGGTCGAGGTTGAGACCAACATTGTCTCTGTCGAGCGAGTGCTCGAGTATGCAGCCCTCCCCAGTGAAGCGCCGGAAGTGGTATTCAAAAACCGACCGGGCATTGGCTGGCCGGCGCAGGGTGCAGTCTCGTTCAAGAACTACAGCACACGATACCGCGAAGGACTTGACTTGGTGCTCAAGGATATCAGCCTTGATATCAAGCCCCATGAGAAGATTGGAGTTGTTGGGCGTACGGGCGCAGGCAAGAGCTCCCTGACTCTGGCGCTGTTCCGAATCATTGAGCCAGATGGCGGCAGCATTAGGTGAGAACTAGTGGCCCAACGTTTTTAGTTCCTTTTTCTGGCGGTGTATTTTCTAACGCCTTTCTAGCATTGACGGGTTGAATGTGTCTACGATTGGTCTGTTTGATCTACGGGGACGACTCGCTATCATTCCTCAAGACCCAGCGATGTTCGAGGGCACTCTACGCGACAACCTAGACCCTCGACATGTGCATGGTGATATGGAACTTTGGAGTGTTCTTGGTAAGCTAGGCTGGAGCTACTGCATGAATGAGGAGGGGACTAACTGTTTTTCGCAGAACATGCGAGACTGAAGGAATACGTATCTCAGATGGAGGGCCAGCTGGATGCCCAAATCCAGGAAGGAGGTGAGTTTTAAGATTTAGTCAGAAAAAAGAAGAAAAGAGGAAACTGACAGAAAACGATAGGGTCGAATCTGAGTCAAGGTCAACGCCAACTAGTGTCACTGGCGCGAGCGTTGTTAACGCCCAGCAACATTCTAGTGCTGGATGAAGCAACGGTAAGTCACTTGATCAACAGTTTCAGGAGGGGGCTAGTTATTTTGATTGCTAACGGAGGAAACTAGGCTGCGGTGGACGTGGAAACGGACGCACTACTCCAACGGACCTTGCGTAGCAGCATCTTCCAAGACCGCACTATAATCACGATAGCGCACCGCATCAACACGATCATCGATTCCGATCGAATCGTGGTGCTAGACAAGGGGCGGGTGGCCGAGTTCGACACGCCAGCGGAACTGATCAAGCAGGGCGGCAAATTCTATCAGCTGGTCAAGGAAGCCGGGCTACTGGACAACGACGGACTGGCGCTTCTGCAATAATGGAAATTGAACCCTCTGGACCCTCCGTAGACTTCCCAAGAGCGATAAGTGGTCGGGGGGAAACGGATGAGACCTGTTAACCGTCGGGCCGATCCCCTCTTCGAATCGCTTTTCAGTCAGCAGTTTGGATGCAGCGAGTTATTGCATGCTGGACTGGAGACGCGAGCCCACTGCCCAGTTCTCCTTCCTGTTTTGCGCCCCCGGGCTGGATCTGTATCGAGGGAACTGTCTGTGCGCGATGCATGCAAGAGGGGTCTTCCTGGAAAGAGGCGAGAGAGAGAGGAGAAACACGCACACAAACACACGCACACATTGTGGGTATAGGGTTTGACTTTTGAACCAAAAAAAGAATGTATCGATAAAAAGTTTGCGTTACGAAGTACTGTGCACATAGATGTTTATATTTGATTCACCATTCATATGAAAATCGTCGAGTCCGCTCAGCTCAGCTCAAAATCAGTAATATGTACGCCGTCAGTCGCAATTAGCACAACCGTTGAAACGACCCCCGTCAACAGTAGCGGTGTAGGGAAGCGTCCAGAAGGACAGCGGGAAATGATTCCACCATGCAAGAAGCAAAAGAACGAAACAATCTGCAACTAAAGGAAAGGCCCGTCTCAGCCAGCCATGGAAGAGACAGAAACATCGTTCACGAAAAAAGATAGTTCAGTTCATGAGGAGATATGGAGTCACTAACAGGGAAGAACCATCTACGATAGTCTACTAGCCACCGAGAAAAAACCCTTTAAGACCCCGCAATCGGGACATTTGGAAAGTGGATGGAAAGAAAAAAAAAAAAAAAAAAGATAGAAAAAACGACAGTTCACAACAACTAAGAAGAGACTAAGACCCAGCCACCGATGAAACAGACGATGATTAAGTTCGCTGAATCGATTGGGGAGGAGAACAATACTTGACGATGATGTGCATGAATGGGATTTTCTCCATATAAGTTTAGCTTGCTCGCTAACGTAGCTAGAAGTTAGCAGAAAACGGGATTACAGGACGAGAAGAAACGACAGAAGAAGGAATAGACTTTTCGATGAATCCCTTGCGTTGAGCAGAATACGTTTTGTTTACGCAGGTTTTTTCTTCGCGGAAGCAGATTGCGAGTTGCAGAGTTTATCGATGGGCGATATTTATACATCTATATTGATCGCGTGGCAAAGTGAAAACCATCGTGGCTTGTTCGTCTATCTGGCATCGAGGCGATATTATTTGTCTGTTTCAAGATAAGAGTTTCAGCAGCTGGATGGAATTGGTAAGCGATGATGGAGGAGAGATGGAGCTCTGGCACGGACCGCTTGGATGACCTGGTTTTCGGGTCTGTTTGGGTTTCTTGGTTTACAAAAGTACTATGATTATACAGAGTAAAGATGGAGAAGAGTATGGAGAGAGATTATGATAGTCATACATCCACCATCATATGGAGTATTCATTCATAATATCCATAATACCCATAAGCATGGAAGAAAATTCCACGTCCAACACTCAACTCAACGTACATAGTTAGCCGATGGGGCTGACAGCTGGCAACGGTGGATTTGTCTGTCGGATAATCCGTCTCCAGCCACAACCATCACTAGCAAGGCTATTAGTGAGGATTCATTACTGACGGGATCCTGGTATCCTGCTTGTCGATCGTGGATGAGTTGATTTGCTCCTGACTCGTAGATGCATAAAATGATCAAATGCAGTGCTTGACCGACTGATAACGCCTACATACAGGAGTAATTAAGCATGCACATAGACCGTGGTGAAGTGAAGGATCATTAGGATTAGATAGACTGTGTCCGACGAAGATATCATATTATATATTATACTCTGTATATTATCATGTTGACGTTCATCATGTCATGTTGAGACAATGTCATTATGCAGATCCACTCGCGGCACTACCCTACCCAAAACGGGAATATCTCCGTTCCACCCCTCCCCATGTCGACATACATACATATACTATGTAGCATCCTCCCATCCGGGCTTTCTACAGATCAACTACGCTGCATGAGTCGCTTACGTGCTGCAGGCTGGCGAGGGGAAAACCTGGAAATCAAGGCTGGTGGCTGGTGGGATCAGCGAACGGGTTTGCGGTGTGTTCATCCAGCTGGTGATGATGGATAGGAAGCGCTGTAATTGAGTCCATTAATTAGAAACGAACAGATAATCAGAAATCAGAATACTTGGTAAAGAAGTGGAGGAAGGGGATTGTTCAATGGCCACGCATGTCAAATGAATAACCCCGCTGAATAATACATACACATGGACCATTACTTGCATAATTATATAACATATATAATAATGTTAATATAATATATGCAGAAGAACGATGGAGTAATAATCCAGTTATTATTACTATTACTAGCACTATTACTAGCACTATGACACAGAACATATCCAAAACATTCTGACACACCATACAATCTGCATGGGTTCTGCAGAGGCTCGGCCCGGTCGGGAGATGAACTGTTTATCTTATAGGAGTTATGGAGTCCTGTATAGGATTAGTATGCGTAGTTGAAGTAGTACAACTATTGAGTAATATCAACCACTCCGTACGTCTGTTTAGAATAGATTATCCAGTTACATCCATGAAGTCAATCTCATCGAATACGAAGCGTGAGGAGGAGAAAAAAAAAAGGCAACCGGAAATGTTTCATCATATAGCCTACCATACTAACAACTACTACTAATGCATCCTGTTTATTGATCATCAACGGTAAGATGATGTCAAGTTGTACACATCTCTGCATGAGAACCAATAAACGGGAGGAGTCTAGAATTGCCGCAACGGTCTTTTTGTTTCTTTTCTTTTTTGATGTACACTACTTCCATGTACAGCATACACTATCTATATGTGTATACAGTGTGTGTACTATGTAATTAGATGAAGAAGCAAAAGTACAGCCACATGACTTGGCCTTTCCCATCTACCTGGTTACTTGGCCCGGTTCATTGGTTCCTGACAGATATCCGGGTCGGTTAGATGAGGGGAGAGGACGGATACGGGGTAAAGAACTCAGATAGATTAAAAGGGATCCAGTCGCGACCCAAACGGTACTTATGTAGGGCTGTCCTATCCCATCAATCCCTTTCCCGTTCATCTACAGGATACGACTAGTTACGAGGATAAGATTTCTGACACCCCCGAAAGAAAACTCAAAACGAATCAGGAAAAAAAACTTTGTACTCCAGGATCGGTTCTTGGAAATCGAACTGGAGATGAGATGCAGCCAGCCAATGATCGGGCGTGATCTCATCTACGGCTTCCCTCCCTCCTGCCCTTCCAGGTGCGTATACAACCCCTGCTGGGTATGGATGGTGTTCTGTCAGTGGTCGGCCCGTTCTCCCCGGGCCGCAGCAGCCCCACTCACACCCAAGTTTGGGGCGGGGCGGTTGGGGAGTGATTGGCGGCTAGTCGAGTCTAGACTGGGTCGTTGGTTGGGAAGTGACAGCGGGTAAAGTACGGCGGGGTTGGAGGATAGGAGACTATGGACTTATGGAGAGGTGACGCCATGATCGATTGATCGCTGCAACAAGATTCTGCAGCCTTGCATTGCATTGAAGTCTGTTGTGCATTCTTACTAATTCTTTCTCTAATACAAATGTTATGAGTATCCATACTATGATACTTCAGAGTAAAGTGGAAATGGTACATATGGAGTACAGAGTACATCTGCCTAATCTAATAAAATCAGATAATCAGAAATCAGCACTCCTGAATGTGATGAAATAGGGCACAACCCCAGCTGACAGGTGGGTGTGTCGGGGGACTGATCCAATCGCCAGCCTTAATCCGCCTATCCCACGTTTAATCCCCGCCTGTCACATCCATCTAAGCATTTAGCATGTATAACTATCCTTATAGTCCCCGACTATCCTCTTTGTTGGGTTTCACTTTCTTTCGGCTTGATTCGTTTGTTGGTAGGCCTCCTTAATACTTGCTACTGCGGCAAACGCGGTTTTCTTTCTGCCTAACCTCTCCAGTCCGTTATTGGCAACCTGTCAGTTGCGGCGTGATGTACTCGTACATCACTCGTATTATGCACAACTGCCAGGAAATCAATCCTATATAGCGGTGAGTCCCTGCCACGTTCATCAGCGAACATGTTCAACCAGTCAGCGAAATTTCGGTCTAGACTTTCCCTCTGAAACCCCTCGATCGTCATCAATTAAAGTGACTGTGACAGTCCGGGGTGTGTTTGGGTCATCTGAGACACCAGTAGGGAGTAAACGAGGCCTGATGGGCAGGGGAAAAAAATCAACAGGGATTAAAAGCTGATGGTGTTCACTAAACCTGACCATCTAACACCTTCAGGATGCCCCGAGATTCGAGAAACCCTGTTTGATAAAATGTCATCTTAAGTTATTGGCAACCTGATTGGGGGCGAAGTTAGGGTACTTATGCCAGAACTAAATAAATCATTATCATCGCCCAGACCTAAGGTAGGATGCATTGCCGAAGGGAGGAAAGGAATCAACTGCCGAATGTAGATAATGCAATTTCTTTTTTCTATTTTTTTCTTTCATGGTCGGATTTCAATTGAGTCTGACTGAGTCCGAGTCTGCCATGTGCCGGTTCGTTCGTTATGGGAAGGTAGTTAGTGATGAGATGCAAACGAGATCGAAATCAAGATACTCTTGGGGTTGTCGCGGTTGGTTATTTAATAGATTTTATCCTCGACTGGATATTGTTGAGTTGAATTGGATTGAGAAGTGAAGACTGTTTGACAACCTGCAAGAGAGCAAACACCCGAGTGAATATATCTGATTCGACGGTGTTTGTCCTTTCTTTCTTTTCTTTTTTTTCTTAGGCTCTTTTTTCTTTTTCCAGCTTATCTAGCAAACAGTGCATAAGTACCAAGATAGTCGCCCAAACATATTAAACCTACTGCCAGAGTAACATAATTAAATAGTACATAAATATAATATAAAACTATTAGAATACAACCTGGCTAATTGGACGCATGAAACATCCGCCTCCGTTCCAGGTACATAATTCCAGATATCCATGACCCGTCGCGATGGGATTCCGATCTGAAGATGGCGATACGCCACTGTAAGAAATAGAGGCTTGGGAGATACCTGAAGCGGTTAGTCCTGGCTCACTACTAATAAACTAGTAGTCAGAGTGACATGACTCGAAAGTACCGTTGTTCTTTGTGTGAAAACTAGCTATTAGCCCTAGGCTAACAGCCCCTGTCAGCTGTGACTGTTAACTGTCATTCATTTCTCCGATCATTCCTATCCACCTAATGAGTATATATTAAATTACCTTAGATATTATCTTCTATATGATAATACTATAGCGATAGTTATAATAGTATATTCTACCTTATTAGCACTATAAATACCAGATAATACAGTAAGAACCGTAAGTTGTCCACCTGTCAATAGAGATCGCCCCCGTTCCGCCCTTCTTATTGGTGCCGAGTCCCGGTGGACTAGCCCTCGGGGCACATTTCTATTAGATCCGTGATCGAAGGGGGTTGTCCATCGTAATTTATTTCCTTTCTTTCTTTCTTTATCCTTTCTTTATCCTTTCTTTATCCTCTTCGCCTAGGCTCGCGTTTTCGTCCTGTTGAGGGAGATAACTACTTTATCTCGGTCCTCGGTATTACTTCTAACCTGAAGTTTGCCGGCTGTCTAGGTAGACATGAAGACTACCTTAGGTACGTACTCAACCTGGAGTACGTACTGGTACTCGTACGTACTGCCCGGTAGTCGTACTATTCGTAACTCGTAGATACATCTGATCTGTCCTACGGCATAGCATCTACGTAAACCATCTGGTCCAAGCGCGGGGACTCAGAGCCCTGACGATATGCGGGCCTGTGCGCCTCGGAAGCTCGAGAATCAAGGAGTCGTACTTTAGATGTTGATGCAAGCCATCGTGAACATGTTTGTGTATTATACTGTACTGTAACAACCGACTACTTATGGTTGACAACCCCGCTGATGGATAGTCTACTATGTATGGATAGGATAGATGGATGTCTACTGGCCCATGCTTCGTTGACACAAAACGGGAAAAATAAAAGATAGTGAAGCTGGGCTGAATACTAAAAGACTCCCCGGAATGGCCATCCCTGACGCTCTCCACCCCGTGTGGATACAGCTGCCAGTGCTTTATTTTCTTTCCCTAATAATATTACACGCCACCGTGCTTTTGATTAGGCCCTTTTCTTCCCCCGAACAAGCCCTGGCTCGGACGATCTACAGCTAATAGTCATCTGAATTAATTAATACCCGTATTAATTACTGGCGCCTGAACCACTACTGCATCTCCTCCTCCAACCGCTGCAGCTCTCGGTGTTTTTCAGCAGCTGTCGTGTTTCGGCTTTTGATGCGCTTCAAGGATCATCCATGCTGCCGGGTTGCCCACTCTGGCCCATCCCAGAGCTGCTAAATCGAGAGAAAGCCAGGTTCTTTTGTACGATCCATCGATCCCAGAGAATCTATCAATCGCAGAATCCTGCATTTTTCCCTCTTTTCCGCTTCTCATCTCCCCTGCTTTCCCTTCTTCTTATATCCAGTCAGCCCATCATTTTTCTTCTTTCTTTCTTCTCCTTCTCTTCTTCTCATCTCATCTCATCTTGTGTCACACAATCACACCACACAAACAAAGACTAAAAAGTACCTCCGTTCGCTCCATCCTGTCCCACCTTCTCTGCGTGTCCATCTCGGTTGCCAGCATCCTCCCCTGCAGCCTCATCAACTCCCCGGATCTCTTCTTATTGCTCCCTCGACAACCCCGCGGGTCTTTGATTGTCCCCTCTTGATTGCCTCTCACCAGTCCCGTGAGTCTTATTGGTTATCTCCTCTCCTCTGTTTGATCTGCTTCCTGCTCGGCTTCTCCGTCTGTTCGGCGCCAATTTCATCCTCCATGGTGGGGTCGTCGGGCTGCTTCGCTATCATTTTTCCCATCCCACCTCCGTGGAAATCCCCCCTCCCTCTCTATCTCTTTCCGTTGTCTTGCCTGGATAGCTTCATGCACCCCTCCTAGATCGATCAAACCGGTAGCTAACTCGCAGCCGCCTAGTTGCCGGATTGGTGCCTCTGCAGTCAGAACTCGATCCCGCTTCTCTCTATCAGATCCCGTGGTCTCCAAAAGGGATCACACCTTTTCGTTTCTTTTTTTCTTCTAGCCGCTTTTCTTCGGATTTGGGCCAAGTACAAAGTCACCGCTTCTTCCTGTTCCATATCCGACCAAGGACTGCTTTTTTTCTTTCGGATCTCGAAGCCCTCTTATTTACCCTGCTGCTCTTCTCTATGCTTTGACAGTGCCCTTCTATTTAAGGACTCGTGTGTTGGATAAAGCAGATTAGAGTCATCTTTGGTTTTCACTCGCCTATCTTCACGATCATAAACAATGGTCATCAGTGCTTCCCTTTCCGGAACGGGGGCCGTCAAGAGGCCCTCCTCTTCATTACACGATGAATATGCTGGCTGGGAAACTGCTCCGGTGAGTGAAGACGTCCTAGACCGAGCCGGACGGAGCTGATCCAAGCGCCATGTAGTCCATGGGTGTTCCCATGCGCTCGTATCATCATATTTCCCATCCCCACTACGCCATGATCTATCTGGACAACACGGGCAAAGTCAAGGTCGACGAGTCCGCCTCCATCCGGGATCAGAACATGACTGTCTTTTCCTCAGAGGTTCGCCAAAGGTTCTTGGACGTCCTAGGAGCAAAAATTGGATATCATCGACCCATGTTTCGCAGTACGTGGCATTCCCCTGTGATACACTTGACTCCTACTGACCTTGGACAGGAGGCCCCGGCTTCAGGGAGACATCAGCTGGCTTTAGCTACGGCGGATACCATGATGACTGGTCTTCTCTTCGTCAGGTCAAGCGCCGCAAGCCCTCTGTCAACGACCATTCCCTTGACATGTCTTTTGGCACTCAGTTCTCTGAGCCTATCCAAGAGCTGCCTCCCTACACCACTACTGACAAGGTTCCCCTTGAGATTGGTGATACCGAAAAGGTTCTTGCCTACTATGAAAGTGCTTTGAAGCACTTCCAGCAGCTCAACTGCCGTCACATCGCCAAAGCTTTTATCAAATTTATTGAACCTCGCAAGCAGGTTAAGCACCCCTACAATGGAGGTCGACCACCAGTGGGCTCTGCCCCGGGTGAGAAGGGTGACCCAGAGAAGACCAAGCCTGAGTGGTGGCCAGCGGGTGTGGTGCACAAGGAGCCCGACCACCTCAAGAAAGCTCGTGAGTGCTCTGACCATCCCAATAAGACTACCTACTAATGACAATAGAACGTCTTCGTCTTTTGATTCACATTTTGCGCAAGCTTGGAAAGTACAACATCACCTCTGAGAAGTTGCAGGAGGTCGCACACGACGCCAAGAGACAGATCAAGCCTCTGGACAAGCTGGAAATTCTAGATGAGATCTTCAGAGTGAGAAAGTTGGAAGAGCGATACGAACGGGGTGAAGTTGGTATGCATACTCATCTTACCTCAAATCATTCAATACTAATCATCCTAGATTCCACCCACTTCGCCTACGTCGTCAACAGGGACACGAACCCCAAGCCCGAGAAGGATAAGGACTCTGACTCTGTTAGTGAGCCGGATCACAAGTTAGAGATGGACGATGAAGACGCAGAAGACGACCTCTTGACATCAGTGACATCGGCGGACCACACTGCACCACCCATGCCCACACCCATTGACCACATGTCCATGGCAGCACCAAGCCGTCCCTTGCCCATGGGAGGTGATAGAGCCCCGATGTTTTCCATGTCCGAGTCGCTCAGCTTTGGCGACCAACCCAGAGATCGATCCTACTTCCCTTCAGAATACGCTGATGACTTCTCAACACAAAACCTTCTAAAGACACCAGCCACTTCGACCATCGTCAGCCCCAACGAACAGCCTGCAGCGTTTGACTATCTATCACAGCCATCCTTCTCTTCAACAACAACCGAAGACTCACTTTCCCACCACCGCCAACCACCTCTACCGGTGCAACAACCAACCAGTCATTATGACGCCTGGGCACCATCCTTCCGACAGAGTGTCTTCGGCTCGGTTGACTACACCCCCAGTCAAGCTCTTGCCCAACCATCCCTCCACTACCAAATGCCTGTCACACATCCACATGACATCCCTCACGGTCTTCCCGACCTGTGCCGTACCAAGCCAACCCACCTTGACCCCACTCCCTCTTTCCGCACAGGATCTTTGAGCCACCCTAATTTTTTGCACCCGCATCACGGTAATTCTGCATAATTTTTGGCTTGGCTACCTCTGGAGTATCGGAGTACGGGAGGGTTGCACAGAGATGACATGCATGACTGTTTATGAATGAACGACTGTCGGTCTTGATAACCGACCGTTTTGCAACCACTGGAGTTTGGACTTGATCGTTCGCATATCGTCTGCAATCCCTTCAAGGCGTCTACTGCCTCTATATTGACTTTTATTTATTTATTTATTTCCCTGGGGTATATATATGTTCTTCTATGTTTGTCTTGTTTCTATGCTTTTCAACCTGTCTCATATTTTGCACTTTCGATCTATACATACTTTTGGCTTTGACAAATATGTCTTTTGATTGATGGTTGCGTTGGCGCGATGGGTTGGGAGCGATGCTAATATCTCTGCTTTTATTGTTTGATGTTCGGAGTATCTCGTGGCTGTTTTGGAATATCTTATAGACTTATGGGAAAGGCAAGGGCGCTTGCGATGGTGAGCTCATATTGGACATACGGCACTTCAACCTGTTTATTTTCTGTGTTGCCCTTGGGAGGAAGTTGGTCCACTTGGTTGAGTGGTTGGCGTCTTTGAACAAGCATAGCCTTCTGGTTCGAGCATGGTGTAATTATGGATTTTAAAAATTAACATTGAATTACTGAATGTTTCTTATCTTCGCTTCTCTTGAATTTTCTTAAAAAGGCCTCAATTTCATCTACTTTGTGCGAATCGTGTAGTCTTGTATAGACACCTAGGGCTCGAATAATAAACGCGCGTCTAAACGCGCCTGTAATTTACCTGGCCCGTGCGTATTGACGCAAATCCCGCGGCTGACGGAGAGCTTCACTCATGGCCATCGCCAAAGCAAAGCAAATCCATATTCTCATTCAGCCCTGGTCCGAGGGTGCCAGAAAAACCTAATCTCTACAGCAATCTCTCGCACGACAATTCGAAGGAGGTCACCGTCGCGACTAGGTAGATATCCTGTGTTTTGCGCGGCTCCCCGTTCGATGGCTGTGTCTGATTACGGAGATCTCCAGTTCGCTCCTCTCCCCACGCCTCTCGACTTTGGCTTTGACCTCACCCTCGACGGCTGTTGATTGATTTGATATTTTGGGGAAAATCGGGGGATCAATTCGGAGTGATAGGTTTTAATCACCGGCTCACGATTGTTTTTTATTCGAGTGAGGAAATACCTACTTTCGGTCTTTAAGGTACCGCGGATTCGGTCATCCATCCTGCTTCGTTCGCACCTGGCTTTCTCTCGTCTCGTCTCGCATCGCCTCGCGTTTTTTGCCTTTCTTACTCTCTTTCTTTCATTTATAATATTTGTTTTTATTCACTTTCATTCATCACCCCCCTTTTATCCGTCCGATTCTTCATGTCGCGGTCGCGGTCGCCTTTTTCGAAATCGAAATGTCCCTTGGTAATAGGTTTGGGCTGACTCTTTGTTCTCGCGCCTGCGAACGGTTTCCCCGTGGACAGCTTTTAGGATCTTTCTTTCGTTCATTCTTTATCTCGTGACGCAATTAATTTACGCCCCGATAACGATATCGAAAACGAAACTCGCAATTGAAGATTGATAACTGGAGGATCTGGTCCCTGCATTGTTCCCCGGCAGGATGGCCGGTCCGGCAAATCCTTTCGCTGGTCTTGGCCAGAAAGATGTGACGGCAGGAAGCGGTGGTGCTGGTGGAGGAGGGCGTGGGGCGTTTGGCCGGTCGACGCCGTATCAGCCGAAAGCTCCTGGTGGTGGAGGTGCACCGACACGCGGGTCGACTCTTCGCGGTCGAGGACGAGGTGCTTCGACGACACGGGGGCGCGGTCGAGGAGGACATACTGCGAATGGTGGTGCTCAGGGCCAGAATCCGTTTCGGAATAATAATAAGGTCGAGGCGCAAGCTGGGTCTGATTCGGGTTCGAGCTCGCCGTTTGCTCAGCTGAGGCAGGGTAATAAGCCGGCTTTTTCGCCCTTTGGTGGTCAGGCTTCGCAGCAGTCTACGTCGTCGCCGTTTTCGAGTGTGGGAAAGGGGTCTGGGTTTGGGGCACCGTCGTCGACTTTTGATGGGACAATGGTTGATGCGAGTCGGGATCCGCGACAGCGACCGGTCTCGAGACCGATGAATGGTGCGACTGGGTCTGCGGTGCCTGTAGAGGATGGTTCGATTTTGGGCAGTTATAATGACCGTTATGAGCAGGTTAGTTGTGCTGTTGGATTTGGGATCTGGGATCTTGGAGTATTTCTGACCACTAAACTTCACAGTTGAAACTTGATAGGGCTAAAGAGAGGGAAAAGGCAATCAGGGAAGGTCAGATGGCGGATCCTAACCAGCCTACTTCTTTGAACCAGGCCATTACACCCGTTGGTACCTGCACGAGCATGTGTCCTGAATTCGAACGGGTCGAGCGCATTGTTCAAAAGATGGTTGACAAGAGCGAAAAGGTACCGATTCATGGACTGCGAGGGTTTCTTTCAGACTAACGATAATCTAGTTCCTTCATCCTTCGACCAACACATTACAAAATATGGAAACCAAAATGCTCAAGCGTTTCCGACGTTCAGCCGCTGGTTACGACGAACAGCTTCCGTCTGATATTCGAACGCCCAAGACACTCCTTCAAACCATGAACTATCTAATACGGCATGTCGTTGGGGGCCCCGAGCCTCTTGGTATTATTCACAAGTTCGTGTGGGATCGTACTCGATCCATCCGTAATGATCTCTCCGTTCAACAGCTCACCCAGGAAGAACATGTCCAATTGGCAGTTACTTGCCTGGAAAGGATTGCTCGTTTCCATATAGTTTCTCTCCATTTACTCTCTAGCCCTGCCAATGAGGAACCGTTCGATCGCCACCAGGAACGTGAACAGCTCAACAACACAATGCTGTCACTAATGTACTACTATGACGACAACAGAGGCCGCATTCAATTCCCCAACGAGGATGAATTCCGAGCTTATTACATTATTTTTTCTATCCACGATCAACGACCCGATTTGGAAGCCCGTGTTCAGAAATGGCCAGCTGAATTGCGCAACTCGCCAAAGGTTCAGGTGGCATTGGAGCTATTCGCTGCCGCTGGAAACACATGGGAATACCAGGGTACATTGGACGCTAAACGACCGAACGCGATTGCACAGGGTTTCTACGCGCGCTTTTTCAGCCTGATTGATTCGCCTGCTGTATCATATCTGATGGCATGTGTCGCGGAAATTTACTTCAACCACATGCGCCAGACTGCTATCCGTTCGATATGGAAGGGATACTGCCGCGCACCAGCTTCTCAACAGCACAAGAATGAAGAATGGACGATCGATGAATTAACAACGGTTTTATGCTTTGATAGCGACAGCCAGACAATCAGCTTTTGCGAAGAGCAAGATTTGCAACTCGCGGAGAACGCCAATGGCGAACTTTATCTCAACTGGGGAAGCCGTCCCGTTGACTCTGTTGGTACGTGTTATTCTCGACGACGATCTCGCCTGGTGTCTTTCGTCCGTTGGTTCAGTTTTCGCTTTTTCCGAATCGCGGCAAGAATGATGCCTTGCGCGTATCCTTATCAAACTCATACATTACGTCGACTGACTCGCTGAATCAAATAGCCTTCCAACCGTCCTCGGAACACTCATTTTCGGAAAAGATAGTCGAGTCGAAGCGTTCTGGTAGAACATTGGCTGCCATCATCCTTGGATTGAATATAAAAGAAGCAGTAAATTTGGGGATGATTGACAGTTCTTTGTTGTCACAGCGCACAGCTTCCTTCGCAGCACCCAAGTTTGGGGCTACCGACGACGACTCTCTCTTTGTTAGCGATGACGACAACGAGATGCAGACTTCGACTTTCCAGCCGAATGGCGTTTTCTCTACGCTTTCGCAACCTGCTGCGCCTGCTGCACCAGCCGAGTCACCAGACTCCGCTTCTAGTCTCCGAAACGGTTTTGACGATTTCTCGCAAGCAACGACGAGCACTGCGCCTTCACTTGTGCAAAGTGATTTCTCGACAGGTTTCCCTGCGCAACCGAGCGTATCTCAGCCCGTTGAGCCGGCCAAGCCATTCTCGTCGTTATTTCCCAGCGGGAACACAGCCAATCCTTTTGGGGCATCCCCCACACCATCCAATCCCTTTTCAAACGTCTCATCTCCATTTGCATCTCCAAAACTACCTGAAACGAGCCAGAGTAATGGTCCGTTTTCAGCCGCGCCCACTACTCAGAAGCCACCAATCTTTCCAACTGGGCCAAGTATCTTTTCCTCTCCGGCTCCGAAATCTGATGCTACACCCGCACCTGCTGCTTCTACGACGCCCCAATTCAAACTCCCGGGCTTCACTCCTCCGACTACTTCCGCTCCAGCTTCTCTTTTCAGTTCTCCTACTACCACACCTGCTACTACATCTGATAAGCCTGCCGGGTTGACTGCTGGCCAGCCTCCCGCCAGTCTCTTTAGCTCTGTCAAACCGCCTACCTTCCCTGCGACATCCGGTTCTTTATTCAACTTTTCGGGTCAGAGTCCAGTTTCAAATAATTCCATTTCTCAAATATCTGAGGAAAAAGAGGCTTCAGCGGAACCTGCGCCGTCCCCTAAGCCAACTGGGTTGTTTGCCCCGAAGGCAGGTATGTTATTAACAATTTATGGTGTAAGAACAAATACTGACAATGCGACAGATACACCATCCATCTTTCCTCCTGTTTCAACCACACCTTCGAGTAGCATTTTCTCCAGCAGCAATTCTACCACGGCATCTTCAGTCGGACAAGGAGGCACTTCGGAAACGAAGACTGTTGCCGAGACAGAGTCTTCAGCAAAGCAAGATGGCGATGTGTCTACTTTGGAAGAGCATACGTCGCCTCATACCGATAGTGTTACTCAGCCAGAGGTTCCATCGTTTACGCCGAACGCCAGCATAACGTCCACTGCGCCTATCCCTGCCGCAGAGGAGCCTCCTATCACTACCGACGATCTTGTGCAGCCGCCTGAAGCTGAAGAGCCACCGGTTGAGGAAGAGAAACCTATTCGTAAGTTTACTCGACCTGCATGATTGCTGTAGCCACTGACATTATCTTAGTTCCCGAGGTAGCCGATAGACGCAGTGCTTGGATAGAGGCCTTGAAGGAGACTGCTAATAGGCGACGACAAGAATCCTCGGCTGGTCGCAAGAGAGTGTATGATGAACAACCAGAGCAGGAGCCGGTAGACACCGGAGCCAAGGCTGCTAAGGTTCCCAAGCCTTCGCCGCCTGTTCCGCGCAAACCATCCATGGCACTTTCTTCTATCAAGCCATTGCCGAAGCTTCCGATCCTTGAACAGATTGAGTCTTTGACTGCGCGCAAACCTGCAGCAGAGCAGAAAAAGCCCGAGGAGCCAAAGCCTAGTCAGGTTGACGAAGATGAACTACTCTTGTCTGCAGCCCGAATCGCAGCAGAGTCATTGAGAAGCGGACCAAAGCTTGTCCACAGCACGTCTGCGTATTATGAGCCGCGACGATCTTTCAGCCCAGGCAGTAGCTTTTCCTCGTCGCTACCGCTTTCTCGAAGCATGTCGCCGCCGCAATCGCATGTGAATGGATACGACCTTGCCTATGCCCCTGACAACGATCTAGGACTTGGGCGGACATTGTCTCGTACTGAACAAAGGCTTCGACTTACCGGAGGCAAGGGTCTGGCGTATAAGCCATTGGACTTTACACCTGGAAAGAGCCGGAAATCTCTAGGAGGGAAGTGATGACTTGTGAAGTGATGGTTGGATTCACTGTTTATAATTCTTCTTTTTTGCTCATTTGGATTTCAAACTCCTAAATTTTGTCTTTTTTACCCTGAATATTGGGCATTGGGGATATCTTAACCTGTATTTGGCGATGGCGTTTTTCTTTTCTATCTTTTCTATGCTTGCCTGGCTAGGTCATGTTATTTTGAATTTGCACATTGCACATTGCATGGCGCTGGGGGATTGTATTTACACAATATATCATGATATTCAAAGCCTGTCTATTTGACAATACCCAAATTCATGCATCTACTTTGCACTACTAGCTAGGTAGTGATACAATTGCGATAATCATACCGACTATCAATAACCTGGAAGATGCCTCAGGTATCATTACCATGTGACTCTCCACCCAGCCACCAATCACAATCCCATCCTTGATTCCATAACTTCAACCAAGAAACAAACTCGCAAGAAGCGCATATCTAACTTGATTGAAATAACAACCAAATAACATAAGCAAGCATAGACTATATAAAAAGAAAAACCAAACCGCCAATATTTCCGCCATCACAAGTTTAACATCTCATCCAAGACTCATCCTCGTCCAACGGGTAATCCGAGCCCGTTTTTCATTATCTTCATTGTGCAGATATCACCATCATCTGAATCCAACTTGCCATTACCAGCGACTGTGGGGGAAGGCGCCCACCTTATCCAAACCGGGTTACCTACAGCACTATCATCAGCAACGCAGAGAAATGAGGATCGCTACGTTGCAATTCGCCCCGAGACTGGGCAAGGTTGAGAGGAATATTGAGCGAGCGAATGAGCTGCTCAAGAGTGGGAGGGTGATTGAGAGGGAGAGTGATGATGGTGGAAGTGCAAAGGTGAGGACTGGAGTTGAGGGGTTGGGTGTGGAGGTTTTGGTATTGTCTGAGATGGCTTTGACGGGTGAGTACTCCGTACAGTTTTTTTGATCCATACTACTATGGCCTTATGGGGTAAGGTAGTATATTGATTGGTTGGTTTTATTGGTTTGTGTATGGAGGTTGATTGATGCAGGCTACAATTTCCCTTCTTTGGAAGCGATAAGACCATACCTTGAACCGGCTGGAGAAGGAGTATCAGCCAAATGGGCGAGAGAAACTGCCCAACGGCTGAAATGTAAAGTGTGCGTGGGATACCCGGAAATCGAAAAGACGCAGTCAGAGAAGGAAGAAGAAGAAGAAAAATGCTACAACTCTCTTCTCATGGTTGATGAACAAGGCGAAGTGATTGTGAACTACCGCAAGAGTTTCCTGTATTACACGGACGAAACATGGGCAGCGGAAGGGAATGTGGAGAGGGGGTATCACGAACTGAGCATGAAAGACGACAAGAAAGTCGCGACCTCGTTTGGAATCTGCATGGATATCAATCCGTATAAATTCGAAGCGCCGTTTACGGCGTGGGAATTCGCGAACCGGATTCTTGACTCCAAGTCGCAGCTTGTCATTGTCTCCATGGCGTGGTTGACGACGATGGATCGGGAAGAATTGGACGACCTCGCAGGCAAGCCGGATATGGATACGTTTAATTACTGGATTCAGCGGCTTGTGCCTCTGATTCGACAGAGGATGAAGCATGGTGGTGATGGGGATGGGCCGGGATCGGAGAAGAAGATCGTCATTGTTTTTGCGAATCGGTCTGGTGAGGAGGAAGGGGCGGATGGGAAGCCTCCGGTGCGATATGCGGGGACGAGTACTATTATTGCTGTGACGCAGCGGCCGCTTGGGTCTGTGAATAAGGACGTGGTGGATGAGGATGAGGATGTGCCGTTTGACGTGAAGATTCTCTGTTGGGATCTCAAGGGGGCGACAGAAGAGGGGATTTGCTTTGCGGATACCACGGCGGATCCTGAGATGGTGTTTCGCCTGGCCAAAGCTTCAGGATAAGAGCACGGAGCATAGACCTTGGTGGATGACTAGATAATTCCATCCGATATGAGGGATATCAGGTTGTTGATGTTATACCCATCGATGAGTACGGAGTAGATCCGATTCAACAGAACAGTTGCATGGTGATCTATCATTTTGTTGCATCGCACTATTCGTACTTCGTACTGTACTGTTTCCAGATTTATTCAGATATCGCCACTCCCAGCAGTCGATCAGCTGGCCATCATTTGGATAATTGTCATGATGCCACCATCCATGTGACGAATCCCAGTCTTGTTGGACATTTTTCGTCCCCCAAATGAGTCAGGGAGAATCATGACGATTCTCATAAGTCCCGGAAATCCCCAAAATCGGAAAACACCCAGTCTGTACTCCATGTACTCCATACTATGGAGCATTACGTCCTTACATCTCATGATCAACTGATCGGCAGCCCCATCAGATGGTCTCCAACGTAACCCCGATGGAGATTTGACTGTAACCCTTCGAGAGAGGATTGCTGCATATTGCATTTCAAATATTACGGAAATGAGGCACACTTCAAATCCAGCTGTAGAGGAGGGGTGTATCCAGATCCATATTTTTTTTCTCCTCGCGTACATGTGACACTGGCGATGGTAGTCACATTCTTGGTGGGTGGAGATGGAAGGTTGATAGTAACACAAATACTGACAAAACTTCCGGGAAAAAGCCTCACGGAGCCTGGGCGGAAAGTGAAGATATTCTATCTTTGTTTGTCTCACTTTTCTTTTTTTTCAGTCCTTTATTATGATTACCGGGTTACACAGACCCTGTGCTGTAGATAATCTGAGATGGGTGGGAATCGGGATCCTTCGCGTAGTCAGATAATCATAGCACTGGTGTTGATCCACTGCAGAAGCCAAGGACACAAGATGGTCAAAACGTCTTCGCAGCAAAGGATCTGCAGCCTGGAAGGAAACATGGCGAATAATGGAGCGATCCATCAGAAGTAACGTACTCTGTGTACGAGTAGGTTCATCTGGACGGCTCAGCCTGCTTATTACTCCAAGGAGGGTCGGGCCGACCGGGATGGACCAGGCGATACATTAGCACATACTGTAGTCTGGATGGGGAATGCCTCTCCAATGGCCGGAAGGTGATTTTCTGCTAGACTGCCGTAGCACTCTCGAGTTAGTTTCCTCGCCCGTTTGGCAGTTGGAACATGTTATTCGTGGATGTCGACGTCGCAGTCGATCTTCGCGATGCTCTTTTGGCCCGTTTGGGACAATGGGTTTGCGGCACGTGACCCGGGTGAACCCCCCCCTCCGACCACCGGGAAACACAGGGTACCTCGGCCAATCAGAGCGCGCGGACAGGGAGCTGAATGAGGGGAGGGGGCACGGGATTTCAGCACATGACATTTGGATAACAAGAAGGAGGGAAGAAAAAAAAGGTAAAGAGGTATGATGAATGCGGCGAAAAAAAGGAAGTTGATAACCACAGTTCTTCAGACGAAAGGGAGCAGAAACATAATATATCGAATGAGATATCGCAACCTGCGAGTCCTCTGCGAGCGTGTCAGGTGACGTGCATCTTTGGTCACTGCCCCCGCCCGCACCGCCTCTCCTCTTTCCCTCATCGCCGCCTCCCGCCACGTGAGCTCTACACTCGACTCTCTATTCTCTCCCAATATCCCTTCTTTCTGTAAAATCCACCACATCTTTTTGTTCGTTTTCTAAGCCGGACCGTCCGCTGTTTCTGAATTGGACGTTTTCACCCTTCCCTTTCTTCCGCGGTCAAATTTCGAGTTTCTGCCTTTGCGATCGAAACGCGCGTTTCCTCTTGTTGTTGCCCGGAGGCAGGTGACTTCTTGTCAGGTGATAGATAGATCATCCAAGGTACAGCAGCTTCTCTCTTTCAGTCCTCTTGTTCTTTCCGCCCTCTGCCCTTTTCATCAGCGCTCAACGACATCGCGGCGCCTCTCCTGCCTTGATGCTGCCCGTCGTGGCCCGCCTAGGCAGGTTTGCCCTCCGTGATGCTATTCTACCCCCTCCGTGTTACGTCGGTCGCAGACCGTCATGACGCGTTGCTGATGTCGTTGCTGTCGCTTTTGCACCTGTATCTTCCTCGCGCACTGTGCTTTTTCATCGCGAAGGAATATTCTGTAGATGTGTACTCGTGTGGTTCTGTCTCGGAGTTGAAAAGATTTCTCTCCCACTTGCCTGTCGCTGGTGTTGGCTGCGATGAGGAGATAAGCGCGTCATACACGCGTCTTTATTTACCCATGCCCAGCACTTTAGCTGTGTTCTCTGTCCATAGAGAATGGTTCACTCATCTACACTCTCTATTGGAGATTTGATTTACAATGTGCTCTTCCATCGACGTGGCCTGGTGCCATGTCTTTTTATCAATACCTGGATCTTCACTCACTACTGCCAACAAGGACTAGTCACTGACAAGGACAGAGATATAGGCAATATTTTGGTTATTAACAAATCAAAGGAGAATACCTGCAGTATTTATTCTGAGTTCTACCTTGTTTACAGGCAAGTTTGGGTCCATCTGCATGTACCCTGCCTGCTGCATGACTAACCTTTTGTTTCAACAGGGTAGTCACTTGATCATGTCTGATCCATCATTGGGTGCCCCTGATGGCAACATCACAAACAAGCGAAAGCGCGATAGTTCCGACAGTACTGGACCTGACCCCCAGCGATTGAACCGCTCTTCAAATGGAAGTAACGGCAGCATACCCGGCCCAGACACACAGAACTTCACACACAACTCACTTGGCTCATACGAACATGGCCTCCCCAGTACAACGTCAGAGTTGAATATTGACCAGCAAATCCTTCAACATGTTGGCCCCCAAAACGGCCTATCGGATGAAAACGCTCTCACTGCGAAAGCCGCATTGGCTGCGCACACACCCCAGAACAAATACCCCCCGCCACCGGAGTCAGCTTTTGATGCCAACAATCTCACCCACGGCCTAACGTTTGGGGATGAAATGGGCCAAGCTATTGGTGGAACACATGGTCATAACTCAACTGCTGCTGCTGTCTACGCTGCTCGCGAGGCTCAGAGCATGAACCAGAAGCCTTCAGTGGGCTCGCCTGAATGGCATCAGATTCGAAAGAACAACCACAAAGAAGGTAAGTACCAAATTTCCTTGGACTGCATACAATTTTATCTCTAACCTTTCATCCAGTGGAACGTCGACGTCGCGAAGCGATCAACGAAGGTATCAATCAGATTGCTCGTCTGGTCCCTAATTGTGATAAGAACAAGGGTGCCATTTTGCAGCGTGCGATCGAGTACATCTGTCAATTGCAAGATGAAAAGAAAGCTATCAGTGAGCGGTGGGATCAGAGCAACATGACAACGAACCATGCTATTACTGAAGTCAGCAACCAAAACTCGAAATTGAAAGCGGAGGTCAACCGTCGTGGAGACATTGCAGTGAAGTGGCTGCAACGGTGTCGCGACGCTGGTCTTGAGTTTGACGACTACGAAGAATCCAAGGAACTCGGGCCGTGCGATGTGGACCAGAGTCAGATTTGAAGTTCTTGATTCGGATGCCTCTTCGTATAATGGCAGATTTTCCTTTCCTTTTTCTTTGCTAGGCGGTGTTCTCCGCTTCACGGTGCTACGACTTGTTCATTTCGGAGGCTGAGATCTGAACATACCCTCCTTTCGTCTTTCGACTATCTTTCTCGGTATTCATTTCGATTGATTCCGCATCGATGTTACTTCGGTTTTCAGTATTGTGGTTATTATTTGAAGGTACAGTTTGTGAGGTCGCCTCCCCTCTGCTCTGGGAGTAAATACGCGACTTTTTGATCTTGATACATTAATTCCTTTTTTAGCCTGGGGTCGGTTGTTTGTTCCTTATTTATTTTTTACCCTCCACTATTTCCTTTTATCTTTTTTATCTTTATGTAAGCTATCTTTAAGGTTGGGCTGGCGAATTTATGGCTGGGTATGGTTAATCCGGAGGCAATGGAGCCTGCGATATCGCGGCGTGTTATCGGAATTCAACCTTATTTCTGATGTTTGATCTTTGCAATTTCCGTAGTACAGTTACTGATGATCTGATTGAAAATAAATGATTTATTGCGTCTTGTGTCAATGTCCCTGCTGTAGTAGACTTGTGGATTTGCTCCATTAGAATCTAGTCCGGAGACTTGTCACTCCTGTTGAACTTGAGAGTTACTGAGTTCTTGTAGATGAAAATGAAGCCGTGGTAGGCATGGATACCAGTGGATATAGACATAAAAAGATCATGAAATGCCCGATGGCAAGCTTGGATAAGTCAATATGTACAAAGAATAGAAGAACGCTTTTGTCAAGCGCTGATAGAGTCATAAATGATAAGCCGTGGTCAGTTCTCCCAATAGGAGAGTCCAACCCACAAATCAAAAGAATCAAAATGCATCCTCATCGTCGTCTCCTACAAGTTCGACGAAGCCGTTACAGAAGACTCAGAAGCACAACTAACATTCTCCACCGTAACAGTCTTCCCAGACTTTCCGGTAACCCTCACATCAACAGTATCAGTTCCGAACCCAGAGCTCTGCTCGAAGTAGTTGTAGTACGTCCTAGTGGTAGATTGCCAGGTACTACCGCCATCTGTGCTGACCTCCAGCGATGTGACGGGTTCATTGGCGTTGACGACCTGCATGGCGAACCAGTACTCGGAGGTACCGTCTTTGTTCTTGAGGGTGAGGGGGGAGTCGATGTCGCAGGAGACGTAGGACCAGTCGATGTCGATGACGCCGGTAGAGATCTCGGCTAGTTCGGAGAAGGCGTCTTGGAAGAGGTCGAAGTGGTTGGAGTCGCATGAGGGGCATTGGTCGACGATCTGGGATAATGTTGTTAGTTGATTTCACGTTTTTGGTGTGTTTGGGGGTTGTTTGGGGGCGTACCATGGCTTTGATGGAGTTTCCGCTCGGTCCTGTAATGGAGACACATGCGCCGCATGATGCAGCGGTGTCCCATTGGTCTACTGAGAGTGCAGTACCGAAGACGTTGGAGGGGAGGGTGTAGCCGCTGAACGAGCAGGTTCCAGCAGAGACATCGCCTTCATAGTATGTGGCTTCTCCTGAGACGCTAGAAGTTTGGGAAGAGCTAGAGGCAGAAGATGTTGTGGTCGCAACAGTGCTCGTGCTGGTGCTCGAGCTTGTCGGCTGCGACTCAGACGATGTCGTGGGAGCAGCAGCAGGGGTGATAGTGGATGAAGTAGTAGTCGAGGGTTCAGCTGGGGGCACAATGGTGGATGTCATAGATGTGCTTGTAGGCTGGGGCTCAGAAGAAGAGGTTGTGGTTGGGGCAGCAGTAGTGAGAGTAGTCCCAGTCTCAGGAGACGGCACGATAGTAGGTGCTTGTGTGGTAGTGGTCGAGGCAGTCTCAACTGTAGAAGAGCTTGTGTATACAGGAGATGCCTCTGAGACAACGCTCGATGTTACATCAACAGTGCTTTGAGCAGATGAAGATGTGATGATCTGAGCTGGTGTCTCTGGGTGAACAATCGAATACAGAGTGACTGTAGAAGTAGAGTACAGAGTCGTGGTCAAGCCTACCGATGAAGTCGAGGAAGGCGTCGGTTCGGCAGCAACAGTAATGTAATAGACACTCATGGAGTAGCCAGAAGGACACTGGGAGACAGCCTCTCGCTGGACGAAAGGGACAGCAGACACTGAGGCTGCTGCGCTCAAAGCAGTCACTCCCAGAGAGGTGAGGCGTTGGTACTTCATGGTTCCGGATTTGTATGTACAAAGAATGGATATTGTCGCAAGCAACACTCGATAGATCCAAAGATAATGAATGAAGAATATCTGTCGCTTTGACAGCGTATGATTCAAAAAGGACAGAATAACTTGTATAGCTTTTCTCAAAATGAACGGACGCCTGGATGTCGAATCACAGGCACAACCAAATCTGCTATTCCAAACAGAAATGCAACGAGAAAGCAGTTGATGCGAAGAAGAAAGAAAAGAGAGGCAAGAAAAATTGCGCAGAAATGAGCGCTGCCTGGAACGTACTGTTAGCCCATAATCTCGAACAATATAAAATCGTAATTAATTTTCGCCATCTTTAATGAGATCGCGAACTCTGAAACACTGGACTTCGATAACAGCACCAAGCCTGGCGAGTACGAACGACTGGGCGAGCCCACTGAGACAATACCGACCCATCCTCTGTGTGTACAAGAACGATGAATGGATCGTCGATTTTCTCCGCAAGCTTAGCTGTTGAGATTCGTGTGGTTGTTCATTAAACTATCAGGACTAGGCCCACCGTTGGGAAATCACCGGCGCTAGAGCCAGTGCGAAGGTGGAAATGAGGCCCGAAAGCCTCGTCATCAATTGACGGATATGACCAGCCAGGCTATCCGGGCGTCTGCGGTGTGTAAATAGTGTCAGTAATCAGTATTGATGGTATAGATTAATAGCGCATGAATTCTGGAGTCGTGTATTGAAAACCCGCTCACTTAGGACTCCACAATCCGGTTAAGTCTAGTCCAAGAATTCAGTGTCATTACCGATGAAGAGAAAAAAAAGAAAGTCTGATGTTGCTGCATTAATCTATAGCGCTGCATTTCGTCTATCGAAGGAAAATGGACGCACGGTAGCGCCCAGGTAGCTTTTGCTTCCAAAACAAGAGTCATAAGGCTATGGGAGCCAAAGGGTATAGAAGGTCGGTACCGCCTAGACGTGAAATACCATTACCTCGAGTCCCACATAATCTCATTCAGTCTCAATAGCGCATCAGCACTGGCTTTCTTTGCAGCCATAAAGTCCTCACGGTTCTCCGCACCCCGGGGTCCCCTGAGAACATCCGAGAAACAAAGATCAACCAAGATCCTGAGCTCGTCATAAGTGAACGGCTCGCCATTTCCAGCAGACAGTGCCTTCTCTCCTTGCGCCTTGAATGCTTCCTTTTCGTCTTTGGCATAATCAAGAGCCTTTTCAGCGCCTTCAATGAACCAATCTAAAAATTTGGCACTGCGAGGAAGCGCAACAACCTCATGGTACTTATCAGGGCCATCTTGCTCCGAAGTGCCTCCTTCCTTGGTCGAGTCTTCTCTCGGGTCAATGATGATGTTCTTGAGGTTTTGCTGCAGGACAAGAACATCCAATTGGAGCCGTAAGGCTCCATTCTCGTTCATGGCACCGATATGGCGAGTGTATGAGATAAATGTTTGGTCAATGAATCGAGCAAGACCCGAGGAGATAAACCAACGCTCAACGGCCCCTAAATACTTCGAGATATTTGTATCAAATGAAATTAAGTCGTTATTGAGCTCGATCACTGTAGGCGAAGCGGCAGTGGGTTGGTTTGTAACGATATGCCACCAATTCATACTTGAATTGGGTGTAGGTGTCGCAGGTTCCGAGTTGCGGCTGGACGGGGGATTCGGTCCAGCCATCGTTCTGGCTAGCATATGAATGACACCGCATCGGATATCAATGTGCAGAGCAAAAAGAGCATTAGAGCCGAGACTGCGCATTGACTCCATTATTGTGTCAAAGGCATCAGCAGTTTCTTGGTTGAGCGGTAGATATATCGGTGGGCTAAGGTTATCGCGCTGTGGTTTCATTGCACCGATGAGAGTCCATCGACGGGAGTTTGGTGTATTCTCGGATTGCGACTTTCGCGACTCAGCGGCTGTTGTTGTAATCCGGCGCAACTTTACCAGATGGGTTGCGAGCCATTGCTGGAGTAAAATCAGCCGTCTGTATCATGAAAAGGTTGTATAAATTGTATAAACCTACCGTACTATTGCAAAGGAGCGACAGAGATACCACGGTCTTAGGGTCAGATATGATGTCGTACGGCTCCAAAGACACTTTGTCGGTTTGCTCAATGAGAAGGTTAATTTCCTAGGTTTGTTAGAAACAGATGGCTCTATGATAAAGGGAATACCATGATGGGCGCTCCTACTTTGTCTAGAAGCTCTCGTTTATTGCCACCAGCTCCCTTCCACAGTTCGCTAACAGTATCGTGGATAGGGCCCGATTCAGCAAATGCTGCAGCTGCCTTGAGTCGGACTCCTCCTTCCTCCCGAGGGGACACCTTGGTCACGATTGCTAGAAAAGGCATTAGGGGGTTGCTCTAGTAGCACTGCTTGAATGATCTCTTACATTTATACCAACCACAACATTTATCATAAAAGGTCACCATCTGGGTGATGAGAAGCTGTGAGAAAGCTTGATCGTGTGGTATGCTGGATAACAATTTGCAGAACTCCTTGACGATCGAGTAGAATTTAACCGCCCCCTGATACAATTCACCGTTAGCAAAAACAAGCCAGGTTTGCAAGGTCGAATACTTGCCTTGAAAATCGGCCGAGGGGAAACCTTGGCCCAGTGAGGGTCTTCTGTGAAAGCATCTGTTGCAATGAAGCAGAGAGTACAAAGATCCGTGACAGTGTCATCAAGTTGAGGAAGGAAAACATTGACCATAAAGTCGTCTAGGAACGAGGTCAAGCTACTCATGGCAATGTCAGAATCCACAGGGACGATGTCCTTCAGCCGTTGGATGAAAGAGATCGAAGGTGGGAGGAGAAGACCCATATTGAACACGCTCGGTTCGATGAGAATCTTATGGCCTGTCCCTGAGTTTCCTTGCTTAGACTGGGATGTTTCAAGTGCGGCAGTCTTTTGTCTTGACTTTGATACCAATCCAGGAACCGAGGACCGGAGTATCTCATCCAACTCATCCTCTTCAGCTTTCATGTCCGTGTTTCCGTTTAATTCTGACAGCTTGAACATTTTCTGCGGCGTGTTAGCCACTACCGAGCCCCGCACTAGGTGCTTCACTGCACATACCTTGTTCTTATCTCTATGCCCCGAGAGCAGGTTACGTCTATGGTCAATTTCCTCTTCTCTCGGACGGAAGGACTCCTCCCCATCCGTGGCCAGGTAATCATGCATAAGGGATCGGATCTAGCAGTTTTCAAGACTCGTCAGATATACTGTCGACAGAAAGTTTCACGATAAAATTGTATGCTTACCTCACTTTGGTATAGCTTCCATAGTTCCTTAAAGCCACCCGCCAGGGCACTGCTTTTAGGGATCCCTTCGCGTTCCACAATAGCTGCGACCACGTCATGGACAACTCGGTGTCCTTCGGCAATAGCCTCAAATTTGGCATAGAGTGCCAATAGGAATTCTGATAGCACATGGCCGCGTTTTTCGATGATTTCTGTCGGTGAATTTATCTTGCTATCCTGGGAGGTAAAGCCCCGAGCTGAATTCGGATGGCGCGCATCAACTTCCGCGTTTGTCTTATCAACCACAGCAAAAAGTTCAACGGGAAGCCGCTGTTCAATGCGGTCAACAGCTATATCCAGGTGACCCATCTTATTCAGCGATTCAATTAGCAGTTGGATGTAGTAAAAGGTATCGGCTTCGGGGTTCCGGGAAGCATCATCGATCATGGGCGAAGAGGCATCCATCTTTGCCAGGAATCCGTAGACAGGCCTTTCCCATGACCCTGCACTATTCCAATTGGGAGGAGTTGCGCCTCCACTATTTTCTCCCTCTGATGACGGGGGTTTCCACCGATCCGAGCAATAAGGGGACTTGAGATACAAATGGTCATGCAATTCCTCAATCAGAATATCAGTGATTGAGATTTCTTGATTGCTGAAATAGGCGCGAATATCTGCGAGTGCACCGATGTTCTCAAGCTCGGAGCGACGTAAGAGTCGGAATGCATCATGAAGTACTTCAACCGCAGCAAGGAATCTCTTGTCAGATATCAGTGATTCCAGCTTCTCGGGGAGTGATTGAATTTCTTGGATCTGCGTGAAAAGCTGTATGATATCGTCATATTTCTGCGAGGAGGTGGCCAGCCCCTTCAACTCAGGCTTGGTCGATAGCAACCCAGACTTTGCCTCGTCAAGTGCGTTCCTCAGGCCACGTACCCGACTCTGTGAGCTCTGGATACTCGATTGGATCTTGTGATATGTACCGATGGAACTGTTGAATCCCTGATGATGTTCTAGCAAAGAAAGCTTCAGTACAGGTCCAACAACAGGCACTTTAGTTCGTTTATAGCAACCAACCGTTCACAATAGATTTCAACGTCCTTTGGATCTGATCATGTACATCCAAGAAATTGGGCTCGCGATCGGCTTTCCCCAGTGTACTGGTATCCATCAACTGCAGAGCGACTTGTACCGGTACGCAGTCACCGGAATTCATGAAATCCCATTCACTTTGGATAGATTGTAGAACATCTGTAAAAAAAAACCCCCCGAGACATTAGCAAATATTCAAAAACCTAGAACGATCCTTTGCGGATCTATTGTGCAACGGCCTCCCAACCTTCGATAGCCTGCGGTCCCCTGGCATTGCTGCCGCCGCTGGTTCCATCGGGACGTTCTCTCTCCCGGCTCCTGCTCGTGGCCAACCAGCTAGTTTCCCCCTGCTGACGGCCGTCCCGTGAGCCCTGCATCCTTCTATCCGTATCCGCGTCTCTTGTCTGCGATCGCGATGAGGACTGCTGTTGCCAGTCTCGATCGCTTCTTCCCCGACGCCCGTCGGGCGATTGGGTGGGCGACAAAGACTGTTGTGATGCTTCAGGATAGAATCCACCATATCCGCCCGGACGAAGGCTTTGGCCTGCTCCTGATCCTGCTCCTCCCCCTCCTCCATATCCATTGGCTCCTAAGTTATTGCTGCCACTGTATCCGCCATCGCTGCGGTCGTATCGGCCGGTGTCGGAATACCCGTATCCGTTGGCGTAAGGACTTCTCCCACTCATAACAATATCGCAGGTCTTGAGATTCAATATATAAGGACGGTTCGAGATCAAATGTTGTCTTGCGGTGGGCGAACGTCGACGGGCTGTACGTGTAAAGATCCAAGTCCAGCTTCAGGTCCTGACACTGTTGTTGTACTGTACGTCAAACGGCAAATAAAACGCGCATTATTGTCCTGCGGATATACGTAGTGCTCTTGTATGGAATCGCCGAATATGCGATTGCAGTTATGGATGTTGCGATATCAGTCAAAAAGGTGTTGGAGAGGTTGAGGGGCAGTTCCTGGGCCATGTTACATGAGACTCCGAACTGGAAGTCAAGGTGTCGCTCCCGTTTCTCCACACAAGCTTCCCGAATGGCCAGCCACATTCCGCAACACAACATACAAACAGGTACGTATTGGGGCAATTATCCTTATAATAAGTTTAAGAAAGACTCAAAAATATCTATATTTCGTTGGTATATCTAATCCTCAAAAAAACATTACTGACTAAAATGAATCCTAGCGCAGGTCAAGGTCCTGGTCAAACAACCTGTCCCGCTAATATCTATGCATTGCCCCGAATCTCCTCAAGCTTATTTAGAAATGGGCTGGGTCTCCCGCTTGAGCCAGTTCCGCGTGTATTCGTCGTTTTCAAAGTAGTGGTGAGTCTTTTCCCAGATCTCTGTGTGGTAGTCATTCACCCATTTGATCTCGATGTCGCTCAGGAGAGATGGTTCAATCAGATTACGACCGATAGGAGTCATGGTGACATGCTCGAAGCCCAACCACGGCTTATCGCCAAATTTGTGAGTCGTTTGCACTTCACGCGCCATAATGACATCTATAAATGGAGGGTCAGTTCTGCAAGGTTGTAACACTGGCTTCAATAGGACACATACTCTCGATCCGAATACCGAATTTGCCGTCTTCATAAAATCCGGGTTCTATATCTGTCAGCGTTGAAGCAGAAGTGAGCAAGTAATAGTGTATTACCGTCAGAGATGACATTGCCAGGAGCAATGGGAACCTCAGTGTACTGAACACGGGTGCCGATACCCATGGGGCCTTCGTGGACATTCTAAAGTTGGTTAGACAGCGAGGTACAGGATCAATAGATGTTTTCCTTACCAAGTAAGAGCCAATTCCGTGGCCAGTACCGTGGAGGAAATCAAGACCTTCTTTCCACAAGAATTGTCTGGCGAGAACGTCAAGCGCAAAGCCGCTGGTACCCTTAGGGAAAACGGCAGAATCCAGAGCAATGAGACCCTTCAGCACCAAAGTGAAAGCCTTCTTCTCAAGATCAGTAGGCTTTCCAAAGTGAAATGTTCTGGTCACATCGGTAGTTCCATCGAAATACTGGGCACCGGAGTCACAGAGATAGATGGCGTTGGGATCAATGATTGAGCAGCTTCCTTTCTCAGGCTTGTAATGAATGACTGCACCGTTAGGGCCTGTGGAGGAAATTGTGTCGAAAGAAAGACCGGCAAAGAGCTCGTGCTTGGACCGGATTTGTTCGAGCTTGTCTGCAGCATCCACCTCATCAAGGGTCGTTTTTTTGTTAACCAATTCATTCTCAAGCCAGGCAAAGTATTCAGTCAGCGCAGCTCCATCTCGAACGTGACAGGCTCTCATTCCTGCAAGCTCTGTCTCATTCTTGACTGCTTTGGCATCACCAATGGGGCTGCGAGTTTCTTCAGTTTGCTCTTCACCACCCAGGTTGAGGCTAAGCGCCCACGAGGCTTTGTTCGACAGCAAGAATTTGGATTCTGCCTCTCCAGCAGCCTGCTTTCTGGACTCACTGAGTGCTTTGGCATCCGCGAAGATAGAATCATACGGCTTGATGACAACATCTTGGCCCAAGTGGGCTTTAACCTCTGGAGTCAGTTTGTCGTCATCGACGTATAATTCAGCTGTGGTGGGTGTGATGACAGCATATGAGAAGAACACTGGGTTGTAAGGAATGTCACTTCCTCTCAAGTTGAACAACCAAGCAATTTCATCGAGCATGGAGATAATGAAACCGGCCTTCTTTCTGCTCTCTAACTCCTTACGCAATTCGCTGATTTTCTCCTGGAAACTTGTGCCCGCAAATTTTTCCGGATGGACCTTGACCAGCTCCCTTGGGCGCACCGGTCTATCCTTGCCCCAAACCAAATCGACAAGATTCTGCTGAACACCTGCGAAAGACGAGCCGTTTTTCTCGAGGGTCTCGGCGAGTTTACGCGCGCCCGCTGCACAACATGAGCATTATTTTCCAGCCCAATATTGAGAGTACCCCATTTACTTACAGGCCGTAATCAGAGAAGGGTCCACGCCGACGACCTTACCACCCTCAGCCTGCTCGGTAGTCCTTGGAACAATACTCAGCTTCCTGGTCTTAAGATATTTGTGGATTGTCACGAGCCATACCATTCCTGCCATGTAGGGACACCTTCAACTCCCCGCTTCAGGAGCAACCAATTGCTGTCGAGCTGCTTGGCAGCCTGATTGAAGTATCGTCCGTCGGTGGACAGGGCTGCCTTGCTCATTGAGACAATAGCCGTGCCTGCAGACCCCGAGAAACCAGAGATGAACTCTGCAAGGAAAAAGTGTAAGCGGTGTCCGAAAATAACCGTACGCGACAGAGAAGGACGAAATTCTAACCTCGACGACCGTCGCAAGGAGCAATGTATTCCGACTGATGACTATCTTCTGATGGAACGACTTTGAAAACGGTGAGAATGAGACTTGATTTGGGAGTTAAGATGAGGAAATGGGTTATATGATGTCATACTATATACATCAACTTTGTTCTCCTGCATCAACTGCCTCAACCTAGCCAGGCGATCGGAAGTGTTCACGGTCCCCATATCGACAGTGTAACGTGGAACGGAGATAGAAAAGAATCTTGAGCGAGGGATGGATAACTGGTGAATAGACCGGAAAGACGAGGACCAACAAAGGCGAATTGGAGGGCGGGAAAAGAGCATCGAGTGGTGATATTGAATGCAGGTGTCCGACTGAAGGATGACCGGAATTCACACACAACAAGCACAACCCCTTGAAGGAGGTAGCACAAAAGAAAAGCAAGGATTGCTGGGATGGGAATGAGGGGGGTTAAAGTAACAGAGCCCAAATTGAAGGTCGCGTGTGCGGCGTGGAAACTGGCAGATGGTGGAGAGGCAGGATTGGGCGGTTAGAGCTAGCTGCTTCGGATGAGTTGTTCGCAACCTAAGGAAGCTGGAGTAGCAGTGTCAATACAGTACGCTACAGCTGTCAGAGCTCGAATGTATGGGATGTTACCGTAAGTTACCAGTAGCAGGGTATGTTACTGTAATAGGTACGGCTAATACAGTACCGTCCCGTGACCAGGATACAGATATCTCGGGATTTCAGCTTCTTGCATGGGACAGAAAGAAACCATTTGTTTATTTATAAATTCTGTAGATATTTTATTTTCTGTTACTATTGTTTCATGCAGCCAGGTAGATAATATTGTTAGAAAGAATGGCAGATTATAGGCCTGTGGCTTAAAAACGAGCAATTCCCTTTTTGGCTCAGGCTGTGTCTTGTCTCACATGCAGGTGAAATACCAGGCCTTTCCTCTTGTCCCCCCTCCCACCTTTCTCTCCCAACTCAACTTTTTTTTTCTTCCCCTCCATCCCACCTTCTCACCGCCTTACATTTCAGTGATAGTGTTATCAACACGTGACATCTCCTTTACACTATCCACCATTATCTATATCCATATCATATCCCTTTCACGAAGGCTATCATTATTTCGGCCATGTCTACGGACGTTCCAGGCCAGGCCTCAGATCTGGAGCTCCTTGTCAATGAGGCAAGGACAGTAAGTTTAAAATTGAACCCTCAACCATCCAGCAAGTCTAACAAATAATTCTTCAGCTTGTGTCTCAGCTCTATGACCCGGCCAATGCTGGTAACCCCGCGAAGATCAAACTTATCCAGGAACATCTCCAGGTCCTTCAAAAAGGTCCCCAAGCGTGGCTAATTGCCAATAGCCTTCTGGGCCATGAAAATACTGATTTGAGGTTCTTTGGGGCTCTGACCTTTACGGTTAAAATTAACCAGGACTGGTGTGCTCCTCTCCTCTTGCTCTTCTGTGTTCATTTCTTCCATAGATTCCCCGGTGCCTGGCGGATTAAACGGCTAACTTTTCTCCCACTCCAGGCAGCAGTTGAATGAGAGTGAAGCCCAAGAGCTTCTAGGACGGTTGATAGACCATTATGTGTTTCTAGTTAATGGAGGCGAGCGACCTTTGGTCATCAGAAAGCTTGCTTCCAGCTTGGCGACTATTTTTCTCAAGCCAAGTGCTCCTTGGACTCGTGCTCTTCTAAACGTGGCTGCTTCTTTAGCAAATGGAAAGTATCTCTCCGAAGAGCAATGCCAATCTATTGATTTGGAGACTGCCGTTCTTCCTGCCATGTCCGAAAAGCAAGTGGTGGCATTGCTCTACTTCTCAAACACTCTAGCAGAAGAGTTCAATAAATATGGCTCAGAAACTCGGCGAAGTGCAGAAGGTCACCGTGTGGCTAAGAATGTGAATGATGCCTTTTGCCTTGCTGGATTCGTTCTACGCCATCTTCTGCAACAGGAAGCATCTGGGAGTCCTGTTTCCGATGCAGCACCAGGGGTGGAAGCCATCAATTCTTACCACGTAAGTTGACTTCTAGAGTTCTCAGATATGTTCTTTGCACTGACTTCAAAATTAAGTCATGGATTTGTGTTCGAGGAACGATCCAGATGCGCGAAACCATATCGGCCTCGGACCTTGAATCTACCACGAGCTACATAATCCAGAGTCTAAAGGCTTTGAGTCTTTCTAAGGCGGCAGCTCAAGTCTTGATTGAACTGATAGACTGGCGTGACAGTATTTTCAGTCAGGATCACATTCATTCGATCTTAGAATTTATCATCAGCGATTTTGGTGCTGCCCATGTTTCTTCTCTCATGGAAGGTGACTTTGAAGACGAGAACATGACATTCTTGGAACTTGTACTAGCATATGCGGCCATCAAACAGCGAGAACTCTTCACCGGCACCCTTGACCCAGAGCATGAGAAAATTCTAACGCTTCTTCATACTCTTTTCAAGGCTCCTGGATATGCAGCAGTCGACGACTCGGCATCACCGTTGGTCCTTGAATGGTGGACTGAAGTTGCTGATGATCTCCAAGAGATATTTTTCGTGGCAGAGGAGACAGACGGTTTTGATCGTGCTAAACAGAATCTGGCCCGTGCCGCTCTAGACTGCTTCGAAAAGTTGAAGTACCCGAATTCTGAGGAGCTGAAAGATTGGAGTGATGATGATCGTAGTGAGTTTGGCTCGTTTCGCCGAGACGTTTGCGATTTTCTCCTGGCTGTCTATCCGATGCTAGGAGTTGAGTTGGTTCAGGTCTTCCAGGAACGCGCGAGGTCATCTCTAGCAAATCAGGACTGGAAAACATTCGAGGCTGCGATTTTCTGTATCGCTCAGCTTTCTGAAGCTGTTGACGAAAACAAACACGCCGACGAATGTTTGAATGTGATTTTCTTTTGTGATGAATTTGCACGTCTATGTGGAGGGGAGGGTGTGAAAATTCCAGACAAAGCTCGCCAAACATTGGTGGACATGCTTGGAAAATACCAATCGTATTTTGAACGCACCCATGCTTTACTTCCTCGAGTTTTGACTTTTTTGTTTGCATCACTTGACGTCGCTCCATGCGCTCCTACAGCGTCCAAATCTATTTCTCATCTCTGCAAATCATGTCGCAACGCTCTCACTTTTGAACTGCCAGCATTCATGGATCAATTTGAAAGCTTTCGGTTCAAACCTACAGCCACAGCCCTCACAATGGAGAAGGTTCTGGAGGGAATCGCTGCTATCATACAAACTCTTCCCGCAGATGAGGAAAAAGCACAATTTCTCGAGAGGATTTTGCATTTTTTTTTGGAGCAAGCGAAGTTGGCTCGAGATGAGGCTGTTCGAGGTTTGATAGAGCCAGCTCACGCTCGCGCTCAACTTGTATTGCGCTGCGTTGCGAGCATCGGGAAAGGCCTGCGAACAGATGGTGAAATCGTTCTTGATTCCAATGACGGCAGCAATGAAGACTCATACCCTCCAACGTTTTGGAATACTGGAAATGGAGCTGCGTCGCAGAATCTTATTATGCAATGCATGCAGCTTCTGATGACCGACTTCCCATTGGATATCACTCTCATCGAGGCAGCATGCGACATTTTGAAAGCCGGTTATACCGAAAAGACTGGCCCGTACGTCTTCCCACCGATGATGACTGTCAACTTCGTGAAGAGTATTCCACTTGGTAGCTCTGGCGCCGACATAGTAATGGGCACAGCCTCAGCATTCCTGGCATCTCATAGTGCTCATCCGCAACGCATTCAGGAGGAAACAGTTTCACTGATTGTTCACGTGTATGAAACATTCTGCTGGATGCACGAAAAGCCGGAATTTTATGATCCTGAAGTTGCAAATAGCGGGATCGATTTTCTCACTCGCTTACTCCCCAAGTATCATCTTTTTCTTTTTGCGCTTACGTCTACGCCCCAGGAGGCTGGGCTGAGCAAACCTAGCAATGATGATAGCCTCCCATCACGGCCGCCAATCCTGCAAGCTATCTTGAACTTCATTCTACTCGCCTTACAGGGACCAGAACCGCTTCCACTTCGTTCCTCCTCTCAATTTTGGGTAAGCGTGCTGAACATCCCGGGCAGTAGCAACCTGAATGAAGCAAGCCCCGTACAAAATGCCCTTAGAGACTGCCTGCCCGCACTCTGTCGCATTCTTATAACTCAGATCGCGGGTCGTTGCGCTCGATCCGATCTTGAACACCTCTGTGAAGTCCTCCGAAGAGTCATTTTCAAGCAGCAAGGACCGGCTCGCCCACACCTCACTGAGGCGCTAGCTTCGTTGGAAAGCGATGATTCAAACCAAACCCAATGCCAAGTGGTATCACCTCAGGAAAAGCAGCGTTTTCTCGCATCTCTTTTGACTGCCAGAGGCGCCAAGACGCAAACGGTCCAGCTGGCACGATCCTTCTGGCTTAAATGCCGTGGTACAAGTTTCGATTATATTGGATAGGTAGACGGTAATAATCACTATGGCTCTAACAAGGAAAAGATTAGGTGCAATTGGGTTTGGCAGGGTAGTGCATACAGTTGTGATAAGTCCAAAGTGAGGCGAACGATTCTGGTGCAATGCCCATGAAAGCATTCTACTCCAGTCGTAGGGCTGCTGACAGTGGCGCCGTGCTAATTTCGTGGTGTGTGGATGCCCCAGAGATTAAGTGGATATGGTGCAATTGTGCGGGCTGGACTCCTGCTCCGATCATATGAGCCACGCACAGATGACCGTCTCAGGAATCGCGAACACGCGCGATGAGTGGGTATCGCGATGCAGCACCGCCATTTATTGATATCAGCCACTGGGGCGGTGTACTCGATGTACTCCGTACAGCTGTGCCTAATATGCAATTCAGCCAGGTTGTTTCACGTTGCAGTCGCATTGATTTCCCTCGAAAATGATTATGAAATGAAATAGGATTAGCATCCCCTCTTCTTATGTACTTCCCATCTCCCTTCTTTATCCTTGGTTGCGTTACGTTATCTTTGTTGATCTTTAGCCGATACTCCGTACTTCCTGGTGGATCTCAGCTTGAGTGCGGCTGAGGTTTTGCTCTTAGTATTTTTTTTTCTCTCGGCGTTTTAGTTCTGACTATTTATTTCACTGCCGAGCTGCTGTTCGTTCTGAGCTGTCTTATCTTTGCTGTTTTCTTTGATATCAATTTTTGATTCCCAAACGCGGTATTCTGCTCTTTACCATTGCATATTCTATACAGCCACCATCATGGCCGCTTTAGGTCGCACCGATTCACTCGACCCAGATTCAACATGCAAAGGCTTTACGTCAAGCGGTGTCGCATGTCGCCGTGCATTGGGAAACCCTCCTGGGCCACACGAAACTGATATGACCAAATTCTACTGCTGGCAGCATGAAGACCAGGCCCCAGCGTCTAAGCCGACTGCTGCACATAACACAATCGAGAACAATGTGAGAAGCAGTATTGATACTTTGATGGGCCGACTGGGTATCAACGACCCACCTGCAACGAAATACCGGCCCAACAGACCTTCGAGACCCGGAGGTGGAGGTAGCAGCTCGTTCACCTGCTGCTGCTTTACGATAGGAGAGGAAGATGAGCCACAGGAATTGAACCCGATGCCGGCGTCTAATTCGCAAACTCCCTACCGGCCACCTGCCAAGCCGTCTATGTACAGCAACGAACTGGTGCCTTCTGATCTCCCGCCTGATGTGGCCAAGCATCTCGCTACTGAGCTGGCAAAGCCGCTTTCCGAAAAGGACGAAGATGGCTATATCTACATCTTCTGGTTGACACCCGTAGAGGCGTCTTCCGCCAGAGGCGGTCCACCTTCGGACATTGCGTCTTCTATCTTACCTGGTGGAAGCCGGGGCATGGGTGATGCCATTCGCGTGGCACAAGACTTCAATGCCTCTGGTCGCAAGCCCGATCAGAAGCCCGGCACTATCCGTTTGAAGATCGGTCGAGCAAACAACGTCCACCGTCGAATGAATGAGTGGTCGAAGCAGTGCGCTCACGACGTGACTTTGCTCCGCTACTATCCTTACTTGCCTTCATCTCAACGTACTCAACCAGTGGATACGGGAAGGATGATGCCTTTCGTCCACCGGGTGGAACATTTGATTCATTGTGAGCTGGCCGAGATGAGACTTCTCGACTTAGGAAAGTGTCAATATTGTGGAAAGGAGCACAAGGAATGGTTTGAAGTGCCTGCGAATGAGGAGTCGATCCAACGGATTGATGGCTGCATTCGTAAATGGACCAACTGGGCTGATTCTCAAGCAAAGAAAAGTTCGCGCAGGTGAAACTCTTGCGATGGAGGCTTGATTGGGAGTTGACGAAACATCGATTTGGATTGAATGACAATTATCTAAAGACTTGAATGATACCATTGTTCGCCAGAAAACAACGCCAGGTGACCAGCCAGTTCCAATCTAAAATAACCCCCCATTCCCATAGTATCCATTTAGTTATTATCATTAAGAATAGTAATCATAGAGCGCATAGTCGCAGCATCAAAAAAGAAAGACAACCAAACCCATCATCCACGCTCTACTCCGAATCCGACAATTCCTTCTCCTCAACCAACCATTCCCCCTTCCTCTCTTTCGCCCGCTCCTTCCCATCTCCCAGCTCATCACTCTTATCCATCATCCCCAGCACCCAGCTCCCAACCAAATAAAAACCCCACGCCCAGCCCCAAAGACACAGTCCCATAAACCCCGTAACCATTAAAACCGGCCCGAGGACCAAAAGCGCCACGCACGCGAACAACGTCGCCGCAATCACGGCAGTAATAACGACACCCATACCGAACAGCGCAACGGGAATCCCCGAGCAGATGAGCTGGCAGAGAAGGAGCGAAGTAAGATGCGGATGCGAGGCGGCGATGCGGAGAATCGCGGATCGGGTTCTGGGAGGTAAGATGTAGGTATCGATGAGGGTGAGGGTTGCGGAGAGGATTTCTTGGATTGGACCGGCTGATGGGTCTGTTGTGGTTGTTGTTGTTGTTTCTTCTTCTGGTGTTGATGTGAGAGTTGGAGGAGTAGTATTTGATGTTTCGGATGGTTTGGTAGGTTCGTGCATGGTGTTGTGCTCGTTCTTGATGTCTGTGTTGGTGTTGCTTTGGGGGTTTTCGCGAGGGGGTGAGAGACTTGTGGGTGTGTCCATTGTGGTTAAATAATGTGGTCTGAAGATAGTCGTGGTTCTCAATTGATGTGGATGGATGATGGTGGTGTTGATTTCTCGAGTAGCGCATGTACTTCGTAGGGCGTGTAGAGCTGTAGATACACGCGAGGATGGAGTTAGGAAGGAACTGCCTAGGCTAAAGCCGGCCTTGGCTGGTATTGTCACAGAATGTTATATTACACTAGTGTATGGTACTCTGTAATTATGTATTATTGAGCAAATATAGTACATGGATGGATGCTTTCGTCGAAATCGAATTATTAGGATTCATGGCTAGTATGAGTGTTTATCTTCTTTTATTTCTAGTATGAGTCATTCTAGATGCTTCCATTCATAATCCTACATGATTATCATCGCCCTGTTCAATAATTCGTCCGGGTAGAACCGTAGACCGAATGGGACACCGACTGCTGCTCACCGGCGTGATCGACGGAGCCGAAGCTTATTGCTAAGTGTAAAAGCAATCAGTTACAAATATTTATGTCTAGACCACTTTCGACAGACTACTACGGAGAGAACGACTTAAATCCATGTTTTTTCATCTGCTCATGGCTCATAATAACAATTGTGTATCTTCCTTTTTTATCCCAGATGGCGTAAATGCAGATATCAACAAGTACAGGTAAGTCTTAAAGCGGAAGACGACGCTATGTCAACTTTTCAAAACACCAAAGAAATAGTAATCATTACATGACGAAGGCTGAGAAAGGGCGTTGGGGCAAGGTTATAATTTATACATCTACCATCCTCTCTTGGCCAACTTGTCGGCCTCGGACATCTGGGCAACGTTGATGCCAACCATGGCCTCACCAAGACCACTGCTGACCTCAGCCAGGACCTTGGGGTCCTTGTAGTGAGTCACGGCCTGGACGATAGCACGGGCACGCTTCTTAGCATCGCCAGACTTGAAGATACCGGATCCGACGAACACTCCGTCACAGCCCAGCTGCATCATGAGTGCGGCATCGGCCGGGGTGGCAACACCACCGGCGGCGAAGTTGACAACGGGGAGACGACCCTTCTCGGCAGTCTCGCGCAGGAGCTCGTACGAGCAGCCCAAGTCACGGGCGTAGGCGCGCAGCTCACGTGCGGGGTCAATGGAGGACTGGAGCATGGCGCGGGCACGAGCAATGTCTTCGCTGACAGTGCGGATGTGCTTAACGGCCTCGACGACATCACCAGTACCAGCCTCACCCTTGGTGCGGATCATGGCAGCTCCCTCCGAGATACGGCGCAGAGCCTCACCCAAGTTCCGGCAGCCACAGACGAAAGGGACCTTGAAGTTGGACTTGGTAACGTGGTAGATGTCATCGGCGGGGGTGAGGACTTCGGATTCATCAATGTAGTCAACGCCAACGGCCTCGAGGATCTATCCGACAATTGCGAATCAGCGATGAGATTTGGTGGCGACTATATCAAAGCGGATTTCCTTACCTGGCACTCGACAAAGTGACCAATACGGGCCTTAGCCATGACGGGGATGGTAACAGCCTCCATGATCTCCTTGATCATGGTAGGGTCGGACATGCGAGCAACGCCACCCTCGACTCTGATATCGGCGGGGACACGCTCGAGGGCCATGACGGCGGCAGCACCAGCTTCTTCGGCAATGCGGGCCTATCCAAGTCGAGATTAGAATCGCATCAATTGACGATAGATCTGAAATTGCCATGATGGCATACCTGCTCTGCATTGACAACGTCCATGATAACACCGCCCTTCAACATCTGGGCCAAACCGGCCTTGACGGTGAAGTCATTAGCCCCATTGGAGACACCGTTCTGCTGAGAGGCCATTGTAAAAGTACAAGAGGGGTGGTAAGAAAAGATTAGATAGAATTATGGAGAGAGGGAAAGAGGGGTGGAGGAAGGAAGAAATTTAAAAGGAAGCGAAAGATTGAGTTAAAAAAAGAGTGAGTCAAAACTGCCTCTCCACGATAAGCTCTCCGTCTTCGCCTCCTCTGTCCCTCACTGCTTCCCCTCCCCCGCCGATTTTTTCTCTTGCTGTCGTATCCCGCCGCGGAACGACGAGCCAATCATAGACGAGCTGTCCCTCCGGAACACCCAGTGGAGTTCGCCGGTTTTCCGCGGATTACGTGACGTGTAAGGTACTGTAATTCCAGTTGGTATTACCAATACCGTCCTCGCCTGCCTATTTGAGTATTCTTTGGGGTTGAATTCATCTATAGGTCTATTTCTCTCAGTGCAGATAGTATGTTTATGGAAGGCACAATCCCTATGCTTCCCCAAGTAGCAACTACTGGTCTCTTGCTCGATCCACAGTTGAAGGTATCCCACAGAACAGACGGCCATGGTAGAAGGATGACAAGACGACCTCCAGTGCCACTTCAACTTGACCCTGTGACCTTGCGATCTCAGATCAAATTGAGGGTCTATGTCATATAGCAGTTTATCTATGGGAAATGCATCATCGGAGTTTACTTGGTTCGATTTGAAGACACTCAGCCATGGAATATCCAGATCGTCCTATCAGTTCGATCAAGTTTCCATTCACTTGAAGAACTTAATCGACTGATGCCTCGTGATCTTTCTTATTAAGGCCTGCCTGAAGATGGAAATGTGTAGCGGATGCTCAATGGATGATATGCAGATGATAAGGCTGAGGATCTACAGGTAACTCAACAATCGAGGGAACGTGTTGGATGCATTACCTCCCCGCAGCCACTGCGTATGTGACATGTCTCACCATCAGCATATCTAGATATACCAATATCAATATATCCATGCTATCTAAGAGCATGTAAACTTCATCGAATGCATCCAAAGAGCAGATATACCGACTGACCGCCCTCTGACGTCACTGCCCATCTCCGCATATCCTGCTCGTCTTCCCCAACGCGCATTCGGCCTCGTCTTCACGTGGGCTGTTCAACAATTACTACTGCTCAATTGACATTTATACCAAACTACCTCCAATTCACTGCTGTCTTCAAAAAGTATCCTCTTTCCTAGCATCACCTCAATTCCAACCCATCTCATACCACAGCTCTCGAAATGGCATCACCCTTTCTCCTCTCCCGCACATCCGCTGCCGTCGGCCTCGGCCTCGGTCTCTCCTTGTCTTTCTCTCCATTATCTCCCTTCCGCTCCGCCCCTATCCAATGCCAGTACGCAGCGCCCTCTCCTCAGCCCGCAGAGCCCAGCTGGGCGATTAACCCCAATGACCCCATCCTCCCCAAGCAAGGCGGTACGACGGGACTGAAGAGGAAGTCGGGATTCTTGACGCCGTCGATGATGCGCCAGGTGAGCTTGGGTAGTGTGTTGGGCCTTGTTGCGGGCGTGGGATTGAGGGCTTTCTCGAGAGCATTGGCGGTTTTGTTGGGAATGGGGATTGTGTTTGTTGAGGTATGGTTGTTACTTGCTATGCTTCCTTTTTTTTTTTTTTTTTTTTTCCCTCCTGGTTGGTTTGTTACTATTGGGTTTTGCTGACGCTTGTTTGGCATGGTAGTGGGCTGCTTCTAAGGGGTACAATCTCTTGCCTATCAACAGGATGCAGAAGTATGTCAAGGGTGTCGATCTGCAAAAGGCCATGACGGAGAACATGCCGTTCAAGATGACATTCGGCACGACCATGGCTCTCGGGGCCTTTGCGCAGTTGTAGGACGGTTGGATACTATGATCGATCAAATATAGGAGTCAGAATGCTATGCCTACATCATAGAAATATGTTCTCGCATGAACACTTATCTCTATATCAGAAAGCATTGTACAGAATGCCAATGGATGTCTTGGATATTGATTCATTATTACATTTCTCTCTTCTTCTTATATACTTGTTATACAGGGTATCACGGATTCATGCAAAGACGCCGCATCATCTACCATCAGCTCAACACTAGCTCTTCCAACACTCCTTCCATCTCATCACGGGACAGCGGAACTCCCAGGATCTCTATTCCGCTTGTGTCCATCCGTGATGTGATCATTTGATGGTCGTGAAATTCCTTCAGCAGCGTCCGGAACATCATCTCCGAGGAAGCGATGAATTCTTCGGCGGCCTTTTGGTATAGTAACCGGAACTCAATGCCCGTCTCGTCTTTGGAACCGTCTTCCCGGCCTGCGGCACCATCCATCTCATCATCCGAAACATGCCCTTCGTCCATCATTGACAATATTTCGGTCAGAAGCAATTGGTACAGATTCCGTGCGTTCTCCGGAAGACTTTTAAGGACGAACGCAACACCTTCTTTGCCTCCGATACGACGGCCCTTACGGCCGAGTAGATTATGAACCTCTTCAACCACATCTGACTCCGTTTCAAAGGGAGCAAATGTGGTGCAGTCGTGGAAAACAAAATTGAAATGGTCGCGGAGACTGATATCCCACATGAGCAAAAAGTTGGGTGTATCCGCCGTCGCAAGTAAACGTATCTTAGGCGTTGCAGCGAGTCGAGCGAGAAGAGCTTGGTTCACTGCTCGCCGGAGGGGAGGGGCATCGATAGAATTGATCAGGACGGTGATGGGTTGTTGAGATGGCCGTGATTTCAGAACAGACTGCAGCAGCTCCAATACTTCAATTGGCTGGGAGCCCATCTTGGATGGAATATCAGCCCCAAGGACGGCAGTAACGATCATAGCAAAGATCGATCGGATGGAGATATTGGGGGTATGTCCGTTTACAATGACAATCGAAGGGGCCGGGCTATGTCGTTGATAAAGCCAATCTGCAAACTGCTGCAGGAGCCTGCGTTTAGCGCCGTATCCGTATAAGCAAATGTTGAAATCCTGATCAAACTCAAAGTTCCACTGTGGGAATGATCGATGATGAAGGTTGAGCAGGAACTCTTTTTCTCGCATGCATGGATCCGCATACTTCGACAGCGTCTCGAAATACTCCTCATGCGTCAGCAACGACACTTTGTTCAAGTTGTTGTTCGATGTGCGAGCGGGGCCAGCCCTGTTCTGGAAGAAGTATCGCTCATGCGCCGGTAGTTCTCCTTCGGGGGTTGGAGAACGCTTATTCCTAGCACCCTTTGGTCGTCCTGCACGACGTTTTGGTGTCGCTTCAGTCTTGCTTTCCGAAGCTTCTCCCTCTACCGTCTCCGCCAACCCCTTGTCTGCATCACCCGTAGTATCCAGGTTCTCATTCTCATCCTCTAAGATCTCTTCTGCCAAACGATCACCTCCATCCCAAATGTCTTCATCATCCTGCTCGAGTAAGAGACGTGCACTCTTCTTCTTAGCAGACCGGTCTGCATTTCGTGCTCGGGAAGGTGTAGCGACCGCGGTGGCCTTGGTCGGTGTCGAAAACAATGCCTTTGCCCTGGATTTCTGTGTAGGGGTCTTAAGACCGGATGCTTTTAGAGTGGCTGGGGTTGCAGCACTGCTGGGTTTTTGAGGTGTCGATTTCAATTGCTTTGACGGACTTGCTTCGGGGAAGCCATGACCGGCGTCATGACCATTTATGGAGTCATCGATCCTTGCGGTTTTCTGCCTCTTGGGCGTCGAGACGATAGGTTGGTCATCGTCAGGACCGGAGCCTGCTTGTTTGCGCTTCATTTCAGTGAGAATGTACCAATCACGGACGCAACAGCGACATTCAGGCGGAGAGTAAATACCATCCAGACACAGCGAGCGGTCTTCGAACTATTATCTTTAAGAGGAAGCAAAGGGCAGATCGAGGACGCAAGGGGTTCGTCAACAGCAATAAAGGAGTCGAGGTGCTGGGAATGCTGTTTCCCTCGTGGCTTGTCTTTTTCTTCGCCGCGCCTGGAACGCGACGCTCAAGGCGATTGGGTTTCTCCGACTCCGCGATATCGGAGCAGCTCCCGTTGAAACCGCGTGGGATGGGAGATTGAATTGAATTACTGCATCGTCACATCGCTGGGAGATTTGATTTGAATCTCAGTGGGAAGGACTCGTTGCAGGGATCAAGCCGTGTCTTGCACCCCACGGAGCTCGAAAAGCAAATAGCATTGGGCTTGTTGCTCCTGAGTCATTTGCGCCGGAGCTATTGGGAGCTACTTTCCCACAGGCTCATTTATATACCTCACTATCAGCAGGTCTGCAACGTCGCACTGGTCTACTGTGAGTGCAACTTGGTCAATTCAAAGGTCGCGCATTGACTGCTAACCACGCCCCTTCCTGCAGAACACTACATGGCGTCTCCTGTCCAGCCCGCAGCCACTATGGCAGCTTTCGCAAGAATGGCCAAAGGCCAGGTTCGGTACTATTCCGCTCCGTTGGACATGGCCATTCCTGCCTCGAAGAAGCAGTACATTCCTTCCTCCGGCACCTATCCTAAGGGCTTCCTCGTCTCTGGAACTCACGTTGGTGTGAAAGCCTCGAACACAAAGTTCCCCGACTTGGCCCTGATCTCGTCGGAGACTCCGTGCTCGGCGGCAGCAGTCTTCACTACCAACAAGTTCCAGGCTGCTCCTGTCCAGGTGAGCAGGAAGACACTTCAGGAGCGTCAAGGACAGGGCATTCGGTCCATCGTGATCAACTCGGGCTGCGCCAATGCTGTCACCGGCAAAGGTGGTCTCGAAGATGCAGCCAACATGGGCAGCACGGTGGACGGGTGCAATGGTCTCTCTGACCCCAGCACCATCGTCATGAGCACCGGTGTCATCGGACAGCGGTATGGTTTGGCTATTCATTCACTGCCCTAATTCAATGATTGACCCGGGATGACTTCTAGACTTCCTATCTCGAAAATCCTGGATAAGATCCCTACAGCCCACAAGAACCTTGCATCTTCCCACGATGCTTGGCTCACCACCGCTCGCGCTATTTGCACCACGGACACCTTCCCCAAACTTCTCTCTCGCACCTTCACGCTCCCCTCCTCCCCCGGCCGCACCTACAGCTTGGCCGGAATGGCCAAGGGAGCCGGTATGATCCACCCCAACATGGCTACTCTCCTGGGCGTTCTGTGCACCGATGCCCCCATCGAAACACCCGCTCTCCAGTCTCTGCTTAAGCACGCCATCTCACGCTCGTTCAACTCCATCTCCATCGACGGCGACACCAGCACCAACGACACTCTTGCCATCCTCGCCAACGGAGCCGCAGGCGGCGCCCCCATCAACTCCGCCAACTCTGACGACTACGCCGCCATGCAGGAGATCCTCACCTCGTTCTCTCAGTCCTTGTCCCAGCTTGTCGTTCGCGACGGCGAAGGCGCTACCAAGTTCGTCACCGTCCGCGTCCAGAACTCGCCCCATTACGAATCTGCCCAGCTCATCGCCTCGACCATTGCTCGCTCTCCACTCGTCAAGACCGCCCTGTACGGTCGTGATGCTAACTGGGGCCGTATCCTCTGCGCCATCGGTTACACCCAGGGTGTTGCCCCTGGTGTCGTCATTCCCGAGCGCACCAGCGTCAGCTTCAAGCCTGTGGACGGAAGCCCCATCTTGAAGCTCCTGGTCAACGGTGAGCCTGAGCAGGTCGACGAGGACCGGGCCAGCGTTATCCTGCAGAACGAGGACTTGGAGATCGTTGTTGACCTTGGCGGTGGTGAGAAGGGCGAACAGGGTCTCGGTGGTGAAGATGCCATGTACTGGTTCTGCGACTTCAGCCATGAATACGTGACCATCAACGGTGATTACAGAACCTAGAAAGGTAAGAAGCAATCGATATGTTACAGTAAGATAGTTTCGCCGTAAGGCATTGTGTTGATATTACAATTCGAAAACGAAATTCACTTGTTAGTATATACGCTACATAAGAGAGGGTTCTACTTTTTACTAAAAGCTGAAACATGTAGAAACATGTAGTATGCCAAATTAGGTGTAATTTTGTGTTTTTCAGAATATGGTTACAAACCAGGTTGGGTGCTATGTACAGTTGTGACTTCGACTTTTCCGACGGGAAACTCCTCTCCAAGAAAGTAACATTAACCATACATTTTGAAACCCGGGAGTTTGATGCTCCGTAGTATATTCCTCTTCCCTTCAAAAATGATATAACCCGTCTTTAGAAAACACCTTTGATTCCGATTCTAGCCACAACAACGGCGCACCGACCTGGGGAAGAAAAGAAATAGTAAAAAAACAAAACAGAGGATCAAAAAAAGGCGTTGATCCTTTCTCATGCTGCTCATCAAAAAACATGCAGCCCGTTTAGCTACCAGGGACGAGACCCTTGAGGCCACCGCCAATGTCTCCCTCACGAGCGGCAATTTCGAAGTATCCGTAGATAATACTAAACGAGTTGTTAGAAAAGAAATTCGTAGGACAGAGATAAAGTAACTTACGTGACAGCGAGAAGAATACCGGTACCGCTACCAAGGGCACCGAGGAGGTCAGAGGTAACAGAGAGGGCACCAATGCAAGCACCACCGAAGGCGGCAGCAGTGGGGATAACTCTCTTGAGCTCCTTGTACATGCTCTGCTCACGGTGGCCGGCCATGACGAGACCCTGGTCCTTGAGCTGCTTGGCAACGTCACGGGGGGCGGAGCCGGAAACCTCAATCCAGGTCTTGGAGAAGAGAGCACAAGCGACAAGCATGAAGGCGATGTAGATAGCGGTGTGGATGGGGTCGAGGAGAGCCTCCGTGAAGTTAAGGGGAGGAGACATGTAGTAAGCAATACCAGAGGCAGCGTGGAGCTGGGCGGAACCCTCACGGGGCTCCCAGACACCGAGAAGCTTGACAAGAATGTTGTCAGAGAAACGCGAGTACAGCATCTGACTGATCAGGAAGATGTTGGAGCACAGAGCAGACTGGAGCATGATGGGCATGTTGGAGGTGTAGAAGAGGCGGACGGGGTACGAGCCACGCATTCCACGCTGGCGGGAAGACTTGACCGGGATCTCAACACGGAATCCCTGGAGATAGATAACAGCAGCGAAAACGGCGAGAGTAGCCAAGAGGTTCATGACGTTGGGGAGGTTCTGGCGGTAGAAAGCCTCGCGCAGAGCACGCTGCTTGTCGGACCAGGTCAACAGAAGGTGGAACAAAGCGATGATGGCACCCTCGAATTCGGGACCACGGCCAGTGTTGATGGTGGTGGGGGAGAAAGCCTTCCAGACAATGGACTCGCAAATGTTGGTGGCGATGAAAAGGGAGATACCGCTTCCAAGACCGTAGCCCTTCTGGAGCAGCTCATCGAGGAGGATGACAACCAGGCCGGCAACAACAAGCTGAACAATCAACAGAACGCAGATACCAGCACCGAGGTCACTGGGCTGGCCGTAGAGACCAGTCAGGACGTAGACACAGGCCTGTCCGAAAGAAAGGATGATGGCAAAAAGCTTCTGAGCAGTCTGGTAGAGCTCACGGTCGGTCTTGAGGTCGAGGTTGACATCAATGAGGTGGGTACCAGCGAGGAGCTATCGAAGCACAGAATCCGTTAGCCATGGTCTAGAAAGAAACAACAGCTTGATGCCACATACCTGGAAAACCATGCCGGAGGAGATGATGGGGGTAATACCCAATTCCATCAGAGTACCCCGGTTACTGGCCAGCATCATACGAAGCCAGTAAAGGGGATCCGAAGTGTCGGAGGAGACGATACCATAAAGAGGCATCTGGCTCATTACCAAGAAGATCAACAAGGTCAACTGTGAAGCAGAAGCGTTAGTATTGCCATTCTGTCCCATTTGTTCAAAAGACCACGCCGCAACATACCCCAGTCCACATCAGTTTCTGGTTGAAGGGCACCTTGGTCTCCGGTGCTGCCACCTCCGGGAGGAGGGGCGTGAAGGGCTTGATCAAGTCAAGAAAGCGAACTATTATCCAGAATCAGTATTTGCTGATCAATTGAGGCAAAAGAAAAGGAGCTGTCGCGATGGTGCTGCGATCGCGTGTAGGGGAACTCACGTCCGCTCATTGTGACTGTCCACCTCCCAGAAAATAAATATTAAAGGGAATAAAGCTGGAGTGAAAGACCAGCTGAGGGAGTGGAAGTTACAGAAATGGAAAAGAAAGAAAAAAGGAATTAAAGAAGAAAAGAAAAGATCGGGGGAACAGAAGGGGAGGAGGAGGATGATGAGGTTCGAGTTCGGGTCAAGGTCAGTAGACGCCTCGCTGGCCACTTTCCCAGCCACGCTAAGCCGGTTGAGGCCACTTGGTCGCTTCACCCTGTTGGGCTGTTCGCGATGCACGATGAGGGTCCATGGATTTCCCCGTACTTTTATTGAGTCATTTCACCGATTGATTGAGGATAGCTGTTAAGATCGCTCTGCTTATTCTATGCTACACAGAGTTTTATTGCAATGCCTCTACTGTGAATCCATTCGGGTCAATACCTTGTCGTCACGTGGTATTGGTGAGATGCATCAATTTCCATACAAAAATCAGAAGAAAACTTGTTATTTAGTCAAACTGATACATCATTTCATTCATGATTTTCAAAATCTTTCGTGGATATGTTATGGAATCTTCGACCGCGCCAATGATGCTTATTCCTCCAGGGGACAAGTCCAACCAGCAATCTGTTCCTTGGTATCTTTGCTTCCACCCAGTTCCACATATCCGTATGTAGCTTTTATATATGTACCTTCGTTCGATGGTCGTCTGAAACAAAAGAAATGAGCGACATAATGAAACAAACAAAAGAAAACAACCCCTGAACTTACGGGCCAACGAGACCGAGACAATCGTCGATGACCATTTCAAGTTCGCCTAGACGTCCTTTCAGACCTTGATTTTCCTCCTTCAGAACACCCATGACGCTCCAAGCCTCGGAGGCTGGCACACCGTAGCAAATGTTGCACTTGGAAGAGTTGCCCCTCCAGGAGCTACCAATACTGGTCGACGCAAGTCCCTTCAGGACGCGGTCATACGTCGATGGACGCGTGGGTGTGGGTGCAGGTGCAGGTGCAGATTTAGTTTCCTTCTGACTTGCCTGCAGATGGGTGGCCGCTGGTGTTGGCAACGCGATTTGAGACATACTCGGGGACGGTGCGATTGTGGAAGCGGGTGATTCAAGACCATCCCGACGGGAGAACACACTCTCAGCTAGACTTTCATCGCCGGACTCAAAGCCAGAATCGCTTGTGTACGTGCCATTGCTGGCACGTTTCAGACTTCTCTTAGGAGTTTGGAGCTCGCTTCCCGCATCGGAGAGGTCGTCGTCGGTAGGTCTCACAAGCAATATACTGCGATGGCGTGCCTCATCCTCTCTCTGACGCAGTTGTCTTTCGTTTTCGAGCTCCTCGGCCATCGCTTTCATGGCCTTTTCTTGCTGAAGAACCTTTTCTGCCATTCCATCCAGTTGGATCTTCAAGTGTCCGACGCGCGTGCGCGTTTCTTCGAGTTCCTCCTGCTTCTCGTTTTTGTCTGCCATAGCCTCGTGCAAGGCAAAAGTCCTTTGCTTGTAGGCCGACTGCAGTCGTCGAATCACATCGCCTGCGTTGTTCCGCAAGGCATCGAACGCTTCCTTATCGTTGAGGTCGTTGGAACCTGGCGGGAACAGCGCGGCGGTGATATCCAGGTTCAATAAATCGTCATCTGCGGGCTCGGGGACGTCCGATTTACTTTCTTCCTGACGCTTCAACCCGAAGAAGGAGAATCGGTTTGTTGAAGTAACCTGTTTCAATGGGGAGGTTGGCGTCATTCGTTTCTGTGCTCGACTCATGGGTGAAGAGGTTGGAGATCCAAACCCCGTGGGTTCCTGGGTGGACACCATTCTGGCTGGCTCGTCTTTTTGTTGCCTCAGAGCTCCCAAGTTCACTGGCTCCGACTTTCCTTGGAACCAACCAGAGAATAGCTTCGCGCCGTCTCCCAGTTTCTTTTTGGCGATGTTTTCGGTCGGCGGGTTCGATAGCTTGCCGTGGGGTTCTAAATCTTCGAACGTTTTTGACTGGTCCACGAAGAGTTGCTTGGATGGCAGAGGGGTCTGTCGTGGTAGGATTTCGGTGTTCGCCCGGCGATGAGAAGAGGGGGGTTGTTTGAGGGACAGTGGGGATAATAAATCGGAGCTCTGTGTCAACGAACTTGCAGGGGGGTCCTCGTGGGAAACCTGGCAATCATCGTAGGGCTGCTGACCCTCTGCGACCTCGACGGATGATGATGTTATGGAGGATGGATCTCGACTGTCAAGGGCGGGCACCGCTGTAATTGAAGGATGCTCGGGGCCTTGGAGCATTGTCGAGCTCGAGCTTGACTGGATAACTGACTAAAAGGGATGGAGCCTGGAATGGTGTAGGGGTGCGACTTGTCACACCAACGACCACTTGGACAAGGGCTGGAATGCCACGTCGATAGGCCGTCAAGTCCAATGCACGGTTACTGGCCGAACCCCGAGTTTGGAGAAATAATTAACGGCCAACGGGGGAGGAAAAGGAGAGCTGGAAATGAGCACCTCCCCGGTGGGTCTCTCCTTTTTCCCGTTGAATATGGGGGAGATGAAAAGGAGCAAAGACTTCCCCAGACGGACGCGTGTGATAAAATAATAATGCCAAATAGTACGCCCGGTGGCAGCAATAATGTTAACCAGAAGAAGAAAATGAATATGAATAGAAAGAGAAGAAGAAAAGAGGACGTGATGGTCGAGATTCGACTTGATTTGACGGGCTTTCTAAAACAAACGCCAAGCGATAGTAGACCCGCACGTGTGCCTGTCAGTGTCAACACGGCAGAAACAGACGGCGATGTTTAGGATTGAAGATGAGGTTCAGATGGACAGGGCTAGTAGGTGATTTAGATGGTTTGAGATCTCATTCACCACCTCAGATTTAGGATCGAGTGGGAGTCGTTTCTATCGCAACTTGACCTGCAGGTGGGCAACTAGCGGCACAATTCTTTTTATTGAACATGAAATATCGCGAGGTTGGGCTCTTTTAGTAGGCGATATCACCATCGTCGATCGCCGAAAATGCGGTGGCTGAACATCACCAGCTTCTTCTGCTGCTCCACTGCTGGAGGCAAAGCGCCAAACACATTGTATCTTCATCTCTGCTCGGGAGCACCGCATTTATTCTTAGAGCAATTTGCCCCATGGCCTTGTGGTTCTCATCGTATCGTTGGTCATCGTCAACCAGACGACGTCACCTGCAGGCATCAGAGATCGTTCGTTCGCTCGTGATGGTTTTCATGGTGACTGGAATGTTCGATCTTCTTGCTTCTGTCTGCTGGTTTGCTGGTCTGCTGGCCATGGTAAGTATGCATTATCAGGATACAGAATTCAAGTAGCAGGATCCTTGCTGGTCTCTTCCGGCCTGTAAATTAATGTCCAGACGATCCCATCCTCGCTTGAAATTAAGCAATACATAAGCTCGGCAATGACCAAGCAATTGACGGCCTTGGATGGCTGGATGTTCACGGAGTAAGGAGTACAATAGCATCATGGTGTAATCACCAGCCATAGGATCCCAGGTGTGATGAATGGCAAATGTAAAGCCGTTGATATTCCTCTCGTAGAGGGAGGAGAAGTTAGAATGGAGGTTGTTGGAGAACCCACGGGTGCTGCACAATAATCTCCACCACGTCTGCATCATATCACATCCACCTCTCTCTTTCCGACAACCACACAGCCCACAAAACAGACACCATGGCATCGTCTGTCGCGGCTGGATTGAAGCATCTATCAAATGCTCTCGCAACACCGGATCAGTTATCCAATTCCTCCTCGTCCATCGATGGCGTCGCTCCCGACCTTGAAGCTTCGATCCGCTTCGCCGGTGCCGAACTCACCCAAGCAGCTGGAATCTTACTGCGATTGTCGCAGGATATCATCGCCAAGGCTATTGTGACTTTTACGCGTTTTTGGCTTGGTTCGGAGGGTGGAAGTCTCCGGATTTACTCGGTCAAGGTTCGACAGAAAGCGTCACAAATTAAAGCAGAAGAATCATTGGCTGACTATACTGGTACGAACAGGATGTGTCGGCCGCAGCTCTATATATGACCGCCAAACTCTCCTTCCAACCCACCTCACCTCGCTCGGTTCTAAACGTATACACATTTTTGCTGTCAAAGGATGCGTCGCCTTTGTGGTTCGTGAACCCCAACGGATCTGGGGAGAAGCCGTCCCCGGAGACATACTACCTCTCTGAGGGAGGCTACCAAACCCAGCGAACGGTTTTGCTACGCATCGAATCGGTCATCCTACGTTCTATGGGTTTTAATACACACGTTGCGCTACCTCACGCCATCGCCCTGACCTACCTTCAAACCCTTGGCACATCCTCATCCGCCGTCGCGCGACGAGTCTTTGAGCATCTTAACGCAGCTCTTCTCTCGCCCCAATTGCTGTATGTTACTCACCAGCCAAACGCTTTGGCGGTATCTGCAATCTACTTGGCATCACGGGAGGAAGGCGTGAAACTTGTGGATGGAGATTGGTGGGAGGTCTTTGATGTGGACCGGGAAGAGCTTGGGTTTTTGGTGGTAGCCATGAAAAGTATGGAAGGATTTGCGCGCGCAGAGATGGAGAAGTGGAAAATGCGAACCGTTCCCATGAGCGTGGATGAAGTGGAGGCCGAAATCGAAAGGAGGAGAATGATGGAAGAGGGCGAGTGAGATGGCCAGTCCGTCTTGATCTCGGTTCCTATACTCCAACTGTCCTGGATATCACATCTGAGACATTGCGAAGACGCATACCCATACCATCGGTGGATCTCTAATGACTTGTTATGTCTTTAGAAACCAGGCCAAAATCCAGGCGATCTGGTATTCTGGAGAAGATCTGGCTGTCTCGCCTGCCTGCCACAGGCCATGTCGCACCCTTTCAAATGCCCGTGTCTATGGAGAATATTCAACAGGCAGCAGGCTTTTCTATGGAATTTCTATTCATATTTCTGGGACTTGTCTCAGTGCCGATCAGATGAATATATATCTTTCTTGCTGGGTGGCTACATAACCAACCCCAAGTGAATAATAATAAATCAATATTTCCCTAGGAATCCCAGAAGACTGTAGATAGAAAACACATGACCAATACAGCAGATATCCCTATCTAATTGCTGTTTTGTGACGAACATCTCAGCCACATGATGTACATACCCCGCGTGCATCAGTCAGACTCACCCGCCACTTTCTGCCCATCACGATAACTCTCCGCTACTTTCATCATCGCCATCTTCCTCCCCTGCATTCTCCCCACCCTTTCTTCCAATACACATTACACTCACTCCCCTTTCATCTATACATACACCACCAGAAACAGAATACCTTTCAAAATAAATCGAGAAATACCATGAATATCCTTCATTCCACCCTATCAACCTGGCGAGACCGCCTCGCCCCCGTCTCCCGCACTTCCACCTTCCGCAACACCGGCCAGATCACACCGGAAGAGTTCGTCCTTGCCGGTGACTACCTCGTCTACAAGTTCCCCTCGTGGTCCTGGGCCGATGCTTCGTCCCCCGCTAAGCGCGTTTCCTACCTCCCACCCGGAAAGCAGTTCCTCGTCACTCGCGGTGTGCCATGTCACCGGAGACTGAATGATAACTTTGCCGGAGATGCGGGCCTTGAGGACGAGATTGTAAAGGATATGCTGTCGGGCGGGGGTGAAGCTGGCGATGACGATGGCGATGACGGGTGGCTGCGTACCGGCGGTGGTCGAGACGTTGGGGACCGCCAGGAAGCTAGAATACAGGATGTCCGGACAGTGGATGAGTCAGGCAATGTGGGTGAACGAGAGGAGGAGGATGATGAGATTCCAGACATGGAGGACGACGATGATGACGAGGAGGCGATCATCAGAGAACCTGTCGGCGGCTCGGATACTACCCAGTATATTTCCCCATGGCTGTCTGCATCCGAACTGATATACTAACAACCCTCCAGACCTACTCGTACATACAACCTCTACATCACATACGCCAATTTCTACCGTACCCCCCGTCTCTATCTATCCGGTTATCTCTCTCCATCCGAACCCCTCCCCCCACCCCTAATGATGGAAGACATCGTGGGCGACTACAAAGACAAAACCGTCACCCTGGAAGACTTCCCCTGGTACGACGGCAACGTGAAAATGGCCACCGTACACCCTTGCCGCCACGCCTCGGTCATGAAGATCCTCCTCGACCGCGCCGATGCCGCCCTCAAGCTACGCCGGGAGAAGCTCAAGCACGCCCAATCTTCTGCAGCGGCCTCCAACGCCCCCGGAAGCGGTCTGGAGGGTCTGGTCGATGATACCAAGGGTCTTTCTCTGGGCGACCACCACGACAAGCACTCAGGCGATGAATGGGAGGTTCTCCAGCACGATGAAGAAGACCAGGTTGCCATTCGGGTAGACCAGTATCTGGTTGTTTTCCTCAAGTTCGTTGCCAGTGTAACGCCGGGTATTGAGCATGATTTCACTATGGGCGTATGATTTGAATTATAGCTGTTTCTGATTGCTTACACTGGGGATATCACTTTTCTTTTGGTGCTCGGTGTAGGGTATCTTTACTATGATGATATGATATACGAAGCTAGTTGATTCATAACAGGTGCGATAAACTATCTAATAATATTACTGTTCACATTGGTAGACAACTATACGCTGAAGTATTAGACAACATGAATAGAAACCATCTAGCCATACGAATATCAATATATTGAATTCAAATCATCTGCACTGGTATGATAATCGAATCGATTCATATAACTGATAATGACACAATGAATAATGAAAATCTAAATAAATAATTTTTTTTTAAAAAAAAGGCCTCTCCAAGATCCATCCAATCTGATATATCAGACACGGGGTAGACAGAAACACCACAAGAAAAAAATATAACACATCAGAGAAATAAAGAGATAGAGAAAAAGAAAGAAAAAAGAAAATGTCACAAGATATGTCCCCCCATCTGTTCTATATCACCGTCACCGTATTTTTCTCCAGTCACTCCTTTTGATCATCGGTCACCTTCTCAGTCTGCACATTCCTGTTGCTTACACTCGCACATACACCACGCGCTTCTCGACCCTGCAAGAATCAGCGGGCGGCTCGTGGTGCTCCTCAGCCGGGGGAGCAGGAGGCTGAGATTCTTCCACGGGAGGCTGAGGCTCAGGAGTAGGCTCGGGGGTATCCTTGGGCGGCTCAGGAGCAGGAGTATCAGCAGGAGGGACAGGAGGAGCCTGCTCCTCTTGCTCAGGCTGAGAGGTATACGAAGCGGACTGCTCAACGTCGTAGCTGTTGGAGTAGTAGTTGCCCAAGTCGACGGAGGGGCCATCGGGGATACCGGCGTTGAAGTTGTTTCCTGCGGTGGTTTGGCCAGACTCGGAGACGGACTCGGATGCTGAGTTTTGGGATCCGTCGGTGTTGGTGCTGGACTCGGCGGAGGCGCTTTCTGCGTTGTTGTTGGAGAAGTAGGAGCCGGTGTTGTAGGCTGGGCCGTCGGGGATGCTGGCGCCGATGTTGGCGCCTGCTTCGGTGTTGGTTGTGGTGCTGGTGGTTGTGGTGGTGTCGCTACCGTAGTCTCTTGTTTCCATGCCGTTCTGTGATATGTTAGTTAGTTATTGGTTTGAGGTGTTGGTTGGGAAGATTGGGGATGTACCTGAGCAGGGAAAGGTGCAGCGAAGACGGCAGCAGGGCCAACAGCCAAGAAGAGGCAGAAAAGAGCTTGACGAGCTTTGACGTTGTAGAACATTTTTAGAGATTGACGTACAGACGGTGTCTGAAAGAATGAAAATGTATAAAAGAGTGTAGGTTAAGAATGAATGACTTCCTTGAAGGAATGGAGAAGGAGTGACTGCCCAGTGATTTGGAGGATGATGATGTACAATTCCATCTCGAATCCAGCGAAAACCACCAACCTTTTGTACTTCTCGAGAATGTCTGCTTGCTGAGATACTTCCTCGTAGGGGGCATGGGATGGAACAAAGGATCAGGCTAGACCTCTGCAGGGCAAAGTGTATCTTACCCCAGTATAAGCGCCACAGGGGCGTCTATATGCAAGGTACTGTCTATTGTGAGCACAGCAGACAAAGGAGCCGAGTCATTGTATAGGAAATCATCCCCGCATGCACATCTTGGGGTTGTATTCATGGCACTGCAAACTAATGTATCGCCCCTTTTCATCCCAGGGCGTTTGGAGCTGAGAAGCAGTCAGGCCTGGTGATCCCACACGTGCGTCAAAGTGAAGTGCAGTAGACATACATAGAAGCAAGGGGTATGGGGATCCGAGACTATCGGATGTGACCGAGTCAATCAAAAACAGAAACTGAATGCATCAAGTCCAATAAAATCCCGATTCATTCGATACGGTTATACACATCACACGCAAGGCGGGCTGGTATCCTACCCAAGCTAGACATACTATCCAAAGGTATCACCAAAAATAAGATCAAATCCACAAATATAGTAGTTGACGAGACAGCCCGCACCAGGAAGGCAGCGCGAAACAAATACGTAAAACATCCATATATTGCATTCATCATCCGTGAATCATATCCAAATATGAGCAGGAGGTTCCGGACTGGAACCCCGTTCATAGCACATGAAATGAACAGGAGTACCTGTACTCCGTATGTAGAAGCGGGCGTATATTGGTAGCACGAACCAAAAATAACATCTAGATCCCATTGTAGTTTGATATTCCAAAAGCAGTCCCAAAATTAGTCGTATTTTTGAACTTCAGCTCCGGCTCTCCTTGGCTAGGGGGCTCGGTGCCTTCCTTATGGTCGTCCTCAGGGACGGCGGTGGTGACGGACAAGGCCTGTTTGGCCTGATTAAGGAGCTTCTGGTCGAGCTCCTGCAAAAACCCGCTGTCATGCTTTTCGTCGTTTAACAAGGAGAGCGGCCCTTTGAGGGCCGGGTCGTCGGGAGGATCAGGAAAGTATGAATCAGAGTTCTCGACAGGCTGATGAGCTTCAGTCCCTACAGGGGCGATAGGATCCTCCTCGTCCAACGCGCCTGGCGAAGTTTGATCAGTGGCCGTCGCGGGATCCAAGGGATCAATGACAGCCATGGGGGTGTGGCCTGCATCCCTTGTCAGTCTCCAGTCAAGTGGCCCTAGCTCGGAAAGCTTGAGCTTGAGGGTAGCTTTGTGTTCAAGGGCTGGCCGGTGTGAGGTTGGAGCTGAAGAGATATCTGGAGGCGATGAAGATGGCGGTGTCATGACACGGGCTACAATCTCCGGCGGCAATGCGGAGGACCTGAGCGTAATGCCGTCGAGTTTGCTATCCAATTTTTCAATCGGCACCGGCACGCTATCAGCCGCACGAGACCGGGGCGAGAGGGCTGCATCCAGTGACAACGCCGGGTGATTTTCCCCTTGCTGCGTAGGGGAGGGAACCTGGCCAGGGCTGAGAGTGTCTGACTTTTCAACGTCGTTGAACACTCTAGTGGGTCGCAGCGCGGGGCTAGAGCCCTCCCACACTTGGGGATGAGAGAGACTTGAATCAGACAAAGGGGCATCAAGCGGACGAGGAGGAAATGAAGAAAGGCGTGGAGGTGATAATGTATTAGAAGCGGGATCATGACTATCCCCTCTCTCCAGCAACGACTCCTCCAACTCGACAATCCTCAACCGTAACAATGTCCGCTCTTTTTCCCACAACTCCCTCTCTTCAGCGAAGAGCGCACGCTCAGTCTCAAAATTCATCCTCTGGCGATCGAGGAGCGACCGCGAATGCTCGACGAAACTGGCGCCCAGCGCCCGTATATAATCTGGATTCGAGGCGGGGTTGCTGGTCGACACGGACTGCGCACGACGAACGGGAGTTGCGGTCGGAGAAAAGCGCACCTCCTTGTAATGGCTGCCATGACCGTTTGGACTTTTTGTGGCAGGTTTCATTTTTTCTTGTGTAAGAATAAGGATTGTCGACTAGTCGGTGAGGGAAGAGGGGAAGGGGAGGATAGAGAAGGAGAAGGAGAAGGAGAAAGGAGACAAAGGAGAAAGAGAAAGAGCAGGATTAAAGTATGCTCGATAAAGGAGGGGTGTGGTAGTACTGCAAGACAGACTGTCAGCTGGCTAATAAGAATGACATTAAGGATGGATCGTGGAGGTGGTGGAGAGAGAGGATCAGGCACGGGACAGGACAGGAACCACGTACGAGGGAGTGGATAAAGAATGGCTGGGCTAATGATGGGGGAGAAGGTGAGGATATCCCGGGCCACACGGTGGTGGACAAGTGGACGACAGCAGTTCTAGTGAAGCTGAAGGAGTATCAGAACATTGTAGGAGGATTCCTGACGAATGAGCCGAGGATGCGAAGATGAGGCGAAGAGAAGAAGAGATGGAGATGGAGAGAGATGGAGAAGGGCTGGTGGGGAACGTCGTTATAGGGACGGGCCGAGTACGGGATGATGTAGACCACGAGGAGTATTATATTGAGAGAGGAAAAAGAGAAGAGAAGAAGAAAGGAAAGGAGGAAGAGAAGAGAATGAGATACTCAATACTACTTATGTTCTTCTCGTTTTCATTTTCTCATCTTCATCGAAGGCAAAAAGAATCACAAGACAGTGCGATGACGTAGGGCCACGAAAACGGTGTATACAACAGACGCCCAAAGGTGGAGAGAATTCACTCATATAGCAGCATTTGCTATGAAGATCAGGCATTGCATTAATAATTCCTTTCATCAATCATGATATCTACATACATAACACAGTACAGTAGAGTGGTGTCTAAACGCATTCTATACAAGACCAGTCCCAGCCAAACTCCAATGAACCGCAAATCCAATAACGCCATGCCTTTCCTGTTTAAGCCTCGTGCACCAGAAATCCAATCTGACTCCTTCGATATTCGATATGCCCCCCGATGATTGACATGAGTTATCTTGCTCCGAGATGAGGTTGATGCGCGATAATCCTTCACCCGACGTCATCCTGCATATCGTGCGTCTCCACCGGATGGAGTCGATGGAGTCGCGGTAACATCATGCGGGATTCCATCACCTCACCTCACTTCAGCATAAAATAAAATGTTAATGATTATAGAGAAAAGCCCGCTCAGTCGACCGACTCCCCCTCTGCAACACTTTTTGCGCTTCATCCATGACATACCGATGAATCGCCGGCACAGGGAAGAAATGCACCTCTTTGCGCAACTTGCCAAACCTCGTCGCCAGATACAGCACTCCCCGCGCAGAAAGCTCCCTCCCCCCAACAGACGAAGAAGGGAAGTAAAACCGCGGATGCAGATAGAAATGCACACTCGTCCAGCGCGGCAGTTTCTCCTGTAACAGCCGCCCAGCCTGTTCATACTGCTTGAGTGTCCGTTTCGGGACGCCCGTTTCGCAGTGCACGAAGAAGAAGACTTCAAAGCCCACGCTGCGGATGCGGTTTCGCGCGGTGTCGCTGAGCGTGTCGAGGAAGTCGCCTATACGGTCGAGGTCGAAGGAGTTGAGGAAGAAGAGCGTGTTGCGCGAGTAGAGAAAGTCTTCGGCTTCGTCGTGGATGAGCCGGTTCACGGCGAGGAGTTTGCGCGCAGTGCCATCTTCGCCAACCCAGCTGGGACACATGGAGAGAGCGCGATATCGACCTCGTGCCGTGAAGGACTTGCCCTTGTCGTTGACGACAATCAATGGGCGGTCCATGTAGTCGTTGGGGACGGCCAGCGCATATTCGTAGATCTTGAGACGGATTTCCGGTGGAAGTCGAAGAAAGGGAGATGGTTTGGAGAGATTAAGAGAGCCAGGTAAGATGAGATTCATCTTGATGAATTATTCAAGAGAGATGGATAGAATAAGGTGATATGATATAGTCAAAATGGCGACCAAACCACGCAGATATATATTAACACATGATTACAGAAGAAGAGAAGGAAAAAAAGAAGAAGGAAAAACGTCAAACTCAACCAAGAAAAAAAAGATTAAATAAGAAGAAATAAAAATAAAATAAAAGATGATGTGTCTAAGGAAGAGGCAAAAGAGAAAAAAAAAAAAAATCACACCACTAAGGAAAACAGCCTCACCTCCCGGACACTCGCCGACATCAGGAGATGCAGAAATTTTCTGACTTCTTCGTTTTCTGTCATTCTCGAAGAAGTTTCCTTTCATAGGAAAGAATCGCAGATAATCTGGAACCAAACGAAGAATCTCCACTGCGGCAATCATTCCGGCCGATCGGTTCTGCTGCTCGTTTTGGGCTGCAATTCCGTCTTTTTTCTTGCGATGGAATGAGAATATCTTGGCTTCATTAATGTGTCTTTCACTAGCTAGTTTCATATACTTAATGGAGTATCTCATGCGAATTGTCTCGATTGTTGGTCTTGAAAGTCCAGAGGCTGAAGGCAAATCCCGGATCGGATCGTCGGATGCGTTTGTCACATGTCGCGATATAAACTTTGATTGCGCATCTATATCCACTTTAAGAAGAATGATAATAATAACCCTCTAGCAGTCATAATAATGCAGAAACACTCTATCAGTTCATCAGATATCAGGTCTAATAGTATCACGTCCTATACACCCCTATAGACCACGCCGCTCGAAGGATCGCCAGCCCCCAAGCCATCCCGATACTATCACGCAGCACATTCAACTTGCTCCCCTTGACCTCTCGCCATCCCACCGGCACTTCTGCCACGGGGATCCCGGCGAATTCAGCCAGCATGAGCATTTCCACGTCGAAAATCCAGCCCTCCGAGTGCATGTAGGGAATGATGTAGGGCAGCGACCCGCGCGAGAACAGCTTAAAGCCGCATTGGGTATCTTTGATCGTGGCGGTTTTGCGCGGAGTCAGAATCCGGAGGATCAGATGGAAGGAATGCATCAGGAAGTTGCGCAGTTTGGATCGCTGTTATACCGTTAGTCACTTCATCAAACAATCAGGACTCAAGCAAAAGAAGAGAGACGCACCTTGACAACAGCTTCACTGCCAACCATATGAGCCCTCGATCCAACAGCCACTCCACGACCCTCTCCATCCTCAATCTCCCCACAAACCGTAACCAGCTTCCCCAAATCCTCAAATCGACTCGCCCCATCCGCATCCGCAAACACCACATACTGCCCCCGAACATGTCTCATACCATGCGTGACCGCGCCTCCCTTCCCACGATTCTGGCTTAGCGTCACCACCCGAATCGCACCAGGCGCGAGCCCATGATCCCGCGCAAACCCAAACGCCACCTCTTCAGTTTTATCCTTCGACCCATCCGAGACGACGATAATCTCCCATCCTTGTTCCTTTTCACTCTCACTCTTCCCCTTGCGCTGTCGAACTGTCCCTTCCTCCCCAGATGACACCGACACCCCATACCTTCCATCCAGATACTCAACCGCCTCCTCCAACATCCCCCCCAACCGATCCTCCTCGTTATAAGCCGGAACAACAACCGACATGAACACATCCGCCTTTTCAATCACAGATGAGTCGGGAACGGGCTTGCGATTGAAATTGCGGGTATCGCGTTTCGCGCTGCGCAAGACATCGCACCAACAAGGTAATGTCTCGGGAGTCGTAATCGAGCCGTCTTTCGCGATTGTTCGGTATTTCTTTTCCTGCGGGAATGGGGGTCGCGGGACAGGGGCGACGATGAAAACGAAGAGGTAGAACTGTTGGGGTTGGTATTAGTTGGGGGATTTGTTGGTTTGGCTTGTGATAGAACATACGAGGATAGAGAATCCCACAAATGTCGTCAATAGAGTAACGACGAGAATATGTAGAGGGACCTGCGTGAGGAGTAACCTGCACTGCACGCAGACATCACTCCACAAGTCCGCCATAATGTCGCGCGTAGGAATATATGTTTTCTGAATCTGACCAGATTGAAAAAACGAACGACGGGGGGCGGGACTAGATAGATAGATAGGAAGGACGAGCTTAAGTGCTCTCGAGACGATCACTACTGGGACCAGCCATGCGACTAGAGAAGGAGGGGGGGAAAAAAAAAAAAAAAAAAAAAAAAAAACAGAGGGGTTCAATTGGCACTAGCTGGCGGGAATAAGTGATTTATATAGCATTGAGGAAGCTTGTTTCAAATGGGGATTGAGTTTGTCATGGTGTTCGAGACTGACGCGTTGCAGTGATGATTATGAAGCATACGAAGGAGGAATCGCCAGCTTGTCCTTTTGGCGGTTATTCTGGGGTGCGTTTGGCTTGCTTGGCGGCCCGCAGCCCCACTATAGAGATCAACTACAGAGACAATATCCAGAACAGATATAAATAGATAGACAGAGCATTGAATGGTAGTTTTAATGGTTATTGGTTAATGGGTATATTATGCAGTTTGGTTTCAGGTTTATTCATTCAGGTTATATGACATATATGCTGTTTGGTATCTTTGCAAATGGTACAAATCGGAAATATACTCCGTGCCATCGTTTGATGAGAGGAGGAGAAGATGAAGATATAGAGAGGACAAAGGAGAAGGCGGTCTTATCTCAGGTATTGTGTCCCCATAACATGTACGGGTTCGAGTGTGAGTAGACTGTTTTGCTCTTCCAATGTCCAAACATATTGTTCTAGATATCCAATTGATATCAGGTCAATCCCACGTTCAAGTTCCACGAGAGCAGTTGGCAGATCGCAAGTGTGTCTATACCTGCCAATTCTGTCTCTGCAGAAATTCATGTCGATCGGCAGTCGACAGTCGTATAAAGCCACTTTAAAGCAGCTCAGCTCAGCTACGCAATCCACCCTCTCGAACCAAGGTCCAAGATCTATCATATTAGTAGTAGCCCGTGTCCTGCACAGATAGATTCTATTCCAGTGCCATGGCTTGAAAGCGTCTGCACCGCAACGGATCCACCCAAGTTCGGCGCCGCCGAATACTTAATAAACCTGTGCGATAGCCAGTATCATACGTCTTCAAACATTTTGCATTTCCACGTCAGTGTTGGCTGGGTCTTGCATCTCAACCTCTTTAGTATAGAAAGGGTTATGTTGTTCAGAAAACTCCTCCAGCACCGAGGCAAAGGGCGTTGTCGAAAATCTCTTCGAAGCAGATTCATATGTGAACCAACGGTTGAACTGACTAGTTAGCCACATCGTACTGTATCTTGGTTTAGGAAACTCACTTTGGCAATCCGTGCTCCAAGCCAGAGACATCGATACGCCCTTGAAACATTCAGAGACGGAACCTCAATCGAGCGCCCTTCATCCTCCGACGGAGAGTCATCGAAAAAGTTTGCAGGGTAGTAATTTTGACTCCATCTCTGACCCCGGATGAGAAAGTCCTCGGGCATTTGCTTCCCTTCCTCAACAATGGGGAAATCCTCACTTTCCATTATCCTGGTATCTGTGTCATCACGAATCATTGTCTTAAGAAAATTGGCAATTTTCCTCCACGGCATCACAGCTTCAATGAACCTGATGCTGGTCCGGTTCAAAGCTAAACACCAAATAAACGCCAGACCACTATGCAGACTCGGGTAAACATTTTTGTCCCCGACTTCATCCAACATCGCTGAAAACGTTCGACCAGTCAAGCAGGCCCCGTAGAAGATTAGTTGTGATGTACTTTGAGAGCTCCTAAGGGCAAGGAAATCAACCTTGACTGTCTCCGGGTCGTCGACGGATGTCCAGTTCTCTGATGCGTATGAATAAACTCCTTCGATGAGCTGTGACCGCTGCTGCACCGTATTTTGCTTGAATTCGGCGGACATCAGAGAATCGGTGCGTCCGTATTGGAACATGGCTGCGAAATTGCACGATGCCATGTAGACCCCTTGTGATCGGAAAGCGGCACCAACTCGACCGATGTATTTCTCCAGATGGGAGATATACTCCTTTGCTAATGCAAAAAATTGATCCGTGGGTCCTCGGGTAAACAGATGGCCGTGAGCACCAACAAATTTCGTCACTACTGGGTGCTGGTGATATGTTTTGACTCCATTCAGGAATGGATTGAACAAAAGAAGAATACTTTCTCCCGCGCTAGGAAACGAGTGCACACTGACCAGCGACTTTGTGTAATAGAAGAGTTGTTGAACCATATCCGGTCGAGCCAGAACCGCGAGATGGTGTTGAATCCTGCCAACGTCAGGGTTTTTATCTGCTGCCTTGTTATACCAATATCTAGCCACTCCTGCCCAGACCTCACGGTCTCGCAGGTCCGCCTCTTCCACTGCCATGCGATACCTTGCTAAATCACCAAGACATTCTATCCACGTCTCTTCAAAAGCAGGAACGCTCTCCAAAAGCAATGTCATCATAGAGTATGCAAGATATATGAATGTTAGCATGTGTTCTAGAGAATCAGGAAGACGATGGCGCAGCAGTTCGAGGAAGGAGTGAATCCCGTAGCGCCACATGCGAGCCGGCATCGAGTATTTCTCGGAAAGGCGTCTCAGCACTGGGCTGGCCGAGGGATGTTGCGAGGCCAAGAAGAAGTCGTGATGCTCGTGGAGTAATGTCCGGTGTAGGGCAATCAAAGCTTGCCATTGCATGGAGGAAAGATCGCTCTTCGATTCCGATTGTTGCTTGTCGATTTCGATACACTTCTTTTCCACCATGACTAACCCGGCGTAGATTCCTCGGACTTCATTGATCAATTGCTCTTCTGTTATAGGATGAGTTTCTGGTTGCAGGAAGATCCCATGTGATTCAGTACCTCCGGCTACCGCAGAGACTCCTCCCGCTGGTTTCTGACCATTGTTCAGACTTCCCGTCGATTCGCGTGGCCGCTTGGGGCGAAGTTTGTCCTGTTTGGGACTCGCGTGTGCCGCAAATCGACTGTCATACGAAGCGGGGTTGTTGTTGGAGCGGACTTTTCGAGGATCCCATCGCGATGGTCCGGCGCCACTGTTGCCCATGTCGTCCCCAGACTCCGCCGATGCCGGGCGAAAGGTATCACTGCCACCGGGATTTGCGTTCCCAGGTCCACTGTCAGCTGCAGCTCGAGTGATTCGGCGACCAAGAGTGTTTTCCGATCGTCCGCGCTGCGCGGGCACTGTTTGGCGACGTCCTCTCGACGCTGCCCCTAAGCTCTCGCGGAGATGATCTTTTAGCGCGGCAGCACCGGATATTGTCGCATCTGCATCGCCATCCTGAGGCGCAGCTCCAGCGGAGAAAGGCCTCTTATTTGACAGAGACGGACTAGCAGAGTGATGGGCCAAATTGGCCGTAGACGATTCCGACGGAGTTACTTCACCCGGAATCACTCTTCCAATTGACCTCCTACGGGGGGCGTCAGACGATCATGGATGAAGGAGAGCAAGAGGGAAAGGGAAGACTGCCTTGGGAGAAAAGTGGCGGGATTACTCACTTGGGAGAATCGTCCTCGTCGGTGCCCAAATCGGGCGAGCCCATTGAAGGGGCATCGTCTTGTTTGTTGAGACTGCTGTGCCGCAGCGGAACAGCTTGTTCTTGACGATGTGAAGCAAATCCGTCGCTCATCGTAGAATTCCAGAAATTAGATGTATCACGTCATCTAACCCCACGTCAGCGATCAAGGCCAGGCAAATCGATGCGAGAATGAAAATAGAAACAAGAGATCGAGACCGAGAACCCCACACGCACATATAAACCGGGAGAACCAAGCAGATCAAACCAGAGACAGATTCAATTCCAGGAAAAAGCAATGATTGAGATCACAGGAGGTCCAGACTGATTGATGGGGAATACAGACGTTGATCACGGCCATCGATTAAAATAGAAGCGATGGCACTGGGGGGGGGGTAAGAGATAGGGGAATGAATTGATTGAGTGGAGAGATTCTGAGTCCTGACGAAGTTGAGGCTCTTTGAAAGTCGAACTCACCAGTGTTGCAAATGGTCGCGCATTTATACAACGAGCGCTAGTTGCCTAATTTTTAGCGACGACCTAGGCAGACGAGGCTTCACTGGAAAACGGAGCCTGGTGGGATAAATATCAGACGGAAGAGTAGCGCGGGTGTAAATAAGGAACCCGAGGGTGAAGGAAGGACAAGGCTGGGGATAAAGAATGAATGAAAGTCGGTAAAGAAGAAGAGCGACGATGATGGCGGAAGATCAGGAAATGGTTGCCTCGTTGATTTTCCCCACTTTCTGTGGTGTTCAGACAGGGAAAACCCCCCTGAAAGAGAAACGTATTTAAGGGCAGGGAATAAATAGATAATAGAATAATATAATAATAACCAAGGAATGGTCGAGTCTTCTGTTCAGTTATTCAGAGTTGTAAGTCCATCGACTATGGATTTCGCCTGTTCGCCCTGTCCACATTGCCACTTGTGGCGACGAGATTTGAATCGAATCAATAATGCTGATTATCACCGAGCAGGTCCTTGACGAATGCAAAATCAAATATATATCTTCCGAACCAGAATGGATGCCTTTCTGACAAAGTACGCTGTCTGCTGTCTAATCTGTACTGCTTCTCTTCCGAGTCCATCAGTCAACAGTCGTACAACTTGTCAAGTGATGCGAATCCCTCCTTTCTTTTTCTCTTTCTCTCTCTTTCTATTCTGTATTTCTTTCCTTTCCTTTTTCTTCTGCTTCTCGACCATGCGTCATGCAGTGCGATGATGCAGGCATCCTCCCCAATCAACGGTTCAACGCCATATGGCCATGAAGATGAAGAAAAAAAAGAGTTGGTTATCACCAGCTTTCTCCACGTTGCAGAAGACGTTTCTAAGCCACGCATCTGCTCTAGATGTCATGATTATCCTGGATATTCCTTAATTCGACCCAAAAGGGCCAAGTTTAGGCCTTTATCAGCCCGAAAGGAAGCATTGACACCTGTTCCGGGCCTCTATCTGACTCATATTGATCCTTTGGACTCTTCCTTAATTGAAAGAATTATGAACTCATTATGAGAGATTTGCTGGCATCAATAAAGTCAACTTTTTATGATTTTGTCTTATTTTTCTGATCCAGGGCAACCAACGCCATGACCGCCAGTGCAACGAAAACAACACCAACAACCGACTAATCGTGGACACTCGTGCGATTATCACCCTCATCCAGATTGGGTTGGCACGATTCGATGTGTCTTTTTTTCCCCTTCTACCCTTGCATTTGGAAAAGATGCTCAGACCGTCTGGCCTCTTGACACCGCTTCTTTTGCCTCTTGTTTTTCTTTTTGGCGCACCGACCATTTTTGCCTTTGGGAGGGACGCCGTGCCGGAGACCGGATACGGAGTCACGGAGTGATACAAAAGTAGTTACGGAGGAGGTAATTGTGATTCTTTTGTGATGATCGAGATCGATCGATCGATCACCATCATCATCGAGGGAGAAAGAAGAAAATAAAACATGGAGATTGCTGGATTTCCAGGAATTGCAGCCGTGCTATCACAACTACTATTCTATGACTTGCATGGTGAACAGTCATAAATAGATATTAGTTCAGGTACATCGAATACAGACACATATCTACATATACCATTAGTATACTACGTACTACTCCATACGAATACTTATATCTTATACGGAGTACTAATGCTGTACTACATTGTCAGCAAGAATGAAGCTTATATATATGGCAGGGTGACCGGCTGGGATTAAAACCAGGCAATGGAGCAACCCGACATTCTTCGTATTTTCTGTCTTTTTTCTAGAAACACGATCGAAGAGCATAAGCATAGCATAAACCAAACTAATAATATCTTAGAGCATAAGTGCCTATATTATAAGACATCAAGTATAACTAACCAACTGAATTCAACATCCTCAAATCCTCCTGGTTGCCTCGCACAATGCGAACCATTGCTATCCGCATGATTTTGCCAGTCCTAGACTCCTAGTCTATTTTAAAAACACACCACGCTCCCCCTCCTTCGGGAGTCGTGGGAAAGAGTCCTAGGTCCTTGGGCCATTTCCTTGATCTGCGTCTTTTAATTTGTTATTAGATTCGCTTCCATTCTTCCTTTTTCCCAGTTCTGAGGTGCTAGTTTTGCCCGGGTGAAGTGGGTGCATACAGGGGGGGTGATGCTACTCCACTAACGAATGCATGGGAGGGGGAAGAAAAAGTAAATATAGCAAAAAAGCAATCAGAGCTTTAAAAGCCGAGAAACAAACATGAAAAAAACAAAAAAACAAAAAACAAGATAATAAAATAATGATTTGTCAGTCCAAGGCAGGTAGCCACGCAATTTTTTACCTATCATATTTCATATAGTTTAGGTAGTTTTGCCCATCAGCCTCACCTCATGCCGGACCATTTGGCCAGGTCAACTTAAAATACGGAGTCAATATTCCTGCTTCCCCGATTTGTCGTGTGCTACGGCCATGATATCATATCATCCCGGGATAATGTAGGTCTGTACTAAGTACGGAGTGGGTGGCTGACGGTGATAGCCTCGCCGATTGAAATTGGAACATCTTCGCTTCTTCACCCCGAGCGAGGCTCTTCACCCATGCGGCATGGTTATGCATCATGCCACGAGGCTCGCGTTCTTATTTCTCACCCATCTGATGATGCCTGTAGATCATTCCGGCTGTCCTGAGCCACATGACTACGAAATATATACTTGGTGCAAGAGAGATTGTCAGTCTATTCAAAATTTATCCATAAGTAAATTCACCATTAAGCAAAGATTTATGCATGTCAGGTCAGCTAAATACTCTTAGATCCAACACGATCCTAGAGATACTGCCAGGTAAGCAATGCATCCAATTAGTCCAGCAACGCCATGCTATGCAGTCATAACACATAAACAGATCATCATCGCGTAGATAATCATAATGATTCCATTCTCAACCAGCCATTCGTAATCATGTAGCTTCCCTTTACGAGAGAAAGATTCGAAACTTTATAAACTGTCAGTTTGCCTGATTTTCAAATGCATAGAGACGTCATACCTTCTGCTTGACAGGTGTCCGACACATCGGGCAAGTTGCGTGTCCCTTGGGACGGCTTCGATCAACTCGGCTCGATGGCATGTGCTGGTCCGCACACCATCGGCACAGAATCGCATGTCCACAAGGAAGTATCACCGTGTCGACAACCTGACTCATGCATATCTTGCATTCCAGATTGACCGTCATCTCCTCCGTCTCCTTGGGTTCTGGTCGTCCGTCATTCTGATCGTCGAGTCCCTTGGGCGGTGGTGATCCTTCGTAGGTGTCAAACTCCTGGTGGTATCTTCGACTATGCAGCAAGCTCTCTTCGTAGATCTGCAGGGCTCGCGCCTCATCCGAGTGCATGCTCCGCAGTAGATCTCCCAACTGTAGTCTTCGAGCAATTTCAGCGCGCTGCTGTGCATTGAGCATTGGAAGATAGTAGTCTCCTGCACCAGTTGAAGGCATATCAGGCCGTCCTGTTGCTGCCGCTTGCGTTCTCGGAACCTGTGAAGAAGACAGCCGGCGTGCAAGGTGTGATCCCACATCGTCTGAAGGTCTATTCCGTCGACGGCTATTCGGGGTACCAAACCGAGAATTATTCTGACCCGGGCTAGACCCAGCATTGGATGCGTGGCTTTGCGTTCGTTGGTGCCTTCTGTGTTGACTGCCTCCAGACGAAACACCTGATTGCGGGAATTGCACATAGGGGTTGGATCGAGGAAGAGTCTGTGGATAGATCGGTGGGACACCCACATTTGACACATGCTGCGTGTCCGCTGGGACGGGAACGTTGATCTGGGCCTGAGAAACGACTTGATACGCTGGCTGCGTCAGAGCCTGAGTCCCAATGTGCTGTAACACGGGCCCAGGATGTGCATACACCTGTTGGTGTGGCCTTCCGTTAACATAGAACGGGCTTGGTGCTGTCACCTGTGGAACCGTCTGGCTGACTGCGATGGAACGTCTCTGAAGCTCGACTTGGGAGTAGTCCTGCCAGCGATTCCCGAAATTTCCGTATTGACCCTGGTCATAGTTGATGGAATTGACGGATTCCTCGCCATGGCGTGAAGATTCCACAGTCTCACCACTTCCAGGCCCGACAAATGCATTGGTGGTGCTAGGTGCTGGGGGCTGAGAATTAAACGGAGGAAGCTGTGCGTTTGTATTAGGATAAGAAAAGTTTGCAGGTCCAACAGGTCCACGGTATGGATTCGCGCCCGAGTCCTCTATTTATTGTTTAGTGCCTGATCCAGAATAGCATTCTTATCGTACTCACCTTGAACACCGAGATACGAATGAGGCGCGCCTATATAGTAACCGCCCTGGGTAGATTGAGTGGACTGTGGGAAATTCTGCGAGTTGAGAGATCCATAGCCACTGAAATCCTGCGAACCTGGCCTTTCTGCTGAAACCGTGGTGCCAGGGCCCTCGATGGCGGAATGGGGTGGTCCTGTATCCATACCAGGATCTATTGGAGTGCGTACTCTCCAAGGGTATTGCACTCCTAATGGATATGTCAACAGCCTCTGATTCAAGAGGTGCAAGCCAGCAAGGACCCTGGTAATCCCGTTGTGGATGACCTGAAGCTCTTCTCGCAGTGTCTCGATGCTGTTGTGGCCGGATTTTCTTTGGTATGGAGTTCTTTGATGGAAAGAGGTCGACCGAGGGAAAGCCACAGTGAGGTTGGCAGATGAGCTAGACGCGTTGACAACAGGAGAGATCACGGCAGTGGGTTCTGGGCGATCGAAAGTAGCGGATCCGCGAGGTTGACCAGATGATTCACCGGCACTCCAGTATTCTAAACCACAAAGACTTGAGCCAGTGAGTGATCTGTCACAGTGATAGAGTCAAACCAATGAATACGTCGAGTGAGTATCAACAAGGCAAACTATGGGCCAGGCATGCATGGAGTGGGATTTGAGTCTTGGCAAGTGCAGCGAACAGGGAGATGAATACAACAGGGAAGCACAGACCCTGACACTTCCAGCAGTATCTGGTATACACAGCTAGACCGTTCTGTGTATTATTCTCATTTGCAGCCGACAGAGGCCTGCCAGAGATATTCGAATATTGCTCAATACACGAGCAGCAGATAGGCGAGTTCAGCTGTTGACAGCCGATAACATGCTTATGGATGCAACTAGGCTGTATTGACATGGGAACCCAGGCAAACATATCTCTGCTGGTTGAATGGCCTTGCTAATAAAGAAGAACGAAATGGAGTCGATGGCTTTCTCCAGCGATCTCTTTCATATTACTGTGGTCATGTCAACGCCAGGATAGTTAAAGAGCAGGGGAAAGAAAGGAAAGGGAAGGGAAAGGGAAAAGAAAAAAAAAACATACGAGCGTGTGGAACAGGTCGTGGGCAAAAGTCCATTAATAATGACGAAGATCATCCAACCAAGAAATGACTCCAATCCCAGTCATGCGGTTGTGAAGAGCTCGACAGTCGTGACCTGGTTATCAACCGGTAGTTCCGAGCCAGCAAGACTGGAGAGGGAGAGATGAAGCTGTTGCAAGGCAGGAAAAACCATTCAACTCCAACAGCAGGGCTGCAGGAACGTTTTAATACTGGAAATGATCGATCGCAGCGCCTGGACGGAAGTGGGTGGGAACCAAACGGAGACAGGTCCACGACCGAGGAAGAGCGAAGCTGACGTCTGGACAACGTTTATCGCCCCAGACCAGCAGCAGGATAGGCCGCGACCGATCAGAAAAAGGAAAAAAGAAAAGAAGAGAAAAAAAAAAAAAAAGCGACGGAACGACCGATCAGGCACCTGGAAAGCCAGCCAGGAAAGTCTTTCCAGAGCCAGGATCCAGCTCCAATCCAATTATGATTATCTCCATCCCGTGGCGGTTTGCAGGAGGTTTCGGAAACCGGGAAGCTGGCGGGTGTTACCATCTGACCCCGCAAGATGATCTGTACAAATTACGGGCTATGATGATCAGTAAGATACGGTATTTTGCTGAGGGGGAAGCCCGAAGAGGAGCATGCGAGAGAAAAAAACAGGCAACCTGCATTATTGGCTCTGCTCAACCCTCAAAACACGAAGAGCTCTTGAAGAGCAGGACAAGAGCTCGAATTCCAGCGCTGATCGTGTTCGGCACGAGAGTCCCGCAGCGATCGTCGACGTCATTTTGGTGCTATCAGTACGACCGTGTGGCCAGAATGGAACGCTCTCATCTATCCCGTCCCTTTTTATTTCCTCCTTCCCATGGATAGATGGACAGTGAGGCCTAGTCGGTGATTCAGAGACAGGAAGAGAGACAGGAAGCCCAGCTATCCATGAGACCCAGACCGTGGCTGTCCGTGCGGCATCTCCGACCACCCCTCGTGTCAACTTTCCGACCCCTCCCAGCAGCAACAACAACACCAGTCATAACAAGACCAATGTCCAGTTTCACCATACCCGCCGACAAGAATGCGACTGGGTCGGGGTTATTGGCAGTAAGCTGTCCACCGGATCTCACCCAGGAGGCCCTTTTGAGATTCCCGGCTTTCAAGATTTGGCTTTCCACACTGCAACACTCCCTGGGACGGCAACAAGACCCGTCGCATGAATTCCACCATGACCCTTACATCCTACGCAGGATTGATATCCAAACTGTCGATTACTTTGGTGGCGGTAGACTCGGGTTCGTGAAATTTAAGGCAGATGTTTCGAATGGGGGTGGCGAACACCTGCCCGGGAGCGTGTTCTTACGCGGGGGTAGCGTTGGGATGTTGGTAAGGGAGCACAATCTCGGTTTTTACAAATCACTTGACTGATTATTATTGTTTCGTTTTTTACAGCTCATTCTTCAGCCTGATGACGTTCCACCAACAAACGAAGCAGAGAGCCGTGCCATCTTGACCATACAACCTCGTATCCCAGCTGGTTCCCTTGCGTTCCCGGAAATACCTGCCGGTATGCTCGACGATAGTGGTACATTCGCCGGAGGTGCCGCAAAAGAGATCCACGAAGAAACAGGGTTGTCTATACCGCAGAATGAACTGATCGACATGACATCGTTAGCACTGCAATCCGTACAAGAACCAGAAAACGGCGAGACACTACAAAAGGCAGTATATCCTTCAGCGGGAGGGAGCGATGAGTTTATCCCATTGTTTTTGTGCCAAAAGATTATGCCACGAAAGGATATCGAAGGCTTGCAGGGACGGTTGTCGGGCTTACGACATGAGGGCGAGAAGATCACATTAAAAGTGGTTCATTTGAAAGATCTGTGGAAAGAAGGATTGCGAGATGGAAAAACACTTGCTGCATGGGCACTTTATAAGGGACTCAAACAAGAAGGAAAGCTTTGAGTCGGTACTTATACACTATCCTAGGAAAAGTCCCCGAAGAGTCCAAACTCGCGGAAATGCCCTGAATACATTTATTGAAGCCAACCAACAGCCATCATAATGAAATCTACATATCATAACAGGAAGCCTTCTAGCACTTCTATCTTAACGAAAAAGAAACCCGTCTGTCAGCCCCGCGACAATTCAAAGCTTCAGCTTCTTCGCAATCTCAATACCCTCTGCTATCGTCCCCACACGCGCATCGATCGCATATCCCTCACTCTCAAGCTTCTTCATCTCGTCAAACAAAGAAGCCAACGGCAGCGTAAAACATTCAATAAACTCATTATCCTCGAGCTGTGGCTTCGGGTTCTGGTTCTCGGGGAGGGACATATCAACACGAACGTGGACCATGTTGAGATTGGTGTTGCAAAATCCAGGGTCTAAGATTCAGTCAGTCAGCCGCATCTTCTTGAGCCATGGAGGAATAAAAAAAAAGGCCCCCAAGATAGGTAAACCCACCGTTATACATAATACTGCTAGTCTGCTCCGCAACCCCAACATACCCCGTCTCCTCCTTGAGCTCCCGCACGGCACAATTCTCCACCGTCTCCCCGGCATCAATCAACCCAGCAGGAACCTCAATAACAACCTTATCAACTGGGGGCCGGTACTGTTTTTGTAGAAGCAACTCGGGGCCTGTAGGCTTTTCGAGAATCGTCACGATGCCAACGCCATCAATGGCGCAGTTTGCGGGTCTGGTCTGTTTTACAGTTCGCTGTCGTCAGACTTGACATGATGAAAATTGGAAAAACAGAAACTTACCTGGCGCTCAGCAGATTCCCAGGTCCTCTCGACTCCGTTGGGATCGACGTATGTGGTCTTGATCATTCTGGCCCATCTAGCTTCTTTGGGGTCCTATCATGTTCATGTTCCTTGTTAGATCTTCTCGAGTAGAGTAATTAGGCCTGATAGCCATTGGAATATATAAACAAGTGGACAATCAAAAAATAAACGCATAAAATAAGATAAACCCAAAATCCCAAACAAGCTGCATAGTACATACCAATGGACCCCGCGAGATGAGCTTGGACTTTGCGTACTTTGGTTCCGACATGTGAATCTGTAATATCGAGTATATGAATAAATTAATCAAAAATAAGGTATAAATAGAGTAATCCGGTTTACGCGGGTAAATGTAGTATTTACAAGGTGTAGGTACCTAGGTAGGTCGGTATGTATGTTGCTCTAACTGATGTTGTCCGGCATGGAGTCGGCGGATGAGGGGTTTGGAGAAGAGGGGGATGACGAGGGTTAGCCCTAATCTTATCAGACTCAACACCAATTGTAGAGCGAGGTTGTGAGTACTTTATAGACAGGAAGTGAGGTTTTGGTAGTTAGGTTGATATTATTGTGGTATTATCAGAAAATAAATTGTCGAATTCGTGTCTAAAAATAATTTGGGATAATAAGACTGACGTATGGTCGAGAATGAACAGCCACTTCAGCGTTCCGCAGACTAATTTTGGCTTGAAAAGGACAGCAGTATCACGGAGGTCTAGACTTTACAGGTACTCAGCAAGCATGGACTATTTGTAGTTTGTGGTTGTGTGACAATCCAGCATATCCGTTGCAGATCTGACAAATTTCCTCGTTTTCCACCCAGCTCAGCCTGCAGTTTCCTTGCATCACCAGCAACACCACGCTGGCAAACTAACCAGCCCAGCCAGTTGTCACTCACCAAAACTAGACCAAAAAAAATAGGCTCTACGTAAATCTTCTAAGTTCTAAGCAACCAAAGTGGATTACTTACCGGACACCTAGTCGGCAGACTCGGGTGATTGCGTGCATGGACTACGGTACTACCCGCCTGCTAAAGCAGGGAAATATGGAGAACAAGCAAGAATTGTGGAGAAATTTCTATCGTATTCCTGCAGGCTACAGGCCTCGAGCAGGTATCTCTGGTACATAGAAACTTGTCTATGGTAAAAATTTGAAATACTAATGCATTTAACCTTTGACCAAGGCAAAGAAAAGAAGAGAAGAAAAAAAGAACCACGGCGGGACAAACAAGTCCTCACGCCAATGACGTAGAAAGATGCGCGAAACAAATTACCCTGTTGTTGATCGAATGAACCGAACAGGTATAGTCGTCGCGGAAAATGAAAAAAGAAATGACCTTAAGGCTCCATAACGACCAACGCGCTAGCTATCATGGCTTCGTGTAGAAAATCAAAGAAATAAAGAGAATCGAGAGTCGAGACATCATGGCGAGACCAGACCCACTTAGAGCGCCTCGATTTCCGCCATACACTTCTCGAATTCGGCCCAGTCCTTCATGATGACTTTAACACCGAGTTCCTCGAGACGCTGGGCCATTTCGATCTTCTTGTCGTCCCCATTGTAGCTGCCAACATATCCAATGACTGGGATGCCGGCGCGGATAGCGCTGAGAGCACCAGACTTGCTGTCCTCAACGGCAACAACTTCTTCCGGCTTCTTGTTGCGGACTTCAAGGGCGTGAAGGTAGATGGCCGGATCAGGCTTGGAAGTAGGCTTAGGCAGGGAGGTAGCAGCACTGAAGACATGGTCGGGGTTGAAGTACTTTTCCTGGTCAACCTTCTTGATGGAGGCTCTGACACGGCGAAGAGCAGACGAGGAGACAACCGCGAGACCGTACTTCTGAGACTTATGGAGCTTTTCGAGTTCTGCGTCAACACCAACACAAGATTGAGCCTTGGCGTTGAGCTTCTCAATGACCTTGTCCTCCTCTCTCTTGACGTACTCCTCGAGTTCGTCCTTGGCCATTTCGAACTTGTACTTGGCTTGAAGAGAGATCATCATTCCTCGGAAGTTCTGACCGACGAAATCCTGGATGAGCTGCTCACCCGTGTAACGATCGGGAATGTCGCGCTTCTCCAGAATTTCATTGGCGAGGTCAGCACACGCCTCAAAGGCCAATTCTTCCGAGAGGACGAGAGTGTTGTCGCAGTCGAAGAAGATTTCGGTGATCTGCACTCACAGTTAGGGCTTGTAATGTGTTATATCAGGGATTCAAGGACTAACAAACCTTAGGCATGGTGACTGTAGATCTTATGTCTTTGGTCTGTCAAGTGTAGAGAGGCAATGGTTGAGAAGAATGAAGAATGTGTGAAGAAAAAGACGTGTGTGTTGTGTGTGTTAATAGTAGAAGGGGAAAGAAGAAGAGAGAAATTCTATGAGAGAATTTTTGAAGAGGTAAATCAAGTGAATGGAGGCTAGTCAACACTGGCAGAAAAAGGAAGGGGAACTTTTCCCTCTTAAGTAGATTCAGGAAAAGCATGCCCAGGCTTGAGGTGCAACTTAGCCGGCGAGACAATGACGCTCCCGTTAAGCCAGCATGCCCTACTACCTACTACTACATAGTAAGGCGTATACAATGGAAGAGGGGCTTGAGGTGTCCGTGACGTCTGCGACTGCCCCAAGAAAGGCTAGAGCCCGGCAGGCCTCGGGTGCGACTAGGCCTATGAGAGCAACTGACTATGGCTCGGTACCCCCTCTCTCTAGCCTGTTCGGGTTAGGCCGAGGCAAGGTTTGGGGTTCGGTATGGAATGGTGTCATCCATGGTTTTTTTCCATCTGCCATTCAGGTACTATGAGAGTCAGAGTTGAGGTGATAACAAGATCGCCTAAGCGTAATGATATCAAGATAGTAATATCAGGAAATCAAGACATCAGGATGTTTGAAAAGTAATGCTTCATGTCTAGGAGTACAATTCCAGTCAGAGCACATGGTAGGAAAAGTCATGTCCACAACCGAGTCACCAGGCATATCCATGCAAGGCATTTGATTGCCAGGAATCATACTGTTCGTATCCCAGGCCTTAGGCAGCATACTAGGGATGGTAGCCCACGAATCGCCAACATTTACTGTACAGTCAGACTAACTCAACATCGTCCGACTGACAGGATGCAGTACTACTTAGTTGGGTATTGATGAAGTCGAATGCAACACTCTCAGTATATCCCCTCCGCCCCACCAACCGCGCGTGGACTCTTTGGCCCGTGATAACCGGGACTGCCTTGCTGCAGGCCATTATTCTGCTTGACGGTCGCTGATTGGTTAATATCTTGCCGGTGAAAATATTGCCCAGATGCTACTTTCTTTTTCTGTGTTTCTTATTCGCAACACATCCGGTTTGCTCTGATTTCTTCGCCCGTTAGTTTCTGAGGGTTGCTGCCCCTCACTCTCACCCCGCTTCACCCCTCCCTGGACAGTTAAAAAAGGATTCGACCATTACTGTTCGAATATGGCTGCTTCCGATAATTTTCCCGTCTCCTTATCATCCCTCCATTTCCCGTCCGCGGAACAGTCCATTTCCCAGACACTATCCTCGCTGCGACGATCAGCGCTCTCTGTCGCCAATCGATTGCATTCAATTGAAACCGATGCTTGTTTTGTGTCCGAGGTTGCAGACCACTATGACCTCCCTCTCGTCGCCAACGAGCGATGTGGGAGCTGGTATATCCCACCCGAGACCAAGTCAGGCAGTGCCTACTTCAAGAGCACAGACGGCCATACTGGCCAGTGGGACTTTAGCTTTCGTAGGCTGAACTTGCAGATTCTCCCAGTGGCTCGGGAGCATGGGGGGTTAGTGATGCTTCCATCTTTTCTCGGGTTTCTGTTATTCCCTCATCCACCATCAGGATTTCCTATGACTGGATGGAGAAGTCTGAACTAAGTCGGCTTAGACAGAACTGACCACAAATCACCGTTGCAGATGCATCATTGTGGACTCGACTCGCCGGGGTAAACGTAAGTAGCCTGTCAATAATAGCCTTTGAATTCGGTTCCTTGCTTCCCCTTTGCCCATGTCACTCTGTCTCACCATGACCCCTCTCAGTGATGCCCGATGCCTTGTCCAAAACGGTCCCAATATGGTGTGCCGTAATGAATCGAGCATTATTTCCTTCCGAACCTGCATACCATGCCGTGCAATTACCGCCAAATTTTCTGGGTCCATCCGAGGAATCGCAGATCGAGCGCCGGATTGATGGTTTTGTCCAGTCCCTCAAGGTAGCCGGCCTTCTGTTATATCGAAGATTTCCGGTACAAATGTAGACTGATTATGAATTCTAGGATCTTAAACTCGATTTAGATGACCTCAGGAAGCAGCTGGGGAAGCCCATTCGGGTGGCATGGGCCAACCGAACGTACTTCCATCCAACAGACTTACATAAAGGAGATGGGTATCACCTCTTCGTTCTCTGCTCCGCCTCAAAACGGGTCCATGGTGCGGAAATGTCGGAGGGAGGCTATATTCAAGGAGCGGGAGATGACAGTGAGGGCTGGGCCCACGGACTCACCCCGCCAGTGTTTTGGGCAAATAAATCTACCCTCTTTCAAACAACAGAGGAAGATTTACCAGGGGTAATCCAGGGTTTAGTTGAAGACTACCGCAAAAAAGACACCAGTCAACAGGCCACTCTTATTACACCCACTCAAAATCTTTATATCAGCCAAACTGATTCTCGTCTGAATGACGCGGGTATCTATGACTTGGTCATAGACTGCAATGGTAACCCAGCCGCCGCGGAAGGAAACCCAAAGCGACTGAATCTGGGATGCGGGCCGGGAAAGCTAGGGAGTCGTGATCTACGGAAACATCTAGACAGTGTCCAAGCTTTTGTTAGTTCGCAGCTAGCTTCTGATCCATCGCGGTCGTTGCTGGTGACATGTGAGTCTGGGAAGGACCTCTCTGCTGGAGCTTTACTCGCGGTGTTGTGCCTGTTCTACAATGATAACGGTAATTCTCTTTTGTTGATCTATTTTGAACCTCAGACTGACTGTATTCCAGGGAAGTTTACGTCTAATCAAACCCAGGTAATCGGAAAGCAATTCATCCGGCAGCGTCTTGCTTGGATAACATCTGCGAAACACGACGTGAATCCTTCACGTTCCACCCTTCAATCTATCAATGCATTCCTAATGTAGGACTAATGATTGAATACTTGAGGTTGTGAGAGAAATTAAGAAATATATGAGCTTCATAACCATGAACAGGAGTGAATCCGATATGTACAGGTGGTTCACTCATTCACAACAGCCTCGACAATTGCCCCGGCGCTTCCTTGATCGAGGGCATTCAACACGGCCATGTCCTCCTCGCTGATATTAAAGTCGAATACATTGGCATTGGCCTTGATTCGGTCTGCGTTATCGGTCTTGGGGAGTGGTACCCATCCCTTCTGCAATGCGTAGCGTATCAAGACCTGCTGGGTGGTCTTCTCGTATTTATTCGCCAGGTCGACAAGTGTAGGGTCGCTAGCTTTATAGTTCCGCACAATCGGGGAATAAGACTCGACAATAATACCGTTCTTCTTGCAGTACGCATCAATTACGCGCTGTTGGCACCATGGGTGGAGCTACAAATTCTCCTAGTTAGCTTTTGCGCCTTATCGAGTCAGGAAATCTGGGAAAGGAAAAAAACTCACCTCAATCTGATTTACGTGCGGTGGCCAGATCTTGGCATATGGCTTCATTTCCTCGATATGTTGCACTCCAAAGTTGCTCACACCAATGCTCTTTGCTCGGCCTTCCTCCACAAGTCTTTCCAAAGCCTGCCACAGCTCCTTCCGGCCAGATGAGCCAGAGCTGGAGCTGTGAATGAGAAACAGATCAACATATCCACCTGGGCCGCCGATCTTTTCGACACTCGCGAGGAGCTTGTTATAGGTAGCTTCGGGAGAGCCGGCGGGGCTCAGAATCTTGGAGGTGACGAAGATCTCGCTGCGAGGGATACCCGATGTGCGAATGGCATCTCCGACTTCCTTTTCATTTGCATAAAATTGCGCTGTGTCGATGTGTCGGTAGCCCGCCTGAAGAGCCTTGTGGCACGACTGCACACACACGTTGGTTGGAGACCGGTAGACTCCAAAACCGAGACGAGGAATCCTGACCGAGGAATTTGGGAGGGGGAGGAGGTCGGTGATGGCGTAAGTCGCGGACATTTTGGATGTTGTCGTCGACTGCTGGATCGTGATGAATGGAAGAAACTTTACAGGCGGTCTTTAAACTGGCTTCAATCTGCAAACGCTCTTTGTCTGGTGAGTCAATGGGAGCGGGGAGAGAGAAGAATTGGTGGTTGGCGTCGGCCGCTGCAAGCTTGCCCCGCCGTCGAACCTCGCGGAAATGATATCATCGCGATCCGAATCGTATCATCGGGCCTGGATATTGTACCATTTGCTGATTGTCCAGTGGCGTTTGTTTATGCTGATTGTTGGATAGATGATACCATGCAATTATCTGTCAAAATATGATAATATGATTGCTCTTGTGCATCGACATTTCAGCTGATTAATGACCTGCTGGTTCTGTCGGATGCATCGCTATTACAGGGGCTAGATGACTTCATTATTTCCCGATATATGATCTTCTTCTGACATTGACTACTGAAATTCCTGTATGATTTGACTATCGAAAGGAATAGGAGATTTATTTTGTCTAGACTCCCGAGGATCTTCATTGATTCATCGACATTCCACCCACTTCTACGATAGACCCATCTAGAGTGGGCCACGACTCGAATTGGAATTCAGTGATTCAAAGCGATTCAAGGTGGCTGAGACAGTAATAAGAGAGATATCCCTTGCTCAGCTGCACTGATTGCACCGGCAGAGAGCAGATGAAGCCGGTCGAGTTACTACATATCTTGACTTTGATATGCAGAATGCACCCCTGACCCTCCGTGACACCATGGACTTGACAGTAGAACCCCCATCTCTTCATCCACTCTCCGTACAAGGATGACTCCTCTCCGACCCATCAATAATTAATTGCTTTCTCCTTGATCATTCCAGCTAAAAATAATCGTCTTCATTTCAGCAGAATTCCAACGGCGTCAGCCAAAGGAATGATTGGAAGGGCGGTTGCTGTGGAGGCCAATGGTTTGTTGACAAGCGCTTAGCAGCTGTCCACTTTCGCTGCCTCCCCGCCCCTGGCTCGACTGAACCTGGCGTGGCATCGACGCTTTTTAAGGCCTACAGACTAACTAGATTGACTGCTAACTGTCACTACTACCGCTACTGTTAACGAGCTAATAATATCCATCTATTCATGCCCGATTCTTTCACTCGCTGTACAGTAATCTGACGAAGCGTGACGATCTTACCCTTTCTATTCAGCCCAGCCTACCCTTTTTTGGAAGCGTCTTCCTCTCTCCACCATCCCCAATCTGCATTTCCATTTATTATTGCGACTACATTTATAAAGAAGAAGAGAAAAAAATCGAAAGAAAAAATATTATTTCCCAAATATTGAAAAAAGCCCTGGATGTCCCCATCACTGTAAATCATCAATCATGTTGACGGTTGAGAAGCAATGGATTAATGTGCAACAAAAGACTTTTACCAAATGGTGGGTGCCCCTCTCCTTCTTTCTCACGCCGTCTGCCTTTCACCCCTCCCCCTCTTCCCCTGCAGGATGCGCTTGAATCCTCATGGATGATGCAGCTGACACTCGAGGAACACCAATAGGCTCAATGACAAGATCAAGGTTCGGGGTATCACCATCGATGACCTCGTCTTCGACCTCTCCGATGGCGTGAGTCCCTTGGCCCTTTTTCTACCCCTCTCGCAAAGTTCCCTCCCAAGACCAGCCGATTGATCGTGTGTTCTCCGATATATTCTAGGTTATCCTTATTCATCTGCTCGAAGTCCTCGGCGGGGAGACGCTCGGTAAATATGCCGCGAGACCAAAGCTCCGTGTGCAGCGGTTCGAAAATGTCAACAAGAGTCTCGATTTTATCAAGGGGAGGCGGATTCCGATGACCAACATTGGCGCTGAAGATATCGTGGATGGTAACCGAAAGATTATCCTTGGGTTGATATGGACACTCATTTTACGATTCACCATCAGCGATATCAACGAGGAGGGTATGACCGCGAAGGAGGGACTGCTGCTGTGGTGTCAGAGAAAGACCGCTTGCTACGAAGGGGTGGAGGTCCGCGACTTTTCCAGCAGTTGGAACGACGGTTTGGCTTTCTGTGCGCTGCTGGATATTCATCGGCCCGATTTGATCGACTTTGATGCGCTCGACAAGAAGGACCACCGTGGTAATATGAAGCTGGCTTTTGACATCGCTGCCAACGAGATCGGTATCCCCGATTTGCTCGATGTGGATGATGTCTGCGATGTAGCGAAGCCCGATGAGCGCTCCCTGATGACTTATATCGCCTACTGGTTCCATGCCTTTTCGCAGTTGGAGCGAGTGGAAAACGCCGGTCGACGAGTGGAGAAGTTCATCAACAACATGCACGGGGCGTGGGAAATGCAAAACTCCTATGAACTGAGGATGAAGGAACTCCTTCGTCTTATCAGGGCCCAGCGCGACAACTGGAGAAACTCATCATTCGAAGGAACCTACAAGGATGCCAAAGACCAAGCCTTTCAGTTCTCTCTGTACAAGAGAAATCAAAAGCGACAATGGGTCGCCGAAAAGTCAGATCTCGCTGCTCTGCTCGGAAACATCAAAACGAAACTCAGCACTTACCGGCTTCGTCCTTATGATCCTCCAGCAGAGCTCCGCTTGGAAGTCTGCGATCAAGAGTGGGAATGTCTTACACGAGACGAGCATGAGCGTAGTCAACTGATTAACGAGACGATTCGGGACATCAAAAACGCTCTCCGCCGTTCATTCGCTGACAAGGCCAATGACTTTGCCTTAACACTGAGAACCTTGTCTCTTGCCATTTCCGGCCTTGATGGTGATGTAGAAGACCAACTAGACCATGTTAAGAGACTCAATGACAACCTCCCTCCCCTCGATGCGTTCCTAGATACCATCGCCGCGCTAGACGAGCAGTGCGCCGAGGCGAACATTGAAGAAAACGACTTCACAACTTACACCTTAGACGAACTCTCGTACGAGCTGAGCCTGGTGAAATCAAGTATCTCAAAGAAGCTTGCATTCCTGGACAATCAGCTTGTGGCACGGAATATGACAAACCTAACACCAATTCAGCTGGAAGAGTTTGAGTCGGTATTCAGGCATTTTGATCGTGATTCTTCCAACACTCTCCAGGAGCTTGAGTTCTCCGCTGCCCTGGCCAGTTTGGGTCTTGTATATGATGAAGACGAGATGCATGAGGTCTACGTTGAGACGTGCGGGCCAGCTAGATTAGCACAAAATGCCGGCGTCGGTTTCGAACAATTCATTCGATTTATGGTCAGCGTTACCGAGGACCAGAATACTGCAGAGCAAGTTTATCAGAGCTTCCGCGAGGTGGCAGATGGCAAGGTACGTTTCCAAAGACGGGTTTTCCATTCTATTTACTCACATTTATGCAGCCCTACGTTACCGAACTTGATCTTCGACATTCACTTATTCCAGACGAGGTTATTGAACATCTTGTCTCGACTATGCCGGCACATGAAGGATTCGACGCAAAGGAAGACCGGGATCTGCCCAAGTACGACTACATTAGCTTCATGGAGAAGATGATAGAGCGCGAGCGCGAGGGCCATGACGACGTGTCTATCAATGGAGAGGACTAAGTATATTCTTCCTCACAGCATTTTTGGTTGTTCGGGATTTCTTTTTCCTTTTCTAATGGGTGCTGCTACTGGTGTTTTCTGGAGCTAATAGGAGGGTTTGAGGGTTTGTCTCTTGACCGGCGACCATGCATACGGGATTATCATTCGATGAGTCCTTTTTCTTGTTTTGTGTATTGCATCTTTCCATTTCTTCTTTATTTCTCTTTCACATGTTTTTTCCCACCGTTGCCCTCTATTCAGGCTTCAGCCACTGGACATGTGTACTACATGACCAGGGGCGCAGAAGTAACTAAATACAATCAAAACCATTGATAACTATTATTCAACTCTCAAACTCCCTATCCAATTAGATCAGTCTCTCGTAATCATTAAATAGAATCAATATCGGGACGCAGCAAAGTGGCTATGTATCACGTGACCTGATCAGCTCCCATGTTTCATCCATGGTTGGGGGAATCCATCTTCCCCAGTTTACTTTAACTTCAACCTCCATTGATTTGATTCTCGCGATTGAAGCGCGTCCAAGACTCCCTTCATCCTCGTATCATATATTCCGCCTTTCTCCTCAACGAAATTCCCTTCACAGCGTGTCCAAGATGGACCGTAGCCTGGATGAGATCATCGCCGAGCGTCCTGTAAGCTGCCTCAGCTCCCGCAGTTTCAGTCAATAATGCTTCAACTTCGCGATCGAATCTAACTAACAGAATACGCTTTTCAGCAGCAGAGGCAAAACCGTGGCGGCCGTCGCCCTCAAGGTCAAGGCCAGGGTCAAGGTCGTCGCCGTGATGGCGTGAAAAAGGTATCTATTTATCCTGGATTTGGATCTTACTTGTTGTTTTCTGCGAAAGAACTTTGCGGGCTGACTATTTTGACTTTTTTCTCATCCTTGTTCAGGTCCTCCCTCCTGTTCTCCTTTCGAGCCCTCCTATCGCATCGTGACAAGAAAAAAAAAATCGCTGGTCTCGTCCGTCTTTGTTGTTTTTCCTGAGCAGACGAAAGGCGACGAAGAGCCGCACAGAATGATGGAGACATTTCAAATACATTTAGTTTGACTTCGAGCTGACCTTGTCTGTCTTTTTGCGATTGCAACAGCCCCAGAGAGAAGATCGCGTTGACTTGGATCTGTAATTATGACCCCCTTCCTCTTATACGTGTTTTGTTTGCTTCGGAGAGAGTGCTGATGTTTGCTGCTTTGCAACAGTGATTGGGTCCACGACAAATACGAAGACGACAGAGAGAGTGCGTTTTGAACCGTGACATTTGCGATAAGATCTTGTTTTTAACAGCTTCCCCAGCACGCCCATCCCGAGGCGCTCGCCGTCCGCGTGGTGACCGTTATTCGCCGCCGCTGGAACAGTATGTTGACTGGTCGATCTGATCTTATATGCGCCTTGTTACTTACTTCTGCAGCGGAAACGGTCCATCGGGATCTAAGATTCGCGTCGAGAACATCCATTACGATATTACCGAGAGTGATTTGGAGGTAGGCAATTATCAAGTTGGCCCCAAAGTGAGTCATGCATCTGACGGAAATCTATTTTAGGAATTGTTCAATCAGATTGGACCCGTGACCAACTTGTCGCTTGTCTACGACCGAGCAGGACGCTCCGAAGGTCTCGCCTTTGTTACCTACAACCGCGCCAGCGATGCCAGAACCGCCATTAGCGAATTCGACGGTGCGAACGCCAAGGGTCAGCCGATCCGTTTGACCCTTATTGCCTCCGGTGCCGGAAGACGAGACCGCAACCCGTTTGACAATGTTGAGAGACCGAGAGGAAGTCTGATGGATCGCGTCGAGCGACCTCGCGATTCCCGGAGTCTTAGCCCGGGAGGCGACGGTGACGGCGAACGCCGTCGTGGTGGACGTCGTGGTGCTGCTGGTGGTGGACGCGGCCGACGCAGCGACGTATCTAAGCCTGCTCCAGAAAACATCGATCGGTACGTACCCGGCCAGCGACAGCGCTCGCCGGCTCGCAGAGGCGGCAACGGACGCCGCCGCGATGGCCGCCGCGACAACAATACCAACGACAACAACCGATCGGACGGCCGCCGCACAGTCAACGGCAGACCCCGGAAGACACAGGAAGAGCTCGACCAAGAGATGGAAGACTACTGGGGTGGTGCTAACGGGGGTGCCGAAACGGCTGACAAGCCAGCCGCTGTCCCTGAGGAGCCACAGCAGGCTGCTGCACCGGCCACTACCGCGCCGGCTGGTGACGACGATGTCGACATGATCGAGTAGACCCGATTCACTTCGTTGTGCATATTGACGACCTTTGTGTGCACCCCTTGCTATTTTCATTTTCATTTTTCTATCTAAATTGCAAATTGCTATGAGCATTGATCTGGGAGGATTGGGTTATTCGAAAAGCTACATTTTAATGTGATTTACTCCTCTCCGTGTTCAATTTGATTGAACTTAGAATATATTCTCCTTAGGTTCAGGTCGGACGCTATGCTCAACTCGAGTGTAAATTGGAGTCCCTTGTGCTTTATATTTGCTCGAATTATAAGGTGTCGATTGAATAAATACTGATAAAGGGTATTATCCGGTGTTAAATCTGCTAGCTGTAGATACATACATGGCTCTCCACTAAAAATGTAATTGGGAGTGACAGCAGAGATGCAAACACCGGCGATAAATACAAACGGCAAGAGCAGTAGCGAACAAGCGGCTACTCACTACCGCCACAGACCATAAGGCTCTCTGCATGCCTTCCACAACTTGATTGTTCCGTCCTCGCTTCCGGTGCCGTAAAGCTTGCCGTCGGGGGAGAAACTGACAGACCAGATGGGGCCGTGGTGACCCTTTTGGACCTCTGATATAGGTTGTTAGCTTTCGAATAGGTGCAGCAAGGAGGGAATGGTCAACGTACCGAGTTCTTCGTCTGTGTGCAAATCATATACTCGAGCCCAGGTGTCATCGGCGCTACCAGTGACCAATCGACCGGTTTCGTTGTTCACCGCGACACTGGCCACCTCGTATCTGAAATCCATCTTCTTGAGCAGGCGTCCCGGGGTGATGCCGTCAAAGAGGTATACACTCTTTCCGGCGGCGACGGCGAGGATACCGGGGTCATTAGGACGGACGGCAAGGCTATTCAGCTCGCAGCTGCCAATCGGGCCTTCCACGGCGTATTCAATGACAGGGTGGCGCGAGCGGAGATCCCACCATCGGATCTTACGGTCCTCAGCGGCGGTGGTGAGGATATTGTAGTCCTGGTTCCAGATGATGGATTTGATCGTACCCCCATGGACACCGGGTCCGATCTCGTAGCTCGTCACCGAGCTAGGGCTGTTCTCTGCGCTCGATGGGAATGTGGGCGAAGAGCTGTTACTGCCTCCGCTTCGTGACAGGTCGAAGATGCGCAGCTTCTTCTCGCTACCTCCCGTGGCTAGAACCTGGGGAGAAGGCTGGATGGGGAATGCAACCGAGCGACAAATGTGCGAATGCTGGAGAGTGTGCAAGCACTCGCCGGTATGGGTGTCCCAAACCTTGCTATATCACGTAGATTAGTGGAGGGCCAGCAGTCTTGAGAGCTGTCTGAACTCACGCAGAGAAATCCGCAGCAGCAGTTGCTGCGATAGTGGCGTCTGTCGAAAGCCGAGCTTGCCAAACAGCACCCTTGTGACCAAGAAACGTGCCAATCCTAGAATAATGTTAGAGGTACACTGATTGATAGTGAATAAAAGGGAGCACATACCAGTCTCCAGTGATACCATCTCGAAGCATGGGATTGTTGTCTGTCAACCCTGTCAGCTTTGCCCTGCTGGCAACCGAGATGGAATGATCATACCCTTGCATGCGGAGATCAAGTAATACTGGTCATCCTCTACAGTGGAGGAAAAGCTCAAATGCGTCACAGGACGAGAATGTCCGTGGCAAGTCAGAGGCACGACTTTCGGGATGTCTGTACAATGGCCTATCAGCCATCACCATCCACCCAGTATACGCAAACATTCATCTTACCTGAAGCCATTTTAAACTTCGAATTGAGTTGTTAAGTAGTAAAATATTGATTTCCTCGAAATGGTAAACGAGATTCTTATTCCATGCGGCCGTTAGACAGAAACGATCAAATGTTCGAACATGGGATCTCGACCCAATGCACTAGTACAAATAGGAAAAAAGAAAAGGTCGTATAAAGACTTGAGAAAAGACGTTGGAAATATTCAGTATACGTAGAAGTACAGAAGAAAATTCGTCAGTTTCGTCAAGTCATCAGAAAGGCGGGGTTGGTGGAGGGACAAAATGATGGTTGTTTGGAGCAAAGACACAAGGATGAGAAAAGAAATTGGGAATCAAGTATAGGAAACGAAGACGAAGGAAGAAGAAAACAAGAAGACTCCGCCAACCAGCCCTTTTGGCAACACCAGGAAGAAAGGAAAGAAAGACAAACGGACGACGTCCAGCCCACGAAGATCGAGACTGAAGGCGGTTTGTTCAACAGAACGACGACTTGATATCAACTCGTCTGCGAAATGTCCGACGTGTGGCGCTAGGCCGGATGCGGGCTAGGGCAAGGGCACGTGAGGGGTGTAGTTGGACCTCGTCTTCATCGACAGAGCGAATATGCGATATCAAGAAGAAGATATCTGGCTTCTATCTCGGATATCCCTATTCCTGTTGACTCTATTTATTGGTCTTCTACATCTCAAGAAGCCAGGCCGAGAGAGACATGTCATCCTCACCGCCGATCTGTCGATGTTGCTACATCACCGCTACCGGACTCAACAATCACATATCATGTTGGGATGCCATTTCAGTCTGTTAGATATATCGGATTAAGGATCCAGATGGAGTCATTTATACCAGCAACAGTCTGTATCGGGTCTCCTGAACAGGTGTACCCCGTACAGAGTGCTATAGTCCGTAGCTCATCGAGACTCAACTCTGGCTATATGACACGACAGCAACCATCAACTTAACAGTAAAGAGCATCATCATTGATGCCTATAGCTACTACATACAGCAGAATATTAGACATTTCATAAGATAAAGAGTGAAATTTTCGAATTCTACCAGATTCTATACAGCCCAGGACCCCCCGGGCTCACCGCCCACGTGATATGATGTGTCCCAGCGCTTCTCCGGGGTTCTGTTGTTATTATTAACCAGAGACCCCCATCAGCCTATCTGAACCAAACAGTGTCCTTCTTCTTCTTACCTGTCATTCTATTTTCAGAGCTTCCCTTGAAGATCTTTTTCCTCATCTCTCTTCACCTTATACAAGTCTTGCTGTCACAGTCTTATGTATGCCTGACTTCAAGATCTCCGCTTCTTTGGAAGGCCACGGCGATGATGTAAGTCCCCCGGAGATGACTGCAGTCTCAACATCGCCATCAACAACAAAAGAAAATTAATAACTAACTTTTGATCTTCAATCCAGGTTCGCGCCGTAGCCTTCCCCAACCCCAATGCGGTGCTTTCGGCTTCGCGAGATGCCAGTGTTCGGGTCTGGAAGCTTACCTCTACCCCGCCGCCAACTTACGACTACACCATCTCCACTCACGGCACAGCATTCATCAACGCTTTGGCATATTATCCCCCAACATCCGAGTTTCCTGAAGGTCTTGTAATCTCTGGCGGGCAGGATACCATCATTGATGCAAGACAACCTGGGAAGGCGGCAGATGACAATGCGGACGCGATGCTCCTGGGTCACATGGGCAACGTCTGTGCATTAGACGTGTGCCCTGAGGGAGGATGGATTGTAAGTGGCAGCTGGGATTCTACAGCTAGATTGTGGAGGGTTGGTAAATGGGAATGCGACGTTGTGCTAGAGAACCACCAAGGAAGTGTTTGGACGGTGCTGGCCTATGATAAGGACACAATCATCACAGGTAAGTTATTCCAGTGGGTTGCAAGGACTACCACATTCTTTCCATATACTAATATTCATTACCCTAGGTTGCGCTGACAAAATAATCCGGATATTCAACACCTCTGGCGCCCTCTTGGGAAGTATCAAAGACTCCCGAGATGTCGTAAGGGCTCTCTGCAAGCTTCCTGCCACACATCCGAGCGGCGCCCATTTTGCTTCGGCAGGAAACGATGGCGTAATTAGGCTTTACACTATACAAGGACAGCTAGTTGCTGAACTTCTCGGCCACGAGAGCTTCATTTATTCGCTGGACGTCTTACCTTCCGGTGAGTTGGTAAGTGCCGGAGAAGATCGAACAGTCAGGGTGTGGAACGGAACACAATGTGTGCAAACAATTACTCACCCTGCGATTTCCGTATGGGGCGTTGCGGCATGCAAGGAAAATGGCGATATTGTAACTGGTGCAAGTGACCGCATCACTCGGGTCTTTACCAGAGACCAAGAGCGCCACGCCGTTCCGGAGGTGGTTCAACAGTTCGAGAAAACCGTGAAAGAGTCTGCGATCCCAGAACAACAAGTCGGAAAGATCAACAAGGAGCAGCTTCCTGGTCCCGAATTCCTCCAGCAGAGATCCGGTACGAAAGAGGGTCAGGTGCAGATGATTCGAGAGACCGATGGAAGCGTGACTGCTCACACATGGTCTGGGGCAACTCGGGAGTGGATCGCAGTAGGAACAGTGGTTGATGCAGCCTCCAGCAGTGGGAAAAAGACCGAATATCTTGGTCAAGACTACGACTATGTCTTCGACGTCGATGTTGAAGACGGAAAGCCTCCTCTCAAACTGCCTTTTAACGTCTCACAGAATCCGTACGACGCTGCGACTAAATTCATCCAAGACAACGAACTACCCATCAGCTACCTCGATCAAGTCGCAAACTTTATTGTCCAGAATACGCAAGGCACAACTCTCGGTCAATCCCAGGAGCCAGTACCAGCAGGCGCTGACCCCTGGGGAACAGAAAGACGGTACCGCCCGGGAGATGGCGCTTCTCCCCCACCACCCCCTGCCCCCGAATCTAGACCCGCAGTCCTCCCCCAGAAGTCATATCTGTCCATCAAATCCGCCAATCTCAAAGTCGTTTCCAAGAAGTTGCAGGAGCTGAATGAGCAACTAGTATCCTCTGGATCGAAAGATGTGTCTCTAAGTCCTTCCGAAATAGCGACGGTGGTTTCTTTGTGCAATGAATTAGAGTCATCCGGACGCCTTAAAGATTCCCCAGCCGTGAGATCTGGTGTGGCTATGTTATTCAAGGTTGCAACAGCATGGCCCACCACAAACCGGCTGCCTGGTTTGGATCTGCTTCGGGTGCTTGCTGCTGCAACCCCTGTGATCGCTACCGCAGACTACAGCGGTCAGGATCTTGTTACTGGTGTCCAGTCTAGTGGTGTCTTCGAACACCCTCTTAACGTGAACAACGCAATGTTGTCGGTCCGGATGCTAGCCAACCTATTCGAAACTGATGCCGGTCGTCATCTCGCCGTAAGTCGGTTCGATCAGATCTTGGCAGCGGTCAAGTCAGCTCTGGCAGGAAGTGGAGGAGCCCCGAACCGCAATCTCACAATTGCTGTCGCGACGCTCTACATCAACTACGCGGTCTACTTCACTACCGAAGGAAGAGAAAAGGCACCTGAGTCTTCGGAGCGGGGACTTGTGCTCGTCGAGGAATTGAGCAAGATGGTCACCGCCGAGAAGGATTCAGAGGCCGTCTACCGCTGCCTCGTTGCGTTGGGCACTTTGATCAAGGCTTTGGGCGAGGAGGTCAAGGCTGCTGCGAAAGAAGTATACGACGTCGGAGGCATTCTCACCAATATTTCGGGGTCGGGTCTTGGAAAGGAACCGAGGACCAAGGGTGTGATTGGCGAAATCAGAGAATCGATGGCATAAATTTTAGATTATTTGCGTGGTATGGCTCAGATGGTCTGCGACCAGCATGAGTGATCATAGATTTTTTTTATTTTTACTTCGTCTTGCTCTTGTCGACAAGACGAATTCTTAACGACGACTATGCACTTTCTACGCATAAATTAATGGACACTTTATTCGAGTTGTCAATTACATAACACTCTTGACTTTAAATTCTCCCTTTTTATATAATATCGTCGTATGCCAAATCATTAGTTTCATTTCCCTGGCTGCTTCAAAGTCTTCCCTCCGTGTTGACACCAACTTCAACAATCTGATCAATACCCGGATACTCCGGACAGTCCAGCCCATACTTTTCCAAGATCTCCTTGGTCAAGAACCGCCCACCAAGAAAGTGCCTACCCTGGTAATACTTGACACACGGCTTTGGCGCCGTCAGACTAATCAGCGTCTGCGGCATAAACTTAGCCCCGGGCCCCTCCTTCGGCGGACCACTCTCTATATCCCACGAACTGGGCGCATCAACGCTAAGCACGGGGACAGATGTAGATTCTATCTGAGAAATGATAGACGGGAAGGGTTCACGGAGAGGGCCGCCAAAGGAGAAGCCGAAGATGGCGTCGACGATGAAGTTGGTTGATTTGAGGGCTTCTGTGAAGTCTGGGACGAAGGGGACTGAGAGGTTGTGGAGTTGGGTTTTGAGGCGCTGTTTATGGGCGTGTTAAATGGTTTGTCTATGTTGGTGGGTTTGTACTGGGGGAAACTAACTTGGTAGAGTTCGTTTTTGCCTTCTTTGGGATAGTATACGGACGGAGTGTACCCGTATTGAGCGAGATGTCGAGCTGCAACTAAACCATCGCCGCCTGGTTGAATGGGTTAGATGTATGTATTTGGGGTTGATGAGAACTCAAAGCTACACTTACCATTGTTACCTGGACCACAGACAACGAGAACATTCTTTCCTGCGCTGAGGGGATGGACACGCCAGACTAGATGAGCAATATCAACGGTCTGTCCACGATATATCCATCTCAATAACTATCTCTTACCGGCTTGCGACACGGACAATCCCGCAAGTTCCATTAATTGGTCCAATGACCAGCCTCCTATGCTCATGAGGTCTTTATCAAGCGAAGCAGCATCTTTGGAAGAGATTGCCTAGATGTCAAGACAGTTAGTATGATAGATAAGGATACTCTGCTGGTATTTCTGGTGGGATGAGTACCTTTAGCGACATTGCGGCTGTTCTACTATAGAAACGAACTGCGGAAAGAAGAGGAGACTGGAACCGTCTGGTCAATAGTGGACGTATCATACAATGCAGCCTCCAGCACTAAGCTCAATGAAAAAAAGAGTATTTCAACGACGAGACGCAACAATAAATCGCCAAAAAGATGTATGATCATTGACAAGAGACAGCATTACATCATCCTCCACCGCCCGACGCTAGTCCGCATTCCGCCATTGTCGGAATAACTCTTCCGCCGAATCCTCTTTCGAACTTCCGCGGAGTGGCTTTCAGTGAGAAGAGAACGAGCGAGTAATCCAATTTGTTTTCTTGCGCTTGCCAGCAGTGATAGCAGCTATTTCAAGTCGTCAAGATGGTTGTTCGGATTCGTTTGTCTCGCTTCGGCAATAAGCACCAGCCTTTTTATAACATTATTGTTGCGCAGGCACGGTACGTGTTTTTTGAGATTTTTTAATGTTATCCCGTCTACTTTATATGGAGATACCGTGCAACCCAGTCTACCGAAGTATATTCAGAAATATAAATTAAGCAGTATAACTGATATATTTCCAATTTATAGGACAGCTCGTGACGCAAAGCCGCTGGAGGTTATTGGCACCTTTAACCCCGTTCCGCAACGCCCTACCAACCTGTCCGACGAGGAAGCCCGCAGCGCCAGGGCATTCAAGGAGATTTCTCTGGACCGTTCGAGAGCAAAGTACTGGCTTGGTGTGGGTGCACAGCCTAGCGATTCTGTGTGGAGGTTATTGGGTTTGGTATGTTTATTATCCTTATATGGGTGGTGGAGATGGAGATAGATGGAAGTACGCATGATATCGAGCAATTAACTAACGGGGTCAATGATACAGGCTGGACTCTCTCAACCCAAGAAGCAACAACCCCAGAACTAAGTTGGGTGCTTTGGATTTCCCCTTGAGGATCGAATGATGGGCTTAGTAGCCTGAATTTCTCGAATTGGATTCGAAGGGAATTGAACAAGCGGCCTTGCATCGGGAATATGTGTGAAATACTGTGCTTGGGCTGAGATATTCTTTTTACGTTTACTGGCATAACTTGTGGCGTTTATTGATGGATTACTTGGGTGATATAACTCGGGTTTATTGTATGTATATTATTGGCCTGATGGGCTGTTTATTATATCTGTGAGATATGAAGTCGTTATATTGTGTCTTTATCTATCTAACTGGGTGGGCATCATCTCCGCATCGTTTGCTATAAGGGAGCTAAGTACTAACCCCAAGCACATATGGCTTCTAACTGCCTCGGTCTATCATCTCATTTACAAAGACTGGATCATGAGGCATGAGTTTAATTACAGGACCTCTGCTGGAATACCAATACCTCACATGACGCCGTGTATGCTGATGACAGACTGATGGCATATGAGCTGATATGCAATACGAGTTCAGAGCGTGACCATGCAGATTAATAAGAATATCAGGACGAGCCCTTGCAAGATACGATACCAGGAACCATCTTGGCATGATAAAGTTTATGTCGATTTTTTCACTTGCAATTGTCCCCTGTGCGTCAACCGCAAGTGTATTGGATCATGATGAATCAATCAGTATCAATAGCCCTGAGGCACCTACCTAGGTACCTACATATCATTCCATGATCCTCCCACTATCAGTAGACTCAGCTAAGGTCTACACCACCCACGGACCAACCAGAAGCGGCCCCAAAACCTGCACCGACCAGGGCTTGTGCAGTCGACCTGCAGGAGGGGCGGTGATTGGCCCGCGGAGGCAGTCGAGATTGTCGACTCAGCAGGCAGATCCGCCAGCAGAGTTTGGGCTTTCCATGGATCCAGGACAAGCCACTACAGGGCCCCGCTTGTGCCTTTGTGCGGTTCAGGCATCGACGGGGTGCATCCCTGTCTGTATTTATTATCTTGGGGGGTTAATAGGGCAGGCCGGGTTAGTAGGGTAGGGTTTGGTTGGGGGTGCGGGATATTCAGAGTTCTTGATAATACCGGTAGTTACCTTTTACTAGGTAGGTTGATACATAAGGTGCCCCCTATTATTCCAGATCAGATGGAGATGACGAGTATATCAGTATCTGCCTGATAGTCCCAGCACATGTCATGATGGATAGTTGACTACCATGAGTCAGTCACTCATGGCCATACCAGGGACAAGACATCCCCCCCCCCTATTAAGCCTCCACTGGTTCTTGTACAACGCCGTTGACGCCATTGAACAAGTCGACCCGTTCCCCAGAGTCATCCCATGATCAAGGCAGATGGTACCTAAGACATCACCCAAGAAGCTTAATGGAAAGACAGGCAGATCAATCATCCAGAATGTCGATAGTTACCGGGTCTTTGTATGGATGGGAACAAGTAGGTACGATCTAGACGGATTCGATGGTATGTACAGTACCTTTTGTGCGCCGGCATTTTTTCGTTCCGGTAGGAGACAGTACAGTATCATAACCTAGAGAGAATAACCTAGAGAATTAAGAGAATAATAAGAAAAGAGAAGATGTACGATAAGAAATAGGATGTAGCATAAATGTAAACCAGACTGAATCCCCTGTCTTATCGGAATCGACTGGCTGACGCAAGCTGCCACAATATGGCAACTGTCCAACGTCTCTCCGACCAAACAGCAATTGTCTTCTTCATCGGAGGTTTTTGAAGCAGAGAATAAAGTCGTTAGTTGGTAGTCAGAAGTAGAATCACAAAATAGTAGATACTATCGAGATGATTTCTATTTCTGTTGTTATCGGTGGATTCAACTCCACATCCCCAACAGACAGACACATTCCTCCACCCACGGGCCACGCACTTTGGCACGTTCGCATCCGGTGCTGTCGCTGTTCTCGGCGCATGGATGTATGTAATGTACAGGTAGGTACATGTCAGTGTCAGTGTCAGTCTATGATATTCTCTGTGTGTATTATTATGTAGAATCTTCTTCCCTGATCCCAACCTCGTCGGATGCTTGTCTGCACATGTAGTTAGTGGTCCTCGTAGTGCCTGGTTCAAGTGATCGACTCTGACCGGCCCTCGATAGCGCGTTGTCGTGTTTGTTCTGGACTGCTTCGCGCGCATCTTCCTATTCTATTCTCTCTTTCTCTTCTCTTAGCCTGCCTATTATTCTCTGCTCTCCTCTTCAGTCCCTGGGACGGAAACATCCTCGATCCGTGGACCAGACAATACCGTTTCTTACCCGCCTTCTCGCCCATCCAGGCGTAATAATACCGTTTGTGACCCCCATCCACCCTCCAAGTTTAAGACTGTTCCGGACTCGACGGGGCCTAATCAGGACTAACCGTAATTGCTCCGTTACTCCCTACTAACCAACTAACGCTCCCATTCCCATCCCATCTCCTCTCCTCCTCCATCACCATCTCCCATCTCTCTCTCTTCCTCTTCCTCCCTCTCTCTGCCAACTTCCTTTCTCCCCTCCCCCGCTCTCTTATCCTTCTCTCTCTCTCTCTCTCTATATCTCTTCTCTTCAAAAAAAAACTTTATATCCTTCATCTCTTTCTTTCTTTCTTTTTTTCTTTCTCTCTTTTCTCGCCCCTCCCACCATCTTGCTCCTCCCGCTCCCCTCACTCGCCTTCGCCTTCGCCTTCGCCTTCGCCATCCGCCTCCCACCTCCCCTCCTCTTCCTTTTTCTTTCGCATCGATCGCATCCCGCCGTTGGTCCATCGCTTTTCGCCGCGCAATTCCATCTCATATCCTGCTCTAACGCATTGTCCTCTTCTACACTTTCAGGAGCTTGTCGCGCCATCCCGTTCACAACTCCATCGCTTCCGATGAGGGATTCGTTCATCCAAGGATAAAAAAAAAAGAAACCGCATCATTTGTGAAATTGGTGTCTGGTCGCGTCTTGTGTGTTTCGATTACTTTGTCTCTGGGTACTGTTCCTATCCATCATCTATCCCCAACGAAGAAATAAAAAAAAACGCAAACACACCATCTCTTTTCATCCTCAGCATTTTCGGGAGGCCAATTTCTCACGGATATAATCCATCGCATCGATTTCGAGGCATGAGTGCTAGTTCGAATCAGTCTACCCGTACCAGTCCAGGGTCCTACAGTACTACCCACCGCACGGGTTCGGTGTCTTCCGGCTCGTCGCCGCCTCACCTCCCGCTCTCCTCTTCCCAGGCGCCCTCGACATCCCAGAATGCGATGTCGACCGACGTGTATAGTCCCACTGCGTCGCAAGCGCCAACTTCGCTAGGCTCTACTTTTTCATACCCTTTCTCGCCGATCGGTCCCTCCACTTCGTTTGACAGCGTATCTCCCGGCACCATGCGTTTGGGCGACTCCGACCGGTCGCCTCAGGGCCTCAACGGCTTCACTCGAGCAGGAAATGGTGGGGCTAGTGGTGGCGCGATTTTGATGCGAAAGCTCCCGAGAAACACGAGTCGCGAGGCTTTGCGCAGCATGCTCCTTTTCGCTAAAGACTTTGTTGATGCCGATTTTGTGTCGACCGACTTGCCAGAGGATAACGGGTTTTTGAGTGCGATCGCACGTTTCAATACTTTGGCCGCTGCAGAAGAGGCGAGGTCACTGCTCGATGGCAAACCGAATTCGAAAAACGACGCGACCATGGTCGTGGATATCTTCCATAGCCCCGTCGGTTCAAGTCTGCAAAATGCCAGGCGCAATACAATCGACCACACCAATACCAGAGGCCTCTTGGGCAGTGTTCCAACAAACGGTCCCGTGTCGCGTCAGTCATCGCGTTTCAACGGCACTTTCCAAAGTCTGGAGAGACTCACAGCTACAAACTCGTCGAACAACGACGCGTTGCCCCCGTCATCCGAGTCCGGTTCTCGGTTGCACAGCATCTTCTCCCCGCAGTCTCCGATCGGAAACGGCGTCAATGATCTTCCGCGCGTCAGTGGAAAATCCATGATTGACCAAGACCCCGATGAGGATACTGGTGAACTCCTCAAGGATCCCGTTGGGTATGCTGAGAACGGTCATTCGGGGTCAGTCTCGATCCCTCGCCGGTCTACGAATCCTCAGATCCCCACCAACCGGTTTGCAAACATGTCACTTTCGACCAACATGTCCTCCCCACCATTGCAGAATTACACAGGGGGTTCAACGCGGATGAGTGTTCCAACACCCTCTTCTGCGTTCCCACAAACCATCAATAATGGCAGCATTAATGGAAATCCTGGGTATCATTATGGAAACCAGCATAACCCCCGCCACAGTCTCCCAGCCGCAAACCCCAACGATTTGAACCCACCATGCAACACCCTATACGTGGGCAACCTGCCCCCAGACACTTCTGAGGAAGAACTCAAGGCCCTGTTCTCCAAACAACGTGGGTACAAGCGACTATGTTTTCGAAACAAACAGAACGGACCCATGTGTTTTGTGGAATTTGATGAAGTGGCTATGGCAAGCAAGGCCCTGAATGAACTCTACGGCTACAAGCTTTCCAACAGCGTCAAGACCGGCATCCGTCTAAGCTTTTCAAAGAACCCCCTGGGGGTCCGCTCTGGGCAGCCGGGCAGCATGAACCCTTCTGCCCCCTTGACTCCTACAGGTTCCGTTCCTGGAGGCAGCAATCTAAGCGGGGTACACAATAGCCATATGTTTTCGACGGTGAGCGGTCCGCCCCCGGGCCTTTCCGCGCCTCCGGGTCTCGTGATGCCGCTGGCTTTGAGAAATAATGGGCCCATCCATCACCCATCAGGCAACCCTCACGCACCCATGCCCAGCAATGGCTCGTTCAACCCCAACACTGGGCTGGGGATCCGCACCAATGGTGCGAACGCGATGATGTCGCCCACTCCCCCACTCGGAGGAGTCGCCAATGGCGGCAATGCAGGACCAAACATGGGAGGCTTCAACTCTTATTATCCCGACTACATGATGGGTCGGTAAAATAACCACGTTTCGCTTTGAAATAATGTCCGGCATGTTTGATGACAACTGGGGTATCTGGCGCATTGGGATTCCTGGTTTTCACGAGCTAGATCAGCATTTGGAGGGGCCACTCCTCCTGGGAGTAAGGATTATGGTAACTCTTTTTCTATACGTCTGTTATTTTGCTTTTTATCCTTTACATTCGCACAGCATGGGATTATGGGCGCTGTTGTATTCGTTTCGTTTGCCTTTGGGAGGATTGCATTTTCATGTGCTTTGTCTTTCACTCGAGAAGCTCTCAAGGATTTGCGTAGCAAATGTTCGCCTGATTCATTACCCCTGTCGTCAAGTTTCGTCATACCATTCATACCCTATGCTTTGTTTGCTGTGATTTACATTCTGTGTTTGTTTGCATTCTACAATGCCCTTTCAAGGGTTGCTATCCTGAGGGCTTCTTCTTTGTTTTACTCTCCCCTTCTTGTCTTTTTTCTTTTACTTCCTTTTTTATTTCTTCGTCCTGTCTATTGTTTCGGTGAAAATGATTCCCTCTTGCATCCATCCATTTCATGGCATCCTTATATCTTCTGGATGGTTGTCAATGCATTAAGACGTGGGTGGGGATTCGTTGCTATTGCTTTGCAGGTGGCTATTGTCCATCTCACATATACTGTTGGTGTTTTCGATTCACAAACGATCATGTTGCATGGCACTGTTCACGGTGCCTTGCTATAATCATCCTGTCTTTCTTTCTTCATTCGCCCTTGGATTGTATCGAACACACAGATGCATGTGGAAAAGGGATTGATCTGGACACCCATTGTGAGAGGCGTTTGCTTTATACGGATACACTGAGATACATTCCTGGGATCTTTATACTCTTCCTCGGACTGGGAAGAGGCGTCCGGCTCTTGTTGGCCTGATTTTTGTAGCGCATTGCTTCATGATTTCACTTTCTTCTTTTGCATTGCTATTGTCGTTTTATATTCTTATTTTCTTCTTCTAATTCCATTGCTTCAATCAATTGGCTTATACTGGATCTTTCAATGTTTCTTCTATAATTTTTTACGGGGATGAACGAAAAAGAGGCGTGTTTACCTATGTTTTACATTCTTGATTTGTGATAAATTTGCTACCATATGTACTTGATACAAATGACCCAATTTGTAACTGTGACTTACTATTTTTTTTCTATATTTTGGTATTTGCTTCTTTGGAGTCTTCGTATTCGATAGTGGCATCTTGTAGTTTTGGCTCACTTGTTGAGCTATTGATCACGTGACCTGCACAGACCACAACGCGGACGCAGAAAAGTTTCTTCGCTTCTTCCTCCATCTTCCCCTTCACATCCGCATCATCCCTCCAACCACAACCAACCACAATATTCCCCATTGAGACGTTTCAATCCTTTGTCTCTGGGAATCTGCATTGCTGGTTCAATCAGAACTCTTGGTTTTGTGACTTCGAGTCACGTAATTGACTCCAATCCCTCCATAATATCCTTCACACAAGATGCCTCCCCGAATACAGAACCAGCTTGTCTCTAACTCCCTCCTCCCCTACATCTCCTCTTCCTCTTCTGCCACATCCTCCTCTTCCTCATCAGCTTCCTCCCTCTCCAAGCTCACATCATGTTCCTCTTCATCCTCCCGTCCTTTCTCTTCCACCGTGGCCACTCAAACAAGGCAGCGTGCCCAGATGTTCGAATGGCTCAACACTGAGGGAACTGCCTTGAAGCACCACACTCCCGGAACACCGAACTACGTCGGCTCCTTGAAAGATCGTCGATTTGCTGGGGAGGACTCGTCGGTACCGGACACCGTATTGAGGAAGCCATTCCCCTTGAACCCGCACTTTACCAGTGAGAATATCCTGAGTGAGGAGTTGCGTAATGAGATCTACAGACGGGTCACTGCTGAGAAGCAGAGTGTGCGTGCTGTGAGTGTCGACCTCGGTGTGGATATGAGGAGAGTTGCGGCTGTGGTTAGGTTGGTGGAGTTGGAGAGCCGATGGAAACAACAGGTATGCGACTATCCTTCTTCCCAGCTCCTTATTTCCCTTGACTTTTCTTTCCCTCTTGCAATGATGAGACAAAACAAAAATTCGATTAGTCTTTAAGACACCTACATGGTTACAACATGCAATTTTCCTGATCTGCAAAATTTGATTTATTTTTCAAAGCCAACATCACTTTGTCATGGTTGTTCTTTATGCTGACTGGTGATGTTTAGGGTAAACCTATGGCTCTGCCATATGCCCGCGCCATCCATGAGATGGTTCCCACAACCCCCCTGCAAGAGGGAAGCGAGGCTCGCAGGAGACCACACGAGTCTATCAACGACCTTCCTGTTCACCGTCTTACGGATCCTCAAATCTTCTACCCTGTATCCGAGTCTCGGCAATTTACTCGTGTTGATGCTGGTCGTGTGTTTTCCGCCGCCCCGGCTCTCGAGCACGAGAAGGTCAACGAGGCTCTAGCCAACCCTGATGAGGCTGTCAGCAGCATCACCCAGAACCCTGGCCGAATTGAGCACGTGGGCAAGGGCAACGATGAGCAGCAAGTTCTGCAGCCTGCTGATGTGCGAATTCCTCACCCCCACCTGATTGCACACGAGCGTGAGCGCATCAACAACCCTGAAACACGACAAGTCTGGAAGCGCTACGGTGAGCGTCTAAGAAAGGAGGAAGAAGCCGAGCAGGAGCGCAAGAGACTCGCCAAGGAGCGCATCGAGCAGAAGACCACCAAGGTCCAGCCCGACGCGTCGCGCTTCGAATTCCGTATCAAGGATGTCGTGGTTAGCAAGGAGACCACCGGCCACGACGGACGGGGCTCCAAGGCTCCCGGCCGCAGATACGGTGTGCCCAACTACGATCGTAGGAAGGGACAAGTTAAGATTCCCACTCGTGTTGAGGTTTAAACTATGGTGTATTCATTTTCACCACTGTGACAGTACTACTTTAATGTTGATGTACTTGTACATATATGTCGTGTCGAGGGTTTTAGCATCATCTGTATTTATATCATGTCTTAACAACACCAGCCAATGCTACATTACACTATTACAACATGAAATTCTCCAAATAAAACAGTGCATTACATTTAGTCAACAGTGCATCTCACTTCAGTTTACATCAATTTTGTGTTAAATACTATAACGAGCATAAGCAGTCGGTAATATATAACCGTCACCTAGCAGCTATATAAACGCCTTGAGCTATATTTTGATACTTTGTAACCGTCATACTTATGAGTCTCATGCGAATCGTGTTTTGACCCTGGACTTGGACTTAGATTCAAGGATAACCATGGAAAATATAGTCTGGTCTAAATGCCTCAGCGCATGAAGAATCTACTCTGAGATCGGCTATAACTTGACGAGGGAGATAGCAACCCTAGATGCTAAATATTATGCAGTACAATAATTGCAAGAATAGAAAGTGAATTTCCAAATAACAAAGGTTTATTTAAGCTAGATACTATAGACATGAAGATAAAGCAGAATATAAAATGACACAAAAATGTTCACATCCTTTTTCGTGTACGTATGGTCTCCGCGATGGTGCGTATATAACCAGATAAAAAAAAAAGCATCAGAAAAAGCAGCAGCATTTCCTCCCTCCAGAACACCTCCCAATTGACGAAAGGAAAATACACGATTGATGGTTGGTTAGTTGAATGAAAAGAAACGCCTATCCGGACCAGGAAATGAAATATATCAAACGACAGGGTGAACAAGACAAACGGGCTATGCTGGGTATCCAATGGGTAGACACAAATAGCTGAAAACATTCAGGAGGGAGGACAACGATGAGCCCAACCTAAGACTATGTATGCGTACACTGTCAAACTGGTTGAATGACTTGGGTAACGCTTTAGCGAAAAAAATTATGGGATTGATTTACTGTGGTTCTGGAATCATTCCACGCCTGGGTCCCCGGGAACTGCAGATGACATTGGACTGGCAGGGTAGTCTGTTGCCGAATCATTATCAGGAACTTGTCGAGGAATAATGTCCGTCTGCTCGGGGAGATTTGGTGAAATGAATTCCGGGTTGTCCCCAATAGGATCACGTTCAACCTCCTGGGGAGCTGGACTGCGAAGAGATGAGGGTGTCGCAGGGGCCGTTGTCTTCGGTACGCCGTTAGTGCCTACCTGCATGGGACTAGCATGTCCATCAGTAGTCGGAGGCTCATGGTCAGGCTTAGGGTCATTTGCAAAGCCACGCCATTTCCGCCATCCCTCGAAGTCGATCAGGGCCTGCATACATCCCCACTCCGTCACCTTCTGTTCTAACCAGGGGAAGCCAACGGGCTGAAGGTGCAGGTTAGCAAGGTATAATCGGTAGAACTAGAAATAGATGACATACTTTGGTTAAGAAATCATTGCAGCCAGCAGCGAGTGCCTCATGACGGTCACTCTGCAAGCTGCTGGCTGTCAAAGCAACGATGATTACAGGACTCTTGAACAGAGAGAGATCATCCAACGTGTCTTCCTGGGTCAAAGAATATCTGGGTTCATGAGGTCGTTCCGCTGGAGATGTTGCGCTTGCACTGGCGGCACTTGAACGTCCAGAGGCAGTCTTGGGAAAGACACCTATTCCATTCAAACGCTCCAATCTTCGGATTTCTTTCGTCGCATCAAGTCCGTTCATCACGGGCAGTTGGATGTCCATCAGTACAAGGTGAAATCCACCCTGGCGCCACTTCTTCACAGCTTCTTCACCATTGGCAGCGCATTTCCAACGAACTTTAAGGCGTTTCATGAACGCCTCCAGCAGCTTTTGGTTGATGATGTTGTCTTCGACAATGAGAACGTTGATCGGAGGAACAGTGCCATCAATGAGCCCACCAAAGGCAGCGCTCAACGATTGCGAGTTGCTGCCCTTTTTCGGCTTGACAGGAGGGCGCGTGCGCGGAGATGCTGTCGGGGGCGTATGTGTCTTGGTAGTCTGGGGGGAGTCAGGTGGAGGGCCTGGAGGCGTAGGAGCTGAGGGGGCCGGTGGCGCAGGTTGAACAGGGGAAACACCGGCTTCTGGTGGAGCCGTTGCCTGGCCAAGCAATGTCGGCGAGTTTGTTGCATGCCGCGTGAGAGGAGGTCGACGGCCATGCCGGGTGCCACGACTGCCCGGGGATGGGAGTGGAGGGGCCATGCCTGTGCTGAGGATTGATATCGAAGGCGCAGGGTGAGAATTGACATTGCTCGATGAGTTGGACTGGTGCGTAGGGGGCGTAGGATTGACCGGCATGAGAGGAAAGTACTCCCCATGCTCGCCGGGCTCAGAGTGATGATAGTAGACCGAGTGACGCGGAGAAGGCTTTGGTGTTTTACGTGACGGAATATCAATCACCAACGCCTCCTCTATTTTCTGCCCTCCCGGATAGTAGGTATCAATCACCGTCATCAATGGCTCTTCAGGACTTAATATCCGGTCCAAAACTGGCTGTCGATTGGTGCCTTCCCGGGGTGCAATCCTGATGACAATATCGGGCGAATCGAAGTTTCTCCCCAACGAGTTGGAATATTTCATAATCACCTGGTCACGCAGCTCATCGACCACTGCGTCCTCCAGTATCGGCACCAAGGTGGCCGATCCACCTGGCCGTTTGACCCATATCTTGCGGGCTACCATTTCCGGGTTGACGGTGGCAACGCGATTGTTGGCGGGGCCACCGTTTTGGAAAAGGATGCCTGGATCTAGCAGACCGTTTATCAGATGTTGCTGCCCAGGTGGAAGTAGAGACTGTCGACGAGTCACTATACTGGGACGCTTCGAGGCAGAGGGAGTGAGTAATGGTGGATTACTAGGCTGTTGCTGCTTCGAGGGGTATTCCGTGACGGTACCCAGCGACGGGGTCAATTGAGGCTCAACGATAGTGCTCCCCGGGCGCTCACGCGCTTTGGAAGATACTGACGGGGGCGCAGTCGTGTAGATGAACTGGTCTGAAGCCGGAGTCGAGGGAGTCACGGAAGGAGAGGGGAGGGTATGTAAGTCGTTCGTCAGAGGTGTCTCTGGTGGGGAAACGGCAACAGGTTGAGGGTCGCGCGAGTCCTGGGGTTGTATCCTATTGTCTTTCCCCTTCACAAACGGCTGGTCCTGGCACTCCTGCCCTCTTCCGGTGGTCGATGGAGTGGAATTGATGATAGGGTCGTCTGATCGCTGGACTCGCTTATCTTTTTCTTCGGCCTTGGCTGGCGGCCCGTGGTCGAGCTGGCTAAAGTAAGATAGCCCCTGATCCGTAGAGGAACCCGTCGCAGGGCCAGCGATCTCTTCGGGCGAGCTGAGATGGTCGACAGGCAAGGACGAGACGGTGCTGTAGGCGCGGGGCTTGATTTCTGCCTCGTCGGGGGCAAAGAAGTGCGGAGAGGAAGATTGCTGGGAGTTGGAGCTGGGACGCGGATCCGCCCTCGTGCCCGCCTTGACAGCCTGAGGAACCGAAGAGGTCGACGATCGCCGGAGCAGCTTTGCCTTCATCAACAGACGAGACAGGTGATCGTGCATTTTGACAAAGAAAAGAAGGACAGACAGAAAGAAAAAATAGGAAGAGGAAAAAAAGAAAGGAGAAAATAAAGGGAACAGCGCTGGTCACCACATCGTCGGTAACAACCTCCTGAGAGCGTCCCGCTAGACCAACAAGTCGACGAAAGCTCGAGGAAATCCACGCGGCGTGAGATGGAGGATGGTTTTCTATTCGTAGATGAAGCCAACCACCTTGTGCAGCTTCGCAGGGGACGGTGAGAACAGCTCAGTAAATTATCCAAGAGAGGGGCTGTCTGCTCAGAAAGAAAGGAAAAACAAAAGGAAAAGAAAGAGAGATGGAACCACAAAAGACGAAAAAAAGGAGAAAGATAGACAGACAGACAGTAAGCAAGAATTAAGAAAGCAGAAACAAAAGCAAAACAGCAGCAGATCTCCCGAACGGACAGGACGAACAGAAAGATGGGGATAACAGGGCAACAAGCAGCATCACCAGTTCGCTTTGAGGGGAAGCCGAAACCAACGCTTGGGCCGGACGGAGTTCGCTGCGATAAGAGGAGAACGAGACGACCAGTCCCACTAGACATCCTCACCACCACCAAGTCACCAACTCATCGTCAACTTAGACCTGAATCGCACATGCGCCATCCCTGTTGCTTTGCTGCCCATTGTGAATCCTCCAGCTGCATTAGTTCTGCATTGCTTGCCCAGGCGGTTGACATCCATCCTCAACCATCAGATTCCAAATGAATTGCGTACTCTCCATCGCCGTCTATTTATAATACAGTTGGTCTATTCCATCTTAATCTGGTGTAATTTGTTTGTTCTCAATCCTCAGGCATTACTATTTATTAACCGGTATTCCCCCCAGATGATCGTCGTTCGTCTCTTTGCCGTTGACTCTCCAGATCGTCCGGCTGAGTAGTAACAACACCCTTTTCAGCATCATTCGTCGACGCCTCCACCGCATCATTTCCATCCTCAAGCATCTCGTCAATGGTTTTTCCAGCTGCCTTGGCCTCCTTGCGCAGTTTTCGATACCGGATTCGCCAGATGATGTGGCTGGCGTAGATTCCAAACTCTAGAACGACCCTAATAGAGGTCAGCTTGTTCCAAATGGAGGATACTGCAGCACTTACACAACGATATACATGATACCCCCTAGAATATCAAACGAGCCCTGTGCAGCTTCATACGGTCAGCCAGAACCAACAGACTAGACTAGAGACGGAACCATACCCAACGCAAAGAGAGAAAACAATCCCCCAAACGTATCAATGGACAAGAAAACCCAATCTGAGTCCGTCAGCAAGACATATCCATCTACATATCCAGTTGATCAAACTCACTAATCCCAATCACCCGTCCGTCTCTTTTCCTCAGCTCGAAATATGGCGGTATCAATCCCGATGCCAACAGAACCGTCGCAACCACGCCAACCACTATATCTGGCCATGTCACACCTTTATTATATGGAATCTACATACATTGTTAGCTTCATCCCAACCGAATCCAGAATAGAACGAACCCTCAGCGTGAGAATAAGCAATGCCTCAATCCCACCAAACAAAGCACTCGTGCCCAGCACGACTGCTAACACCTTTACAAGGCTATAATTACTAGACGATATCAACACCCTCATACCAATACTACCACGAAATCCGACTTACTGATTATAGTATAAAATCTGACCCAAGCTCACCAGAGAAAAGAACCCGAATATCTGCGGCTGTATTTGAAGCGGTATATTCACTTCCTAGACAACCTCACGTCAACACCACAACCAACCAAGCAGGCATAAAACATTAAAAAGACTAACCTGAAGAATCAAATACGCCCCCATCGGAACAGCACCTGTCACCACCAGCATCAGCACACACGCCATAAGTGGAATGGGTATACACACAAGAAGCCCACAAAAACATCATCAACGGCGGAAATCCATCCGTGTTCTTGCGTCGCCAGTTAAACCATATCTGTGGTATTAATTGGACGCACCAAAGCACTGTCCCGATTGTACCCAGGACATTGGATGCCACGGTTACGTTTCCATCTCCGGACATGATATCGTATTATGAGGGTCAGTACTTAGGTATAGGTCAAAGCTCAATCATTTGTATTTCGCAGAGTTAAGACCCTTGATATTAAGCGGGGAAGCCAAATCCACCAAGTAGTGTAGCAGAAAAGCAGAGCCAAGAGTAAAATGAGAAGAAAAAGAAGAAGCAAAAGCAAGCAAGAAAACTACCTCGCCTAACATCCCAGACCAAAAACCCTGGACTCGAAATTGAAGATCCCATCATGTCCAGATACAGAAGACCAACTAGAAAATCCCAATACCCACCTTTTGTGGTTCTGGCGGCAAGAAATCGTCATCGTTATTGGAAGGTGAAGAACTCTGAACTAGTACTAGACAGGTAAACGGATGGAGAGACACTATCTATTGCATAGATAGATACCTAGAGAGGGATGTTCTTGGCTGGGCTTGTAAAAGCTTCATTAATTCAAGCTATTGTAGCCAACTTTGGATTTGTGTCTGCCTTTTTTCTTTGGTAATTTTGATTCTTTTCTTTTCTTTTGTCTGCCCGTTTGAAGATGGAAATTCTCCGAGGTGGCACGGGGCATTTTGCACACACGTGGCGCCAGCATGTCTTCCCACAGTGCTTTATACAATAAACTATTTGATTCAAGTCTTTAGATAGATAAAGCAATTGTATGTAAGATAATGACACTGAATTGACACCATTTCTAAGACTGGTCATGAATTTGCAAGGCATGCGATACATGTACATACAGAAGACCACTTCTCATCACAGCCCATCATAAATATCCAACCTGCCGTGTTCGGTTCACGTGTCAAAGTCGCAATAAATCAACATAACAAAATAAAGTAACACTCGTTTCCAGTCAAAAAAATTCACACAAAAAATCAACCATTGAACCGCCTGAGGGAAGGAGAATACCCTCTCGACGATAACAGATACAACCCACAACCCATGTGATATAACCGGGCGGACGCCGGGCTCGATCCAAGAAGATAAAAAAGATATAGTCAATCAAAAGAATACACAAATAAAAAGGCAAAGATCAGATCCAAACAGGGCCATCAGGACATAACATAATTTTGCAAACCAGAATCGCACCGAGATACTGCGCAAAGGGTATCAAAGAAATTTTGCGACAAAATGGCAAGAAAGACAACCAGACGAAAAACAAGGAGGAAAGAAAGAGAAACACGGAAGGTAACGCCCTCAATTTGATCACAGAAGAATCAAATAGTTGGATGGAGCGATACCGGTGTCTCCGGTTGCTTTCCTTGCTTGCCACCATCTTCCGCTTACATCGGACACATCCAGTATCTCATGCTTGGCGAAGCTGATCTCGTTGGCGTCTTCTGGGTTGGCATCGTATGAGTAGATCGCCTTGGCTCGGTAAGGGTACTCGGTCGGCTGAGGGACTTCTCCCACTTCCCCGTTAGGATTGGGGGGCAAAGTGTTGTTCGTTGGGTTGCCAAAGCGGGGCACAGATGAGTTGCGTTGTTCTTCGCCAGGGAGACCACCAGGGTATCCTGACACGGGGGACGAGGTTTCGAAGCCGTTGAGCTGGGCGGACGTATACATTTGCGGTGTCGGGGTCGCGTCAACCCGAGGTCCAAAGGCGCTCGACATGGGTCTGCTGTTTCGGTACGAACTGGGCTGCTGTTCCTTGTGGAGAGCGAACGAGTCGATGAATCCACGGTGAGAGGCTTGCGGGGACGATCCAAAGTAGAAGATCCACACAATCTGCATACGCTGTTAGCAAGTCTACAAACACAATGAGATAATAAGGGCCTCTTACAATCACCATGGAAAGAAGGATGAAGCCAGCTGCCGCAGCTTGAGAGGAAGAAGCCGGCTCGTAGACCAGAGTGTTCACGGCAAGAGTAGTAAACACTAAACCAGCTGCAAGATAGCCCACAATCTGTTGCCCGTCAGTATTCATCCCAAGCACAGCAAAACCATGAAAACCATACCGCGACCCCGTAAACCAAGCCAGTATCGGAACCAATGACAGTTGTAATGCCGCTAATGACACAAAACATATAAGCGATCGCCCACCACGCATAGTTGGGATATTTGGTGTTAATGTCTGAAATGATGGATGCGATGAATGCGATGATCCAGGCCAACTAAACACGGAGACACTGGTTAGTAGCCAGAACAATCACTCCAAAAGAACCATGGCACCTACAATGGAGATAGAGATGGTCGCGAGCGCGAACGGGTCGCCGAGGATGTTGCTTGCTCTGAAGCGCGCCATTCTGCGAGGGGACTCTGGAAACGGACTCGGTTTGTGAAGAGAAGGTGAACCGGCGGAGTATGCCACCATGAAGGATGATTTGCAAATTGGATCGCGAGAGAAGATATATAAATAGATTGATGTAGGAAGGTGTTGTTCCTATATCCGTCCGGCGATGAGGGGGTGTTGATCCAACGACCGATGATCCGCGGTATCGTATCAGGGGAATTCGACCTCGTTCTTGGGTGAATTGACGTTGTATTCTTTTTTCCTTTTTCTTTTTATCTCCGGAAGAAATCGATGAGTTGACTCAAAAAAATGAATGTATGAATAGAACAGATATAGATCTAAAGGCCGTTAGTTGATGAAGATGGGAAGGGTGGAAGTTGCGCGCGCAGGAGAGGATCGTGGAGGATGATGAATTGATGGGTCACATTATGTGGGCAATTGCAACAATAAAGAAAAAAAGAAGAAAAAGGCAAATTAAATTAAGAAACGGGGTGGCTTTGCAGGCGAATCATACCGTGAGACAACAATCAAGGGAAACGAGTGGATGACAATGAGGCTGGTGTAGGAGCCAGAATCAACAGTTGTTAGTGAGAGTGAGAGACTAGGCAAAGAGTTGTCTCAAAGATGAGGGCCCCTTGCAGAGTTAGAAGAAGAAGAAGAATACAGCACCAGGCTGGAGAAGATGAAACGCTGGAGGAAAAGAAGAAAAAAAAAATAAATGGGATGGAATGAAAAGAAGCGAAGAGGTGAAACGAGTGAAAAGTCGATGGAAGAACCGATCGATCTGGGGCGGCAGTGGGAATGCCGGAAAAAGGAGAGAAAGACGTTGGTGGGAAAAGAAGAAGAGAGTGAAAGAGAGAGGAAGAGAGGGAGGAGAAGACTGAAGGCAGACACTTGGCGGGTTTCACACAGTGGAGCGAGAGAGAGTTGGACGGCTTCTTTGATTAACAGTATCCCCCTGGAGGGTTCGAGACCAATTGGTGGAGATTGAAATGATCGGGACGTGGATGAACCAGGCACACAGTATGTTATTATTGATGGATGGATGATGATCCGGATGATGAGGAAGAATAGCAGTACCCCTGATGCTCAAATTTGATCCCTCCCAATAACAAGAGACAATTCATTAATTATTGTACAAACACACAGAACATGTCGGAATGTCAGACACCAGACCCATGGGCCTTAAAATTAAAATGCGATCTATTAATGGGTCCTGCTGGGCTCCGCTTTCAACCGGCACAACACGCAAGACACTGGAAAAATAAGAACAATTCATCGTGCGATTCTGGCCCCGTTTCGACCGGGGCGGGACGCTTGGATGTGATTGTGGCACAGTGACGATCCCTCTGCTTATATCCATTCGGACATGAAGTCATGGAATGCTGCGATCCCTCGTGGAATACTCTATCGATGATGGTTTTTGACAGACACGTCACCTGTTCTGTTTACGGCGGTGCCTCCGTACAGTGGCAAAATACCCCTGACAAATAAACAAATAGTATCGAATATGCAATATTCAACATAACAATCCAGACGCCCAATATGATAAAAAACAAAAACAAAAAGACAAGGTCATAACAACTCATCACCCTTTCAAATACAAATATTTCAAGGTTCCTTCGCTCGTCGCTCCCTCACAACCTCCTCTCGCTTCACTTCCCTCTCGACATCCTCCAATCTCCCCTCCCATTCAGCCCAACACTCTGCCTCACCCACCAATCCCACCTCATACCAACGCTGCAGCACCCGCGCAGTCCGGATTCGAAGTTCTGAAATCGCCTGCGCCTGCTCCTCCTGAGTTTGTGCCAGTTGGTCGAGTTGCGGCTGTAGCTGGATGAGAGAGGCCGACGCCTGGGCGTCGGGAATGGGAAGGTCGTTTAACGAGGTAAGCCGAGAGGCGGTTTCGGGGAATGCGGACGCGTAGGATAATACGATCGATGCGAGGTTTTGGGTCGTTAGGTTCTCGGGGGTGTTTTGTGTAGGTGTTGCGCGGAAGAGGTCAGGGAAGCGGTCGTCTTGTTGGGATGGATGTTAGTGATTTGCCTTGGTATGATAAGGTATGATATGGCAAGACTCACGAAGTTGAACCACATCTCGTACGGCGGGTATATTCCTGCTCAGCTTCTCGAGCTCCTTTTCCAGTCGAAGCAGTCGTCGCGATACCGTCTCATCGAGTGTCTCCGGCTTTGCGGGCGGCGTGGGAACCCCCGTCCAGTGTGTGTCCCCAGTCAAAAGGTAAGTGAGTCGGCGAAGACGCGCCTCCAGAAGCTCAACGGTTGCTCCTGCTATCGCATCCTGTTCGAGAGCCATTGTCCAGATATTTTGTCAATTGTTGTAGCTCAACAGAACAGGTCCCACGTACGGGCAACATGGGCCAGAATCGGGGATGCAAACAGTGCAAATCTCTTGTTGTAACGGGTCGTTCCCATGATTGGATAGATAAATCCAGCATTTAACTAATCTTTGATTCGATGAACTCTTACTCGGTGCATATTCCCTCTATATTATAAATATTTACACCCTATCTACATGCCATGGGCTGAAATCCATGCCTATCTGCCAAAGAACTTATACAAACAAGTTGGACTTCAGAAGCGGCAATCCACTCGTATTCGGGAAGAAACTCGTTTCCCGACCCCTCAAACCAACTCAATCACCTGAGAGAGTAAGTACATCATGAGCTGCGAAACCTGCAAGTCTGGCTTGAACTGGGGAGGGAGCCCCCGTGGGCTTCAATACCTATGCACTTTATAAAGATACTTCTAATCAATCGATTGTGCTGGTGGTTTCGGTATAAAGCCAAACTCGGTCCCAAGGAATAAATGAATATATAAACATGTTCAACATCTCCAAATATGTCATTTCCCCCCTCAGTGCCAGTATTTCCGAATAGGCTCCTGGATCACACTCCACGCCTTGTCCATGGCCTGCACAAAATCCTCCGCAAGAGGTCCCTTCTCCAGGCCCATCATGTTGTCCTCCAGCGCGATGGATTGCTAGCACCGACGAGCAGAGCGTCACTATGCTCCCTATTCAAGACCGAATGGTGTGTCAGCCAGCGATAGATGCACTCAGACACAGTCAATGGGTGACCGAGACATCTTGAATGATCCCCAGCGCCCCAAAGGTGGCTTTGTGCCAGTACTGGGCATTTAACAATATCACAGACGAGGCACACATCCGAGCTCGCATAGCAACTGTGGGATCAAACTAATTCAGCCCGCCGCATACGTACTCATGCCCCTCAGCTTCGGCCCAAACCTCCATAGAAAAAGAGGCGCCGGAATGCCAATGCCAATCGCCACAAACCCCAGCACGCTATTCCCCCATCCATAATGCAGTGCATTATACATGTACGGTGCAAAGAGCGGAAACCCAAAGCCAGCCAAACACCGCAGGAAAACAACCGCTGACAATGCGCTAGCGGCGTATTTTGTGTACGCATCCACCACGTACGTCTGGACGCACAGAAACCCACTGATGATTCCGATTGAAATTATGCAAGCGCCAATATCCGGTCCGATCCAGTGTGTGTGTTCTTGTGCGGTCCATCCGTAGATAAACAGGCCGATGGGAGTTAGGATGGCAGAGAGAGTAAGCAGCGGGACTCGAAATTCGGGCTGGCCAACGCCGTTTCGTGTGGCCGCCAATGCGCGGTAGATGCGGTCGTTGAGCGGAGCGCATATCTGGGAGCCGCCCCAGAAACCGATGCCCAGGGCGATGTAGTTGAGGCAGCCGATGCCGACGCTCTCGTTGTAGTAGTTTGGGCTGGTCCAGAGGGTGGTGAAGGTGGACAAGACCAGATACATCAGGCCGTATATGAAAGCCATGTAGACGGCCAGAAACTGGATGATGGGCTGTGTGGCGAGCATCCGGAATGGGCGAATAAGGGATATTTGAAGAGTCCCGAGGATGGTCTGCTGGTCAGACTCTGTGTGGAAATCGGCATCACCGGTGCTTTTGCGAAGGAGTTTGGCCTTGTCGCTGAGGATCTTGGGTCCATATGTTTCATGCAAAGTGAACAAGGAAACCGCCTGAAGAAGGCCGTCAAAGATGGAAGTGGTGTAGAAAATCCATCGCCAGGAGATATTCTGGGTAATGAATCCTCCTGCGATGGGCCCAACCGCCGGTCCGAGTAAGGGTGCCAGACTGTAGATGGCCATGGATTTGCCCCGTTGCTCTGCCGTAAAACAGTCGCTGAGCACTCCTCCTCCAATCTAGGTATACCCTATTAGCCATTCCAAACTGACTTAGTTAATCTGTTATTTCGCCTCTCACCGTCGTTGGTGCGCTGCCTCCAAGCCCTGACAAGAAGCGAAAGGCAATCATCTGGCCTTTGGACTGACACACTGCGCACGCAATATTGAACACAAGGAAGAAAAGATTGGACAGCTGCAGCACAATCACTCGTCCGTATATCTCTGAGAGAGGGGCAAGAAAAAGAGGCCCAACCGCATACGCAAGGACAAAGACGGACAGCATCATCTGGGACTCGATTTCGTTGTTGACATGAAAGTCTTTTGCAATTGTTGACAGCGCAGGGGCCACCATGGAGGACGATAGGGCCGAAACGAAAGTGTAGAAGGAGACGACGATGGTGACAGACCATTTGCGACTCGCTGTCCAGTTTTTGGCGTTGAGGGGGTCATCAGGGCCATCCCATGTTACCTGCCATGTCAGAAGGTGAGAAGAGGCATGGCAAGAGACATTCATACCAGTTTGGGATTGCCTTGCTGCATGGCGGTGTTCCCTTTCTCGGGGTCCATGTTGGACATGTATGACACTTGGAAATATTCATTGCAATCACTGGTTCTTATAAGACGAGGGCAAAAAACTCATATCTACATCGGAGTTGACATACTCACTATAAAAAATAATTACCCGTTTTGGCAATTCCATTCCGGCGCCAGAAATAGTCTAGCGGCTAATCCGCATACAGTAACTTTTGTCCGAACTCCGAATTCCTCTGCTATCCAAGCATCAAATCCAAGGCAGCAACAACTCACATCGAATAGACCTCATGCCCGACTCGTCCAATCCCCTCCGTCGCAATGGAAGACAACCATCCTGCGAAACATGTCGGCAGCACAAAGTCAAGTGCGATCATGCAGTGCCAAAGTGCAACCGCTGTGTCCAAAAAGGCGCCGTGTGTATCTACAAGACAGCACCAATGACAAGCAAGTTTCGAATCGCTCGAGTCACGTCCGAGTCGATTGCGAAACCGCGCACGACATCCAAGATATCAAGTAATGCTGCGGGTTACACAGCGTGAGCAGCCCCTTGAGTCAACATGGGTATACAACATGACAGCTGACTGGCTGCAACCAGATGGCCGCGGCAGAAACAGACTATCATGATCGATTCCTCGCCTCTTGATAACCCTGGTTTCCTGGGTCCCACCAGCTACCAAGCCCTGATCAATGAGAAAGACCAACCTCGTGCTGGTGGCATGACAGAAGTGTCTCGGACAGCATTGACCATCGAGGCTAGAAAGCTCGATCTGGGTCTCCAAGCCGCCAGCTTCCTTGTGACACACTTTGCTTTGCTGAAAAGTCTTGTTCGCCGCGTGTATAACATAGGGCGCATGTCGATTATCCCCGAGAGTCTGATGCTGGCTGCAGTTGAACATCTCGCGGACATATTCAACGGGCAATCGGTGGACAATGAAATAACGTGTGTACCCACGGTTGTTCGCATCTTCGAGAACTCATACCAGCCAATGCCGATCGCCCAGTCGACGACATTCGAGGAATTTTGCCACTTGATTACTGGGGACAATGTCAGGTGGGAGACGATTGGAAATGTCCTGGTCATGGCGAGTGTGTGTCTGGTTCAGATTGCAGAGCCCGAGGTGCAAGGATACGCAAAGGGAGAGCTGTGCGCGCAGATGCTTGAAATCACAGACCATGTTCTCTTACTCTGCAACGAATTACCACTGGTGAATGAGCTGATGGTCTGTCTTAAATACAACCAGATGTTGCTTGCATCTCAGCGATGGGGACATTCAAGTATGTACCTCCCAAAGGGGCTTACTTTCAGGCTAACATAGTTAGGTCGATGGCTATGCTCATCGTTTGGGGAGCTCTCCTCGTGCATCTTCGTAAATGGAATGCATCAGATGGGCAATCCTGAACGGCAATACCCCAACTTCATCAATCAATGGCGCAGAAGATGTTTTGCCATGGTCTATACTATGGACAAGATCTTCGCCACCATTATCGGCAGACCACCCTTTCTGAACCGGCACTACTGCATCCTGGATCTCCCAGAAGATCTTAGCAATGAAATGAATGACCACAACTTTTCCTCCACCTTCCGTTCATCCCATTCGCCTTCAGTCAGCTATATCCATCTTCGCTTCCTTCTTTCTATTATTCGAGAAGAGATTCTCGAGTTGCATCTCGGCACCAACAAAACCAATATTCCAGCCCGAGCAAGGTATGTTGAGATGGACATGCTCCTCTGCATGCTAACATAGATCCAGCCAAATAATCGAGAAGCTCCAATCCATGTGGGATTACTGTCCTCAGCACATGAAATACTCACCGGATATGTGGCATGGCCATCTGCCTTGCCAGGATATCTGGATACTATTCTCCCTTTACCTCGAGTATCAGTATTCTCTTTTCTTAACACACCGACTAACAGCACAAGACCCTCTCCACGCCCCACGCAATAATGACCTTGCCCATGTAGCAAAGGAAATTCTGTCCACGATCCTCGTGCTGAATGATCAGCGGGAGCGCCTCCGAACAATCAGAAATAACTTTAGTGGCGTGGTACGTTCTCCACCCTCTGGTCCCGAGACATATCTTGAGCCTAATGGTATATACAGCTCCTCCCCTTTGGCCTTCCAACCGCCCAAGTCCTCATCGCAGAACTATTCCACCAACCCTCCACCTTTCCCATCCCAGCTAAACAACTGCCCAGGTCAGAAACGATCCGTGAGCTCACTCTCTTTGTCTCCTGTCTTGGCTGGGCCACCACCCCGGGCACTGGGCATTTTGAGTTCGGGCAAACGGTGCAAGCAAAATTGACGAAACTTGTCGATCAGCTCATTGAGCAGTCTTCTTCTACTCCAATGGAGGGGGACGCCGGGCTTCAACGAAATGATGTGTTCCTGGACTCGACGTTTAATCTGAATAGCTTTGTGGACTGGGATGCGGGGGGTCTTGTAGATCCTAGGTTTGATTTTTTCTACGGTTCGGTTTTGTAGATTGAAGTACTTAGGACTTGTTTGATATTACTGGTTAAGCTTACTACTCCGTATAAAGCCAGCTTAATTAGCAGTAAGTAGTAGCACAGAAAATTATTCGACAAAACGTCGTCTCATCTCAATCATCATTATGTACTGTAGGTGCATCCAATGCTAAATGGCGAGGACGTAAGTGGGTATTCACTTCGCCTGCTCAATATGACTCGTTTCCCCATCCCCAATCTCATCCCAGTCAGGACCTGCAGACCCCGATGGCTGTCCAGTGGCCGTCATACCTCCGTGGCTCAGCAACCCTCCCCCGGTTCTCTCCTCCATTTCTTGCCCTGATTTCTCTTCATCATCAAAAGAGCGAACTTCATAATCAAACACGTTCACGTTAGGGCGGGGAGGCACCTCAGGACCCGCCTTTGGTAGTCCCTGATCCGGGTTTGTAGAGCCTACGTCCTGCGAATTTCCGCCCTCCCCTTGGTGTCCAAAATCTTCTGCGTCCTGAAACTCGGCCTCGAATGATCGGTTATCAATGTCCACAAAATTCTGGTTGAGTGTTAGCGGAGAACAATTCCCCAAAAAAGGCTAGTCTGCTTTACCTTAAGCTGAGGAGGAATCGGCTCTTCTTGAACGCCCAGTGCATTGTTATTTGCGTAGACAAGCAACGCTGTGTTTGACTCTTCACGGGCCGCTCGAAGGACCTCAACTTCCCGGACTTTGCGTGCAGTGTAGCCGATGACGTCTGCGTTTTTGGACGCCGAGCTGCTAGATGTGTTCGATTCTGCCTGTCGTGTCTTTGCATCGTCTGTCGAAAAGCTGATACGCCACCATTGCCATTCATTCTCTGCTGTATCCATCGCATCTTCAGCACCGTCCGCACCACGGCGTCTCAGAACATAGGTCACATGCGGCTCGGTGCATACACCACGGAGAGTGTACGCATGATGAGGAGGTTCCGCTGGAGAAGTTGAAGGCTCGGTAAGCATCTTGGAATATCCCCGAAGAGTTTCCATGGCACTTTGCTTTCTAAGTTCCAATTCTGCACAGTTCAGTGTTAGCGAGAACGCGAATCGATATAAGGTGATCCCTACCCTTTAACTTGGCTTCGATTTTGTCAGATACCGTTTTCAACTCATTTGCCAATCGTTGAGCCTCCGCAGTAGATTCCTCAGGGGTCAGGGATAATCCATTTGCTCCGTTGGCAACGCTTTTTGGTAGGAGTAAAGGAGCAGCAGCAGCAGCCTTTTCCAAAATCTCCTTGGACGTAAGTCCTCGGATAACAGCAGATTTCGAAACATTGAAGTGGTTCATGAGCCTTTCCATTTTATAGACTTCATCAAAGATTTGAAGTCTCTGCGTACGGAAATCACGGGCAAGATCTCTGCAGCTGGCGAGATATCGATCCGGGTAGAAGACGGCGGGAATTTTCACGTCAACAGACTGGGTCGAACCCTCCAACTTGATAGTAAAAACCTCAGCAATATGTTCTAACCACACATCGTCAAGCTCTTCACCGGGCCTGTCTGACCACATAGTTCGATCCAGGACATCGTAGAGCGTTTGACCGTGTTCAGGTTCGACAAAGGCTTCAAGGTTGGAAAATTCTTTTTCAACCGGTTCATCGTACACTGAAAGTGGCCTTTTAAGCGCCTTTGATTGGAAAATAGTCGCCAGCTGATTTTCCGGGTCTGCTCGAACGGCAGATTCTTGCCATGATTCTAAAAATTTGCCGATACTTCCTTCGGAGCTGAAGGTGGACATACTTTTGAGACTTGCCAGAGCATCGCTACTGCCGAAAGCTCGATCTGTAGAGTCTAAGAATGCAATAAGTCTCTGAGTCTCATGGAGAATATCATCCCAGTCCGTGTCGCCATCCTGCGCGTCTTGGATAGTCACGATTTTCGGAAGATTGATTGGCTGTCCATTCCACCACTGCGAGTCATGACCGTAGTCAGAGAGAACCCGATTCCGTAGCAAAAGAGCCTCCCTGGCCAGGGGAATTGAATGGAGAATCGTCAAAAGTCCTCCCAGATGCAGGCTATCTTGTGATGGGCGAATAAACGCGGGCTCGTTATCCACCCTCTTTCGCTCCCCCGGGTCTGGACTGATAATAATTTCTCGGGCACTGGAGTCGAATAAAGTCATGGCCCATTCACCGTCGTCATAGTTATCGCGAGTGGCCTTTCCAAAGCTCGATTGACCCGTGCCTGTGACCCCGGTCTCCTGCTGCCCAAGGTTCGGGTTTAATGACATGGCTACTGCTTGTTGAAGTTCGCGTTCCTCACGTTCTGCCAGTGTCAAGCCTTGTTTGTTATCTGCTGTATATTTGTCCATCAAGTTAGCAGGTTCCAGCAATGTTTGTGCCAACGACCTCCTCACCCTTCGTGCTTGGTGCGGACGCTTCAACTCCACCCTGTTGCTGAGTTGTTTTCGCTGGATCGTTCAGGTTCAATCTGGACGGTGGGCGCGAAGGAGGGGCAGCTGAAGCCGCACTAGCCACCGGATCTGAATGTTCGATTTTGAAAGCTGACAAGGAGAGCCGTCAGTAAATCCCACCTAATAGCCTTCAACCAAGGAGGGGTAGCTGCATCGGACATACCTGGGTCATTTTGATAGCTGGTCGTCTGTACTGAGAAAAAAACACCAAAGGGTTGAATCAGTCACTAATTCCCCGTAAACCAAGTATATCACCAGAAGTTCACCTGTGTCTGAGGGCCTGTCGGATCTTCGAAGTAGGCGTTGATAGCTTTATTCGAGTTGAGGTCGTTTGCCTAGTTATGACAAGCTCTATGTTAGCCTGAACGAAAGGATAGAGTCGTTCAATCGCATCATACCTTGAGAAAGCTGATCGCCTGCTCCCGCGAAGTGCTGGTGAAGCTAACGAAGTTCGTGATAGCTTCCTCTGTCGGTTCGGAAGTCATCTCGGGGCGCTCCACCTCTTCCCAACAGCGCAGTGCGGATCAAAAGGTAAAGGAAGTGGTTTCGACACGAATCAAGCAGCCGCGATATTCTAGCTCAAGCAGATAGACAATCGAGGCCCCGGTCCTTCATGGAAAGCGCAAGATGGTGGTTGTCTGTCCTGAACCCGCCGAGCTTCCCCGCCACATGACATCCGCACGCCAAGCCATCCGCTGCTCCACCTGCATCTTCCTTCACTTTGGCTTCATCTCTTGTCCACATACGGAGATTTCCATTGCCCAACCATGGGCTCCCGCTGGTGACATGGAACTTGCCGTTGTTTGCTCTACACTTACACTGGTTTCTATTGCGCAGCGACTAATAATAGCATCAAAGCTGACCTGAATGAAAACATGTCAGCTGTGAATGGCTCAAAGCCAGCAATGTTCAAAGAACTAACAAAGAATGGCTATAGGAAAAATTTTTCACAACCTGAAAGACAGCAAGATGAAGAAACTGTGCTATATATAGGCATCTATGTCAGACCATGCCTGCTTGATTTACTACATCAGCAAGATGTGGGATATTTAAAGCCTCGAGTGTACCAGACAGTCTTTCAGGGTTACTGAAAATTCCAAAAGTCACTTTATCCAAACTCTGAAAAGCTTTGTCCCGCGTCCTTTCTTTCTCTTAATCTATACTGTTTTCTTTGATTTCAGAATAACATGAATCCCCGCAAGCGAGACTTCGATGACTTCAGGCTTGATTGCCCTAGGTGCACGCCACCAATCTACAGGAGGCCATATAGGACAATCAGCGAGGCGCGCAATTTTGCTAGGAAAATAATGGCAGCCATTTACTTTGACATCAATGCCATTTGTGTGAACCAAAACAATGTCAAGAATGACCCAGAGTCACCCGACATAGTCCGCTATTGTTTCGAATCCAACGAAGCCATCAAACTGGTTGACGAGGCTGTCATGCAAAAAGTTAACGAGGTAGGCTCCTCATCTGAAGGGGAACAACTTAACCACCAGCAAAAGTACATCGATGCCTTTCTTAAAAGACTTGACTGGCGGACACTTGCCATCTGTGCATACTCGAGTGGATTCCGTCTGGCACGCAGAGAGGATTTCGAGGTATGGGAGGAGCTAATTGAGATGATCTGGATAAACCGCACAAGTCTCAACCTATTCGCTCGAACACGAGCGTTGGAATTCCGTGACTTGCTGTTGAGAAATGCCAAACACCTACCGGCGGTTCGCCAGGCATCGGAGCCACTTCGGAATCTAGCCGTAGGCAACCCACACTTGTTCTACCAGGCATCGACTGGCTTTCTCAAAGTTCCGACCTATGAAGGGGTGGCTCAAGTGCCTGTCAAAAGCTGCATCTTCGACCCAAAGAAATGGAATGGCGAGGAGGATCCGACAATCCGTACCAAGGACGACGGGTGCTGTGATCTATGTTTTTCGAAGGAAATCTGTTCGTGCACAATAACCGCGTCGGCAGCATCGTTGGTGGAGCTCAGTGAGTACCAGTACAAAGGCGTCGGTGTACGAGCCCTGGGCAATTTCAAGAAGGGATGTATTCTCGATGAATTTATTGGGGAGCTCTACCCAAATGGATACGATGGTGACCCCGAGTACTCTCTCTTGCACGAATCGAAATCCAGTCCCAAAAAGCATTGTGTGATCTCGCCCAAGCACCTCGGAAATTGGACTCGTTTTATCAACCATTCATGCAACCCGTCAACCGTGTTCAGGAAGAGAACGATCGGAAAGCGAACGATGATGACTGTGGAGACGCTCCGGGACATATCGATTTTTGAAGAAATCACCATTGATTATGGATATGGCTATTGGAGAAACCGAAGGTGTGCTTGTCGGGCGCCTAATTGCCCTGACTTTTAAGAATAATGCACTGTCTGTTTGAAGGAAAGTGTTCTTAATCTTTTATTTTATGTTTGTCAATTGATAATGATGTATGGAGTATCTGGATTTATGTTTTATCTGTACTTAGATATGGTTGATGATGGTCCATGTTGAAAATGAAGCTATTCACAAACCAACCCAACAAATAAATTAACTGAGCAAATTGAGCTCTTGCATCAAATAATTACCGAACAATGCAGGACTGAAACAATTTTCAAGCAGCAAATGGCTGAATTTTGAATCAGCTCGCTGTTCCCAAAATATCCCAACCCCGCACTGCTTGCAGCTCAGCAGATGCGGGGAAAAAAGCTCCCACGTCGACTTCTCTCCCCCAGTCACAATCCTTGATGACCATCTTCCTCTATCGCAGCTATTGGAGGCTTTCTTTCACGCATCAAATCTCAATATCCACTGCAGAAGTAGCATACTTCTTCAGTATTTTGTAGCACGAGTCCACTCGGACGCAAGGGGTGACATAAAGAGATCTCGCATTCCACCACCTCATGTCTTGACTGAGTTCACACTACATCAAAGTTACACGGAGAAGCTCGAAAGCCATGCGAGGGAATTCCATTTACCGCGTGGGGATCACAAGTGGCCCTGCAAGACGACCGAATCCAGCAGCTAGTCTTGCGTCGAGACGTTTACCGTCCAAGGGCCATGTTATACGGAGAGGATTGTTAACAGAGAGCTATGCTCGTGGTCCATCAGAGGTGGGGATTCATAAGATACGGAATTATATCTCCACTCGAGACTGATGATCCCTTTTATTCTTCTTTATAGCCTCCTTTGATTGAATCCACCGTTGGAGATCACTTTGCCACTATTGTTAAGCAATATGGAGATCGGGCAGCGTGCGTTACTCCTCAATCAAACATCTTCATCTACTAATCATTCATCATACAGAGTTATATCCAAGCATCAGAACGACAGATTGACCTATGCCTCTTTAGATGCCAAAAGCAATGCCATGGCACGGGGCTTGGAGTCGCAGGGAGTGCGGACTGGCGATAGAGTCGGTGTCATGCTGGGGAATTCCATTGAATACGCTATTGTAGGGACTCGATACCCTTTCAATAATATTGAAGGGTTTGGCTTTTGAGATAGCTTACATCTTCTAGGCGACCTACGCATTGTTCAAGCTGGGGGCTATTCTGGTACGTTCTCGATCATCTGTATGGCATCAAAGTCTCTAACTGGGCTATTCAGGTACCGATCAACTTGTCCTTCAATGCAAACCAAGTAGTCGCTGCTCTTAGCCACCTCGGTGCTAGCCATCTGATCATCAGCTCGGAATCCAACTTACCACGAAAAGAACCTCGAAATAACATCCCACTCCTCAAGCATCTCGTGCAGGACCTCTCCAGCTCTACTTTAGAGTCTGAATTGATTCCCACGCTGAAAAAAGTCATCTACATCGACAACTCATCTGGCCGCGTCGACGCCTCTGGTTATCGATCTCTTACTCCATATTCATTAATCATGTCAGAACTCACCGCAGATGGTCTCCCATTATCGCCTCGCAACCTCTCTCCACATGATATCGTGAATATCCAGTTTACATCAGGGACAACTGCCATGCCCAAAGCAGCATGTCTAAGTCACAGATCCATCGTGAATAACGGTTCTCATATCGGTGATCGAATGCGTCTCACGCCGGAGGATATCGTCTGCTGTCCACCGCCACTCTTTCATTGCTTCGGCTGTGTATTGGGATACATGGCGACGGCAACCCACGGCTCAGCCATCGTTTTCCCGGCAGAGTCATTCAATGCAAAGGCTGCTCTACAAGCAGTGCAGGAGGAGAAGTGCACAGCACTTTACGGAGTCCCCACGATGTTCCTCGAGCAGCTTGGTCTCATACAGAGTGGCGAGGTCTCACATGAGGGATTCCAACACCTGCGCACCGGGATCGCAGCCGGTAGCACTATCCCCGCAGAGCTCATGAAGAGACTACACAAAGTACTGAACCTCACTGAATTGACAATCTGCTATGGCATGACCGAGACGAGTCCCGTTTCCGCCATGACTACGACAGATGACCCAATCGATAAGCGGGTCAACACTGTGGGCAGATTGATGCCACATGTCGAGGCCAAGGTTGTTGACCCAGCTGATAAATCAAAAATTCTCCCCATTGGCACACGAGGTGAGCTGGCAGTGAGCGGATACCTTCTAATGAAGGGATACTGGGACGACGCCGATAAGACAGCCGAAGTTATGATCCCCGACGCTGATGGAAAGGTCTGGATGCATGTAAGTTGATACCCCAAGAAACAAAACAAAAAATAACAACCCCGTTAACACTTAACGCCCAAACCAGACCGGAGACGAAGCATCCCTCTCACCCGACGGATACATTTCCATCACAGGCCGAATCAAAGACCTCATAATCCGCGGCGGAGAAAACATCCACCCACTGGAAATCGAGAACTGCCTTCTAGCCCATCCCGGTGTGGCAGATGTATCTGTTGTCGGTGTCCCGGATGAAAGATACGGAGAGGTTGTTGCTGCTTTTGTGATTACTCGGGATCTTGACCCGAAGACGATGACCGATGAGCAGATCAAGAAATGGGTTGATGAGCGATTGAGCCATCATCTTGGTAAGTTTCTCAATTAGTTATGTTCTAAATACTCTTCTAGGCTAGAGTCACTAACAACACGCATATATAGTCCCGAAATACGTCTTCTTCCTCCCACCAACAGACTCATTCCCCAAGACTGCAAGTGGCAAGATTCAGAAATTCAAACTCAAGGATTGTGCAGTCAAAACCCTGAATGAAGGGAACGGCCCCTATCCGACTTTGCAGTAAATTCATATGGTATAATGATGGTGATGATATCTAGCGTTACTATTTAGTATCCCGACTTTGAATCCAATATAAAGCCATTTTCCGGCCTATTTTAAGTGATCAAGAAAAGCAGGCATACCTGCCAATTTTGCTATAGTTATATAGGCAATAATGGATAATCTTATGATGAGACTACCAAGCCATGGTTTCTGATTTATACCAAGTGTACCAACCCAAAAATTCGGTAGAAACCAGACTAACAGCAATAGTAAAGTGACTTAGCCCTGATATTTTCTTATACTTCTATGAATTTGTTCTTCAACTGTGAAGCAGCCAATGCACCCAACGCCATCACTGTACCCGTCGCCATTAATTCCAAGACACTGATCTGCAGACCAAACGCCATCTTCCACCACCGTCGCAGCTCAATTGCCATGAGAGAGTCGAGACCCATCTGTGCCAACGTCAAATTGATGTCCAAATCATCATCGGACTTGAGCATAAAGCTACAGATCTTCTTCCCAATCTCTGTGGCTAGGAACTCGGCGCTCTGGGGACGGGCCAGGACGGCAGGGTCATCCGCTACACCAGATAGGAATTTTGACAGCTCGCTAGAGCCACCGCGCTCATATCCCTCCGGCTTCTGGTTGATGTTGTGGTAGAATCCCATGCGGCGATCACGACGCCAGTTTGTGCGTGTGTTGGGATCGTTCAGGTCACCTTTAGCACGTAGACCCATCACGATCTGGCCTGGATTTCTCCATCCCTTGCGCGCGGGCTCTTCACCGGGAGTGGGATGCGATGGTTTGGATATGAAAATTGAAAGCTCCAGGAAGTCCAGGAGCTCTTTTTCTCCTAGGAAGTATAGCCCTTGTGCCTTCAAGCTTTTTCTCGCGGAGTTGTTCTCGGCAACGTTTCCAACGCCGTCTATGGGACAGATGTTGAGGACTGATGCAGGAAGGGAGCGCGACCGACGATATTGACAGAATGCCTCCAGATATGTATTTGCCGCACTGTAGTTACCTTGGCCAGGTTGCTCGACGACTGTTACTATAGAGCTGGCAAGAACAAGGAAGTCGAGCGAGTCTCGATCCGGGAAGATTTCGTGCATGTTCCAGGCTCCATTCACTTTGGGGGCATTTGTTGCAGCCCAGTCAGAGGATGACATACTTGCAAAAGGTGAGTCCTAGTGCTATGTTAGAGCAGTAATAACTTCTGAATCAAACAGAAACATCTACCTGCAGAACCATTGCCAGGTGAATCACCCCCTTGATTGGTCGGGGTGCCTTTGTAACGGCCACCTCAATATCTTCTTTGGACTCTGCCCTTCCTGGAATGATAGTGACTGAACAGCCACAGCTTGTCAGTTCTCGCAAAAATTGCTGCTTCTCGGAAGATCCTGCACTGCGAGACAAAAACACCAACGATCTTGCACCTCGCTCAACCAACCAAGTGGACATTACTCTTCCGAGACCCCCCAAGCCTCCGGTAAGTAGGTAGGATGCCTCACTGTCCAGCTGGAGTGGCTGAGGCCGAGGGGTGCTTGAAACATGAGAAAAATCTTCAGGCACCTCGATCACTGCCTTTCCAATATGATCAACGTTTTGGACATGGCGGAAAGCATCCTTGACCTGAGAAGCATCGAAAGTAGTAATCGGGCTAAGAGCCCTAATTTCCCCAGAGGAATACAGTTGCATAATTTGTTTTAGTAGGCTGGCATCCAATTATAATTAGTCTTGCGCCCCTCTTTGGAATCCTTTGTACCAGATCGACTCACCGTCCCGAATATTTATATCGCTGCTGGGTAAGATGTGCAATATCCACACAGCAGTATGATCGATTCAGCAGAAAGTTATGCATTGGCAGTTTGCCAAAGTCTGCACCGTCTTTCTTTCCAATCTCGATCAGTTTACCAAATTCAGCCACACAGTCCCACGATGCATGAAGAAGCTCGCCGGAAAGTGAGTTGAGGACAATATCAACCCCGCGGCCCTGAGTCTCATGCATCAGACCAGTGACGAAGCTGTCGTTCCGAGAATTAAAAATGCGGCTTTGGGGGATGCCAAATGTCTCGGTCAAATATCTGGCTTTTTTGACATTTCCAACGGTTGCATATATCTATTGATAAGGGTTAGGTTAGTTGTTCCCCTTTCTTTTCCAATGTGGTCATCCTACCTCAGCTCCAATCATTTGGCATATTTGAATGGCGGCATGTCCAACTCCGCCGGTTGCCGAGTGTATAAGAGCGGACTGGTGAAAGTCGATTAGACATTTGAACACAATGACATTGAAAGGTTCTCACCTGTCCTTCCTCTAACCGTCCAATATTAATCAGTGATTCGATAGCAGTCGAGAAGCAGATTGGCATTGCCGCAGCATCCACAAAGCCCAGGTGATCAGGGATTGACACAACAAGAGCAGAAGGAACGGTCACTAGTGACTTTGCACAAGCAGAAGGAGACATCGCCACCACACGTTCTCCAATAGAGACGTTGTGTACATTCCGACCAACCTGACGGACAATGCCTGAGACTTCAAGACCCAGGAGGCTAGTGTTTTGTGGAGCTTTGAGAACACCCATTGCATGGAGAATGTCCTCCAGACCGTGTTAGTATATGTCCTGATGAAGAAACACCAGAAGTTGAACTTACTTTGAAATTCAACCCAATTGCTCGAACATCAATGACCACATCTTCATCGCTTATAAATAAGCGGTTACGCTCGCTCATCCACTGGAGTGAATCGATTGATCCAAGGGTACTGATATACAGGCTGTAGACGTCTTCTAGAGCTCCTGCTTCATTGATCACCCGGTTCTGTTGCCCAAGTTCCTCTTCTAACGAGAATGGATGATATCGGCCGACCTTGACAACCCCATCATCCACGATGTATTCCTTTTCAGGGCTCAGAATCTCATTATCCTCGGTGTTGATGATCTTTTCCCAGATACGCTGAACGAGGGATGAAAAATGTGTCTCATTCACGTCAATTTCGACCGTGTAGAACTGAATCGAAGACTCAGCTCTGATGGACCTCGCAACTCCAATCGCGTGCGCAGAGCGAGGGTCGTTACATTTCACCTGTGTTGGTCGCAAGAGCCAAATGATAGGGAACTGGGTATTCAAGCGACTCAAAATATTCTGGAAATTTCCCAGCCTCTCTGGAGTGATGGTCTCGAAGAAGTAACCTTCTAGATCGAGAAGAGAAATAATGTCTTGGTCTTGCACTGGCAGCTCACCCAGATGACAGATGGAAACCGTAATTCCAGCAGCCTGGAGGTCGTGAATGAACGTTTGAGCAATGCCCTGTGCTGGATTTTCACAAAGAATCGTCAGATTCCGGTTCTTGATCGACGTTTTCTTTGCAAGTGGCTTCTGAGACACAATTACCGCGCAGGAGTGATAGGGTTCTTCGGCGTCACGGACCGCTGTTTCGACGCCATTCATTCCAGCTTGCTTGAGTTCATCATTCCAGCGATCTACAGAGATGTATGGCTCATATGGTCTGCCATCCGCCTCTCCCAGCCACCATCCGGAGAAGTTGCCAAAGAGATAGTTCGGCATACGAGCCACTCCACACAGTTCCGTCATTACCAGATGACCACCTGGGCGAAGCAATGGTTGCAGATTCCCGAGAGTCGCTTTCAACGAGGGAGTGGCATGAATCACATTCGATGCCAAAATGACATCGTAAGAGTTGGGCTTGAATCCCTGATCAAAGGGCGATATAGTAATGTCGAATACTTGATAGTCTATGTTGGGAGCATAGGCAAATCGCTCCTTAGCCTGGGGGAAGAAACCAGCGGAGATATCGGTGAAGGTATACATCTCGTAGTTGGAGTATTGATTATCTCCTGGGCGAACGAGCTCGCGTAGAATCATCTCGGTGGTGCCCCCGGTTCCAGCACCAACCTCCAAAATACGCAGGGTCGGTCTGGAATGACACAGCAGGTGGAAGAGTTCAGTTTGTCCAAAACCTATCGAATCGTAGATGTGTGCCAGGACGTCATCTTGCATCAAGATGTCCAGAGTATCTCTTTCTCCCGTGAAGACGCTCGCGCAATGGTCAAAAATGCGTTTGATCCCAATGACCCCATAGCGCTTGTCGGGTATGCTCAGAAGCTGCTGATACAGCTCCTCAATCATCTGGATGCGCTCTGCAGATGACATTCGGACTAGGTCTGTTGCAGAGCGCTCCAATATAGGGTAGGTGCCATTAACTGCGCGCTGAGCTTCCATGCCCAGCCACTCTTGGAATTTGGCAAAATGCGGCTGACAAGGAGTCAGCCCCTTGACTATCTCGACCGATTCCAGAATACATAGCAGAGTCATTTCCTCTTGCATTCTGGTCTCCTCTTGATTCGATCGGGGAGGGGTGAAGAGTGTGTTGTGGTCGACGAAGTCAAAGTCTGGACACCACTCGAGACGCGAAGCAGCATGCACATCGTTGGATGATTGCTGGCGACTGTTATCCATGGGAGTGAATTTCAATCCACGAAGACGAAGAGCTAATTTGCCATCCGCATTGCAATCGACTGACATGCCTCCATCACCGTGGCTCCATGCGATAGCCTCCATCTCTCTGGAACTGGGGAAGATGACCAGATCTTCGATTACGGTGGGAACCTTAAGACCACCAAATTTGCGACCAATTCCTTTGCATAGCGCAATGACAAGTAATTGCAAACAAGCATCGATCGACCCGGGGTGCAAGAGATACTCGGGGCTCTCGCAATGAGGATTTGATACCGTCGCTGCCGCGATGTTATTCGCCGTGGAGCACGAAATGCCCGAAAGCCCCTGAAATTCAGGGCCATAAGTGATTCCAATATCGGAAATTGCTTGATACCATCTGATTGGGTTGATCTGGCGCTGCAGCTCGCTCTTCTGCGGACAATATGATGGAGGCTGCTCCTCCACACACGCCTTGACTTGGCCTTCACAGTGCTTGATCCAAGTATTCCCGCTGATTGAACAGATTGTAAACTCAAACCATGATGACTCCCCGGAGTCACTAATTTTCAGCTTCCTGAGACTGCTCAACACTTCCACGGATTTGCCATCTGTCAGTACCATGGCAGCTCGCGCAATGGCATGGCGTATTCGAAAACCACCATCAACACCAGTGGCCTGTCTCACAGCTTCGCCGGCCATGGCAATGTACCCAGCAAAAGGAAAGACAACATCATCTACGACCTTGTGATCTGCAATCCAGGGTTGGTCCTCTAGAGATAGAATGTTTCTCCAGATTGGGTCATGACTAGAACTCTCGGGCACACGCAGGCCGAGAAGACTATGATGCCCGACGTTGCGCATTCTCCATGCTTTGGACACTCGGGATTCATACCAAAATGATTCATCATGCTGCCACGGATAGGTGGGAAGAGTTGTCAGAACCTCCCCGACAGAATACAGTCTGCCATAGTCGATCGACACTCCGTTTTGGTACAATTGCCCGATAGCAGCCAGGGCACTTTTCTCGCAATTCTCGCCTCGCCGCATGGTTGGAACATACTTGTAATCGACGCCTTTGGCCGAGCATATCTGGCGAAGGGGTCCAGCCAGAGCTGAATGAGGACCGATTTCCAAGAGAAGGGTTCTCGGCTGCTCTTTCAGGAGTGCCTGTACAGCAGTGTTGAACTGCACTCGGGATGTGAGATTACTTTCCCAATATGCCGGGCCAAGCTGCTCGCCATCCTGAATCACTTTGCCAGTTACAGATGAAAAGAGTGGAATACTGGTATGTTGGCGGGTGGCATGTTGCCTGCTTAGTTCCCGGACGAGTAATCTGAAATAAACCTGTCCCAATGCCTTCATGTGATCTACTATTTGTTAGAAAAAGGTTCAACTCATGTGAAGATGCAAATGTGACTCACGAGAATGGTATGCTATATCAACCTTCAACTGCCGTGCGAGAACATCGGGCTTGTCGCTTTGAATGGTCTGCAACACGGCACAGAGAATCTCTTCATCACCGGACAGGGTCACACTATTAGGGCTATTATCACAGGCAATCACGACTCCATCAACCAAATACTGCGATGCCTCTGCGCAGCCCAAGCCAACAGCTGCCATACCTCCCACCAATCTCTGCTGTGTTGTCACGTGGCCACGGTAGTAGGCCGATAGGATGGCCTCTGTCACAGAGAGAGCGCCAGTGGCATATGCAGCAGCAATTTCGCCGCTTGAATGGCCGACGACTGCGGTGGGAACAATACCAACACGACGCAACCGATTGACTATGGCGATCTGGATCGCTGTGCACAGCGGCTGGGCGAACTCAGCTTTGTGTACTTGACTCATCGTGGCAGGCCTCTGGAGCTCAGCTATTATTTCGAGCGAATTAGTCTCGATTTGAAGTGGGCGCGTAGTAGGCATATAGCTTTATGAAGATACTCACTGAATATTGTCCACGCAGGCGGATACTCAATAGACTGAAGAATGTCATCCATCTCATGGATATCCTGTGCAAACTGTGCATCATTCTGTATGATCTCGCGTCCCATTTCCGGCCATTGTGCCCCCTGTCCACTGAATACCATTGCTACATTCAATGGACTGGAAGGCGCTTTGGTAACTGCTGGTATCTCATTACTGGACGCGCAGTCCAAGATAAGAAAGGAACGGTATGGGAGGTGTTCCCGGTGTAGGGCCAGTGTGTATACTATGCTCGAAATGTCCAGGGGGTGCTCGGTTGCATATTTCTGAATGTTACTGGCCAAGGTCTTAGCTGAATCCTGCGTGTTGGCAGAGATTAATGCAACCTCTGAATGCCGATGGTTGCCCTTTTGAGAGCGTGGTGGTGGAGCATGTGACTCTGAATAGGCTTCTAGAATAACCTGGGATAGAACATAAGTAAGTCTGTATAGACATGATTTCGATAGATACTACTAACATGTGCATTTGAGCCTCCAATTCCAAAAGAGTTGATACTGATTCGCTTCGCTCGACTCTTTGGCCATGAGGTTGCCTTGACTGGTACTATGAGGTTCTTTTCAACAAAGGGAACTAGAACAATTTAGCCTTGCTGTTGTATTCATTGGGTTATAGTAAGAAAAGGCAAAGAAATCTTACTTCGGGGGTTGGGTGTATGGAACTTGATATTCGGGGGAATCGTCTCGTGTTCTAGGGCGAGAGTCGCTTTGATCAGGCTTGTGATGCCCGAAGCACCTTCCGAATGTCCTACATTCGGCTTCACAGATCCAATGTAGACGCCAGCAGGCCCGAAAATGTCTCCCACGGCATTTGTCTCAATAGGATCCCCGGTGGCAGTACCAGTGCCATGACACTATCTCTGTCAGTCATATAGCGAGAATGAGAAACATATAGAAAGAAACTGACCTCGACGAAGCCCGTCAAGGCAGGATCCAAGCCAGTATCGGCATATATCTTACGCATTAAAGCTGCATGGCTCTCACCGTTGGGTGTCATGAGACCCTGGCTCCTGCCATCACTGTTGCTAGCTGTATTGCGAATTATGGCTCTAATGGGGTTCCTGTCTCGAATTGCATCATCAAGTGGCTTAAGATAAACGGCAGTGACGGCCTCACCACGGGCGTATCCATCCGCAGCCGCATCAAAGGTCTTACAGGATCCTTCAGGTGACAGGACACCCTCCTGGGACATGCCTGCGGTCATTGCTGGGCCCATAATCAGATTACTTCCAGCAACAATGGCGCCAGAACAATCCCCAAAGTTCAGTGCTCGACATGCTTCGTGAAGGGCTATCAGTGAGGCGGAGCAGCCAGTTTTGATCACTATACTATGAAGGAGTTAATTTTGACCTGATACTTATAGCTCCATCAGGAAAGAAAGATGAAAAACTTGCCTTGGTCCTTTCAGGTCATACTCATAAGACAGCCGGTTAGCCAGCATGAGATCACAATGCCCCGTTATAATATAATTCCCCGAATGCTGTGTCTCTTTCGAACTCATATGAAGCCAATCCTCGCCAAACGTGCCTACGTAGCACCCAATCGATTTGCCTCGGTATCCAACCTCACCGGCACTCTCAAACACTTCGCGAGTGACTTCGAGTAATTGCCTCTGCTGCGGATCGGCTCGTTCCAGCTCCGTCTTGCTGAGCGTGAAAAAGGATGTGTCGAGTTTCGTCAAGTCTTGGTCGAGGAAATATCCTGACTGGGATTTAATGGCTCCCAATTTCCCTCTCTTATCCGTGAATCCTTGGGTATTGTAACGATCGGGCGGAATAGGACCTCTGGTGTCCTTCCCATTGACGAGTACATCCCAAAAGGCCTCTTCATTGCTAATACCTCCCGGTAGGCGCATTGCCATGCCGCAGATTGCAATTGGCCGAACATAACGGGCTGGATGCACCTCTTTGTCAGTTGGTATGGTGTTGGAAGTCGGAAGTTGCTGGGGTTGAGTGAGAGTCTTGAAGACGTTGGTGGGGTGTGTTGCTGGAGCATGATTGAGTCGATTTTGTTTGGACTGAGGGAGGGGTGGGGGCAGGGGGATTTCTGCAATGCTAGGAGCCATGTTCAAGTGTTTCGAATATTGAAAAATAATAGCCAATGATATATAATAAGTCAAAGCTGGGATTTCTATGTTTCTTCATGCAATCATATACAAAAGTGCTCCAGGAAAGCTTTATAAACTTGATTTCCAATCACACTCTAGCCTGTCTTTAGCATCTAGGTCGGCGCAGTATCAATGTCATTTCATTCTCGCCTGGGTGGTGACTTGTCTGCAGATGGCTGAAATTGGAGATGCCACTTCATCCTTTACCAACCTTATCATAAGAGGCAGGTCAAATCCGCACTAAAAAGAGGCGTTTGATGAACCCGCAAAAAAGTACGACATCTGACCACCCAAGCTTCGTATTAAGGATGGGACTTAACTGATAAGGCGGATGGTGAAATATTGAGTCAGACTGAAAATCGATCCCAACTCGTTGATCCGATGAATCGATTCTCTCTCGAGAAGTATATCCGAGAAATATATCTACCACGGAACCTGTCTCATGACCCCCTCTTCAAACTCCCAAAAAGTCCCGCCTGGGTATGTTTTCTCCTCGTCCGCCAACAGCCTCACAATCACCTCTGCGCCATCATCAGGCAATTTAGGCCCCCGAAACCCATTGAAAGCGGTCTTGAGTGGCCCCGGAGCAACATTATAGTAACGAATACGAGGATTGGTTTCACTCTCACCTGCGGCGTGTATCCGATCATTCTCAGCGACTTGCATGTGGACCGTTAACCCGTTCATGCCGATCTTGCTTGCTCCGTAGGGTGGGTGACGGCCCATTTTTGTGGTGAGAGAATTGCTCATACTACCGAGGCCGGAGGAGATGTTAATGACTTTGGGGTCGGGCGATTTGTACAAAAGGTCGGTGAAGGCGATGGTGACGACGGCAACGGAGCTGATGTGGAGGTTCATGAGGTCATTGTGTGCTTGACGGATAGCTGATAGGCCTTCTTTTGGGGGCATTATGAGAGTTCCGGCGTTGTTGATTAAGACTATGTTTGAATTTCAGCACATGAGGCAGACAAGGCAAAAAGGGTGGGTGGTGGAGAAGGTTTACCATCAAGTCGACCGTAGGTGGATTCGACATATTTAACAGCGGCAGTAATTTGCTCATCGTTAGTCACGTCAAGCTGCAGAAGATCGACGTTGGCTTTTCCGCCCTGAGCCTTGAGCTCTTGCACTGCCTTCTGGCCTGTTTCAAGGCTGCGGCAGCAGAGGATGTAGGTGTTGTTGGGCGACTCGCGCTGGCCGGCGATCTTGATGATGGAAAAACCAAGTCCTTGGTTGGCGCCAGTGACGAGAACGATTTGAGACGAAGACATGGTTGATGCTGGACTTGACACAACCAGTTTCATGATATTGAAAGGCATTTATGAATGTATATCCTCGGAGTTAATCAGGCATTAACACCTTAACACCGTCTCAGGTAATATCAAGACATCTAATCACCTATTGCCGAAGATGTAGATCATGAAGATCACAAAAGGGCCATACGTTCATTGTTCGATTTTGTTTGTAGAAAGAAATATTCTCTATCAAGCTGTCAATTAATCTGCTACTGATTTGCTCCATTGGGGAGTGAGTGACAATTATATTATTAGCAATCCTATCCATTAAAACCCCCCATAATAATCTATCTAGCTATTACCATTATTTTTATTTGCCTGGTGAGCAAGTTTCAATACCCTTGTGCGCCAACAATTTGGCCCAAAGGTTTATCAGCAAATCCAACAAGAGAAGTATTTTAGAACCCTTAAGACTGATAAGCAAAGCGAAACACTCTGTAAAAGCCCATTCCTCCGTCAATGGCGTTTGAACAGGCCTTTCTTGGCTGGCGGGCCATGTCTGTGTCTTATCTTTCTGTTCGAGCAACAGCACACAATCCTTTTCACATAGGGAGTATACAGTACGGTGTCAATGGTGACTCTCTTGTATGGGTCGGGATGAAGCATCTGTAGAAGAACGCGCAGAAGACTTAAATGGGGAACGCCTCTGAAGGCCGGACCGCATAAAGGGTATTCGTGGCCCTCGACAATTCCATCGGGCTTCTTCCGGAAGAACTCCTCCCAGCCCCCCATAAAGCGGGCATATTTAGGATCCTTCAAGTCAGCTGCTCCCCAGGGAGTGCCACAGAAGAGGAGTGCAAGGCATACAATGCCGCAAGACCAAACATCAAGTGCTCGTGGATCATAGTCACCTAGATACAAGAAATATCGTGAGAAACAAGATTTCACAGCATATCTCAGAGGCAGCTAAATACTTACCATTCTTTTCCAAGACCTCTGGCGCGATGTAAGGCAAACTACCGCATATTCCTGGTGCGCATCTGCGAACCTCGTCAAGTTCCTTGTCATATTCCTCATTAGCTGCGCGCAAGCCGGGGTGTAGACCACTAAAAACCTCCGCGACACCGAAATCAGTAATTTTAAGATGGCTGTTCTCAGACAGAAGCAGATTTTCCAGCTTGATGTCACGGTGTGCGATTCCCTGGCTATGCAGGTACCAAACTCCCTGAATCAGCTGTTTAAAGAGGCACAATTTATCGTCCAGCTGCAAGTAGTCCTTTTTCACCAGGGAAAATAGCTCCCCATAGCTACAATACTCCATGACATGATTCAAGAGACCAGAATCGGTGCAGATACGCACAGTCTGCACGATATTTGGATGGTTCAGACTGTTAGCGATACTGAACTCTGATTTTACCTTCCTCGCGTATTCCTCTTTGCTTTCATATGCGTCTTTTCGAAACTCTTTGACGGCGTATGCAACACGTTTAGGAGAGTCTTTCTTGTACATGATATTGACAATTGCTGTTGCACCTCTACCAATCTCCCTTCCCCTTTTACCAGGGATCATACTGGCGCTCACAAACTCGTCGCTGAGTTTGCAGCATTCCACCGAGATATCATCCAAAAGACTTGCACCGGAATTGACCGGGTTTGAGAGCGGCGTGTCAGCCTGGTCTTGCTCGTTTCCGAGGCAGGGGGCTTTCATCTTGGGTTCTGAGCGTTGACGGGAAATGGTACCCAATTTAATCTTGTTCTTCAGGTTCAGAGATGTAGCAGATAGCATATGTTTTCTGATTCCTTGCAAGGGTTGGGACGCATCAGATGAGCGAGGCGTAGTATTTTCTGGATCAACAGGTGAAGCCTGCGCCTTCGAAGACAAATTACCATTCTCTGGGATAGATGTTGACGAGAGGTCAAGGTCAGAACAGTTGGTCTCCTCTGCAGAAGGATTCGTGCCGAAGCGGTCGACGAAAGATTTGAATGTGTCCGAAGATAGTTTCAAAGACGACAGACGAGGCATCACACTTGAGGAAGAAGAAGAAGAAGAAGAAGAAGGCAGCTTAGAGGATGAAGGAGAAACCGAAGACGAATTTGAATTTGAATGCATATTTTCCGTCTTCAGCATCAACGATGGACGATTACCCTGTCGAGATGTCTCCCCAGCTTTGCCTGTCGACATACGAGGATCTGCCATTTTGCTGGCTCCAATCTGCAGGCCCGGACCCCCAGGTCCGGTGAGCATGGGAGAAGGCTTGACTTGATGACAGTGCTCTTGTCCCTGCAAGGGCTCTTCACCTATTGGCTGAAGGGTTGCAGGTTGAGCCATAACTAACAGTCACCGGTAAAGAGTGCTAAAAAGATATCTCGAGCAGGCAAAATGAAAGAACGATATGTGCTCCCTGAAGAATTCTTTGCTGGATGAAGTTGGCGTGTCGCAGCCTAGGATATTTGAAACGAGTGAAGGGAATAATGTCTGAAGAGAAGGATAGAGGAAGTAGAAGAGAGAGACCGAAGAGTGAAAGCGAGGGAATCTCCCAAAAAGGGAAAGCAGCACACCTCCTGCCAGGCAGCCAAACCGTCATCCATCCCACCTTCTTCACTCTACTGGGCATCAGACGCGTCACCTGAAGACTTTGATCTCATTATTGCGGCTACATTTTCGGCTGATGGATGCAACCTCGAGACTCTTTTCGTCAACTGATTATGCGTCAGGCATCAGAAGAACAAAGCCTTTGAAGCAGTTTTGTACAACCTTGGTCAAACTGAACATCTGAGCATAATTCTCCTCTCTGCCAGAATTTCCCGAGGCTGACATTTTCATACATTTCATCATAGATCGAATCCGATGATGAACGAATACTGACAGCACCGGGCTTTAAAATCAACCAGCGGATACAAATATATACTGGCAAACGCCGGGAACCCGCTACGGACTATGGAGTGTGACATGCAGTATTCCGTGCTCAAAGTGAGAACTAAGGGCTATGCCAAATCCTACTTACATATAATTAAGATACCTAAATACGATACCTATGTCAGGCAACCCTTAGTCTTCTCGTACGCCAATGCACCATAACCATTGAACACTGCAGATCGAGACCTTGATGGTTTTCATTTTGAGATTTGCTAGAAGACCAATCTTATTCCTCCGCGCCTAAACAGGCGGGGTACACGAACGCAGCATCAAGTGTTGAGTTAGCCAAGATGATACACAAAACGCTAAGCACCGGCAAGCCGACAGTCAGAACTAAGTGACACGAAATAAGCTATAAATCTCGTATCGAGAATGAGAGGATATAACAAAGCACCTCAGTAGAGTGGACAAGGAGGCCAGCCGCTGACGCTGGCAGCATTCATTCCCGTTCCCCTCTCATTGAGGAAACATGCATATGCTGTAGCACTTTTGCGTGGCTTTACTTGACAGCCCGATGGATAATATCGGCCTGGTGATTGCAATACTGGTGCATCGAGAATTGCTGCATAGTTGGAACTTGAATCTGATATCGAGTCTCAGTGGAACTGAGAGCTGCAGGCGCAACTGCTAGATCGGCAAAAGTACAACTTTTGCTACCCAGGAACGTTGCTATCGGTGCCGGTCTTCCAGAACGGGGGGCTGGCAAGGTTAGTATATTATGAGATGAGATGGGCGACGCTGGCTAGATCGTGACACCCGGGCACGAAGAAGCACTATAAGTAGGCATAATTCCTCATAACAGCAGTGGTCTGCTGAAGTGCCAAATTTTGCCCTGCTCAAAAGTCTTGTATTCCCGTCTCTCCTTGCAAATGTGATTGGACATCTTCGTTGTCTCCATCAACAACCCATTCTGGTTCTTCGTCGTCAAAATATTGATCTTGCTCTTCGGTCAAATCATCGTATTCGTCATTTTCATCGACCTTGGCGTAGTCAAAGTCGCGATCTTCGCCTCTCAAGAACCGCAATGTCATCTCCCATCGCCAAAGCTTTTCTCCCTCCTCTTTACTCGGCGGGATTTCATCCCTGTCTTCGGCAAGAATCTCGCCACTGGGGCCGCGGGTGTAGTTGAACATCGCATGGGGGTCAGGATGCGCAAGTGCATCAAACTTGGCTTCCGACCGTAGCAGATCTGACTCAAGGACACCAGAGAATCCTTTCGCTCGGCCTTCGGCCTCCCTTTCCGCTGGCGTCTGGAATCGACGGATCAGGCGATCGTATAGTAGGGGGTCTGCAGGGCTGCGCATTAGCTGTTCAAGTCATTTCCTTTTTGTTTTCGTGATCTAACGCAAGGGTCAAATCGACTCGTTGGAATCAAAAAAACAAGGATAGAGCAAGCGGACCGGCGAGCTCAAGATCAGCAGAGAAATACTCCGGGTGCATATCCAAGTAGCACTTTCGACGGTTCCTAACCCGGGTCTCAAGCGAAGGCTCATGGGGCCTCGATCCGGATGCTATATCCTTCTGGACGGTAACATTTTCTTGGGTCATGACTCCTGTGCCTATTGGCAAATACGGCATAATGATATTGTTTCTGAACGTGGCTGGAGAGAATGGGGATGATGGCGACAGAGATGGACGGCGATGATGATGACGGGTCCAAACAAACCGCTAACGAAGGCGAAGAAACGCTCGGAAGCAGACGGCAAAACTCCTTCATCTCCGCCGTGGACAGACCAGCAACGAATAACAGTCTACAATTGGCCAGGATAGGGGTTTATTATGGATAGTCGGCTTTCTATCTGAAGAAAAGAATTGTAAGACCAGCTCCTGTCTGTTTCATGTCTGTTTTTGCTTGCCGGCCATCGCGGTGGAGGGGAGTTGCGCATCCCCGACCGGCCCTCGTCCGCCCCAATAAAGGCCACATGATTTGAAGAAATGAAAGCGAAATGGATTTGAATTGACAAGAATCTCCCAGTTACGCCTCCTCGGCAACCTATATCTTTCGTCTCTGATCACCCTTGATTGTACCAGACAGGTTGTGTTGGAGATCTAGCACCATGTCGTCGTTGTCTGTCAAGACTATCCTTCAGCAGGCCAACACCAAGAAGGTGGTCGCTGGTGTGGCTTTGCTGTTCATTTTAGGATTCTATTCCCCTGTCTTTGAGATGACTCTGTCTCCTGTGTATGGAGCTGCGGCGTCGCATATCTTCCACGGTTATGGCGTGGGTGTTGTTGCAGGCTGCGGATGGCTTCTGAAAGACCACGTCCGCCGATTGTCCAATCGACGGGCTGTCTATCTACTTCCTGCGCTAGCATTTTGGGTTCCCAGTATCCAGTACTTTGTGACCCAAGGAAGCTCGTCGCTGGGAAATCCGACTGGACCTGTCATCACGGAGCTCTTTACCTTCTATCCTCTGGTTCTATTTACTGTGGCATGTGCTGGAAAGCTGCTCCAGTTGGGTCTCAAACTGCAGCCGCATGGTGACATCGTCTCAGAGCATGTTCCTCTTCTGGGATCTTATATCATCTACTCTGCAGGAGATCACTTTGCTAAGGCATTCCTCTCAAAGTTTCTGGGCACGACTTTTCTTCTGTCCCGATGTGGTCTGCAGTTTTTAGTTGGTGTGTTCTATGCTGCGGTCATCCCATCCAAATGGCTTGTGCTTGCCATTCCATCTATTCTTTTCTCTCTCACTTCCGACGTGCATTTGCCTCTGGGACATACCACTGCGGTGCTGAACTCCGCCCTTCAGGAAGAAGGCTATGCCCTTTTGGCTAGACAGGATTCAAACACTGGCTACATCTCTGTTTTGGAGAACATGCACGATGGTTTCCGCGTCATGCGATGTGATCACAGTCTTCTTGGGGGGCAGTGGACGAAAATGCCCGCGAACTATCATCCCGCTGTGAAGGACCCTATCTATGCTGTGTTTGCCATGCTGGAAGCTATTCGTCTGGTCGAGACCGATTCGGGCGAAGCTCGCGCAGATGCTAACACCAGAGCCCTTGTTGTGTAAGATCTCGAATAACTAGGAACAGAAAAATCTACTGTATGATCATCTTACTGACTGCGAATAGTGGACTCGGAGTTGGCACCACTCCCGCTGCCTTGATTAACCATGGCATCGAGACTACTATTGTCGAGATTGACCCTGTTGTTCATAAATTTGCGGCTGAGTATTTCGAATTGCCAAGCAACCACATTGCAGCCATTGAAGACGCGACGACCTTTGTCAAGCGCGCCCAGTCGTCTTTGGAGTCCGCCAAGTACGACTATATTGTCCATGATGTATTTACCGGAGGTGCAGAGCCTCTTGAGCTCTTCACCATTGAATTCCTGAGAGATTTGGACTCGCTCCTCAAGCATGACGGAGTAATTGCTATCGTAAGTTCTCCCCTTTGTGATTTACATCTGACGTAGTAATATGGGTCCATCTTACTGATAATTGAGCCAGAACTTCGCCGGAGATCTCTCCCTCTACCCAGCCGCACTTACCGTCCGCACAATCCGTGCCGTCTTCCCAAGCTGCCGGTTCTTCCGTGAAGATGCCGTCGCGGAAGGCCACGTGGACTTCACAAACATGGTCGTTTTCTGCAAGAAGACCGCCACTCCTGTTCAGTTCAGAGATCCAGTCCGGGCCGATTTCTTAAGTAGCAAGTCTCGGGAGAACTACCTCGTGCCCAAGCATGAGGTCGACCCATCCATCTTTGACCACATCGAGAAAGGCGGAAAGAAGGTCTTGAGGGCCAAGGAGACTGGGCTACTTCACAAGTACCAGGATCGTAGTGCTTTGGCCCACTGGCAGATTATGAGAAATGTCCTGCCAGATGCGGTGTGGGAGAACTGGTAAAGTATTCGAGTATGCTTAGGGAGTCATCGATGATACAAAAGCATAAAGAATGTTCCTAGGCTAGCTGTATAGTACCCGTGGTGAATTGTCTATCAAGAGTGAAGCTTGGACTTTTTGTTGTGCACATAGTGCTAGTTTATCAAACGATAATATTAGCTGTACTGCTATCTCAAATCTTCGCTTTGCCGGTAAAAGTCGGAGGGGAATCGCCAAAGACAATCCTGCGATCCAACTCAACGCTCTCCTTTGATACATCATCCTTGCCATCTTCCATAACCGCAAACCCATAGAGAGCTCTCTCCTTTCTCTCCATCCACCTCCGACTCACCTCCCGGGCTACTTCATTTCCATCTCTCGCCGCATCAGCAGCAAGCAACGTAGCACAAATAAGCCAGCCCAGCCGAGAGAGAAGTATCCGACCATTCAGTTTGAGATTCTCCGCTGACTCCGACTGAATATATGCAGTCAGAACATCAGTCGCCTTGAGCAGAATCTCTGTAATTGAAATATCCCTAACGACTTGATTCGCAATTGTGCGCACCCATTCCGTCAAGCTGTTGAGGACATTGCTTCCGTCACGACCCTTGAGAACCCGTACAACATCATCCGCCATCACGTTTGTGGTCCCTTCCCATATACTAAGCACGTTTGAGTCTCGGTATATGCGGGCGATGTTGAGCTCTGGATCTTCGTTTTCCAGATACCCTACTCCACCTAGTGACTCCATACACTCCGCGAGACCGGCGATGGCTGCTCGAGCTGTGACGGCCTTGGCTAGAGGGGTGACGAGACGAAGAAGACGAGCGGGAACTGCAGATTGGGAACCAATCCCTAAATGACTGGGGAGGGGTGCAGATGCGTTAGAAGCATTCTCTGTGATACCGAGTAACACAACGGCAAAGAATGCTAGATGTGTCATTGCGCGGTATTCGACATGCTGGTGAGCCATTGTCCGGACATGAGCTGGTGTTTCAATAAGCAATCTCCCGCTTGTTGTGCGAACACGAGCAAAGGCACGGGAGATCGCTAGACCTCGGCCCCATCCGCCAACAGATGAGACGGTATTGTGCACACGGGTGATGTTGAGGATGGTGCTGATTTCCTTGACTCCAGATCCCGGAGACCCGATGAGGTATGCTCGCATCTTTGATAGGACGAGCTCAGCAGTTGGCAAGGCACGAGTGCCCAGTTTTGATTTTAGACGGTGGATTTGGACACCGTTTAAGTCGGTCTCAGGAGATGAAATGTCGGAGGACAGCGACGCCAGGCTTTGTCGACGCATCGGGGCATAGAACGCAGATAGAGTACCATCAGGCATCTTGGCAAGAAGAACTGACATTTGGGAATCAGTCGCGGAGCTGAACCATTTGAACCCGTTGATTTCCCAGGGTCCTAATGGCTGGCCATCTGTGTCGTGACGGCTCTCGTCAGCCGTGAAGGCAGGCGAGTGAGTCGCCTGCGTCTCCGTGTTCCGAACATCACTCCCCCCAGGTCTTTCAGTCATCCATTGTCCACTGGTCCAGGCAAATTCGGGGTCCCTCGAGACCAACCGCCGATAGGCCTCGTCGAATACCTGTCTCTCCATTTCAGAAAGTGACTGCCCTTTGGCAAGTTGTCGAGCCAACATTTTAGCCGCACCGTCTGTCATCGCGGATGGACATGTAACTATCGCGTTACCCCCTGCCCAGAGGTGGTATTTGAGAAACTGATAGACTCGGCTGTATAGACCATACTGATTCTCATACGGTATGGCCACGATGCCCTCGGCTATTCCCATGGCAGAAAGCGAACGCCATCCTTCAGAAGTGACCAACGTATCGACACGATGTCCAAAGCTGTCCCATGTTTTCAAGTACGGGGTATTGCGCTCTGCATCGGCAACATGAGCGAAAACACGGCGATCTATGACGCGAGTTCCAAATCCAGAGAGGTCAGGCGCTAAGGTATTTTGCAAGGACGGAGGGAGATAGACTAGTGGATTTGTGAGAATGATTCGAGTATGGTCAAAGAGCAGAGTCACAACGCACATGAAAACACTCGTTTATAACTTTCATCTTCATAGAACGAGTTAGTCAGTCTGGGGGTCTGTTGGAAGAAACCCGAAGTACCACTGGATGGTGGCGAAGTATGGGAGGAATCTCCTGCCATTTTGAAAGATGTGGTATTTTTGGATATCGACAATATTCAGAGTATCGACTGATTATTTAAAAGGGATTTATCGACAACATCGAACGTTGGAAAATCAGGCTGTGGGGAACAGATCGTCGCTCCATAGCCGGTCAAAATGCGGAGTGATGGTGAAAGTTCCGAGGTCAAGTCACACACACAGGCAATGACTGACGGTGTTGCTTGTTTCCTGGTCATGCAATGATTATAATATCATCAAGTGTGTAACTCTAGTCAGTGGGTTAGCAAGACATTTAGATGAATATTCTGGGACGATACATGCAATGATAATTGGTATTCACATTGGTGCGCTAATGAGATATCATTCCATTGACAAAAACAAAGTCCACACAGGGGAAAATGGGGAATAAATAATAAGTGCTATTTCAGATCCATCATCTCTTTGACTCCCAATCCAGCCCAAAAAGCCATTCCCTTATCAGAACAATGACTGACCGTCGCTAAGCCGGGATGCTCAATCCCCGGGAATATGTACTGTGCGAAAGCGATTAAAAATACAATCCAACAAAAAGTATCATTCGAATAGGTGATTTTTATGCCGATGGGCTGCCACGAGGACTGCCACCTGGTTTCTTGACCAAGCCCGCGAAGAAGTTTGCCAGAGCTTGGTTGTGTGCCTTCTCGTCGCCAGGCGAGGAAAGAGCCTCCTTTCGTTGAGCCCGACTGGCTTCTCTCTCCTGTTGCATAAATTAGAATCATTAAATTATTTCACCGATCATAGAAAGTATTTCCTGTGGGCTGGCTACTCACCTTTAATTTCCTCAGCATATCATCCGCATCAACTTGAATTCCTCCCATGTTAAATTGTACGGGCCCAATATGCTCGTTGACCCGTCCGTTATCATCCAAGGGTGACATCTCCAACTGGGGCACTTGCTTAGTTGCACGGTCTTTCTCGTCCTCAACCTTCAGTTGCTCCAAAACTTCGACCTGCTTAGACAAGAAGCCTTGCATATCAGACGTCTCGACTTCGATCTTGTTTCCATTCTGTTGACTGCCCGGGTGTGTCATCGAAGTATCCCGCTTGGGGTCTTTAATAGTCTGCTCGAAAACTGTGACGGCGCTTGTACCATCATCCATTCCCTCTCCAGGTTCGCTTTGTGGTTGCTCCACGGGCCCGGGAATAAGGGGCTCGGGAGGATCCTGGATCTCAATTGACCAGCCAGTTGATACACCTTCCATATCGAACCCTTCTCTGATAATCCGAATTTTACCCCACGAGTCCCAATTCGATGGTACCAGAATCTTGTCTCTGTCGATGACATTATGTTTAAGCGACTGGCGTTTCAAAAGTGAATGTATCCCGAGAGAAGCATGTATCAAGCTCTGTAGGGAATTCGCAAGAAACGGTGTGGTATAAATCAATGATGCGCCATCTGTCCCACTCATATTAGTATAATGAGCGAGTCAGTTAGCACAGAAGTTGTTAGCACTCACGCTTCAAGAGGAGCGTCCTCATAAACTGAAGAATAAAGTCGAATTCTTCTTCGTGCCAACCATGATCCTTCTCTAATTTCTCAATCTTATCGGCCTGTTTTCCGAGCAAAAATTTGATGAGCAGCTATTTCCTTTAAAGCTCAAGCATGTAGCTTCACGTACCCCTTGGCAGACCACACACATTGGAATCCCTAGTCCTTCATCCCATTCACCAGGGCCCAAAGGTATAGTAACTGGTCCACCAGAGCTTGTCACCCCTCCAGCGGCCGAATCCATACCCTTCTTCCGATCGCGCCACTCTGTCATAGTCTCCTCCATGACGATTTTTGTCTCATCATCGAGGGAAATAAGCACATGTCGTAAAAGGCGAACCCATTCCCTTAGTCGCCGAACCCATGTCCAAGGGTCCGACCAGTCCAGCAGGATAACGACCAAGGTCTCGGGGACGGATTGGGGGGTCAAGAGTGGTTGAAGGAGGGGCGCAAAGGACAGGGAAGGTTCAGAAAGCAGGTATGCGGAAACACGCGCCAGTGTATCTTTCAGAAGAGCAATCATTAGCCAGGTTATAGCTATAAAGGGCGTATAATATCACCCGTATTCAAGTGAGAGCCATTTACCTTCTTGATCAGCATCTAGCACGTCCTGATATGTGTATCCCAGGGCAAATTGGTTGGCGACCGGCGGTATTCTGCCTTTTCGCTTCTCGTTGGATGGATTGGGGTCCGAAGTGTCTGCGGATAATGTATCTAGAAATTCTCTCTGGCTCTCAGGTGTGCCTCCTAAAAAAATGATATATTAGCAACACGTCATAAGAGCCGACAAAACGTGTGGCCATGCGGGACCATCAAAGCACATGGAATAAAAACACCGCAGAGACCGAAGCCACAAGAGACAGAAACTGACCTAATATCAACAGATTCTTCTCTGGCAATCGCTTCCCATTAGCGACACCATCCAGCATGGAAGACCAGATGTTTTTCTTGGGGCCATCCTTGCTCGATGGTCGACTGTTATTCCCGCCCGATTTGGAGCCGGGAATTTGACTTGATGTAGACATTGTCTTTATCCAATTCCGACCATGCCTCAACCTGCGCGGATCATTCCAAGACGTTGGGTGGGATGATTCTATAGGGCGCCCGACAGGAGTTCACGCGTTGATGCCGAAGTTTTGGGCGGATGGTGAATAATATTGATTGGGACTGCGAGCGGAGCAGGGTCAGGGGAATCTCGAGACGGATGCCTGTGGCTGATGCACTCTGAACTGTTTCAAGGTCGATAATTTGTCGAGTAAGGAAGGTATCCGTGGCAGAGCCAGGTCCTTGCTTAATCAAACGATAATCCCCCGGTTTTGCTGCCAGAAGTCAGTCGTGCTTGGAGGTGAAGATGTATGGTGGTAAACATTAATGTGTCGGCGGCGGGTGGGACCTTGCGCGGAGAGCCCGTGATACAGATTGGCCTGCGACTTTTCGCAGCTTAATTAATGCCGTGGTTCGCCGTCCATCTCACTCCCCCCAACGCAAACCATCCACGTTAGACGAGACTGCTTATTGGGAGTGCAGCTTATGGCCCTCATTTTGTTCAGTCCCAATTTCAAGATCTAATAATGAACGGTATCCGTCAGGTCCAGGCGCTCAACAAGCGCGAACTCGAAAATGCCATGTACGTCCTGTCCTCTCTTCTGATTATCTCCAAACCTTCGCGACGGTCGCTTTGCTGACATTGAGGAATTACATAGACCCCCTGAAGCCTCATGGCACGCAGACTACCGGGATACAGCTTATATCTACATTGGTGGTCTCCCTTTTGACCTCTCCGAGGGTGACGTAGTAACAATCTTTTCGCAATTTGGAGAGCCAGTCCATGTGAACCTTGTACGCGACAAAGAGACAGGAAAGAGTCGAGGATTTGCATTTCTGAAATACGAGGACCAGCGCAGTACCGATCTAGCTGTCGATAATCTGGGCGGAGCGACCGTTCTAGGAAGATTACTTCGGGTGGATCATGTGAGATACAAGAAACGCGATGATGAGGAAGAGGGAGATAATGTTGCACGATTGATGGGGGATACCGATGCTAAAGACGGGGAGGATAGCAGACGGAAGAAGAGAAGGACCAGCGAGGACGAACCCCACAGGCGGCCTCTTCTGCAAGAGGAAATCGAACTTCAGAAACTCATGCAAGAGCACGACGAGGAGGATCCGATGAAGGAATTTCTCATTGAGGAGAAAAAGGAAGAGGTCTCTCGAGCTTTGGTGAAGGCGCGAAGCAGCGAGAAGCGATCATCTCGAAGACGAGATGACAGCCGGGAGAGATCAAGTCGTCATCACCGTCATCACCGTCGCCGGGACGAGGGAAGATCTGACTCCAAAGAAAGACGCCATCGGGACCGTCGCTCACCATCGAGGGAAAGACGCTCTTACAGAGACAGCTCGCCGTCAAGGAAAGAAAAGTCTCGTAGGGATAGATCGCCGAGGTCAAGATCCCCCGACTCACGACACCGAGATAGACGCGAACGGCGCCGATGAACATGATTCTTTTAATATGGCAATTATGTCTATTCGCTAAGCTAGTTGTCTGTTATATATCTCACAGCGACCGCAAAAGAGCGACTAATTTGAAATCAAATCCAAGACTATGTCTCATGGAAATGAAGGAATGGAAATGGCAGCTATAACAGTGGACAATCCGGGTGATTGTTGCCTGTTCTAACTGCATAGCGCAGCAAGCTGCAGCTATCATTCAGGCTTCGCACTGGGTCTCAAAAGACAACCTTGACTGAGACAAGAGAAAAGGGACCATTCGCTGCAGGATAAGGCCATTGAAATCTCAGGGCGAAATGCTTAGATAGGACTTGAATATCAATCCTCACAGCCGGAAGAATATGCGTCAACCACCGCCCAAATATCTTTTCCAGCCCTCTCTCACACAGTATCGTTTTCCATCGTCTCCATCACGAATAAGAAACTTCTCCCACCTTCCATCTCGTCCCGAGCCAATGACAATGATGGTGTGGTCATTAGGCCAACCTATCACCCCCTTGACCGGCCGTCCAATGGATGTCCCAAGGGACTGTACATGTTGTGAACCAGGTGGCGTTTCTTCGCCAATTTCAAAGTGCGCGCTCGCAAATGAATAGACGTCCGAGAAGACCCTTGGGAGTAGAGGGATTTTCCCCAGAATGCCCCATTTTTGGTTGGTGCCTTCTTCCGATGGTGAAGATGGCGACGGGCTACGGTGAGCGACGGTGCGTGGGTTTGGAATATCGAATACATGGAGAGTAGACTTGTCAGATGTCACAGCTAATAAATTGTTGGAAGGGGAGATAGCAAGTGAGAATATCACCGCTTGATCGACTCCCCGTCGTAATTCGGCCATCTTCGTGCAGTTCCTCGTAGAAAATACACGAATCAGAGTACCCTTAGAATGCAATTAGTGAAAAGGCGCTTATTGAACTATAGCATGAACCCTCACCGCTTCACTTGCCGTCGCCAACACCTCCCCATCAGGGCTCAACGCCATGGCGCGCAAAGGAGTGCTGTGGGCAGGTATGATGCTGACGTTTCCTGTCTCTAGTTCAACTAGCTGAACCTGCCCTGGGGATCGACCTGGAAATGCAAGAAGCTTGTTCCCCAGACAAGCGAGTCCCATTGGGTTATCGGAGGTCTCGAAGACAGAGAGCTTCTGAGGAGGGTTGGAGAAAGCGAAGATGTGAATATTGTTCAGTAATGCAACAACAATACGTGATTTGGACAAACGGACGCCGAGAACAGAGGTGCGGAACTCGAGCGTGATAACCGCCTTCTGCTTCGCATCATCCCAGATGACCAACTTGAAGCCGTGAGTAAATGCCAAAGACTTGGATGGCTGGAAACAGACGCACCTTGTTCTGGGGGAACTTGGGTTGTTTTCCCCCACCAACGATGGCAAGGTAGTTGGATTGACCCAACATTTCCGCTACCCCGATGCCAGCATTGAAGTCTTGGGTCCAGTCAGTTGTGATGGCGAAGCATGCAACACAAGGGGTGCGTACCTCTAGATACTTTAAGCTCACAAGGGTCGGTATTAAAGACTAGAAATGTCAGCCTTGTACAAATTTACGCTCGATATAGCCAACTGAAGAGCTGTTGCAATCTATCTCCCCATCTATATATATGCATGTGACCGAGGCTTACCGCAGAAACCAGTATCCAGACCGACGGAAAAGCAGGTGTTTTCACTATTGAAGATGGCAGAAAGAGAGTAAGGTCCCACGGACTCATCGATAACCTGTCTAGTGTTCATCTTGATGAATGAGACAAGGTCTTCAGGTAAATATAGAGACTAAAAAGATGAGTTTTGGTGTATGCGACGATGGCGAGGGAGGATCTTTGATGCGCAATGCGCGGGAGAAAGTAAGAGGGATGTTTGGATAAACTGTCAAGTCATAATAATAGATCCTCTGGAATGCTCTCGATCTAGCTCCTGTGTAAATCTTCCTGATGGAAACAATGCGCTATGTCTAGAAAATCGGGAATGACGATGAGATAACCGTGAGAGAAACAACAATAGTGGATAGCTCTGTTCATGCCTGAATGCCTTGATTCCTCAGGCCACCAGACAGTTCAGGCTTACATAACAGGGTGTATCGTATGGACGTATCAAATACCACTACGGCGGGCCGCAGAGACCCACGGCCGCGGAGCCCCTGAGAGAGACCTAAACGGGGTGGATTCGGCCAGCAAGCAGCTTGGGATGGCCTCGATTGAGCCACTGTTGTCGATTCTCAAAATAAGATAGTTTCAGGCGAAGATCAATCGCATGGTTTTCCTTTTTCCTCTTCGTTTTTCCTTTTTGACCGTTTTTCCTGCAAGAACTACACTAATAATTACCTTGTACCTGATTATCATTGGAACTGTTGTACGGTATTGTATCAGAACCCAAAGTTACCTGTGCTTTTCAGTCTGGAGAAGCAGAATCGCCTGCTCTGATTGGTCCCACCGCCGCTGCTGCACAGGGAAAGGGGGAAGCAATACCACTCCGTTACTAGCCCCGTATTGCCCCCTAGTCCTGCTTAGGCTGGCCTCTGCTCTCTCTCTTTCTTGCTCTCTCTAACGGAACTGCTCTCAACTCACCCAAGAGACCTCAGGAGAGAGCATCCTCCACCCCCAAATCCATTCCCTTCCCAGCTTCCCTCCTCTCGTCCTTGTCCCTGCCATTCGCTCGCTGGTTTTTCTTTGGCTTCATCTTCTCTCGTCCTAATCTCGTTTCTCTCTTTCTCTATCAATTTCTCCTCTCCTTTAACCCACCATGTCGTCAGCTCTCAACGCGGTATGTTGCTTGCTTCCCCTTTCTGGCTTCTTCCTAAAGATTCCCGCTCAACCCTCCCCCTCTCTCCCCCAAATGGCCCTGCACGGGTCTCTGTTTCTCCCCTTTACCCACTCAATCCCATTCGCACTTTTATTATATAAACGAATTGAGTCTCATTCTAGATCAAGCTCCGTCGCAAGAAAAATGTCAAGAAGGGTATCCAGTTCTGCTTGATGGTCTGTGGTGCCAGCGGAACCGGTATGTGATAACAAAATCGCAACTCCTCTCCCCACGGACATAAATTGATCGATTCGGTGTTTTTCTCTATCCTACAGGACGTACAACCTTTGTCAACACACTCTGCGGGAAGCAAGTTCTTGAGGGCAAGGATGCCGACGACGCTGCCAACGCTCACATCGAGGAAGGTGTCCGCATCAAGCCTGTCACAGTCGGTAAGTTGGATTCACCTCTCTTATCTATTTGAGGGGCAAGGATATACTGACAGCTGGGGTGAAGAGCTCGAATTGGATGATGAAGGCACTCGAATCTCCCTAACCATTGTTGATACCCCGGGTTTCGGTGACCAGATTGATAACGAAGCAAGGCATGTTAACGCATGGATATGACATAACCATTTGGTTTCCAGGGCTGACCGCTCCTTAGCTTTGGTGAGATTGTCGGATACCTCGAGCGCCAATACGATGATATCCTTGCGGAAGAATCACGAATCAAGCGAAACCCCAGATTCAGGGACAACCGTGTGCACGTTCTTCTGTATTTCATCACACCAACCGGCCACGGCCTGCGTGAGCTGGACATCGAATTGATGAAGCGTCTCTCCCCCCGTGTCAACGTCATCCCCGTCATCGGAAAGGCCGACTCTCTCACTCCTGCCGAATTGGCCGAGTCTAAGAAGCTGATTATGGAGGACATTGAGCACTACCGTATTCCCGTCTACAACTTCCCTTACGATATCGAAGAGGACGATGAGGACACCGTGGAGGAGAACGCTGAGTTGCGTGGATTGATGCCATTTGCCATTGTTGGCTCCGACGACTTTGTGGAGATCGATGGCCGAAAAGTGCGAGCTAGGCAGTACCCTTGGGGTGTTGTGGAAGTCGAGAACCCCCGACACTCTGATTTCTTGGCTATCCGAAGCGCTCTTCTGCACAGCCATCTGGCAGATTTGAAGGAGATCACACACGACTTCCTTTACGAAAACTACCGTACCGAGAAGCTCAGCAAGAGCGTCGATGGTGCTACTCCGTATGTGCTCTTATATATATATATCCCAGTGTCGTACATTTGCAGCTAACAGGTTGAAACAGTACCCAAGATTCCTCTATGAACCCTGAAGACCTAGCATCTCAATCCGTCCGCCTTAAGGAGGAACAGCTTCGCCGCGAAGAAGAGAAGCTCCGCGAGATCGAGCTCAAGGTGCAGCGTGAGATTGCTGAGAAGCGACAGGAGTTGCTGGCTCGCGAGAGTCAACTCCGGGAGATTGAGGCTCGCATGACTCGCGAAACAAGCCAGGGTCAGGTTGGCGAGACAAACGGAGAGGCTTAGATACCCCCTGTTTGTTAAACCCTTGACTTATAAGTGCGGGTTATGGTTTCGCGGTTTGACACCGTCAGTGCCAACGTAATGGAACTTATGGCACGAAGGTAGTAACTGTCTATGGGGATAATATTGACCGTTTATTCACGTTAATAGCTTTTTCTTATTGAAAGGGAGGAGGCAAAAATGCAATGCTCCGTTTTCGATGACTGGCACCATTTCCTCCCTTTCGTAGAGAGGAAATGAGAACAAGAGGTGATGGGATCTCTGGCTGTCGCTCTCGAATTTCTCTCTCGATTTTTTCTTGGTTTCTTATATGTCTTCCTTTCCTTCGGCTGAAGATTTCCCCTTGTTTTCCTATGCCCGTGTACTGTTATTTCCGGGTCAGATAGCATCCTTTTAATTGTTGACAATTGTCACTGGAACACTCCTGCATAAATTTTTTTCCTTTGCCCATGTCTTTTTTTTACATCTCGATTATTTTTTTCGTCAATGGCACTTGTCCCAATCTCAGCAGCGCAGCAAGATTCCCTCTTTGTCATTTCATCTTTTGTGTGTGCTCTCGTGGCTTATGTCTCTTCTATCCTTCTATGTCTTCTTAGTTGAATAGTAGTAAATGAGGAAGAAAAAGTATCTACACTGTTTACTCTTTTGGTCGTAGCTGTCTGCGATAGGGCATATGTGGTAGTAGGTTTTTTTTTTTTTTTTTTTTTTTTTGGTGATCATTGATCATCTTCGATCGACAGGCACCGAGGCAAAAATATATCTTAACGCAAGGCCCAAGCTCCTGTAAGAGTTCGTATGACATAACAGTACGAGATCTCGAAACAATTTATATGTAATCCTTGTTTCAAGCTTAATGATAGTGCATTGATTGAATAGTATTCATGTTATTGTTTTATTCAGATAACAAGATGCTATTGGGTATGTATGGATATGGGGTAATGTGTCCAGAGGTCCTTTAAACATAAGCCAAATTGAGGATATGTAAGATCATGAGATGGAAACGACGTTCCCTGGACTTTGCGAGCGATCAGGCATACTTTCAATAAGAGGAATCACTGCATGCAAGAGGCAGCAGGCCAACTAAGAGAGTAATAGGTTTTAGACATCACACAAGATGGTGTTCATGCAACTAGGAGGATAAAAGATTAGATAGGAAAGAAACAGAGAAAAGGAGCAACACTGAAAATGAAGAAAACAATAAGAATAAGCATGTGGTATTTGCGCTTCATTGTACACAGAAGAAGTGGGCAAATGATAATGCTGACCTAAACATGTCAACGGCATGAGGTATTAAAATGAAGAAAAATGTGTCACAGCTCAAAAAAGAAAGATAACAGCTGCTTAAAAGCAGGACCGAGATGCCACTTGAAATGACAAGAGGTCTTTTTAAGAGCAATCAAAACAACCTGCAACAGATGCCATCGCCTATCCCCCAATCTGCTGGCCTAATGCTGCTGCGGCTGGCTCCAGAAATCCAAACTGGCCACCACATCCGTGTTGGTTTCATCTTCGTAGGCGTAAAGGATCTGCACAGAGTTAGCAAAAGGTTGAATCCAGTTGCCAATGGGAACTACAGGACTTACCTCTCTTGTGGAGGAATGTAACATGCGAATGTTCTTCCCAGTCATGATATGAATCAACTCGCTCGTCTCAATATGTCTGATCTCGATGAAGTTCGGCTCGAAAGCGAGGATGTAGGGGTAAGAAAGCGCAAATGCGTTGGGATTACCCTCCCAAGAGATCTTCCAATCTGAACGGGCACGCCAGCCGTTTCGGTTGACAAAGAAGGAAAAGTCGCTGTAGTTGAGAAGGAATTCGCCATTCATTCGTTCAATATAGATTGGCTTGACGTTTTCTTTCCTTGCAACGAAATCAAGGGACGTGTCGGCCTGATCTAGGAGTGACTGTGTTTCGGTGGTTTCAAGACTGACCACTTCAAAACCACGGGCACATCCAACACAGAGTGTCGATCGAAGGAAGTGTATGGACGAAGATTCGGCGGGGATGTAATATTCCTAATTTTCGAGTTAGATGGCTGATATTAAAGACAAAGTAGGCACGGTAGTTGACAAACCTTAAATGGCTTCAAAGTATCCTGGCCACTTTGGAACATTTTACTGACGGCGGACTTCTTCTTTCCCTTGGCCAGGTTGTCCATTGGTTCGTAAACCTTGATGGTGGTCGACAGGGCAGAGGTCTTAACGGAACAGACAAGATGCCGTCCGAGTCCGATTCCAGCCTTGAAAAAGTTTGCATGGCCTTGGATCTTCTTGGGCCGCTTTGCTAGAGTATTCTGGCCTTCGACTATCTCAAGAGCATCCATTGGATACGAGGAGAGTGTTTTGTTCGCCAAAACAAGGAGCAGCTGATACCCCTCCAGGGTATCTATTTGAGTAACCCCACTGACATCAAGAACTCTCCTTGGCTTCGCAGATTTGTCCTTCGGCCAACGCTCTGATAGGTAGATACCACTATCCGTACCATAGACCAATTTCCTGCCACCGTCGACTGGAACAAGACAATTAACCCGGTTGACACTTGTGAAGAAATTCTCACAGAGAACAGTTTTCTTGTAGAAGTTGCTATTTCGCTCCCTGAGTTTTCTTTGCTGTTCCTCGACCATTTCAATGAACTTCCGCCTTTGCGTTGGAGATGTAGCATACAAGGTCTGTTCGTACCCGCCCTTTCCAAGATGCCTAAAAGTGATGGGAAGTCCATCTTTCGTAGTAGGAGGGTTTGCGGCAGCCTTGTTGGAAAGTAAACTAGATGAAGGCCTCTTGGCGATTCCAACCCTTGGAATCACCTCATCCATTTGAGCGATGACCAAGAGTTCAAGAGGAATGGGCTTCCTGTAAACCCGGTACTCTTCGCGTTTATTGACAACCTTAATTCTGACGAGCAATACTGCATGGTCAAAGAGATATGCGGTAACTTCAGAGCTATCGGTGGGTGTTTTCTTAAACGCCATTTTGGTGAGCATTTGACGGTTTTCCTCTGTGAGCTTCAGGTCAACATAGTCACCCGGGCCAAACTTCAAAGCCGTATTCAGCTGCACAAGGTTGAAATGATTCTCGGCTCTTCCACTTTCGGTATTGACCCGTGACAAGAAATCTTTGATAAGTTTAATGGCCTTGGGGATGTCTTCCTTGTCTGGACTTCCCTCTGCCGTATTTTTCACAACTTGTTCGAGCAGGAGAGGATATCTTGCAAGACGTGTTGTTGGCTTTGTCAAATATCCGTTCAATTCCAGTTTCCGAGACTCCTTAAGACGCTCTGTCTCTTCCACAAATCTTGCGAACGCTGGATTCGATGCTTTTTCCTTCTCAAATTCATATTTGCCGTATAGTTGATTGGCACCGTACTTGATGAAGGGATCGAATCCTGGCACATGTTGGAGGAAAATGTCGCCAACAGTTTGAACAACGTGCATTTCCTTCTGTCTCGTATTGAGGGCTTCACACAATCCACCATTAACCTTCAAGACTTCCAAGCAGTTTCCAAATACCGTTCGAATGAACTTCTCACGTCGATGTTCTGGAATCGGCGAAAGATTGGCATTGCCAGCGGACCGCAACGGCCTCATCCAGAAATCTCTCAAGTATTCCAAATCCTTGACGAAGTCACGCTCAGTGTACATGATCTCGAAAATAATCTCTTGACGTTTCTTTTCCCGGTCATCAATAGTGTCGGAAACCTCCTTGGGAACCATGTTGATCCATAGTTTTTGGTTGTCGTTGTCATCATCGCCGTGCAAACTGCCTTTAGAGGCGGAAGTTCGCAGTCCCGGTTGTGGCTTCAGATTCAATCGTGCCTGTTGTTCCAGTCTTCTTGGGCATGCAATTGAGTAACAGAGGCTGTCCCGAGTACAGGTCGGCGAGTAACACTCGGTTAGAAGCGTAAATACACCATTGACCTCTGAACTGGGTGCCTCTTCTCCCATCGTTTCCTTGAACTGATAAAGCTCACCTGGAGCATCTCGAAGGCGATGGTCGTATGTGACATCATGGAAAAACTTCTGCGCATCAAGAGCACGTCCCAGCAGAAGAGCCAAATTCCGATCGTTTGTTTTGATGATGTAGGAAACCAAATCTACTGCTTCTGCACCTGTGAAAGCATTCTGGTATGATAGCCCGTTCTTCTGTCGTTCACCTAGTGCTATCCTTTCACGGAAAACGTCGGCAATTCGCGAGAGCAGGGCAGGATAAACCAGCGGTACCTTGCTACGGCGTGAGTTGCTTGACACTAGTGTTGTCTGACCATTTGATTTTTGGGTCGACTGGCTCTGTATGCTCATGGTTCGGTCCGGCACAACAGTAGACGCCATTGACATGGAGCGAGCGCTCATTGATGGGTCGCTGGGCGGGCGGGGAGGTCCATTGGCGTTGGGTAGGGGAACAGGTTCCGATTCGGTTCTCACAACCGGTGGTTGACTCGGCCCAGAGGGTTGTCGTCTGGCTGGAATCACTCGTCCGGTGCTCGTGGTCTGAGACTGGTCCCGGTCTGCGCTGTAGGAAGTCATGGACATGGCACGTTCATTACTGGTTCTCGAAGGTACCGGTCGTCCTTGAGCGGTCATCGGAGACGAGGAATGATACGGCTGCTGGCGGAAAGCGGTGGCAGATGTGTGATTGAAGCTACTAGGGGGCGGTTGGTACCCCTGAGCTCCCATCCTGGCCATTGACCTCGACCTATAACCATCGGAGTTAAGGGCGGGTGGGGGCAGCGGCCGACCTGGTCCCTTCACGTCCGGATACTGGGGACCAGGGGCTGGTCTTGAATCCAATCTCTGGGGTTGAGGATAGGCGAAGCGTCCGGGGTACGGTCGGGGGAGGTTCTGTGGAGGAGGTTGGGAAGCCATGGTAGCGCCTCCAGGGTATGCTTGATAGTAACCATTTGGCTGTGCTGGTGCATATCCATTCTGCATCTGCCGTGCAGGAGGCGGCGGGCCCCTCTGCATTTGAGGATGTGGAACATGTGATGACATTGTGTGAGCCCGATCCTGAGAAAATTGAGGCGTCTGTGAATTCATTGTTTGGGAACGTCCCGGTGGTGGTGCCCCGCCGAAGATCTCAGAAAACGCGGCATCTCGCTGGAAGGACGAAGGGTGTCCGTAAGGCCGGTAGTTCCGGCCATTCTGGCCTCCCAAATCTGCCATACTCGGATTGATAATCCCTCGATTTCCTTGTTCGGGGTGTACTTTTTCGATTAGGGATAACAAAAACGACAAAAAGAGTCAGCCAGCAATTCGATTTTGGTATAATTGGGTATCGGAACCGGTCGTAGAGAACGTGCAGAGCGTCGGGAGATAAATCGTTTCGAAATCGTGGTTGAAAGGAGAAGGCGAAGAAAAATACTCCACAGGTGACAATTTATAGGCGAATGAAATGAAACCAATCAAAGAAGGAAAAATCTTTAATACAAAATCCCCCTTCACTATATCATGCCTCAATGAATTCCGGTTCTGAGGCGAAATCACAGCCTGGGGAAAGACGTCGAGACCGGGTGTGTTAAAGACCGAAGTGCGCTAGGAGCCTTGAGCGCAACCGCAAACCAGGGCCCCTGCAAGTTCATAACCTCAGCATCCTCCTCGGGACTGTCCGATCGATCAGATTAGCAGACCCGGAGGGGAGGGGTTCAGATAGACGAAAAGAAACTGAGGGGAGGGTCAGAGAGGAATGGTGATGATCGTGGTGGTGGTAGGTGGTGGTGGGGGGG